GTCGCTGGCACGACTCCTGTGCATTTACCCTCCACTTCATTATCACATGTTTCCTTGTACCTTGTGATATTCGCTCGGACTTGTGGCTGGTGTACTGTACAGTTATCCTGCATTCCTCTCACGCTACTACAGTATATACTTCGTTTCCTAGCATGGAGAATCCTTATTCTGTTCTCTTTGGATTCTCCCTCTGCTAGGTGAGCAGCCCTCTCATGTATTGTAGTTAGTCTTATTCATTATCTTTGGATTCTCCCTCTGCTAGGCTCGCGCTGTGCGGCCATCTTGAGGTTGCCCTTACAGCTCGTTCTCTTGGGATTCCACTAATTCTAGTGTGATCTAAGTCAATTAAGCTGTTCCTCTTCACCTTCCTTGCTTTAGTATTCTTGTAGGAGCCATGTTAGTCTTTGGATTAGTGTTGCCCTAACAACAACTACCTATCAGTGGCAAAAACCGTTATCAGTGGCATCCCACTCACTGGGAAATGTCACATCATGCACATTCAATAACTGTAAACACTCTGATATAGTTGATCCATTATCTTATCTCAGTGAAAATATATAATCTGCTAACTGTTGCAACATCCATTCATTCATTTTTGCTTGCTATATGGCTTAGTCACACCAATTGTCTCCCTGCTGTGTTTTAAGATCTAACACAAGGTTCTCTGTATTGCGACAAGATGCAAACTATGTATTAGTGTTCATACCTAACACGAGGTTCTATGAGGAACATTAGTTACGGTATGAATGACATGAAACGGCCACTTTACCTCAGTATTGCGACAAGATGCAAACTGAGGAAAGAGGTGGCCAAGCATCAATCCAGAGCATTACCCCAGATGACGTAAGTCGGTGAAATCCAACACTGTGTAGCTCTGCCTTTACATGCGTCGAGACTCCTGGCGACACTTGCCAGGGGAAGCCATTCAAAATAGGCAACCACATGATATGACTGGTTGGGCCCCTAAATGGCTCTTCCCTTTGTTTGCGTCAACACTGCCATATATTCTGCAGGTATTCCGCCATGATCTTGATGATGGTAGGTAATGTAGCATGTGTAGCAATATAACATATATATTTATCTCACACCCTTTACTATATCTCAGTTTCTCTAGGTTTTTCAAACCTCTTTTCCCTTCCATCTATTTGATTGAATATTATAGTGCATCGGAGCAGGCAGAATAACAAGACCAACACACATTTGCATAGAATACATGAATTACCAAAGGTGGTTTGGAAGAGGAATCATGATTCCGAGCCAATTTCCTATTCAGTGGTACCTTCCCAAACGGGGATTGAACACTGTAACAGTGACGTTGTCCGAAGGGAATGCTGGTTGATTGGGGGAACCAGTAATTTCTTCAAAGAATGAACACTGTTTAGATCACCACATATACACGAATTTCTACCATTTACATTGACAATCACTACATAATCCGAGACCGATCAGAGACCAATCATCACTGCGCCGCTAACCTTCCCATTCGCCGGCCACTTCATTCTCAAGGAAAATCAGTCTTTACAACCCTCTCTTTGAACACCTTGATCCCTGGGTCATTTAAATCAATGTTCACCGGTTCACGGTCTGTGGCCTGGAAGGTGGATAATTCCGTGGATGCATCCCCTCGTCGGAACCTAGCGTTACTAATGCCTGTGCTAGGGGTTTCGGCGAAGTTGGAATCGCCGCGCTCGCTCGAAAGCCCACGAAAGTAGCTCCGTGCATTCAAGGTAGCCATGAAACTATTGGAATAAACTATCATAGGCAACGTGAGTTCGCGTGTGAGTGTCGTAAAAAGGAATGAACTTGCGTTGCACGCTGACGAACTCGATGACCATGGCCCAAATACTATTAGGCTTCACAATGAGCTAACCAACAGTTACGAGCATTAGCAGAGATGACCACGGGTGGGACAAAGACTTACAATGATTGTTTGGATGATAACCACAAAACTAAAGCCAAGGATTAGCTAGTAGGAATGCAATCGTAGACGAATATTACGTTGTCAGGACAAATCTGTTCATTGAATATATGATCAAAGTCTTGACCAGTTTGATAGATCTATGAAGCCAAGAGCATCAACGCCTGAACGACCTCTCGACTTCAAGTTGGGCACCTACTTGGAAAACGGAGTGCGGGAATCGTAAAGTACCACACACAATGTGACGGCAGTCACTGAATCAGACGTAACCCTGGTCAAGAATAGGGGCACAATCGCTGTGTACTGCCCAACGGTCTACACTTGAGCTTATCATTTCGCTTAGGGATAACATACTGTTGCAGCTCCGACTTTGTCAAGGTCCCATAAATGGAATCTAAAGCCAACAATTAGGTCAAGGCTTGACTTCAAGAAAGCGATATTTCTCACAGTCTATATGATGTGTCTGAAGACCCGGCGAACCCTTAGGTGTTGGATCAAGAGGGAAAACGAACGGTGACGTACATATACCAAAACCTGCGGCCGCATCGTAAGACGTCCGCGTCAAATGTCAAAAACGTGGAAGCTTACGCACCTATTTGTGCCGTGATAAGGAAGGCCTGGTCGAGTTACAGCAATTATCATCAAATGTATCCAAATGTCACATACCAAGATACCAGTCAGGACCAGGCGTCGCCTCCCCTTGGTCACTTGGATTCCGATCAATTACTGGTGCGGTAAAATAGTAGGGGAACGCACAGTAATAGACCGTTCTGGCGAAGAAGCTGATGTTGACTAGTGAGCCCACACATTGTCCTGAGTACACAAGTTGCTTACATTTGGACGCAGAAGCAGACAACCACCTAGATATTTTTCAGAACCAGATGGTGCCAGTAAAAGAATGTAGAGTAACTGACCCCAACAGAAGTCGCTGCCTAGAAACAGAGACTCAATGCGACGGGCAACTGAACGAGCAATTCGAAGACGTACATAGACAGACCTGTGGTTTTCTTCGTTCAAAAGTTGACCAGATCGAAGACAAATAGAACTGACCATTCCCCTTGTAGCAGTAGAGCCGGTTTTGTGTATGTAAGCACCTAGTATAGCTTCTCAGCAAAGGAATGATTGAAGCACAGAGAATTTTTGCCAACCAGATAATGGTATGTAGTGTGGCAGACTGGGAGGGGTAAGTATAGACCCATCAACTATCCGAATCCACCTACCAAAAAAGGCATGCACAGATCCGAGAGCCCTGTATAATTTAGCGTTGAAGAAAGCAAAGATAGATAGAACCTAAGAGTCTCTACCACACGACGGCGACCTACGAGTGGGAATCAGCAAGCACACGCCCACCGACTCACCAAAAGTTCTTACCAACGACTTCATGAAAAGGCTATCATTGGCGTAGTGTAGAAAATAGATATATGCCTTCACAACTTATTAGACGGCCCAACAAGAAGGTATCAGAGGCGTACTTGAAGGGTCGAGATCCCGTAAAGAATCAGCATAACCTGAGCACAAATAAGCGAACCACCTAACGATGACGAGCAAGTCAATACAAGCTGTAATTGGGTTGTCAGTTGGACTTGCCGTATGATTCCGCAAAAAGGGACTGCGGGACTGGTGTCGGGCGATCAGGGAGCATAGGTATGGACGACATGATTCTACTGAAAGGATCCAATGTTGTTTGACCACTAGAAGGACTGAGCTGGTTTAAAAGCTACAAGAGAGGGGGTGAGAATATGTACACACCGAATACTCTGATGGACGCACCATCATGTATATGGCGCCAGTCCGAAAATAACCGCGACGGTCCACAAGTGTTGTCTTGCTTCCGCCGTCTACGGCAAGTGCACGGAGTGCAATCGCCGACCGTTGAATAGCATCCTGTTGGCTCTCGTGGGCGTGGTCTTCTGCATCAGCGCTGCTTGTATGATAGATTAATGATTAGGTTCGTGCATAACTTCCTTCTGTTCGCGTTGAGGCGACGAGGTTCGGAGGGGGTAGAACGCCGGTCAGAAGACTGACTCCTATGATGGCTCCAACCTCAGTTGTGTTCTATTGAGTGTCCATTGGAGTTAGAGTGAGAAGTTTCGTTGAAACAGATCAATCAAAGACCCCCCGTAGGAGGGTTCTTGAGGGTTCGGGCTCGAGTTTCGAGCCTCAAGGTTGGGCTGTGCGGGAAGAAAGGGAGCAAAACCTAGTGTGTACATTCAAGAACGCTAACAAAGTTGAGGTTGAGTACTACTCGCTGGGTATTGGTACTGAGTACTTACTACTGAGTACTGAGCGCTTACAGCACCCACCGCTCAAAATTATTTTCCACCGGAATCAGAGTTCTTGACGATGATTGGCCACACTGGAACAACGGTGACTCAAAACGGTCGCCCCAGCGACAAGTACTTCTTGGGTGCGTCTATCGTTACGAAACTTGCTGTACCGACCGAGCCCACACTATAATCCATGATGTGAGCCTTATGTAGCGCCACAGTGTAATCCAAGAAGGGTCTCACAATATGTACTGAACAGCTGATACGAACCGCCTTCTTTGTTCGAGGGTTTGATGTCGAACTTCGCAATAGTCGGCAAGTAATCAGGCGGACCAGCCAATTACGCCAAGGATAAGTTACGCTATGTGGGATACCGTTCCATCAAGCTCGCTTCGACCAATCCAATTCTATCCAACAGAACATCATTCATCCGATGGAAAATCTCCATAGACATGCACCTACAACCAGAGAAGGTCAATACGCCGTGTATTGGACCAGGACCCCGGGGACTCAATCAATAACAGCATCATTGATATCCATGCCTGTCGGTATAGCCTATGGAAGGCTTCGAAGGTGATGGATGTTGGTCGTTGGCGTCACATTTTCCATCTGACTCCGTCCCAGCGGCGCCGCCGGATGTAAGACCGACAGGATCGTATGGTGAAAACGCGCCCAGGACATACTTACGCCGCTGCAACCTCATCCATGAATTTCCTACTTTAGCTTACAGTAATCATTCATAAAGGACCGCGGCTTACTGTTAAGAAATACGGATTTACTCAGATTTCTAAGTTGTCTTCAACTCTCAAGATCTCATGTTTGCAACCTTATCCACCCTTGCCACCGTCTGCACACTCGCCCTTGTTGTCGTTATCTCTAACGTTATAGGCAAACGTACCAGAAACAAACCTTTACCGCCTGGTGTGTCTTTACTTGCGTCTAGTCGTGGAAGAGACTTCTCATACCGTTGAAGGCCCGAAACCAATATGGCCAATAGGTAATCTGCACCAAATTCCCTGGGGGAACTCAACAGCAGAAGTATATGGTCAATGGGGGAAAATCTACGGTGCGCCACCACTTAGCAGTGACCACCCGAATTTCCTCATAATGCTCCCACTTCAATTAGGCCCGCTAGTATATTTTCGCACTTTCGGGCGGGAATTCGTTGTTATAAACACCCTCAAGGCGGCTCTGGATTTGTTTGAGAAACGCTCTCATCTTTATGCTACTAAACCACGCTTGGTAAGTGTCACAACACAGTCCGGGCCCTATTTGGCAAGCGCTTACTAGCTTGGAGGTCATGGCAGGAGAGCTCGTTGGCAAAGATAAGAGCTCGTTGGTATTCTTCAAATACAACTCTTTGTGGAAGGATTGCCGGAGAATTACGCATTCATGGATGGCGAAGCCGTCTATTCAAGGAAGCGGACCGTCGTTGGAATTGAATGCCGACAAACTCCTTCTGACTTTTTTGGAGACACCTCAAGAGTTTGCGCAATACATACGATCGTAAGCTACTTATTTCCCATGACCGTCTGGGATTTGGCTAAGGCATACTGTATCAGGTACACGGCTACTGCTCTTTTGAGCGTGCTTTATGGCATTGAATGTTCAACCAAGGATGATCCTCTTATCAAGTTATCTGAACGAGTCAGCCTTTTGACTTCCGAAGCAATGCGCCCGGGTAGATGGTTATGTGATTCATTCCCCTGGAGTACGTATCCTCACCAATCACAGTGGAAATGCGTGACTCACTAAACTCAAAAGTGGCGTATGTGCCTTCTTGGTTTCCTGGCGGTTACTTTAAATGTTGGGCCATGGAGGCTCGTCGAGCGTCAGATGATCTGCTTCACATCCCGTACGAACGCGTCAAGGCCTCTGTTGTACGTCACTCCTCTTCACCCCCTCATTTTCCAAGCTTACCCTCGTCAGATCGAAGGCCGAGCCAAGAAATCCTGGGTCGCGGACAGCATGTTAGATGAAACGGGACAATTGATCGATGGAGAAGATAGCCACACCTTGATGATCTCCGCTGGAAGTCTCTATGCCGCCGGAATAGATACGGCAAGTATTATGGTAAATGATGCCATGCTCAAAAACTAAATGGATCATGTTATAGACTGCCTCCGCCTTACGAACCTTTCTCCTTGTGATGACTAGACACCCCGAGATACAGAAGAAAGCTCAAGAGGAAATAGATAGTGTCGTAGGGAAGGACCGCCTCCCCACGTTGTCTGATCGCGACTCGCTTCCGTACGTTGAATGCGTGATTAAGGAGGTACTTCGCTTTGCTGCTGTCGCTGCCCTCATGCCGCACAGCTTGGATGAAGACGACGTTGGTTTTCATCACTCTTATGAGTATTGCTTCATTCATAGTCATACAGATATACAACGGTTATACGATCCCTAAAGGCGCCTGGGTCATGGTCAATGCATGGTACGTACCGCCGTCCATCTTGCGGGAGGGAGATCAATACTGGCGTTTAGGTCGATTTTCTACGACCCAGCCCTCTACCCTGAGCCACGCGAGTTCAGGCCCGAACGATTTCTTTCCACCGGTGACCATGAGGCAGAGACGGATCCGTATACAGTCGCCTTTGGCTTTGGGCGACGGTAATGGTTACACCACTTGACATATACGAATACTGATATACTTGAATAGTGCATGCGCTGGGACTCCCTTTGTTCAAGCTTGGCTATTTCTGAACATGGCTCGAGTCCTATCGGTGTTCAACATCAGCCCTGTAACTGGTAAAGGCATCCCGCCTGCCAATTTTGTGATGAGGCATATTCGGTGAGTCATTCTTCCATACGGACAATCGGTTTCATTAATGTAAGAGTCAGAATTCCCGCAGAGTTCGAGTGTTCCATGGTTCCCAGAAGCACAGAGAAAGTTAAGCTGCTGCACCACGATGTGTTAGCTGCACCGTAGAATAGCAATGACCAGTAGAAAGTGTGCCATATCATGTTCACTGTGGCTCGGACTCAAATGATTACTCAATCACAAAAGCTTGTGGCCAGTTGTGAGCAGTTTGATCAGGCTGAAATAGCCAACACATGGAAACTAAGCTACACCTCGGCGCCCAGCCCGGCGAAATCATTACTGTAGAGTCTTCGGTACAGCAGCAATCTTCTAGTACTGCTGCCTCATATTTAAGGATCTAAGCAGTGAAAGAGGTTGGCTACGTAGGGTTGGCTACGTAGCTATATATATATATATTCTCCATGTGTTCGTTACTAGGATCTGACAGTGGGAACACAAACTACCGACGCTTACTTCAATAATTCCCGAGTTCCTCCCAGCTGTGCGAATTCCCTCTCTATGTTTCCTAAGTCAGACGAAGAAACATATCGCAAAGGCCACTGGCAAGAAAACCCATATGGTTTATTACATATTTCCGATTCAACTTCATGAAACACAGTTCTTGTTATTCTGCCAAGATTCCGGTGGTGTACGGTACTAGTAAAAACGGAAGAGGACATAGTGCAAACATTGCCCCACAGGATTCACGCAGTTCTGGGCCGAATAATGCACTCGAAATGTTCTGGGTGACTGAGTCCGTACGTCACTTGAGTAGTTGCGAAGAAGCAGTGAAATCACTCACCTGATGGACCCATCCATAAAGCGGGGTTCAGGAAGAACAGGTTCGCCGTTTTCTTCCGGCGGGCGTATGTCGAAAGACGCCAGTACAGATGCACAAGCGAGCCACATTGTAGCCTCGGCTAGATGAATACCTTCAAGAGGGTAAGAACCGCAGAGCCGTAGCAGGAAGGAATAAAGTACCTGGGCAAGTCCTTGGATAGAAGGTAGTCAGCCCCAAGTACTAGTAGCTAGGTCACCACTTTTATTGGACTTACCGACGTCCGAAGCCGAAAAGATAGTCGCGCGGATCCGTCTCTTTGGCGCGGTTGTTATCACCTAGAAAACGAGTGGGGTCGAAGGATTCTGGATTCTGGTAAGTCTGAGGATCATGGAAAAATTGCCTGAGAATTCCGTCAGTTCCACGCCGGAGGAAAACTGAAGAAATGCTCGAACCAGTTGTTTGTGATGACCATAGTGCCCTTCGGAATGAAATAGCCATCGTGAATGTCATCCTCGGACACGACGTGAGGAAGCCCTGCGTTGCGTTTAGCATCATAGGAGTGTGGGGATGTAGTTCGTGACGGCGGGTACCTATCGGGCCAAAAGTATAGACTCTCATGACTTCTACATAGAGCGCTTCGACGTAAGGTAGGCGGGAACGGTCGGATAGGGTGGGTAAATGGCCAAATCCAAGGGCAGCGTCTATTTCGCCCTGTGCTTTGATTTGCTCTGCAGTGTGCCGCGTCATGGCAAGGAAGAAACATTCGATGCCGCCCACAGTCTAGGAAAATCGTCATGATGCGGTGACAATGGCAAGAACATGCATTCTACCGTGTCGGCTCCACCTAGCGAGAAGTTGAGGACGAGACTGATAAGATACGAGAAAGGCTTTTCACTGACCACTATATACACCAGCAGCGGCCCACTGGATGTTCCTTTCTTGCTTGGGGTCAAGCTGGGCATCCGCCAGTGCTTGGGACACAAAAGACGGCTGGGCCATTCCATCCGCCTAACACAGACAGTTGACATAGTTCTCTACGCTCTCCCGTTAAAAAATCTCACCATTCTTTGCTTTACCAGGTTGTAAGGTACGTCCAACATCTGTGCCAAAGTTTCTCGGTATTTCGCTGCCTTGCGTTTCCAAGAAGCTCCAGGGAACCACTCAGGTACGAAGCGCACTGTAATAAATCTATCACATCGGCGTCGACGAGAGAGCTAGTGGAGACTCACAGATCGGAAAAAAGTCCACCATATATGCATTAATGCCTGTAGTTTCGGAAAACTGATCCATAGCTTCGTCAACGAGCCGTACTAGTGGATCATCGTGGGGCTCAGCGGAATAGCCGTAAGTGATCTTGAGGACGATGGCCCCTGCTAATCTTCAAACAAGCACCAGATTTGCTAAACGTCGAATATGTTTTGATCGAAAAGACGAACCTTTGTGTGTGTTGCACCCACACCTCGGGGTTATCGAGGATACTGTTAATATAGTTGCGAGTTTCATCTTGCAGCACAGTCTGAAACCCTTCAACCTTCGACCTACTGCCTATGAACTGAGAGAAGAGGCGTCTGTATTCGAGCCAAGTTTCTGAGAAGGGGATAAGTGCAGGGCCTTCTCCCCAGCCAACCAACTGTCCTGCCATCATCAACTTTGGGCGGTCGCTGTAGTTACGGCTCTTCTTGGCTAACATATCGAAAGCATATTTGGCGTCGTTCAAAATGATGATGGATCTGCCCAACGCATTGAGATACACGATTCCGCCTAGCAAGGTATCAAGTATCAGTGGAGAGCAACTGGATACAGAAGTCAACCGAACCATATTGGCGCCCTAATGCTGTAAATTTCACCCATGCTTGACTCGAAGGAAGATCGGTGACGTTTCCAAGGAGCGGCCAGCCTTTGGGACCAGGGGGGAGAGGTGCGGGGAGACGTTGCTTCTTGAAGACGAAGAAGGAGGCCAACAAGCCGGCCACACCAACGGCGAGATAATAGGTAGACTCCATGTCGACAGGTAGTTGGAGGATGATGAGTGGCAGAAACAAGATGCAAGGTAAGCGCGTGGATTGTGTGTGGGATCATGCTGGTGTGTCATTAATTATTGGATTTGGATAGAGAACGGCGACATGACTGAAACGGCGGTGTCCAGGGTCATTCACAGCTGCGATTTGATGCCGTGACGAGAACAGGCTGCATGGTGCTTCTGTGGGCGTGGGTAAGGGTGTCTGTCTGTTTGTATAATGGGTGCTGTATTGTTGATGCGAGCTTCCGCAATCGGTGAACTTCCAGGTAGTAACTCTTGGCCCTGACTGGGCGCTATGGGGCCAAGATACTCCCACATGAACATCGGGCGGAGTGGGTCATCTCCGTGTTCCATCAATAGCGACGCCCGGTGTGTGTGCCAGAATGCACGGCGACATAGTAAGTACCGAGTGAGTGCGAAGTCACACCGAGCCCGAGATGCGTGTGAGGAGCACTGCACGTTTGAACTGCCAAATCAAGTAGCTCTGATGTAGTCTATAAAGGGATTCCAAATGTTGGCCCATACTGCAGCGCACCGCTAGAAATTGATAACAGTGTTGGATTGGCCAAGCAATAGATCTATCTATTCATAGGGCTCGAATACACAGAAACCGCGGGCATCCAACTAAATTAGACGAGCTGAGTACCCCGCCTATTCACTAACATCTGTCGTGTGACGATGACGCAGGCTAAGCCTACAATGATGGAAACCTAAACAAGAAAAAGGGTGAGCGCTCTTGAAAGAAGAAAGCAATTGTCCATTTGTACCCCACTGAATATGATGCTTCTCGGCCATGCGAACGTTGAGCCGAGTATAGCACCATTGATCGGTGTGCCAGTGAATGCACCGAACGCGGCGATGAAGAAGGCAATCCCAAATCGAATGCTCGATAAACGCCAAGTCAAGATATGAAGCTGAGCATTGACATCAAAATGCTCGCTTACCCTACTTCGTCCGGTCGTCGAGCTAGAGCCGCAAGGCAAGGCCCACAGAGTGTCAGGACTGGGTCCACCCGTTAGATACGCGGGTCATAATGCTCAGAATGAGAACAAACTTACATGAGCCGGAGGAGAAGCCGAACAAAATGGCAAACACGATTGTTCCTGCGTCCGTTTTGACTCCAAATAGGGCAAAAATGAGAGTAGCATTGATAGCAATCGAAGGAACAATGATGTTGAATGGCCCGTAGTAGTCCGCAAGAATACCAGGTATGATTCTCCCCGGTATGGCTGCAGCATTCATGATTGCAAGCTGAGGTAGTACTCAGCACATCTCCTATACAATAGTAGCAGGCAGCTCACCGAGTAGAATGCAACGTTGGCATCAACGCCATGAAGGACAGCGAAAAGTTGGAGGTAAAAGTCTAAGTCGAACATGTTAATAGATGTTCGAAATCTTGGGAACGAACAAACAAGGAAAGAAAATGCCCCAGTCGATAAGGAAGACCCTGAACATATCCAGTGATCAGAACATTGAAATCGCTGTCTTCATGATTAAGCTCACCCAAAATTGGCCAACATATAGGGCAAGTCTGTTAAAATGGAGACCACCGAAGGCTTTTGTGTCTCCTCTTTAATAGAAGGATTATCGCTCATGAGAACATTGGCTAGGACTAGTAAACCCAGGACGAGGAAGGCGGTTGCTCGGACGCTCCAACCAAAACTCACAGAGCTTTGCAGGAGTTGATTCAACATGATCGGAAAGACGATGCCTCCAATGGAAGAGCCTAGAATAATTTATATCCAACGTGGAAGATCATTAAACGCGACTACCCACCAGTAACAACGACTCCCATAGCAAATGCTCTTCGCTTGCGCCAATGATGGGCTTGAACGGCTAAAGCTGGTACATATAGCAACCCCGCACCAATGCCGAGCCCAACACCCTGCGAGAGGTACACCTGATAATACTTATCTGGATGCGCCAGCGAGACCATAAACAGCCTTGAAAGGGAGAAAATGTAAGCACAAGATTTGGAGGTTGGGGATTTCCTCACGAAAATACAAAGATTACAGAACCAACGACGTTGGTGTATCTAAAATACCCCATATCGAGCAGTTTGCCAGCGACGAGACCCATAGCGTGGAGAAAGAACAATTGAGTAGACCCTATCCAACTAACGTTGGAGGCAGAGGCCGTATGGGACCGAGTGTATGTGTCTTGATACACGCCGAATGCATTGGCGTAGCCAAAGGTGACAGTGGTAACGCACAACCTGCATTGAACGCAGTCAGTGAAGACTCGTGGGTAAAAAGGCCTCGCGCTCACCCTCCTATAAGTGTTGACCAGGCTCGCATGCCTCCGTCAAGACGGCCGGCTGCAAGCAAAGGCGGGGAGTCTTCCTTCGTCTCTCCGGCGGACACCATAGGTTTGGACATGCTGGGTTCTGGTTTCATGGTTAAGGATGCAGTTTAGCTGCGGCTAGTCTCATCTAGCTATAAGGCCGTAAGAATTCCATTGATGCCAATCAGTATGGATCACTATGGATAGACTCAGAAGTCGTGCAGGAGCAGTGTGAGAAGCGTATTGTGATCTTGAGACAGCGAAGAGGAGAATGTGTCACTGAGGATTGTGAATGTGGAGGACCGCGTTGTCTGATGGTCTGATGGTCTGATGAGCATTTGATTCCGCCGAATCGATTTGAATGAACACAAATATGTACCGCCCAAGACGCAGCCATCGGATCTTCCTCGGTGACCGGCGATCGAGGAGCAGAAGAAAAACCCTTTGTAGCCGAGTTGAACCAGTGCCGTTTCTTAAGCTTCTTAACGATGGCAGAAGCTCGGACAGAAGTCAGAAAAGAAAGGTTCATATTGCAAGTTGTTATACGTAGCCCCGCAAGAGCGCACGTTACACGTTATCTAGGCGATGCTGGATTCTATGTACTATCGATATCACAAACGAGAAGGACGAGGTGCCGTGTCACGGTTGCAGAGGATGCGAAGTATTTCGCGAGCCAGTTCTCTGGGTTTCTCGACAGGTAGCTATTTCAGAAAGAACCAGTTAGTTCTGTTGCCGCTTGGATGGGGGTTTCAACACTCACGTAATGCCCCGCTCCGACAATGGTCGTGATTGAGGCTAACTTTGAACGGTCCTCTGCAATATTTTCGGAAATCATCTTATAAATGGGCTTTGGCCTTGGCGGTAGAGTAAGCATAACAATTGCGAAAAAACAGCAGAGAAAGGATGTACCAGATGTCCATTACATCACCTAGGATAAGATGAGTTGGAAGGATATTCATGATGCTTCTCAGATACGGCAATTCATTGAGATTAGTTCCGTCATCCAAGAAGCAGGCAGTCTCCTGTTCGACGGGGGTCTTGGTTGTGATCATCCCAGTATATTGAGGGTCAGGCATGAAGTAAGTGTCCTGTTCGAAGTATTACTGTTTGATAAATATGATAAATTGGTCATAGCGTAACGCACAGCGATGACTTGCAATACGTCTGGATGAAAATTCTTCCACGGAATATGAGTCTTGAACCACTTCATAGCATCCTCCGTGCTAGCCCAACGGGTCGGTCGACGAGAATTCGAGCGCTTGACAACATCGTAAAGTTGCAACAGGGGGCCCCAAGCCGCATGTTCAATATGGGGAGATTCGACGAGGATTAGCTTGCAAAGTGGCAAATGTTGCTTTGATGGCCCAAGTGCATTGATCCTGAAGTAGACCATCGTTTGCCTTGTCATAAATCGAAGGTGGGTAACAGACTCACATGGAGCCACCTCCGCCCGAGTGGGCGACTCCGACGAGATTTTCTCGTTCACCTGGTTGGAGGATATCGGACGCCAAGAAAGTCCGAATGGCTGCTCCGGGTATTCTTCCGGGGACTAAAGCAGCTCTAGTTGAGTGGCGTAATTAGATAGAAAGTAGATGACCTACATGATTTTCCAACGTAGTGTTTCAGTACTTCTTCATTCAGTTTGGCCGCATCGCCATGATTGGGTCGCTCTACGACCCATACGGAATGGATGTATACCTCCTTGCTACCCGCGGTTAGACGGTACAGTTCTTTGATTAAGGGAAGCGCAGTTTCTTGACCTGAGAGAAAGTGAGCACTAGCCACCTCTGTTGTCCAACAGAACTGAATTACCCAAAGATATACCATTACTAAAGACAAAGTTGTACTTTACAGCACCGTTCTCATTGCTGCGGGCTTTGGGGACATAACGTGTTGCGGTGGTGTGGAACTGGTGGTCCTGGACAAACGAAAAGTGAAAAGTCTGAGAAACGAGGGGGTGCAAGGTGCAGTCCGAGAGTGGCATCGTCAAGGGAGGAATGATGAACAGCTCGGTGTAGACGCTTCATATTATGGGCATCCACCTATTTTTGGTGACTGTACGTGCAAACAAAAGTTTCCGGGATCAGATGCACGAGAAGAATTGATTGCCAGCGCTGAGCGCTGAGGACGGGTTGGTTCAGTCTTTCACATTAAATCACTGAGCCATATGAATCCCGAAAGGGGACTCCTCCGCCTCATTTTGTGGTACTTAGCTTTCCCCATAAGTAGTGCTGCCTATATTCTGGTAGGTCACATGCACAAGCACTCCCCAATCACAGTCCTGCCTCACGGTGTACCGCACAGAGTGTGCGTGGCTCCTATGTATATGTCCACATCTGTATCAATCAATCTGTATAACCAATATATATTGCGGCGCATACCGTCAACCTTATCTCTCAGCAGGGAGTGAATCGACAACCGAGCATCAACCAGGGTCACCGATCCCTGGACTCTCAGTGGGCCTACAGCAACCATGTTGCGAACCAAAGGCTATCGGACGCTACACTTGAAAAAACACGCTCCGGATGAACTGTAAACGATCGTATTCTGTGACAGTCAAACTGTACGTCAAGGAAGCCGGCCATCTACTCCTTGTTGTGGCCGCGGGGTGCTGTGGACTAGGGTTCCTAGGATGATTGTGATGAAGAGCGAAGCCATCGGTGATGACGGTAACACTGACTTCTGCCGCCGTGGTTTAGGTTTGGAGTTGGAGGTTTTATCCGCAGAGCGCGGAGGTAAGGAGGCCATTGGTTTGCAAGCCAGACAAGAACTACTACCGCTAGGCACCCCGGGCCTTCCATTTCCCGAAGTTTGGCATCCATTATGGCTATTTTGCTCTCAGTTCTGAGACTCGCATCTCCCATTGAATGCAAAGTCCGTTGTCGAGCGAACCAAAGAGTAACGTTCCTTACCCTATAACCGGCTTTTATCACGCCTAGGGGAAATGCCTCGTCTTGAATGACTACACGACACAAAAGGTCTTCCTGCTTGATCCTTGCTGAGCAAATGTTACAACGAGTATTGGGCCTTGAAGCTTGAAGATTTTATCGTGCCCGTCTACTTACTATACTGTCGAGGAACCTGGATTGACCGTGGGAATGACAGAGACCGAGGTAAGTCTGCGCTAACCCAGAGACCTTTTGTATAATGTCTCCTTTAACTCCCACTTCTGCAGAGATCCTCGACGATCATCTCTCCTACCCAACACTACAGCTCGCTTCATCCACACTTGAAGTGAAGCAAGTGCCGCCCCAGCCTCGACAAATTCTGCAAGATCGGTTGTACATTGGGAATTTGCATCCTTCAGTCGACGAGTACGCCAGTAACATCTCCTACAGGTGCTACACCGTCGCTTATCGAACTTTGTGTGCCTATCAGATATTCACTTCTCCAAGTCTTCTCAAAGTTCGGTAAAGTCACCAAGATGGACTTCCTCTTCCACAAGACCGGCGCACTCAAAGGCAAACCGAGGGGCTACGCTTTCGTCGAGTATGCCGATAAATCTGTGCGTTCATTTCCTATACCTATATTCTCCCGTCTGGTCGCTCATCCCGGGTCTCTTTCGCATTGTACCCAACGCATCGAACAACACACTACTGTACCATATCGCCTTACCGCCAAAAGTTACCCGGGGCGGGGATATCTTGACCATGACGAATGATAACTTCGTTGAACTGACGCCACGTTCTTCGTATGACAACAGGAGGCTCTGAAAGCCCAGCGGATGGCACACGATAAGCTCCTACGCGGTCGAAAACTTGTCGTAACATTCGCTCAGCAAGCGCCCCTTGATCAAGCAGGACAGCCCTATGCGTCTGGGAGTCATTCAAGGAGAGGCATGTCGGATGTCGGCAAGCCCACTACCCTCAGCTTGATAAAAACTGGCGGTGGATCGCGGAATGCAGGGTACGCTACTCTTATTGCTCGAGAACGAGCTTTGCATCTAATGTAAATGTGACTCATAGAACCGAGGGCAAGATAGCCATGATGGAAGCCAAACTTCGGGAAATGGAGGCCGCTAAAGCCGTGCCTAGCGCTTCCTCGCTGCCTTCTCATCCGTCTCTCCCTGCGAAGCCAGTGGCAGCGATGGCCTCGTTATCATCCCGCCCTACAGATAACTCCAACACAAATTATAAGTCCAAGCCACAGCGACCGAAGACAGTGTTACCATCACTGCCGATGGCGCCGCCTCGTCTCTCGCCGACTTCTTTATCCTCCCAACCAACTGCTTCGACTTTAGTCACAAATACTACTCCACGCACGCACGATAAGAAGCCGACGGCTGGATTCCTTGGTGTAAAGATTGTCAAGAGAACAAAATAGCATTACGTAGCAGTTTTACTTTTGCAATAGTTCACTAGTGGATATAATATTCCTTATCTTGCGCTTCGAAATTTGTCGAGACATAGGCGTCTCGGAGTAGGTCTGTGCACGTGAGTACCACCACTCCCTCCCTCACAGCGCAGCACCAGACACAAAGCGACGCTCGCCCCCTCTCACTGTCGTCCTTTATCAGTGAGGTGCAGGAGCTCATGAAACCGCGTGGTTTTCCTGGAACGACGTTTGTTCAACAGTAATCTGGAGCATCGGGATCTCCCTCCACTTCGTGTTTCAACCTCCTCTCTCTCTGTCCATTACCGCTTTGACCATCAAAGCCTTTGTTTCGGGCCTCTGGTACGCTCCAGGCATGGCCGATACAGTTAAGTCTGACCAGCAGCAGAAGTCGCGTCATTAGTAGCATAGACCCTGAAAAGTTGGTTGCGTCTGTTTCCGCAATTCAACAAACCGGGGAGGCTCTGGCCTGCTGGCGACGCTATCGCGAGGTACTCTTGATTATCGAATCTTGGTAGTCACGTAACACTGCTGCACTCAATACTTTGGCGGCGATGCATTAAGAGTACGATGAATGTGCATGATCCTGAAACTGGGGCTTCGGTAGTTCCCGAGAGATATACAGTACATCGAAATAAGGTTTGTAGGCCATCCACACTGACTGGATGGCCCGAAAAGTCCAGCGCTAACGCCTTCAACGCCCTCAAGACTTTCGCCATGGTGAGTAGTATGCAGTAATGCTGCTCGTCGTGGACCCAGTGCTGATTGTTCACCCTCCTCCCCCCCGCGCGCTCTCCTTCGATCGCCTCACTTGACTACCGATACGATACGACCTACGCGTTCTCACTCATCTCGTTCGAATCTCTGCTATACGACATCGATGTATTGTCTTGGATGTGCTCGTATCGTCCGGATCAATAGCCCAAGGAAATCCGTGACATCAAGCAATTCATTGAGATTGCCAGGAGAAAGGATGCCACCCGTGCGTTATAATACCCACTCCCTAACCTATGACACTAATGCAACTGTTGTGATGACTATTTTATCTTCTGGACGCTATACTACGCATTACACCGTACGCATTACACCCTTAACAGAAGCCCGCATAAAGAAGACACAATCCAAAATCGCTGGCGGCAAAGTCCAAACCAAATTCAAAGTACGGTGCTCAAGGTACCTATACACACTCTCTGTAGACGATCCGGAGAAGGCGGATAAGCTCGCGCAGAGTCTTCCCCCTGGTAAGTTGTGCTTTCTTCCTTTCCGTCGCCGCTGTCCAGCATTTGTGCAACAACTCTCTGATTCGGCGTTTATCAATTGACATTCTTTGGTGCAGGTCTTACAGTTGTCGACCTATCAAAAGCCACACCAAAGAAGAAGTAAATCCCTTTCACTTGCTTTCGATGCGCGCGTGTTAGTGTGGTTATTCTTGGTCAATGACAATGGCCGATAAGGGATGGGTCTTGACGCTGGCTTTTTTTCTATGTATCCACCATGCTACCTGCCCATGCAACCTATATACATGACATGATACATGAAATCTTGAAACTGAAGGGCACTATGTAAGACGTGAACAAATTTGTGTTTGGAATGGAAGGCAATAAGGACAACAACCAAACAAACTGAACGCCAGATCCAAAGTAGTTTTTCGTTACTGACGTTCACGCATCCCTCTGCGAAACATGGATTCCAATGACCTCTTCTCATTTCTTGACCAGCCAGCAGAAGAAGAATTGCTTCAGGACGAAGACCCCGGCGTTGAAGAAATCGCTTCCTCGCCAAATGCCACTACACTAAAGCGCAAAGCAACAACTATCCCTTCGAATAATGGACACACGGATACAGAAATGCGAAACCCAGAGGACGAGCCTGGCCCCTCGAAGCCGAAACGGCCACGTATGGCGTCTCCGAAGCCCATTGTGCTGGACGATTTCGAAACCGAAGCCAAACGCGAAGTTGTGGCTAGTGCCGGTCTTACAGGTGCTGCTGCAGAAGCTGGCGCGCGATTAGAGCTACGGCATCAAGTGAGTATATTCTCTGGGTGCGTGCGTATATTCCACACGCTGATGGACATAATCGCAGGTCCGGCATCAGGTAGCAGTTCCTCCGGGCTACAATTACATCCCGATATCGAAACATGTACCTCCAGCCAAGCCTGATCGAGAATACAAGTTCGAGTTAGATCCCTTCCAAAAAGTATCCGTGTACGCGATCCAAAGAAATGAGAGTGTCCTGGTGTCTGCCCATACCAGTGCAGGCAAAACGGTGGTAGCAGAATACGCCATTGCCAAATGCTTGAATAATAAACAGCGAGTCATATACACCAGCCCTATCAAGGTACTTCTCACATAATATGTTTCTATCATGACACCTCAACATGCGAGCCTTTCCTAGGCCCTCAGTAATCAAAAGTATCGAGAAATGTTGGCGGAATTTGGAGACGTCGGGCTTATGACAGGAGATGTCACAATAAATCCCTCGGCGACCTGCCTGGTTATGACGACGGAGGTACGCCAAGTCTGTAACGATACGATACACTCAATCAATGGACTTGGCTCGTTAGATTCTGCGCTCTATGCTTTATCGTGGCTCGGAGGTCATGCGTGAGGTTGCTTGGGTCATATTCGACGAAATCCACTACATGCGAGACAAGGAGCGTGGCGTTGTCTGGGAAGAGACCATCATCTTGCTACCGCACACCGTACGATACGTCTTCCTCTCCGCCACTATCCCCAACGCCATGCAATTCGCAGAGTGGATATGTAAGTCCCATGAACAACCCTGTCACGTCGTCTACACCGACTTCCGTCCCACTCCGCTGCAGCACTATCTCTTCCCGGCCGGCGGAGAGGGTATTTACCTTGTTGTCAACGAGAAGGGTGAATTCAGGGAGGACAACTTCACGAAAGCGATGGGTATGCTGCAGGATAAGATGGGGGAGGACCCAGCAGATTCCAAAGGAGGAAAGGGGAGAAAAGGGAAAACAAAGAAGGGCGGCGATAAAAAAGGTGAGTGTACACGAGGTAATGAACCTCGACGTTACCTTCATATCCGTTTCTACAGGACAGTCCGATATCTCGAAGATCATCAAGATGATTATGCTGAAGAACTTCAATCCTGTCATCGTTTTCGCCTTCAGCAAGCGCGAATGCGAAGGCCTGGCGTTGACTATGTCTAAGATGGAGTTCAACTCCCAAGATGAACAAGATCTCGTGGGGAATATATTCAACAACGCCATCGACAATCTCGCCGCGGCCGACCGAGAACTTCCCCAGATCACTAATCTACTTCCCCTCCTCCGCCGTGGCATCGGCATCCATCACGGTGGTCTTCTGCCCATCCTGAAAGAGGTGATCGAGATACTCTTCCAAGAGGGCCTAATCAAAGTCCTCTTCGCCACCGAGACATTCTCCATCGGCTTGAACATGCCCGCGAAAACAGTTGTATTCACCGCCGCCCGCAAATTTGACGGCCGCGAGTTCCGTAATCTATCTTCTGGCGAGTATATCCAAATGTCCGGACGCGCTGGACGACGTGGGCTGGACGATCGGGGTGTTGTAATTATGATGTGCGACGAGAAGCTGGAGCCAACAGCCGCTAAATCAATGGTCAAGGGCGAGGCAGACCGCTTGGACTCTGCCTTCCATCTGGGTTACAACATGATTTTGAATTTGATGAAAGTCGAGGGGATCAGCCCTGAATTCATGCTTGAACGGTGTTTCTTCCAATTTCAAAGTAGTGCTGGCATCCCCGAGCTAGAGGAAGGTTCGTGCCTCCTTTTTACTACTCGTCGTGGTAGGCATCTCATGCTTTCCTTCCTACAGAACTCAAGAAGGAAGAGGAGGCGAAGGAGACATTCGAAATACCGGACGAGCAGCTCGTTGACGAATACTACGAGTATCGCCGACAACTTGACCAGATGTCATCCGATTTCCGCGATGTGATCACCCATCCTGCTTACTCTCTCCCTTTCTTAACACCCGGCCGCCTGGTCAAGGTGAAGTACCAGAAATTGGACTTTGGCTGGGGAGTTGTCATCAACTTTCAAAAACGCCTCCCACCCAAAGTCAGTGTTCCCTCCTCCCTCCCGCGCGTAAGGAATTGACAGGCTTTGCTGTCCAAAAAGAACAGGCCAATGCCCAAAGCGGAAGAGGTACCACCGCACGAACAATATGTTGTGGACGTTCTTTTGAACTGCGCGCAAGGTGGCGTCGCGTCGAAGGACCGATCAGAACTCACCGCGACACCCGGCGGCGTACAGCCATGTCCCCTCGGCGAGAAGGGTACTCCACTCATCGTCCCTGTGCTCCTTGCTACCATTGAAGCCATTAGCCATCTACGGATATACCTGCCAAACGATCTTAGACAAGAGCAAGCGCGGGAGACCGTCTGGAAGAGCATCCTCGAGGTCCATCGGCGATTCCCTGATGGGATCGCCCTCCTGGATCCTGTCGAAAATATGGGTATCAAGGACGAGAAGTTCTTGACGCTTGTAAAGGTATCACTGACCTACCTTCCCATGCCTACCTACTTATATCTTGAGTCATTATAGAAAATCGATCTTATGGAAAAGAAAATGTACGCTAGTCCGCTGCACAAGGATCCTCGGCTGCCTGAGCTGTACGCTATGTGTTCCAAGAAACGGGAGAGTAATGAACGAATTCGCTCATTAAAGAAGCGGATACAAGCCACATTGGACGTCTTGCAGTTAGAGGAGCTCAAATGCCGAAAGCGGGTGCTACGACGGCTGGCGTTCACAGACTCCGAAGACATTGTTGATATGAAGGGACGAGTCGCCTGTGAGATCAGCTCTGGCGACGAATTGCTGCTGACAGAACTTATCTTCAACGGCGTTTTCAATCTTTTATCCCCAGAACAATGTGCTGCCCTACTCAGTTGTTTCGTCTTCGCCGAAAAGGTAAGCGTACCGCACGTTCTTTTTGGCCTACAATATACTCAATGATCCATAGAGCGAGCAAACTACTAAGCTTAAGGAGGAACTAGCTGCGCCACTTCGCGTCATGCAAGAAATCGCACGAAGAATAGCCAAAGTCTCGGTGGAATCAAAGCTGTCGCTAGACGAAAATGAATACGTATCGTCATTCAAAGTGGAACTCATGGACGCAGTTGTCCAGTGGTGCCGAGGCGCCTCCTTCTCGGATATTTGCAAGGCATGTATTTAATGTACTTCCCCAATTAAACCCATCTTAACCTTGTTTTATTTAGCTCACAGATCAGTTCGAAGGGAGCTTGATTCGAGTGTTCAGGCGGCTTGGTGAATTGTTGCGGCAGATGGCTCAAGCAGCCAAGGTTATTGGGAACAACGAGTTGAAGGAAAAATTCGAGAAATCATCTGAAATGCTAGAACGGCCCAATTCGGTTATCTTTTGCTCATCCTTATACCTCTAGTTATTGTAATTGCAGTAGATGCATTCTTGAATTTAATTTTGAACCGGCAAATATTCATATTTCCCACTCGAACGGGATCCATTATAATGTATATTGAAGATATGCATGTAACTTGCGGTGGATATTTCCGTGATCAGCAAGCTCCGTTGTCGGTCCACACACCAGCTTTGGGGACATAAGTAGCATATCTGAGGAGATGACCGAAGAAGACGCACCGGCACCACCAGGAGTATCGTTCTGCGTCCACCTGCATGCATTGTGAGTTAATGCGTGTAGTGATAGGAACTGCAGCACTCACCACTTCGCGGTCCAAAGATGACCAGCTGTTTGGTTCGAGAGGCGCGATCAGCGTATCGAAAGGACTACAGTATAAGATGATCTAACCATAGGAAGCTTGCGAACCTCCAACATAAACGACCTGAGAAACAACCTCGGTCAGTGCCTAGATCACCAGTATATTAAACCCGAACTCACCGCTGAGTTCCATGCAGCAACGCCTCCGCATCCACCTGCAGGTGGCGTGGTTGTGGTCGGGTTTGGCGGAGAACCCGGTGTGGTGCTCGAAGGGGGAGTACTTCCTCCGGATCCCATGTTGCTGCGGACGTTGTCCCATTTGCTGTTAGGGAAGCTAAATAGATTACCAGTCAGTACTTGAGTGTGAGTTTAGACAGATGAGGCTTGGTGGGCCACGAACGAGATATGGTTCTGAAGGGTACAGGTCAGTAAACTGGAGTTCGGAGATACTCGTCCCGACTGACCTGCGTAGTGTCGAGGCTCCCGTAAACACCTGCACTCGTGCCAACCAGTGACGAGGATCCAACTTTATCGGTGGAAAGCTGTGAAGAGAAGTCTACTCGAGTGTGTGAAATTGCAACGAATCCGAGCAGCTTACCTCCCAGAACATGGAACCAGCGAGACCCTTTGAGGCGACATACTGAGCTTTCATTGTCACGATGCGAGGAGTATCGTAGGACACGAGTTCCTTCTTGGCGGCATCGTATGAGTAGCTCGTCACATCAGTAGTGTTCTCAACGACGGTGGCACCGGCAACTAGAAAGCAAGTTATTGCTGAAACAAAGAGGATGGAGGTCCGCACGTACGTGGAAGAGCTTTGTACGAGTAAACACCAGCTTCGATTGTTCCGGGGCCAATCTGTCCAGAATTTAATCACCAACAAGGGGCGCGTTTGCGTGTGCTTACTCCGCTGTAAGACTGGCCAATGCCGGCGGTATTCTCGAAGGCACGGCCATAGAGAGGGATGCCTGGCAGTACGTTAGGGAGACGCAATACATCAATGGACTTGAATACTCGCCCATGGTAATCTTGGAAGCGGTGGCGCCGTGGGATGTAAAGAACTTGACGGCGTCATCTGTGTTGACCCCAGTACGGGTACCACCGTAGAGGTTGGCCTGGTTATCAGCGAATGACAACCATGACCCGGCGTAGTCGTAAGCCTGAGGGTAAACGTGAGATTGTGCATGTGAGTGCTGAGTGTATTTGCTTACCATCAAATTCCAGAAGCTCAGTGCCTTATCCATTTGAGGTACAACCAAGTTCGCGTAATTAGCAGGTCCAGCAGAGACGGCCGCCTGTACATGTGTAGTGCTGTTCAACGGCCGCGCAAGTGCAGGTATGTAAAGACACTCACACTCAGGAGGTATGGGGTGGCGTCTCCCTTTCTGGCTGCCAATTGATCGAACGCCGTGCGGAGAGCAGTAAACAGGTCTGCAAACCCTTGTCCCTCAGCGGCGGTGGCGGGGTACTCGAAATCTAGATCACTAGGGAAGAAGCATGGGTTTGGCATCTGTCCTGGTTTATGGTAGGTACTTACATTCCGTCAAACCCGTAGTCTTCGATCAGTTGAACTGCGTTCTGCACGAATGTTGCCCGGCTGGAGGCGGATGTCACGAATGAGAAGTGTCCTACGGGGAGGTGATGTGTGAGACACCGGCGATTCACATAACAGGATCGCTCCGACCTGATTGCGAGTACGTCCAACCGCCAATGGACAACAAGACCTTGAGATTACGGTTCTTTAACTTGAGCAAGTACAGCTGTTTCAGGCATCCATAGAGGTTGTTGCCGGCTTCATCCCAGGAGTCTGTAGGGAAGTGTTTCTATCGATTATTGTCAATAGAATCACCCATATATTGTGTGGGTATGAGTATTACTTACCTCTTGATCGGCGTAAGAGTCTGTCAGAACAATAGCTCCCGAGCCAGGTTGCACGTCCGCAAACGAGTATAGGATATCTAATGTTCTGTGAGTACTTTGGCTGACAAGGAATCCAGTAAACTCACGGGTGAGTGTAGAAGGGATAATATCAGTCGGTTCTGTAGGGTATGAGCCAGACGGCCTTTAGTTGACGAAAACAGCAACTCACGGAAATTGGCCCCATAAATACCCCTGAATACACATTAGTCACGCCACATGGGGTACTTCCAAGAACAAAGACCAACCAGTTGGTAAAGTACGCGACCTGGACTTTCCCCGTCCCGCGTTTCTGCACTACTTTCGTCTGGGGCGCCTTCTCAATCTTAAACGAGTTGGGCGTGTCTTTGAAGTCGACTGGCCGGTGCATAACCTGCGTGGCCTCCACGCACAGGGAAACGATGGGGAGAAGCGCAAGGAAGATGGATTTCAGGGCAACCATTGTGGAGTGGCCTTACCGATGCTCTCTGAGTCGGTCTGGATGAAGTAGATGCTCGGCTGGAACCGACCGACGAGGGCTTCGTTATAAAGTCCTCAGAACCGCTTCTTTCGGGACGGTGGATCTGTCAGGCTAAGCGTAGAAGCAGCATATTCCATACGACAGAATAGCTGTCTCAGTATGTTTGGCACGGCTGTTTCGGAAAAGCATATGCTTGTAGGTATGCGGGAACATGGCCTGATGAGCGGCGTCCGCCCAGTGAGAGGGTTGCTTCCAATGGGGAATCGCCAGCTCATCCATGCTATGTTATCGTGCTGGCGAAGGGAATTTTAGGTTGAGCAATCCAAAGGAAGTCATTAACGCATGGTGCGTGGACACCAGAGATGGCTGCATTCGGTATAAAATAACGTACACATTTTCTGTATCGGGATCGAAGTCGCGTTGCCACCCTCATCGGCAGTGATCCTCAAGGATGGCTCGAGGAATAGGCCGAACAATTGGGGATTGGATTTAGCCGGTAAACACCTGTCCTCTGGAGGGTAGTCACAGGACCGGGAAATTCGTTCCTCTACGCATGCCGTATGTTTTGAATGCATGGCGAGGGATGCAACACGAAGATAACCATTTGGGGCTTTGTTGTTGTTGACACGGCAGATAAAGGGGAATCGCATGGTAACGCATCGTATCCATTGAGGAAGAACATCAAGAAGCCCGCCTGTTTTGATCGCGAAAGCAGTGTGCATGCGACCTGATATATACGCCGGGAAGATATCGGAGAAGCCCATATATGCTTAAATGACGGGTATTTTGAGTCTCGGGCATCCGTTGACTGCTCGCTTTGTCGAGTGAATGTAGGTCACGCAGCTCGGATTTGGACTCACCCCTCTCTGTCTCTGCAACGACGATAAGTGACCGGATACTAGTATGGAAGAGGAGATGCACTTACCAAGGGAAGCGGACGATGATCTGCTGGAAGATAACAGTTAGTTGTCACATTTTCGTTTGTCCATACGGTAAATAAATCCATCTTCCATCCAAGAAGAATAATCCCATATAATGCATTAAGACATGGAGCGAATAATAGCATAAAGTGCCAGAGAGTACAATGCGGGCCCACTGATAGCGCACAAATGGATGTATGTAGACCTTTGGGTAAAACGAAGCAGTGCTGTGATATAAACGAGTGTAAGTGGTCCATGACCAGAATATGCCTATGACGATGCAGGAAGCGAAACGAGTTGGAAGACCGCCTGAAGTGGATGAGAATGTGAATGCAGCAGAAAACAGGGGAAGGACGACAGCGAGGAAGGACGCGAGATAGAGGGAGAGATTGTGGATACTAGGAAAAGTGGGATAGCTGGGGGTGTAATGAGATAAGGGTGAAAGAGGGAAGAAAGGGAAGGGGAAAGTATTATACGGCGGCTGTATGGATGTAGAGTAGGTAAGGGGGGAAGAGTCGAGGGAGACGATGAGTTGGAATAATCAAAAGAAATAATATGCTTCTTCAGCGGATGTGCTGAGAAGGCATTTTTCAGAGGTCATTTGCGTTAGTCCTTGTGCCACGATGAGCCTAATGACGCCTATAGCATCTATAGAAGCGGTTGCCATGTTGGATATCCTTTAGGAACAACGGTCCCGTATCACCTCAGCTAGGAGACGAACATCCAATGGGAACACGACAAGTCGAATGGCAGCACAAGGGGGTCAGCGGGTTGATAAGGGGAACCAACATATTACACACCTCAATCTATCCCTCTGCCGCAAACGCAACAACACCACCCCACTTCCCCAAACCTACTTTCATCGTATTTCAACACACCTTTGACACAGCGACCCCCACCCCACTACTATGCCCTCCTTACATCCCCACTCCCTCATATGCATCCCAGCTATACGTCCACATAAATGAGTATTGGTTCGCCAACCCCTTCTATCTCGGGTATCACACATTTAAGATCAAAGGCCTTGGCGAGTACGATCTTGAATATCTTCTGGACGTTTATGGAGGCGGAGGTAGAGCAGAAGATGAGGGATGCGTGCATGGCCCGGGCGAAACGCTTGGCCTGTTTCGTTATCTCTTCTTGCTCGTCTCGCGGGAAGGTAGCGAAGGTATCGAATTTCGTGCCTATCAGAAATGGAATTGCGGTCTGTAAAGAAGAGATCAAAACGGGTTCAAGCCGCAGATCATCTCGAGATACATACTTTGTTGAAGCCCCGCGCTTGCCGATACCACTCCTTCACTGAATTCAGTGTCGATTTCCGTGAAAGATCGAACATGAAGAGAATGGCGACGGCGTCGTTGCACACTAATGGCAGCATGTTGACGAATTCGCGCTGCCCGCCAAGATCCCATATCGAGAATGTGATGGTCGTTCTCCGCACTGAAATAGTTTTCTCCATGAAATTAACGCCTGATCAGTTGTTCCTCCGTGTAAGTACGCACGACCAGAGGCAAAGGCGAGATGAACGCACCCAGCGTCTGAATGTAGTCCTCGTCGAAGCTTCCTTCAACGTACTTGACCATCAAACTCGTCTTTCCTATCTGTGAATCTCCTACCATCCCGACTTTGATTACGACGCTGCGACAACGCGAATGTTGAGTAGATTAGGCATGCTATCCGACAAGCACGGCCAGGGGACGTCCGCACCTGTTTTTTTCATCATTCTCCAGCATTCTCTGGCCGTTTGTGTTGCTTGGGCCCGCTACCGAAGAAGGTGGGGTAGAGGTAGATGGTGAGGCTGATGCAGACATAATCGATTCAGAGATTGCAGCCCAACTTGACGTAAGCCGTTTAAGAGACTAGCTGCACAGTCGATGAGGCCGATGCAAGGGTGGTCCGTGAGCCTGGACGTCTATTGGAGGTATTGCAGTGACCAAAGGGCGGTCGGTGGTACGAAGGGAGTGAAACGACGTAAACTCAAGTGCAAGGACGCGTCTGGAGGGTAGAACCGTCCAAGTCAGCCAGGAAGAGGCAGGTCAGGGCCTGGACACTAACCAACGGCGCCGCAGAATGAGAATGACCAGTCGCGCAGAGGAAAGTAGAAGAGAAGGAGAAAATGGGGTTGCTTCAGCCACAGACGTTGGAACGCTGAAAGTGAAACGCTAGCAAAACTCGGCACGTGGACGAGGGAATATCAACATAACGGCGGGCGCTTCATCCAGATGGCCTATGGATGTCCATCTTATATGTTTGTGGGATTTGCAGCAATCTGTTGTTGTTCCTCGTAAGGAATAGCCATGATTTTGTACACCACGCCGTCTATTTCATTGAGGCGGCACAGTGACCGACGACCGTACAGAGAAGGATACGGCGCGTCCCGTCGGAGGATGGAGTGGACTTGCGAATTTCTCTAGTCCTCACCATGACTGGACCGACTGGACTTACTTCCGACCCCTCTTCCTAGCAATTTTGAACTGTTATCAGAGGTACAAGATCATGGATAGATGTTCTCTTTATTGTTGTGTCTTGTACCGTTGTCATCTAACGCTCGACTACCGGCGGCGATCATTATTAGTATCACTTCATACTATCGCCCTTCTGTCCTAGCAGAAAGGGGGCGAGCAAAATATCGTACAAATCTCTGGATACTTTCACCGCAGAAAACTGAGCTATACTCTAATTCCGAAAACATGAAGGAAACAACACAATTTACCTGAGTGTTGGCCGTGATGCAAAACATGATCCATCAAGTCTTGGTCGACATTTCGCCGGATACCACATACTTTATAATTGTGTGGTACTGTCGCGTAGCCTGCGTGTAGCATTGATATTGGGTCACAGAAATGCGATCCATTCCGCGCCCAGAGTCATTCCAAATACCGCCCTTGGCTGTACCTGGCGGACAGGAGAACTCCAATCACGTGATGTTCTATTCATTTAGCGATGCGATATCTGATCGACCATCTCTGCCTTAGCCTTTCACTTCCAAACTATCTGCTTCAGCTTGACTATTCTTTGAGCAAGTAGAAATGTCCTGGCAAGGTGAGCTTGCTTCACACTCACCCGATGCGCTTTACTGACCGTTTATCTGCAGCGTATGTCGATAACAACCTCATTGGCACTGGCAAAGTGTCACAGGCAGCCATCCTTGGGCAGCAAGGTGGCGTCTGGGCTATCTCGTCTGGACTCCAGGTAATACAGTCCCTACGCCATCTGTTGGTGACTCACTCCCAGCACGCTATATTAGATCAGCCCCGAAGAACAAGCAGCCCTTGTCGCTGCGCACAAAGACTTTGATCACGTCCGCGCGAATGGCATCCGAATAGCTGGCGTAAAGTACTTCGTTACCATCGCTGAGGATCGAACCGTAATTGGGAAAAAGGGAGTAAGTCGCCGCCTCGCTCCTCGATCCCTTGTGCAGTTCGCTCACGCACAAGATCTCATCCTCAGGACGCAGGCGTGTTCCTCGTGCAGACGAAGCAGGCCATATTGGTGGCGATATACCATGCACCCATCCAGGCCGCAGAGACCAGCGGCATCGTTCTGGGTCTATCGGATTACCTGATCGGTGTTGGGTATTAAACACAACCTTTCCGTTGATCTTTCACATATTTTACGACATCAACACCGAATGCGGACAGTAGAGTTTGGATGTATTTTGCTTACTGAAATGCTTTCTTTTTGACAGTTTGACCTAATCGATTAATCATGGTCCTTCCACGACATGGGAACGACCGCCTTAGACTTACGTGGTGACATTGGCACAAGTGAGCTTGGTCTCGTGACGTCATTAAATTGATCCTTGCCGTCTGCTCTGACCCTGTCCATGCCTGGACTTGCGGGGGGGTGGGATATACATTTCATGCAGAGTTATCAAACGTGAAGGTGGCCCGGTAGGGCCTCGCTCGGCGGTTGTTGTACACGGCTCAAGCTGTGTTGACTTAGACGTATGTCTAGCCGAGGCTGACGTCCTATGCCTGGGGTTGGGTAAGTTCCAAGCGAAACGCCAATTTTGGTGCTCATACCGCTGGCGAACGCTCTCGCAGAGTTACATCAGTCGTTGAGTGGCCGATACAAGTATTACTGCTGTGGGTCACGGTTCAGTGCAGAGAAGCTACTGGTGCAATATGGTGCTTCCAAAGAACGCCATGAAGGAATTAACCTGCGGCGATAAAGGTATGTCCTTTTCGACGTCACGACTTCCGCGGTCCGAATGACGGGCCTCTTATGTTTTGAATGGAGTTCGTTATCTGCACGGCGTTTTATAGGAATAAGGACTATGTAATTGAAGAGCAAAAATTGGAGGCTACGAAGTAGCAAGCGATGTCGCGGATCGGTGGCTTTTCGCTTGCGAATGGCGTGTTCTTTGATACACATACAGCCTTGGTACCGATCTGGAGGATAGTTGTGGAATCAGTAGGCAAGTTGGCGGGCGCCTCTCGGTTTGTTCGATCACTGTACCACGTGGGATAAAGTTCGCCATCCTTCTCTTCAACTTCAACGTCGAGGTACAGTAGGCTTCATGATCAAAGTAATCGCTTCCACAATCTAATTGTGTGGTAGTTTTTGCTGAAACTGTATACCCAGTACATGTCTCCCCCCGGCGACGTCCCCGGTAACTGATGCACATAATCCTCGGCACATTTCGCTATGTCGACCTCTTCTTGCACCACGGGTGGTTCGGACGGGTATATGAGCTCCTTCCCCAGAGGGATATGTTCTGCCCACGGTGCCCCCGCTATTTTTCGATAATCGGCCTATTTAAACGATTCCAACTTGTCGACATCAAGCAGCAACGCACGACGTTGGAGGCGCAGGATATAGATCGGTACTTTATCGGTTTGCCTACAGAATAGCCACGTCAAAGACAACCAGCGTGGATCCTGTTTTTTGACGCAAATGATCACAACTTTGCTTCCCTGGTGATCATACATCCATCCCCCACTCAGTCGCAGCAACCTGTGTGCCTGCGTCATATCCTCGGGATATATGATAACAGGGCAGCGAACTAATACAGTCGCAACGATTGGTCACAAGGCCGTCGGGACAGTCCGACTTGTTTCCGCGTTGTGGGCCATTAGCCTCTCCTTCCATCACCATCCGATGCGTACCAGAGCGAATCCTCGATCCCCTGACGCCAACTGAACAAGAATAACCATGCCCCAGACGGATGTTCTTCGCATTCGGTTTCTATTCGCCAGATACCCTCAGGCTCGAAGCCAGTGTTTTAAATACCACTGGCGATCGTGTGGTAGTCAACCTCATCCTTTCCTCCAAATATGCGTCTTCGCGTAGGTTTGAGCATTTTGGCCTGCGCGGGCTCGGGTGAGTGGTTTAGGGTTCGTTCGTTGACTACTTGATGTTGAGAAAGGGTGTTTCGTAGCCCTTGCCCAGGTCGCTTCGACGTTTATCGATCCCGACACCGGGATCCCCTTTATGGGGATTACCGACCCAGTCCATCGTGTCTCCTACGGCATAGTCCTCCCCCCTCTGGCGACCTCGGGCTCAAACCCCACGGAATTCATTGCTTCGATCACATCACCGATCGCTGGACAATGGGTCGGTCTTGCCCTTGGTGGTGCCATGTTGCAGAATCTACTCCTGGTCGCTTGGCCAAATGGCAACTCAGTTGTCCATTCGACGCGTATGGCTGCGTGCGTTCCTCTGGCAGTTTGTGTCGAATTCTTGCGCTGATGTATTCTTGCTTGCAGTACATATGACCAACCTACGTATGTCCTACCTCTAAAACAACGAATCTCTGGCTCATTCAGGCACTTGTAGTCCATATGCGGGACCGGTCATCACAGATTTGCAGCACACGATGGTTAACGCTACTCACTGGAAGTGGGTATTCAGATGCCAAAACTGCACCAGTAAGTTGTGCCACGTTCGTGCCACTTAAAGCTACAATGACCCTTTCCTCCTTCTATAGACTGGGGTACTGGCGGCTCTCTCCCTGTTTCTGGTGGAGGTGTCTTGGCTTGGGCATACTCTTCTGCTCCGGTTACTACTCCCTCAAACCCTAACTCCGACTTCCTCGAGCACACTGACTGTACGTCTACCTTCCGTTTGTTACACCCATTCAAGCATGGCTAAGAAGTCGATCGCTAGTTGGCTTCTTCGGTATCAGCTACGCGGATGCGCACGCGAGTCAAGCAGACTATGATAACTGGGCTGCTGGTGGTACCGGCGGCGGCAGTGGAACACCCACCTCCCAACCGCCCACCACCCCTACCTCCCAACCAACTGTTTCGGTAGGGACAACACTCTGTCTGAAAACTAAGGTTTCCTCATGCGTTTCTTCTCAGGCTACTCCCTACGACTATATTGTCGTTGGCGCTGGACCGGGTGGTCTCGTTACTGCTGATCGTTTATCCGAAACTGGCAAAAAGGTCTTACTTCTCGAGCGTGGTGGTCCTTCTACATGGGAAACGGGAGGTCGCTACCAACCTGACTGGCTCGCTGGACAACCAGTGAGTCCTCCAGACTACTCTTGCTTCGATCGAGGTCGTCTGACCCCTTAAATCATCTAGTACACCAAATTTGATGTTCCAGGTCTGTTCGAATCCATGTTCTCGGACGGCAATCAGTTCTGGTGGTGCAGGGGTGAGAAGCAGATTCCTCTTCTTGTTTCGCTCGGGGTGCTAACACTTCTTAGATATCAACGTCTTCGCTGGCTGCCTCCTAGGTGGCGGAAGTACTATCAATGGCGGGTATGTGACCTACTTCATGAATTTTCGCCCGTGCTAACTCCGCAACTCTAGTTTGTACTGGTATCCCCCCGACTCTGATTTCTCAGTGGCCAATGGATGGCCTAGCTCCTGGGCCAATCATGCCCCATATACCCAGAAAATGAAAACCCGTCTTCCCAGCACAGATCATTCGTCGATGGATGGAATTCGCTACCTCCCGCAATCGTTCAATGTAGCGAAGAGGTTGCTGGACCCGCAAGGTTATCGCCAACTCACTATCAACGATGAGCCCAACCAAAAGGACCACGTGTATGGCTACTCTTCATTCTTCGTACGTGTTTGCAATGCACCATCTACTCTGTGAATTGCCGACATTAAATTCAACCAATAGTTCCAAGGCGGCAAGCGTACAGGCCCCACCGGTACCTACTTCAAGACCGCGAAAGCCCGACCCAATTTCACATACCGCGACTACACTTTCGTTAATAGCATCATCCGAAACGGCACAAAGATCCTTGGTGTTCAGACCAACGACACGAGTCTCGGACCCAATGGTTTCATCCCCGTAACACCCAACGGTCGCGTCATCCTCTCTGGTGGTTCCTTCGGATCCCCTCGTCTCCTCTTCTCTGCTGGTATTGGCCCCACCGACATGCTTACCATTGCCCAGGGCGACTCAGTTGTCGGCCCCAAGATGCCACCACAAGCGCAATGGATCAACCTTCCGGTGGGTGAAAATGTCCAGGATAACCCCTCCATCAACGTCAGTAGTCCCCTTCTATGGTAATCTACGCATACTGAGTCGACGACAGTTGGTTTTCACCCACCCCGAGATTGACGCATACGAGAACTGGGCGGAAATTATGTCGGACCCCCGACCAGCAGACGCCGCTCAATATATCTCCAGCCAGTCTGGTGTCTTCGCTTCCTCTTCCCCAAGGTAAGCACTTCAGACTTAATGAGTTGTAATCTGAGGCGACGAAACATCACCCAGGATGAACTTCTGGCGCGCGTATGGTGGTAGCGACGGAAAGACTCGATGGGTAAGCGCTTGAGCCCCCTTTTCTCTAATAAGAATCAATTAATCCCGACCCACTGTAGCTTCAAGGCACTGTCCGCCCTGGCGCTGCCTCAGTTACCACATCCTACCCTTATAACACTTCTCAAATCTTCACCATCACAACATACCTGTACGGTTTCACAAATATCTGATAGAGCTTGACTAATGACGATTGCAGATCCACGGGTATCACTTCAAAGGGCCGTATCGGAATTGATGTAGCCCTCCGCCCTCGTGTCTTGGTTGAACCGTGGTTCACCGACCCCATCGACAAGGCAGTTCTACTGCAGGGCATTAACGACATCGTCGCCAGCGTTGGTAATGGTGAGAAACTCCGCCAAGATCTTCTAGCACTCCTTTACTTACCTCACCAGTGTCTGGATTGACGTTGATCACTCCGGATAACACTACCACCATCTCTGCATACGGTACGTCTATTTCACCCTCCCAATACAGTATGGCATTGCTGATCCTCGCACTCTAGTCAACAACTACGGAACTGTAGGTCGTCTCTACTAATGCGGGAGATGATATTCATGCTTTTTGTTATTCTAGGGAAATATGAATTCCAACCATTGGATCGGTGCCAACAAGTTGGGAACAAGCGCGTCGAACTCTGTCGTCGACGCCAACGCCAAGGTCTTTGGTACTGACAATCTCTTCGTTGTGGATGTAAGTCGCTACCCTCCGTATATATCATCTCCGAAACTCATGATCTTGATTCTTCTAGGCTTCCATTGTACGTTTCCCCTGATTGTCTTCGTGAGACGCAATGGGGTGAACTAACGTTACTTTTTAGATACCTTCCATGCCCATGGGAAATCCACAAGGCGCGATCATGGCGACAGCAGAACAAGCTGTTGCGAAAATCATTGCTTTGGCCGGCGGACCCTAAGCTACTTCTTTATCTACTCTACCCGTGGTGCTTCAAAATGTATAGTACTTCACACAGTCAATTATTATATTATCAATGTCACACAAATAGTGTACCAGCGCGAGTGTGCATACCTTCAACTCAGGGTTACGTGGGTATCAGATACTTCTTGGCATACTAGTCATTATGAATAGTTGTGAGTCACCCGCTCCCTTCTGCCCCATGGGGCTTGCATTGGAGGTTCAAAAGATATGACCTCCTGGTGCTCAACTTACACTTACAACTATGTCTCCCACAAGGACAACGCCGTTCAAAATTGCCGTCTCCGACGACTCCTTGAATCAACTCAAGGCCAAGCTCGATCTCGCTACATTCCCCGACGAACTAGACGATGTAGATTGGGACTATGGTACCCCCCTCAAAGATGTCAGACGGCTTGTGGACAGGTGGCGTAATGGCTACGACTGGCGCGAGCATGAAGCCAAGTTGAACGCCGAGCTTCCCCAATTCACCAGGGATATCGAAGTCGAAGGACACGGGACGTTGAACGTCCATTACGTCCACCAGGAAAGCAGCAATGAGAAAGCTATTCCGTTGTTGTTCGTTCATGGATGCAAGTAACATTTTACTTCGACGTTCAACTTTCTACTGATTAGCCATTGACCTGAAGGGCCTGGAAGCTTCATCGAAGTTCGAAAGATATTGCCGCTCTTGACCAGAGGCTCAGAGGGGCCTAACTTTCATGTCGTAGCCGTAGGATTGCCTGGTTTCGGATTTTCGGAAGCACCCAAGAAGAAAGGCTTTAGCGTCCCACAGCACGCGGAGGTCAGCCATTGTCAACTCACATCAGAGAGGCAAACTAAGTTAGCGGCTAGGTTGGTCACAAGTTGATGCTGTCTTTGGGTTATAATGAGTATGGTGAGTGTGCTTGTAGCTCAACTACCTGCACTCGTATTCAACCAACTTTCCTCAACAGTGACGCAAGGAGGCGACTGGGGCACTCTCGTGAGCCAGGAGCAATATTTTGCGCGTTCGCACATTAACCGTACATCCTAGATCACGCGTCACATCGCAAGTGAATACGGCGGGAAAGCCTGCAAGGCATGGCACACCAATATCCCCATGTAAAATTCTGACTCTCAATCAATTTTAACATGGTCGACTCATCGCCAACTCTTAGAGGGTCGCCACCTCATCCGGTGTATCAACCGTTGAGCTACCTGCGGTACGCGCTAACCCCTTACAAGCCACATGAGAAAGCTGGCTTGGAACGCTCTGCGATGTTCGCTCTGAAGGGCTATGGGTACTTTGCCATTCAATCTACGCGGCCTCAAACGCTAGGATACGGTCTGGCTGATTCCCCCATCGCTCTCCTTGCATGGATATATGAAAAGTTGGTGGCCTGGACCGATGATTATCCTTGGGAGGACGATGAAGGTATGTGTTTGTTATTTTGGCTATCACTCCTTTGTTGTTGAAGGGTCGTCAGTCTTGACTTGGGTCTCTATCTATCTATTCTCTCGTCCCGGTCCAACCGCATCTACCCGCATTTACTACGAGGCTGTACAAAAACAGCATTTCGGGGACAATCCACTACCCAAGCTCCCAACTGGTTTCTCGTATTTCCCTCAAGACATTGTGCGCAATCCAATTTCGTGAGTGAATCATATTGCTCCCTCGTCTATTCGCTGTTCCTCGCTCATTCGCTAAAGTTGGACTCTTGGAGCTCGCCACGTCGTGTATCAAAAGGAGCACGATAAAGGGGGTCATTTTGCCGCTCATGAGCGACCAGACGACCTTGTGGGAGACCTCCGAGAAATGTTTGGGAAGAAGGGACCATGCTTCGGTGTCGTACCTGGAAAGGATGGGTATTAGCTACCGCGATGCCTTTGTTTAGTTTGGAGAAGAAGATGCTTATAGGGAGCTCCGGGATGATGGCATTCCACGACGAGATCAGTATAGATGGACTCACGTACGTCCATACGTAGACTCGATTTCAGCGGCGTTCTTGTATCGGTAAGTATTCCGACTGCTTTCTCCATCCCCTCCTCCCGCGCTAAGGAACTACGTACCAACGTAGATGGGATCGAGTCTAGTCCATATCATTGATTTGACGGAGATTACCCGCATAAGTAAAATGCAATTCATTGCGAGATTGCGAGTTCGAGGGCAGCATCAAGGAATTCGTAGCTTCCCTCCCCCACAACCACCTTTTCATCCGCCTCGTTATACTATGCACTAGAAAGATCCCAACCAATCTGGCGACTTCAACGACTTCAACGCGATCGTCAACGGGATTCTCCCATGGCCTGGTTAGAAGGCCTCACACAAGATGTAGTTTGATGTACATAGTGGGCTTCTCATTTTCTCGCTTGACCACGCCCCTGAATACATTGGGGAGGAAGTATCTTATGACTGGTGACCCTTGTACATTCGCACATTACTTACTCACTGTGAGTCAGCGTCCGCTTCCTTCTACCCCATGGGGCTTCCATATGAGAACCGTATCACGGTACAAAAGGCATGACCTCCTGTTGCTCAACTTACGCTTACTATCATGTCCGTCCCAGGTGCAACACCGTTCAAAATTGCTGTCCCGGATGATGCCTTGAAACAACTCAAGGCCAAGCTCGACCTTGCAACATTTCCTGACGAACTCGAAGATGTGGAGTGGGACTACGGCACCCCCCTCAAAGATGTCAAACGGCTCGTGGATAGGTGGCGTAATGGCTACGACTGGCGCGAGCATGAAGCTAAGTTGAATGCCGAGCTTCCCCAATTCACCAGGGATATCGAAGTCGAAGGACACGGGACGTTGAACGTCCATTATGTCCACCAGGAAAGCAGCAATGAGAAAGCCATTCCGTTGTTGTTCGTCCATGGATGCAAGTAACATCATACGTCTACGTTAAGCTTACGACTGATCAATCGTTGACCTGAAGGGCCTGGCAGCTTCATCGAAGTTCGAAAGATATTGCCGCTCTTAACCAAAGGAACAGAAGGGCCTAGCTTCCATGTCGTAGCCGTAGGATTGCCTGGTTACGGATTTTCTGAGGCTCCCAAGAAGAAAGGATTTAGTACCCCACAGTACGCGGAGGTCAGCCATATTTTTGACTCGTGTCAGAGGCAAACCAAATTGGGGGTTAGGTTGGCCACAAGTTGATGTTGTCTTTGGGTTATAATGAGTATGGTACGTGTATTTGTAGTTCATTTAGCCACACTCGTACTCAGTGACCTTTCCTCAATAGTGACTCAAGGAGGCGACTGGGGTTCTCTCGTGAGCAAGGGATAATATTTTGCCCGTTCGCACATTAACCATCCATCCCAGATCACGCGTCAGATAGCAAGTGAATACGGCGGGAAAGCATCCAAGGCATGGCACACCAACATGCCGATGTAAGCTTATTATTCTTAAGTAACACGCTCGACTCATCGTGACTCGTAGGGCGTTGTCACCTCACCCACTGTATCAACCGTTAAGCTACCTGCGATACGCGCTAACCCCTTACAAGCCACATGAGAAAGCTGGCTTGGAACGATCCGCCATGTTCTCTCTCAAGGGCCGCGGATACTTTGCCATTCAATCCACGCGGCCGCAAACGCTAGGATACGGTCTGGCTGATTCCCCCGTTGCTCTCCTTGCCTGGATATACGAAAAATTAGTGGGCTGGACCGATAACTATCCTTGGGAAGACGATGAAGGTGCGTATTTGCTTTTTTGGCTGTACTTCTTTTGTTGAAGAGTTGCCAGTTTTGACTTGGGTCTCTATTTACCTATTCTCTCGCGCCGGTCCGACCGCGTCTACCCGTATCTACTACGAAGTTATACAGAACAAGCATTTCGGGGACAAACTCGTACCCAAGGTTCCAACTGGTTTCTCGTATTTCCCTCAAGAAATTGTGCGCAATCCAATTTCGTGAGTCAACCATATTGCTGCCCTCGCACATCCCCTACTAATCTGCTACGAAGTTGGACTCGTGGCGCAGGCCACGTCGTGTACCAAAAGGAACACGACAAAGGGGGTCATTTTGCCGCCCATGAGCGGCCAGATGACCTTGTAGGGGATCTCCGAGAAATGTTTGGGAAGAAGGGACCATGCTTTGGTGTCGTACCTGGAAAGGATGGGTATTAGCTACGGCGATGCCTCTGTTTATCTCAATGAAATGTTTGGAGACGAAAATGCATATAGGGAGCTCGATGATGGCACTTGGAGTTCACAAACCTGGCGTAGTCGCACAAATTTGACGGAGCAGTTGAAAGTCGTAGCGATACAACTCTTCACGGGCGAGATACATCGCGATCCCACCTATGTTATCCATCAAGTATACATTAAGGCCATCCAACTTGCCGACATGCTGATGATGTGCGACGAAACTCGAATAAGTCGCCTCTACATATCCCAGGAGCTCGAGGTCCAGAGCGGAGGCAGCACCACGAAACTGGACGACGTGGTTTCCCGCGACAACGGTGTAACTGGTCCCACCTTGGGCGGTTGAGGGGTTAGCAGGCGCGCCCGTGATACGCTCTGTTTCCTGGTCGCATTGGTGTTGGGTCACAGGCTCGTTCTATGAAAAGAACTGTGAGATCTGGTAGCGTGACAGGTCCGAAATCAATGTCTCCCTGATGTGGCAGGATGCTTTACTCAAGAATACCAATTAAGAGAAATATCTGTTGATCCTGAAGTGGCATGAATACCCCGATGGACAGCAAGGAAGAATGGGGGGCTGGTAAGCAAAGGAATTGAGGGAGCTGATGGGCGCACATTCTGAGTTGCTCAAGTAGTCCTAAGGATGGCAGTGCGTGAGTGTTGTGGATTCATTAATCACCTTACGCCCACAGATACCACACGCCCTTATTCCGCCTGATCTTCAACGTTAGAACAAACTGGGTGATATATCGTTGAGCGTCTGCTCTTATTTTCCTTTTTCAGGGTTGATTTAATTATTTAGAATGACTTCCTCTATACAAAACTGAACAAGTGCGGTAATGTTATATGATTGCGACCACAAGACTCGATAATAAAGAGCCCACCGCGAAAATCTAACCATGATCCTGCACCTCTGATAACAGCTCTAATACTCGCGGCCCTCGAGTGTCGTATTCAAGGCGGGCCGATACTGCGTCAAACATCGCAGGCGAAGGTACTGCGCCGGCGAAATCGCCCGGTTCATCGTGGAGCTCATCGAAAATGAGGGCGGCTCCAGACAGTCGGGCGATACGACAGCAGGCAGCGTGAAGGGCTAGGTACTTCGGATTTGGGGCCGGAATCACAGTGTCTCCTACAGTCTTGTCTCGAAAAACAACTTGCTCAATGCGCTTTTGATCACGGCCTGTGGGGCGTGCCAATACACTGGCAACACATAGCTTGTAGTGATATTCGTCGTTAGTCTGTTTCTAGAAGACCAATTACTGCTGAGTAAAGGAGGGAAATATCGATAGCATACTAGAGGTTCGAACCAAAGGCTTTGATAGTCAAAGCGATGGTGGTCATGCTGTGCCAGAGAGAGAAGGTTACTCGGGTGGTGAATGCGGTCTCCTTTGAGATCATTGTATATATCTTCACCCCCAAAGTACTGAAGCATGACCCACATAAGGGATAGCTTATGAATCTATGCCAATGTCGAAATGTGTTAGCAATCGAAAGCGATGTGGACAGTCACAAGACACACCTTAGCATCTGGGGCCACATCTGATCCAAGCCACCGGTCTGCTTCAGCTTCTTGTTCTTTTGACAACTGCTCGGCGGGCGTATTGGCTAGATATTCCGGGATAATATGTGCGGCTTCCAAGGGGACGGTAGGTCGGTTTACTTTCGCATGATACTCGTATGCTTCAGGCGTCATGTACTTGTCATCGTAGTCGCCAGCGATGAGATCACGGTGATCATCGCGCTCAAGGATCTGTCAGTGAGGAGGTTTATGAGATGATACATTCTTCTTTGGACAAGACACGCACCAGTTGTCTAGCAGACCCATGAGAAAGACTCCCAGGAGACATTAACAAGACTAAGGATAATTCACGCTTTGGATCGAATGATGGTCGTGATGGATGGTGAGACGGTGCCGGAGTTCTCCCTTGTTGCCTATAAACTAGGAAAGACTTAGAGGGGGGTCAACATGGCAGAACGGAGGGCAAAAAGTCACATATTTTGAGAAAATATTTTGCGTAGAATCGACCAAGTTGAAGCAAAGATGCGTCGTCCGAATCAGGGCAACTCTGGATGGAGCGGGCAAGGTGTTCAATGCCTCCGGGCGAAAGCCGCTCCAGCAGAATGTAGCCTAAAACGCGAATTGGAGGAAGATCCCGATGGTCCAGATTACTGCTCATCAAACGTTGTTCGAGAGAAACGACGCGATCGTACGAGCTCTTGCATTTCTCGGATAAAGAGGCTACTTTCGGCTCAAAATTGCTAGGAAGAGGGGTCGGTTCCAACAGTCCAGTCGGTCCAATCATGTTGTTGATGGGAGAGGAGCAGAGGCCACAGTTACTCGTGCCCACAGGCGCCCACTGCCCCTGTTGCCGTCCGCCATAATGCTCCTCCCTACACAGTGTGCAGGATAACATATGATTGCTAACATTACATATCCAATATGTGGAGTGTGTTTTACTGTGAAGTTGGACTCGCACGTCGTGTACCAAAAGGAACACGACAAAGGGGGTCATTTTGCCGCCCATGAGCGCTCGATGATGGCATTCCACAACGAGCTCAGTGTAGATGGACTCGCGTACATGCATATGGTTCGACAGAAAGTACCCGCATGAATGGAACGCAAATCATTGCGAAGTCGAGGCCAAGTTCCCCAACACCGCAGCGTCAAGGTACATGAATCCGTAGCTTCCCTCCCCCACAACCACCTTTTCATCCGCTTCGTTGTACTCCCATCCATGCGCTAGAAAGATCCCAACCAATCTGGCGACTTCGACGCGGTCGTCAACACGGGTCTCACCCATGGCCTGGTTGAAGGCCTCCCAGAAGACGCTTCGGAGGGCTTCGTGATTGGCGTGGTAGCACCATCCCTTTCTCACTCTGTCCATACCAAGCATGGTCTCGAGGCCGCCAAGGGACATCCCGAACGGGCTGATCTGCGCGTCTTTCCAATCACAGACGCCCACAAGCCTCCCGGTGCCGGGGTCAACATGGAGATTGTTCTCCAGTAGATCGGTGTGGTTTGGCACCATTGGCCAGTCCTTGTCAAAGAGTCCCGGGAGACGTGCAATAAGGGAGTCTAGTGTCTGCCGAAAGCGAGAGGGCAAGCCTGCAGCAAGCTGCACGAGCTGTGATGAGTAATTATCGAGTAGAACCACGCGGTCTGGAGATGGCATGTTCGCCGGCGTGTTGTGCCAGGCAGAGGCAAAAAACCTGCATCGGGCCAGATGAGCTGCTGGGCTGCTCCTTGGACCTGGAGCTCACAAACCTGGCGTAGTCGTGCAGGGTTTGATGAAGGAGTTGAAAGTTGTTGCGATACAGCTCTTCTCGAGCGAGATACATCGAGATCCCACCTATGTTATCCATCAGGTAGACGTCGAGGTCCCCCAGCTTGCCGGCACGCTGGTGGTGTGGGACGAAATCTGGATATGCCGCCTCGACGTATCCTAGTAGCTCGAGGTTTAGAGCGGAGGCAGCGCCACGAAACTGGACAACGGAGTCTCCAGCGACAACGGTGTAGCTGGTCCCACCTTGGACGGCTGAGGGGCTAGCAGGTGCACCCGCGACGCGCTCTGCTTCCTGGTTGCATTGCAATTGCGTCGCAGGTGCGTTATCCGAGAAGAACTCTGAGATCTGGTAGTGTGACAGGTCCGAAATCAGTGCCTCCATGATGTAACAGGTTGCTTGGGTACTGCCAGAGAGATATTTGTTGACGGCAGATTAGTTCGACTATTGCTGTGGATAGCAAGAAAGGACGGAGGCTGATCAGAGGAAAGGGATTGGAGGGAGTTGATCAGCGTGTATTCGCCCGCTGCTGAAGTAGTCCTACGACGGCACGTGCATGTGTGGCCGCGGCAGGATCATGATGGTAGGCAACTTGATTACGGCCAAAAGGAGAGGAAACGGAGGGATACTTGCAATCTCGGTTTGTTCAAGGATGGGATATCCCAGGTGTGTGGGCGTCTGTGGACGTCTTAAATAAACTCCGCCCTGAGGTTACAACTTACAACTCACCATCCGCCATCCATGGGGGACACCGTTAAACAAGGTTTCTTACATCTCGGTGCGTCTCCATTGTTCTGACGCTAACATTCAACGGCTCCCATGCCTGGGATTGTGATATAATTTAATTTCGGTGAGCCTCGCTCTTGTTTTGGCATTACTTGTTCATCTGTAGTTAGACTTTAGTCGCCTTGGGTGGCTTGTATTTCTTTCAGCGCACCCGTTAAGAGGTCTAAAATGATGGATTGGGCAGGATGGAACAGTAAACAAATGGGCAATTCCATCTCAGGGTGCACGTTACAATTCCTGACGCCCCTCGGGTCAAGCTTCAAGTCTAACGCACACAACGCAACAATAACTAAATTGTTTCTTCCGTGACACATACTGGAGTCTCGTCTTCATTGCAAGTGGTACGGCTATAAAGGCTTGATGTCTCTCAAGAACCTCCTCCATCAAGCCATTGCAGAGAATTATCTTCTATCATCTCCAAATACTATCCATACTATTACACTAGCATAACTCCCATCCATCATAATGGCTGCCGCAGATGTCGCCACGCTCAGCCCTATTGATATCCCAGGTCTTGGGAAACCTCTCAGCGAGGTGGCTATGGGGCTCTCCCGCATCACGTACGTCCAACCATTGGCACTGAGAAACTCTCCGAGTCCTTGACTAACTCAGATGCTCTTTTTTAAAGATACAACAGCCTCCCCGGCATTGAGGCCCAGGTTCAGCTCCACCGTGAGCACACCGAGCATATCAAAGCTCTCCTTGCAATCATTGACCGCCACTCAATGAGCCATTTCTTCGGTATCCACTCTGCCCATCGCCACGGCATGCTCCCAAACGATACCGTCCGCCTTGAAGAAGACATGGGCATCAATGGGCTCACCTGGAACAGGGCCACGGACATCCATAATCTTAACACTCGCGACATCCACACCACCTTCTTCAAGGTTAATGAAGCTGGCCTGGCACCTTTCGAGTTTGCCGCCGGCCCATCCCCTGTTGCTGGAGAGGAGATCCCCTCCGAGTTCTTGTCCGAGTTTGCTACCTACGTCAAGGACAAGGGACTCACTGGGCTGGTGTCCCTTGAGGTTGGGAATTTTGCTGCCGGCCAAGTAAAGACTGCCGAGCTAGAGATTCAGTGGGGTGATAAGGAGCTCCTCACCGTTACCGTGCCCGTGCCCGCTCTCATTAACGCAGGGATGGAGTTGGTTCCAACTGGCTGGAACCTCAGCCCCCGCGACGCCGGCACCCACTGGGCCAAGCTAACGAAGCCCGTTAACACACACAGGGTCTTTTTCGACTCCACTGAGTCTGTTACTCCTGAGCTTTTGTTCGTCAAGCTCATGGAGATGGGGCTCATCTTGAAAGTCTGAAAGGTTTTTGTGTGTCGAGATGAAAGCGCGTCTTTCGCCCCACAACAATCTATACACGCTCTTCGTCGCCCTATAGTACCACTCAGTTCTCTGTAATTAATAGATAATTGCACCTAAGTAATATTCAGCTAGCCCGTAGTCGTGCTAGTGGGGCTTCATTGCGGACTAAACCATGGTGGTTTCGACTTAGTGCTTGCACCCACTTTCCTTCCTTCCTGTGGAGGGGAGGCTCTGAAAGGCATTCATAGTCGTTGTGCGTGGCTAAGATCCCATTCATGGCCGAGTTAGCAACATTGTACCTAATTTCAATGTGCAGCCAATGTGCAGCATTACTTCGCTCAAAGGCGTGAACCGCCTCCTTTGGCGGCCGCTAAGCCTCAGTCAGCCTGTGGTTGTCAGAAGCGAGAGGTTACTCAGGACCCGGATTACGACCTTTACTCAAATCACTTTAATATCGTTCCTGGGCACAGTGGCTCTGCTCGATTCCTTTCGACGCATACCATGATGTCTAGATAACTAGTCATATCCTAAATAGGTAAGAAAACTACTGCTTTGAGAAATGTGAAAGGGGCTACGCTCTGCGTGGACACCGGCAGGAGAGAAGAAAAATTGAAATCAAGAAGGTAGAGATATAAGGTATATGCAGGGTATAGCCGTATAACCGAATACTGCCAGTGAGAATATATAAGAAATATGATAAGCAAACACGACACATCTCAGATAACACAGAGGCTGATTGTTATGAATCCCCACCAGGGCGGTGAACGTTGAGATGGCGTGAAAGGCCATCACGCCTTCCAGTCGAGTATTTGCAAGAGGGAAATGGGCACACGAGCCTCTTGGGTGCTCCTCTATTTGCGGCTTTCCGAACAGGGCAGTTATACGACCGCCAGTGTCGGATAACGTCGCCATGGCGTTTGATGCCTTTCCCGCACATATTGCAATACCACATCTGGTCGTGCTCGCTGAATATAGGTGCGAACTCGCTCGATCCGTCTACCACTTGTATTGATGCGCCGGAGGATGCGATGACCTTTGATTTGATCGCAATGCGTCGTTGGCGTTTGGTAGCTTTGAATTGACGCACGGCATCGTCGTAGCTCAGCTCGTCCCCTGGGGAGACATCGGCAGTGCTCCGTGGCGAGCCTTTGGGATCATGAAGAGGAGGCGAGGGTTCCCTTGTAGCGGGCGGTGATATGTGTGCACTTGGTAAGCGGGGTATCTCATCTGAGAACGATGTCAATGAGTTATTCGAGTATGAGCGGGGGATCGGATGGTATAGCGGGGTATACGAGGGCGTGATTGGGTGCTCGACAAGGCCTTCTGGCGATGGTACAAATGGCTGCGCCGGCGTTGTCAGCAAAGGGCCAACTTGAAGCTGGGTATCGGGGCGAGCCGACATGGAGGAGGTTGGAATAGGGTGGAATGGATGAAGGCTTAGTAGAAAAGAGTCTAAGGAAGGATCCCAGGGGATATCATCTACGTTGTTCACCGAGAAATCAATATTATTCGCATCGGTTCGGCAACCCATGGACATGTTATCAAGCGCGGTAGGAGGGTAGATATGTGCATTATGAACCGCGGTATATGCATGGGAGTTGCCTGAGGTGGACGGCACGGCGGTGGCATAGTGAGGTTCTTGAGCTGTTGGCTGGGGAGTGATAGATAGACGGTGAGGCTAATGGGATAGAAAGACAGCCGGGATAACATACCTCTGCTTGTTGGGGTAGAGAACGAGTGTCAAGCTGAGGATCCCCATCAAGGAGAGAGCCGTATTGGTATTTACACGGCTCTTGGGTAGGAGGCAGCGAACCGTATGTCCCGTTATTTGTGTCTTCAAACCGAAGATAATTAGGGTCGAATGGGGCAAGTTCCCTGTATTGAGTGTAAGTTATATTGATGTAGACACGTATGGGAATTATTTACTCACATCGGCTGGTTTTGCCACCCATCATGGTAATCGATATACGACCATTCAAGTAGCGGGGGATACATGGATGAATTCAGCTTGAAGGTAGTGTGGCGTAGGGGCGGGCTACGAGAGTGGTATTTGCTGCACATGTTATTCCCCGCGTCAATCGGTTTATATATCGCTGAACGTATGCTGAGCGCGGACGATAGTCAACATACCATCGAGTCATGGCCCTGATGCCTACAACACTGCATTCGAAGCCGGATGATTTCAGGGCTCTGGCGAGAATTGATGGACAAAGCAGTGTGACATCTTAGTGGTAAGCTGCTAAAGTTGCCGGGAAAGAAGCTTGAGAGGGCTTACTCGGTGAACCTTGGAAAAGGAAGGTGACTGCGCTCCCATTGACCAGCGGGATGGTATGCTGTAGAATATCCTTGATTAGAACAGAAAGCATTGATTTTATTCCTTGAGAATGATTAATAGAGGGATGGGCGAGAGATGCGAGCATAAGCCTGGTGCACTGTAAAGTGTGGCGTAGTGGTCTAAAATAGGAAACTTTTACTAAACGATAAATTAGGCCTTGAAAGTTAGGAGTGATCAGTCCTACCCCATTTGGTGTACTGTGGCGATTTCTGCCTTTCCTTCTCTTTGTGCCTGTGCGCTAATTTGCTGTTGAGCACCCCGACACAACGTGTTGATACTTCCTTTGGGGATGGTGAGGTACTGCCATTATCTGAACGATCCAACGTAAACACGCGGTACGTCACTTGTCGTCGATAACGCTCGAGTCAAGGCGCACTGGCCCACTCCAGAGTAACGACAAAGCTGTTAAATAGTTTGCAACTAGTCTGACCGTTTTTTACACGAGGCTGAACTGTAGGCGCGTTTGACAAGGCGGACGTCCGTCTTACAGTGAGCCTTAGTCGCGTCCATGAGGGAAAGTGTGGCGCGGAGCGGCGAGAGCTACACGAAGTTCGCGCAAAGATCATTGTTCAGCACTATGTATAGTAATCTTACCAGAAGCCACTTATACCTGTTGCCTACTAATTGCCTTAGACTCGGAGAAACGGTGAAGGAACACACGAATATGCTAGAAATTCGGACAAGCGCGAAGCACAGCAAGAGACAGCAGGCACATCAATTGCAACCTACGAAATATATAATATTGATTCTACTCGACCTACGGACGGAAGAGGGTGTCCGCTGGTGCGCGTCCCACTCGCTTTCGAAACTCCAAAGTACTTTGAGTCGAAGCCATCCATATCCCGTAATGCACAAGTCATGGCAAAGATGATTAGAGTAACGCTAAACTTGGTGTTCAATTCTCCCTTTGCTGGGATACATAGATACATCGTGTTGGCTTTCCAAGTAGCGTAAACGTTGAGATGCGGATGTTTGACAAGATTGGAGGCAACGGCCAGATCATTATAGGGTGATCAGCGTGCGAGGCTAGGTCCTCGTTCCTGCACACCGATGTATCTCCTGACCTCCTCTGCCCATTCCATTCTTCGACATATTGAAAGAACTGTCGGCGTATCCCCTTTCGCCTATGAATTGATGCTCTCATCTCCCTCATATGCCACACTTGATTTTGATATATAGCATCGAGTCGAGAGTCGGCTTGGCTTCATCCCGAATTCACCAACAAAATCATCGACTTTTTTTTACTAAACCAGGGGGGGTCACGAGGAGGCTAGGAACAGTGGGTGTTGATTGAGATGGAACGAGGTCGCTATCTACTGAAGGTGAATAATGCTTGGTGCTGGGATCGATGTAGTCCGTGCATTCGAGGCAGCACAGTATTACTGGGATAAAGAAACCGAAGCCCTTCGGCCATTTGATGACAGGTTCCCCAACTTTCCTTCGGTATTATAGATATCGAAATGCCCTTGTGAATGGCAGAGGTTTCCTGCTGATTACTCATTGTAATAGCCTCAACTTCGCAAAGGGCGTTTAGGGCTCAGGCTTTGAGGGCAAGAGTTTTAGATTCGGGGTGAGGTATAGCCGTCGTAGAGCTAGAAGGCATATTAGATGTGGGTAATACCATATGTCAGTGACGGTTTACTTTCCGTATATCAAGTCGCTCACTGAGAGCAATGTCATGCAGGATCTTAGCGCTCGTATATCTTATCTAATCTGAAATTGCCGCTTTAGGAAGTGTTGAACATTGAGGCTTGCCCGACAATTGACTAGCATTCCGTTCTTTCTTTACGTTCCTTTGCGTGAAACGCGCCCCGTAATGGTTGCGCCGAGGCTATCGCAAAGTGCGGAGGCTGCTAGAGCTGCTGCTCAACAAGCAGAATTTAACGAGAAGAAATGGGTCTGGGTTCCCGACGACAAAGAAGGCTATGCCGCAGGCTGGATATCCAAAACCGAGGGGGATATGGGGGACATTGTCCTATCGTCTGGAGGAGAGGTGCGCTTCAAGCTTTATGTCGTCGCGTTCTAGCTAACGCGGCCGTAGATCCGCCGAGTGCCTCTATACGCCTTGTCCAAGATGAACCCCCCAAAGTTCGATCGCGTAGAAGACATTGCCGATTTGACGTTCTTGAACGAGGCCAGCGTCGTCCATAATCTGCGCCTAAGGTACGGTTCCGGAGCTATCTATGTGAGTCTACGTCGCGCCTCCTTTGAACGATCACTTATGGCCACCCAAGACATATTCAGGATTGTTCTTAGTCGCTATTAATCCGTATCAGAATCTACCGCTATACTCAGATGCTATCGTGCAACAATACCGGGGCCGGAGGCGCGATGAGAATCCACCACACATATTCGCCGTCGCAGAACGGGCTTGGGTGAACATGGGGGATGAACGCGAGAACCAGAGTATACTAATCACGTACGCCCACCCTTGTGCTCTCTCCTAGGTGTTTATCTGAGTCCCCGTTCCTAGAGGCGAGTCTGGCGCTGGGAAGACGGAGAGCACGAAGAAAGTAATCCAATATCTCGCTGCGATTGCCACTGACGCGCACTTGCCGTCCACACCCTCGCATTCACGGTCACCAACCGTCGCCCCTTCCTCGTCCTTCGGCGCTATAATGCCAGCGTCAGGACTCCCGAGAAATAGTTCCTTCAAGCGAAGCGGGCACACAGCTAGCCCGTCGACGTCGGGCTCCGGCTCCTACATGACGGCAAAGGATAGGCTCGGGCTCCTGGAACGACAAATTCTGCAGGCGAACCCTATTCTGGAGGCGTTCGGAAATGCGCAAACGCAGAGAAACAACAACTCTAGTCGGTTTGGAAAGTTCGTGAGGATCATGTTCTCACCTGACGGGAGTATCGCTGGGGCGTACATCGACTGGTATCTCTTGGAAAAGAGCCGTGTTGTTGCCAGGAGTGAAGCAGAGCGTAGTTTCCATGTATTCTACCAGCTGATGGCCGGAGGTGGCAGGCAGTTCAAAGGTGTGTATCTCATCCGTCCCCCCTATTGCAGACTGATCGACGATCGGAACAGAGTCCCTGCTCTTGGACGGCGGAATAGAAGATTACGGCTACCTGAACCAGAGCAGACGGGAGGTCGATGGAGTGGATGATAAAGAAGAGTGGTCCCATCTCAAGGTCAGCACGCCCCAAATAGCATGAGACATCGCGAATTCATTTCACCGCTTCACTCTGTATAGTCCGCTCTAGACGTAGTTGGGTTCTCGCCGGCGGAGCAGTTCGATTTATTCCGCGTAGTCGCCGCCATTATGCACATTGGGAACATCACCGTCACTTCAACGCGCTCCGACGATGCTCTCATGCCTAATCCATCACAGGTCGAACGGGTGTGCCATTTGCTTGGCATCCCCGTTGCCGAATTCACTCGGGCAATCCTACGCCCCAGCGTTCTTGCGGGGCGCGAATGGGTGTCACAGGCGAGAACCCAACAACAGGCGCTCGACGAACTGGCGTCGCTGTGTAAGACGCTTTACGAGAAGACGTTCGGGCTGTTGGTAGATAGGATCAACCGCGCGCTCGACAGGCCGTCCTCAAAGTCGACCTTCATCGGCGTGCTGGATATCGCCGGTTTCGAGATCTTCGATGTCAACGGGTATGAGCAGCTTCTAATCAACTACACCAACGAGAAACTGCAGCAGTTCTTCAACCACCATATGTTTGTCTTGGAGCAGGAGGAATATTCTCGGGAGGGGATTGAGTGGGACTACGTGAACTTTGGGCTCGACCTACAGCCGACGATTGACTTGATTGAAGCCAACGGTGGCTCAATTGGTATTCTGAGCTGCTTGGATGACCAGTGCATCATGCCTAAGGCGACAGATGCAACCTTCACACACAAACTGCATCAAATGTGGGGCACGGAAGTGGACGAGTCGAAGTATCACCCAGGCATGGACAAATACGAACCAACCCGATTCGAGCAGGGCTTCATCGTCCAGCACTATGCGGGCAAGGTTGAGTACAGGACGGACGGGTGGCTGGACAAGAACAAGGATCCGCTAAACGACAACATCACTCGGGTTCTCGCAGCCTCAAGCGAGCGATTCGTTGCCTCGCTGTTTGCCGACTATGACGACTTGCCTGCGCCAGGCACAACGCAGAACATGTTCACCGTTGGCAAGCGTCGCGTCCTCAAAAAAGGGGCCTTCCGCACTGTCGGCCAACGACACAAGGAGCAACTAGCCAGTCTGATGAGTCAGCTGCACTCCACCCAACCCCATTTCGTGCGGTGCATCGTGCCCAACACGAACAAGAAGCCCGCCAGAGTCGACGTCCCTCTAATTTTAGATCAGCTACGGTGCAATGGTGTCTTGGAAGGTATCCGAATTGCACGTCTGGGGTATCCCAACCGTCTCCCCTTCGTCGAATTCCGTCAGCGCTACGAGGTCTTAACCCCCGGGATCATCCCACGCGGATACATGGACGGGCGCAAGGCCTGCCTGCTCATGGTCGATGCCTTGGATCTAGACAGGACTATATACCGCGTCGGAACGTCGAAGATTTTCTTCAAGGCCGGCGTGCTCGCCGCACTCGAGGAGCGACGCGATGCCCTACTGTACGAGATATTCTCCCGGCTGCAAGCAGTCGCTCGGATGTACACGGCCAGGAGGCAGATGAAGAAGATATTGAACAGGGCTGTGGCCATCCGCACAATCCAGAAGAACGCTCGTATTTATGGCGAATTGAGAGATTGGCCATGGTGGCAACTTTATACCAAGGTGATAGCACCCGTTACTCCGGCGTTCATACAACCACATTAATGATAAACTAGGTTCGCCCCCTTCTGGCTGCTACTCGCAACGACGACGAGCTACGAAAGAAAGAAGCTGAGCTGGCTCTCATCCGAGAGAGAGCTGAAAGGGACAAGCAGGAGAAAGAGGCGTTGGAGAACCTGAAGATGTCCCTGGAAACGGAGAAGAGGAGAGTGGAGGACGAGCTGGAGGCCGAGAGGGCAGTTGGCCTGGAGAAGGACGCGATTTTGGATCGGAGCAAGCACAAGGAAGCGGAACTCGAGGAGGAAATCGCTGCATTGCAGTCGTATCTTGAGACACAGGATCGGCACCTTGACGATATTCGGAAGATGCAGAAGGAGAAAGACGGAACGCATGAGCTGCTGAAGCAAGCATTTGAGCAAGCCGCCGAGCATCTCGTACGGCTGGAGAACGAACAGCAGGAATGGGTGAAGCGCGAGGAGCAGCTTGTGGAAGAACTGCGCGAGCACCACGAGCACCTCCAGGCACTCCAAGCCGATCACGAAGAACTCACGAAGGTCAGCGAAGACTTGCAGAGCCTCGTCGTCCAACGCGAAGAGGATCTTGCGCGTGCCAAGGAAAGGACGGAAGCCCTTGTCGCTGAGCTGGAAGGGAAACTCGGCGTCGAGCACAAGAACAGGTCTGTTAAACTGACGCCCATTTCTGCGCCATGCTAACGACACGTACAGAGAGGCCATGAAGAGCAGAGTAGACGCTTTGGAACAAGAGGCTCATCAAACGAAGGAACAACTGACGGAGTTGACGCGGACCGCGACTGAATACTCTAGCATGCTCCAGAGGAAGGAAGAGCGGATCGTACAGCTGCTCGACCAGTTGGACACTATCAAAGCAGAGCGAGACTCCTCTTCGAAACAGGTGATAGAATTGCAGAGCGACATCGATACTCTCATGGCCGAATTAGACGCGGACAAGCTTGATAAAGAGCGCAGCGCAGCCGCTCGCACTAAACTGGAGGAGGAGTTAGATGATCTGCGAGCGCTCATGCAAGCAAAGACGAGTGAGGAGTCCAAGCGCTTGGAGGTGGAAAAGAGCCGGGAAGAAGAGCTTGCTGAGCTGCGACGTCAAGCGTCTACACTACAGCAGGAACTCAGCGAATCCCGCAGACTTGCTGCCGAAACCCAGAACAAGCTCAAAGTTGAGCTCGATCACATCTCGCGAGACCACCACTCGTTAGAGCGTAGTCATCAATCACTTCTTGACAGAGAACGCGCTGGGCAGGCGGAGCTGACCAAGGCACAGGCCTCGGTTGCCGAGCTCGAAAAGTCCAAACGAGCAGCTGAATCCGAACTACAAGCCGTCCGTACCAGACAAGCCAACACTGACAATGAGCTGTCTACGACGTTGAAGAGCAAAACGGTAAGATTTATACGATTCAGTCAACCATCGCCCACTAACTTCAGTCATACAGGATCTTGAACGTCAATTAGTTGCCATCCAATCCCGTCGAGACGAACTTGAAGACTCTTTCATGGAAGCTGAAAGAGAGAAGCTAACGCACCTTCGCCACCTTGAGGCTGCGAAGAAGAGCCTGGAGAGCGAGAACAAGAAATCGGCGCAGCTCGAGAAGACTATCGCAACTATGAAATCAGAGTTAGCAACTCTCAAGGACCAAAACGTCAAGCTCGATAGGGATCTTAACAAAGCCTTGAAAGACGTGAAGGACCGCGAATGGGAGATCAAGAAGTTTGAATCTCGTCAAGACAAGATCACTGTAGAGCATATTCACGTCTACGAGAAAGTCAAGCGTGCTACAGACCGTGAACTCCAGAACCTCAAACAGGAACTCCAGCAGAACGAGACTTATATTCGATCTCTGGAGAGGATGCGAGATCAGCTAAAGACTGAGGCAGAGGATCTGGAAAGGCGGACTCAACAGGAAAGTCTTGAACTTCGGTCAAAGGACAAAGCTGTCAAATCATCCGAAGACAAAGCTGCCCGAGCGCAAGTAGACCTGGAAACGGAACGAAAGGCCAAAGAGCTAGCAGAGATGCGCGCGAAGAAACTCGAGTCGGATCTCAAGGCTGCTCAGGATCAACTTGTTGAATTGTCTCAAGAGGTGTTAGCAGCTCAACGGTCGAAGGACAACTTGGAGATGGAGCTGATGCGAATAGCAGACGAAACCGAAACACCCAACTCCGTCGCCCGGGCACATCGAGAGTACCAGTCCAGGATTGCTCAGTTGGAAGGACAGCTTGAAGAGGCGGAAAGTGGGCGAGAGACTTCGGACAAGATTCGTGAAGTTATGGAGAGACAACACGCCGAAATTCGTCAACTCATATTGTCCCATAACCCGAACGACCAAGGGTTCCAGTCGCGACTGCTAGAGGAGCTTCAGCATACTGAAGACCGGTTGAGTAAGGAAATGAACGGCCGCGCTCAAAATCTGAAGGCTAATCGTAAATTGGATTTCACTACCATGGCAAACGTTACTCCGACGAAGGCATCAACTCCCAAGCGCGTTCGCACCGAATCCCTCCCCGATCCCGCCCCGCGTCCCGATCCACAAGTTGGCGCACTCAAGCAACAGGTCCAAACGCTTGAAATACAGATGGCTGCTTCTGACCGCATCCGCCGACACCTAGAGAGTGCTATTCGTGACATGCTGGCCGAACTAGAAAGGAGCGATGATTCGAAGCAGTCGCTTCAAAACTATCGACAACGGCTGACGAACGAGAACACGAGACTCACCGAATTGCTTCACGAGGAATCAGAGGCTCGTCGTGCCGCGGAAGCTGCCCAAATTGACGGTGTCCAGGCAATGTGGAACAAGTTCCAAAACACTATCGCTGAGGAGCGCGAAAGTTACGCTCGATTGGAAGAGTCGAGGAAGGCTCTCGTAAGTAATACCTGGTCTCTTTGGGCTGTATCTCATTCCCCATGATAGGTGGTCCAACAACGCACGGCTCAAGCAGAGATCGAAAGTCAGCGATCACAACTTCGTGAAGCCTCCTCGTCAAAGAAGCAGCTCCAGAGCGAACTCTCCCAGTTGCAACAGGAAGTGGCTGTCGCGAAGAATGAAGCCTCAGGTGGGTCCAATCAATCGGACCTTTCAGTATCAGGCTAATTCTTGCTCAGCGGCTAAGCGCCAATTGCAGAAGCGCTTACAAGAAGACGAAATCTCCTCCACAACATCGTCCGCAGCACAACTAGGTACGCCTCAAAATATCTCGTGGATAGCAGTGTATGCTAACATTACTGTACAGAGCTTCGTGCTGTAATTGAGACATACCAGGCCAAAGAAGGAGAATACCGAAGCAAACTTGAAGCCGCTGAGATCGCCCGTGCCAAGGCGGCCCGTGCTGAGGCTCATGGTACCTGTATTCTCTATGTCTCTCTCCACGAGGCTGACTCCCCTTTTGTAGCTCGTCGCAGTCTTACTGATATGGAAAAGACACATGCCCAAGCAGTAGAAGAACGGAATGCCTCCGAAGCCCGCCTCCAAGCGACTGAGAAGAAACTCCGTGAGCTGGAGAATAAGTTCGAGGAAGAGAATCGTGAGGCCACAGATCTGAGCTTGCTGCATCAGCGTCTGGTAGAAGAACTGCAAGACGAACGAAAGCAGCACCAGGAAGATCTGAAGACTCGGGACTTCACTGCTGACCAGGTACAGAAGAAGTACCAAGGTGCGATCAGCTATTTGATCCCCTGTAGATGATCACAGCTGACACGATTGGGTACAGCTGAATTGGCACAGCTCAGCGAAGGTATAGTTCACCAGATATCAGACCCGGGAGAGGTACTCATTTGCTCTATAGAACTTCAATCACAGCGTGAGAGTATTAGTCGACTTCGTGAAGACAACCGCAAGATACGCTCTGATTACGACCAGCTTCTCTTTGATTACAACAACGAATCTTCGAGTATCGGCGGCTGGAAGAAAGAGAAGGAGCGTATGGAGACGAAGATTGAGGATCTCAACAAGGCGTACACTGCTTCAGAGAGTGCCCAAGCTGAACAGCAAGCTCAAATTGTCGCCCTTCATTCTCAAGTTCGTGAACTACGAAGTGTCTTGAATGATGCCGAAGCGGAACGTACGATGTTGCAGAAGGCTCGACGCGCTCTTCAGGCTGAACTAGAGTCTATCAAGTTGGATTATGTCGACACCAACAAGATGTCTTCAGATCGAGAACTTCAGAAATTGCAGCTGAAGAAGCAAGATCTCGAGCGAGCGTTGGATGAACAAGAGGACCGTGTCAAACAAGCGCTCGACCGTATGAAGGAGAAGGAAGCGTACGCAGCGAAATGCCAAGCCGAGTTATACCAACTTCAAGAAGAGAACTCGGCACTAGAGAAACTTAACGTACGTTTAACCATAAATTTCTTCGAGTAATTTGTCTGCTAACTTTTGTCATAGGCCAATCTCGACAAGCAGGTCAAGGAGCTTAACGTTCGTGTTGTGGATTTGGAGACGAAATCGTATACAAATTCACCTCGGTCCACTATCTCAACGCGCCGTGCAGAGAGCAAGATAGAAGAGCTCACTAACCAGCTGCATCAATCTGGGAAGGAGAAATCCGAGAACTCTAGGTCCCTCCGTGCAGCCGACAAGCTCGCTCGCGATGCCAAACTCCAAATCGTCGAAAGCGATCGGCAGAGGCAGAAGCTAGAGGAAGAGCGGAAGGCCTACGAGAATCAGATAGAAGATCTGAGAAAAGCAATGGACAAGATGGTAGGACGACTCGCCCAAACGTGAATGTTACATTCTGCTTACAGGGTACTTTTCATAGCAAACGGAGGAAAGCACGCTTCAAGCCATGAAACGACGTGCCGAGCGAGAAGCTGGCGACTTCAGGCAAAAGACCTTAACGTAAGAATCGCAACCTTACTATCTCCTATACCGTTGCCGACACACACTCTTATTGTAGCCTTGAGCGCGAAGTCGAAAGACTGCGAAGTAGACTCGACCGACCAACCTCTTCATTGCTAGATTCTCCTTCTGGCTCCCCGCGGAAATAATCGCTCATTACTGACAGTTTCATCCTACTCATTTGTGTCTATAATTACGTCGCATTGTAATAGTCTGCACTGGCACCCTTTCGTACTCTGTAGCATGGTTTGTTGTACAAAATACCCACGGACATTGGCTGCTCTCAACTACTTACTTCTCTTTAACTCGAGTACGTTCAATCATGATTTTCTTTCCAATTGTAATGATACATCATATGAATTACATTCACGTTTGCATTCCAGTAAGACGGTAACGTTTAAAGCCCTCTACAACCGACTTGGCCCTGGGGGTCCACCTTGCACCGCGATCAGTTTATATTCATTCAGTGGGCGGTGGACTTGAAGGCACCTATGTTGCATCTGAAACGAAGGGCCTCGGCAGCAGGCTTGACCTTCAAAGGAGCAACTGGGTTAGCACCCACGGCCTTTGCAATGCGGTCCGAAAGATCCTGGTCGACAGCTGCCCACACGGAGACTATTTGAAACAGTGAGACGCGGCGTTAGACACGCAGGAACAGAGAACTTACGTTGTCTGTCCCTGACGACGGCACTCTTGACACCACCGAAGTGCCCTGCAACGTTTTTGACGTAGGCCTCTCTCTGCTGGTCGTTCCAGACCTTCTGCCACAGCACCCTGGGCTGCTCAAAGTCCACTGCCAGACCTCGATGAGTTGGTTGCCGTTAATCTTATATAGACGACTCACGCTCAGTGATCTCTCCAAGATCCCGGTAGGCACCGCCAATGAAGTTCTCGTGGCGTGCCATCCTCTCTTGGTTGCGGCAACCAGCCTCAAGGGTCTCCTTATTGGAGATGTATGTGAGGGGTTGAATGCTGCTCTGGTAGTTCGGGCGATTCCCTTGGTTGTTGGTAACGGTCATAGGTCCATCTCGCTGGAAGTTGGCCACTGGGACGATGGGCGCGTTTACGGGGATCTGATGATAGTTGGCTCCGAGACGGTGGCGATGAGTATCCGGGTAAGAGAACAGACGCGATTGAAGAACAGGGTCAGCCGAAGGCTCAATGTACGGAACCAAGTGAGAAGGAGCGAAAGCAGCCTCAAAGCGGATCGCGATATAATCAGCAAACAATCGATAGGGATCACCGCGACACTCACTTGTTCGATCTCGGCAAAGTAGTTCTTGGGATTTTCGTCGAGGACGAATCTGCCGATCGGACGAAGGGGGTAGTCCTTGTGGGGCCAAACTTTGGTCAGATCGAGGATGTTGTAACGGAAATTCTCCGCCTGCTCTGGAGTCATCGTTTGCTGTATATATGATGAGTGGTTGTAAATCTGTACGGCGAGTAAAGTACTGACGATGTACACGGTCCACGAAGGGAAGTTGCCAGCTTCGATGGTTCTGAACAGCTTCTCCGTGCTGTAGTCGGGGTTGTCAGCGGTAAGCCTATGGGCAGTCTCACCATCGAGTGTCTAAAGTATTATGGTGAGTTGATATTTATGTACGCTTGAGCTCGATTCTTACCTTGAAACCGCTGTCCGCACGGCAGTGTACTTGAACGTAAGTGAACGATCCGTCATCTTTCAACCACTTGAACGTATGGCCGGAGTACCCGTGCATCTGGTGAACACCGTCGGGGGTTCCGCGGTCTGAGAAGAGGATCATCATCTGATGAATGGACTCTGGGTTCTGGCCCAAGTAATCCCAGAACATATCCGCATCCTTAAGGTGAGTCTGCGGGTCTCTCTTCTGAGTATGGATGAAATGCGGGAATTTTGCCGGGTCCCTGATGAAGAAGATAGGCGTGTTGTTGAACACCCAGTCCCAGTTGCCCTCTTCAGTACGAAGTTTGAGAGCAAAGCCACGAGGATCGCGGGCGGTGTCTGCAGAGCCAGACTCTCCTCCGACGGTGGAGAATCGAGCCGTCAGACGAACTTTCTTTCCCACAGAGGAGAGCAGCTTGTTGGATGTGATATCCGCGCAGCTATGCGTTACTTCGAAGTAACCGTGAGCCCCTGCAGCATTGGCGTGTACCTAGACGGCAATCAGGCATAGAGATAGGGGGTCTCCTGAAGATAACGCACGACACGCTCAGGAATACGCTCCCTATCGAAATGGGCGAGCAAGTCGATGTGGTGGAAGTCTAGGCAGACGATGAGAATAATAAGTATGAGTGCCCTCGACGACCGCACCTTGCAACAAGAGAGGTCCGTGGAGCCCAGCACGTTGGGCAGCATACGGCTCTGCTACGGGCGCACCATTGGAGGTGGTGTAGACGGCGCCGTCCTTTTTGTCGAAGACTTCTTGAGTGGGCATTTCAGAGGACGTGAGATGTTCTGTACGGGAGTCATCCCACCATAAATCCTGACCTTTATATGTGCAAGCATGGGTGCATCATCATGCAGGTGACTCGCTGACCATGAAATCTCACTAAATCCACTAGCCCTGATTGGATAGAGATGGGCTTCGGCGGGTATTTCAAATCCCGCGGCGTATCTTCATTGCTTTCCTCTCCTCACCGTTGCCAGTCGTCTGGGTCCAACGCTGGCGTAAGGCATAACCGGTTCCCGTCGTTCACTAGAATTTGCAAAGTTATGCATATGAAGAGTGCTGCTCATACCCACAGCCTGACAAACATGGGTCACCGAAGCTGTTCCTTTACTTCCCTGCGTGTCCAGAACCATGAGAGGCTGGGTGCGGTCACCGGCGCAGTTCTCATCTGTGGAGGCATCAGCTGATGTCCCGTAGTTGTTAGTAACGATCATCTGAGTGTATGGCGAATACAGGGGCCAGTCACCCCAATCGTGAATGTTCCGGCCGCCTGTGCTTGTGTACTTGATTATCACCCAATACCTACAGTTCGAGCGCTGCTAACGGACACCCGTGGCTGGCTAAATGAACTTCCCGTTGGATACTTACCTGGCTGAGAATTAAATTGTCTCCTCAATGCGGGGGGGCTTCTGATCCTGGTCGATTCTTGGGGTACAAGAAGGGGACCACACAAGTCCAACGGCAATTTCCTCACCCTAGAATACGACTCAGTCTCACGCTTGTGACAATCCGAGTGTATCTATCCTATACATAGGTCGCGTTGGTGTCTCCTTACGGCAGAATCAGCCACGTCCTAGGCGTCTCCAGCCAGCTCTCCGTGATGTCAGAGCATGAGTATATTTCGTTACAATTCTTGTTACAGTACGATTTACATTCGTGATATTTAGGTTTCGACATTTAGCTACCATCAGTGGGTGCAACATAAGTAAATGAAAATGATGTTACAATGTTACAGAAGAATGTCTGTGAGTAATTTACAGATGTACGAGTGGGCGTTATCAATAACTGATGCGATTAAATCAAATCTGGCATTGATTAGACGGGCTTCGCCTTGAGGTCGAATATTTGGTTATTCTCAATTTCATACCAAGGCCTGCGGAAGTATATCAATAACTCAATATTGCCAACGAAGCGGAAGATAATATACTTACGCGTTGCGAAGGAACGGGTGGGCCTTGATGCCGGCGATAGTCGTCATGCAGTACGGCGACCGCGGGTCATACACCAAGGATTTAATGAAGTCAAGGGCGTCGTGGTTGAGGTATTGTTCATGGTTGGGAGGGATTTCGGAGAAGTTAGGGTGTTCAAAGGCCTCCACGCGGTCCCCGCGCCTCTTCAAAACGTCGCGTCTTGGGAGTTCTCCAGTGAGGAGTTCATAAGTAACGATCCCGAGACTGTAAAAGTCAACCCAGAGATTGTAGATTTGGCCGAGGGACATTTCTGGAGGTGCATATTCCGGCGTGCCCGCAGGCTTCCAAAGTTCGTATTGGGGATAGTTGTAGAGACCACGTCTTCGGTCGATGAAGGCATATTGATGTGAGAGGCCGAAGTCGGTCATATGAAGGTAACCGTCTTTATCTACAAGGATGTTTGCTGGCTTGATGTCGCGGTGAAGGATACCATTCTGCTGCATCAACTCAATCATATGGACCTACAAAACGGCCGGGATGGTTAAGATCGATCTTCTTAACACAGAGTTAAGAAACTCACGATCTGGGCGACATAAACCACAGTTCTCTCCACTGAAAAGCGTTTGCGACGGTACAACCATCGAGAAAGATCACCGCACTTATAATAAGTCTGTTTGATGCCTTAGTTGATGTTAGTTGAGAAAAAGCTGAGGACGGACCTGCACAAGAAAGTAATGCGTAGGTGTCTCCATAGCACCCTGGACTTCGGCGAAAAGAGCTCCGTATGTGGACATGTCAGATTGGTGATATATCTCTCGCCGTACGCATCGCCGCTGATATCCGTGTTCCTTCTCATCGTCATCTTTCTCGATGACCTTGACAGCGTACATTGTCGACGTCTGCAGGTCGACAGTGCGATACACCGAGCCGAAGGTGCCTTGGCCGAGTTTGGCGTCAATAATCAGGTCCCTGATGGGGAAATTAGAGACTGCCGTCCGACCATTGAAAGGCATGAGCATAGGCGAGACGCGTTCTCTGCGGCCAACGAGCAGGAGTTTGTCAGTGACTGGCGGCAGTTCCTTCTTGATTGTCTCGTCCTCATCCAGTGGGACTTCTCCGCCTTCGACTACATGAACGGTCGCATCTATTTCGTTGTCGGTGGGTGTCGGTGGGCAGGACGATGTATCGGAAGTAGAGGGGGCGGGCCGAGTGAACACGATTTCCGTCCCAAAAGTATGACGGGTGATTGGCGCAGCGGTAGCTTCAGATGGAACCGCAATTTGTTTCGCTGTTTCCTTGGGCCGGGTGAACACGACTTGCCCGAAGCTGGGAGGCAATGGCGCGACGGTAGCTTGACGCGAAGGTATGGCTGGGTTCGTTGTTTCCTTGGGACGGGAGAACACAGGCTCCTTCGCCACCTGAGGGGTTGGCAGCAAAGGAACTTCAGGTGAAATTGGAGCTTGAAAGACTGTTGTGTCGGGGCGGGTGAACACAGTCCCCTTCCCAGAGGGCTGGGGCAGGATTCGTGACACGGTAGCCTCGGACGGGCTTGGAGCTTGAAAGACTGGTTCCATGGGCGGGACGAGTAGAGCTAGCTCGGGGTTGCCACTGTCCACGTCGGTGGGAGAACAATTTGCCGCGGTGTCAAGGTCGCCGAACGACGGGAACTGGGGGAACTTGACGTGCTTCAGCAACCAGAGCATGGCGGACGCGATGGCAAACAATAGGGCGTTGATTAAGACTTGTATGAGAATAGTGAGAACTTCGGCGACTTCTGAGACGAATGTCGGAACAGAGGAGTCGGCGAGGGAGAATGTGACTATATTATCAGCAACTGCGTTCAAGTCGCGGATCGAAGTCGCAATGGCCCACAATACGATGGCTAACACCGACTTGACGGAGGGTAATGTAAACATAACAATAGATGTCGAAGAGGGTGGAACGTACTTCACTCGAGCAGATGGATGATGCTGGTATGGAGGAAAGAGGCCATTAACCACTGTGGCAGTAATATCCTGGGTGTATACCCCAATAAGGGTAGTAGATGTTATTTGGTTTGTTTGTCCAAAGTGGCAAGTAATCGCTGCATTGTTCTCGCCGGAGTTTTCCAGTGGTGACTCAGTGATCCGTTCAAGAGCATCTCCATCGTAAGGACCGACCAGCGACTTTAACGAAGTCGTCTCCATGATTTTTGCAAGTGAGTGGCGGGCTGCTGGCCTGGACGAGATGCTGATGTCTGCATTGATACCCGTATATCGACCTCTCGTAGACATTGACGCCGGCTAGGCGAGCATACCCGTAAAATGTCCGGTGGAGGTCTCCAACTTCTCGGCGGTCAGGATATGTCAAGAAAATGCGGGCGTAGCATGTTAGGGCCTGGAGAGTATTACTAGGAGGCGTCGAGGCGTCGCAGGGGAGACCAGAATCAATACAGCATTGTTTAGGCCGAGCCAGTGCCAGAAGGGAAGAGCGGAGAGAACCAAGAGGAGGGGGCAAAAACATCGCGGTCGAGTGTCGATGTAAAGGTGAATTCTAGTGCCTCCGGTTGGTCAGTCTGTTGTTAGCATGAATACGAATGTCTCACTGACTTTGTTTGTAGATTTACGCACCTACAACGGGTACTCATGGGACTTAGCCTATTCGGATAGTCGCTAGGCAAATTAAGGCGCAACACACGGCGCCTTCAATCAGACAACCGAACGTCTAGCATTCAAGCCAGGCCAGACAGTATATGCCAACAAATTTATCATCTCAGTAATACCGGTGAGACAAATCAATCAATAACTTACCGAGCGAATGCGATCGTATTAATATTTTAAACGCACCACGGTGGTGCCAGGAAGTATAATCCATAGTTTAGGCAGCCGAAAAAATGACCAACCAAGTGCCAACGCAACACCTTTACAGCTTTGTGAATCAGAATCGTACGCCTTTTGCAATGCCCAGGAGTGATGTTGACATTCTAGTAGGTTAGACTCATCAGAGCGCCTTGCTTCGTCGAAGTTGAAGATCAATAGTGTTCGTGAGTTTGAAACTTAGCCTGGCAACGATTTTTTGAGAAGTTGAACTTCTCTTGGGCCATATTTCGATGTCCGTATTTGGGATACTAAATAGATAGGGGCACGAACCTGGGGACTTGTACTCCACAAGTAGTCGCGATAAGAGTTGGGGGAGGCCAGGCTCTACAGTCAGACTCAACGTTGTTTTTGATCACTGCCTCAGTGAATTTCAAGGTTCGGGTGAATGAAGAAGAGAAATAAAGGGACCCCTTAAGATGCGCTCGATCATCGATCATCATTGTTGCCAACCGGAGACAGTCACCATGTCGGACGGTATATCTTCCAGATTCAGAGCTTGGTTCCAGAATGGAGGAGGCCGTATTCACCAGGACATTGAGTTCAAGCCCGGTGAGTAAGCTATCTCATTCATCGGTCTGGCTTATTTATCAGGGACTGACTCGAAGCGCAATTTTTGAGTTGACTCTGGCCTCGCTGTCGTGTCCCTCAAACCCCTTCCGAAGGATCTGAATGTCATAACATGCCCTCTGTCCCTCGTTGTTACCCCGGAACTATCTCGAGATGCTTTGTCGTCTCTGGGGTTGAACTGCGTGGGACTCACAGAGAAGCAACTAATTTGCACGTACCTCAGTATGCATTGGGTACTTGATAAAACAAGCCAAGAAAACTCAAGTAGCAGTATCCTACCCCATTTCCGTCACGGACCATATCTGTCTATGATGCCAGACCAGAGCAAGTTGCGAACTTCGCTTCACTTCAATCCGCAAGAGTTGGATGCTTTGAAGGGCAGCAATCTCTACGCGGCAACACTCGATCGCTTGTCTGACATGCAGACCAATTGGACGACGTGTCGTGCTGCTGTGGTGGCAGCGGACGCGTCATTGGCGGGAAATTTTACTTTGTATGTTCGACGTCGCTGCTGTACACAAATGAACCCTTAAGTGTCTTCATAGCGACTTGTATTTGACGGCATCAACATATCTAGCTTCTCGAGCATTCCCTTCTTCGATATTGTCACCGAATCCCACACTTGTTGCCTCTCCTTCCTCCTACCCCGTCCTTCTCCCAGGAATCGACACTCTGAACCATGCACGCGGGCAGCCAGTCACTTGGCTTGTCTCATACCCAGATCAGATTGAGGCCGCCTCGGTACGCGACCCATCTGTTTCCCTCGTTCTTCACGCATCAACGCAAACTGGCGAAGAGCTATTCAACAACTACGGTCCTAAGCCAAATTCCGAGCTCATCCTCGCGTACGGTTTCACTCTCCCAGACAACCCCGACGACACAATAGTGCTTCGGATCGGGGGGCAAGGCGGTACTGGCAAGAAATGGGAAATAGGTCGCGACGCGCAGGGTTTCGACGCCGTTTGGGAAGAGGTTTACACGATCTTCTCCAGCCAGGCAAATGATGAGGAAGTAGAACCTTTCGCAAATGAACTGGACACGGCAAACATGTTGATCGATATGCTGGGTACCCTTCTCGAAAGACTACCCGATGACAATAACTTCGCCATTGAAATACGACACGATGTTCAAACAATGATCAGCCACTATATTGAAGGTAACAATATTATGTACTCAACACGTCCTTCTTAACAAGTAAATTTGATCAGGACAGCAAGGTATTCTCGAAGCAGCTCTACAGTACTGCGAAAAGAAGAGAGAGGATGCTCTGAAAGTCGCCAATGAGCTAGGGTTCGATTTGTCGTTCGACGACGACATTTAAACTCTGCATGTAAACTCTACCACTGAAGATGATCGCTCATGTATAATTTGAATCCCTCCGACCTATCGCGAGCCACATCGGTGCAATGGCTGAGACTCGTTGATGGTGCAGCCTCGAAGGTACGAGAGAAGTTGGTGACCTCTACTAGTAGGTGCTACATGTTCCCCGCAAATGAACATCCTCTTTCCCAACGAGTAGGGCATGTCCGCTTGCTCGAGATATGTGGGTTCTCTATATTCCTGTGCGGGATCAAGAATAAGGTGCACATAGTGTGTGGGTGGCGTATGGAATCAACGGAACGTTAAGGCCGGACGTTATGCGGTGCAATAAGGTGTGTAGTCTCCGCCGGTCCACATGATATACAACTTCTCGTCTCACTTTTTCCCAGACCTAATCATCGCAGTCACTGAATCGCCCATGCGTTCTGTGAGATTGATCTAATATTATAGAGTCAGCCCAACGTGCATCAATGCATCAACACATCAACGCTCCATCTTCATCGGTCAAATTTATTGCTTATAACACCTCGGTTGGCTCCACTTGTATGACTTGCCTCTTTCCTACGCGATGTACCTGCTAGATAGTGTGTGAGTCGATCTCACCTTCCCAGCTACCGAGGCTCCCCCTAACCACCCATATAAAACATGACCAGCAGAGGCCCAACTCTAATTGGCCTTGGTCTCAGCTTATCGTTGTATGGGGTGTGTACCAAATAAGACACCCTGCCATCAGAGTTGACTTACTTGGAATAGGTACTCATCGCCCAGGTACGGATCCGCCGTTGTATTTCAGGCTAGTGGCTATATACTAAAGATAGCACACGGTTTGTAGATGACACTTTATTGGCGAACCTACGCACTTACTTCGTGCGTAGTACCATTCGGAACCCGGGCCTCACTGAGACATTCTGACAGAGACAAGAAAGACAAGATCTGGATTCGCTACTTAGTAAGTCATGTAGGCCCCGCGTTGCTGTCTAGTCTGACATTCCTATAGATGCTCTACCTTTTTGGACTCGAGACCGTGATGGTGGTCTATGACATTGAAGCCACCGCCTCTTGTCTCTTCTCCCCCATACCAGCTCTCAACATACCTGAAGATTCTACAAATCCTTGTGAGTGCTACTTCCTTTTAGATGGTACTTCGCTCAACGGTCTGGCTCAAGTATTATCAACTAGTAAGTGCAGCCATGATATCGTGCCAGTCTCTGTACATTTAACCTTCGTGCTGTATAGATGCTATATTGACGGTACTCTTTACCAATCCTGGCCTACGCTAGCGACTTACTCTCCATGGGGCTTAGGTACTTCTATCTACCCCCGTGCAAATGTTCTTGTCCTGGAGGATTTTCGCCCTCTCGCGTGGCAAACTCATCGCCGCCTCCATAATTGCTCTTGCGGGTACATCGCTCGGTACGATCTAATCTGTTCTCTCTCAAGTCGCCAAGGCTCTTGACTCTCAAGCACCGACTTATTTCTAGTTTCTGGCATGATAACCGCATCCATAACCCCGCGAGGCGTCTTGCTGGCAGAGTTTCAGTTCTCTTCCGACCCTTCGAATATCCCGATGGTGGTCTGGTTGTTATCTTCCGCTCTCGCCGATATCCTCATTACTGTCGGCCTCGTGGCCTATCTAGTACGTTGGGCCCATCTCCAATTAGTGGGCTAAGTGGTCATCTATCTATATATTAACTCTGCGCCTTAGCATCCTCGTAAAACAGGATTTGCATCTACAGACCTTCTTGTTGTTCGAATAATTCGACGTGAGCTCACTAGAAGGGGATTAAGACTGTGCTAATTACCAAGCAGTTGCAATTCAAAGCGGGATGGCGACAACGGCATGCGCAGTCGCAGAGGGGATACTGGTCCTCGAACAAAAGGTACGATCCCCTTGCTTCTCGTACTTGTAGCATAGAGCACTAACAATGTTCCCCAGCGCTTTCAACTCGCTTTGTAAGGGCAGTGCAATCTGTGGTGTAATGGATACTGACACAGAGATGGCCAGCTACTTGATCCCTGAATTCATTTTATCGAAGCTATATGTCAACTCCCTGTTTGCGACGTTGAATGCTCGGGAAAAGTGGAATGGTCTGCTAAGAGATGATCGTCCCACTAGTTTCTTGCAATTCAACAATAACAGTAATCACAATGGCTCGGAACAGGTGAGCATTGTGAATCACCGTAATCTCTGTGCTGACCTGGCTCCAGACGTCTCACACTGGTTACTGTTCTTCGGAAACGCTTGAAGCTGGCATGAGCTCTGTTGCAGGTATCAGAGAAGAGGTACGCAACCCAGCGAGTGGAGTTGCGTTGAATCCGGTTGTGCAGAGACTTTGAGACTCCTGATGTCCCCTTTCCTTCTTCCAACTACATACCGAAGACAACGTCAATTTTTACCAACTACTGTAGCCATAGCGTGTCATATACTACGAACATACACCATACTCAATCTTCCTTTCCGATAGCCAAGTCCCTTCGAAGTACCAAGGCAGAGGTCTGGATGGGTATCCGAGACGTTAGGAGGAAGTCAGGGGGCAGGAGTAAGAAGGCTCATAGTTCCCACGCTCACAAACACAGTATCTTGAGGTCGGTCTGCGGCTCTGAGCACAACTTACTCCGACTCCATCACTACACGCGACATCACGATGACCTCCAGGCCAATGAACGACGATGAGGTGCTCAGCGAGATGAACAAGATGGTCCGCAGTTTACTCGCTGACTCCAGCACGCCAGTGAAGTCTAAGCCGAATCCATAGGTCGCGTTCATCAAGCAAGAGGCATTAGAGAAGGCTCGGGAGATACGAGTCAAGGCAGATGAAGAGTTTGCTATCGAGAAAGTCCGTCGTTGCTCACATGTCCAATGTACAAGGCTAATAACATGCATCGGATCCGTAGGCCAAGCTTGTCAAGCAAGAGCAACAAGCCATTGATGCTCTATACGACAAGAAGCTCAAGGGCGTCGATGTTTCACAGAAGATGTACGCTATATGCGTCTGTGTTATGCAATATATAGGAGCGCTGATCTAAAGCCCAGCGCGCAGTCTACGTTGACCAACAGATCCCGACTAAAGCTCCTTCACCGACGCGAAGAGCACCTCCAAGATCTTTTCGACTCCGCACGTTCCCAAATCTCTACACTTGCCAGCGATAAAGGTCGCTATGTTCAATTTCTGGAAGGCATCATCGTACAAGGCTTCCTACAGCTGATGGAATCGGAAGTGACTATTGAATCACGGAAGAAGGACGTAGAAGAAGTCACTCAGGCGGCGGAGGCGGCTGCTGGGACTTACAGGGACCTAAGCGGGAAGGATATCAAGTTTAATGTCTCAGGGGTCCTGAACGATAACGGGTGAGCTTGCTTAGCCATGAAGGTGTGAAGCTAACGCGAATGTCTGGCGTTATAGAGCTGGTGGTATCAGAATGATAAATGCCTCTGGCAGAATCACAATCGACAATACCTTGGACGAACGGTTACGATTACTGGAGGATCGGGTGAGTGGTGGCGCCTTCGTTTAGATTGACCTTGTGTTGAGATCCCCCATTAGATGCTCCCTGAAATCCGGCGGGATCTGTTTGGAGCGAACGAGAATCGCAAGTTCTATACATAAGATGCCCTTCGATGAGAACCTACCTTTCACTCAATCGCCCATGTAATGAAGTTGCACTACCCTATATGCATGCCAGGAAGCTCATCTACCGCTTGGACATCGCGCTACGCCTAGGCTTCACCTCACATCCTAGAAGTCACGTATGACTTGCTAGTTTCCCCGCATTCCCGATCACTGCTAAGCCCCAGAAAAGCTCAAGTGAGGCTTTGACTATCGTGTATATCAAGCTAATGCCGGTAGGCATCGTGGTATGGTGCCGTTTATATGGGCAACATCCAGGACGCAAGAATCCGCACACGAAATCAGACTCCCAGTCCAGGAAATGATATTCTTGGTTTGGTTTATGTTGAGGTTGATCCTTGCACACCGCGACTTGGAACACTCCGTTGGCCCCTCGCGTCAATGTGTAGGTCCCTTTAGAGTGTCGCTTAAGACCGGGCCGGGCGTGCCCGATGTGTCACCGAGATGGCTTACACCTGATGTTACCAAGATCTGACCAATTAACCATCAAGCATCAAGCATCGCTGCATCAGCAGTCAGTTCACATATGTAGGTGTCCTGGTTATATAAAAGGGAGGCGTCCCGAAGAGACCACCATCGCAATCATCCCAGCTGCAGCAACACTTTCACCCCGCAAGTCATATCTTCCCGCGTAATGTCCAGCGAACGAGTCTTGGTGCGAATTTTAGGACGACGGCATACTTTGTAGTCCCTGACATGCCGCCTATAGGTCACCGGCGCGTCGGGCTACCTTGGCTCGCATATCGTCCAAACCCTCTTAAATTCAGGATACAACATCCGGGCGTCAGTACATTACTAGTTTCAGTTAATAGTTCCTTTACTGACCCCCCATTAGCACAGCTCGCCCCTCCAAAGTTGCCAACCTACAAGCTTCCTACACCGACGTGTACAACACGGAAGACTCACAAAGAGTCCAAGTAGCACCGATATCTGACTTGGTGCACGGCGAATTCCCCGAGATCTTCGAGGGAATTGACGCTCTTATCCATGTTGCGTCTCCTCTGGCGGGTCGCGAAGACCCTGATTCGACGATTAAAACTGCTGTGGAAGGCACACTCAACATGTTACGACAAGCGGAGAAGGCAGGCATCAGTAGAATAGTGGTCACCAGTTCCATCGCTACCGTCATGAACAAAGTAGCAGAGACCAGCGATGCTACTATCAAGGATTCGGGTAAGCCGATTCGCTCATACAATGGCATCGACATCACCACCTTACGCGGAACCAGATTGGAGCTCAGCTCTCAAGGAGGATGTAATCAAAACAGGAAACCCACTCCTCATATACTGCTTCGCGAAGACAGCTGCCGAGAAGGCAGTTTGGGAGTTCGCAGATGCTCATCCTCATGTTGACATCACTACAAGTGAATTTTACTCCTTCTCAAATACTACGAGGAGGTGGTATCGCTCACAACTTTATTCTAGTTAACCCGCCATTCCTCTACGGACCATTTGCTCCCACACAGAAATTCCCGACATTCGATCCCTCTGCTCTATCTACCGTCCTTTTAATCCACCAAATTATTACACCGGACGGCCCCTTCCCCCCTAATGCTGATCACACGGATGTCCGCGACGCAGCCAAAGCCCACGTCCTCGCTTTGAAGGCTCCTCCTTCATCTCTTGTCGGGCGCAAACGCATCTTCATCGCTTCTCCACACAGTCTCGACTTCGCTACCATCACACACTTCATCGCAGAAAAGCGACCAGCTTTGAAGGATAGATTGACACAGACAACCCCGCCAACGATGATGAGGGACCGGGCCCCTGTTGACTTCGCTCGGATCGAACAGGTTCTTGGCTTGAAGAAGGCTGATTTTCATGATGTGGAAGATACAATCCTGGAGACAATTGATCAATTGGTGGGGCTTGAGGCTATATGGAAGTCTGCGACATGATGGCAAATCGATTTCATAAAACGAGTACGCCGCGAATGATATTCAATATACGGGAGTGGTCTATGCCTTTACAGATAAAGTGACTAGGAGAACCAGAATGAAACAGAATAGTATATGCCCTTAGGCGTGGATGGGCTGAACATTCCAAGCCTCGCCAGTCGCGGCCTTGACTTCGGATGCCGAGAGGAGACCTTGCTTGACCGCTTGCTGCAACACCTCGAGACACCAGTCTTGGCAATTCCATTTTCCGTCAGGAACTCTTACCGGTGCGTTATTCGCTATCTTCTCCAAAGCCTGGCGTTGGGCCAAGGTCATCACCTTCAGAGGGATCGCAACCTTGCTTGTTTCTTCCCTCGGGGTCACCGCGTCGGTCATGACTCCCCAATTAGTGAGGTGCGGAACGCCAGGGTCCTGGACGATGTGGCAGCGCCTTTGCGCAGTATGGCCAGTGCCGGTTACACCAATGTCCCAGCAGAGCATCCAGTGACCGTCGCGCGAAGTCATCCTCGGTCCAGTGCGGTATTGAAGTGCGGGGCAGACGGTGAGTGTGACGACGAGATTCATATTGGGGTCAGTGGGGTTCATGACTCCCATGCGAGGGGGCATGCCTTGGGGACGACCGAGGTTGGGCAAGTAGGGCATGCTTCGTGGCGACGACAATCTAAGATGAATGCTGTAGTTTTGTTAGTTCATCGAAGTATCAGACATGGGTTGATCTCGGGGACGCACCAGATGATATAAAACTTAAGAGACAAGATGCTGTCTTTCCTTGCAGCGAACGGCGGGCTTAAATAGTATTAACATCGTAATTTGGCCACTGTTAAATAAACGTGGTGGGTGGCCAGGTGGGCGAGTGTGGCCTTGCAGGACAATGGAAGGGTGGGGGCCACGAATACTAATTACCTGAATAGGAAACTGGACGTTTCTGGGACTTGACACGACCCTGTGGTCTGTAGGGCCATGATGCATTATTACTGGCATAGTAATGTGTTCAATACTAAATGGCCAATTGGTATTACAACGGCCGGCTTCAAAAAATCGGGTTGCTCGTCCACTGTGCTTGCTGTATTATCACTTCCGATGCAACAGATTATAAGACGTACCGAGGGGCCAAGTCCGGAGTTATCGCGAAAATAGTATAGTAAGCGGAAACACTGGGGACAATTAAGGGTGGCACTCTCTCCCTCTACAGAATATCGTAGCATATCATATATATTCAGAGCTACTGCGTGTAATAACAACTCGTGCGTGTATGCGTGCAAGGGTGGAAAGGCGAAATGAGAACGAACGACAGATCTAGGTAGTAGGTAAAGACAGCACGTTTCAACATTGACGGAAATTAAAACAAAGAGTCCAGGAGGTTGCAAGAAATGAACGATAAAAATACAAGATATGAAAGTCAACAAAACACTTATGGGGTTTCGTGGATGGCGATGGATAGGTGGCGGATGGCGGATGGCGAACAGTGTTAAAAACGGCAACAGTAAGTATATAGGTATGCCGAGGCAACCGGGAGGCAGGGTATAGGAGTGTCTGGAACAACTTGAGTCATTGATATGGTATAAGTCTATGGGGTCGATATGAGTTGTATCGTGTTTCATGCATGTATGTGCCAAATGCAATGGTGTTGATATAATAGCATAGTATCGTTCTGTTACGCAGTCCTTCGGTGGTTTGTTTCTTCATGTGGGGAGTCACGAAAGGATGGCAAGGCATACTTCGTAGTCACCTTGCTTAGTCGATGTTACAAATCTTCCACATCTTGACCGAATCGCTAACAATGACAAACTCGAGTCAGCAAACCAACATCCACTCGAGTCCGGAACAGAAGTCCATGATAAACGGAGGCACCGAGGAAGTAGGAAGTAAGGAATTTAGGAAGTAAAGTCTTCCCCAGAAAGGGCTGGGCCGACGGGCCCGATCGTGATTGATCATGATCGCGCGCTCCGCTGGCGACTCGCCATCCCTAGCCCCTCTCTTGCTAAAGGAAGATCGCGATAGAGAATGTAGGACCACAAACAAATTCCACAGAATAAAATAGCCAGAGATCCCCCCCAAAAAAGAAACAAGAAAATAAAGGAATACGGGACACTCACATCCTAAACGACCTTTCATCTTCGTTCAGCGGCCAAGTCTGGTACCACTGATCCTTGGCATTGAAAAAGTCCCTCATGGCAGTTTCCGATCCGTCATACCACGGCTTGCCACCGAGGTTATCCGGGAACCAGCCCGAGGTCCCTCCAGCAGACAAATCGATCACCAAATGAAACGCTGCAACATCGTCATCAGCAAACGCCCACCGAAATAAGGGGACAATGAAGAGGTGAAAAGGCTCACGTTGATCAAAAGGCGCGCTCGCGGCCGCCCCATCCCACGGGTTCTGCACCACGACCTCCGCGCTCCCATTTCTCGCCGTCTTCGGGAAGTCGCCACGGTCAAAGATCGATTTCCCCTTCGGCCCGCCCACACCACCCAGCTTTCCCCCGTTCTCAATCTGCACCTCCAGCACCCTCCGCACTTTACCGTCGAGATAGAACCTCACCCACTGCGGGGTCCACTCCATGCCATAAGTGTGGAAGGACGCGTCCAGGGGCTCGCGTTTGTTGGTGACGTACCCGAAGATCCGTGCAGAGAGGGGGGCCAAGAAGGAGGGTGTCAAGTTCGAGCCGGTGAAGGTTTGACCTACATTTCGAGGCAGTTAGAAAGTAATTCGAGAGAAAGGCGGGCGACTGCTTACCAGCACTGTCTCTGGTAGCTTTGAAGGGTCCAAAGAACAGGCCGGATTGACTTGTAGCACTCGTGAAACCCAGCGGCACCTTCTCCTTCTGCGTGGGCGTATTACCCCTGGATGAAAGTAGGTCGATCCGCCCGCTCAGTGGACCATCTCCGTATGTAGGCTGCTCAGGGTACAACGAGATGGAGGGCCACAACCAATTCCTATTCACCAAATCATTAAATCATGAGTGCGTCATGACACGAACATTAAATGCTCACCCTTTCGGCAGCTTCGCTCTAACCTCTACTTTTCCATACTTCAAGCTCTTCTTGCCCCTCGTACTCAACCTTGCTGAGAGCACTGGGTTGATGACCTTCCCAAGAGCCTGGTTCGACGAGACGCTGCATCCTTCACCAGCGACGGTTACCGTCGTAGTCCTGTTCCCATTCTTCTGTTCAACCTGCCTTGAGCCCTCTGAGCAATTCGGGACTGTGAAGTTCGCGCCATTGAGCACCTAGTCGACCCCTTGTGTCAGCACATCCCTCCAAACCGCTGACAAAAAAGTAAAGACAAATGTAAACTTACATCATTATTGCTCAACCCAAGATCGCTCTCCGACGTCAACGTCGGGTAGAGATACAACTGTCCGTTTCTGACGAACGAATTCTTGTCACTGTCACTGGACATGCTGAACGCATTCACGCCCAGCCCCGAGGCAGTATTCTCGTGAATCCAATTATCCTCGCTGATCCCACCCCCAAAGCTGTCGTCCATCACCAAGCATAGCTGCGAGTCTGACAAGGTGTTGACATTCGAGACACCGATGAAACAAATGAGGGCGGCTCCGATGATGCCGAGGAGGATGAGGAAGAGTGTGGACCACCAGGACAGCCTGTGGGCACAAGTTTGCGTGAGTAAAACGAGTGATGGTCATGAGACGAGAAGTGTATTAATATAGCCGATGGATAGACGGACAGGCATTCATTCATGAGAGGCACGAAGCTTATTCCACATCTTTTGATAGGGACGGCTGGGAAACAGAAGTGCACTTACGAGCCTCTTACATCCCTCTGCTTCATCCAAGGTTTGTCGTCCTTGGTCAACTTAGCAGCCAGGCGAGTTGAAGGTAGAACCTTTTTCTTGGGAGCGCGAGCCGGAGGGTACGGGTACGCTAGTTGGGCTAGACCGAGACAAACACGTAAGCGCAAGGCTTCTCGAAAATGAAAGAATCACATAAATGAATAGATGCAAATGAATACAGACCTAAGTTTGGCGTGCTTCCGCCATCGATACCGTCAGAACCATTCGAGGGTGGTGTTCCGCCGGGCACGTGGGGGAATGTGGGAAGCTGTGGATAGGAAGGAGGAGACCACAACGATGAGGACGGACGAGAAGCAGGAGAAAGGAATGGTGCACGGAAGGAATGTGTTGACGAGGTCCGAGGAATGCCACCACCATTTCCGCCCTGGCTCGGAGGATAAGTTTGGTGAGGGGAAGGGGGTGAAGCTGATAACCCGGCTGCTGCAGATTGACGGTATACCGAGTTAGAAGAAGAACCAGCAACACTTGCATTCAAATTGGTGGTTGAGTTGTTGGCTGAACCCGAGCCTGAAGCGGGCGAATTACCGCCCTCGGCCATGAAGGGTGCATGCGGCCTCCCGAGCTCATTGTACGTTACAGCTGGCGCATAGTTGCTCCACGAATCGGAGTCAAGGCTCGTCCGGTTTCCAGCATCCCTGTTCATCTCGAGACTGTACCTTCGAGGAATACCAGGGATTGCCATGCCTGGGTCTGGGTTTCCTACGTACGCCTGGAACGGGAAGGGGTACGCCGAAGGAGGCGGGCGTCCCCTCAGTACACCTGGTGAGACTGGTCGTTCGGCTCTACTGGACGTCGGCGACGCAGAAGGTTGCTGCTGCTGTCGGGTGTCCTGTGGGGCGCTCAGGGCAGCGGGAACGGTGAGGATTTGGGAATGTGGGGAAGTGGCCATGGGGTCGTCCTGGTACAACGCTGACGGCGACCAGGCTCCGCTTTCACCTGGACCTTGAGCTTGATCATTAACGGCACGAGTATTGGAGGCTGTCTGTGATCCTGTGGAGCCTCGTCGTTGAGGCATTGGGCGGCCTCGTGGGGGCCGTGCCGCCGCAACATTCTGCGGGACGGCATGTTGGGTGCGGAATGGGGTAGCGCTCGTGGGAGGTTCCCTGTCAGAGTCCGTGTCGGTGGTGTACGCGTCCTCGTCACCGACGAAGAAGGGGCGGGGCGGGGGGAGCGCGTTGTCCGACATGGTGGGGTCGACGCTGCAAACGACGACGACGACGAGAGATGCTGGTGGTCAAAAGGAAAGAGCGAAGGGCTGAAGAAAAGAGTAGCCCCAGATAAGGATAAGGACGAAATTTTCAGAAAATGCATTATAATAGGGAATTGTACTTCCTTCGTTACGGCCAAAGTTTCCACAAAAGCGCGTTCGTTCTCCTCCGAAATCTCGATCGATTGACTGATCGAAACCAGGTCCACTTTCTTTCCATTTCGATCTCCGCTTCAGCCACGATGTAGTCAAAGAACTCCGCTCCCAGTTATCGCCTTATCGCGGTCAGTCGTCTTCCTTCTTCGCGATCCTCCGCCCGGGCTATAATACGATAAAAATTGGCTCTGAGCCTATATTGCTGATACCCATTATTCGGAATAATCGCACCGGAATGCACGTACCACCGGGCCAGAGCATGTCACATACACTCCAGGTTACCGTCGCTGATGAACCCACCCACGATAAGCCACGGTTTGCAGGGAAATTACGAGTGACGTCACGAGGGATGTCATTTCCTCGTCATCTACCCAGTCTTCTTTCCACTTTACACCCAATTCGACCGGAGAAAAAAATAAAAATAACGATCTGCTGTGACAGTATCTACTGATGCACGATTCTCACGGAAGAATAATCCATTGCGGAAAACAAGGGAAAATATGTCACACGACAATTCGGTCAATGTGAGAGTACTGATAGCATTGATCATTTTCAAACTACAAGCGCTGTCACGCACTCTTGTTCGCTATTCTCTTCCGATATATTGATGGCCAATGATTTCGACCAGTTTTGTACGAAGGCCTCAGAGAATCCGGCCGCCGACGCTACTCTTGCTCGTGCTGCGTTTCCACACAACTTGTCTTAAAGGAAACGGGTATATATATCATGGTATCGAACCAGTGTGTGCAACAATGCGAGGTACGATAGTATGTATAGTAGCGAGTGGCAAGTAAGTAGTTGGATACGTGCACACATATAGCTTAAGTATCGAGTATCAAATCCAAAATACCCCAAAGACACAAGAGAAGAGCGAGAGCGTAATTTACGGGTTACGGGTTACGAGTTACGAGTTGTTCTATCTAAACGAGTGGCTGAGTAGGACAAATGAGCAAGACAAATAATTAGCGATATCAGTGTACCGGCGTATCAGTGTGTTGGGTGGAGTGGCAGCCTATTGGAGTGTCCGTACGAAAGGCGTGTGTGTGTGCGAGAGCAAGAAAAACCGGAAGCGGAAAACAACAAATGTCTGTCCAAGATAACAAAGTACGAGAGTCTATGGGTGCCGAATTGCATGCTTGAGTGCTGATTTTAGTAACTGAAAATCATAAGCCAGGGGTTGAGGACGATCTACCATATGCATCAGTTAAAATATTCTCTCAATGAGCGACATATCACCCACCGGTTGTAGAATGTGACTGGCAGTCGATATACTAAAACAGAGCCATCAATATGGATACAAAGCCAACGAGGGAAAAAGAGGGACGTACGCAAGGGGTAAGATGACCGCCCAACTCGATCCATCGACGCGCCATTGGTACGGCACCAGCGACGTGCTGCATATGATCATAGCTACTATGATAGCGATGGAAACCACCATTGAGAACCAGAACCTGCGCACAAAAATAAAAGCAAAGATCAGCATTCCGGCTAGACATGAGAGGGAGCTGCAATAGAGACAGAAGACAGAAGAAGAGAGAAGACGGGGAACTCGGGGGCTCGGGGACATGGGAGGCGTATAGGAGACAGGGGGCACGATATGGAAGGCGTCAAACGTTAGGAGTTGGCGCCAGACGTTCGAAGCCCGATGAACAACGCATCAAGAACTGAGGATGAAAGACCTAGATACGCACCGTTTCGCAATCTTCGGCACCTCCTTGAAGAAGTTCGAGCGTTCTACTTCCTTGATCGTTGCCGACCACGTAATGTTGTACGAGAACAGATGGGCGAGGAGGGCCTGGCTCACAGGGATCGCCATGCCGCCGAACAAGAAGAAGCTACAAACATACAAACAATGAGCACCTATCAAGAATCGGAACTAGGGGAAGTACTCACAAATACGGAATCCACATGATGTTCTCCACGAATCCCCAGACCTACACATAAAAGGTATACCATCAGCCACCACATTCCACCTCTGGTAGCACTAGTCGAAGCTCAGGCACTTACCAACGGCTTATGCCCCAATCGGTACTCCAGGAGCGTGTACCCAAAGTTGCCTGAACCGTAGAAAACGACCGTGGTGGCGAGGAAGATCTCAAACGACGCCATGTAGAATCCATCAACGGGGAACTGGAATCCTAGGAACGCGTAGTTGATGATGCCGATAGTGACCGTGCCAGCTATACCGTCTGTTATGTTGTCGTTGTCGTTTTGCCGCAACCAGGGGTAATGATTCCAAAGTCAGCGGCAGTTCCATCCATTAAGAGAGGAGAGATGGGACTCACAGTATGAGAACATGTCTAAAATATGAGGGAACCGGGCATCAGTGACCTGCGAGGTAAAGAAAAAACGGCTGGACGTACATGCCAACGTCGAGATCTTGTAATGCAACGGGGCGCTAGACCATATGAACCGATGAATTTGCTTGGCAATGGGCCCTTTCCTCCACCACTGGACGAAGGGGTTGAACAACAACCTAAACAAATAAAAACAAAAATCAATAAAAGTTCTCTCCCTTCCTTTCCCGCGAAAATGGGGGTGCAAGTAAGCAGGAAAGAGACGCACTCGTTACATCCATATGCGTATTTTTGCCACCTGTTCATTTCATCGTCGATGGTGAGGGACACACCCTCTTTGAAGCCGCCCTTCGAGTACGTCGCCCACCGGATGACGTACCCTTTCTGCAACAACCGCAGCGCCATGTCGAAATCTTCCGAGACGTTTGATTCGGACCAGATCTTTTCTTTGCCGTCTTCAGGATCGATGAAGGCGGCATCTTGAATGGCTTTCCAGCGCAGGAACCTGCAGAGGTGTAAATAATATTAAGATAACTTGAAAATAACTCGAAATCATGGGGAGGACGTACGCATTGTGACCCATGAAAGGAGCGACTTCGCCGTTGGCACAAGCTATAAACCAACCGTTAGTGAAGCTTGTAACACCCGAAGCGCCATGCCACCCACCCATAGAGATACATCGATTGACACGCCGAGTAAAGTACGCAATTCCGTTCTCGAAGTAATGGTGGGCGACTTGCATAACATCTACAAGTAATCAAACACCGGTCAGCACGACGAAGAACCTCCTGGGTGAATGAAGAAAGTTGAACCCACCCGACTCATGTTGAATGATCGCTACAGTAGGGCATTCTCGCATTTCCCTAGCGGCATCTCTCAGACAGTCCTCTGGCACCACCGTGTCCGAATCTACAATCAAGACGATCTCTCCAAGCCGACATGCCTTCCCATTCGCCGCCCAGGGTCTAAATCTCCCACCGGTACTCTCAAACTCCTCTTCGATTGCCATCCCCAGTGCCTTCTCCTCCAAGTCCACCGAATCAGCCACATTGTTGTTGTCATCCCCCTCCCGATGCTGATACTGCATCCCATACTGCGCTTCGCCACCAGGACCAGTACCGACGGGAGCACCGCTCCCCGAGCTCGTTCTGTGATTCGTAGTAGCCGTCATAGTCGAGGCATGGGCGTTGGAGGGCGGATTGCCCGCAGACATAGTGGAACTCCTCTTGCTCCTCTCGTTCTCCTGCGCCTTCTGCTGTTCGATCTCCAACAACCCCTCCAAGTACTTCTCTGCCTTCAACGAAAGCGCTAGGCCGTAGTTCATATTCGAGGCCTTCTTGAAGCGTCCGGCGCGCTTGAACCCATCAGGCGAGTCATCATGTCGCGGGCGGGCAACCCAGCCGATACCGTGGTTGGCGTAGAAGGCGATTCGTTCGTCACGGTCTGCTTCAGGTAGAACCTAGGGAAGTAAGGTATCAACCTAAGCAAGGTCAATATCGAAGTCGAAGACTTACTCGTAATCCATCGTCGTTCACAAAAATAGTCGAAGTCCCGCCCTGGCGGGCATACGTCTGCATAGCCTTCTTGAGGGACAATATCGAGGGAGTCCTACAAAGAAGCAACCACAGTTAGCTTCACCTCACCCACAACCAAACTGGAGCTTGGCATCCTAAAAATACACTTACAAGACGGACTCCAAGCTCTCTTTGTACACCGGCATCTGGATCGTCATGTGTGGGAGGTCATTATCAACGGCCTTGTTCGCTCGGGGCTTCACTGCGGAGTAGTACTTGGAGTTTTCGTGGAAGTGTGCGACGGGGCCCACGCTTTGTGAACAAGGCGCAGAGTTAATCAGGGGTTTTATAGGAGGTGACGAGGGGTTAAGGTAATAGAAATACGCACGCATTGCTAATGTTTTGGATCAACGAGAGGGCAAAGAACTGTTGGAGATCAATGATTAGTTGTAGTAAGTCAATACCTAGTACATCAACAGGTTCTCGAATAGAATAGACATACCAAGGAGACGCAATAAAGTAGTGGCAGCGTTATACAAAGGGCAAAGCGTAAGAAAGCCCCGTCCATGGTCCATTCTTGCAACAGTATCTCTATAAGAGCGATTATCAGTCAAAGATCCTCACCATAGACACACAATGGGACTTACTGAGACCGTTCCCGATGAACACTAGGCAGACCCAGATCAGCACACTATCAGCAAAGAGCGGGCGAATGACTCACAAAACGCCATGGCAGCAGCGATACCATTATACACCGGGGCATATAACATCGCAGGCCTCTTCTCCGGTGCTCCCCGTTCCACATCGTCCTCGTCGTCCTCATCACGCACGTACACCTTCTTGCCATACCACGTCCTCTTCATCTTCCCTCGCTTTCCCCCCGTATGCTCGGGCGCCAAGGCATCCTTGCTTCGTCCTGCGTCCCCAATACCGCCCATACCTCCACTGATCCCACCGATCCCCAGCCCGAGTTTCTCTTTCTCCGAGTCAACGCTATCATGCTGGTACGAGCTGCCTGATCTCGTTTTTCTGTTTGATGCGGTGAGCGAATGTCCCGAGACACTCCCTGCGACTGATCCCGAGGTCGAAGGAGGAACAGGTGGGCGCGAGCGCCATAGCAGCTTGATAAGTCGTTCTTCGAAATCATGGCACGTTGGGATGATGGCATCGAGGGAGTGCGACCATACCACCAAGACGCGTTCATCGCGCTACGAAACAATCATCAGCACAAAGTAAAACCTCAAAGCCCTTCCTAGTCGTAAAACTCACGATGAAGGCCGCGCACTGTTCCTTATCCGCATTCGGCAAATGCAGCATAGTATCCAGAATCTGAATTCTTGTATTCGAGTCGACATAGATGCTCGTGTCTTCTGGCGGCCTGTCGTAGTATCATACATGACGTAGGTCAGCACCCCTCCTGCAAACACAAACCCCTCCTGCAAACACAAACCAAACCCAATAGAAAATAAAACGAGGCGCAGAATGGGAATGCCCGTGGAATCAGAAGACTCCACTGCGAGCCTCCACCGATCGTGTAAGATCTCCACCAATCTCCGATCTACCACATCACCGCCAATGGAGAAAACAAATACGTTAGTGGGGGCGCGCCATATGCTGCCATCATCAACGGTATAACCAGCCCAACCAATGATACGCTTTTTGCATCATAAACATCACAAGTCGGGAGCGAGAAAATAAAAAGACAGATGAAAAGGAAAGCGTGGGTGCACCACAAACGGATTGGTGTGTAGGCAATCACCGATGTCACCCAAAATGAATAGAAATATATCACGCCCAATCCACCATCTTCGAAGGTTAATGAAGAATGGATAGAACACAGCGCGCGAGAACCACGTTCCCGGCCCGTTGACATGGACGTAACAAACGGTCAGAGGAAAGGAAACCACACGCCAGAAGAGGAAGAAGGGGGATTCGGGACTTCCCCCGCGTTGCTAAACGCCACAGAACGCCTCCCCCTGTCCATCCCTGGTCTCCCTATCCAGGTCGGTGTTCGCTGCACCGAGCACAGATGAACGCGAGAATGCAGGAGTGCAGGAATTAATCCCCACTCAAGCGCACCACCACTCGTGTGCACTACGCTGAAACGCAATAAAAAGGGCGTAGCAAAGCACGCCGCGTCGAAGAGAGAAAAGAGAAACAAACATCAAGAAGTACTCACGTCTCCGCCAAAGCAGCATGAACAGCTGCATTCCTGAGCTTGACTGCTACTTCCGGGTTCAATCCCACTACTGCCTGCTCGAAAGGCTCGAGTTCTGCCCTTTCATATGGGAATATCCTGAATTCTGGGGGTTCGCTGTTGGTTGGGTTTCCGGGGGAGATTCGGAGTGCGACACCGGAAGAGATGTGTTGCTCGTCGGGGCGGAACCATGCGTCGCCCTGGGTCTGGCGAAAGAGGTAGTGCAGCACGGCGTCCCAGCGGTCGTAGTCCATCGCTGAGGAGGAGGTCGGTGGGCACGAGGAGGAGGAGGGTGATGGTGAGTGAGTGAAAGAAAGAAGGGAAGGGAAGAAAAGAGAGTATTGCGACCGCGCAAATTCGAAAGGGAAATGGAAATGAGCTTGTATGTAACGCAGGATTGTATCTGGATTCTCGCCGATCGAATTCGCTGAACCTGAATCGAGAGACGTCCAAATTCGGTGTCAAAGTATATTTATATTTCCGGAAATAATACTGAAATCCTGTCATCGAAAATTAAAAATGTGACAGTGACCTGGACTCTCACGATACCTCGAAGGGATCTCCTACCTGATTCTCCCAACTCCTCGTTCTCCGCCTTAAAGCGCCCGAGTCGCTGATCGTGCAAGGTTTGATGTGGTTGGTAGCAGGTACGTACGTTGTCAAGCTCGACGCTGTCATAGATAACGTGCGCAGGGTACGATAAGGAGTGATCCATTGATGCAGGATCCACAATTAAAATGGCAGAAGTGCAATCGGCAAAGCTTGATAACGATGATGTCGAGTGGGACGTCGTCCGAGATGATATTCCAGATTCGTAGGGTCCAGGGAGTTGACTTTACTGGCCGCCGGGGGAATGATTGGACACCCTGAACGCCCCGAGTAGAAGGGAACGTATAAAGTTAACGTTAAGATTAACACCGGGCGGTGTACAATGGAGTCGGAGGCGGTCATCTTCGCCGCCTGGACTATCGAGGCTCATGCTGGCTCATGGAGACCAGTCATTATCTCGTAAAGAGGTCTGGATCCATATGCGTTGATTTCATTTTACAAGTTACGGCGCGTTGGGAGTGGACGTAGAATGAAGTGACGTGAAGGACCTTCGAGAGTGCAGCTCGGGCAACAGGGTACGCGGCAGACTCGACGGTACGTTGTATTCGTTTAATCAACGCCGAAGCTGGGAATTGGAAGGGTGGAGACGCATGAACACCCACTAGACTACTTTGTCAAGTCGGTTCAAAGCTCTGGTCCGACTTCAGCGGTCTCGGCTATGGTCCCTCTCGACAGTGCAGTATCGAGCAAGTCAACAATTCTGAGCCGGGGTCGGGGCCGAAATAGAAGAGCACGCGCGACAGTCCCGACTTGCCGCGGATCGACCAGGAAGGGGATCACAAAATTACTTGGCGAAGTGGTGGACCGAGCTCCCATCGGTGGTCGCGATTGCGACCGTATTCGTGGCTGATAGTGGCTGTACATCTTGGTTCAATGCCACCGAGCGCCATGCAACAAAAAGTCCTCGACCCGACAGGACCCGGTCAATAATGGTACAGAAGTGAGCGGGCGCGTGACGGCACTTGTCGGTACGTCACAACCTGTCACAACGCGAACTTCATCAGGGGCATTGAAGGAGCACTTGTTACATCCATGCTCGAATCCGCTGTCTTGCTTTTGATTCCACGTGCGAAATCTTCGCAGTATAATCCTCCAGAGCTTTGGCGCCATACCCCGCTCTTCAAACACCTTCAAGCCCTCGCGAGGTCCGTGAGGTCTAAATTTGTAGGGCTCTTTTTGGCTCGCCTCGCATATAATGAAGCCAAAGAACGACTGCCTTTGCCAAAAGCAGCAAGTTTCCAATTTAGGCAAGTAGTATTCAGGTCTCCGTGGCCTCTCATTGTTCCACAAAACGCTGGCCACTGGCCACTCAGTACTCAGTACCCTACGTCCACACAAGCCACCCTACGGCATTGTCCACAGTGGCAAAACTACGATGCTGGCACTATATAAGACCGGCCTTCCGAATGAGGGTAGCAACATCTCGTCTCCAAACTTCAAATCCTCTGGTATGTTCCTCACCCTGAATACCTTGTGCACGGCTTCAACTAACGAAGTTCTACCTTCATCGTAGACTCACCTACCACTACCACACCAGCTACTCTAAGTATGGCCTACTTGCCCAACTTCGGTCGCCCCAAAGGCATGCCCCCTCGTATGGGAGTCATCAAGCCCCAAGACGACCCCAAGGCGATCCTCCCCGTCACCCTCACCGTCTGCCCCGCCATCCAATACCGCACCGGGGCCCGGCAGACCTCGCGCAACTGCCACTGGATGCTCTCCTGGAACATCGGCATTACCGGGACGGGCCACATCGCCCAGAGGCGTTTGCACGTCCACCACGAGCGCGACATCCCGCACCTCACCAACTGGGGCCCCATGACCGACGCGGTCACACGCAAGGAACAGGCCGCCATGGTCGTGATCCCGCTGAAGACGATGACCTATGCTGAGCGCCAGGCGTTGGAGAAGATTGCAATCAATGCGTTGGTCAAGGTTCCCAACGGGCAGTGGAACAATCAAGATTGGTGCATCGAGGTATTGGAGGAAGCAGTTAAGCAAGGTATCCTTTCAGCCCTCGAAGCAAAGGCTGCGACCGACAGGGCTAGTCAAGTTCAGCCCGTCCTTGCTGAGCTGCAATGCCTCTAGTTTATCCTTATTTCTTTCCTCTGCATCTTTCCTCTTCATCTTACCTCTTGTAGCTTGAGCTACTTAATTCTCGTCTCTTTTATCTGTAAAGCCCGAATCGTTTACGTATATGACACACGAAATACAATATTGTACCATTTTTGTCTTCGCCTCTCTGTGTGCACGAAGTCGCAAGCGCCCCTAACTCCCCTAAGCGAACGACACATTGATTCCTTCGCGGTTGATGGTATTTCAATGCATGCTCTCATGTAGCGGACGTTTACATACGATAATACGTATGATATTGAGTGCACCGTACCGGTGGTATACCCTTGCACCCTAGAACCGCTACGGGTAACTTGAAGCCAGTAGTTATGAATCCAGTTAGCCTTGGAAACAAGTAAATATTTAGAAGATGAGATTATTGGGGATGTGCTGTTAACATGTCTACTTCACGGTGGTACCACTGATCTACCGCGTTATTGGGTCAAGCTCTCGCCGGGCTCGCCTGCGTTCTTCGGTCGATATTTCCGGGACTCGGAGGACGCGTCAGGCATCATGCGCCTTAAAGTTTCCAGCGCTCGCTATAATTGTTCTTTTCACTCGGCACTTCCACTCGGTACTACGACCTACTACGACATACTAGAAGAATCTATGTTATCAAAAAGGGTCATGTGACCACTGATCAGATCAGATTTAATTTTTGAATGTCCTGGCTGTAGTGTTGCAGTACTCCCCGTTCACTCCACCCACCTCACCCCCACTCCGCTGCACGTACGTCCTACGCGTCGTTGCTCAATTTCCGAGCGTTTCACTCATGATTTTGTTTCTTCTAGAACAATGTCTGTCGTTGGTATTGATTTCGGCACACTGCACAGCAAGGTGAGTGGCCCTTTCAAGGGCTGAGCAAGGCGCTTGCTTTCCCGATGCACGAACGATGAGTTGCTGAAAATTTGCCCTCTGCATAGATCGGTGTTGCCAGGCACCGTGGTATCGATATCATCACTAATGAAGTCTCCAATCGCGCTACACCGTAAGTCCTCAATCCCCCATATAATCCCCATTGTTGCTTTGTTTGACTCTTGATTTTGATTCTGATTCTGATTCGTATAACCGTACGTTACTGTAGATCGTTGGTAGCGTTTGGACCGAAACAACGAGCCATCGGTGAATCTGCAAAGACGCAGGAGACGTCCAACTTCAAAAATACGATTGGATCGCTGAAACGACTTATCGGAAGGACACTGAACGATCCAGATGTTGAGGCAGAGAAAAAGTTTCTGAATGCAAAGTTGATCGATCTCAATGGCCAGGTTGGCACACAGGTGAGTGGTCGTCTTCCCTGCCCCCGATGCCTCGTTTTTTACAATGTATTTCGATGTTAATGAAAACAGGTCAACTACATCGGCGAGCCCCACACCTTCACAGCAACCCAGCTCACCGCGATGTATCTTGCTAAACTGCGCGATATCGCCGCCGCCGAGCTTAAAACGGGCGTCACCGATGTGGTGATCGCCATTCCGGGCTGGTTCACCGATATCCAAAGACGCGCGCTTCTCGATGCCGCATCGATTGCCAACCTCAACGTCCTCCGCCTCATCAACGACTCCACCGCCACCGCCCTCGGCTACGGCATCACCAAATCCGATCTCCCAGAATCCGACAACCCCAAGCACGTCTGCTTCGTCGATGTCGGGCACTCCAGTCTTTCCGTGACCATAGTAGCTTTCTCCAAAGGCCAACTCATCGTTAAGAGCTCTGCGTATGACCGCCATCTCGGCGGCCGTGACATCGATTTCGCGCTTGTGCGCCATTTCGCGGAGGAGTTTAAGTCGAAGTACAAGATCGACGTGATGTCGAATCCGAAGGCGACCTTCCGTCTCACCGCGGGGTGTGAGAAGCTAAAGAAGGTGTTGTCGGCAAATGCGGAGGCCCCATTGAGCGTCGAGTCGATTATGAACGACATTGATGCGTCGAGCAAGTTGACCAGGGACCAGATGGAGAGTCTGATCAGCGAGGTGTTAGACCGTATCGTCGCGCCTGTTCAACAGGCGTTTAAAGACTCTGAGCTCACGCTCGACCAAATCGACGCCATCGAGCTTATCGGAGGATCCACTCGTGTACCAGCCGTCCGTGCGCGTATCCAAGAAGCCTTCCCCGGGAAAGTGCTCTCTACAACGCTCAACCAGGACGAAGCTATTGCTCGTGGCGCCACGTTCGCTTGCGCGATGCTCTCCCCCGTGTTCCGTGTCCGGGACTTCCATGTCCACGACGTGACATACTACCCCATCAAAGTGCAATGGGAACCCGTACCCACGGATCCAGACGACGACACCGAGCTCGTCGTGTACCCCAAGGGCAACGGCATACCCTCCACGAAAGTCCTCACCTTCTACCGCAAAGAGCCATTCGACATCGAGGCCAAGTATGCGGAGCCAGAGAATCTCCCTGGAGGAATCAACCCCTGGATCTCGCGCTTCAGCGCAAAGGAGGTCCCCGCCGACCCCAAAGGCGACGTCACTTGTGTGAAGCTGAAGACAAAGCTGAACATTCATGGGATTACATCGTTTGAGAACGCGTATGTGGAGGAGATTGAGGAGAAGGAAGAGGCACCGGCAGCGCCTATGGATGTGGATCCCCCCGCCGATGGCGCACCTGCCGTTCCCCCGAAGAAGAAGAAGATCGTGAAGAAGAAGGAGATCAAGTTCGTCACCGGGACATCGAGCTTGGACAAGTCAATACTCGAGCAGTATAGGGAGCAGGAAGCACAGATGTACGCCGCTGACAAGCTTGTGCAAGATACCGAGGTGGGTAATTGTTTGTTCTTTCATCTTTTCCGTCTAACACGAGGGTATCTTGTAGGATTGCAAGAACGCGCTGGAGGAGTATGTTTACGACATGCGGGGCAAGCTAGATGATCGGTACGCCGCGTTCAACCAGCCGCAAGAGAAGCAGAAGCTCCTCGCGGCCTTGCAGGAAGCCGAGGAGTGGTTGTACAGCGAGGAGGGCGAAGACGCCACCAAATCAGCGTACGTCACCCGCCTCGATGCCCTCAAGGTCATCGGCGATCCCATCAGCAACCGCTACCGCCAAAACGAAGACCGCCCGCGCTTCATCTCCCAGCTCCGCGAAACCCTCAACCTCTACATGTCCCAAGCAACCTCTGCTGACGAGAAGTATGCCCACATCGATGCGAAGGATAAGCAGAGTGTCGTGGAGAAGGTCGCGACCGTGCAGAAGTGGCTCGATGACCAGGTGGCGAGGCAGGCGGAGCGCCCGAAGAACGTGGATCCTGCATTGACGAGCGAGGAAATTCAGAAGAAGAGGGACGAAGTCATCTATTTCGCTACGCCAATTATGACGAGGCCGAAGCCCAAGGTGGTCCCAACACCCGGAACGGACACCCCGAAGAACAGTGGGACCGAGACACCCAAAAATGACGGGAACGCGACACCGGAGCCACCAAAGGCTGAGCCTTCGAATATGGATGTTGATTGAGTGTGCTGAGGAACGACCCACTTCGCCATATACGCCCTGCTCATTGACATGATTAACTGTACCAGCACATCCTTTAGAGAAAACCAATGCATAGCTCACTTTTACAGTTTTCGCTCCCCTACGGTCTTCCCTTTCGACTTTCCATCGTGTTTGAACCATTGTGTAGATTGATAATAGTAGTACTTAGCCAAATAGTGATTCAGATTGTATGCTCAGCTTTGAAAACTTGAATAATTATCCTTCTGGCTACATAAACCGTACGATACAGTACATATCGACCCAATGAACCATGATATTTGAAAGACTCGAACTGTACTGTTGAAGCTCGCCGTCCTCGCCTACTACAACTCGAGTTCGCCTTTCCTTGTACCCAATTGGCAGCTCAGATTGGTTGATATTTAGTATTGAACCCCGTTTACCAGGCTACTACTCGGCGAGCAGCGTTTGTAGCGTCCAGTTGCCCGTTCACTGGACTCCGCGACTACTAAATTTCCGCTCTCATACTTAGTAGCTCTGCGTAGCCCTCATTTTACCAGACACAATGCCCCCCTCGACATTGTTGACAAATTAGAAGACACAGACATATCTGTCTTCCTTCTGGTATCTCGACAATCGAGGATCCACGCTTTACGCCGTCTCTACACATCCATATCCTTCAATTCCTTACCCGATCCCCCGCCATTTTCACTCGAAGGACTTTGTAACAATATCGCATCGAACCAGGGCATCCAATTCACCACCACGCTTGACTTCTTATCGCCGTCCGCGTCTGGATATACCTACAACCTCTGCCCTGCTCCTCCTACTCCGATCACTGACTAACTTCAAATACATCCATCTCTCCGACGAACTAAAGATAGCATTGCTGGCAGCTCCGGCGTACTAGTTATCGTGCACAGCCTCCAGGGTGTTGATATAGGCGACGTAGATGGATCGTCCGTCGTCCGTCGCTTCCGCCGACCTCCAGTTCGCTCCGATGCGAACGACGACTCAACGGCGATCATGACCTCGACAACGGAATAACTGTTGGCTACTGAGGCCCTTGGGAAAAGTGAAGGATGTCGATGGGAACCAACTCGGAAGCTCAAGCGCTCGATATACCGCACCCAACAAGCCGAATCGAAATGAAGGACCATCCTGGCCTTAGCCGCGAGACGATATACGATGGCCCATGAATTTGACAGTGCTTCCAAAAGTCTCCATAGATGAATCTACAACCGACTTGCCGCTGTCGGAGAACTAATCTAATCCGGTTGCATATCGCGCTCGAATGGTTGGGTCTGACTTTCGTTATGACTTTGTTCTGACTCTCATCCAAGTGCCTATCTCGAAGCCGAGTTGCCAGCGGCGCGATGGGTATCCAGGTATATGATGTATCATATTCGTGAGGGTGTGATGTGAGTGGATGTCCTTGCTTGAGATCTCGAACTTTGATGAAAACTACAAGTTTAGTGACGAATTCCATCGGAATGTCGCTCTTATGCTGTTCTTCATCTTTGATGGATGTCGTATTGATGCTGACTCCATCTATGATGTCCACACACATAAAACAAGTTCCCGTCCCTGGAACATACTCAGGCAGGCCTACACTTCACCCCCATTTTTCTCCACCCACTCATGGCTTCTACTAACCCATCATCCGAATCCACATCCTTTTCGTGAGTGTTGCAGAGTTGTCTAGAACGGAGATCCTCATTCTCCTACCAGTACGCCCTCAGCCCTTATCGCAGGCGAAACACCTTCGTAAGCGCGTCGTACGGACTTGTCGCCGTTTGATAGTTAACCCGCGTCAGCAGCCCGATGGCACTCGAAGACTCGGGTATGATGGCGCAATTGATAGCCTCTGAGGGAAAGTGAGAATCGAAACCCAAATGGCTAGTGAAGGCTTATTCACATATCTTAGCTGTCAGAGAACCAACCAAGCGCTGATCGGGACGAATGTCTCCATGCTCGTCCTGGCAGCGTTATTCCTCGGCTACCGGTACTTCAAATTCAAAAAAGCAAAGTCACGCGCCGACTACGATATGATACATCCTATCAACGATGCACGGGCAGTATATGACAGCGGTTGGATGTCCGAAGACGGGGCGAAAGCGCGTTTCACGCTTCCTTCCTGGTGCCCCCAAATCTTCTCCAAGCCTTGGCGCTGGCGGACCAGAGGCGAGCGATCGAAAGAAGGCGCTGCTGAAGAGGGGAAGCTACCATTGTCATCAAACAACGACATTAGCAGCAGCCGGGAGCGCAGGAGCGACGCGGTCAGCCTCGTTTCCGCGCTTATACAGGTCTCTGACCAGCACAGCATCGGTCCAGTGGACACCCGCCGGCCTTCTGCTGACGAGGACGAAACAACGAACTTGGCGCCACGGCTAATCTCAGGAAATGGCGATCGAAGGTCCCGCGGACAGGCCCCGCATGTGCCGGATTCCGCCCAAACGATCGCTGTCTCGAGCAGTCGTGAAGTCGAACCAGTTACGACGCATCCCTTTTCCGAGAATGGCAGGGAAGGAACCGCTACGGCGACGACACCCGGCGCCCGAGCCCACCACCACGAAGGGCTGCGGAAGTCATTCCCGTTCGTATCTGCGCCCGTAGGGACAGCCCCCCCGTCTTCGTTTCCCAGTCTTGATATCCAAGGAACCGACCCACGGGATGCAGTATCGCGATCTTCGACGGCCTCTATCGACATTAGTTCAGTTCCTGCCGAAGGAGGTATATCGCCGACACCAAGCATTCCGCCCTCAGCTTATGATCCCCATCTTCTGCGTAAATTAACTCCATCGGGGCCTGCGCTGCCCAGCACAGACGGCGGAGCCACGCCTGCTACTCTCCGTGGTGAAGGCAGGAGGACAGGATTGATGTCGAGCTACGCGCCAGCTGCTCGCACTTCTACACTGCAGTCCACATGGAGCGACAGCAGTTCGACCCCGTCTGTCCCCTCTTTCAAGTGGCCTGTCCATAGTGAGGGAGGGAGTGCGACGCCAGCACCCAGCAGCCCGCCCTCGCTTTACGGGCATGATTGGCTCCGAGTTGCGAGCGGACCTGCGTTGTTTAACGTTCCTTCGGCGGCGGCGCCTTCTAGTGCTGATGAAGGAGGAACAACGCCAACTCCCGATCGCCCGTCGATAGCGGTAACAGACCCACGGTACTCGCACACAGTATGTCTACGCTGCCGCGGTCACCTATAACCTCAATGCGCGAGCCAGCCAGCCGTGGCTCCCAAGATTAGCCTGGCCGTGCTTTGCTGTGGCTGCCTACGCGCGGCCTTCCTATAGACCGGTATCGCTGCTCTTCATACACGTGTGGACAGCTCGCGTCTTCTATTCGGATAGAGTTTACCTACATAACGCCTGTACAGATGGATCATTCTGATGTTTTGGATTTTCTGCATTTTTATCAATCTCGACGTGATGCTTCGCTCTGTCTGCCTTTAAAATGGGCCTTGCTTCTTTGCGGCGTTCAAGTTGGCTCGCCCCACGCTCGTTTGCCCCACACTCTCTTGCGTAGCCATGGCTTCGACTCTGACAGACACAAAAACGGACTCTGTACCCTCTGCGTGAGTGCGTCGGGAAGCCTCGAGGAAGATACTTATGCTGCCCTGCCAGTACGCCCAGCGCGCAGGCCACCCCAGTTCCTGCGGGCGATATGCCTTCGTGAGTCCGAATTACATACTACAGAGTTGAAGTATCCGTTAACGGTGCTGTTCCCAGCATCCCCTCCCAGATAGTCTGGATGCCGAATCCCGACACCTCGATTTTGGCGCAACTCATAGCCTCTGAGGCAAGGTGAGCATTGTGCAGCCTATCCCCCAATATCTACATGTCTTTGCCTCCTCCACAGGTACCAGAGAACCAATCAAGTGCTCTTCGGGACAAACGTCACCATACTTCTCATGGCGGCATTGTTCGTCGCGTACCGCGGGTTCAAGAAAGCTAAATCGCGCACCGCCAGTGCGAAGTCAGCCACCGGCGAATCGTGGGGTTATAACGATCTGCGTCCTGCCGTTGGCGCACGGGTGGCGGACGATAGGTTGCACACCGCCGCCTGGGTGGCCCACGACGCGTCGCCCAGGAGCCCCGGCATTGGCTGGGTATCCGAAGAAACCCTGACGTCTCCCAGTTCGATGACGTCGCGCATTCCGCTTCGCGGGCAACATTCTCCAAAGTGGGGTCCCGGGTTCTTCGCCAGCGCCAGATGGGCTTGGCGCACACGGGGCGGGCGACGCTCTACGGCAGGTTCTGAAGGGCACAGAACATTGCCGACGTTGGGTGGACTGTCACATAGCATCAGCAATCGCTGGTACAGGTTTCTAGATCAAGGGCGGGGCGCGTTTGCCAGCGTTTTCGCGTTTCCAGCAAAGAACTCTACTGCTCCGCATGACAGTAGCAGTAACACCGGGTCAGTGAAAGTTGCTTCCGATTCTGATGAATGGGCAACGAGATCGACTTAATCACCCTTTTCAGCGCCGACCGAAGGGCACGAGAGCGAAGCCTGCCTATACCCAATTCCGCACGCACCACCACATTCTCGACGAACAGCTCCGTCCCGACGCTCCCTCCCTACCGGCAGTCTCTCGAAAGCACCGACGGGAGCATGTCGCCGACGCCAAGCAGCCCCTCGGCGTGCTGCCACGATCGGCGGCTGCGCGAATCGACGTTCCCGCCTATGCCTGCGCTGCCCGACATCAGCGCGATAGCTGCACTGGCGCTGCCGCCTCCGCTGCGTGCCGCGGGAGGGGGGGAGACGGCGGCAGTGGGCTTTCCCCACCCCCACGGTGATAGCCGCAGGCCTCGAGCGCGCGAACGAAGTCTGCCGGCGCTGCCACGCCTGTCTATAACCCCCGTTTCGAGTGACATCTCTGTCTCTGCAGAATGATGATGGCTGAATCGTGGTCCATTGGCATCGCTGCTGCGTGCGTTCCCACCGCTCGCGACTCCGCCAATACTTTACCGAGGAGTGCAGATATACACCGTATTGGCACACGAGCTTCATGTCGCTTTTTGTAAGGCTTCATACGACCTAGCTGAGCTGTGGGGCTATCTTGATGTGCAATGTGAAGAGGGGCGATTTAATTGGTGGGTGGCTCTGCCATTGATCGTTGCTATCCCATGTTCTTTGTGTTTGGATCAAATGTCAAAATGACCAATGGTATCATTCTCGGTGTGTATACAAAGAGAAGTTTCCCTTCTACTGCTCTGATCGCCCTGTCTCTCAGCCTGCCTTGCAGAAATCTGTTCTGGGGTTCTATTTCCGAACATTCAGTCAGCAATCATCTACCACTAGTCGATGGCTATGGCACTATTCCCTCTTTTACTTGGAAGATTCCTACTGTCAACACAGCTTTAGAGCTTTGGACTAGCGTACTCATTCCAAGCACTATTGTTTTGAAAATTACCCTGCACCAACCTTCGGCGTCCACGAAATTGATGCATTTTCTGTCGATATTATCATTCCATTTGAGTAATTATAGGTGTTTGATGCCATCCATGGTGTCAACTACTAGGCAAAATTCGCGTTTCAATCCAACATGCTATCAATGTATGATTTTCCAGCGGTCGCCTCTGATTTCGGGCATCTGTCAGAGCGCATTGATCTCGACGTCGAGCTGAATGATGGGATAGGGGCCGAATCAGGGGCTTGTATGCTGCGAAAGATTCGTAAGGGAAAGTCATCACTTTCATCAGTAACACTCCGATAGTGTTCGCAACCGTTCTCGTCGCTGGTTCGGCGCCTCTCTTTCTCATCCTTGACCTGTACCATCACCCATCCCCTCCCCCCACCATGTTCTCCTCAAAGCTGGCACCAAAAAGTGAGTCCACAATCTACCTTCGTCTGATCGCCATGAGTTGCTGATATGATTGTCCTGGCGCATAGAAGGCAAAGATACCAAAGAGAACGGTGTCATTTCGAGATCTGTGACCCCAATTCCCTCGCGGCCAACGACGCCCAAACCCCCCAATGGCTCGGCAGATATCTCGCGGTCTGGTATGCTCACGATCAGGATCTTCTCTGGTGCGTCAGATATGGTGTTTCGCGGACACTAGTATTGAGGCGCGAGACGTCGCTTAGGGAGAGGTCTTGCGCTCGCGCCCGGGATGCATGTACCCGAAGTGATCCAGAAGGCCTTAGAATCAGCGCCCCCCAGGACCTCGACAAGCAACAGGGAGAGCATGCAGCGCGGGCGCTGTTGGTGGCTCCCATACGTCGTGCTCGAATTTGACAAGAACGAAGTGCTCATCGACGCTCTTGGAGGGGATCTATCCAATCCAATTTGGAATTACCGAGCGAACTTGTGAGTGTCGTTGGGAGTACTTATCAACGTCTGAGACGAGCAATAACTCAAATCGTGGCTCGCTTTGCCAGCGATGTGTCTCGTACATCAAATCTTGCCGTATCAGCCTATGTGCGGACAGCCTCCGCCGTACAGAATCAGGAAGATATGGGGAACGACTTACTGATGGCCCGCCTCGACCTCGCGCCCATGTTGGATGGACATGTGCGGTTCCCATCGTTGTCTTGATTGATATAGCACTAACGTCAGCCTTATCAGCATGCCTCAGATCAATGGTACACAGCAACGTCCGGATCAGGCTCCTTCCACCTGAAGATTGACTTCAAACCACTCCGAAATGAATACCTTACCATTGAAGCTTTCGATCTCCTCAAAGTGATTGGGAAAGGCAGCTTTGGCAAAGTCATGCAAGTGCGGAAAAAGGACACACAACGGATATACGCGCTCAAGACCATCCGGAAAGCTCATATCGCGCAGCGCCCTGGGGAGATCACGCATATACTAGCGGAACGGACGGTCCTAGCCCTAGTGAACAACCCATTCATCGTACCCCTCAAGTTCTCCTTCCAAAATCCGGACAAGCTATATCTTGTCATGTCATTCGGTGAGTCCCGGTTAGCGCGTAGGATAACGTCAACCCTGGACTAATAGTGCTTTGCGTTATCTCAGTGAATGGGGGCGAACTGTTTTATCATCTACAAAGAGAGGGTAAATTCGGCCAAGATCGTAGTAGATTCTATGCGGCAGAGCTTCTGTGCGCACTGGAGCATCTGCACGGGTTCAATGTCGTCTATCGGTGTGTCTTGTTCCTATCTGTCCCTTTGACAGCATATTTTATGCCCTCGTCCTCATAAAGTGATTTGAAACCGGAAAACATCCTCCTCGATTACACCGGCCACATTGCACTCTGTGATTTCGGTAAAAGATGTGATTCCTCCTCCTGACGAGATGATGTTGATCGTACGAATCAGGTCTTTGCAAACTGAACATGTCCGAAACGGAGAAGACCAACAGTGCGTAATTCCCTCTAAACTGCCTGCGTCCGCGCCGTTCTGATTGGCGTACTTTCCCAGCTTTCTGCGGTACACCGGAATACATCGCGCCAGAGTTGCTAGAGAGCCAAGGATACACAAAGACAGTCGACTGGTGGACACTCGGTGTATTGCTCTACGAAATGATGGTAAGTAAAACCTATCTCCCCTATTATAATGATCACCTCTCACGCCGTGTTGTAAAGACCGGTCTGCCGCCTTTCTACGATGAGAACGTGAACACGATGTACCAACGTATTCTCACCGACCCGCTTAACTTCCCTCCCGACATGCCCTCGGAAGCACGGAGCGTTATGACTGCTCTACTGCAAAGGGACCCTACGAAGAGACTGGGTGCCAATGGCGGTGAAGAAATCAAGAGACATCCGTTCTTTGCGAAGTACATTGATTGGAATCGGTTGATGGCGAAGAAGATTCAGCCACCGTTCAAACCCAGTGTGGTGAGTGTTCCTCCTACTTCATATTCCATTCGCTATACTTTCCTGCTTCCGTCTTGTCGTGTCGACACCCCCCGCTAACGAACACGCGTTCGTAGGAGAGTGTCTTGGATGTCGCCAACTTCGATCCGGACTTCACGAACGAGGAAGCGAGGGATTCCGTCGTTACGGATTCCGCATTGTCGGAGACCGTGCAAGATCAATTCAGAGGGTTCACGTACAACCCAGCAAATGAGCATCTCAGCGAGAGTGTCAGCTACCCTGGCGCCATGTGAGCCGTAGCAATCCTCTTCAGTTTCAGACGCATAACTTACTCGAACTCCTTATATTGATAGGAGTTAATCACCTTTGTCGAAGAACACACTCAAAATGCAAACATAGTTGAGCTTTGATTCTCCTTGGCCACCCATTTCTTCAGCTTTTGGGTTAGTAGATAACGCAGACACATTTCCCATTTCGCCGGCACACGAACTAGCCCCTTACATCATGTATATATCCCCGTTGTTGACTACTTGGTTTCCTTGCTCTCTTCGTTGTTACAACGTGCCGAACTTTGAGTTGTCTTTGTACTCCTGTACATATATTGAAGGTATTACGGTAGTTAACTTGACTTTTCGGACAGGTGTGAAGTAACGTATATCCGCCGGAGGATAGGGGTTAAACTTATGAGCCTAACTTGCACCATGACTTGCACCATTAACCTACTTGTCGAAGTGAGTGTCAATGGGGAACAACAAAATCTGCCCCTTCTCAATGTACCCAACAATGGAATATATAGTTCGCGCGTGCATGTATACTTTTTCTTCATGTGTTTGCTGGAGTCCCAGCCAAATGCAATACATACCTGCTTGCTCACTCGGAATTCGCGCGACCTCACCAGCTTATTTCAACAGATCCAGCTCTATACCAGTCTTACTTACTTATTCTCTGTAGCTGCTTCACAGAATCCAGAACGAGCTGGGACACCATCAGGTGGGTGATATGCTTGTCTTGAGACCCATCTGTTGTTCATACATCCCATTTTAGGGCCACCAGGCATTAAAGGCCAGTCCTTCTATCTTTATTTCACCTTGTATTATTGACTATTTTTGTTACAGCAGAAAGCCTTGAGCTCAAGCCTCGTGATTTTTTACTTCACATTACCTATGTTTTGAACACCATCTCTACATTCGGGAAGGCCAGCTGTGAATCCTTCAATCTGTTTATCGCACACTGCAGGCCTTTACTCTACAACCACGGTGAAAAACCAAAGCCAGTTGATGAAAAAGCCGATGCCCATAGACACAAGCACTGTCATCACGAAGAGGAAAAGGGACAGTCCTCGCTTGATATGATCCTTGGGCTACATCTATTCTTCCGAGGTTCAGTTGTGGAGGAGGAGAAATGACAGAAAGAGTTGGAGGAAGGGTCAAAGCTCAAAGCTAAGGAGAGCTCCAAGCAAGTGGTGAAGGCATGGCTCTCGGATAAAGCCAATGCCGTATGAACCACAAGTTATTTTATAGTGTATTTTTATGTATTCAAATCGAAAGTGCGTGTCAATGTTGTATTTTGTAGATGATTAATGGTCAAAAGTGATTGTCACCATTATATTGTTGCGAGATGGTGGTCATATCTGAATCTGACATGGTAATGTTTGAGTTTACTTGCTACAAAACACATTTATACAAACTGGGGTGTGGTGGTGGTGGTGGTGGTACAAGTCCATATAATGCACGAGCGAAACTACGAGCCATCTGAAAATATAGAGAAGGGCCGACTGAGTGAAGCCGGCGATGCCAACAGTCCATTTTTGCCGAGGCTGTCCTCAGACTTGTGCTGGGTACCGCCGGTCAACGTGGTAGCCGAAGTAGATGGTCGAGTATGAGGTTCCGCATCAGCGTAGATCTTCATCTTATCATAGGTGTTATTTGAGGGAGGGAGGGCCTGCTGCCCGCTCTTTGGAGTCGTAGATGTAACAACAAATCCTGGAGGTAGCTCGTCCGAGGGGAGCAGGATGACGGGGCTGTTATGAGAGGCAGCATCCCTATTGTTGTGGGCATCGTAGCTCGGGGGTAAGGCATGATGACTAGCATTGTCGGGTGTCAACAGTACGGGGTCTATGTCTATCTCGTCGCCATCCTGGGAATGCCCGGACGGAGAGTGGGACTGATAACACATATCAGCATCAACTGAACCAGCTCTCGGGTGAGACGCAGACGCAGAGACTTACCGGTGGTTCAACGCTGATCTGAGGCACCGTTGAATTCGATGCAGTTCGATTCGTGAGCCGTTTTTGGAGCCACTCGAGTGGCGAAGGGCGATGTTGGTGACCTTGATTCTCGGGCGATTGTCGCGGGAATGGTATTTTCGACTGCTGTGGTTTGTCTTGGTATAGTATGGGTGGTGGGGGGTGGATATGTTGTTGCTGCTGCTGCTGCTGCTGCATGATACCTGCGGCACTGCCGAGAGACAATGGCTCCGGCATCACGATACGCTTTGGACGGCGAGGTCCGCGTGGAGGGCTCCGTAATACTGACGGATATGGGTCTGCATCGGGGGGCGCCAGCGCAGGGGGATCGGCTCGCTAGACGTAGCAGAAAAAAAGCAAAATATGTTGGTTTGGTTCTCACTAGTAATCGTGAAAGACGGGGAATCCAAAAAAGAAGAGTAAGAAACAACAAAGCAACAACAACACGGCGCGAAAAGGGATCAAAATCATCGGATAGACAAAGAGTGGTCAACGTACCGATTTCCCTTTTGACGCTGATGAGTTAGCTGACCGCCATTCTTCTGTTATCTCCTGGCTTGGGGTCCGAACGACTCCCCTCCTATCGGCTGGATAGGGTGGAAAGGGTGCTTTCCTGGGTGCGGGTGTAGGTGTCTGCGGTGCGCGTCTTCCATATTCTTCCCTTCTTCTGTCGTAGGCATCTCTAGCACCAGCCTGATCGATCGGTCTTACCTGCCCTGAGGGTCCATTGATGGGGAAACGCTCTTTGTCCGCCGAGTTAGGCGGGCTGAGGATATCGAACTGCGAGATGGACGCAGAGGACATAGTAGTGGCCGGCCGAGGGACAGCATAGATTGGTGTGGATTGGCGTTGAGTTAGATTTACATCTGACCGTTGCTCTTGCGTGGTGCGTACGGTGCTGCGGCTTCCGGAGCGCATGCGACCAGCGGGGACAGATGTCCCGCCACCTTTATCGCTATTCTCAGTATCCTCTTTGCCATCTTTGATGCTCGCGGCCATCGTTTTAGGCGTCTGGGATAGCTCGTATGGAGCAGGAAGATTGATCATGGAGTCGCTTCCGAGAACGGGAATGAATCCGTCTGGGGGGATGACTGTATTGCGGCGAGAGATTGATGGGGCGGTATCGCGAGGGGGTTGAGGTTGGATCGGCTGTTGGTCTCGTTGTTTCGATGAAGATGCATGCTGCGGAGGAACCGATGAAGAGATGGGGGTTCGACGAGATGACGAAGCTCTGGGATCTAGAGGTTGGATGGACTCGGGACTCTTGGAGTCAACCAGAATAGGCCGTGAATACGAAGGTGCACGTCGAGTTACGGAGGGAGCTATCGAAGTGGCTCTGGAGGAGGGGACGCGTAGAGGGACTGGCTCAGCCAATATTGGGATGTGCACTGGATCGTTGTATTTACTACGCTTTGGGGCACTGGACAGCGAACGGTCGGATCTGGAGAATTTTGAGTGATCAGTAAGACGTTGCTTGGTGCTAGAGGTAAGAGCGTACTTTGAGTCTGCTGAGGTCGGTGTTTCATCGTACTCATCCTCTTCATCCTCCTCATCTTCGTATGCCTCGTTCCTAGGGCGCGTACTCAGCCGCTCTAAAGCCAGTTGTTGTCCTTGTCGCAACCCTTGTCTATACCCCTCTCTCCTCCCCTGTTCTATAGCTTGCCTCACAACGCTCTCCTCCTCCAACTTCCTCGCTCGCGCCCTAGCCCTCGCAGCAGCCTCTTCAGCATCCTTCTTCCCCTTCTCCACCTCGTCAACAATTCTCTGCGCCCGCAGAATCTCATCTTGCGCTCTAGCCAGCTGCGCCTTATACAGTTCCAGCTGTGTATTCAGAGTCGACACCTGCGACGTGACTTGAACTTGCTCGGTGCGGCATTTCGTCAGAAGGGTCAGCGCTGAAGCCAACCTTTCTTCGGCTGTTCGTGAACGAGTGACCTCCGCAGTCAACTTCTCGGACGTGAGGAGAAGGAGCGAGTTGAGTTTCTGTACTTTGGCTTTGGATTTCAAGGATGAGTTCGTTGATGAAGAGCTAGGGTCGTTGTAATGGTGATCGGAGCGGTGGTCTGAACGATGCGAATGAGAGCGTGATTCTGAGTATTTACTTCGAGATCGGTGGGTGGACTTGGAGTGGCTATGATGTCCATCCGTGGTCCGGCCAAGTAGCTGAGCGTACGTACGAGCTGTTGGGGTATGTCGATTGGAACGGTGGTTCTCGCCACGCTCTGATGGGGAAGATGGGGGAGTAGCTGAGTCAACCTCTTCCGCGTGAGGGTGGGGGTAATTGCTTGGACCTGCAGTATGTCTAGTTTCGTTAGATCCAAGTTAGCAGGACAAAGTCATGAACAACGTACTCTCCGCTAAAGTAGTCCATAGTGAGGGTAAGGGGGAAGTGATATGTGGAGTTCGATGTGCAGAGTTAAGGACGATGGGGTTCACGAGCCTCGTGTGCCGGGCATGGCGATCTAGATGAAAGCGATGGTGAGGGGTGATAAGAAACAATTCCACCGTTTAGAGTGGGAAAGAGACGACAAAGGTAGGTTTATAGGGCTTACCAAAGTGAAATGGTTCAGTTCATAAGAAGCACACTCTTGAGTATTAAATGATGGTTACCCCCTTCCATTCGAAGGAGCCGCAGTCTATGGTCAGTATATTGCGGGAACGAGTTCCATGCGGAATACGCGCGAAGTTGATATCCATTCCCATTGTTCGCCATAGTTTCTTCGTCGGGCGAGCCACGCCACATACACGTTCAACTGATCCTCGCGATTGCCTCGTGCCCTGTAAGTTATTCGACGCCTCATGTTCTGGTTCCGTTGAGCCCTTACCCTTATCACTGCTCGGACACGTTATGTCACAAAGCGATCATGGGGTACGATTCCTACAGCTCGCTCATTGACGCTGTCCGGCCAGCGAAGCGAGATTTCAATGTCTGTCATCCAAAAGAACCATCAGAGCGACGGCTTCGAGAAAATTCATTAGCGCCATTACGGAATATCGATTGGGTTAGTTTGCGTACTTACGAACTTATACATCGGATCCATATGGGCTATCTTTCTTGCCGAGTTGTTGATGCTAGTGGGACAAGTCGGGCCGAACAAGCAGTTCCTTATGCCATGTGACATCGTCGCGTCGCGTTAAGCGCAATATCCAACATATACGCGTTGTGTCAGGGTACTCTGTCATCACATACACGTATCGGAGAACAGTGTAAGGTTAGATTTACCAATATCGTGGCCTATATTCATCGCTATCGAGCGAGGCGCACTCGCGATCACATTGTAATGCATAAACATCGTCCATGGGTCGCAACTCCCTATATGTTAGATAAGACAAAACAGAAATCTTCCTTAAGCTCGAAAGTACCTCAAAGCAAAATAATGCTGCCCTTCAATTTCCCTCACCGTGTTTCCACTTTCTGAGCGGTCGGGTCCCCCTTCCCCTTCCCTTTGGCTTTATTCTTGAACTTCCTCTTCCGCGGGGGCGCGGATGGAAAAGCCACTGGCACCAACCCCGCAACCATCTCATTCACCGTCTTCCCAGCGTCCAATTCTCTCACTGCATCCCTGCACGCCTCTATAAAAATCGGCACGCGTTGCTTGGTCCCCTGCACCACATTCTATTACAGATCAACGATTCACGATTCGCAATTGCGATTGAGTTCAAGTCAAAGAACGTCAACTCGCCGCGCAACGTAACGCAAAGAAACTGAAAAGACTAACCTTATTGCGTATGAAAGGATCCACAACAACGAGTTGGTGCCACTTCCACTGGTCTTCATAAGCAGGTAGCTGGGTGACAACGTTCCCTTCTGCAGTAGCGCTGGCCGCAGCAGCTCCATCGTTTTGGGTCTGGGGTTGAAGAACACCTTGCGTAGATTGGGAAGCAGCTGTCGAGGAGCCACCCGGAGCGTTCGAGTCGAGCTCAAAGGCATCGCCTGCGTCCGTTATATCGATGACCTCATCATCCTCCGCCTCTTCTACTTCCTCAACTTCCTCAGTCTTGGGCTCTTCCGCATGCGCCCCCTCGACCTCCGTAGCTAACGCTGCCCCCTGCCCTTCGTGATTTTGCCCCTGCTCCTGCTCGAACTGCTGAACTTCCTCCGCCGATGCTTTCCCTTTCCCCTTCTTCTTTTTCTTCTTCTCTGGCTCCTGCATCGGAACCGGCCTTCTCACAATCCCTCCCTCGCGGATGACAACCATCATTTCCGCATAATCAAACTCCCTGCCCCAATACCTACACCGCCCGAGTGCGCGTCAGGATTGGTCTAGACTGAGCATTGGGGGAAAGGTACTCGCTTGAACCAGTCTTTCATCAAGAGCTCGATATCATTCTGGACAGGCACGGGCACCGCCGAGCGGGAGTCATACCTAATATCACACTTGATGCGTTTCTGTTTCTGTCGAACCCAGAAAATGCTGCCTTCGTCCTCACATTTCGGGTCCAGAGGCTCCAAGTCCGCTTGTAAATTCGGCAGCAGCCCACGCATCTACATCGCCATGCCCGCATTAGCATCCGACCTTTACTTCTCAGTCTTCGAGTTGCGCAACCGAATGTACCAGGATTTGAGACGCGCACCTGCAAGAATCCAATGGTCATCAACGCAAGCGCATAGCTACTAAACGTCCTCGGCCCCATCTTTCCACTCGGATTATTCAACCCCAGCGGCTTCGCCCACGCCTTCACCGCGAACAGCATCGGGCGAAGTACCGGTGACATATCACAGTAGATCTTCAGCATCCGCGAATTGATCAAGCCGAGCTGGTCGTTGACGTTGATGTCGCACTCCATCCCCGTAACGGGGTCTAAGAATTTGACTTGATGCACGTGGTGAATGCTGTGCGCGAGCATACACTTGGGGAAGAAAGAACTACTAACCGATCGGGACATTGGCTGAGGGGATGGCCAGCACGTTCTTGTAACCTGCATCCCATAAATCTTTCCCTAGCCGCCTACATACAAGTACTAGGTGAACGACCGTCAAAAGAGCAAGTCAATGCCTACACTGACCTGATATTGTAGATAGCTGTATGAAAAATGAAGTCAGAGTCTGTACTGGTTCACTGAATGTTATTGGTGTACTTACAGGGAAGCCAATCCCCGCGGGATTCGCTGGGACGAAATCCGGTCATCCGGTTCCGATCCTATTCGAAAAGAAATCCAACATTCAACACGACACACTTCCGGCCAGCAACCAGGAAGCAACTGACCACGATGACCAAATCCAAATCACTCGACGGGGAAGCCACACCATAATGCCCGCTCCCGAACAGCTCCACGCGAAATTCATTTCCAAACTTCCAGTTAACGAATCCATTGATACGGCGTAGGGTTTCCCTTCGTAACTCCTCCGCACCCTGAGGACGTTTAGTACGTTGAGGAGGTGGGCGGGTTTGTTGTGGTTGCTGCTGTTGTGGCAGCCGTTGAATATGTGGTGGTGGTGGGCGGCGTTGTAACACAGATCTTGCGTGCTCCATAGCCCGAGAAACGGGCGAGACTGCTCTTGGCACATCGGGTTGGTATGTACTGTGAGGTGTTGATGGTGATGGAATGGACACGGGGCTGGGGTTGGGGGGTTGTCTGTATGGACGACCTTGAGGTTGGTGCGAAGGTTGACCCGCAGCTGAAGGCTGATTCGCGATCAAGGTTCATCGACCACCCCAAAATCAAGATGAAACGCGGCTCACATTGTTCCTCCAATGTTGATGTCCACCTCGAGGCGCTTCACCGAATCCCTCTCGCCCACGCCCTCGCCCACGGCTTGGGAATGGCCCGACGTTATTATTCACATTTACTTGCTGCGTTTCTGATTCCATACCTGACCCCGAGGCGCTTGGAAGAGGGGGAAACAGGGGGTAGGATTTGTTGCGATTGTTGTTACTGGCATCCTGGCGGCGTCGTTCTGCCGCCTCGTTAAGTGCACGAAGAAACGGGTTCGGTGGTGCCTGCTGTTGTTGCATGGTAGGAGCAGTTCGACGTTTGGCTCCACTCTTCTGTCTCGGGCTTTCGACGGCGCTAGATGGAGGTGTCGCTTTGCGTGGTGATGACTGCTTGAACGAAGCTGGAGAGCGCTCTGAATGATCAGAGCTTATATGTGCACTGCGCACGCCCAAATGAGTCCGGTAACGTGATAATCGTGGGTGCGTCCTCCGGGTAAAAGGGAAACGGGATATACAAGCAGACCTTGTAGTATCCACAGACGTGTTCTTAGAAGCTGAACGAAAGCAAAATCAATACTGGGCAATCAAGGAATAGAAGATCCCCTTCAGTTGCAAGGGTGCTCCTAGATCACTGCGAGTCTGGGTAAGAATATTGTCTCACCTGAAAGCGTCCCAAAGGCCTATACCCTTCCTGAGCTACAAAGTGACATGGGAGTGGTTGCAGGATATGGACGCACGCAGGACGGACTACTGGGGAGCAAGGTCGTTACTGGAACGGTTTGCAGCCAGTTTTGTGTTGATTGTCGCGTTATTTGGGAGAAAGATAGCATTCATCCGCCCACGGTGCTCAGCGACCGTTGCAGCTAACTGTGAGGCGAGAAGCGCGTTCAGTCACGTGGGATCTGTTCCAGCAATTCGATATCTCACGGTCACTCAAAGCTCCAATTTCTTTGAGACGATACCAGTGGTGACCGGTGACCCTTCAGTAATTCGACCATGGCTCAACAGCGTATGCCTCTATGGGCCGCAGAAGCTGACATCGAGGAAGACATCCACGATGTCGATCTCTCACTAGCAATTGGGAACTATGGCCAGGGTGCCTACGATGAGGGTAAGCATCCTAAGTGAACTGCAATCTCGGATGTCGTGCACCCATTAACTGCTGCGTTAGCCCAAATTCAGCCTACCCAAATAACAGAAGCTACTCTGATGGCAGTTCAGCAACATATGGCGCAGCAAGCGGCGTTCTCACAAATACCAGACGCAGTGAAAAATGTACGTTTCACTATAGACTAATGGATTTGTGACTTAAATACGTCGTATCTCAAGTTCATAATTCACTTCCACCGCGCCGTTCTCGACAACAACCTTGCTGAGATCACCGTCGCATATGAGAGCGGCTGGAACAAGTTCACCGAAAAGTTCTACGCTAAGACGGAATGGCCGGAGGCAGAAGTCATTGCACCTCTCGTGAACGACGATCCCATATTCCTCATCCTCTATCGCGAGCTCTACTACCGCCATGTCTACTCTCGTCTGTCACCAAACATCGACGATCGCTTCCACTCTTACGAAAACAGCTGCGAATTGTTCAATTACTTGCTCAGTCAGTGTCAATCATCGTAACTCGACCTGATTTCTTGAACGACTGCTTAGATTCGGACGGACCCGTAAAACTTGAACTCCCGGAGCAGTGGCTGTGGGATATCATCGATGAGTTCATCTATCAATACCAATCCTTCTGCGCATGGCGCTCCAAGGTCAAATCAAAAACGGATGATGAGCTGGGTCTACTGGCCGAGGGAGGAGGCGTACGTACTACTATTTTCTGCCCTCGCTATATTCTCATCCATAGCTAGGTCTGGAGCTCTTACAGCGTCCTCAACGTCCTGTACTCACTCATCCAAAAATCCAAGGTCAACGAGTACATCACCGCCCAGCAGGCTGGAAAATCTCCCGAGGAGATCGCGTACGTGTTCCCTCTGTCAACACGATAAGCCGTATGCAACTGACAGTTTGATACAGGGAGATCGTCGGCGAGTATGGTGTTTTCCCTCTCTACCGCATGCTCGGCTACTTCAGTATCATCGGACTCCTACGCGTGCACGTCCTCCTCGGTGATTTCACGCTGGCGCTCAAGGTCATGGAGAACGTTGAACTGAACCAGAAAGTACGCGCAACCGCACATGCCCTGACCGCCTACTAATACAGTCCTTCACCAGTCGCCTTTTACCCGTGTAACGGCCTGCCACGTCTCTACGTACTACTACGTATCCTTCTGCTACATGATGCTCCGCCGCTACCCCGACGCCATCCGGACCATAGTAACGATCCTCAACTTCATCATGCGCATGCGTCAGTACCACACCCGGAGCTACCAATACGATCAAATCAACAAAACAGGCGACCGAATGTATGCTATGTTCGCCATGTGCAATGCTCTGTCGCCCAGCAGGTTGGACGACAACATTGCCAACATCGCAAAAGAGAGATACGCTGATGCGTATACGAAGATGGCTCGTGGAGGGTAAGAGACCGATCGTGGGCTTCGGGATGCCAGATACTGATTCTTGTATGGTGACATTTTTAGTGACGATGCGCTACCGGCATTCGAGGAACTCTTCATTCACGCCTGCCCGAAGTTCATCACTGCCAATCCCCCACCGTACGACGATCCGCAAGCCCTCGCCGTCCTCCTCTCCCCATCCTCCCCATCCCCCAACACCCCCGCCCCCTCCGTCCAACAAGACTCTTCGCAGCGCCACCTCGCCCTCTTCCTCGCCGACGTAAGCGCGTCTGCGCAAGTCCCCACACTCCGCAGCTTCCTCAAGCTCTACACCAGTCTCGGGACATCCAAGCTAGCCAATTTCCTGGACACAGATGAGGAGGAGATGATTCAGGAGATGATGGTTATGAAACAAGCCAGTCGGAGCGTGAGCAGGGTGGTAGGTGGTGAGGGTACTCACTCGGGGACAGGCGGTTCCAAGGGGTTGCTGGATGGCGAGACAATATCGACGAGCGACCTAAATTTCGTCATCGACGGAGTAAGCATCTTCTCAGTTCTCCATTACGCCCTTTCCAGTGACTGACTTTTCCTCTTTTCTAGAACATGGTGCATATCGCGGAATCGACCATCGGGCGTCGCTACGCCGGTTGGTTCATAAAAAACACCGAACGGGCCCAGCGTATCTTTGACGATCTGCGGAATATGCCTCTACCTCAAGCAAAATTGACCGCTTCGGGGGCGACCCCGGCTCCTACAGGCGCACACGGGGGTGACGGAGGTAGGCAACAGCAGGATGGTAGACGAGGCGGTCAGAGAGTCGCATGGGGAGGTGTGAAGGTGGGTGCATAGAAGCGGATGCGAGGTTGACGCATCGTATACCGTGCTGTATAGGTGTAGAGTAACCAATTTATCATCTCAACTATTTGACAAATAGAGTGTCCTTAAGCTTGTGATCTCCTGTAGGCCACATTGTACAAGCAAAATGGCGATCATTATGTTGTAACTTGGAGGATGATTGGTACGCGGTGTAATCTATCTCCAGCGGGTCCTCATCTACTTTCACTATTTTCTGTCTTGAAAGTTGTGTCACTTTGACTGTCGACCATTGCCTCTATTCTATAGATAGGATTGCCAAAGGGACCTGCAATTTTAATATCACAACCCTTTGACTATTGTCAGCGTAGTTTCGCCTCTGTGATCTGAGGTCTGGATGTTATGTAACACCAATGATTTCCAGTGACCCCAACTCCTGGGATGCCACCCAATATGCCACTGGCGTTACATGGCCAATGACACGGTCTCGGCCCCCAATTCCGGTAATCCGAGCTCAACAATGAAAGGTACTGTAACCACAGCATTCAGACACAATACACTCTACAATAGCTCATGCATATGAGACATTGGCCTTAGGGATTGGTTTGCTTGAGCCATGCCTTCACCGTGTTGAAACTGAACCGTATCCTCAGTGAGCGTAGGATGCAAACTATGTATATTGATATGTACCTGAACCGTATCCTGATAATAACGGTCAGTTACAGTAGACAAGGATTGACAACATAACTTTACCTCAGTGAGCGTAGGATGCAAACTGAGGAAAGTGAGGGTGCGACCCATCCTGGGAAGTAACCCCAGAATGACTAATACGGCACTAACAGAGATAACCAACACACCGCTTGCTTGGAGCTCTCCTGAGCTTCGAGCTTTGCCCTTTCCTCCAACTCTTTCTGTCGTTTCTCCTCCTCCACAATTGAAGAACCCCAGAAGAATAGATGTAGCCCAAGGATCATATCAAGCGAGGACTGTCCCTTTTCCTCTTCATGATGACAGTCTTCATTGACTGGCTTCCATTTTTCGGCATGGTTATAGAGTAAAGGCCTGTGGCATGCGATAAATGGATTGAAGGATTCACAGCTAGCTTTCCCAAACGTAGAGATGCATGTTTGAAATGCAGGTAATGTGCAGTAAAAAGTCAAGAGGCTTGAGCTCAAGGCTTTCCACTGTAACAAAGATAGTCAATAATGCAAGGCAAGAGAAAGATAGAAGGACTAGCCTTTGATGCCTAATGGCTTTAAAAATGTATGAACAACAGATGGGTCTCAAGACAAGCATATCACCCACCCGATGGTGTTCCAGCTCCTTCCCAATCCCGTGAAGCGGCTACAGAGAATAGGTAAGTAAGACTGGGATAAAGCCAGATCACAGATGCATACCCAGTGTCACATCATCTGAGGGCTGAGAGGAAACTGGGAAGGCTTGGAAGGGCATATAGCCAGGTCAGCCTGAACCATGGGCAAGGTCTGAGTGCTGGTTGTGAAGCAATTCATATCCCTCAAGGAAAGTGTGAGTGGTGACACAGTAAGTATCACTCCCTATGTGTGTGTCTATATGTATGTTGGTGGTGTCAAGGTATGTATTGGATGTCTGGATTGGCTTCATTAGCCTCTGGTCAAAGCAAGATGTGAACATGTACATACCTTGAGAAAGCCCAGTGCATACCAGTCAAAGGATGTGTGATGATTTGCACTCGCTAATATCAGATTGCCAGGGTCATCTATATCAATAACCTGATGGCCAGCTGCACAAAGGATAGTTTCCAAGTACTATGGAATCATTGACATGTAAGGTTCACAGACAGAAAACAGTGACTGACCTGGGCTCCTTTGGAGTGTGCAAACATTGCATAGACCAGGAATCAATTGGGAGAACGGGCAACCCCTATAATACTTCACAACCTGCTCTTGAGAGGTTGTCTGAAACAACGATGCATTGGAGTTGTTATAGGCGCATCCAGGAGGCCCCTTAGGAGCTACTAGGGGCGCATTCACGTGCGTTCCCGGCTATGGGCTTGGGCCACGTATACATGTGGCTACTCGGACTTCTTGAATTACAGACTAAGTACATATTCAAGCACACTGTACTTATTACGACCGGACTCATTGCTGTTTCATGAATGTGCAGACACTGCGTGTTCCCCAGTATATATTCCTGTACCATACATACAGTTACCTTAGTTTGAATATTAGTTCCTTATCCGCACTCACACCCTTGCCTCTTCATTGAGGCCTCCATCTCACTCCCCTCGCCTCCACTTGTACCCTTGGTACCTGCGTAGGAACCCCCTCCAGGAAATACAGGGCACGTGGAAGCCTGCCACAGGGCAGGAACACTCAGAACGTATGAGGACCAGTGTTTGTATACTTGTAAGTAGTCGTACAAGTTAGAGTTATGGAATACAACAAAACAGCCTTAAGTACGACATGATCAGGTGATCATGTGACTCAGGGGACAGGAGTAAGTACCGCCGTACTTACAGCATGCAAGAGTGTGGGAGGCGCAGCCAGTAGCTGAAGCCAAGCCTGTATGTCCTTGCATCCTTGTTTCCCCTCCATGCCTCTACGTGGAACCACGCACCCACGGGTCTGCGTAGTCCCGAGCCCCCCTGCGGGTGTGGCTCTTAACAGGAGTGGATGGCATGGTTTCGAGTCTCTGGGTTGATAAAATTGATGTCTCCGTTGGGTACGAAGGTGTAGGAGTTGCCGTCCAAGACAGAATTGTTCATATTGCATTCCACTTTGCCTTGGACTGTATCGAGTTTGAAGAGTCCACCCTCAACATTGCAGGCAATGTATGCAACGAAGCGAAGCCATTTCCGTGGCTTAAGAGAAAAAGAGCATATTCTATCAAGGGGTACACTGAGGAGAAGCAGATTGTGTGGTGCCCTACCGACACTCGTTTCGACAAGTAGGTTGATGATGGAAGTCATGGAGTAAGTCTCGACGTCTCCTATAACTACCTATAACCCCTAGAGTAGGCTCGTGACCAGGTTGTCGCTCAAAGAGGAGTTTCATAGATAGGACGGTCACCGGCCTAAAGACTGAGACCCCCCACATCGACCGGTCCTCGGGGTAGAATACATGTTATTCCGTTCTAATGCTACCTGGATCGTGTCAAGAACGTTGGGCTGTGTTAGTTATTCCATCACTCATCACGCACACCAGCAGCATTATCACAACATACATTTTTGCTTGGCCTAGCCTACAGCATGACGGAAGAACAGACAAAGGATATCAAGAAATAAAGGTGGGCAGCTTGAAGAAAAAGGCAACGAACGGGAGGGACAAACGAGCGGAACGATATCAACTTTGGCCGCCTCGGTGACGTGCCAGCAATCGTCGCGGGCGCGAATGACATCGACGACGAAGGGTTTACTACTTACTTTTCGTATTGGAGAAACTCGCTATCCCGCGCGGCACCGCCGCCGAAATTGTACCCCACGCCGTGGCCGAAGACGCCCGCATTGGGGTTGTACCGCGAGAGCGGGCCTCTGAAGATATGCTTGCGCCCGCGGGCGTTCTCCGTGAAGGTGAAGCGGACCGTGAAGAGTGTGATCAAGAAACCTGTAAGAGATCATTCTGAGTTAGAAGAAGGCTTTCCGTTGAAATCAAGACGGGGCTCGTACATAGAACCCATTCAACCCAGACGAATGCCTTGAGCGCCTGGAGGTTCTTGCACCACGCCTTGTCTTCAGAGAACTCGGCCGGGATGGTGTCGCACTCGAGGGGGACGAAGCGCCAGCGGGAGGTGGAGAACGCGTTGAACGCTGCAGCGATCCGCGATTACGCACATACTCGGGGACAAGTCCATCGCGAAAGCGCACTCACCCAACCAAAAGACGCTCAATATCGCAAACAGAGGAATCGTGAACTGGGGCCTGCCCGAGTAATTCTCCACAATGGCGAAATCAATGATGAACCTTCGAAAGCCGACGTCAGGATGCAAAGACAGTAGTCGGGTGTGAACGTACAGGGCTACGAGGATGACTAGAGTCGTAATGGAAAGACCGAGGGGGAAGAGGTCTGCCATGACTGCGTTGGCAACCGGCCTCAGCACCACAACCAAGCTCGCAAGTCCATTGGGGAACTCACAGAAGTATTCCTGGAAATCATTGACCTTTACTGAGAGCGCGAGTACGACGAGGTTGACCACAAAGAATGATACTGTCGTTGGTCGTTGGAGCTATATTGAAGATGGTATGGTGGGGGATGTTACGCACGATGAGCAGCAAACTGCTTGCGACCGACGGGAGACAGAGCCATAATTAAAATAATAACGTTACACAGAAAGCGAGGAGACAGAGAAGTGGAATCATATGTTTGCTCCTACGTTGCTATGAAAAGGTTCCACGCAAAAAAAGTTGCGTATCGACTGCATCAAGCGAGAATTGAACTCGCGGCGGGTCGATGTTCGATGGCAACGACCCAGGTTACCACTACCCCATTGATGCGATAAAGGGATCAAGATTGCCTCATCTCAGATGAAACTGTCTTCATGGAAGGTATTTCCAGACTCTTATAATAATATGTGAAGATAAACCCTAAGTTAGTGTCTACGGCGCGCCAATCTCTTTCCGAGACGCCGTTGGGAGACTTGTAGCCTCTTGGATGCACGGTGGTCTTCCTTGTCATCCATTATCGCCAACGCCCTGTCCTCCGGCATCCGTGCCAACTGCGCCTTGCTTCGAACCCTTGGTCGGTTCTTAACATACCACTCCCAGGCGAACCGCACGATTTCGCCATCAGCAGCGTACGGTGTGGGGATCTCCGAGTACCCTGGTCGCGCGGTGGGGTGGCGGACGTAGATGGCGGAGCACGTCTTGAAGTTCGTTTCTATGTACGCTGGAATGAACATCCATGGGGAGGCGTATGGGGGGAGGTAGAACGGTGTGAGGCTCCGGTTATCCTCACGGGGTGCATCGGTGACGGCGCTAGAGGGTTGGTCTAAGAGTCTAGGGAGCGGTGTGTCGTGCGCGCCAGTTGGTGTCTTGAAGAACCGAATAGCGTCGGGGTTCACGGACACCATGTCCCCAGGTGCAAGACGGGTATTGGCGTTTTGATGCTAGAATATCATTTACACGGAGGTCAACTTCCGAGATAGCAGTTTGGCGCACCTTCTTGCCGTTGAGCATGACATCTCCGTGAATAACCAAGCGGCGCGCCTCGTAGACGCTATGCACGAAACAGCAGCGAAAGATGAACACGTCTATCCGTCTCTCCACTTCCGAGAACATCAGACTCCCGACCGGCGCCATGCCTTTCTTTTCCACTTCTTCCTCCAGTGCTTTCTCCTTCTTTTTCCGCAGTGCGAATGCCTCTAGGTCCGTGCTGTCGTCCCCCAACACTTTTCGCCGCGGGCGTACATCCGGGAGTGTTTCGGGAAGGTACCACCGTTTGAAGATTTTCTCGTTGATGTAGTCGCCGTGGTATGCCCGCACAACGGCCTTGGAGACCCAGCGCTGTTGGAAAAGGGATTTGTGGGTACGAGTGAACTTCAATTCGTCTGCGCGAGAACCTTTGGAACGCAACCAAAGATTGTACAGGTTCTTCGGTGTCCAACTCTGTGAAACGATCCGTCAGACTCCATATTCAACAAGAAAGAAGGGTTGAGCACGAACCATACGAGGCAGAGCTCGTTTTATCGAATATATACCCGCATCCTTCATTTTGACAATGAACTACAACTCAACGGTAGGTGAAATAGTTGAGGAGTCGAGGCGCCGACACGGAACGATCGTGAGAAATTGATGGGATTACAGGGATATCCTATTTCTACAAAGGGGCCTACTCGACCAGTAGCTAGTCCTTCACTCCCAGTGAATCGACACCTTAAATATAGTGGCCAAATAAATACAATAATCATCCCAGAATTCACTATATGGCCGACTGTACTCGGTGGTACTTGTCCGCCACAAGTCCACCATTTACAAGAGGCTCAAATTGACAGGCGAGCAGCCAACGGCGATGAGACCATCTGTGAAATTATCAATAACGATGCAACACACACAACGTAATAATCTTCAACGTACTGAAGTGGACATTCTCACAGCAGGCGGTTTGAGCCGTGCTGGAGCAAGAGTGAACGGTTTAATCAGTCTTGCCTCGTCTAACATGGGCGTCGAAGGGACTTACCAGGAGTTGCCCGACAGGAGGAGAGGGCTACATTGAATTCCAACGTTGCCAGTCAAACCCCCAATGAGACCCTTGACGAGACCAAAGTGCTCCAACCCAAGTAGAAGGTTGTTGACGTGTGGTTGCGTGCTATGTTCAACGCTGTTGCAGCATTGGACCTTCCCGGTGCTGCATGACCCGACTGGGGCTGCAGGGGCGACCAGGGCAACCTTCCCGCTGCTGCACGTCTTGCTCGTCCGGCAGTCGGCTGTGGGGACAGCGGCGGAGAAACCGGCGAGCGCGGCGAGGACAATCGCAATGGTGGCGGATTTAGCGAACATTGTCAGTGAGCAGGGGATCCAAGTGATTCAAGAGAAGTACTTTGGAAGGAAGCTGGTGTAGGAGGGACCTGGCCATCTCCTCCTGAATTCCACCATGCTTTTGAGTATGCGGAATCTTCTTCCATTTGACGTTGTGATGGAGATTGACATTTTGGCCAGCGCACCTTTGAGTCTGTTAGGGCCAGTTTATTGCTGTTTGCAGAATAGTTGACCCAGCGTGATTTTAGCGCCACACACACAAAAATAGTCACGACAGGTAGGGCAAAAGTTTTCACTCATATCTCCCTCAATTCTTATTGTAGAGCTTAGACTCAAGTACGAGCCTCATCCCCTGATCAATCCGCATAGGCACATATAGAAATCTCGTTATTTCACCATGTAAATAAAATGAAGGTCCAAGGTGGCCATTTCACACTTATTGCAGCTAAATCTAAGTGAAAATATATCATAAAGGACTAATGTACAGATATATGGAGGCATATGTAGTAAAAAGTGGTCTGGAATGTGCCGGGGAGCTCAAGCATTGACTAACGACGCTAAGGCGGGACAAAATATATGCAGCGGAGTTATATACATTTCCCTACTTTTGCCATGGTCAACAAACGCGACAAGGCGCGATAGGCGGCGAAGAAGAAGGACACAGCAGCCGCTAAGAAGTCAGATTCAATCAAAATCAGGCTTCCGGCAGTCGTCCGGCGCAGACCCAGCCCTCGCCACAATCCGTTTCTGCGAGCTGTGACTGACTCCAGTGTAGAATTTGATGTTCTCAGGCATAAAACGGCACATATGCATGCACACATTGGTCCATCGGAGAGATTCTGGGACCAGTGTGCCTCTTTCCATGGACCGTTTATGAGTGGCTTCGTGGAAGCTGGAAAAGGGACTTTGGAAAACTCTCAGAATACTAGATTTTATTTACACGGTGAAATAACGAGATTTCTATATGTGCCTATGCGGATTGATCAGGGGATGAGGCTCATACCTGAGTCTAAGCTCTACAATAAGAATTGAGGGAGATATGAGTGAAAACTTTTGCCCTACCTGTCGTGACTATTTTTGTGTGTGTGGCGCTAAAATCACGCTGGGTCAACTATTCTGCAAACAGCAATAACGGTTAGCGCTGCAGGCGGACTCTATACTTCCATGCTAACAGGGAGTATTCATCCGTCGGGTTGAACCATAGGGTGAGTCTACTCCAGGCAGCGTCCGCTGCGCTCCACAGAAGCCATGTCATATATCTTCCATGGTATAGCGGACAGCTTGTTGCCAGCGATGTTCTTGAGGTGTCATATAGATTCTATGTCATAGATGATCTCTGGTATGTACTTATCTGTTGAAGAAGTTCAACGTGAAACGTGCATGATGGAAGCAAGAGGCCGCGATAATCGAGGCTGGTATTTTGATCGCTGCTGCGATGTACATTTCTTCATGTAAATCGGTCTGAGGGAATACGGTCTGCTATTGTACTCAATTGTCTACAACTAAAAGTACTTGTCATTAGACGGATCGACCTTGAAAGCTGTGCTGGACCGCGCCCATCTTGCCGCCTCTCATCGTCTGATCAATAGAAGGACCGGGCTGAACAATACACCAACAGGCCCACGCATCTCTTCCCCTCATCTCGTCAGAGCTTCCAACGACGGCATCTCTGCTCGGCAGTTGCATCCAAGTTGCCTCAACACGAAATGGCTGGACAAATTCATCTCCATACAACTCAGACCTCACGCGTGCAAGTTGTTTACGGAGGATTATTTGTACTTAATGCCAATAAAAATACAGGAGTAAGGAGTGTGGCTACAACGGAGTTTAATCCATTCTGTACAAATGTCCAGGATCGTGGTACTCCGAGGACATCTAGAGGACGCTAAGGTTGACGGGTGTGCAGCCAACAGCAACCTTGCCATCTAGAGGAGAAGCAGGCGTAAGCATACTGAAGAAGTAGAAAAGGAAGTAAAGGGAGGGTCCCACCGAAAGTGACGTCGTCGCAGCAGACGGTTTGAGCGGTACTAGAACGTAGTGAATACCAAAGCCGAGCACGACAGCTAGATATTGATAACATACCAGTCCGTGCTGGAAAGGCCGATGGGGCTGCAATCCAAGCCAATGTTCCCCACCAATGTCTCGATATCCAGGCCCACAAGACCCGAGCCCCTCGCCAAGGTGTTTGCGTGAGGCTGGGTGTGGTGCTCGACGCTGTTGCAGCAGTGGACCGGCCCGGTCGAGCAGCTGTTTGCGCCGTGGAGCGCCATAGGCGAGGCCGCCACCAACGACGCGAAGGCGGCAGCAAGGAGAACCATGGATTGGCAGTACATTGTTGTTTGGGGAATGATTACTCCTGTTGGGGTAGCAAAGGCGTTGGATGACCTAGCTATACCGCACAAGCTTTAGGTGTTCTTTAAAGGAAAGGGAGTGAAGGACAACGGGGAACTTCCATTCAATCTGTGAAGCCATTGTTGTTAGCATAGCGAAAGCCAAGAGCTGGTCTGCACCGGAGCTACTAGTACGGATGTTAATTTAGATGACAGTGAGAAGGTTGGCGCCCCGAATAGTTTTGGAGAGGACTCCAATCGACGAAGGGCCACTGAACGGGTGCCAGCGAAAGTACGACATGTCACCTTCAAGGCATCCACCGCTTCGGTCGTCACTCACTTTCGGTGCGTGCGCCGGTATAGTATGGTGCACTGTCACGATGCACGATGGATACGGCTGACCCCTTCGACTCTGCAATCATATTTCGGTCCTGAGTTCGGGAGTTTCAAACTTGGTAGTATATGGAGCTTCCTGCGTTAACCTTTTAGCTATGCCGAATTACATAGCAACTCGCTTCAGCTTCAAGGTTCGGACTTTTCAGGTTCGATTCTTCGAAGGCGTCGACGACATCGTGGGCACTGTGGTCGCTCAGTTGGTCACAAGTCACGCGTCAAGGAGGAAGTCACGCCCGCCGTCGTGAGAGCGAACTTCGCCGCGCCGACGGTCCTTTGTGAGTTCTCCCAGTGATGGACCATTACTCCCGATCTAGCGGCAGAAAAACTGAGACAATTATCTCGCAGAAAGAATACTCAAAGGCAAGCTCGAGGATAGTTCATTCTTCCCAATACCAATACCGACCCTAGGTCACCACGCGACGCGCCAATGCAGAGATAGATGACGGTGATCAAATCTACCGTGATGGCTATGGGACAAGTGAGTAGACCGCATATGTTCTTGAGGAAGACTCGTGTTGACTATGTCGCACAGATGAACAGTCCTTCATCGCCGAAACCTCGTTCGTCCGAGCACCCTTAAACTCGCGAGTGGTATCGAACCAAGCAGCACCGAAGCTCAAGGGCAAGGGGAAAGCAAAACAGGAGGACCTAGGTCACATCCCGCTGGAAATACAAGAGTCATTCATATTGGAGGACTTGCTATATGTACTGATGGTGCGAGAGTTCAAACGCCTGCCGTTATGACACTCATCAATCTTTGCGACAGGGTATCGAATCGACATATATTACATTCCACACCGACCACACCGTCGAGGATAACGATCCTCTTAGGGGCATACGATTCGCGGTGTCTCCGTCCCTAGGCGCGTCTTAGGCCCCGTTTGTGGTTGGACCGCTAATCAACAATTCGTGTAGATCCATCCTTGCGAGACTTGGTTGAACGTATACTACCACTTGGGACTTATTATACCGCTATATCAGCGTTTGTGGAAGATCGAAGCCATTTGGATTTTGGACTGGTCAACCACGCATTATGTGCCGCGATACGCGATATGCTGAAGGCTCGTGTTCTATTCCTTGTTGCCCAAATATTCCCTGAAGTATTGGCATTAGGATTACCAAACACTTCTCTCTCAACTTGAACACGCGTTCAACACGTCTCCCCAGTTTTCTCTCCAAAAACTGTGGTTTTACATTCATCCGACGGTCCATACGCTTTCGCTCATCTACCAACTTGTGCTTGAATTCTGCACAGCCGACGACCCCGCTGCTGACTCTTCCTCCTCGTCCTCCGATGAATCATCCGTTGACCCAGAAGAAGAGGCGCGAAATGAAGCCCTCGGCTTAGGTGGGGCTAAGCTCAAAGCTGTCCTGTCCGAAATAGATAAAAAGGGCATCGGCAACGATGGCACTTCGATATCAGTCAAAGGAGGCGAAGTATTGAGTATCATTTACGATCGGATGAGGAATATGTCAGGAGATCCAACAGCACTCTCGGTGTACGGAACGTTGCTTCAAGCAGCTGGAAAACCCTACATATCCATGCTGAGAGTGTGGGTTACGACTGGCCGTTTGGCAGACCCCTACGAGGAACTGCTAGTCAAAGAAAGTAAGTTCATTAATCGCGGCATTCTCGAGTCGGACTATACGGATGAATACTGGGAACGCCGCTACACAGTATGTGAACCTCAACAGCACATTTTTGCCTGGTGTGCTAAAAGTCACGTAGTTGCGCGATGGATCTACGTTGAATACAAAACGCCAGCAAGCCGGAGTACCTCCACCTCGGACACTTGGCGGACGATTGCCTGGAGGAGCATGCATTCCCCCTCTCCTTGAAGGGTGGAAACATAAAATCCTTCTTGCTGGCAAGTATCTCAACGTCATACGCGAATGTGGCATCGAGATCAGCCGGAACACCTCTCAAACAGACGTTGACGATGTGTCAATGGAGGATGAGAGGTATGTGGTTCTGGAACCATGAAACTTACTCGTGTAAACCAACCATTCTAGTTTCTATCAGTTCCTGCAGGATGCCTACGCCCATGCGAATCAAACTCTGCTTCAGCTGCTGGTGAAGGACCTGGAACTTATCCCTCGTCTCCGCTCGCTCAAGCGGTACTTTTTCCTGTCTCAATCCTCATTCCTTACGCAACTCCTCGACCTAGCCCACTCGGAGTTGCGCAAGTCTGCCAAATCCGTGTCGATTGTGAAGCTGCAAAGCTTGCTCGATATTGCGTTGGGCGCGGAAACGCAGGGCGAGGATGCCTTGTACAGGGAAGACGTGAAGGTCATCATGGCAGGGAGTGGGTTATATGAGTGGTTAATCAAGGTCGTTAGTGTTAACGGGTCCATTGGCCCGGAGGAAGGAGAGGGTGGAATAGGCGGTATACCCCTAGATGATCATAAGAAGGAGAAGGATAGGGATAAAGACGAGAAGAAACCGATGCAAGGTATGCTGTCTGCTACACTTCTCTTCCGAGTTCATTAGTATATGTCACTTTAGCGATTGATGCCCTTGCGCTCGATTACAACGTCAAATTCCCTCTATCTTTGGTTGTCTCACGCAAAACCATCCTCCGATACCAACTTCTCTTCCGTTTCTTGTTCCATCTCAAGCACCTTGAGCAAGCATTATCATCTATGTGGATAGAACAGAAGACTGGTCCTTGGCGCCGCCCTTTGCCCGAGCATCGCGATTTCGAGCAATGGCGACTACGCGTCTTTCTTTTGCGAGCCCGGATGCTGTCGTTTGTTCAGCAGATTATGTGCTTCGCGACCTTCGAAGTCTTGGAGCCGAATTGGCGCGCCTTGGAGGAGAAGCTCAAGAAAGTAACAACGGTGGATCAGCTACTGCGAGACCACGTCGATTTCCTGGATACATGCCTGAAAGAGTGCATGTTGACAAGTTCCAAGTTGCTCCGAGTACGTATTGTGTTCAACACTCTTATCTCCGCTGACGTCGTCGACTTCTTCCACTTATTCTCTTCAAGGCTTACTCTAAACTCATACTAACGTGTTCTACGTTCGTCTTGTACACCTCGTCGTTCACGAAGTCGGCCAACCAAGCTATCGCGGATATAGAAGCAGGAGATGGTGATCGGGGGATGGCCAAACGATGGGATGTTCTCGGAAAATTCGAAGCTAATTTCGATTGTTGGTGCGTTTTCTTTCTGATATCGTCGATTTAAGGGATGTGTATTGAATATATTGCATTGTTTAGGTTTAAGGTAGGCGCGATCACAAGAAGCGAGAGGACAGATACTAACGTGTGCTGGCCATAGGTTCACCTCGACTGCGTCCAGTTCTATGCTTCTAGCGAGAACGTGTCGCTCCTTCCGCTCGTCGTTCGCCTCAACAGCATTAAAGCACAAAGTTGAACTGAGGTAGAAGGCGGCTAGTGTATTGTTATTGTCTTATTGATTTATGCTCTCTCCGCTATATGCACTTGTGTAGCTATCTGAATGTCTGAATTACTATCGGGTTGAATGAGTGATATTGATGTTGCCAGTGTCTATGGTTGCGCCGCAGTCGAGCGCAGTTGCTGCAACGGACTCCGGTGGAAGTAGCAGTTCGTGTCACGTGTAGGATGGAACAGCTTGGTGAACTTGACCGCTACGGTCGCTCTCCTCCTTCTGCATTTAACCATGTCCTTAGCAAAACTCACCTCAACATCAACGCAGACGCTGTCGCTACTGCTGGAGCGACAGCGGCTCCAGACATTCCCTGCGTTCTCAGCGTCATCAGATGCCGCCTCCGACCCATTGCATCTGCCACAAATCAGGAAAAACATGGGTCAGCTGAGGGCCGGGATACTCGACATGGAGGCCAAAGAGGGACGCACCCAATCAGCCCAGCTGCTGCGCAACCAGTATGGGAGGATGCGAGCAATGTTGGGAAATGATGCAGGTTTGGTGGAACCGTGAGTCTCGAGCCTCGAGCAGGTGTTCAGTGCTCTGCGAGGGTCGGTTCACTAATACGGTGGATGCGTAGACTCGATAATCCGGAGCCGTCGACGTCGAGGGCAGAGTCTGAGCTCCCTTTGATTCCCCCGCCTCCACCCTCAAAGGACACAGAACCCATTTACACGCCTTACACGGATGACCCACAAGGGGACGCCGATCCTGGCATCATGTTGCAGACCCAAAGACGCCTCATGGATGGTAAGTCCTGTCTTACGGCCGCGTGCTAGGCTACATTCAACATATAAACTCTTCCTTGTTCATTAGAGCAAGACGAGCATCTTGACCGTCTATCTCAGTCGGTTGGGAGACAACATCATATATCCCTCCAAATAAACGATGAACTGGATGTACATACGGGGCTGTTGCAAGAACTTGATACTGACTTGGACCAGACGGGGAACAGACTAACGAGCGCGCGGAGACGCCTTGACCGGGTGGCCCGCGGTGCCAAAGAGAACAGTACGTGTACCTTTAGTTCATCGTTTATAGCACAATTTATGTCTTGGAATTAGGTTCAGCCATGGCCATCGGCTTGCTTATCCTCATCCTACTGTTGCTGATCATCATCTTCAAAACGTGAAATGCATGCCGCACCTTCTACCCAGCATACTATATCGATATTCATGTTATACCATCATCTCGCTTTCACTCGCATACTGCATTGTTTGTCTAATAATTATCACTATTTCATATCTTGGAAGTCATTCTCGCTTTATCCACCTATCCGGAATCGACACCTAATATCTTCCAGAACGCCTGCCCAATCACACTGACACCGTCGTTGCGCCAATCTTCCCTCTTTCTATAATCTTCCACCACCGATTCTCCGATGACACCGTTCTTCGAACGTGCTTCGACGATTGCATTGACGATGGGCTTGGTGAACTCGGGGTGCCCTTGCACGGTGATTATGCGTATGTCGGTCAAACCATGGCTTCCTTCGTCCGAAGCGTACTGTACCATCCCCTGGTTGTAAGTCACCTGCGTAGACCCAAGAAGCGTGAAGCCAGGCGGAACGGCGGGTACGTGATCCCTGTGCATTTGGTGGATATTCTACGTAGCTTTCAGCCCATCCGTCAAGAGCATGTTGAAGCGAGTTGGACTGACTAGTTTCTGCACACCAAAGATGTCTCTCCCAGAATCTGTGAGGTCTACTTCTGTGATACCGACTTCCCAGCGTCCGCCGTTTGGCACGCACTCCCCGCCGAATGCTCGTCCCACAATCTGGTGCCCAAAACATATCCCTGATTTATTGCCGTTCAGGGATACTCCAAGTGTACTGTATTAGCATGATCTGCACGCACCAAAGATCTTTGCTTTGGGATACTTGTCCGGGATCGAGGCGACGAATGCAATCAATTTGTTGATCCATTCAAGATTCTCGTAGGCCGACGCCGCTATGAGACATAATAAGTTCGTCGGTGCAATAGGGAAACAAGTGATCCAGACCTGAACCAGTTATCATGAAGGCATCATATTCTTTATCCTCTAATGGGTATTCTTGCTTCTTAGCAACATCGTAGGGATCTAATGTGAATTCGACGCTCGTGTCGGGCAGAGATGAAGCAAGAAGAGCGGAAAAGATTCTATGATAGTCCCCATGAGACGAGAGCACTGCTGATGTGGGCGTATCGCAGATCAAGAGGGCGAGAGACTTGGTCATGGAATGCCAAAAGGAACAAAAACAAGAAAAATCTAGTGCATCAAGCGAGAATCGAACTCGCGGCGGGTCGAAACGACCATTACCAGTGGCAACGACCCAGGTTACCACTACCCCATTGATGCTTGTCCATTAAGTATGGAGTAGACACTCATATTGGTGTCAAACAAGGGCTTACATACTTCCAAGTTCGGGAAAGCGCTTGTCGCAAACATGGTAATAGTACAGAGTACAGAGGTTGTACAAAGGTGGGTTCTATTAGTTGGAGGCTAATGGGCAGTACACGTTTATGGATGTTTGCTGATACAGAAGGGAAGGTACGTTGGTTGCATTGTGCCTTTTGCCTGCTTCCGTGACCTACCCGGTCGACATGCTCTGGCTCGACTTGAGAGAGCGAGCCTCAGGCTCATCGTCTCCTACCAGCCAAGCTCTCCGAGGCTACTCTTCACTTCCTGCCAGAGTACAGTCTCCGTTACAATACCTTCATTGCCACACCGCGCCTTTTCTGCCATAAAGGCGCCTCAGGACGATTCTCTTTAAGTATACATCAGGACGTTGGTTGTAAGTCTTCTCGTCATCCCAGCAGATGGATCTCTGACTCATCATCTCTGTCCCTCAGCTACAATGACATTCTTCGTCACAAGGAGCGGAAGGTCACTTTCGACGTCGACGGGCTGTGTCGACTTGCAGCTGAGTCCGTGAACCAAAGTCTTACAGATGTCGTCAGCTTGTCCAAGCTTGCGGAGGGCGGTTTCAACCGCACCTTTGTCGTCACTCTACGCGACGGTCGGCAGGTGGTCGCCCGTATTCCCTACCCTGTAACGGCCCCAGACTACTACGCCGTTGCCAGTGAGGTGGCTACTATCTGCGGTCCTGCGAGATCCCTGCTCCAAAGATTTACAGGTATTCAACCGACTCGGACAACCCCGCTGGAACGCCGTATATTCTTATGGACTTTGTTCAAGGCTCGAAACTCAGCGACGTCTGGCCCAGTCTCAGCGACCATGAGGTTATTTCCATCATCCACCAGCTCACTCAGCTCGAATCACAAATGATGTCGCTATCATTCCCCGCTGGCGGGAGCCTTTACTTTACCAGAGACATCGAGAAGGTCGCCCCGGGGCTGGGCATACCGCTGGAGGACAACCGTTTCTGCGTTGGCCCAGACACGAAGCTGGCGTTGTGGTATGGAAGAAGAACACACCTGGACGTCAATAGAGGACCGTGTATGCCATTTTCTGCCTCTTCGTATCAATATGCCCTCGAACTAATTTAACGACTATAGATCATAGCGCCGAAGAAGCCCTTGCAGCGGCAGCGCACAAGGAGATCGCTTACCTGAAGCAGTTCGGACAACCGCTGAAGGCCAGCAGGGGCTTCGAACTCTTACAGTCCATGGGCGGCGTTGGGGCTGGGTGACGGCTGAGGACTACGAGTCTGCAGTAGCTTTCTTCAAGGGATGGAAGGAGAAGGCGTTGGCGGAGGCCGAGTCAGTGGAGGAACGGGACGAGATCATGGCTCACTGGCCGTGGGACGACATGGACGAAGAGATATATAACCAGCCGTCTTCGTCCTGCTGTATGATACTCGCCGGCATCACGCCCAACTCCACCAACCATATGTCCCAACCGGTAATCGTTGACAAGGTCAATAAAACCTGGTAATAGCCTCACCGAGGACGGGGTGTGTCCGTTCATTCCACGGAGGCCAGTAGCTGAGATGTCGCGGCGGAGTGAAGAGACGGTCTGCTGAGATGACCGCCATGTATAATAATAAATGTAGTCAACGTTTCGACGGTGACCAGTACTAATACCACGGAGCCAGGACACAAGGCCTTGGGTGAGGCGAAGTAATTATAATGCACATGAAGAAACCTATAAACGGCGCACTCTAACAAAGCCGCAGGCATACAGCTTGAAGGCCCCAAAGCTCGCAGTGTTAAGACATTAAGACATTAGCGGAGCGTCAAACGTTAAGGATGGATGGATGGTATAACGTTCGGTGTCGTCGACAGGGGAGATAAATTATTATAAGTAACATTTAGATGTGTTGTCTACTTGGCCGTCGCGGTGCTGTTGAATGAGAGGTATAATTCGGCAATGGGTGAAGCGGATGAGGAATGAAGGGTCGAGGGTGGGGGACAAGCAAGTAGACGAACTTGCGACCGAAGCGTTTCATAACGTCGCTGACGAGCTTGCACGCAAACCCCGATGGTACGCAAGCCGACGCGACGCTGACTCTCAATGGCGCCATACATGGCAGTCAAAACCCTCTTCGACTACGCGCTACGCCCTTCTTCTGGTACGGCCTCCGCAGCTCCCTCCTCAACACGCCCAAGGTCCGCTATCGAGCTCCAATCTGCATCTGCTGCCCCCGCCGGTCCCTGGCCCTCGGCCAGCGGGACCAATGCCTCCGGCCCTGCGCGAGCGTCCGCGTCATCCACATTACTCGAGCTCGCCTCAGGGCTCCGTGTCCCTGTACTGCGCACGGCCTGCCCAAAACCCGAAAGTGAAGGAAACGTGAACTCCCCGCTCTCTTTCTGCCCACCGTCATCTACAACCTGCTGCGAGCCGCTTCGCCGTATGCTGTCCGGTCGCTTGAGGATGGCGTCCGCAAGAACTGTATTCAGTTCTTCCTCCGCCCTTCCCTCAGCTTCCCTCTGCTGCGACTGACCGCCTGCCTCTATCCAGTCGTCTATTTCACTGCCTTGCCAGAAACGTGCCCGCTGGCGACCTCGATTATACGCAGACTGCGAGGGGGAACCCGGGGCACCAAGGTCGGGCGACATGGAACCAACAGACGACCTTCCGGATCTAGAAGGGCCACCAGCGGCGTTTGGTTGATTGCCAGCGTATGGGAACAGAACGGAGAATAGGCTAGATGATGGGGGCGCAGAGGGGGGCGGTTGATTTGGGTGACCTGGAGTGGGAGGTGAAGACATGGCTGGATACGGGAACATATGCGAATGCGTGGATTGCGACAACGGTGATGGCATCGGTGAAAGCATGATGTTGCCTTGGACATGAGGGGCTACGTTAAGCCGAGTGGGAGAGGGTGCAGGCGAGGGCGTGTTCGACATCCGGAGATGAGGAGATTTTCCGTTCATGTTGGGGAGTTGGAGATGGTGACCAGGCGGAAGAGGCGGAGGAGGGTGGCCTTGTGGTGACATCGACGCGTACAAAGCTGTATAGGCTTGCAGATGATGCGTCAGGTGCAGTATTTGATTTTGGAACTGCAACAAGAATAGATTAACAACTAGCGCAACACGCGCAACACACCAGCACTTACCTCGGCTTCCCTTTGCCGCCATGTTACACTCTCCCACCGCAATGCATCCAGGTCCTTTGTTCGTTTCTCCATTTCCAGCCGCATCTTGTCCTCCCTCAGCCGTGCGGCCTCCAATGCCCCCCGGAGCGACGCAATCTGCGTTTGAGCGGATAAAGAAGGAGGGGGGGTGTTATTCCCAGACTGCGAAGATGGTGTGGGTGTCCGATGCGGAGTGTGCCCATGCCGAGGATTCCTCGAATGTCCCGCAGAACCAATTGAATTACCTACCAGCAACTCGTTATTTAAGTTTCCTGGCCCGGTGCCTCCTTTCCCATGAATGTGCTCGGTGGGACCAAGTGCCGAAACTTTGGGACTCGGCGACGATGGCTGGCAAAATGAATTCGTGGAGTTGAGCGTTGGAAAACTGAGGGGCACGCCATCATCTTCAGCATTAGAAACCGAAGAGGAAGTGAGAGACACGGATGATAAGGATGATGGAGGCGAACACGACGGAGATGGTTCGAATGATGATCCACTCGCGAACATTGGCTCTAGCAGGGGAGAAGCACTCTGCTTAGAGAATCTCGGAGGCTTGTGGTGCGCCGTCGAGTCAACGCTTGGCGCACTGGGCGATGTTTGAAGCGCTTGGTCTGGCTCTGGAGCGTCGCCATTGGTCGAAGGCACAGTGGCGCGGGGTGTAGTCGCCGCGAATGCTGAAGGAGGGGTAGGAGTCGCCGCCGATTCTGGTACCGGAGAGTCCCCAGGCAGTGGATCAGTGCTAATTGCGTGAAGGCGCGTGATTGGCTCGAAATTAGACTGCTGGAAAGTGTGTGGCCCGTCGTCCAATGTGTCTCCGCTTACCGTACAACGCTGGGGTGTGATCGCGATTGTGGCGCTTCTGTGCGAAGACGTAGTCGAGGCCGACCTCGAAGACGTAGTAGAGCGTGATTTTGCGACGGAGGCGTCCCTCGAGCGCCCAGGCGTGGATGAGGTCGCGGTCAAGTCGTCGGCAAACTCGATGTCAGACGCAGTAGATGATGGGACACTCGTATCTCCAGCCGCTTGGGAGAGTTTGAGAAGCAGCTTATTCCCCTTCTTGCTGCCCTTCATAATTTCTTTCACGGGGTCTTTTCCCCGCCGTCGACGTTCTTTCGTTCGGGGCGTTTTCGAGTCTCTTGAATCGCTGTGCGTGGCAGAGTCTGAAGCGCTGCATTAGAATACATTAACTTGAGAATCGCATACGCACATTGAATGTTCCTTTCCTCCCCGTGCTCCCTAGCTTCGACCTGCGTGGCGCTGATGCTTTCCACACCCATTCCGGTCGAGTTTGGCAGTGGCGATGTTCTGCACTTTGCGCGCACGTATAGGGCAGAGCCTGTAGCCAGCAAAATGGTTGTAAGGGCAGCGAAGGCCGTCGTAGTAGAGCCTGGAAGTGACCCAGCGCTGGCGCCACCCTGCTCCCCGCTGTCCATGTCGACCTGGGCGACGTATGCAACGATCCAAAGAACAAGACGAAAGTACGAGGAGGGAAGAAGATAAATAAATTAGGAATCAATTGTGCCTTTCCGATCGAGATATCTAGTATTTGAACTCAGACGGCGGCAATTGAAGCTCCGAATGACTTATACCTATATTAGAAAATCTATTTCTGTATATACGAAGCTTTTCGGTGATCTCGGTGTCATTAACCCAAGGCCGTGTGAACTCTGTTAAGTCATGTTGTTAAGTCGAGTTGTCTAACTTCTCGCTAACGAGCAACGTTAGCGACATCAACCATGATTCGAGCTGGTGAATGATAGAGATGATGCCCTGGTCGCTGAGACGGGGTCACACATCACTGAGCTTTGAGCCTTGAACAAAGTCCCAGGTCGGCTGAATACCCGTAAATTTCTGGAGCAGGGATCCCACAGGACCGCAGGTGCTCGATAGTAGCCACCTCACTGGCAACGGTGTAGTGGTCAGGAACCGTTACGCCGTAGGGAATGCAGGTGAACATCTGCCGACTGCCGTGGGGTTGGAAAGCTGCTGATGATTTCTATAAGACTTTGTCGGTTGCAAGTCGACACCTTCCCTTCTGTACCAGGAAGTACGCCGTCCACCTTGAAGTCACCTCCATGAAATTGCCAACGTCGATATGCACAGGTGAGCTTGCATTTATCTCCCAACCGCTGTACTCAACTCGAACCAGCCCGTTCGCTGCAGAGGAACCAACGGCTAAACGAAGCTTGGAGCGTATTCAGAAAACGAGGCAAGGGGGAACGGAGAGAAGGAAATGCGAATAGAGATGCAAACAGTGTGACAATACGAGAGACGAATAGAGAAATGCAAATGGTACGTCGTCTCGAACCCTCGCAAGTGGACGAACGAACGTGAACTCACTTCCGTCGCTCGAACCTACCTCATTATTCATCAACCCTATACCATGCAGGCCGCACATCGCCCATGCCCAAAAACCGGACCAAACTATCCAAAGCCTCCGGGGAGGTCTTTGCGATTGCCGCTTCCAACTCTTTCGAGCCATTGTCGGCTAGGACCAGCATATATCGCAATCCATTCTTGGTCCTGACAAGGTGGGTTTTCCAACGGGAGAGGAATAAGCCGTCAATTGTAATCATGCAAACAAGGGGTAGTTTTTGAGTGGCAATATTCATTGCGACTTGACGTTGGGATTCGTTCGTGTGGTTGAAGTGTGGGTTGACGTGGTCGCGCATAATGAGGCCAAAACGGGTGAGACACTCGTCCGTGAGTACGAGGCCATAGGCTCGTGTAGGAGCGGGTGCGGAAGGAGGACTCTTAGACATGACATGCTTGTATTGCTTTGGCTTTGCGCTGTGGGTCCATAGGCATTGCGGTGGAGGAACAAGTTAAAGTTGTGCAGACGTCGCGTGACTCGTTTTCATCACGCACTTCAACCAGAATACCCACGAGTTGCACCATATCACGTGGTCGACTGCCACGTCGGTAGGGCAATGGTTTCATTGAAATTCGCTGGCTGAATATCTTGTTTCTGTACTCTCTCCTTCACCATGAGCGGCTGTGAGTATTCCTTTCGTTGCTGTCGTCCTCGTTGTTGGGCACGTTGAGCTCACTGTTTCCTGTAGTCCGCTTCCTCAATCTCGTCCGTCCATTCCTTCCAATCCTTCCCGAGGTCTCGTCGCCAGAGCGCAAAGTCCCCTTCAACCAAAAAATCCTATGGACTGCCGTCACGCTCCTAATTTTCCTTGTCTGCTCGCAAGTACCATTGTATGGTATCATGTCCTCTGATTCATCGGACCCTCTATACTGGATGCGTGTCATCCTTGCGTCAAATCGTGGAACTCTCATGGAACTCGGTATTTCGCCAATCGTCACTTCTGGCATGATCATGCAACTCCTTGCGGGTGCAAATTTGATTGATGTGGATTTCTCGCTGAAAGAGGACAGGGCCCTTTTTTCTGGTGCTCAAAAGCGTACGCTCCGCCGTATTTTGTGCTTTTTTCGCGAATGTTGACACGATTTTCTAGTCTTCGCTTTGATCATTTCCCTTGGCCAGGCGACCGTGTACGTGTTGACCGGGCTTTACGGCCAGCCGAGGGACCTCGGTGCAGGTGTTTGCTTGTTGCTCATCATTCAACTCGTGTCTGCGGCCCTTATCGTCATCCTCCTCGATGAGCTCCTTCAAAAGGGCTACGGTCTCGGCTCAGGTATCTCGCTTTTCATTGCCACGAATATCTGCGAGTCCATTGTATGGAAAGCATTTTCCCCCACCACCATTAATACCGGCCGTGGTCCTGAGTTTGAAGGAGCTATTGTTGCCCTCTTCCATCTCCTCTTCTCCTGGAACGACAAAGGCCGTGCGCTCAGAGAGGCATTCTGGCGGGACAGACTCCCTAACGTCATGAATCTCATTGCCACGATTGTTATCTTCGCCGTCGTGATTTATCTCCAGGGCTTCCGCCTCGAGATCCCCGTCAAGTCCAACAAATTCCGAGGTCAACGCGGTTCCTACCCCGTCAAGCTCTTCTACACCTCAAACATGCCCATCATGCTCGAGTCCGCACTCACCTCCAACGTCTTCATTGTTTCTCAAATGCTCGCAACCCGCTTCCCTGATAATCTCTTCGTTCGTCTGCTTGGTGTTTGGGAGGTATGTTTGAAAATTACGCGCTCTTACTTGAATCTCACGCTACAAACTTTACAGCCCATGGAAGACTCCCCTCAACTCGCTGCCACCTCTGGTATCGCGTACTACATGTCCCCTCCTCACACCATGAAGGAAGCCATTCTGGACCCAATCCACACAGCGATCTACATTATTTTCATCTCCACCACTTGCGCACTTTTCTCCAAGACGTGGATTGAAGTCTCCGGTTCTGGCCCTCGCGACGTTGCCAAACAACTCAAGGATCAACAAATGGTATGTCAAATGCTTCTTTACTATTCGCGTGGCCTGCTCTTACCTCGGAGTGCTTTCATCAGGTTATGGCTGGTCACCGTGAAGGCTCGATGTACAAGGAACTCAAGCGTGTCATCCCTACTGCTGCCGCCTTCGGTGGTGCTATCCTCGGGCTTCTCTCTGTAGCTGCTGATCTCCTTGGTGCCATCGGCTCCGGCACTGGTATTCTCATGGCCGTTACTATTATCTACAGCTGTAAGTCTTCGCGCCCACTCTTCCGTGCCGCATATACTGACATTCCTTCTTCCTTGCAGACTGGGAAATCGGCATGCGCGAATCAGGAGGACCAGAAATGGCTGCCCTCGGGGACTTGCTATAAATTGGCAATAGCTCTTCAAGCCCGCATCCTCCTCCTCCCTCCCTTCCCCGCTCCCGCCCCCGTTTATTGTATGATCCCTTCCTACTTTGCTTCCTTCCCCTGGAGTGCGGTGTATTGGAGGATATTATGTGGCCGATGTTGACAAGGGCACGTTACATTGGCTTGAATACCTAACTAACGCAAAAATGACCACGTTTCCGTGTACCTTGGCTGGCATGCTTATTTATGGGATGTGGACGAGTCCACTAGTTTAGTCTTTGTGGATATCTAGGCCCGGTGTTGGATCATCTACGTGCTGAGAGTCGCGAACTGCTGCAAGGGTGTGTCAGATGTGTTTCCCGAGCCCCTCGACCACGTCAGCAACGCCCCGTAACGCGTCAACCTGTTCAAAGGAGGCCTGTCCTGACTGGCTCCTTTTGAGATGCGGATTCTTTACGAGTGACCTCGCCACTCGCACTCATCTATTCGTTACTTTTGAATCCTTGAGCCTTCGGTTCAGTGACTGCCTGAACAGATTACATATTTCTACTATATAAGTTGTGCTGAACTACGGGGTGAGTTAATCAGGATGTGGATATTCCACTGGCAAAAGCGTTGGCTCCCTGCTTCTGCTTTTGCTGGGCAAGGAGGCGTCTGTAATGCCAGTGCTGAGCAACCTCTCTGAAAGCCAGATAGTACAGGGAACTCACTGTCTCGCCGCCAAGATCATCTGAGCTTTACGCTCTCTGAGGCTCGCTTCGCGCTTCTCCGGCGTGTCCTCCCAAACAGCCTTCCCCCCGATCTCCTGCTCCGACACGGGAGGGTCGTCGGGTTTCTGGTTCGCCACTCGGTCCTGGAGGCTATAGCGACTTATGAGACTTTCTTGTGGCTGCTTCGACGTCGAAGCGGCGGTATTCCGTGTGGCTGGTCGGGCGGGCGCGGGGTTCTGCGTTCGCGGGTATAGAGTGTAGTAGGCTGGCGGGGGCTAAGAACAACCAAGAAACGGCGTCGCGTAGGTGGTATATAGAGTGTGCGTAAGCCCTAGCCGGATCGAGTGAGCAGCAGAGCACGTACAGCCTCCAAGAAACCCTTCTCAAGGATCTTATTGGTTGTGAGTTCGACATTTCCGGTCCTCAAAAGGTCGTAGCGGATGTTATCTCTGGAAAAGGTGGCCATGAGCCATGGAGAAATCGCGGAAGAAATGTACACTTACGGTGGTATATCCGGGAACATTGCAGATACCGTGTCCACCTTTCGAGTCGGTCAATTGAGTAGGTAGTAAGTCAGCATGCAATAGTCGCGCACCATATCCTGGGTGGCATTCTTCGGTCTGAAGCCAAGGGTATCGGCCGCAGTCCTGTCCGGAGTTCCACTACCTGTTCAGAGAGCGGTTAAATACATTCTCTTGGGCCCGAGCCGACTGAAACGCACTTGAGGATGTCACCCACTTGAACAGGAAGACAATTACTGCGAAAGCGACGATAACGTTGGCGACTTCTCCCATTTTTGCCGTTCAGTGTTGTCGCTGTCCGGAACGACCACCGTTCAGTGGGTTTAGGAAGCACAATAAATGTCACGGGACGCAATAAGGGGCTAGGAGAACTGGGGGTGCTGAAGTTGGTTGCACCCCGGAACTACTCTCAAATATTCTCGATGGCACTGGTCGGTGCTTGGCTGCCTCTCTCTGGCTTCCATTGTTTTACCCAAGGATTATGAACGAAATTAAACGGTTGTATCGGCAGAAGTTCTCTACGCTCCATCGATTGGTGCTCAGGCTCGTAGAAGGTGTGGTGTGCAGGATAAGCTGGTTTGTGTATCATTGGGTGCATACGTTGGGTTCTTGGGATGTTCAGCCATATAGTCAGGCAGGATACATCATGGCCAGGCGATTTATCGGGCGGGCTGCTCAAGGAATTTGTCAAGTCCACCCCAAACAAGAGGCTACCATCTCGGATCGAAGCGTCCGAATCCGCCAAAGGTATGCGCGAGCCGAGATGCACGGGCGGATTGTAGGCAACTAAGGGACACAAAGGCAACCCACGAAGATGTAGGAAACCTTATAAAATTTAGCCACGAGCTCTCCGCTTTCGAATGCAGAAGTTCCGCCTGAAGAGGGCCGTACCTAGCACGCGCCGCAGATGAAAACTTCCACTGCCCGTGGTCACTCTAGGTTTCCGGCCCTTCACCCTCCTTGTTCACAACAATCGGTGGACAGGAGCTGACAGGAGTCAATTGAGGGTCTGGATCCGTAGAGCAGTACATTGTCTTTGCTAGCTATACGGATGGGAATGGCCGTATCGTGCCTCGTCGCTGATGAACAGAAGCACAGAAGCATGGTAAGAACGAAGGTTGCAGACGTTGATTGGATCGCGACTCTCTTCCGCATTACAATCAGCTTCGTTCGGACCCAGGAACTGTGGGACTCCGTCAGTTCGACGCATCTGACATATTCCGCGGCGACCTTCGTGCGTAGTATCTGGCAAGGAGTCCATTTTACATATACACCAATAGGCGCTAGACGCAGACTAGGTATGGAACGCACTTTATCCCGCCTTCTTGAGAGGAAGACGGAAGACAAGCAACAATCGCGGCGGTGTTGGAGTTGACGATGTAGGATAGCCGAGGGGGACTCATCGGAACGTCTGCATAGGCTGGCTGCGAACATCGGAACGCGTTTTCTTCGAGTAGGAAGGTTGTTCTTTGGACCGTTTCGGGCACCATAAAACACGGGGAAAGAAGGAACAAACGGTGCGGTAATAACGTACGACACCCAAAGAAGTAAGTTGAACGGAGGGATCGCTTTGAGGCACTCACTATACTCAAAAGTTTCTGGCTCGCAATTTCCAAATTCTTCGGATTCTGAGCCTTGGGCTCAACAGCAAGTAGGTTATTCGCTGGACGCAGCGTATGGCTCTAGCCATCGTGATTCCAGGAACCAGACGCCTCCTGTATCGTGTTCAGGAGGGATCGCGACGAAGACGCGATGCTCGCAAGTCGGCAGGGTGAGATACACGATAGAGTGTACGGCGACAAGAGGGGAGGTCATATCTACGTCAAATGTGAGTTAAGGCGGGCATTACCTAACAGGGTGGTATACTTCCACTTTGCTGGAAGTGATCAATCTCGATACGAACGGAAATTTACCATTTCTTGAAGTAAGGAAGGAAGTACAGAGGCGCGCCGAAAGGTTTATAAACCCCAAGAGAATGAGTAGCTGGCTCACCAGAACATCTCTCATACTCTCGACCATTTAGTAGCTAGCAATTCCTCGAAACATTCATCCGTAGGCTGACCGTTGCGTCCTAGTTTCCTACATTCAACGGAATCAGACACACATCCTCGAGACAAACCACCCAACCAGTATGTCCAGCTGTGACATCCAACGTAGCCTTGGAGGTCCTAACCGCGTCTTTCGAAGCCATTATGAAGTGCTCTACCTTTCTCGCCGCCATTGCAGTGTCATTTGCCTCAGCGTCGGCTTTGAGAGTGTCGCATCGAGAGAACCAGCTGGTGAAACGAGCACCGGCCGACGTCCTTTGCTGGCCCGCTTGCGACAGCGAAGGCAATAAAAAATCCCCGCCACCAACTTGCGCCGAGGGAATGGACGCAGGGGATATTGGGGAGAATTGTTTCAAATGCTGCTACGGTAATGATCCAAACGGCCCAGTCCACAAAAAGTAAACTTCGACGCAATTTTGACGCGAAGAGGGGCATTTTAGAGGGCCTTCGGCACTGGCAAAGTCGCGTAGTTGCACTCACTATATTGTACCTGCGAGGAACCTAATGATTATAATCGGTTTATCCGTTGATTTTTCTATTTTCTTACCAATTGGACGGTTATCAAGTCAACACTTTCTTTGACGAGCTTTGATCATGGTCCCGGGCCTCTTTTAAGAAGTTAGATCATCAAGCGCCCATCACTTCCATTCACCTACCATCATGTCCGAATCCAATCTACTCTTTGATTGGGTGTCTCCCGACGATTTGAATGATGCTGTTGAAATTGAAAAGCAAGGTAGTGCAGCGTATCTCTTTACTTGAAGGTCCAATTAACACTTCCTGTGCAGGATTTCCAGAGGACGAAGCCGCCTCCATTGAGGCATTTCGGCATGCACTCCCTGTCTTACCCAAATCAACGAATTTCTAATTCTAGTGATATAGGTTTCGTCAATCGCAAGCCGGGAATCTATTTCTCGGAGGCTATCTAGTCTCCGGAGAGCAGCGACGGTTAATCGGCTATGTTTGCTCAACGCTTTCTCCAGCAACAACCTTGACGCACGAATCCATGTCTACACACGTCCCTGGATCCTCGAGTATCTGCATACACTCTATCTGCATTGCAAAGGAGCACACAAAGCAGGGCTTTGGTTCTAAACTTCTGAAGGAATATATTTCTCGATTGCAGCTAGCTGCGAAAGATCCTTCCACCTCCTACGATCGAATATTGCTTATAGCTCATGAGGAGCTACGCGGATTTTATGAAAAAGCCGGCTTCGAATGGGCGGGGGAAAGCTCTGTAAAACATGGATCTCGTCCGTGGTTTGAAATGCGAAAGATACTAGATAGTTCAAATGATGCCACTCCTTTACCTCCAGCAGATATAGCCCCACCTTTGCAAGGTCTTCCCCCCGGCTTATGGGAAGCTCTTCAAAAATCATCCACGTCACGCAACAAGCCAGTGCCCCGACCACTATCATCCTTCCCTGGAGGAATTGAAACCCTAATCCAAACCACTGATACTGGTATCTCAACCAACAAATTCGATCTCCTCTGCCCTCGACCAGGATGTGGGAGTATTATCCTGAAGCACGGAGTAGCAAAGTGGTTTGAACGCTCTAGTGTTCAGGTCAGCTAAGTTCACTGACTCGATCTTATGACGCATGGCTGGAAGTAAGCTTTAGATGGAGCCCTCTGATCAGCCCGGGAATCCTCTCTTGTCGAAGCTCCCCCCTTCGCCGCAAACAACGCACTGGTGGCTCGCCGGTCCATCCCCTATGGTGTTCGAGAATATCGGGTTCTCTCGACCAGTCGCCTCATTGCCTCCTTCTGGTATGTTCACTTCGCGCAGGAGTCGATCGACACTCTTACCCTACCGATGAAAGACACAGGGGCGAGATTGAAGTTGTTGATTTGCGGCGAGTGCGATCTCGGTCCATTAGGTTGGTGCGAGGAAGGCGGGACTGAATACTGGTTGGCCTGCTTACGTGTTGGATATCACGAATAAATGAAGAGGGAAAACGCTCGATGTACGATCAGAATACATACACTGGCTCATACCCTAGCAAGCAACATTTTACCTATCAGACACGCAGGGACCTGGTCGAACCTGGAGATGTAGAGAAGGACGCGATCTGCCTCCCTTGGTAAACGACGCGAACAGCCCGGGATCGCGCATTCTTATCGACTTTGAGCGTCGCCTTCGCCAGCCTCCCACCGGCCCACTGCATATCTACGCTTATACTACCCCTAACGCGCGCTCCTCTGATAGAACCATCCGCCCACTGTTTCGGAAGAGCGGGCAAAAGCTTGATAGTGAGAGGTGCAGAAAGTGTTGGTACGTCAGATGCTTGTATCAGAGCGTTCTGTCGTGCTCTAAGCTCGTATTTGGAAACCAAGAATAAGAACCCAGCTCACCATCACTGCACCTGTGAACCCAAAATTTGCATCGATTTGGAAGATCGACGCCGAGGAATCGTACACACTAAACAAGTTTGCCGCAAAGTTCTCATACAAGGCATACTAAGGTCGGCCGAGAATGTGAGCCAGCACAGCGTGATCTGGAGTTTCGACGCACCGTCAATTCATGATAAAACTCATCTTCATTATCCAGCTGTGCCCACATCGCGGCCCGCCACACCTTCTCCCACCCAGAATCAGCGTCCGGGCCAGTACCGTTCCCTCTGTGTATTAAACTGACAGTAGCTGCGTCTATGACTTGCTGTGTAGTATACCTCGTCTTGGTGCCATTCGCAGCAATCGGGCCTTGGATCGAGGGTGTGTATCCGCTCACGGCGTAGCCAGGATAGACACCGATGAGATGTGATAGATGCCGGTGCGTATCGGTGGGGCTATCCAAATCAACTTTCCATTCTACGAAGCATCCATGGCCGTGAGCCCATCTGAAGGGTAAAGAAACTGAAAAGCCAACCTTGCAATTGGCCCCAGGAGCCAATATGTATTCCCTTATCCATACGTGCCCGCTTATCTCGCACCTCTGCAACGTAAAGTAATAGGTAATACATATGTGAGCCAGTTAGACCCTCCACATCGTCGCAGCGTAAGGGCGACAGACCTTGTAGGAAAGCAGTATCTGTGTCCCCGGATGCTGCAAATCCTTTCTCGACCGCATTGAAAAGCTGCCAAATCAATTGCATTGCATGAGAACATCCTAGGGCATCCGGCGTTAGCGTGCAAGTAAACCATCCACAGAAATTCCATAGGCCTTGATAATTAATGGAAGGTAGGGGCACACACCTTCGGTAATAGGTGATTGTTCAGGAGAGTTGCAGGGATTCACAATGAGTGTCGAATCATTGAAACGAAGATCGGGAATCAACTTGTCCAGCTGGAACTCTGCGACGCCCTATGATTAAGACAGGAGCCGTCAGCGGAAAAGGACAATGAGCACGTAAGAATATGCAGCTGTACCTTCAGGAGCGGCCATCCTTGGGATTTCCACCACGCAACGTCATTCGTGTAGTCAAAGTGGTCCCATACGTGGATCATCTAGGACAAGACGTAGGTATACAGTTGAAGCATTAAGAATGTAGAGAACCCACCATCCAAGCTGCCGCCTCTGGCCACGCAACGCGCAAGCTCAAGTTAATACCCCGGATTGGGAGGACGGATCGGTCACATACGTACCGGGATAATTCGCCCATAGAGGACCCCCTGCCTTCATTCCGGTATGCCCGAAGACCTATGGAGGGGATCAGGCGGGTAGCACGCTCTTGACGTTGGGTGGAACTCACGTTTAACTAGAATCCAAAAGCTCAGCATACTGCTCCGTGTCTACGAAGGAAACGAAGAACTGTACATCGTACATACCTCGTTGTGTACGACCCACCCACGGGAAATATTATACAAGACCTGGGCGGTGTAGGCACCTCTGGGAGCCCAGTTTTTCTCGAAAACAACAACATAAGGCTGAGAAAGAGGGAAGATGAGCAAGGTAGGCTCACCTCCATATAATCAAATAGCGACTTCGTGAGATCTAACCCCGTACTCTCGGCGGGCCAATAGTTCATCTGTAGATTAATATTGACATCTTCCGCGCAGATGGATGAAATTTATTCGTCATTCTCCTCACAAAAATCAAAGACGCACGATAATCAGCCGACCAAGGGTTCCCGTAACCATTCGCCCACTTCCCCTGTAAATTAGCAGGCAGTACGCCTCTTGCGCTGCTCCACAACAAATACCGCCCGTAGTTGAACAGCAAATTCTCCAGATAGAGGTTTCCTCCGGAGGTGGTCCCCGGGTACGCGATCTGGTAGGCATCAATGAGGTCTGAAGTGGCTTGCGCTAGGTCACTTCGCGAGGGCCCCTGACCAAGTGTCAGTGAAAATGATTCTGAGGAGAACGTGGCCTTGAGGTCGTCGAGGTGGGCTTGGAAAAGGGCGGATGCTGGTTTGGATGCAGCTGAAAGAAGTTGCACCAGAGAAGAATGTGGGTCTGGTCCTTTGAATGAGAAACTGTGTGCCTCATCTCCTGCGTCCAGATCGAAATTCGTCCCTCCTACCCAGGTTATCCATGACTCTGTAGAATTGATAACGGTGATTGTCGCATTAAGCTTTGAGCTATCTAAACCGCGACCCCCGAGTCAGAAACAATAGCAAATATGACATACAAGTGTTTACCTGTTCCAGCAGCGGGTGTGCATATTACGCTACCATCGACCGTGCCCACCTTTGCAAGTATCTCATATGCCATCCCGGGGGCAGCCACAAGACCCGTCAACTGAAGCGTCGACGAGTCTAAGCATGTCACCGACGGTGCAGGAAGCCCGTCTGTTACTAGTGAGAGCGGGCAGAAGGCGTAGGTAATGGCTGGCAGTGTCGTCCGAGACGTTGTAAATGTGCGCTGCGTGCACGACTGAGTGGGATGGGCGCAGAACGATTCACTGAAAGCAGGAAGAGTTTACACAGGGCCTAATGGTAAAGTTGGAGGAATGCTGACCGTGAAATCGACTGGCTTCCTTGTGTCCAACTGGTACGGGCGACAGCCTCATCGAGGTCAAGCCACCGAAAATAATTTGATACGGAACCCGTTACGTTCATTGTGGTGATAAGATTTCCAGCGGAGGCATAAGAGCCTTGGAATCCATAAGTCAGACTACAACCGCGAATCAAGAAGGAATAGGTACACACCGTATGCACCTGCATCCACTGCAAGCAGGCCAGTATCTTCAAAGTCAAGTTCCAATCCATTAGTGACGGGTTTTGACTACCCTAGTCGCCTAGCCTTACCGCCTGTTTGACCGTTTGGACTCTGAAAGATAGCCTGTCTGACTCTCAGCAAAGATTGGTGCACCGCGGCCTGCTCAGATTGCTGATGATTTCCGCCATTGTAAGCCTTTCCATGTACAGTTTTAGCTCGTCAAATATATAAGTGAATGAAACCGCGTACAGGATCTGAGAACGGGCCGCCTGACCATAGAGATTCTATGTTCAGTTGGGTGACCTCTTGGGACGTTCCTCCTGGAACCATCGCTGCCGCATCGAGTACGAGATTAGTACAAGCTCGCAACAGATGACTTGTACGATTCCTTGCCTGCTATATATCCATTCCCAATTGGAAGCAATTCTGTAACCCAATTGCTGCCTGGCTTGTCGTACCACAGTCCATTGCCCGAAGCAGGAAATCCCGGAGGAGCCGAGTTTGCTGTGTGTACTGCGATACCCAAGGTCAAGGCGAGCACCCGTAGGATGTAGGACGCTGTCATGCACGCCATGTCGACTGGCAAGGAGAGCAGATAGTGCGATGTTGCTTTCAAAACATCGGCGAAGTGCATCTTATATCTTCCGTATGTGACGGCGTAGCCGAAGCATCATTCGAGGTGGCATGCACGTTCAGTTCGCGATATCCGAGAAGAGGTGACACGCGAGATCGACGTAGAAGAATGAAGCACACGGGCAAGTCCCATGATGGTCATTACAGAACCCACTTTTGGCGGGGTTTCTCCGCAACCAGGATGGACAAGTGAATCCCACAGGAGAGGCCCGAGCGGAACGCAAGATCTGAGAAAAAAATGACCAGCCTTCACTAATAATGTACACGCTTTATATCTATGCAGCAAGTGCACTATTCCTGCGCGGCGGGTCACACAATAGACTCAGTTACCGCGCTCAGGATCTCTGAAGGCACTGTTGGCCTCCTATGCCACTCCATTAACCAGCCCTTCGGCGGACCACTCTCATGCGCCTCTCCAACACCTTCACTAGGGACCGCAAGCACCCCACCAACAAACCACTTACTCTTTTCGCCTGGCTCAACTTGGCCGAACATCGTGGGCAGCACCGCGCGGGGAACCATCAGGTTCGTGTTCGCATCGGTCCTCAAAGCCTTTCCACTTCGCCGCACGGCACCTTCGACAGGGATATTCACAAAGCCCGATGCACCCGCCCGACTGGCCACCCACACGTCTCCACCCTTCTCCATTGTCCCGTACTGGCTTTCGTCAGTGACATCCACGACCGGTTCGAGAGCACGAGCATCGCGCCCCTGACCATAGATAGCAAACCCGCCTTCTGCTGTCCAGAGCTTTCTCGCAGTCTTGATCCTATGCACGCGAACGTGCCAAAGCGGTGACACGTCTGCGTCGGGGGGTACCAGCCATGTTTCCACTTGCACGTCTGGCCATGGGTACCACATACTCCGCAGCCAGAGTCTCCCTGTCCTAGACGCAGGGTCGGCGTACTCGATACGGGCTTCCCTAGTGTCTCGACGGCACTTCCACACCTCGCCGTCGTCGTCACTCAACGCTAGGGTATTGTCGCCGCCCAATTCTTCGAGAGTAAGACTACCGACAGGGACGCTGTAGCCGAATGCAGACGAATACGCAAATTTGCCGTACTTGGCAGCGCTCTGCTTTACGGCGTAAGAACACTGCTGGCCGCTGGACAGAATGAACGTATGTCCGCCGACGTTACTAGCGATATGCAACGGCTCATTCAGCGGCCTCACGACTCCCAGCGCAACCGAAGGGAAATCCTCTTCTTGCACAGTCCAAAATGCATGGTCAGAAGGAAGAGCTAACGGGATGAAGGCCTTGAACGCCCAGTACGGTGATCCTGGGGAGTTGTAGTTCTCAGTTATGTTGTGGTTCGGGTAGCAGAATCCGATGGTGAGCGTATGAGTAGGTGTGAAGGAGCCAGGTTGTGTGTGGGCCCAGTATCTGATGTTACGCAACAGGAGACCCTTCAACACCCCAGGAGTTAGGGGAGCGGGCAGGGGGGCATCTGCATAAGCCAGAGCACCCCAAAACGCAGCCATGGCAAAGCGATAGGTCATGCTACGCCCGAAAGGGATTGCACGCCCTGAGGTCCAAATGAAGTTAGTCTATCTTTCAGGTCGAAAGCCTAGGCAGAAATCACCTTGGGAGTCGAAGTAGTGCAGAAAATCTAACGCAAACTGCTGTGCGCGTCTTTGGTATTCAGCACTCCGATCTGGATCCTCGTCTTTTGCCAGCTTGGAATATATGAGCTGGGCGACCTGGATGGCAAAGGACGAAGAGTAATAATCGAGCTGGACGACGCCTGGTGGACCATCGCGCGACCAGCCTCCAGATAGGTAAAATGTATCGAGGTGGTCAAGGTCGGCTTTCATCCTCGCAGCGTCGAAGCGCGAAGAGCCTGCTTTCTTCAAACCCAGATTGGCGAATACCTGGGTACTTTATCAACGGCGGACTCGAACTAGACCGATGATTGTATGGACGTACACGGAACCAAAGCCAATTAGTATTAGGCATCTCCTTGTCATTCATGCCACCCAGCCACTCTTCGATACAGGTCTTTGACTCGGGGGACAAAGGCGTCCAGAACGTATCGGGAGCTACAGCCAGGGCGAAGCCAATAGGCGAGCACTCGACCATCCGCTGGTCCTTATTCCGCATACTCCCCCAGAACTCCAGGTGGTCTGGGTTAGTGCCATTCGCAAGTCCAGCGGCCCAAGTCCTCGAATTGTGATCCCCTGAATTCCCTATCAGTAGATACGTAATACCTGGGAGGTATTCAGCCCACCCGATTCATACGACCCTCCACCGGCCAGAAGCGACGCAAGACCCCATAGAGGCCGGGCAAACCCCTCGAGTTGCGCCGCTATATCATCGTAGTGGGTTCCGGTGAACCCAAGATGGATGCGAGCCCCCCCTGGCGAGGTATGCGGGCCCAGCCCCTGAAGGAGTGTCTTCAGGAATGCGGCGAGGTCGTCTCTGGTCCGTAGCGGATTCGATGTGAAGGGGGTAGACGGCGTGAGGAGATTGAGAGTGGTCATACCGGCTGGGTCGACGAAGGGTGATTCATAAGAGCTCACGAGGCGCCATGGATAGACTATGTCGCAAAAACGATACTTGCTAGGAAATATGTCGGTAGAATCATTGATAGCGGGTTGCACGGTCCGTATGAGCTGGAAGGCAGCGGCCCGTTAGGATATGCTTGAGTTATTGCCTTCGTCGACCCATCGCGAGTTCGATTCTCGGTTGATGAGCCGAATCACTTAACGTATGTAGCGTGGACTGTAGGCCTCAGTCAATTTAAGTCGCGAGTGCCATAGAAAGTAGATATCCGATCATTGAAATGTTATATCAGTTAATTCAGCAAGGGCGATAGTGAGACTTACCTACCCTGCGCTGGTGCCCAAGTCTGTGGCAACATCAACCATTTTCATCAAACGTCTTTTCAGGGCTGAAAGCACATACTGATCTGCGTTGAAGGTACCGGATAAATTAGGCAACATAGGCAAGGCGGCGCAAGCTGCTCGTATCGGGAAGCTGGCGTCAAGGTTGTCTCGTCAGTCAGTAGCGCCCTGGTACTTATGTATTTGATCAAAGCGGATTGAGGATAAGAAGACGATACATTGTGTTCTAGTTTGCAGCCTACATGTTAGCCGAACACGAAGATTACAGGTGACTATCCGGAATATTCATGAAGGACGTCGTCCCCAAGAAGGCGACCTTCTCTTTAGTGTAAGGCGGATAACGGACCTCCAGAGATGCTTCGGCACTACAAGTCGAGAAGTAAATCGAGAAGACTCGGCCTCGTTAGAAAAGTTGACACGTACTCGCGAGGCATATCAATTGAGCTCCGGAGGTAGGAGAAAGTGTTGAAACCGTGGCGCAAAATCTGGTAACCGCCTGTTCAAACGCGTAAGACACAATTACACAATGCCTAGAGAATAGGAGGCGCTTACATCCTGAGTCACCGACGCCACCAAGCGGTAACTCATTGACTATGACCAGATGTTCGGTGTGAGGGAGTAGTTTGGGGATTAACGAGCAGGAACTTACCCGAAAGTGCTTGAAATGTGTCGTTAAAGGCGATATTTCCACTCAAAGTATTTGCGAGGACTGCGACGAAATCAATTTAAGAAAAGTCGGTTGTGAGCAAGCAATCAATTTACCATTCTTCTTAAGTTTAGGATCATCCGTGAAGACGTATAACATCAAAGGGTGAGGCCTAATACGAAGTCAGAGCACGCGCATGCTTTATGCTGAAACGATAGATACCTTGATCTTATCTGGCTAATTGCGTCTTCCATACTATCGACAGGGAGGATTGGTAAAATGGGACCAAACAACTCCCTTTTGATCATACAGTGAGCCTAAGACCGGGAACCATCATGATGAACAAAAATTACTCACTCTTCCATCAACGAATCCTCTTGAGTGACGTCTTTGATAATGGTTGGCTCCATCCTTAGTTTATCATCTGTTTGACCGCCTAGAACTATGTTGCCCTTTGTCCTTGCTAGGAGGCCCTTAAGCCTATTGAAATGCGCTTCGTTGACGATGCGTCCGATCGAATCAGAAGCCAACGCTCCGTCGGGGAAGAACTGGTGGTAGTACTCTTTGAGGGCGGCGATGAATTCTTCCTGTTTCTCTCGGACAACGAAGACGTGGTCAGGACAGACGCAGATCTATAGATAGGAATAAATCAGATTGCAGGCGCTTTTGCAGATAGACATGCCTGGCCACAATTAGATATTTTCCCCCATAAGATACGTTTGGCCGCCAGCTTGATATCATAATTGGGATCAACGATGATAGGCGACTTGCCCCCCAGTTCCAGAGTGACTGGGGTAAGGTGCTTTCCAGCTGCCGTTGCAATGATACGTCCAACTTTCCCTCCCCCAGTGAAGAATACTATCAGAACATGTTAGCCAGCGGGGATAATGCAGGGTTGTTGGACGTACTGTGATCCCCTGAGGTAAAAATACAGCATCAGCGCGCGCCATTGCATTTCGAAAGCACCTGACTATGTGACTTACAACGAATTTCCATCGCCTGGGCACCTACATCAGGTCCTCCTAAGATAACGCGATAGGCGGAAGGATCCAAATACTTTGGGAGGAGCTTAGCAAGCAACGCCGAGTAATGGGGTGAAAGCTCAGAAGGCTTCACAACTGCACAGCAGCCGGCGGCGATGGCTCCCATGAGAGGCTGAAGAGTGAGAACCATAGGATAGTTCCAAGGCCTGAGGTCATGCAATGGCAGTTGATCGAGTCAGAACCAATAACTATCAGAGTGGTTTAAGCGCACTCACCCAATGATGAGAACGACGCCTTTGGCAGCTCGATAGATTGTGGGCTTCCAAGACTTTTGCCAATCCGGCACCACTTCTGTAAGGACTTCGGGAGCTGTCCAAGTCTCTAGCTGGGTAGCCGATATGATGGAACGCTCAATGATGAGTCCGGTTTCGGAAGGGTAAGTCTCGGCTATAGGACGACCCAAGTCGGCTATTATTGCTTGGACCCACTCGTCTAGATGGTCTTGAACCATTCTGGCGAGCTGGTAGAGTTGGTGACGACGCCATTTGAGGGATTGAGCGACGCCTTTACGGAAGCTAGCCTCCAGCTCTTTACGGATCTATAGATATATAATGTAAGTTGCCATGTTCCGCGCTGTGATCGCCCACTGACTGCAGGGATTTCATTGACGGGTGTAAATTGCATGTTGGTTGATGCGAAGACTGGTTGAGCGAGGGGAGTTGCTATATGAAGGAGCGGTGTCCCTTGCAGCTTATATGTCCCTCGTATTCCCTGTATCCCCTACATGAGATCCTTTACCTCTGTTAGGCAAGAACCAATCTGTTTTCCAGTGGTCAGTGGGTCTATTCGATCCATCGCGGGGAAGATAACAGCGAACATTGTTGGGTATATGTAACGCCACCAACATCATTCAATTGCAGGTTTGATTGGTCACGATGACGGTAATTGTCCTGATACAAAAAAGGTATCACGAACGTCACACTGTATATGTCGATGAAATTCAGTGAGGGGTTACCTAGTGGATTTCGAGAGGGCTTACTGTCCAAGCAATGGTTGCCTTTCCGCCTCCTTGAACGGGTAGATGTAGATCCGACTCCTACACAGATGGCGACGAGACGCCAGTAGACCGAATTGAAGGGACAACATAGCGTCTCGACATAGGAACATACGAAGCAAGCAAAGCTGCATGGGGTATAGGTTTTCCAGAGCTCCCGACATTCCACGGGGTCTATACAAATCCCTGGGGGCAGACAAAAGGGGCGAGGGGCCCGCGTGAATGAGATACGTAACGATATGTAACTGATGGGGGATGTGGGGATAACCAATCAGCAGCGAATTCTCCAGCACCGAAAGGTACCAGAAGACAGTGGCTGGAGCGAAGCGAGTACGGACGGGGAAGCAGCACGAACAGAGACTCTGGGTGTTGTGGGTAGGACTCTGCGTACTGGCGATTTCGGGCATAATAAGCTGATGTATTGGTGGTCCTTTGCTCTCCACTATGGATGGAGTACGATCCAAGTCCCACTACCAGTGGGTAATTTTGTCTGCAGAGCTTGGTCAGCTGATGCGGTGTCGATACAGAGTTGCCGTCAAGTCCGTGTGTACCATTTCCTCCGATTGGACTCTGCGTATGAGAGAACTCGAGCGATGTCGATGCAGGCCTCATATCTCGCCGCTGTCGTCATTGTCGCGTTTCCTCGCGCGGAGACCATGTCGAATTCCCTTTCGACGAGTAAATCATTTGCTCATCCCCCTTCCCGCCTGCCGCTGTATCGACGAACTCGAGTGTTTCTGTCACTCCGAAAGAGCGATCCAGAAGACATGTTGGGAGAATGATGCTTCTGTATGGACTCGAGATACCTTAGAACGCCGGTGAGACTTTGATGACACCGAAGAACTTCTCCCCACACGAAACGCGGCTGACACACAAGCAGCGTGCGCTGAACAAAGATCCGCCGCTGAAGGATTTCGGACTTGATCCTAATTTCCGGGAGTATGGATGGTGGCCGTCGCCATCTTCACTGCACTCACTTGACCCGAACATACAAGTATCTGCCTCCCGCAACGAGCACGACGTCCAATCACAATCTTCAAGACCATTTCATACAGGTCTGCAGAATTGCACAGAATTGTCTGGCCGTGGAAACTGAATTTTGAAACAGCGACGGGCGTCCATGTCGGTACTGATCATTGGGGTAGAGCCTGACAATTGATCAAGTTCTACGTGGAGGACACCTGGAGCAGTTAAGTAATTCTTTACGCAGCTGGAATTGCTTGCAATAAGCGGAAAGGCCGGCATCGATCATGGCAGTCGGTCGCAACGAGGTTAAGGAGATCGGGCCACCGGTGGACGGAGATAAATCACTGGTTGCGGGTATGTTGTTAAGTTGCACGCGTGGAGAGCGAGTGGCCGGCCGTTCTGAGCCTTGCTTGCAAGTGAAATGGAGGTACTGGTCGCGGCCGCCCCGGGCGAAATGAGAAGTGCCACAGCTAAGAGTGCACAGCATCGGCCTACTATGGAGTTGCACAGAATTTCAGGGGGCACTGGCGAGTGGATGTGGCGAGTTTGGAACATCAGGGTATGTGAGCACTGTGCGGTGTAGAGTTCCCGTATGCGTCCACGAGGTGACCGAGGTCGGAGCCGCATATCTTATCGGAAGCGTTTGAGCGTCGGCGATCCTGTAGGGTCTGAGCCGTACTCAGTCGGGAGAATGCAGGGTATTTGGCACTGCAACGGTGTTTATATGAGGAAGCCACCTAAGTTGATGAGCACTAAACGAGGGTCGACTCAACAGAGGTGTTGGGGGGTCACCGAATTCTATGAGAAGCCAACTTCTCGCCTCTCTTCGAGAGATGATTGTGATTCTTGAATTCGTGAAACGCGGTGGTCTGTGCTGGTGGAAGTTCGAACAGGAGCTGAAACGGATCACGTGATCTCACGATAATTTAATAGGCGCGTCCAGCCGCGTCGCCTCATGTTCCCCAGCCCGCTCGCTTATAAGAACTAGAACCCTGCACTGTCTTTACTTTGGCTTTACGACTGCGACGCGTGCCCGTTCCGACTCTCCTCCTCTTCACCATGTCCTTGAACCCAACCACATACTGGAACGTTTCATCGGGGGAGAAATTCGCGGGCTTGGATCCAAGCGACTTTACTGCTCGTCCAGGATCTGACCTCGCATATCACACAGATATCTTCATCATCGCCGTCTTGGCCCTTGCCGTTCTCTGTAGATTCCCCCGGGCGTTCGCAAGACTGACCAGGGCATCCGAGTGGAAGAACGGCTATTTTTTCCACCACATCCGACCGTCTGCACCGAAACCTAGCATCGCCGTACGCCGGGGACCCAGCCAGCGCAGCCAGCGTTCTGCTAAAACCATGGTCTCAGACGAGTCCGACACCGTGTACGACCCAACGTATCTTGCCTACCGTGAGAGGAAGGGCGAGCCTGCCCCACGAAATTACCCCCCTCATGTGGCCGTGTGCTGGCCTTTTTTGCGGTCGACTGTTGTCTTTCTGCGCGCCCGTGTAGCTCCTGGCTTTTCTATTGGCCAGACTCTGTGCTTGGCCGTATACTTTGGCGTCCTAGCGTACTGTGCGTTCTACAAGTCGAGTCCCTTCCAGGACCCCGTGCGCGCGGGATTCGTCGCCATGTCGCAGCTGCCCATTGTCTTTGCACTAGCGACGAAGAATAACCTCCTCGGAGTTCTTCTCGGCTTGGGGTACGAGAAGGTGCGCTCCCACAGCTTCCGTTGATCAGGTTTATTCAGCTTCGTCTAGCTCAACTTTCTCCACCGCTTTGCTGGGAAGATGCTCGTCCTGGCGGTGAACGTGCACTCAGTAGGCTACTGTAAGTCCGCGCCCTCGTTTTTATCCGCAATTCACTGAGGAGTGTCTAGTTTACAAGTGGAGTGCTGAAGGGACGTTTACACAATCGATAAAGTTGCCTATGGTAGTTTGGGGCTTTGTTGGACTAGTGTGTGTGGATATTCTATACGTATTCTCCACGCCCTTCTGGCGGCAACGAGCATACAACGTTTTCCTTTCATCGCATTTCATCGGGTTTGGGCTTCTCCTTCCGGCCGTAAGTTACATTCCCCTTCTATCGATGACACACACCCGGCTCAAACTTCATGCTGCGCAGTGCTGGTTTCACAAGCCGGTCATGGTGCCCTACGTCCTCGCGACGCTTGCCATATACGCCCTCGACCGGCTCCTCCGCATCCTCAAGACCCGTATCAAGACCGCCACCATTCGCCCAATCCCCGAGCTCGGGCTCACGCGCGTCGAGATCCCGCACCTCAACGCGGGATGGCGCGCTGGCCAGCATGTGCAGCTGCGCGTCCTCTCTGCAGGCATGGGGTGGACAGGGTGGATGGAGGCGCACCCATTTACTATTGCGAGCTGCGGCACGAATATCGGGGTCGGTGGCGCGCAGGAAGGGCTGGTATTGATGTGCAAGAAGGCGGGGGATTGGACGAACGACTTGTTTGAGCTGGCGAAAGTCGGGGGGTATTCTGAGAGAGGTGTGCAGAGGGATGTGAAGGTTATGGTCGAAGGCCCCTACGGTAAGCCTTCTCATTTGATGTTAACTGATGTGGTGGTCGATGTGAATATTCTGAAGGTGGACCTGGACACGCTATTTGGGCGAGTTACTCAGCCGCGGTGTTCATCGTCGGCGGCAGTGGCATCACTTTTGCGCTTTCTGCCATACAGGAATTGATCCAGAAAGACTTGGATGGTGCCAGCCGAGTCAAAGCCATCGAACTTGTCTGGATGGTCCAGGATCCAGGTTGGTTCCTCCCTCGCCCTCTTCCCCATTTTACTCACCCCGCTTCCCCCTTCGATTTCAGCCTCGCTCACTCCACTACTCCCCATGTTCAACATGATGATCCAACAGTCGGACCGAGCACCCCTCCGCATATGCGTATACTACACCCGCGCGCCGAACATGACTTTCCACAAAGACCTCATGCATCCTTCCATGTCGCTCTCCCCTGGGCGGCCGCGCATGAGCAGAATACTAGAAGACGTCATCACACGCACAGTCGGGCTCGGCGCAGGCGACAAGGACCGCCTGGGGCATACGGGGATGCTGGTCGCGTGCTGTGGGCCCGTGGGGCTGAGCGATGATATGGTCAAGGCTGTGGGGAATGTCGAGAAGGTGAGAAGGAATCAAGTCGGAGGGATCGAGGTTCATGAAGAGTGGGTCCATTGCCTTCATTCACACGCTTCAATAGTCGCTGACTGGAAATGGTGTTTTGTCAGAGTTTTCGGATGGTAGCTTCAAGTTTCCGACAACTAAACCAACCCTAAAGGCCATCCACTCCAATCTCATTATTCAACTATTTATCGATATCCCCCCGCACCCTCCTACCGTCCTACTCCTCCCTCCACACCCCTGAAACACATAGACAGCAACCGAAACGAAATATAGAAATGAACCCACAACGTCGAGCGTTGTCACGAAATAACTATCTTGTACCCTCCTATCTTGTTGTACATTTCCCCCAGGGTTCTCGCTCCTGCTTCTTGCTCTCCTGTCGCCTCGTCGCCTGTCACTCGCTACTCGCTGTCCGCTCTCTCTTCCATCTATCGTTATGTACAATGTTTGTACCTCGTCGAGCCTGTCCCTCGTTTATTGTTTATGTATGCCTATAGATTTGGGCAGCCTATCTACTCTGTACAAATCACAGCCTGGTTTTCTGTTGTACTAGTACTGGTACTACTACTTATCTTGTTGCGCCGAGAGCGCCATGTTGTAGAACAACTCAAATACTTGAATAGAACACACCGTACGACAATATAGCATCTTCCAACCCACCATGGGTGTTCAGCATCTGCCCAATTCTCTAGTCGCCCGAACAGTGGGCTGACGGCATGGCATAGGATACTGCAAGTACGGTTTATTGCTAGTGTTAGGAATTGAGTGATGCAGTAGCGCTAGTTTCGACTTCATGAGTCTGTGCACTTGCCAGTTGAAGCAGATGACGGCGTAGAGAGAGAAGTTTCTGTAAATGTGAACTTCTGCCGCTTGACTCTGCCGCAACGCCGGAATCCAACGTGGTACGGGCGGAACAACCGGGTGCATAAAGAAAGGATGATCTTAACGGCAACGTGGAAGGTGTGTCTAGGCATGGTGGGTGTGAGAAGTACGCCGCTTTGCTTGACTAGGCAAATTGCATAGTACCGAGAATACGACGATGTACCATCTCAGGACATTGTGATAAGTGGATGAGGCTACTTCGCTGCACAATGCAGATACCCCTGGGTCAGCACTCAGGCCTCGAAATGATAGTAACGCCGAAGGCAGTCATTGATCATAAAATAGAATCTATAAAATAACACTGAATGCGGTGTCATAAAGGGTATGGTATCGAATGGAAATGAGTCCCTAAGACCCTAAGACGGATTGCAAGGAATAATCAGGTTGTCAGGGGGCAATGGAAGCAGGATACTTACGACTTTGTATATCCATTAATAGCTTCTTAACAGCTTTAGAGTTCTGTGCGTAGAGCGTTCCCAGCACCGATGCCTAGCCATTGCCAGAGCAGGTATTCATCTCCTTCTTGGCCCAGGAGATAGTACATGGCGCGTCGTCGCATAAGAGTTACGTGCGGTGGGAAATATTTGATCATCCCGGTAAAGAAGAGCGAGGTGAATATGAATGCCATCATTACTGAGCGAATTGTAAGCTGACAACGCGAGACAGGCGAGAAAGACAGTGGGTACATACAAAGCATAACCTTCTCCCATGGTTCCAGCATCGAGAAGACGAACGTCGCCTCAAACCACATCCATCGTCTCCAGAAAAACTGCGCGACTTTGGACTTTGGGGGTTGGTAGATGCTGAGGTCGGGCTTTGGAGGTGGGAAGTGCTGGTCGCTGGGCACTTGGAGGCCATTGATGTACTTGGTCGTGGTGGTCATGATTTCTCGATTTTATCCCTTCGTCGAGAGCGTGACTGCAACAGAAGAAACTCAATATCAGCTGATGGGACTTTGGCAAAATCAAAGTACCCACGCCACATTGACCCTGATCGGGACCTGCCGCTTGAGGCCTCATTTGGCGCAGGCAAAGCATTCGACAACGCCCAGCAGCTTTGGACCGACAGGCTGAAAATGTAAGAAAACGGCGCACTTATCTCAGACCCATATCCTCATTTGATTTGATCTGCAATTCGACATATATTCAAGCAAGCAGTGACACTTGCAAATCAACTCGAAACAGGATTGAAGACACTGGTAAGAACAGAGAATATGGAACATAACTGTTCCTCGTCAGCGGGAATATGGAGAGGAGAAACTACGCCTACCATATGGTACAGCTCGTCTAGGCAGAGTCGGTCGAGTTCAGGAGGCTTGGCCACAGCTTGTCGACACCGCCGGCCTCTGCTTCATGGCCCCAAATGTAGTATACCGCACGCCGCTGCATCGTAATCAACTGCCGCGGCACGAACTTTACGAGGCTGACCGCAATCAAGGTAAACAGGATCGCGAGGACAGACACTGCCAAGGCCAAATCGCCGATCAACTCCAAGTTCCATCGTGGTTCGGGGAATTGTCGAGGATATGTAATACTTACAGACGACGACTTTCTCCCAAGGCTCCAGCACCGTGATCGCGAATGAGGCCTCCATACGGATGCGCCATCGCCAAAATGCCCGGGCTAGTTCGGACTTGGGAGGATTGGTGTAGTAGCTCAGATCCGGCTTGGGTCTCGGAAGAGGCTTCGTCGGGCGGTGGCTTTGTCCCCTCTTGCCCTCGAAACCGGTCGTGTGCTTCATAAAGTTCAACGTTACAGCGCAAGTGAGCGGGGGCTACTGAAGAGACCAGGACGTGGGCAGTGGGTCGTGGATGGTTCGTGTTCTGCCCTTCGATGCAGGGTTCGCGGCGTTAATGCAAGCTCACGAGCATACAGTTGTCAGCCAGAGCCCGTTGCTGACGCTATCTTCCATGTTCCGAGCTTCGGCAAGCGAGGAGACGAGCGCTGCACACACGGAGCGCTCGAAGGTATGGGAACATCATTCTGCCACGGTCCTCTGTCCGGAACCGTCAACAATTCAAACATCTTCAGGTTGGCGACGGTGCGGGAATGCAATAGCATCTAGACAATACACAGAGCCGCCGTGCCGGCTTGTATCTCCAGCGCGCGAGAATTTCTCGCGGAAGTCGTCAATAGTGAGGCTCGTCGCTTCCTTGACCTCTACGTGGTCAACCGGAAGAACATTCTATATTTTGTTAAGGGACAAACACACAGAACTCTGACGTTGGACTGACTCTGACTCTGGACTGTGGGTGTTCCCACTTTCGAGCAGGGGCTCGAAAGAACAACCGTTTGGCCAAAAAGCGAAGAGTAGATGCGTGCATCAAGCGAGAATCGAACTCGCGGCGGGTCGAGCTTCTCCCAATGGCAACGACCCAGGTTACCACTACCCCATTGATGCTTGTCTCAGTCCAAAGAAAAAGGAGAACGTAAGTCAGAGGACCTAGCAGCAGACCTGTGTAAGTACAGAAGCAAAACGCACGACATGCCTAATCCGAAATCAGACAAAACCGTATGGACCAATGGAACGGAATAAACCGCGAAATTCGCCCTGTCTTTGGATGATCTCGGAGCGACCTGCTGACTTCTTCTTTAGTTCGTCTTTAGCGTTGCTTGGTGCCATTGAACCATGTCGGTAGTGACATCTACCCTTGGTCCTTCTAAGGTGGTCATCAAGTGGTGGATATCATTGTAAACAGGGCCCAATATTGTAAGAACCATTGCCTTGAATGATCAGCTCAGCTAATGAATTACCGGAGCTCTATAGAACCCTACATAGTAGATGCGGTGTCTATCGATGGCAAAGGTTTCGCCTTGTCGACGTGCCTGTCCTACTTGCTGCAGATACTAGACGGTTTACCGTCTGAGTGCGCCGCCCGTGGTCACCGATGGTCCCTTTTATGACTTGCTGGAAAGCACGCTGGCGCGTGCTCGGTATTCTCACCACAGTCAATAGTCCAGCTCTCACCGAAGGGTTCTCTCTCTTTCTCAACGACAGTTATTTTCGACAGCTGTGACCGCACTCTCTATCCATGAAACCCTTCATTCCCGATCGACGAGTTCGCAGGGAACTTGCCACTCGGCGTCGTTGGCGAACCAGGATGTAAGCATCTTTATCATCTGCTACCGCTCGTCAATAGATTTGCCGGTAACCTATCCGCATACAGGTGCTACCAGATCTGCGCCATTCAACACTTACCTTCGGAGCTCAATCGATATACCTCGCGATCACGTCCACCAGCTGTTTAGTCCGCTCTGTCTCGTTGGTTTGCTCACCTATCTACGTGCCCTCCGCTATCCTCCTTATACCGAGGAGAAGGTTGCCTTCCTACGAACGACTTCATTCATGAACATTCCGGATAGTCACATATATTCTGCGCGACCCTGAGGCAAGTAGATTGCACACCAGAGATTAATGTATCATCTCCCCATCCTCCCCACCATCCCATCCCATCTCCAATCCGACTGGATTGAGACCACGACGGAGCGAAGATCTTCCAACTTACAACTTCCGTGGCCGCAATGCCTATGAATGGACTCTTCTCCGAATTGCTGGCACCTTGCTCGATTTGCTCGGTGCCTGTGAAACCGGTCTCTGCGATCAGTACCTTTAAAGTGTTTGTTAGTCGACGTCGGAAGCCAGGGTTTTCACGACGAATCATAAGGGTCTTCGCAGTTGGTGAGTCTGTCCTGCTATATATCTTTCACCGCCTGAGTACGCGTCCTTCAGATTATCGTGTCACACGACCAAACTCAACTGAGGAACCACGCATATGGATGTTTGCAAGCACGAGGTCGCTAATGGTCTCTATCTAGCGTTGACCCTTATGGACAAGCGAGTGAACTTGGTCGATGGCACTATCGCGTACCATAAAACTTACCGGATCCATCCTCGAGGCCATCTTGACCGTCATTCTCGGACATGAAAATCAACAGTTCAATGACCAGCGCCCATCGTCCTCATGCCCAAGGCTAACCCTTTTCGACACCATATAGCTCTCAAATAATCCGCTGTTAGGGTCTAGAAGTGCGATCACCTTTCCACTGGCTCACGACGGTGGAGTCTCACTTGCATCGAGCCCCTCTGACTGTCTTCCTCGCCTCTTGCTGTTCCTCAGTGTCTACACTCCTGCGTGAAGTACACCTTCGGGCCACAAATGGAGAACATCGTAATGTTTGCACTGTGCCCTCTCAATTCGGGTTCAAGTTCTTGCTAATCGTAGTGATTAATTATGTAAAGTCAGGAACCGGGTTAACTCGTTCCATGTCCATCATACGCAAACTGCATCTCGCTTCGTCCTTGGCCATTTACGTTGATCCCTCGAGGTGTGAATGATGAATACCACCCAGGATAATACATCGCGCACTCCTGAGCCGTTCTGGCCTTCTATTTCGGCCTTTACTTAGTCCCAAGTTGCCATCATAGCTTCGATTCCATCTTCAAACCACGGGGGTTCTGGAATCTATACTCATTCTGCACGCGAACATCTGTCTTGTTCTGCTCGTTTCCTTCGGGTGTTGTCTTGCTGCGTATCTTGGCCAGAAATCAAGTTTCACGACCCCATTCCCCATTGTACCCCAATCGTATTTGAGCTCCTGACTCCTATCAGACCGTGCGATTGTGAATGCACGCTCTATTCTGGCTTTGAATTGAGAATGTTATAACCGCCCTTCTCGGTCGCCTATTGCATTTTACGCGATTTGTGATTGTGAATGTCTCCCGCTGCTTCGTTCCGCGACCGCAAGCTGCACGCGTAGCTCTCGCGGGCCGCGGTCGACTCGTCTTCGGTTGCCTTCGCTGAACTTTCAATGCAATTCGGCATTCTGATCCTGGGCCTAACTTCGTCGTTCTGCGAAGAGGATTCGATTGTGATCCTGACATCTCCGCGACACAGCGTGAGTATCCTGTGCTTCTGTTGCACACATCTGACAAATTCATATCACAGCGGTCTAAGTCAGAAGTTAGAGCAAGAATAGCTCGTAAAAATGTTAAGATCGAAGCTCCAAGTCTGGAATAACTTTCCGGTTGCTCAATGCTAGACACTCCTTACGTAAATGTATAATGCATAACGGAAGGGCTCTGGCCAATCTGCGTCCTTCGTTCATCAAATTATTCTTGTTCGCCGTTTCACTTAGTAAGTCACGCACGGGCGCTCAAGGGTGTCAACTTGACTCGCTAACCGACCCTGCACCAAGGAATCATTCAAAGCAGGTTTCGCTTCGCCGTTTGCCACTGAATCAATGGCGAGATTGTGAAAAGAAGCTTCAGAAATTTTACGAAGTAATTTAGAAGCGAGTCAATTGATCGGTTTACCATGTTACAGCATCTGTACCAAACTTGCACCCTCAATTCATCGCAGGCAAGACACCGGGCACCGACCACTAACGCAAAGGCAGTACGTACACTGAGCAGGAATGGTATAAATACTCATCGGTTTCGACCAATAGTTCCTCATTCGAATCCACCAATTCGTCTTTCCACTACTTAACCCTCTAACAAAGACACTCGCTCTTTACCAGCCACTCTTTCGAAGATGTTCTTCCAAACTACCATCGTCGCCGCCCTCGCTTCCCTTGCGGTCGCCACTCCTCTCGCACTTCGCACTGACAGTCGCTGCAACACCGAGTCCGTGAAGTGCTGCAACAAGTCTGAGGATGCAGAGACCTTCAAGAAGAGCGCGTCGGCCGCCCTCATCCCGATTAAGATCGGTGATATTACCGGCAAGGTGTACTCGGAGTGTTCTCCCATTGTCGGCCTCATTGGCGGGTCTAGCTGGTACGTGTCTTTGTGCGTCTCTGATGTCAAGTCTGTTCTGACTCTTTTTTCAGCTCCGCGCAAACCGTTTGCTGCGATAACGCTAAATTCAGTAAGCAATCATTCTTGGGCCTCTTCATTGACTTTCGGCGGAGAATTTGGTACTAATTCTTCCGCATGTTAGATGGTCTCGTCAACATTGGATGCACGCCCATCAACGTTGCCTTGTAAGAGTGCAGCTGAAGGGTCTGGGCATCTAGTCGGTTGTGATCAGGGATACCAGAGATAGTATTGGACAATAATCATTATAAATCTTTTGTTCTGCGCAGTTGTGTTTGCTTGATGCCTTCGTGAAGTAGAGAACTGTGGGAGGAAGTATTCGCTCTTGAGTTCTGTTCTATCTGGCTTTCCGTGATGAATGATGATTTCCCGCGCATCGGTGTCGTCTAGTGCTGGGATTTAGTGCGTCTCCCATCGCGGACGACAGGTTATTGGAAGGTGGATGTTGAGCGCTAGTGAACACTGAAGCAGAGTACTTATCTATCAGCTTGATAACGGGTTGTAACGGATTCCGAGCTGATCCCGTTTGAATCCCGTCCAACGAGGAAGTAGATCTGCCGGAAACACGTGACAATACGAGCGTCAGAAATTATAACACTGCCGAAATGTGGGCGACTCCGTCTCCCACCTGTTTCCTCTCCCGGCGAAGGAGTGCAGTTTTTGTGCTGCCCTATATAACACCCCCATCTGCTCGCTGCGTTTCCGGTGTCGACTCGTTGCTGAACCACCATCATGCGTCCCGGTAAGCTTCACAACCGGCCGCCCTTCGCGTGGGTGCAAACCCGTTGGCCCAGAACTAACGGTACAAAAGCAGCACAAAAGTTGGCCAGGCCACTTCTCCAAGGTTCTAGGGCTGCAGCGCTGGTTCGCGCCTCCCCCGTACAGAAGCAAATATGTCGCCGAGCCTTCTCAGATTCGTCTTCATCTTCGGCATTGGTGAGGCCTATCTAACGCCACCGTTTTCCATTCAGTCGTCTAACTCTTTCCGTTAGCCTGAATCAGCGCCGGTTATCAAGCAGACACGCTGGAGGAACTTCCTGCAAATCCTCGGCCTCACAACGCTGGTCACTGTCGTCGGAGGCGTTGGTGGTTTCTACTACGTCACACAAAAGGAACGCCATCCTGGACCGCAACTGCCGTTCGACAAGGAGAAGAAGACGGTTGTGGTTCTGGGAAGTGGATGGGGGGCGACCAGCTTATTGAAGCACCTTGATACGGAGGACTACAATGTCGTGCGTAGTTCATGCCCTTCCCGATAAGCATCATAAATTTATTGACGACATTTTTCAGGTTGTCATCAGTCCGAAGAACTATTTTCTGTTCACTCCACTCCTTCCTAGTGTTGCGGTTGGAACGTTGAGCACACGGTCGATCCTACAACCAACGCGCTACATTACTCGTCACAAAACGAGGACTGTGTCTGTTATTGAGGCTGAAGCAAAGTCGGTCGATGTATGTTCCTTCCTTTGACTATGACAAGTCATCGATCTCTCATCTTAAGATGTCGTCAATCTAGCCAGTCGCGAAGACTGTTACTTTCACTGGTATGTGTTCTTCCTCCACGTGATCGCATTGTGGCTACTGAGCACTTGTTTCTGCTGCTCTTCGATCATAGATAACTCTGAGATCCAAGGCGAAGTCTCAACAACCACCCTCCCGTACGACTATCTTGTGTATGCGGTCGGCGCGGAGGTTCAAACGTTTGGCATCCCTGGTGTTCGAGAACATGCCTGTTTCATGAAGGAGCTGGCTGATGCAGAGCGGGTACGTCGCTAATCAGGCATAGGGGCATACGTCTGACATCTAGCTGCAGATGCAAAGACAGTTCATGGACTGTAGGCATGATTCTTCCTGCCGTGGTATTATATACTAATTTACCGCAGGCTTGGAATCGGCAGCATTCCCAGGTCAGTCACAACAGGAACTCGATCGCCTGCTCCACATGGTTGTCGTTGGGGGTGGACCAACGGGTGTTGAGTTGAGTGGCGAGTTACACGATTTCCTCGAGGTACTTCATATCGGCCAACTTTTCCTTCTCTCAACTCATTTATCTCGCAGGATGACCTCAAGTCATGGTACCCCGAACTCGCGGGGAAAGTTCGCATAACACTTGTCGAAGCCCTTCCGTCCGTACTCCCGATGTTTAGCAAGCAGCTCATCGACTATACGGAGTCGACGTTCAAGGAGAGTAAGATTGAGATCCTAACCAAGACGATGGTCAAGGAGGTCCGTTTTCGCGCGATCTTGTCATCAACGGTGCTCTTTACCTTTATCCATTTCTATAGGTTAAGCCCAAGAGCGTGGTCCTACAAAACCCTGATAAGTCCATTGTCGAGGTTCCTTGTGGCATGGTTGTCTGGGCAGCTGGGAATACTGGACGGCAAGTTACGAGGGATCTGATTGCACAGCTACCTACCGCTCAGACGAACAGACGAGGCATTGCTGTTGATGGTGAGATTCCCCCTCCAGTATTCCATGACGTCTCCTCAAATTTGCTGGTAGATCATATGCGAATGGATGGCACTGATGGGAGCATCTTCGCTATTGGCGATTGCACTGCCACGTCATACGCACCCACTGCCCAAGTCGCCTCTCAACAAGGTGCCTACCTTGCTCGCATATTCAAGCAGATGGCGAGGAAGGAGGCACTCGTCGCGCACAAAGCAGAACTTTCCGCCACCATGAACCAAATAACGGGCGAGGAAGAGAAGAAGACTGTCGTCTCGGAGTTGGCAAGCGTTGAGAAGCAGCTGTCGAAGTTGTCCAAACTTCGTCCATTCCAATACTCCCACCAAGGTTCCCTCGCGTGAGTGGTTCACTAGCATGCGCCCCTTAGTGTGCACGGGAGGTCTAACGCCGGTCTCAATAGGTACATTGGCTCGGACAAAGCAATCGCTGATTTGCCATTTATGAACGGCAACGTACGTTTAGTCTGACAGTATTTTTCTAGGCAGCTTATTGACAATTGCTTGTTGCAGGTGGCTACCGGAGGAGTTGCTACATTCTTGTTCTGGCGCAGTGCTTATCTGAGCACCCTCTTTTCCCTCCGGAACCGCGTGCTTGTAGCCAACGACTGGCTGAAAGTGAAAATCTTCGGACGGTATGTCTTCATTCTTGAATCCCCCAACGTCCTCCTAATCGCCTCTGCTGCTACTCAGGGATGTCAGTCGCGACGCTTAAACAGCCTAGCTTGGTCGGTCTACGCAGACTTTGCTTCCCGTCGTTGAACATTGAGACTGAGTTTCGACACGATGATACCTTTTAGACTTTCCTAGACTTAGATATCATAGAGTATACATATGTTTATTGTCAATGTGACATTAATAATATATAGATTCAGTGATGTTCGATGTCGGAGTAGCGTGTGCTGTGGTTGACACTGGTTGTTGCGATCATGGCATGTCGTATGAGAGGGATCACGAGGCCGAACGTGGAATGCCCAGGGGTCTTCGCTGTGAAGTTAGCTTGTCATGATCCTTCCAGAGAGTAAGTGTTCTTCTCCAGCTAATTCGCGCAAAATATCAATAAGTTTCTTGAACATCTCGATGGCACGCACTTCCGCCTCGAGTTCTCTCCGAATTCTGTATTCTTCGTCAGCCTTGATGACGAGATGATAATCATCAAGTTCTTCGATGATGAAGCTTTGCTTCTCGTTCATTGCCAGGAGAATCTGCTTCACGGCGGGGTCACTGCAGACTGGTCGATAGAGGAACGAATAGCCAGCGCTCAAAGCTCGTACCATTGCAGAAGAACACCTCCACGTCGACGATGAGCTAATTTTTGGCAATAAGCGTGATGGGTTGCTCACCTTTGATGGCTCTCATCCCAGTCGTTCGCGACAGTAAAGGGAAACGGAATCATTGATGAGCCACTATTTCGAGCCACTATGCACGTGATGCCGCCTCAGTTTCCATATTTGGGTAGTGGGCGGCAGAGATTAGCACTCACGAGTGTTCTCACATCAGCGGATTCCTCCATCACCGTTCGTTGCCGGTACGGCTAGTATATGAGCAGTTATAGCCTACGGTTCACCTCCGTTACCGCTAGAGTAAGATTATTATCACCGTCAACGCACCGCCGCTTCCTTGCAGCCGCCATCTCTATCTCTCCCAAATCCCCTTATCAGACCCGAGCCAGGATGCCTCTACCATCGCAGAACAGAGCGGACCTTTCGTGCGTTTGCGATTTCACTGATTAGTCGGGACCCGCGTTCACCTCATCCCCTTCATCAACGGATCCATGAATGAATTGATTGAACATTCGCATATTGGCTGCCCTTTTCGAAACGGCACCATCGTGATGTGACTCGACCACTGATCCTGGTCGACGGAAATACGCATTCACTTCGGTCTCGGTCTCAATTAAACGCCCCCCTTCTACGTGTCTGAACCCTGCGTCTTCCGTTATCCATGGCCGCCAGAGCACCATCCGCGACACGTATCCAACCAGTCGTTGTAGGGTCCAAGGATGCTATCGAGACCGCCGTTGATAGTGAGCATCCTCAATTCATTGCACCCCCGTCTCTCAGACTATCTTAGCTATTCTCAAACCCCTAAGCACGATCGAATCGGCCAAGCGTTTAGCTGCCTACACCGCTGTAGACCGCCACGTCAAGCCAGAGCACATAGTCAGTATTCTCGGCCTAAGCTGAGATCAGCATTCTCAAAGCAGAGTCTAGGTAATAGGTATCGGTTCAGGTATGACACTTCCAATGTCCTCAACCAATGTCTCTCAGTAATTATCAGGATCTACGGTCCCTTATGTTGTCGAGCGCATTGTACAGCAGGGAAGAGAGGCCAACAAGGACCGTGTCTTCATCCCTACCGGTGTGTTGTGCTTGTTTTGGGTTGTACCTCTTTCTCAGTTGCTCCAGGTTTCCAGTCAAAGGAGTTGATTGTTTCTTCTAACCTCAATCTTGGAGATGTTGACCAATATCCTACAATCGACGTTACACTGGACGGTGCCGACGAGTAAGTCAGATGCATCCAGCACTCAAAATTTCACTTCTAAGCAAATAACTAGGGTTGATCGAGACCTCAACTGCATTAAAGGGGGAGGAGCCTGTCATCTTCGCGAGAAGGTGCTTGCTGAGGCCGCCCGGACGTGAGATTCCCAGCTCTCTATCACTTTGGCCTACCTAACCCGTATCATCGCAGGTTTATCCTGGTCGCCGATTACCGCAAGAACGTTGAGTACCTGGGGACGAACGTGCGTTTCTCGTATCGATTTACCAGTTGAAAGCTCATGCCTCCCGCATAATACTCATAAGTTTAAGCCTGGTGTGCCCATTGAAGTTGTACCTTTCGCATACGCCAAAGTTCTCCAGAATTTACACCACATCCTTGGATCGCCAAAAGCAACTCTTCGCATGGCGGTAGCTAAGGGTAAGCACCAATTCAAAAATATCCGGCGGGCATATCTCAACCGTCGGTAGCTGGTCCCGTCGTCTCCGACAACGGGAACTTCATTATCGACGCGCCGTTTGAGCGGGAGCATATGGAAAAGCCATACGATGTGAGTCATCGCTTGTTTGGGTGCGAGAAGTACACTGCATGACGGGCACCCTTGATAGATTATGGCACGGATTAAGATGCTTACCGGTGTGGTTGAGGTAGGATTGTTTTGCCACATGGCTCAGGCGGCATACTTCGGAAATGAGGTGAGATGGGCCTGCTAGCGCGCGGGTAACGGAAGACTGATGATATGGGATCAGGATGGCAGTGTGACCGTTAAGTACCACGATGGTAAAGTTGAGACCGTAGCCCCGCCCGCTTAATATGCGGCTATGTGGACGGCTAGCACACAACACTAACTGTCAATCCATGGCTTAGAATTGGGTAGATACGTTGCTCTCTAGATACACTGGAATAATCATGTGTGACATTGGATGCCTGTGTTTCGGCATCACCACCAGTGACGAGGCCACATCAGAGAACCACAGGCCGTGTTCTACTGACATTCTGCTTGCTGGCGCTGTTCCAGAGTACATGGACGCAGTAAAAGCGCGGATTCATCGGAGGTTCCCACGGCTGATTCTCTGTAATATAACAATATCGATATCATGAAGCCGACATTTCAAAGGCTACCCCTTACTTTCCGTGACTTCGTTTGCCGGCGACGAGGATGGCGGCTACAGACGTCTTCAAAGTGTCCATACTGGGAAAGGAATCAATCCACTGTGGCTTTCACCTGATCCCCCACATCGCGACCACAGTATTGTCGACACTGCCATCGTCCACATACGTCTTGGTCACTGACACACATGTCGCGAATTTCCATCTAACGACGTTCGAGGAAGAGTTCGTGGCTGCCATTGGACGATCGGAGAACGTTCCTACACGGCCTAGGTTTCTGAGCCATGTCATTCTTCCCGGAGAAACGTCCAAAAGCCGCGAGGGGAAGGCCAATATTGAGGACTTTCTACTACTTAACAAATGTACGAGAGATACCGTCATCTTAGCCCTCGGAGGCGGAGTGATTGGTGATCTCGTAGGATTTGTGGCCGCGACATTGTGAGTTACCCTACTTTATGTACATGTCAAACTAATACACTTCTTTCACGTTTGGTATAGTATGCGCGGAGTACGCTTTGTGCAGATACCCACTACTCTTTTGGCCATGGTTGACTCAAGTGTTGGGGGAAAGACTGCTATAGACACACCGCAGGGCAAAAACTTGATCGGTGCCTTCTGGCAGCCCGAGTACATCTTCATCGACGCTGCATTCTTAGAAACGCTCCCCGCAAGGGAGTTCTCGAATGGTATGGCCGAAGTAGTTAAGGTATGAACGCCGCCTAAACTTCGAAATCAGGGATGTTAATAGGCATGTCGTTCTAAGACCGCAGCTATCTGGGACGAAACCGAGTTCGCGTCGCTGGAATCTCGTTACAGCGAGATCTTTGCAGCTATACAGACACCCTCGCGGGACTACTCGGGCCGCACCAAAGCTACTCGTTCCTCCGCTCAGGATATCTTGCTCTCTGTCATTGTGGGATCAATATCTGTTAAGGCACATATCGTCACCATTGACGAACGCGAAACTGGCTTGCGAAATCTGGTCAATTTCGGTCACACCATCGGTCACGCTATTGAGGCTGTCTTGACGCCGACCATCTTACACGGCGAATGCGTTAGCGTTGGTATGATCCTGGAGGCGGAGGTGTCTAGGCAACTCGGTGTCCTCAGCCAAGTTGGTGTAGGACGACTTTCACGATGCTTGAAATCGTACAACCTGCCTATATCTTTGTCCGATCCTCGTATCGCCAATCTCCCCGCCTCAAAATTCCTCACGGTCGACAAGCTTCTGGACATAATGCGCGTTGACAAGAAGAACAGCGGCCCCGAAAAGAAGGTCGTTATTTTGTCAAAAATAGGTGCTACGTACGAGCAGAAAGCGACAGTGGTCAAGGATGATGTGATCGCTAAGACGTTGTCTGAGGCCGCGAGAGTGGTTCCCGGTATTCCATCCAAAGATCCTGTCAGAATGGCCACCCCAGGTTCGAAGAGCATCTCTAATCGAGCCTTAGTCCTAGCCGCACTTGGCCAAGGCACTTGCAGGTTGAAGAACCTGCTCCACTCCGATGACACAGCTGTCATGATGGCTGCACTAATGGAGCTGAAGGTATCGTCCCCAATGTTAGAGATTGACTGAATCTGAAGGATTTAACAGGGGGCTAGCTTTTCATGGGAGGACGGAGGCGAGACACTGGTGGTCCAGGGTGGTGACGGCTCGCTTTCCGTTCCACCCAAAGGCAAGGAACTTTACTTGGGAAATGCAGGCACTGCCGCACGATTCCTCACTACCGTGTGTACACTCGTCCGATCGACATCTTCCTCCGACGGCACTACAACCGTCATCACTGGAAACGCACGCATGAAGCAGCGTCCTATCGGACCCCTCGTGACCGCTCTCCAAGCGAATGGAGCCCAAATCGAGTATCTTGAATCGCAGGGCTGTCTTCCGCTTTCAATTGCACCCAACGGTCTCAAGGGCTCCAGAATCCAGCTCGCTGCAAGCGTTTCTAGTCAATACGTTTCTTCGATCCTGCTCTGCGCGCCGTATGCCGCTGAAGCCGTGACGTTAGAACTGACTGGTGGACAAGTAATTTCGCAGCCGTATATCGACATGACCATCGCTATGATGAAGACATTTGGGGTCGATGTGATTCGGCGCAGAGATTCTGAAACGAACAATTTGCTAGATATCTATGACATCCCGAAGGCTGCGTACACCAGTCCTCCCGCCTATGCCATCGAATCAGATGCCAGCAGCGCGACCTACCCGCTAGCCATTGCTGCTATTACTGGGACCACTTGCACCATCGAGAATATTGGGTCCGCCTCATTGCAGGGTGATGCACGCTTCGCGAAGGAAGTACTCGAGAGGATGGGGTGTAGCGTCACACAAACAGAGACTGAGACAACGGTCACTGGCCCTCCTATCGGTAGTTTACAGGCGATCGAGGAAGTTGACATGGAGGTGATGACCGACGCCTTCCTCACCGCTACTGCTCTTGCTGCGGTCGCCAAGGGGAAAACCAGGATCCTAGGCATAGCGAACCAAAGGGTGAAAGAATGCAATCGAATTCGAGCAATGATTGATCAACTTGGTAAGTGCTACATCGACAGTGGAATAATGTCAGCCAATTCGGTTCCTTAGCTAAATTCGGTGTCGAGACAAACGAGTTGGACGACGGCCTGGAGATTATAGGGAGGCCCATCACTGAGCTCAAAGAAGGTGTGAGCGTCCACTGTTATGACGATCACCGCGTCGCGATGGCCTTCAGTGTCCTGGGCTCCGTCATCAAAGGCACGATTCTTGAGGAGAAACGCTGCGTCGAGAAGACTTGGCCCAACTGGTGGGACGACTTGGAAAACAAGGTGAGGCGCAAAGTTGCTTTGGTATTCGGGCTTGCCCAACATCTCCCCCTAGATTGGCCTAAGAGTCGAAGGGGTTGAACTGCCTCCTTCGAACGCAACTTCTTCTGTCGGCGCATTATCTCCTGAGTCGGCTGCATCGGTGGTGGTCGTTGGTATGCGTGGTTCTGGAAAGACTTTCATCGGCCAACTCGCGGCTTCCGCTTTGTCGTGGACCTTCGTCGACGCGGACGCTTATTTCGAAGAAAAGCACCAGACAGGCGTTCGGGAGTTCGTCCACAAAAATGGCTGGCCAGCATTCCGAGAAGCAGAGACCAGCCTTCTGAAAGAACTCCTCACTGCCGATGAGAAATCTACGCGACATGTGATAAGCCTCGGCGGTGGTATTGTCGAGACCGAAGGTGCAAGACAACTTCTGAAGGATTACGCGACGAAAGGACCGGTGGTGCATGTTATCAGGGAAATCGATGAGGTAGTGAAGTACCTAGGCGCCGAGGTATCCAGGCCGGCATACGGAGAGCCTATCACGGACGTTTTCCGACGAAGAGAACCTTGGTACAAGGAATGCTCCAATTATGAGTTCGTTAATTGGGTGACCTCTGAGTCTTCTGCTTCGGACGAAGTAACAACCAGAAAAACCACCAGGGCGGAAGTGGAAAGGTTCTTCAAGCATATTACAGGAGAGAGCCCAAACCTTGCACACAATCTCGCGCCGGGCAACCGTTCATACTTCCTCTCCCTTACTTACCCGGACGTCACGCCTGCGCTTCCCCACATCGAGGAACTGACCACAGGGGTCGATGCTATCGAATTGAGGGTTGACCTCCTGCGTTCGCCTGAAGACTTTGATGTGGTCGGCAAATATATTCCACCAGCAACATACGTTGCTGAACAAATCGCCCTACTGCGTCGTTCGACTACGTTACCTATCGTGTTCACAGTCAGAACGGCATCACAAGGAGGATCCTTCCCTGATAATGCGGATGACGAAGCGTTCGAGCTCTTGAATTTGGGGCTTCGCATGGGTGTTGAGTATATCGATGTTGAAACCTCATGGCCGACTAAAAGAATTCAAGGCCTCGTGTCAAGGACAGGGTTCTCGCAGATCATCGCATCTTGGCACGACTGGAGCGGAAAGGTGCAGTGGAGTAGCGGCGCAGTCAAAGAGAAGTACGACGCGGCAAAAGAATTCGGGGATATCGTCAAGATTGTGGGGAAGGCCAATCGGCTTGAAGACAACTTCGAACTGTTTACCTTCGTCAAGAGGGTGTCTTCTGTGCCCGGAGCGAAGCCCATTATAGCCATTAACATGGGGACGGAAGGCCAGATGACAAGGATTCTCAATACTTCCTTCAGCCCTGTGTCGCACCCCCTTTTGCCCAACAAGGCTGCCCCTGGCCAGTTATCCTTCCCTCAGATCCAGCAGGCTCTACACTTGCTGGGTCAGCTGCCTTCGCGACGATTCTTCCTCTTCGGTACTCCCATCGCCCACTCAATGTCACCCACATTGCACAATACCGCATTCTCTCTGCTCGGATTGCCATATGTATACGAACTGCTGGAGACGAAAGCCGTCGGCGAAGAAATAAAAGCCGCCCTGGCTAGCCACGATTTTGGCGGCGCAAGCGTGACTATTCCGTTCAAGCTGGATATAATTCCCTTGTTAGACGAGCTCTCGGCAGCGGCGCAAGCCATCGGCGCCGTCAACACCGTTATTGCAAAGCCAACAGACAGCTCAAAGATCCTTTATGGCGACAATACTGATTGGATAGGAATCCGCACGTCGGTCGTTAATATCGTTGGGGAGGGTAACATCCATTCAGCCTTGGTGATCGGCGCAGGGGGGACTGCTAGAGCAGCCCTGTACGCTTTGACCAGTCTCGGTGCGAAGAAAATCTACCTATTCAATCGAACTAAAAGCAAGGCACAGGAGCTGGAGGCCGCGTTCTCCAACAGCGCCATTGAAGTCATCGAGGAGTTGGGCTCCTGGTCGTCTGATCCTCCGAATGTCATTGTATCTACGGTGCCAGCGTTAGCTACCACGATTGAAGCCCACAACACTGGCTTACAGATTCCTGTGTCGGTCTTTAACTACCGCTCCGGCCCCGCTGTCGTGGTCGACATGGCGTACAAGCCTGCCGAGACACCGCTGCTTCAACTGGCGAAGAGACTCGGAGGAGACAATTGGACGACGGTGCCAGGCGTAGAGGTGCTTCTGGAGCAAGGGTATCAACAGTTCAAACTTTGGACTGGGAGAGCTTGCCCTCGAAAGGCTGTTTCTTCTAAGGTTTGGGAGAAGTACAATGCCTCAGTCTGAGTTCATTCACGCCGAGATTGTCATCGTAGTCTAACTGCTTTGTACAACGCCAAATGGACATCCAGGCGATTGCCTCGAAGTAAGTGTATAATGAATAGGGGTGATCAAAATGTCAACTTCGTGACAGTGTCAAGGCCCCTTGATCGAGCCTCTTTTGCTCTCCTCTCGGCGTGCCGAATATTTGAATCAAATATAGATAGCTATTGAAGCAGATGGTACACTCTTACGGCACCCGCTAGAAAGCTCTCGAACGCGGCTGATAATCAGCGCTGGCTCCCTTCAGATGCGCCAATTTGCGGATAGAAATCACATCGCCTCCTCCAAATGCGCGAATATATGGATGATCGAATCACATCAACTGCTGCTGTTTCAAATCACCTGGGCAGATAAGCAGCTTGTGGCTGAGGAGGAGACTATGCCTTTCCGAGTTCCGGTCTCCCATGCAAACACGGTCAAATAGGAGCGTGGAGGGGTATAAAGGAGGGCCCTTCACGCGGTACTCCTTCAGCAAGCAGCCAACTACCTACCTGCACTAAACAGCCCACCAATCGCAATGTTCGCTGTACGTACTTGCGACACACAAGAACCTGATACTTGCTGACCTTCCTTCTCCAGCACATCGACGCCCCCGTTTCCCAGGCCAACTGCGGCAGCTCCTCCTGCAGCTGCGGCGAGAGGTCAGTATATTATTTCACTGCCCTATGCTTCGCCTTACACAAATATTCTAGCTGTGCCTGCAAGCCTGGTGAATGCAAGTGCTAAATGCTCCCCAACCTGAATATCATAACATATGTATATGAGCCCCTGGATCGAATACGTGCACCCGAAACATAAACACAATCTGTACATGTACATGCCTGCAAATTGTTGATGTATCGCTTTATCCACAAAGACACTTGTCCACAAACTTACTTTGAGAGCCAACGACGAGTACGATGTGAAACCCATGGTCTATAGCGTGCGAGTTCCCCTATGACTCCTATACTTTCCACGCGCCGAGCGCTAATATTGGTTTGGACTGTTTCCAGCACTCTTGTCCGTTGCTTGCGAAGTCCTGCAAGTACCATAGCAGCAGCGGGATTCATTGTAAGTACGTGCTAGTTTCTCGAAGGAAGAATATCGACGATTATCCCGCTCAGAACAATGGCGACCCCGCGACTTAATTTTGATTCGTCTACCCTCCCGATTGCCCAATTAGAATCATTAAAATTCAAGGCGAACCAAATTGTGGAATCGATAATGGCTCTAAGGGCCACAGTAGATGCGGGTCACCAGAATATGATGCTCCCTTGGCCTGACATCCTATCCAAATACAACATATTGCTGTCGCAAACACTAAACTTTTCAAACTCGTTGGGCGCGACCATCGGGGGCGCTAACCAAACCACCGGTCGCGTCTCAAATGGAAATGGAGGCCAACAAAACGTCAGTCCATATGAGAAGATCGCACTGCACCTCAGTTCGGCCGCTTCAGAGAAGGAGGCGGACGAAATCGCTTTACTAGTGCGCACGTTCCAGCTACCCGAGATTTTGAAGACAGAGAGCGATGCAGTCCGCCGACTGGCAGAACGAATGACCACGCGAGGATCCCTTGGTGTAATGGGCGCCGTGCCGCCCCCGGTATCATCGTTTGGAACTGCTCGCAAGCCGGAGTACGAGGATGTCCTCAAAGAATGTGGGGAAATCAGAGAGCAGCATGATAGGATGGTAAATAGAGCGGTGAGAGCGGTTACTATGCTGAGGGACAAGTACGATTGGAAGCAGAGAGTTGAAGTGGAAGTTGAAGAACCAGAGGAACTTGAGTGGGACCCTAGGATGGGGATGCCGAACGGGGAGCCGCAGGGTGTACCCAGTCTCAACAGCGACGACGACGGCATGGACGATAGCCAGGATGGTAACAGTGATGAAGACGAAGTTGAAGGAGAACTGGTTCGTACCCCTGCCCCCCAGACGCCCCAACCTACGGACTCCCAGGAGTCAATGGGTATGCAGGTACAAGCCCGAACCCCAACTCCAGTTAATCCTATGGCATTGTAAACTCGTTCATGAGTGGGTGTGCCCCATATTCCCTTGGTTTGACATTAACGGAGCAATAAAGAACGTCGTGTTACCCCGAGCCATGAAGTATTCACAAATTAATTATCCTATCCACCGACACCTAATCGTCCTATGGGTCTCAATAACATGGCGCATCCTTCAAAGCCTTGGCACATTCTTGCGCCGTTCTCAACGCCCAAGTTATGTTTGCACTATCTTCCGATGTTTCCTTTGGGCACGATTCTCCCTTGCAAAGAATCAGCAACGACAAATACAATGAATACCACAACCGCTTCGTCTTCTGTCTCGGAAATACGATTGGGGGTGTCCCTCCAGCCCCCGTATAACCTTCCATCACGGCAGGAGAGGGGCCCGGTGGCATGAAAAGGCTTTCTAGCAATGGATCTCCCCATACTGCCCAGCTAAAATTCGGAAGAATCGTCTCGATCGCCGCTGTTGGTGACGCCTCATCTGGGACGTGCACTAAAATGTCGTCTTCTGAAATGGCGAATCCAATGAGTGCTGGGACCTCAACGTCGTCGAACAGGAAGAAACCGATGGCCCGCGACAGATATCTTTGGATATCTTCGAATGACAGATCCAGTCGTTTGGACATGGGCAGCGGCTTGATCTCTTCCAAAAGTGTTTCGAAGAGGAATACGAAGGATTCTTGCCAGCTGTACGAGGGTTCCGCGGGCTCTGCGATGGATGGAAGGCCAAACCAGTCGTTTTGAATGGCGTGCAGTTGCCCTAGATATGCCCCCAGTTCTAGTTCGATCCTTGCGAGTCCCTGCGCGTCCAACATCCCGGAGGACCTGGCCGTTGAAAGAGAGATTGTCTGGGACGACCCAGAGGGCATAGTGAATAGGATGCACTCGTGTGGTATAATGTCGAGGTTCGCGTCTAGGATACCTTGGGGCATCGGGATGGAGGAGTTATTTTTGATTTTCGATAGAAGGTTGTAAATGACGGAGAGCCCATTCGCGCGATGGTCCGAATCTGAAGGTGGCGAGGTCGTCCCCGTCTCCTCGACGTAGAGAAGATATGTCTCTTGCTCTTCCTCTCGTTTCAGCGTAATCGTATACGATGCGATGTTTGCATTGTAGCTAGAAGTTATGATTACACCCATCTCAGACAAATCTTATAGATCTCATTCATTGCAAGTTTGCTGACCTGTATCCCACGTTTGTGACCTTCTGGAGCGTGTCCACCACGGCAGGGCTCTGGTCATCAGGATGGTATTTTCGGATGATTCGAGTGGCTTGATCTACTGTCACCGCCATTGTCAGACCTATTAGCCAAAGAATGTGGAAACTAGCCTCATTACTTGATAGAACGTTGAAACCCTAAAACCACGTGATACGTGGGGAACATTGGGTGGATACACCTATTCGCATTGCCTGTCGAGAGGAATAGATGGTATAATAGTATAGTGGCATATGCCGCTGTTTCAGCTATCATGCCTACTTCTATTCCCTATGTATTTGCAAAGCTTCAAGGATCGAGTCTTGTACAAGACCCTAGAATGAGAAGTCGATACTTATGCAGGCCATGCGTGGATTTTGGTTCGATGGACGATTCTATCCGCACCACGAGGCCTACAGACATGAAGGATGATTTCATGGTTTTAGTACGAATAAATTCACTATTGCAATCTCCTTCGCACTGACCACCTCTCAGGTTTCTGGACAACCCGTTAAATGGGGGCCATCCTCGACTTTCTGGACTCGCGTTGCCCAACTGCCTCCTGTCGAGTACTTCGCCGGGAGTTGGACCGTATGGGAGGACATGGATGTTCCCGCACCTGTCGCTAACGCGGACGCCAATTATGTATCGGTTTTCATTGTGCCACAACAGCAATACGATGACCTCAATGAAGAACGAGACATATTGACCGGACTACGGGAAGCCCAGCCAGGGTTTCAATCGACAGACACGCCGTCAACTGGTGCCCATCCGTCGGCATTTCGTGCGCGGAAATCGCCTGATGCTTTCGAATTCAATCGACCCAAACCCGTCGACCACTACCCCATTCCCATCTCACTTCTGCAGCCCGAATTCGGACGCTTCAAGAGGGACGTACGCACCATTACCCCAGATCCCCGCTTGTCTCCTCTTGGCTGGAGGTTGGCTGTTGAGCTCTCCTCTTTGTTTAAGACCGAGGACCTCCGGGAGTCATGTCTGCATCGCCTCCTCGCTGAACTCTTTGGTGGCGACGTAGCCCTAGAAAAGCGGTCCGTTGGGTCGTACAAGACTGACGGAGGCGTTGTGCACGTCTCTCTCCCAAACCTTCCTACTATGCCCATTTTCATTGAGGTCAAGAATGAGACAACCTGTGGATCATCAGATGCTGTCTTCGAGCTTCTCCTTTACTACAAAGAAGGAGTAAGGCACGTCTTAAGCCGGGACTTCCCCCACAAAGGGGACTGGGTAAAGACCCGATTTCCCTCCATTTTGATCATGCATAATGGTATGCTTCTTGCTGTCGTTATCAAATAGATTTCTAGCACTCATCACTATCCCAGGGCCCAATATCCAAGTTTACGGCGGTGTCTGGCTGTTGAAGGGATACGTAGAAGTCATTTCTCATTCACTCCCGCTTCATTTCAACGAGTTTGATACGGAAGCCATTGAAGACCTCCTTCGGTTCATGACCGCCCTCCGAGGTTTGTTCGAGTCCCTTTGCGAAGTGTACAGAAATCCCCAGAACCACGTCGTTGATGGGACACAAATCGAATTCCCTTATCCGCGATCGTATGTTGCAAATGTCCCTCAGGACTCGACCAGCGCTACTGGCAAGACCATTCAGTTCACCTACACCAAGCGGATCAGCCCAATCAGACTGGTCTTCGCTGCTCGTACCGACGGCGACGGTGAAGACATCATCATCAAGTTCGGATTTGGGAAGTACGGAGCGGAGACTCATAAGGCGGCGGCCGCAGCAGGAATCGCGCCTGCTCTCCTCAGCTACTCTGACCTCCCTGGTGGGATTTGGATGGTAGTTATGCGCCCTCTACCCGCTCAGTTCAAATCCTGTCTACACGTTGAAGATTTCTCCGAGCCATGTCAAGCCGTTATCAAGGCAGCCGTGGATCGCTTGCATGACTCGGGACATGTTCATGGCGACCTTCGCGATTCCAACGTATGGATCGCCAATGACGGGGACAGATGGGATTGCCAAATCATTGATTATGATTGGGCGGGGGTTGTCGGCGATGTTCGCTATCCACTGGGAGTGTTTATCAGCGAAGGCGTCTGGAGGCCCCGAGCACATATGGATGGGGACTTGATCACCTTGAGCGACGACTCCGCCACACTCTCAGAATTTCTAAACCGCAAAACCATTCTCAGTCGGTTCTGACTCTCATGATGTACTCCACTTAACAAGGTCTTTGTAATAAAACTACCCGCATATTTTGCAATGCAGACCAAATAGGCTCACAGAGCTCATGATCCATATGTCTATTCCTTCCATACTTTCGGAACGATCCAACTTGTACGTGCGGACTGTTTCTTCAACAGGAGTCCCAATGTCCCCTGATCGTCGAATGACTGTGGGAATTCTAAATAAAGCGTGAGAAGAACGCGTTGTAACAGTTTCTCGTATTGACCTTTGCGACTTGGTTCGCCCTTCTCAACTCAACTATGCAGTCGTTATTCAGGATTCGAGCGAGGCTCCCGTCAGGGCCTGCATTGACGCGTGCTCCTCTCCTCTCAAGGAGCTTCTTCTCCCCGCGCGTCGCGGCAGCGCTGCAAGCGCGTCGAACGCTCCATACAAGCCCCAGCCATGATTTTCCAGCTAAGTCCACTATGGAGAAGAAGGCAAGCTCGACGAAGGCCACTACCGCTGGTCGGAAGCGCCCCGCTACTAAAGGTGCTAAAGCCACCGCGAAGAAGCCTGCGAAGAAGGCATCTACCAAGGCTGCTAAACCCAAGGCCAAACCTAAGTCCAAACGCGTAGTGAGGGGTGTTGCGAAGAAGAAGCGTGTTGTGAGGAAGAAGCGACCGGTCAAAGGTATGCGCTTTTCCTCCGCACTAGGTCTCTTTTTCTGCTGCTTACTGTGGGATAGCACCCAGGGTGACGCTCGCCATGGCGCCACCGAGAGGTTACCCAGGTGCCTTCATTCTATTCCACAAGCACAGGATTCTTCAGGTGGGCGCCCCATCTACGTCGGTGGATCAAGCGCAGCAGTCGGCACGCGACAGCGGGGCTGCATGGCATGCCCTCTCTGAGGCGGAGAAGGAGGTTCGTTCCGACCTACACCAAGCTATCTAACGCCCTCGTTCATACTGATTAACGTCATCGTCATCTCTAGCCCTTTTTTAAGCAGGCTGAGGTCTTCAAAGAAGAGTATAAGAAGAAACGTGCAGAATACTTCGAGAATAACGACCCTAAGATCTTGAGAACCCTTAACAAGAAACGAGTTGCGAAAGGACACAAGAAGCTTCGAAACCATCGACCTGCTGGCCAAGAACCAAAGCCGATTTCTTCGTACTTCAGGTGACCAAAATAATAGTTCACTTTCTTAACGCGTTCTCGTTGACACTCACGGACATACCCTAGATTCATGGCTGAGTTCCGTGAAACAACAGAAGGGACTCACCTCACAGGCGCTGCCGCTGCCCGCGCTGCAGGTGAACGATGGCGCGCAATGTCAGAAGAAGAGAAAGACGTAAGTTCATTAGTCACACATAACTTCACCTCTAATCTAATCACATCAACAACCAATAGGTTTACAAGCAGGCATGGCTTACCGACAAAGCTGAATGGGAGAAACGTCGACAGTCATCATCATAAGTGCTATAGTCCACTATCTTACCGTGCTTTTGTCTCTTAACTACGCGTTAAATATTCATGTCACATGGAAATTCCACTGCAGACTACGCTTCTACCTACAGTTAAGCAATTTGGATACATATGAGCGATACTCAAGTCCATCGGCTGATGGTAGGGACTACTAGAAAGGAGGGTATCCAACGAGAGAACGGAGTGTTTGTCACATAAGAAGAGTGCTAGAATTAGAAAAGGAATAAAAAAAGATTAAGAAGCGGAAAGCCATAACAAGATCGAGCGAACAAATCCGACAAACAACAAAAGCGACTAGGCGAGATGCTCAAATCCACCGAGAACCTATAGCCGATGCCCTGGAACCGCCCAGAAGATGAACGTCAACGCGACCACAAACGCAGCCGTCAGCACGCTGACCCAGATCGCGCGCCCTAACAGCAACTTCTTTACGTACGGCTCACGGATCGTCAGCGTGCGGAACGGCGTCGTCTCAGACTGCCCCAGGAACACGAGGATCGGGTCCAGTTCGTATTGATGCGACACGAGGAAGAGGACTGCAAAGCTAAACGGGAGAAACAGCTACGTACAAACACGATTAATGTTTGTTCAAAGAAGCTGGGAATGGGGCTCACGAAAAATCGCTTGGACTTGGGTTGCACGTCGAGGAATACGAGCGAAAACGCCGTGGCGAGGCCTATCCATAGGATGATGAGACCCAAAATCAGGCGAACAAGCGCCGAAACGGGTGTAAGGTTTCCGAAGGCTTTCGATCGAAGGAAACGAGGGAAGGCGTCTTGTTCCATTGCTCTGAAGCAATATTCCTTCTGCGCATGGAACATGTCAGGTATCTGGGCCATCAAATTGAGCTCCGTCTGGGTCCTTGGCTCAGACGCGCTGCTCAGAGGGAAGCTGTGTATTCGTAAAGAAGGTGGGAGGTAGATTTCGTGGTTTTCTTGTGAGTTAACGACGTTGCCGGCGGGGGAAAGATAGCGGAAGTAGATGCGTTCAGCGGAAGCTATGAGATTCTGCCGTGTGATGGGGGTAGAACGTGGGATGACTGTCGGTGCACGAGACGCACGCTTCAAGTTGAACAAGGTGGGCGTGCGACCAGATAGCGAGAAGGGGGTTGATGACCGTGGTTGGTCCTCAGCCGGAGGGGAGCCCACTCTGGTGCCTTCTGACATGGGCGTTATGAAATTGGGGCTGGTGGAGCGTGCGCCATGCTTTTCGTCCGTCGCTGCCAAATGTCGCTTCTCCTGCTCACCCACCAAATCCCCTGTGCTCGCGGTGCTACGCTTCCCACTACCGTCTGGATGAAGCCCCACCACGGTACCGTAAATGGACCCTCGCCGTCGGGCATAGTCCCAATATTGTGGCCAGTCCTCCTTGATGGATCGGCCAGATTTCCTGACGTCCTTGAAGTATGCCCTGCATAGATTTTCGTGCTGTTGCACGTCTAGCCAGAAATCCAGAACATCTTCTGCGCCTTCCCGCTGTAAGAAGAGGCTATGATAATCCGTCAGCCATAGAAAAGTAAACGCAAGCCAAGGAAACGCACTAGAACATGAACAAATCCACGGGCGGCCGGGTACGTCGCGAGAGAACCTCCGTAAATGACGGTAGCCTGTTTATGCGACTCCCCGCCCAGTCTTCCTGCTGATGTTCGTCGTCCATGATCAAATGCGATATGCCAGCGTCGGGGAGGAGGAGAACTCTGGCAAATGTTGATTGTCACCCACACGCGACGGCTGACATAATCTCTTCTCACACACTGAATGGTGCACGGGTGTGTCTCAAGGCTCAAGGCACCCGGTCTTGAACATATATTGAATCCCGAAACGTCGAGCTCTACGATGTCTTTCTCAAAAGCCTTTTCGCCAGCGCTGCGAGAGCTCCGTATTCTGTGCTCCCAGTCCGGTCAAGCGTCCGCTGGAACGCGGTAAGCATCTAGCTTCACTGACTGCAAGTTTCCCCGGGCACTGAACGTTCAACAGGCAATTCATAATCTCGAAATACCCAGTTATCAAGCAACACAATCCTGACCTGCCTGTTCTCATCCGGGAGGCTACAGGAACACCCGCACGAGTTTTCGCGAGATTTGGTGCGTATTTCACATTCGCCCGGCGTACAACTGATGTGAACCCCGCTCTTTGGCAACCAGAGCACGGATTAGAGAAACACGTCGAGCTCGATAATTTGTCGTCAACAGAAGTAGAGACCAGAGTCGCACAGCTCCTTTCATAGCACCGCCGCGTCTTGAGACGTTGTCAGATGTGGGGGTAGTCGCCTTACTTTTGACCTGTGGTATATCAATAGAAATGACATCTCAAGCCGCCGACTCGTCACATTTTCCGTTTCCCGCCTCTACGTTCAGAGACCACCTTGACTTAGGTGGTTGCCGCAAGAATGCGTTACCAAGGTGCGGAATTACACTTTTCAGACCGTATTACACAAACACAGGCCCAAACATTCAACTTTCCAAGATTTACGGATACTGAGTATCTTGTCAGACCACTCCCGACTCGGGCTCTGTTTCGTATGCCTTCCGCTTGATCTTTTCCACCATCCCTTCGCCATGTTTCCCCGCCCTCTGCTGCCCAACCATCTGATCATGTTGGCGCTTCACCCGGCCTATGAGGAACGTATACACCCCACTCAATATGCCACAGATTACTGCGGTAACGATGGTGACAGCTATGGTGATCGTACTGGTGGTTGTAAACCTGCCATCTTGAGCACCGAACACACTCGCGAGCGTAGAGATGATCCCCGCTAGTGCGTTGAGGCACCCCGGTCTGGACAAAGGCACGGTAAGTAAGCATAACTTTGCCGTTGCTTATGTTCTTCTTACAAAAATATGTGATTGACAAGCCAGACATAATTGCGCATCCACCTCCACCACATGTAGCACATACCCAGCGCTCCGATGCCACTGCATATCCAAGCCACGATGAACCTATTTGCCGTGTCGTTTGAAGATGCATAGGTGCCCCGCACGTTAACCGTGATATCAAAGACATACTCACAGAGGTACTTGCTGAACTGCATTCAGCACTTGTAATTCTGTCTGCCCCAAATTCGTCTGGAAACCTTGCAAGCTGCTGAATGTTCCTGGAAAGAGAACAAATCCCGCCAGCAATATCCAAGTGAAGAAGGACGCCATCATATTATGGATCTTGGGTATTCCGTCCAGAGCTAACAGCATATTGACATATTGAGTATCCATCTGGCTCGGCGTGGCCGTCAATGGGGGTCGCTGAGCCTTCGTCGATGTCGTTGATACTTTCCCATCATTGACGGGCCTCTTGGCTTCATGTCCGTGCGAAGTGGTGTGCTTCGCGTCGGAAGGCCGTCGACTTCGCTCTCGTTGGACTTGCTGTACACCAGAGTCTGCGCGCTGAGCCTTCGGCGATGTCGATATCTTTTCCGTCTCCTTCATCATTCTCCGTTAGTGTCGTTAGTGCCTTTGTATGCCAATTGCTTTTGAATCCTTGTGCGCGAGCCTGACTGATGATTAGAAGCAAGGCTGCCCCCTCGAGAGCTTCCAAACGAGGTGTGTGTACCAAATGATGTTAATTACGGAACGGGCCGCCCAACTAATTGAAGCTTGTTTGAGGCAGCTCACGGCGCACTCTGCACGCTACGTTCATGCGTATATAGATCAGACGCCTCACAGGCGCACAGCATTGAGCACTAAACTAGTCAGTTTCCTCCCAGATCGAACCCCTCCGCGGCTATTTTAGCCAAGAATATTTTGGTTTCGGCCAAAATGACAAGCCGTCCTTTTCCAGCGAAAACCATGTTGGCGGAAGTGGTGCCCAAGAAGAATTTCCCAAGGAGCGTTCCCTCGGAGTTCCATGTCTGTGGAGGATATACGAGAGTATTTGAGCTATAGCATCATGACGATGGATAGGGAGAGTGATAACTAGCATACCTGAACTCCGTCGCCGGTGCCAGAGTAGATATTACCGTTGGTGTCTACCTGGATGCCATCTGGGACGCCGGCATCTACGTAGGCCAGCACGCGGCGATTCTTGAATGCGTGTGAAATGGGGTCTACGTCGAAGGCGTACCTGCATGGAGAGACCATGGTCAGCGCAATAATCATCGACAAACCAATGAAAGTATGACCAACACGGTCGAGGGCTCCGTTTGAGTGGAATTGCCGCCAGTTGCGCCGGTATCGGAGCTTTACGAGGTGATAGGATCAGTGTTTGCAACATTAACCTAGAAGCCTCACATATAAGCAGTGTTCCCATCTGCGGTGAAGGCGATTCCATTGCACTTGTCAAACCCATCCGCGACCACACGGACGGCGCGCGTATCTGGATCAAGCCGGTAGACTTGGTTAGGCATTAGAGGTGCTGGACGAAAGTTGTTCAGGAAGCCATAGCTAGACAAGGTAAGTGCTTCAGACCCATCATGAATAGATCGAGAACAGCGAAAAGATGAATACGTTACGTCAGTGAAAAATATCTTTCCGCTTGGATGTATTTTGACGTCGTTCAATGAATTGAACTGACGGCCAAAGAAATTGTCCAAGATGATTGTCGAGTTGAACGGTGGTTTGGGGTTCACCAGTGCTATGTTTGGTGGAAGCGGCCCACGGCCTGAGTTAACTAGCAGCAGCTGAGAGCGGAAAGGCCCAGTCCCCCCGTTTGTCATCTGGATTGTGTCGGATAAATTAAGCTATAATTGAGAGCATGATCAGATTCGAGAGAAAAAGCTTCGCAGTGTGGCGTACTAACGGGGGTCACTGTGACATTAACGGGCGAACTGCTTTTCCTTGCTAATGCAGCTTCCACTTCGGCCATACTGATCTTGCTTACTTCATTGTTGTGATCCAAGTCGCTCATACCCAAGGGCCCACCGTCGTTGCTCGCAAAGAAGAGTTCATCGGTCTCCGGCACATATATCGGAGCCTCGTGAGCGAACGCAAACCCAGGATTCGATGCAATCTCCGTTAAGGATGGGGAAGCACCCAGCACCTTCAGAAACTCCTGATCAAAAATCTGGAAGAAAGGGGGCGTCGTAGATGTGGGGTTAAAGAAACCCTCAAAAGACGATGCTCGGAATGTTCCGTTCTGGCCAATGACAGAGAACGAGCGAGGATCCACGAACTGCCCAGCATTTCGGAGACGGTTAGTGTCCGATTGACTTTGGAGGAGATACGGGGGCGACATACGACTGATTGGGGAGGCAGTGATCCGAGAGTTGCATTGCTGCTAACCGTGTTTTGTGCACCAGAGGACTTTAAGGTGGCCAAGGCCACTAAACCCGCGAACACGAAGGACATTGCCAGTAGTTTTGATGAGAATGTCCAATACCGAGAAATGAGGCCTTCCTGTGGCATAACTGGGGGATTGGACTGCTTTTTAATCTTTGTTCTTCCCATCCCAACTGAACGATTCACAGGACGCGTCAGATGGTGGGTGTACGGTTTACTACTGGGGTCAAGTCTGTTTTTGCCGTGGTCGCTAGGTCCTTTAGGAAGTCGGGGTCCTTGTGTGATGCGTGACATTATTATTTCGCGCTCTCAGTAGCATAATCCAACCTGATGGGTGCGCACCATACATCTTTGAACACCAGACCCGAGTGCTACTCGATGAGGTGGGGCACCGACAAAGTTAGATAATAAAGGTCTTGTCGCCACTGATGGCGAGCGGATCAACAGTGAATATCAAAGGGAGGATATGGGGGATTGTGCCAGATGACGACCCCGTTGCGAAGCTAAGTAGGTGACAGGCGCGTAGCCGAAAGTGAGATTATAGGTCATCGAGACCTAGATTTGACAAGTATAACCTCCTTCAGTATTAGAATTAACGAAAAGAACAGATACGACGCGACACAGGAAAAATGCATCAACTTGAATGCTCGCACCAAGATACCAATAAACATTGATTGTCGGGTCCTTATGTCTATCTACAAACAGTGTGCAAGAGTTAGTCAACGAGACGCCAGCAGCAAAGACTTACGTGCCATTACTAGACTGAGAAAGTCAGCAAGTTGTAATCCCTGGTCTGGGATATCCTTAATGCTTGCGGGAACCCGCGCCACGCCCATGGTGGGATACTCGAGCAGTGGACGATTATTTATGAGTCGTATGATTCGAGGATTTGACTCATGGTCGAGGATATCTGCCTGGGTCATCTCGGGAACCCTGAAATATATGAGAGCCTATGTCTGCGGATTCCCGTAACGATGGGGGGCGTCGCGTCCTATGGAAAGTCGTCGAAAGTACCAAGCGCCATTGCAAATTCCGGGCGCAAGTGATCTTACCATTACGAACGCGGGAAACAGTAGCTTAGCAAAGTTTAGCAGAGAACGTATCCCTCCAACAACGATAATACAGTTTCATGAGCGCGGGAGATGGGATCCTACATATAGCGATTGAGATTCAATCTGAGTCTGTGGCTTAAGGCTTGTACCCACCAGCAGCATCCCCACCAGCCCACTAGCCGTAGTATTTGATTGAAATAACACTGCGGGACATATCCCGGGCTTGTGGTCACTGGCTAATGGAGTCGATGTGACGGTGACTACGAAAGAAGGAGTGCCAGGACCCCTCAAGACCGCGATCGGAGGCCAGAAACAGACCTGACCCCAGTCGTAAACCGTAGGTATGGGTGCTATAATGTTAAACGTTAAGCAACGGTGTGCCGATCGCACTGCTAGAGGACCGCTGTTCGATTCTGTCTATCTTGAAGGTACGCTGGGTCCTAAAAGCTTTGAAGTTGGACTTCAGCAACCAAAGCGATTCGGAAGCAATACTTGCCATGGCTAGTAACACACTTCTGCGAACTTCCGCAACTTCTTATGTTCTCATGGGTTTCTAAATTCTCATCGCCTGCTAGTACTTTGATTGCAAACGTACACACGCGATGAATAGCAACCGGGCTCAGAGCAAACCACAGGAGTCCGATGCTCAACCAGTCAGCATGCTAAACAGTGACAAAGTGGAAAGGTTATTGAGAATCAGCGATAACTTGTGGCTTCTTGTAAGGAATTGAACACGGTACCGAGCCGGACTACGGAAAAATGAGCATCCACTTAAGCTCGCGAAACAAACTTGAGGATCGGGATCGGCCGAAAACGTCGCCTGCGATTTAATGGGGGTGTTGCACCTGCGACCTGAAGCCAGAGCCAGCCAAATCATGGAGACTTTATATCTGACATCATGAGCAGTTCTCACAAGCGTGCGAGGCCTAAGAAAAGATATTGCCTGCCAAAATCAGGGTCAGGAATAGCCATGTGGCAAGGCTCGGCGCTTATCGTTTATCTTTGGTTGGCCTTTACCACTGCTCAGCATTGTAGGCCAACGTCTTGCAGAAGCAGCAGAACGCGGCATGAATATTCCTGTTCGTATCCCAGCTCCAAGGCAGGAGGAAATTCGGATCGAATCTCGGAGGCCGCTATATGTTTAAGCGCTGTATTGGTCTCCGTACGGACTCCTCACACGAAATATTGACTCATAATCAATGTTGGATCTACCTTCTGGAATCACAACATATCCGCTCAAGCACCGTCTGCGCCGTTAGGGAGCACAGACAATAGAAACCCGGGTTGTTCTAGGTCTTTAGTTTCCCATCGAAGATGCAGAAATTCCGCCCGGGTGTCTTCCCTGATACACCACCCAAGAACGAGGCTTGAAACCATCACCAGGAGCTATTCACGGCACAAATAGCGGGCGAAGCCAGCACCGCAATTTTGCCAACTGTCGATAAACGCATTGGTACGAATCCGATCTAGGTTCACAGAGTGCTCCTTTGACCCCAAATCATAGGAATAGTTCAAAAGAACGGAGGTACGGCGTTCTCACCCGGTTGTTGTTGCTGCTTCTGGGGCCGTGGCAAATGTCCCAAGATACATGGGCTACCCACCGCGTTCAGTGGACTGAATACATTGTACACAATGTCATCTGTGTGTCCTTGAATTCTCACTTTTTAACTTTATACTCCCAGATATTACATACGTCGGGCCCTGGCCAAGCCGGAGACCTTACAAACGACCATATAACGGACATCACCGATGGCCTGCACGCATTGTCGCTCTTGATTGGATCCGCTGCCCCTGTACGTGCATCCAGAGCCGGCGGGTTTGTCTCGTAATTCTTTCGACTTCTTCCGGATAAGGTGCAGATGGGTGTTCAGATTTCTACCGAGGCGGGAAATTTTTTATCGCATGCGTGTACTTTGTATTATCCAATAAAGCTTACCACCCTCTTAGACATGGTTAATCGTGCGATATTAAAGATGGAAAAGCGCATCTCCTACCCCACGCCCCGTTGGCTACCTCTGATCCAGAGAGCCAGTGTTGTCATTGAAGCGCTGCAAGCATCTACATCGACGCTCTCCATACCACCGCCACCAGGTCACCGATCGCAAGAGGCGTTACTCCAAAATGGCAGCCCAACTACCGCCCTCTTCGTTCCCGTTCATCCAAGGCGTCCGGTGGTTCAATGTCGCCGTCCTCACTGTTACACCGAGCATTGCAGTCTGGGGCCTCCTGCATGTGCCATTTCAGGCAAGAACTCTCCTGTTCGCCGCAGCATACTACATATATTCCATGCTAGGTACGTCACAAGTACTATCTAAGTTCTCAGCTGCTAAGCATTTCACTAGGTATTACCGCTGGTCAGTCCGCGCCTAAACTTCCAATGCGTTTAATGAACGCCGACGCCTGACTGTTGTCCTCACACAGGATATCATCGGCTGTGGTCCCACAGATCATATACGGCATCCTTCCCGTTGCAGTGTTTCCTGTTATTCGGAGGAACGAGTGCTGTGCAAGGTTCTTGCTTCTGGTGGGCTCGCACGCACCGTTCCCACCATCGACATACAGATACAGACTTTGATCCATACAACGCCAAGAGAGGACTGTTCTGGACCCATGTTGGGTGGATGCTCTTCAAAACGAACCTTCGCTCCGGCTCCGTCGACGCTTCCGACCTCCGAAATGACACCTTGCTTCAATGGCAACATACATGGTACATGTTCCTCGCAGCGTTCTTCGGGTATCTCCTTCCCACCTTGGTACCTGGGATCGGATGGGGAGACTGGTTGGGCGGGTTCTGCTTCTCGGGTATGCTTCGATTGACAATCGCACATCACGTAAGTCAAGCATCCGACATCCTATTCTCTTCAGTGACTTCGACTTCTATTACAGAGTACGTTTTGCATAAACTCCGTAGCTCATTATCTTGGTTCTACGCCCTACGATGATGCGCTTACGCCACGCGACCATTTCCTTTCCGCAATCCTCACCATGGGAGAAGGATATCATAATTTTCATCATCAATTCCCCATGGACTATAGAAATGCATTCCGCTGGTACCAATATGACCCGACGAAGTGGTTCATCGCCATATGTAACCTTATAGGTCTGGCAGCCAATCTGCGGGTATTCCCCAGTAACGAGATTGACAAGGGCGTATTGACAATGAAGCTCAAGGATCTGAAGCGAGAACAAGATCGGCTGAAATGGCCTGTCACAACTAAGAAGTTACCAGTGGTGACATGGGAAACATGTTCGTGAATTCGCTGCAGCATTACACTTGTCGTATCGAACTGATGATGCTTTGTTGCTACTAGTCCAGAAGGAGGCTGAGAAGTGTCCGCTTTTGCTGATATCTGGGTTCATACACGATGTTTCATTGTTTGTGGACCAGCATCCTGGGGGCCGCAGTGCGCTAGAAAAGAACTCTGGGAGGGACATGACTGCTGCGTTCTTCGGAGGGGTCTACTCCCACTCACACGCCGCGCATAACGTAGGCGACGTCACTTCTTGTTGATATCTGCACTCACTCATAGAGTTTCTTTGTAGTTGCTGTCTATGATGCGAGTAGGCGTTCTTGATGGAGGTGTCGAGTACATCTCATCGTGTGACCAACCCAGCGCGTCGAATCCAGGTCCTCAGCCTCAGCCTAATCCGCGACCTACTACTAGTCCATCAGTCTCAGCCTCAACATTACATGCGATACCGCCATCGCAGAGACTGTTCATCGCCGAGCGGACATCGCTGCCATGATTGATCGCCTGTCCTTTCATTTTATACATAGAAGTACCTCTTAGTGTAAGTATGGATATTTTATATGGCTGTCTTTTCATACGGGTCCCGCTTTGCCCGACAGTATGAATTAAACACATTCTAGTACTAGTCGCTCGCTTCCTCTTTATCTTGTTGTCTCTCACCATCTCCGTGGAATAACTGAGTAAGTGCTTCCGAGAGACCGTTCACTAGCGTCCACGCAGATCATTCAATTCTATAGCTAAAGGGCCCCATTTACTGCGTACGTGGAATTCAGTGGTATACACTCATCATTTATTGAAGCACTGTAGATAGCATAGGTCCTTTCAATGTCTGCCGGTTATGCTCGGATCGACGCTCCGAGGACAGTCTTGCTAAGCGCCGCGCTGGTTTACCGATAAAGGGAATCCCATCTCCATTTTGGGTTGCGCATAGTACCCAAGTCCCCCCTACGAACTCTCCAAAGCGTGCTCGGGGAATGAAAACACCGGTAGAATGGTGGGGCTCTGGGACATATATAAAGCAGCGCGTCTCATTCCAACCCCCCATCGCCTCTTTCCCCCGAACCCCCACCATCTCTCACCGCCTCTAGACGCGTCGAGCGAGCACGTCGACAACATGCGTCTCGCACCCACATTCCTTCTCATCTCGCTCTTTTCTCTCATTCTTCCGTCCATAGCATCCTCCTTGGACAACAATCACAACCCACGCGCGTCGCGAACGATTGCTGCTCGTCAGCATCGCCCCAAGCGCACTCTTCTCGGTACGCGTTATCAACGACGTTTCTCGGCTTTGCTAATCGATTACTCGTAGATCTATGCGCATATGTCGACCTTTCGGTTCTCCAGCTCCTTGGCATTGACCTCGACTTGAAGCTATGCCTTTGTCTCTCAGCACTTCCATTGACCCTTCAAACCAACCTACAACTCAAGGCCCTTGTTCGTCTACTTGGGGAGGACGGTGCATTGAAACTCCTGACGTCCCTCGTAAGTGACCACCTACGTCATCGATTCAGACTTGGCTAAAGCGTGTAAACGCGTAGATCACGGGCTTGGGGCAACAGTGTCATTATCCACCTCACGCAAAGCCCATCTGCGACAACCATTGTGGCTTTGAATGCACAGACGGCTACAAAAAGGTTGGTAAGACCTGCGTCTGTGCTCCGCCAATGGTTGAATGCCGCGGCAAGTGCGCTCTGGTATGTGTATGCTTTCCAATTCGGCGCATATATTAATCGAATTCGTCGTTTCTCATCAGTCCTGCCCGTCTGCAACTCCTTTGGCCAACACTAAACGGACCACCGAAGCCGGAAACTCTGGACCTGTCCGTTCCGTTTCGACACGTATGGTTAAAAAGCGACACAATTGTAGGTTCATCGCCGTCAATTTCAGACCTAAACTCACCATTACCTGACAATGACACTGTAGCCCCCCGACCACACCCCCGCCATGTACTGCAGCCTCGCCACTCTTCGGGGCTCCTCTCTGGTCTGAATACTGTGATCGACCTTGGCGGCGGTTCAATGCATCACGGGGCTCCATCCGATGGCACTACGTTGGCAATAATCCACGCTACGAAGGAATTGATCGATTACACCAACGAACTCTACGCAGGTCTTGCCACTATTATAGCCAGCCCTGGAGACAATTCGTCCACAGTCTTGATCAAATCAACAATTGCGGTAAACTCCCAAGTATTGATGGCTGCCGTTGCAAACCTCCTCGATGCCACCACATCCACAGACGATCTGATTACCTACGCCAATGCCGTCGTTCGTGCAGACAAATTGGTCGCAACCTCCCTTGCAGCGCTATCCGGGCATGAATCGTGGTTAACTCTCACGAAAAACATCCTCGACGCAACACTTGCCTTGCTGAGTCTATGTGATTCCAACTCCAACCCTCTCCCTCCTACTCCCCCTGCTCCGACTACGACCGTCGCTTCACCGCATCCTACTGCCGCGCCTGTATCTTCAAATGATCCCATCTTCGTTGATTTGCATCCTTTGCTTACCGAGCTGGGCCTAGGCGGTATCTGGCTCCCTATCTGGCTTGACCTCGATGGGCTTCTTGGTACCACTGGTCTCAACGAACTCATCAACGATCTGTTAGCATCGCTCAATCTTGGCGGGACGCTAGCCAAGCCTGTCCCTGGAGGGAGCCCACCCCCTACCCCAGCATCAGGAACGCTACTTGGACTCGACCTCAACGCCCTGATTACCTCGCTGCTCGATCTCGATCTCGATTCTACTCTAGCGAGTCTTGGGGATTTAGGCGCAGTCACAAACTATGATGATCTCGTAGCATGGACTGTCGCTCTTAGCGAGGCCTTGCTCGCATTGACGCTGGATGCTACCAACAATGCTCTAAATGACACAGTCAAATTACTCAACGACCTCGAAGGAAGTGACTGTGGGCGCAACAACGACACCATGTCAGCGTTACTGGGGTTGATCAAATCCAGCCTGTTAGGGACATCACCTAATTTGCTCGAAATCAAACTCTGAATGAATCAAGGTGAGAGGATTTCTGCCACTGTTTTGCACACCAATTGAACGGTCCCCTAGATATCGCCTTGGGTCTGTTGTCTACTATTTCCTCTTTCGTCGATTTTTCTTTGTCGTGTTTTATTCGTTACCTCTACCTCCAGATCCCCCGTTTTCTGTGATACTTCCCCTAAGAGACAATTCTTCACCCCTTTCGTGCGCCTGTATAAATGAAATATATCCCCCTACATTTGTTCCCATTTTGCCGAGCCTAGGAACCCTTACGCTTCCTTCGTGATTCAGGATGTCGGGTTTCTTTTAAGTAGATCTCAAACCCGGACGTGAATCACTTTTACGACGATGCATGGATGCAATTATCGATGGAAGTTCATGCGAGGTTCCCTTTTTGGCTGACGACGCATTGGTTTGTCTCCCGCCAGCCCGGCGCCGTTGACGTAGAGGCACTGACGGTTCTTAAACAAAGGATGTGATAATGTGCACCAGTCGCTGATACTGTAGGTACACGTGCATCAATTATATGTGTTTAATTGATCACTAAACTATACGCGGAGCTATTGGATGAAGGATCAGTTAGTGACGTGACATGTAAGGGAGCCAAGGACACTGACGTAGTCAATGTAGCTGAACCAGATGTTGGTTCAGTCCCTGCTTGAGCCGTCTTCAGGTACTGCGAAGAGCTGACGCCTTGGCTGGAAGTTAAAAACTAAAATAAAACGGAAGGAGAAAGAGTTCAACGATCAGGACTCTGCAACGGGGAGATTGCGGAGGACCTTGAGGAAAGCATTGATGTCACCGCTGAAGTTCGTAATAACAGCATTGTTGGTGGGGAGGAACGAGTAGACATTGTTAGCACCGTTGGAGCCGAAGTAGAGGTTCCTGAGGGACGTGGCATTGCGTCAGTGGGATGCGCCAGTGCATAGAATATATATACCAAGTATGTCCAGCGATCGAGACGTTGCTAGCGGTCGGTTTGGGAGTACCGTCAGAGTTGTATTGGGCAGAAATGGGGCCGGCATTTAGGTTAGCGAGCCAGATCATGATTTCGTTCTCGTTGTTTCCGGTAGGAGTGCTTGCGGTGAAGAGGTCGTAGGCGACGTTACCAACAACGTTTCCAGAGGTGGACTGCGACCAACTCCATGTAGACTAGATTGAAGAGAATCCGTCAAATTTATACTGTCGAAGGGAGAGCTAATGTTGTTATGCATACAGGAATGCTGCTGATGGCAGAGAGCTGTTTACCGGCGTTTTGGTTCTGCTGGATGTTTGAATAGCTCTTGACACCGTTGCCTCCCGTCCATGTCCATGTGGTCTTCCAAGCGATGGTAGATCCGCTCAAAGACACGAGATTACCACATTGAGAGCCGGACGACGCGCCGCCTGCTCCCCAGAGGTTCTGGAAGAATGTGTAAGTACCAGCATTGACGGTGTCCCATTGGCCGCAGTGAGTAGAGGTGTCGATGGATTGGCGGGCTTCGAGGATGTTGTTGGGGGATGTGGGCGCTGCAAGAGCGAAAGGTAGCAGGAGGAACACGGCGATAGACTTGGAGAACATCATTGCAGGGTTACAGAACGGGGCGAATTACAGCGGTTGAACGTTGAACAATTACTCCAATAAAATGAACCTTTAAGCCTTATATATTCTCCCTCGAGTCGAGTATCCGAGGCTTTCCCCGCCAATTTGGATGACACAGCGTCATAGTCCGCAGCGGGAGTTCGTGCGTTCCAAACGGCAGATAATGGCAATTGCAGGCAAAGCCAGATGTTCAACGCGGAAAAACGGAGCCACATTTTCGTCGTTTAGCTGGGGGATATAACTGCGAAACGACAATCAGCGAGGCCCGTCTTGGAGCTATCGGACTAATTGACCATGTCAGGATGCGCGTTGGAGCGGTCCGTGGGCGGTCCACCGCAAACCGTTGCTATTGAGAAGCACACCGGGGGTCGTCGTCTGGCGGCTGGCGTCGGGTAGGGTGCATCACGGGATATTGAGGAGCATGGTGCCAGAGAACACCACAGATCATGAGGCAAGAGTATATGAAGGTGATGCGGAAATCAAGGTCGGGAAGATAGCCGTGGGCCATTGAGGTGTAAAAGGTAGTATTCGCAGGAATTTCGGAGAATTCTGGCGCGTAGCGAAAAAGAACCGGCCAAGGTGTTGCGTGATATGGGGGGGCATGGTGGTCATCTTGGACATATTCATATTGTCCGTAAGGCGTCGCCGGCGTACTACTGACAAAAATGAAATCAACATTAGTGCTGTCGGAAAATATTTATGAGAGTTATGGGTCGAGCCTATGATGTGTCTGTAACGATGGTGAATCGTGATTCTGTAATATCTGACGAGGGCGATGGTCGCTCCATCGGAGTTCAACCAGGAAGGAGGAAATATTTGGTTTCCCAGGCCTGACCCTAACCTCTTTCCACCGTTTCCTCACTCGTCGTATGCGAGCCTATGGCACGGTGAAAAGCCAACGGAAAAAGAGATGCAGCATTAAAGCGCAAAGCAAATAAACGCGCAGAACGCGAACGTCTCGCTAGGGAGTCCGCTTTGCTCGTTGAAGTCGAAAGAGAAGCCGACAATAGAGACGCGGACTACCAACCACCATTGGAACTTGAAGAAGACGAAAAATCGTCGGAAGAATCCGATGATGTAGAATGCGCACGTACAAGTACGGTTGGTGGATTGCTGAGCCCCCTGGGCCATTTGATTTCTATTGTACTGATTTAATAGTTAGCAGCAACTCAAGCGCAAACTCAGCGGCACACCCACTGCGACTGGTACCCCTGCTGTGGGTGTAATAGAAGAGCAAGCCGGCGTTGAAGTAGGAAGCGCGAAGAAAAGATCCCGAACGAGCGTATGGCGCGACCGGAAAGGTAAAACGAGGAAGGCACGCGCGATGAATATGCAACCTAGCGTTGCCTCGTTGTTCAAAACACTGGTATGATCATCATGTTTTGCCAGCGAATACACATCATATTGTTGGCTATCTCACTAATTTGTTGTGCCAGCCTTGTAATAAACACACCACTATCAACGTGGATGTGATGGCTCTTAGGGAAGAAAGCGAGGAATCTAGCGGAGGAGAGACCGAAGACACTGTAAGAGCGCGTTTCCCAGAGCCACATCCCGCTAAATAGTTTGCGGTATATATTAGACAGCATCCGAGCATAACGTATGGGCGTTGGCTTCGCCCACCCTCGTCATGAACACATGCAATGCAAGTTGCCAAATCAAACCGTCTACCGCCTCGGCAGTCGCGGGCCCTGCCGTTACTGTACTGGACTTTAAAGCATGAAGCCTACCCATAGAAGAGGGCAGGAATAGTCCTACATGCACCACGACCCTTGGTGCACGACGTTCCTGGTTTCAATGACAATCCGGGCGGCAAGCAACCTGTGAAGTGTCAATATTTCGCTCGACAAGAAGCTCGTTAGATTCAAAGTTTTGGAGACCGACGTCTTCATGCGTAGACATAAAAGGAATATGTTCTTCTACATTGTGTATACAACGTTCGTCTAAGTCCTGACGAATGCTTACTCGCCGAAATGCTTCATCTCACCCCCTTTTCTTTGCTTTTCCCCCTGATGGGTCCCTTCAGGGGCTACGGTCGCGGCCTGCTCGAAGTTACTCTTCTCTCGCCCAACTGCATGTGTCTCCTCAAACGTCTTGGGGCCCGGAGATTTATCATCATACGGGTCGAATTTGGCCTGTCGGAAGGATGCGTCCATTGAACATGCCTGCGAATACGGAAGTGAGACTAGGACTTACCTCTCGTTCCATTTGCTCACGCTTCAGCTCACCCGTCCGTCGTTTCTTTCCCTGATAAAACACGTCATTAACATTAAACGACGATTCAGTGCGGGCGTGTTGGTGAACGAACCTCTTCGACCATCCCCGGATTGTGCGTGACTTTCCCCTTCATTTCTTCCTTCACGCCAGTCCATTTCTCCGCCATTGTCTACAAAAAACAACGCACATAAGAATCAGCCCTATTTCGTTCTCTGCGATCAAAGATTTAACTGCGACGTACGCTCTCTTGCGTAAAGTTCGGCCCAACTCCGACGGCGCCGCTGTGGCGCTGTTCGGGATAAGGCTCGTTGCCAAATCCGCCGTCACCTGGGGCATCGTTGTTGCTAACAGCAGCCTCCGAGTGCGGCTCGCTCGCTGAGGAAGACGCCCCCGTTCGCGGTGTCACGTTATTGCCGATAGCTGAAGGATGGACGTCGGCGCCAGACATTGCGATGGACTATAAAGGCGGGTTCTGTTATTGTTGAGAGGTTTTCGGGGGTATTGTTTTGATAATGTCTTCTGTTCATTGAACCCTTTTATATGTTATCGCCCTACCCAGTGGATAATGACGTCGAACTAACATAAGTTATTGGAGGCTTCTATAAATAAATTGGTAGTTCCCCATCATATTTATAGAATTTCAATTTAGGACCATGCTGCGCAGCACGCCCCGGACTGGCGGTACAAGTACCTTTGAAAGGGGACGCCCCTGATAGCTCCTAATAGTGTACTTCGACGACCATTATGCCAGTCCACCCAACCTAACAGCGAATAAAAGTTACCAAGTGGTAAGATACATTGTATGTGGTCTCATAAGCAATACCGAGGAGAAAGGCGATGGTATCAAGACTTCCGTTCTATACGCGAGCGCATGAACGTTCCTTCTCCCCTTCCAGGAGAATATCCCCGGATTGTAAATTCGATGGATAGAACACCCTCTTTCAACGATAGTTCAAATGCATCCTCAAGCCTTGCCACCTCTGCCGATCCGACCGAGGCACTGAACATCCAGGCTATCACAGCGCAAAAATCTAGCTCGACATTGATCTGAATACGCTCCACTTTATGATTCTTGTAGAAACGGTGGAGGACACGCGATAACGGCGCGTAGTCTGGGAAGTGGAGAGGGTCGGTCTCTGAGATGCAGAAACGGATGTGCAGTGAGAGCTGGCGAAGATGGTCGGGAGCGGGGATGCTATTCAAGCAGTTTGCGATCCAAGTGCTGTACTCGCGTGACTCAGGATCCACTGTCATTTTTATCACCAACTCGAAGGGGCATATTGCCCTTTTGAAGACCGGAATGGCGCGAGAGGGCGTGACTACAGTCGTGGTGACGGAATCAATTTGCGTGAACAGTAGAGAAGACATCAGTAGGCATACCGTTACATAGAGTGAGCTTGGATAGCCTGCTCGTTGCAATCCACGATGGAAAGGGCCAGTCGTTGACAGAACATGTCTTCAGATTCGGGCAGACGATGACCTGCCCCGGGCCGTAGAAAATGTCCTTGTAGTCGTATACCTCCAGGTTACGGAGCTCCTCGAGATGGGCAGGGCCAATAGATGGAGATCCCCTCACCATCATCTTGATATTTTTAAGCGATAAGCTTTCCAAGGTGGTGGGGCAGCTGCATTCGAGCAAGCTGAGAAGGCAGTCGGGAGTTTGGAACACCCAGTGATGTAAATAGAACTCCCGAAGACGAGCATTGGTGAGCAGATGGAGGATTCCGCTGTACACCTCCCCGTAACAGATGCAGTATCCATCCTCATGATTCACAAGGTGCAACACGGTCAGATTCTCGAATCTGTCGAAGCACTCTGATAGCCAACCGTGGATACGAGGAACGCTCAAGTTGAAATCATTCTCGAACGATATGTCGGCCTCTTTGACGTATTGGGTGAGGTGGCGGGCTTTGTCGCGAAAGAAACAAAGGCGAGAGATCAAGAAAAATCTCTTCTTGAAGGAGATCTTGCGAAAGATGACATGCCTGCATATGTCGTTCCATGCGCGACACACGAGGGAGCAAGCAGCAAGCAAGGATCTGCGATCTTCCTCGTCGGCGCGAAAGTCTCCGCCGTGGACATCAATAGCCTCGATGAGATAGTGAATTACGTCGAGGGGAAGCTGAATGGTGGTGGATATCGCATGATGAGGCTGGTTGTTGAAATCAGCGCTTGTATCTAGAGATAACATATATTCTACGCGACTTGCTGATGAGCTGGATTCTATAAATGGATGATAGTGGTGAGGATATCTGCGAGTTACCTGGGACTGGAAAGCGAAGGCCAGTCGATCTCGTCTTGCGGCGATTTGATTGCAGTTACTCGAAAGTTGTGATAAATCTGGTTCCCCGCTGGTTCGGGGATGCTTTCACGCTCGAAGTTCACGTGATCGTGACTCCTAAGCAAATGCTCCTTCTCCTTTCTCCTATGTATTCAGCCTGACGTGCAAGTCCCTCAGCCGCTGGGCTGAGCGTTGTGGATCGAAAAAGTTTCGGGGAATTATTATATGTTAGCTGCTACTGTAGTCGCACTCCTTGGCAGTTGTTATGAGGATGATAATGTACGGTGTCTAGTTTAGGTTGTTCAACTCGGCCTGCCTCTTCTGAAGTTCTTCACGGCTCTGTGTAGCGGAAACATTGTCAGATCTCAACCTAAGTTCGAAGCACGACATGAGGCTCACAAGAGGTTGCTCTAGACTGTTCAAAATCTCCTGGTTCGGAATTTGCGGGCCAGTGGCATGGTGAGCTGCTATGCCAGCATTGGCCAAGAAGCCAACCGATGGCTTCAAATCGTTCGGATCGTTGGTTTTCTGGCGGTAATCAATCAGCTAAGCTGTTCGGAGTGATAATCGGATCACATACAGCAGGATGGGGCTGGATGGTAAATTGCTGCTCTTTCGAGCCTTGGACAGCATTACTATTAGCGTTCTGCCCATCATTGCTCCAGATAGAGGCCTCCGCCTCTTGAGAAAGGGCCTTGGCCTGAGCGTCGCTGATGAATCCAGCCATAATATTGATACTGATGATGATAGTGGGTGTGTGTGGGGGAGATGATGGGAAAACCTTTGCGCCCGTGAGTGCACCCTTATATATCATCAATTGAAATATTGCTGTGCTCCCGCAGTATGAGTAAGGCGCGATCTGAGCTCCGGTACAGGTCTAGAGGCTGACGTCAGGTTCGACAGGATCCTTGTAGCTCCTGTTATGCAACTCCAGCATTACCGGGAAACTTGGGCGCACCATGGGAGTCAGAAAGGGGCTCCACTGATCCTCCAGGAGGTACTTTATCCCACTTGGTTGATTGGGCTTTGGCTGTAAGATCTGACCGTAAAGGGAACTGGCGATTAAATATCCGTATTCAGATTTTCATGGTACAGATGATAACGTATACATCAGAAGGAGCTCTCAGCGATCCGAAATAGGACACGGTAGTAGGGCAGGTATAGATTGATTTACTTCGAGAGCATCATCTGTTCACGAGGAGTTAGCGGGGGACTTTTTTGAATGGAGGATAAAGCCTACCTTGACGAATTCTGTGATGGAGAACGGCGGTGAAGGTGAGGATTGTTGTCAAGAGGGGTCAGCGAGCACGCACCTTCGTAGTTAATTTGCCCATCGCCGTCAACATCAGCTTCACGGATCATCTCATCCACCTCATTATCGGTCAACTTCTCGCCTGTTCATCCGCAAACATCAGTAAAGCACTTTGTTGCAACCCAAACGAAAGCACCGACCCAAATTTGTCATAACATGCCTGAGCTCAGCAGCGCTGATGTACCCGTTCCCATCCTTATCGAACACCTTGAACGCCTCCTTGATCTCCTCCTCGCTGTCCGTGTCACGCATCTTTCGCGCCATCATTGTGAGGAATTCAGGGAAATCAATCGTGCCGTTGCCGTCTGCGTCGACTTCGTTGATCATGTCCTGCAATTCGGCTTCGGTGGGGTTCTGCCCCAGCGAGCGCATGACGGTTCCGAGCTCTTTGGTGGTGATGGTGCCATCTCCGTCTATTTCAATCCGTCAGTACGGATCGACGCGATGAGTTGCGCCCGTGTCGCGCGCAAAGTGAGAGCGCCAAGATGGCCAAGCTGTTGCCTCACTCACCTTTATCGAAAAGTGAGAAGGCCTCCTTGAATTCTGCACATCACAACTGCGTCAGTAACCTCCTCGTAGAGATGAAACTGTTCTCGTAATAACATACCAGAGATTTGTTCTAAGTGGGTTCGATTCGATTAAAAGCGATTGGCTATTGAGCAATCGCACGAAGATCGAGGCAAGGTAAAGTCTTACCTTCGGACTGAAAACCCGCAACTTTTCAGCACATCACAAGATCGAGGAGAATACATGAGTAGACGACTCACCAGTTGGTCGGCCATGGTAGTTCAGAGTGTTTCTTGTCGAGAGGCCAACTGATCTTATACTCGCCACAGGGCTTAGGGGATCAGGCAATCGCCGTTTGGGCTGTACAAATCAGGACAGCCCCTGAACCCATCCCTGACAGCGGCCTAAAATGTCCAAAACGCGAGCAGCGTCGACGGAATTTCAAGTACAACAGAATCGACCAGGGTGAACAACAATTTACATCACCCCAGGTGCTAGATAGGGTAAAGATACAAATCAAAAAGTAACATGAAAACGAAGAAATAGAACATATTGTACATATAGATTATTTGCTCTCAACCAAAGGATCGCGTCCTGGGACTAATACCCCTCGTCTTCTTCCTTCACACATCCAGAGGAAGTAAGCGTTCCGCGAACCCACTTCTTCAGTACTTGACCGCCAGGGATATCAAGTACATCAGCGCTCGGTCGAGGCTTGAAACTCTCCCTTCGTAACTTCTGCACCTTCTGCGCCATAGCCTCTGATGGCATCCCGCTGCCGTATCGCTGTGCTTGGCTGTTCGCGTAGGTGCCAGAAGTGCTTCTCCCTGCGGAGTACCCGCTTGTACTTCGGCTCGCCGTACTTGGGTGTCCAGATGGTACCCGCCCATGCCCGAGCGAATGATGTTGGGTGCCTACTCGCGGCACAGGCATAGCCAGCGCTGGGGGCGCCTGCCTAGGGAGAGACGACTTCCCAGGGATCTTCGTAGGCGATACCGACCTCCCACTCTTGCTCACCGTTCGCGATTGTGCACGGTGATCTTGCAAAGGCATTGGCATTCTACCCCCACTGGCTCCCATTGCTGGTGTACGTCCATTCTCGTTCAACCTCGGCCGTTTATTCGAGCTCTCTGGTTGCCCGTTACTCATGCTGGATGCAGATCGAACGGCAGGTGTAACGACGCCGCGGTGACCGGAGGTACCACTAGGTGTCTTTGCCCGAGTTATTGACGCGCCGTGGTTGCTGGTTGAACCAGAACCAGAGCGCGAGTGCGTCATCTTGTTCTTCTTAGCGGCGTTCTCTTGATCGGCAGCGCTGACAGTCTCCATGAGAATTTGCAGGACACTTTCTCCATGAACGAGGAACGGTCGGCCATTCTCCAGTTCCCAAGAAGGTATAGAGGCTAGGAGATCTTGTTCGAGCTAATAACAAGAGAATCAGCGTCTGTTCGAATGAGGTGGACATAAATGCATGCGTACGCGAGGTTTTTCCTTCTTAACTCGCCGTCTCATCTTCTCCTCTCTCAGCAGCCGGCCTGGGTCGCGGCTACCACCCGTCCCACGTCCAAGCAAACGGCTCTGATCTGAGGCGGCTGCAGCTAGCTCCTTTTCTTCTTCGCAGATCTCGAAATACTTCTTGATACTCGCGAGTAGCGGCGCCTTCTGCCTACGCTCATCTTTCAGTCGTTGTATTTCGGATTCATGAATAGAAAGCAGTTCCTCCGAGAATTCATCTATAATAAGTTAGGTAACGATACTCGAGACTAGCGCAATTATTACTCACCGTCGGCGAAGGGTGCGAAGTCTCTGCGTTCGTCCTCCCCCACCATAATGTCCTCCCAAAGTTTCCAGATTTCTTCTCTGGCGTTGGCCACGAACTCCCCCATACGCTCTCTCTTGACATCTAGCATTCTCTCTAATTCTTCTTCGTACGCACGGACACATTCGTCCGTGCTCCCTCGATTAACCTCAACAAACGCGTCCATATCCTCTTCAGCCACACCCAGTCTCCGCCACAATACTTCTAGCTGGTCATACATGGCCTGGATATGAGTCTCCCGGCGTCGTTTGTTCTCCGAGAGCGAAGAAAGTAGATTGTTGGCCCAAGAAAGGAGAGATAATGTAGGTTCGACGCCATCTAACCCAACTGTTGGACTGGGGGTGGAGTCGCAGCCAGCTGAAACACTGATGAAACGAGATAAGATGGCTAAGTATTCTCCGTCGTCATCTGGTGCTGCAAAAAGCAGAGCACCGGCTCGGGAGCGGCTAGCGGGCGTCGGAGTAGAAGTGGAAGCAGATAGAAAGGGATCGCTGTTACTTGAGGATGCCACGGATTGATCTTCAGGAGACGGCGGAGCCATCCCGAGCTCTGTATATAGCCAGTCAATTTGGGCAAAGGTTTCGCATAGTTGCGAAAGGCGTTTAGACTAGATAGAGGCGTCATGAACAGTCAACCTCGTTACAGCAGGATTTCTGTGCTTACCACCTCAGCCTTCCCCTTGACCAGTTCTTTTTCTAGTTTCAGAAAGCGCTCCGGTGTTACATCGACCGGGGGTTCGTCGTTGATTAACAGGACATCAGGCGTGTAGAAAGTTGGGCCAAGCGTGCGCATGAGGGCGTTGATTCGATTGGTGAGAGTCGTTAGCTGCTCTAGCTTGGTGTGGTATAGCTGCACAAACAGTAAGCCTCCGGTTGTAAACCGACGAAACTAGCCAGCAGATATGGGACTTAGACCAGCCAGCCTCAGCGTTGCCTCGACCATCTTGACGCGAAACTGGCTCCGTCGAGGTCCCGCATGTTGACTTCGTATATGAACTCACCTGTCGTAACTTCTCCTGATGCTCCGAAACCAATTCAAACCGCCGTGGCAACACCTGCTCCTTTCTAAGTTCACCCAGTGTAGTACCGGTGGCCTTGATGTTCCCGCCCAGCGATTTACAGTACTTCAAACATTCACTTTCTACGCCATCACATTTAACCATCCAGTCGTCTACTTCCTTGCGGCGGCCCTCGACCTGCGATTCGACGCTTTGAATGAGATGATCCTTCAGTGCATTGAGTTCGTCTTGGAGTGCCGATGGTGGAAGGCCAAGTTGTGCATGCAGGGTAGGAAGTATTCGCGTTTGTGTTTGAAGATGCGTATGCAACGAGTCCAAAAGAGCGGTCAATGAAGCCATTGTCGTGGAACAATTCCACGGAACAGTGGCAGATGGTGGTTGAAACCGAAGTCGCGCGCCATTCAACTTAGACACGTGACCAAGTTGCTCAATGTTTGGCTGCTGCCACTGGACCAATCAACGTCTACTTACTTCATTGTTCCTCTTCTCACCAAGCTTAAGCATGGTGTTGTATTTCTAGCCTCTAGCATCGCAGAAGCTATGTCTGTCTAGTCAACCTCGTCGCTTCAAAACAATGGCTTTAAAAATACTAGAAACTCGCGAAATCCAGTTTTAATGCGAGTCACACGAATTTTGGCACGCAATCGACATCCTTACCATCAATGCCATCGATGCTCATTGCGATGTAGGTTGCATACGCCACGGATACTATCTCAGAAGCTGAATCTTGTATGTTCAGGCACCAGATTTTCTCTACAGGCTCTGATCGTCGCCGAGCCTGGTAGTGGAGACTGCCACTCGAGAACGCGACGTATTACCTTGTGTCAAGGTAGGGTTCGCGTCATTTGGGACAACAAGAACGCTAGCGCCTTGCGGACGGGATCGGTGGCGGCCGCTTGTCTCAACACTCGTTACTGCTCCATGTCCCCGACAAGCCCACTGGTCCTTCTATAATGTTGTTGGACAATCCCCAAGATTCGCTTGAGATCTTCTCCAATTCTGACCATGACGAACGAGGTATTCCGTTCGAATCGCCACGATTTTCGGATACTGTCCGCGAACTGATTCATGCGGTTCGAGTAGCTCCTACGCTCGTTATTCTTGGGTCCCGGGTTTCCCATCGATGCATCAGTTTTGGAAGATCAAACCAATCCCTTATTTCAGCCTGCTCCTTCCTATCTTCCTTCTGTCATCTTTGGACTCAGAAGACGGGAATCCTAAACTTGCGGACTCCTGCTTATACCCGTGCGATGGCATATGGTCCCTCGATGCAACCGGCCCCAGATTCCACTACGTTTCCAGTCGATACCTCTAACAACTTGAGTCAGTCTTAGATTATCACCAGATCATGCTTCTACATGCTCCAAGCCCATGAAACAACAGCAAAGCGGTACTTCTATTACTCGGGAACCAGCACAGCCTAGTTAGGTGATCGTGTAATGTTGATGGGGTATCATAAGAATGCCTGAACAAGTCAAATATAGGGATAAATCGTGAGTACTTGAGTCGTAAGTCATGGTTGTGCCAGAGTCCGCGTCTAATGTATTCGTCCATTCTGTAGCACCGATATTTCGACTGGAGGAGGATGTCCACTGTGCGTGCTTCCATTTAATATGGAGGAGCGATTCACGAGAGCACCCCACTTGGTCCACCAATCGTCGACTATCTCCAAGGCATTATGAGCGAATAATTCCAGCTCCCTCTCGTACTTCCACTGAAGATAATCTTCATCGATCTCATCCCAGTCATCCGATTCCCTCTTCATCGCCTCTCTCAGACCCGCGTTTCTCGCCATCTGGGCTTCGCCTCTCGGAAGGGTGAAGAATACCCTTTTGCGCCATTCATACTCGATAGTCGCAGCGCAGCGGGGCTGACGGAGCTCTTCGTAGGCAGCCATTATTCGCGGTATTTGGTCATGGTGCCGGATCCGAGAGAAGAGTCTGCCGAGCGTCGCTGCGTCTTCTATGGCCATAGAGGCATTATGTGAACTATTTGGCTACAAGATTCACGTTAATGGAGTACACCGTGTTTGCAAACTCCAATGCGCACCATCATTGGATGAGCAGCTTCCCCCACCAAGACAATCCCAGAGCTATCGGACACATAGTTGTCGAACGGCTGTCGTATTGTGTGCGCCGTTGGTATAACTTCCTTCGCTAATAAAAACATCTTCCGCAACCTGTCTTAAATCAGAGGAGTTTCGTCATTGCACTCAGAAACGACGGCTGACCTCGGCTCGAATTGATCCATGTCAATGTCAAGTTCATCAACTCGACATCTGGTGCGCCAGGTTTCTTGGCAGTTTGCGAGTTGGCCCTTGCGGGGAACGAAAGCGTTGATGTTGTATCCTTGCTTTGAATGCTAGACAAGGGAGCTCAGCCTGAGACGGTCTCCGTCAATATTTAATAAGCTCTCACAATTGATGAGCCGTGGACGAAGAAGTTGTCCCCCAACCACAGAGTCCACTGCAGTGCACACCGTCATTACACGCGACCAGTTTGCAGATTCGCAAAGCGACGAACGTACCTGGGTCGTTAATAATGGTTTCAGGTCATCATGAGCCTCCATGACTTCCCCAGGTATCACCATACTACGAAGAACATCAGAGACAGGCCCAGTGCGTATATGGACTAGAACTTACATGAGAGCCAAGTGCTTGTCCTGTATCCCCTCTTCATAGTCAGGATTCATGAACGACTTGCGCACGATGCTTTCATGTCCATCGGCCCCCACAATGACATCGGCGCTGCGAACTTGCCCATCTTCCAAGTGAACAGCGACAGCATCTGGGTCAACCTTTGTGACCTTCATGCTGTATTTGAACTCCACTCCCGCTCGAAGCGCGGCATCGAACAAGATGCGCCGTAGATCGCCATGCTAGAAGACCCTCAAGCTTAGCAAATAGTTCTAGGGACCGGGAGGGCTTATTGCAGCTAGCACCTACTTGCATGAAGAGGAAATCCGCCATGAGATCCGCCATCATTTGCTCATGCATCCTCACTAATCCCAAAGGCTCTCCTGTCTCCCCTGGTTTCCGCAGTTAGATATCGCTCCACAAGCTAAAGGCGACCTCACCATCGAAGAAATCGTACTCGGTGCACTTCACCCCGACTTTATCCAGGAGCGGACGTAGACCCCAGTCATTTAGTATTCGGGTCATGTTCGGAGGTGCCCGAATACCCCCAAAGCACTACGCATCCCACTTCAGAACCCTGGACGCAAGCAGCACTGAACAGGAGGTACTCACCCTTTCTGTTCCATCACTTTGTTCAAGAATTTCCACATAGTGGCCACCCATTCGGAGGGCATATCCAGCCGCTAAGCCCGCAATACTTCCCCCGATTATAATGAATTTTAGGGGCAGGGTACCCGATCGAGGCTTCAGGAGTTCTCCAGGCATGTCTCGCCAGTTGTGATATTCCACGCAGGGCCCTCAGGGCAGATTATACTTTTGGCTAGCGAGCGCAGCGAACGTGAAGGCAAACAGAACACCGAGGTAGATGCCTAACGTATATATATGTACGTGGAATGACAAAGGATCCCATGATGCACGGCCATCACATCAGCATGATTGAGATGAATTCTTTTGATCGTAGGACGGCTTAGCCACGCTGGCTGTATTGGAACTTGGCGTGGCTCTTGTCGAAAACCCGCCGGTAGGCTTTGCCTACCGAGCGCCACAAACCCGCCCCTACTCCTCTACTCAAAGGAAAGACCGAAGCAAGTCCAACGAGTCTCTCCGACACATCGTTTAAGAGGCCTCTTGCAGACCAACGTGGCGGACGCAGTGTTGCGGTAGCCATGAGAACCTCGCTGATTTCCTCTGTTCTCACCGCATGGAGAAAGAGCGATTGTAATACAACTTGACCCAAGCGACACGCAAGAGGAGCGCACAGGAAAGCGGCCGCTGTGACCTTCTTTGATGAGGCGAGAGTACGGCATTGGCCTGCCAGCGTGGCTTGCCCAAGATAATCATAATAATAGCTGCCCGTAGTCGTCCGGCGTGAGATTCTCCGAGGAAAGGAATGATGTACTTGACGGCTGGACCGCAAGGCACGCGGTCCTCAATGCCATGCAGACCTTTACTTATAAGGAACCGCGCTGAATGTGGGGTAAGCCTTCGTGGCGTCCGAAGGTACCGACGGCCCTGCACGACGACTTCCAACTATGTCATTAGTGTCTACTGGATGCGACATTTCAAAGCAATTATTATATGGCAGAAATAAAGTAGTCAAGAAATGGATCAGCAGACCCACCACAGCTTCGTGAGTACAAGTCCGAGCATGGATGTCAATGAGTTATGTGATGTTAGAACCTTTTCTTTTGACAAGCGAACTTCTTGCTAGAATCTGGCAGGCCGCTCCTGCGAACACGACCACCTGGGCGCAAGTATCAGAAACAGACGTGGGATTCCTGAAATCAGAAACGTACCGAAGAGAACACGAATGATCTCCACCATGCATACGTCGGAGGCGACAAGACGGCGCCCGCTATGGGATTCCCAGTCAACAAGGCCAATCCCAAGCTCGACGAGAGTACCCCTATACGAATTCTAGAAAGAAGCGAACATGTTAGAGGCAGGTGTCATGGTAGGTCGACTAATAAGCGTTACCCCAGCTCGGATATATCCTTAGCGAAGAGACTGGCAGCTGGGGTGCAAATAGACACAACTGGATGGGAAGTATGGTTAAACTCGGTCCGAACCGGGGGGAATAATCTCACATCCGCCGGAAAAGAACCCATAGAAGATGGCGAAAGCTATGATTCCACCTGTGGTCGACGCGCCAAACATAGCATAAATCAGCCCACCAGATATGATGGTGGAAGGTATCATGACTGATGAAGTACTGTATTAGCAGGGGATATCGTATTCCATACCTGAAGCCCAACATACCATTGAACGGCCCATACTTGTCAGCCAAGAAGTTGGGAATCGTCCGTCCAAACACCGATGCCGCGTTCATGATCGTTATCTTCCGGGCTGTGAGTGTGATGCTAACCGGCTAACAGGGGGATCTACTTACTGAGTATTTGACAACGGTAGGAGAGACATGGCGCTGAGCGCCGTAGTATTGAAGGTAGAAAACTGCACCAAATCAGATTGCTGGCCCATACGACGTCGAGATCGAGTCATCACGTACACGGGAAGAAGAGGCCCCAGAAGACCAAAAATGACCTGGCGGGTAAAGGATAAGTTCTACTAGCTCAACAAGCTCTTGGAGCCAACTAATAGACCTACCCAGCTACGAAGACCATGTATGGAAGGTCATAGATGATCGTCTTGAATTCTACCGTCTTCCTATCCGGTTTATACTTGCGACTGGGAAGTCTTGTTCTCATAAACAGGTTGGCCATCAATAAGAGGCCAAGGTCGATGAACCCAACGGCCCTGTGTTTGGGCGACATTTAGGTCATCTCCAGGTGCGAGATACAGAAAATAACACACCTTACGCCCCAACCCCAATCGTTTTTGTCGAAGAGGTTATTAAGAAGTATAGGGTATAGACAACCGCCGAGAGAAGAGCCTGAGTAACGTGAAACGGGTTGACATTCAGTCCGTGAGCTCAGAAGACGAAGACGAAGCCGTACCCGCAATTACGACACCCATCGCTAACGACCTTCGTCGGCGAAAGTAGTGGGACGTGATCGTAAGGGAAGGCAAGAACATCAATCCCATCCCAATTCCCATGCCAACTCCTTGAGCTAGGAAATTTTGGTAATAGTTATGAGGCTTCGCCAGAGACAACAAGAACAGCCTGCAAAGGCTTGAGTTACCAGCGAAAGGGCAGGGAACTGGACACCCACGACACGAGATATATCACTGAACCCGAGATGACGGTGTGGTGGAAGTAGCCTTCATCAAACAGCTTCCCAGCTGGTAGTCCCAAGGCGAACAAGAAGAACACCTGAACAGACCCGATCCAGGATATTTCGCTTGGTGTGTGTTCATCCAGGAAGACGCGCTGATCGATTGTGAGCTCAGTGTCGTACGCATAACGGCTTTGAGGCTAACCGTATAGTAATCTTGATAGACGCCAAACGATTGAACCACACCAAACGTGCAGAAGAGGACCATCGACCTTTAGAGGTTACTGACATATAAGCTTAGCTGGTCGTATTTTAGGAAGACGACTCACCCTCCTATGACCGTAAGCCATGCCTGGAGTCCCCCCTCTGGGAACGTAGGTTGACTACTGCTCTGCGTCTGAGTACGAGTCGGGATCGATGCCGTGGACGGCGAACTGCCGACGTCGACTTCCACTGACTTCTTGCCAGCCCTCAAAGGAGCTTTACTTCCCGTGCTTGATAGACCATTATCTTTTTCAAGGTGCGGCGGGGGTGACATGAGTAGCGGCCGCACCGTACAAGCAGAGTACGAGGGAGAGGATTGAGTTCAAGGAACGCATGCACAGTAGGCCCATCTAACAGCTATAGGCTGATCCATAGAAATTTCCCATGCTTAAAATATGGTATAGGCGTAAGTTGGATGGCTCCATCGCCCGGCGTGCTTCTCGCTGCTCCTCACCTGCGAGTCTCCATTGCAAGCCTACAATTTGACTATAAATGCCAGCAATGAAATTGGAGCCGTTGAGTCTATGCTGTGCGAGCAGCGCAGTAATGGAGAACGCACGGCGGCAAGTCTCGCAGAATCATCAGTATTGAAGCCTGTCGTTTGTGGGAGGGAAGCTGGATGCATGGAGATACAGAGGGAGTATCATCAAGCGCCCATAGTCATGAGTTGTTAGGCGCCCATCATTTGTGAGAGCATCGGGCTCAGGCCGAATGGTAGGCTCCTTCTTTTCCTTCTTGATGATTCGTGTTGGTAATGGAGGTGATGGAAAACGACGATATAGGTAACCCACAAACATACTGTGTATGCCAAGGGGATCCTCCCATGAGAATTTCGACTTTTTGTAGGTCCAAATTTAGGCCCAGTGGTCGCAGCTCTGTTTGACCACGCCAACAGCAGGCAGCTGGGTCAAAACCTTACGCAACGATTATGATGAGAACGGAGCGTGGAAATCCCATGAACGTTACTTAACCGGTGCCCAATGGCAAGGATTAGAAACCGACATAAGCCGTGCCCTTCTCTTTACCTTCCCCTTCGGAACGGCGTGGACGAAAGCAGCTATTGCGGATAAAGTATGAACTGGTAGCGATCTGCGAGCGATAACCCGGTGGGATCGATGCGTGGCCATGGGTTCAAACATTATCGGAATGGCCCAACAGGGATCAAAGAACATTGCGATTACCGGAACAAAATGCGCTTGCTCCCCCGAGTTTGTAGTTCGCCACACAAACACTAGCGCGACCCATCTATGATAGGCCCAGTTGCACATCTGTGGGAGAGAACATTCCAATGTTCTTCCAATTCGCAATTCAAGGGAGAAATGCACGCGAAAATCAGATGGACGTTGAAGAGAGTCATATGTCTCGTTATGATGATTATGACGATGGATCTGGCGTTCGTATGTGGCGGTAGTAGCGGACACGTGTACGCCGCATCGCTCACAGTCGCGCAGAGGTTGACGAAGCTTCTTTCTCCAAGATGTCGGCTTAACTGTGATTATAGATGTCAAGCTGGGAAATGCAATACTTGGTGTGTATTTATTCCGAATCACTCGGCCTCCCCTGAAAGAGAACTCATTCTGGTTCAAGTCGCGCTGTGCTCAAAGTCTGATCGCGAACTGAACTCAGGAAGCCAGATCCGTTCTTGCCCCTTCTCACTCCACGTCAGACCAAGCGAAAAATCTTACTTATCTCAGCACGCAAGTGATATTTGCACTGACATAGGCCATTTACGACATGATTCTTTACCAGGTCGCACCCCCGCCCACACCAGTGAGACTGGATCTCACCCCGTTTGACCCACATTAGGCTTGGATCCTACCATTGCCGATGTCCTTTATCAACTAATTTCTCCCTCGGCAGAATTCATCGTCCCTCATGGCGGCCTAAACATTATCTGCATCCATTTCCCTTGTGCTACTGCTTTGTGTATAGCTCGACATGGTTCGTTCATCCTGCGATGGAATCACATCTTTTCCATTGGAGCTTCTCCAGATTACGAAGACAGACAGACGAATCCCTCTCCATCCATGTGTGCCTTTCGATCTGCCTGGTCAAGGATGACTTAAAAAGTGTCCAAACGCACCACCCCCCTCCATCACATTATTCTCCCTCCTCTTTCGCTGACATGGACAACCACCTTCAACAACACCCACTCTTCCAAATCAAGGTGGAGCACCTTGACAAGGATGAACGCGTCTCCCTCTCATACCAACGCGCCAGACTGCTCATGCAAACATATCGTCAGTAGCAACTATAGTATATAAGCTCTGTAGAAGGATCTAACCATTGCAAATAGGGTTATCCGTGGATGATGTCCAATATTGTTCGCCGAGATTCTGGTCCATGATGATGGATCCAATCTGCTGTCTTGATATTGCAATGTTTACCATCATAGCAGCCCACGTCGGTTTAACTATCGGCACGCTCTCTCGGCATTTGAAGAAACGCCCGGACCTCAGGCGGCTGGTCGAGCGTTTGCTGCGATTTGAAACTGTTGGTATCTACCTCCTCACGGAACGCGGTCACGGCTTGGATGCATTCAATATCGAAACCACCGCGACGAAGACTCCGGATGGATATATTCTTCATACACCCCGAGAAGAAGCTGCTAAGTAAGTGTTTCCCTTGTAGGAGTTGGATGGAGACTGACGCTCGTGTCAGGTTCATGCCCGCATCAACGCCCTCATTTAGCATACCTAAAGTGGCCCTTGTGATGGCAAGGCTCATCGTCAATGGTAATGATCATGGGTCGCGATTCTTCCTCGTACCAATTTGCAACAAGCGCGAAATGTATCGTGGTATTTTGTCGACCCGGCTGCCGCCTCGCAGTGGGACCGGCCCTCTCGACTTTTCCATCACATCCTTCAATAATGTCCACCTGCCTGATACGGCGCTCATCTCATCGGATATCAACGACCTGTCTATCCCGGCCCAGCCCCTAGAGGCTTGGTGGGACGAAATCTGGAGGATTCAACTTGGCACCCTTGCAGTGCCGGCGCCGTGGGTATCAGCCATCAAGGCCGTCGCTTTTATTGGCGGTCGTTATTCCATGCACCGTTGCTTAGTTGGGAAGCACAATGAACCTGTCCCTATTCTATCCTTCCGAACGCAGCAGCGGCCAGTGCTTGAGGCCACGGCTGTCGGAATGGTTCTTTCTAGTTGGTTCCCACTGGTCATCCAAGAAGCCATGGCGTCCAACCAACGTATCAGGCATGCGCTATCTGTCATCGCCAAGGCCACCATCTGCCGTCACTTCCAACGTTGCGTGACTGAGGTTGCGGAACGGTGCGGTGCGCAAGGGACGTTTGAGCATAATTACATGGCAAGAATAGAGGTACGATCGCTTAACCCCACTCGTGTTTCATTGCACTAAATCCACTACTCTCGATGTGTAGAACGATGGCAAGGGCGTCATAATAGCGGAAGGGGACGTCCTAACCCTGTGTATACGGCTATTCTCTGAACTGGTTCAAGGCCGCTATCAAGTTCCCGTGCCTGACCCATCCGAATCGCTGCTAGCTGCCCACGCTACTTCCCTTCTTGAAGAGAATATCCAGCTCTACTCTCAACTCCAATGTGATCATCGGAGCGAAGCGTTCAATTCACTTATCCTCCCCCAATCTCAGCCTGTCATAGAAGCTATCGGCCACGCTTTGGCGTATTCAGCAGCCCAGAAGGCTGGTCTCCCACGTCCCGTCTTAGATGTCTACGAGAGCTCTGTGATCCGTCAGGACCCCGCGTGGTACTCTGAGGAAGGTGGTTTATCCCGGTTGTCGCAACGGCGACGCGAAGATGCGGCAATATCGTCGATGTTGCCCAACCTCTCTACCTATCTTTCCGCCCTGAACATTGAGGAATACGTCTCCGCGCCGATAGTTTCCGACGACTCCTGGAAAATGTATCTTGCGCAGCTTCCTGTTCATACTGGAAACGCCTCACCAGAGGTCGGCCTCGTGCAAGCGATGCTATAAACTTTCGCCTTGTAAGTCTTAAAACCAAAACCATGTTTAGGCCTTGATGTTCACCATTTTCTGTGCTTCTTCGCTTTGTCCCGAACATTTAGACGTCTGCTATCCTCCGATGATTCCATTCTGCTGGATGAATTCCAATCACTGTCTTCACTCATCAGCGGCGCTTCCCCTTATCCGTTTAAATGACCACGCCAAACCAACACCAAGCACCATTTTCGAAGTGTTGACATGTCGAAGGTTTAAATTAGTGGTTCATCTTATTATGCAGAACACGTCAGTGTATTTTTAGTATTTATATACCTTGTAGAGGCGTCCGAATCAAGTGGAGTTGAGACACATTCTGTTTGTTTAGTCAATTGTTTGATGAAATCTGGGTTCTATGATTGAACTAGATGCTGTTATATCAACCGATATCTTTCCCATCGTGGAGATTGAGCTTCGAGTATGGATGCTCCGAGGAACGACCCAGGTCTCGATGTGGGACGAAAAGTGCCAAAGTGCACGAGCCAATTTTATGATAAGGAATTATACATGGTCAAATTGCATGTTACACCATTCATTCAATTCTTAGTAGGCGTATGTATGATCGTTGGTATACCAAAAGCCCCCGTCGGGCCCCAACGCCGGAGGTCGGAGTCCGCGCCTGTGGGTACAATATGACATCTATTCGTCAGAATTTGGCGGAACTCTCTGTCGAACGAATTCAACATGTCGAGCACATGCCATGGACTGAAGCCCACTATTTGTCCATGGGGATAGCACATATTGGCGACGATTGTTCCCTCTTCAGCTCCAAACTTCGCTACTTGAGCCATAGTCCCCCGAGGTATGCCACATGTGACCCTGTCGATCGCCGTGTAAGTCTGGGTACCCCGCAAAGAGCTCCTACTGGCTGGGTGGTTCGTACTGAGGTGTTAGCTCACATACTAATACTGATGTGAGAGTTTCACCATCCATCTACATATGGGACGCCGTCAGAGGCATGAGGTACGGACATCGTAACGTGATAGAGCTCTGAGAAGGCTTAGTTATCCGCTACCACCTAGATATATTGAGCAGGACACTCACAGAATGCCCATTGCTTTGCCTAGAATCTCATAGCATAGCCATTGCGATTGTGACCATGATGAAATGGGATGAGCCAATAACAGGAACATTAGTCAGGCTGCCCAAAACATCAGGATCCCACTGACGCGCTGCAATCGGAGCGAGGGAACATTCGAGTCGGGATGTATATTCAAGCACTTGTTAAGCATTCATAATAGCGAGAACATCCGCCGCAAAAATCCTCTAACCATCAGGAACATAGTACAAATCGCGGTGGCCGGTTGTCGCCTATGGAGCCGCTCCTTTGCCGGAATCTCTGAGTTTATCAAAGAAAGCTCGTATGTCAGATTCATTCACGATCTTGCCATCCTGAGCAAAAGGTCGTAGGAATTGCTTCAGATCGTCCCTGGTGCACATCAGAGGCCATTAAGCTGTATCCGCATGGAAAGTTATGGTCACTTACTTCATTCCATTATAAGCGTGTATCCCTTCTATAGCGCGGTCTCTCGGCAATCGTTCCAGTGCACGCAAGCCTAGCTCCTCCAGCGACAAACCTAGCATCACCGATGAGGGATGGAGGATACATGAAACTAATGGATTTACCTGAATCGGGATCTTCTGGGGGCTCGTAGGTCTCTTCCTCGCGTAGCAAGAAGGGGAATGGCTCTAGCGACGACAAACACTTGGGAAGTCATGAGAAGGTGGTTCAGTATTGGTCAGGACGGGAATGTCTACCTTTGCGCACCGACACCATCTGTCACGAAATCCCTCCGTAAGGAAGATGTCACCCGAGCTCAGAACTGAACGATCAGATTCCTGTGGGTAGAAGAAAGCTTGAGCCAACGGATTTGGGGGTGGGGCGATACATTCGGCGGAAGTCGTAACGAGCGAGGGCGATGAACCACGAGGCCTTTTGGCGGCAGGGGTATCGACATTAGATAGTGTGCGAGTTCGCTTCATTCCGGCTGAAGCAAAGTCAGGTTTTCTTCCGTCGTCTACTATGATGGTGCCTTCGGCAGGACTGTTTTCTATTCGTTTCCATTCCTGATTATCTGCTTCACGGATGACCATGATAACACCGTGGGTTCCGGCATAACGTTGGAGTATAGGGATGGTGGCCACGCATCCTGCACAAACAAATGATTCGTATTCCGAGCCATTAATGAGGGGAGAGGGGAGACATGAAGAGGAGGCATTAGATCGACTGTCGTCAAGTTCATCCGCCGCTCCAGCCGCCTGTTCCGGACCGCCAACTGGGGTCGGTTCTCGAGACGAAGGCCGTTCTCTCAGATTACAGCACGATTCGTGGAACCAGTCCTATTTAGCAAGGGTGTGAGCAGACAGCGGACGAGGAGACTGAAATGTAGTGCGAACTTCGCATGCTAGACACTGAATCATAGTTTCGCGTTCAGTATTCGGGTCATACGACCTGCCGCAACGGCAAAAGAGGCCCTTGAAGTTTTGACCATAAATGTTGGAAGAATTCACATCTTCCAACTGCTTATGCAGGGTGCAGGGGTGAGCCAGCGCACTTGTCGGGCAGTCGCATCGAAAATTCCGCTTTGGAAATAGCTCTACCTGTTCGTGTTCGGTGTGACAGGCAATACTACACGAAGAGCAGATTCCCCGCGGTTCTGAACAAGTCAGGCAAAGATATATGGCCTGTCTACAGGGTTGCCTGAACAGATGCACGGTATCATGCAAGGGCCCACCTCACCTGATTTGGCCAAGAGGGTACGAGCACTCTGAGAATTGGTGCGGTAGTGCTAGAGCTGCCTCTTCAACTAGCTCATCTTGCAAGGCCAATACGTCTGTCAGAGTCGAGGCGGAATCAGCCATTGAGAGGGGGCTGGTTGTTAGTAAGCTAGTGGTATTTCTTCAAGACAAACCAGTCATACCTGGCAGCTCAGGTTGGGGGTCGCTCCCAACACGACGGTAGCCAACTGTTCGCACTTGCAATTGCGAACGACAGTCAAGTTCAGGGTCACTGGTGGGTGAGCAGCAGCGCCTATATATTATAATCTTATCTCTGGGCGTCTAGATGAATGTTTACAGTACGACCGTAGTGTTTCCGCTTCACTACTACGTGAGTACAACCACCCGGCAGCTTCTACCCCCCTTTACCACTTATGAGCGATATTTCTGACCTTATGTTCCATCCGTTTTGAATTTTGATAGGGAATCCGAAGTCGAGCCGTCGGAACACGAACGGAATTGCTTAGGATTTATAACGATATCGCCGTCCGTAGAGTTGATTTCACGAACCACCATTTTCGACCATGTCGAACGAAGATAATGCGTCGAAACCTGCTTCGAAGGGACCGGATCCAATTCTGTTGACCCTTTTTGCCAACCGATTCATGAGCGTAGCCGAAGCCATGGGCCGTTCCTTGCAGCAGACATCCATCAGCACGAATATCAAGGAGAGGCTTGATTTCTCCTGCGCGCTGTTTGCTCCCGATGGGGACTTGGTAGCCAATGCACCATTTATTCCGATTCACCTCGGTTCTATGAGTTTGTATGTACATCACTCAATCCGCGGCATCGTGGAATTACTAACGAATATCCTAGTGCTGTGAAATATCAGATGAATCTCTATGGAAAGGAGCTCAAAGAAGGAGACGTTCTCATGACCAATTCGCCGCACGCAGGTGGCTCGTGTGTTATCTCCAACTCGTTATTCTGAGTTGCTCGTTCTGAATCGTAACCGCAGCCACCTCCCGGATATCACGATCATTACCCCGGTTTTCGATTCCGCAACGAAGGATATCATCTTCTTTACCGCCTCTCGTGGGCACCATGCAGACATCGGTGGTATTTTACCAGGTTCTATGCCCCCAACGTCTGTCAGTATATTCGAAGAGGGTGCTGAAATAGTCAGCTTCAAGATTGTCAATGGGGGCGTCTTCGACCGCGAAGGCTTGATAGAGTACATGGTGGACAAGCCCAGCCAATACCCAGGTAGCTCAGGCTGCAGGAACATTCGGGACGTTGAGAGCGATTTGAAGGCGGTAGGATCAAGTGTTCTTATGAACCGTGCGGCTCACTGAGTATCTTCGCAGCAAATTGCTGCAAACCACAAGGGAATCCAACTGATACATGCTAGTACGTTTTCCACCACATGCCATCGGCAGACACTAACCTATCGTGACGTAGTCGTGGATGATTACGGCCTCGAAACGGTTCAAGAATACATGTACCACATCAGGGCGAACGCTGAGCAATCCGTTCGCAACCTTCTGAAAGATGTGGCAAGACGCGCTGGAACAAATGTGTTAGAAGCCATCGACTACCTTGATGACGGCTCTCCCGTAAGTGCCTCCACGGCAATATTAGAGAATGATCTCCGCCAACACAATTTCTACAGATTCAGCTGAAGGTTGATATCAATGTTGAGAAGGGGTCTGCCGTACTGGATTTCGCGGGGACAGGATGCGAGGTGAGAGGGAATCTGAACTCGCCCATCTCCGTCGTGCACTCGGCAGTCATCTACTGCATGCGTTCCATGCTCGACTTGGAAATTCCCTTAAACGCTGGCTGCCTTGTTCCGCTTGAAAGCAAGTCATCAGCGATCTTGCTTCATAATGACATTCTATTAACATTCTGATCTAGTCAAAATTCCTGAGAAGTCGCTTCTATCGCCATCACGAACTGCTGCTGTTTGCGGAGGGAATGTTCTAACATCCCAGCGCATCGTGGATGTCGTTCTAAAAGCATTCCATGCATGCGCCGCTAGTCAAGGGTGTACAAAGTGCGCACGCTCTAATCGCATACGTAGTATTATCACTAATCAATGGATCCAGCAATCTAACGTTTGGCACCGGTGGGAAGGACAAGGATGGGAAGAGTGTCAGTGGATGGGGTTACTACGAAGTAGGTGCCAAATGTTCATTGTAACTTTTGCACATGTTCATTGTCATCAAGACTATTGCAGGTGGATCGGGCGCTGGTCCCGGTTGGCACGGAACCTCAGGCGTACACACTCACATAACGAATACCCGAATCGGAGATGTCGAAATTCTTGAACGTCGTTATCCTGTGATGCTGCATCAGTTTGGGTTGCGGACAGGATCAGCTGGACAGGGAAAGTACCGTGGTGGGGAAGGTGTTATCAGAGACATCGAATTCTTGGAACCAATGCAGGTGTCTATACTATCAGAGGTGAGCCTGGGACATTCGAGATCCAGTGCTTCTCTAACGGGGCGTGAATATGCAGCGGCGTACGAGACAGCCTTATGGCATGGAAGGCGGTGGGCCAGGGGGGCTCGGGCGTAATACGTGGATAAAAAAAGCATCCAAGGCAGATGGAGACCTGGTTGATGGTGGTCCCACGGAGAGAAATATCAATATCGGCGGCAAGGCTTCAGTGTGGATGGGAAAGGGTGACAGATTGCTGATCGAGACACCGGGCGGAGGTGGTTGGGGCGAGGCGGAAGGGTCACAGGAAACCGACTTTATTCATGGACATATGAAGGCATGGGAGCCGAGGGGAAGTCTGGCGGAAAGAGCGGCAGCTCAGGCAGGGTTCTAGCAGGGTTCTGTACGAAACGACGAAACGAAAGACCGCCTTGGCGATTGAGCCAGACATTAGAAGAGAGAAGGATGCTATAGCTAGATTCTCATTCTTGTCGGTGTATCCATCAGAACAGGGAAATAAAGTGGACATCCATGAAGAGTATCGTACAGTGACGTCGCAGGCTGTGGACTGCGGTGTACATACTTAGAACAAAACCGAAGGTCCGGGCTATGAGCTTGAAGGGTTAGATCTTCAGACGTCAAGCTGGAAAGGGTCACAAAAATTACTTATTATAAATAGCTCAGCGCGAGCTCGCAGCGTACACATCTAAATTATAAACGTATCTACAAGGATCCAAACGAACCGTCCAGTTTCCAGTGATGACTGATGACTCACTAAGGTCAACATCACAAAATCCCTCTCGCGCTTTCCGTGCCCTTTCGAATCCCATCAAGGAGCGCCAGTCTCTCTGTCCTCAACTCCTCTATCTCGCCGCCCAGGCAACTAACCCACCACCTCTTCTCTTGTTCGACCTCCTTCCACCCGCCCTTCATCAGCGCTTGCATCTTCTTCGGGTGTCCACCGCGTGATACGTACATCATCTGGCGAACGGTATCCCAGTGCGGTGGCGGATTCGCGCACGAGTATGCCGTCGTCTGGGGCGAACCAGCATTGGGGAGGGAGATATTAACGACAGAAGAAGTGTCCATGCTCGAGGGCGAGGCGCTACGCTGGGGAGACGCAGAGAAGCCATTGATGGCGAGGACGAGGACGGGCGGGACGGTGATCCTCCCATGCTTGAAACAAATCTGCGATATCGAGACCGTGTGGAGGACCGCGCCGTCGGGTTCATCGGTATGCTGTTGGCTGTGTAGGAGTTTGTCGAGTGTGCTGGCCGAGGGTGGGGGATGCACGGTGGACGAAGGGACAGGCGTGGGCGAGACGCTTGTATTGAGATCGGAATCGTAGGCGGGGGTGTGGAGTGCGTGTGCAGAGATGAAGCCATCCCCTGTCGTTGTGGGTGCTGTGGGTGGTATCACGGCGTGCTTCTTGGATTTCGACTTGGGCTTCGTCACAAAGCGGCAGATAACGTACATCTAGAAAGCGGTCAATATAGAGCCAGGAAATTAACAGGGAAAGTCGTACCCATTTATCATCCCAAGCACCAATCCTTACCCTAACCTCATACGGCGCAAGCATGGGGATCTCCCGAATGAAGTGGTAGTGAGTGGCTTTACGGTGTAATTTTCAGCAACGCAACGGAGGGGAGTATGATGAGGGTAGCGCACCGGCAAGCGGACACCAACCGCCCAGTCGGAAGAATTGAGGGAACCACTGCAGCGCTGCCTGGAAGCGACCCGCATCGAGTGCCTTGGCGTAGCTTGAGTTCGAGAGATGAAGGTTGAAATCACTATCATCGATGCCTGAAAGAGGTTGTTCAATCGTTCATCCCTGTATAGCAAATCCGAACGAGTATTGATATACGCACTTGACCAGGAGGTGTATGTGACCGTGTCCTGGAAGGGGTTGCGGCCTATTGGCGAAACCGAATCCCACCATTCGGCGTCGGCTTTGTCCTTGAGTTTCTTCGATTTGAAGAGAAGGGTGAGCCGGAAAAGGCGGTACTTTATACGTAGGTTGGTGACTGGCTGGAACACCCTGACTGGGAAAAGTGAGTTACACAATTCTACGGTAGAGGGCACACGAAAGGCCTACCATGCCAAGCCAAAGGGAATGAGCGAATATTCAAGAGGACGAGGAGATACAAGATGTATTTCGCCAACGTTGGTAGCACACGAATGATCGTCGCCGGCGTCGCTTTGAGCCTCATGCTCGACAAAACGGCCTGCATAGCGCGAGTACGGTTCTTCCAGCTGAGGTCAGAAGCCAGTGTCGACATGTTGAGTATTTTAAATAGTAGGCGCTGTCGACAATATTTTGGGGAGGCGGGTGTGCCGATGGAAAGATAGGCAACCGTGTGGTCGACTCCCAGTGTTCTCGTCAAACAGAATGACAGATTCGACACCTGCGCTGGGCGTGGCGTGCGTGTAGCCGCTTCAAAGTCGGACCCGTATCTCAGTGACGGCTGCGCTTCGGGCTACTTATCTTATCCTGACCGAGCCAAGAAAAGTATGAACTTAGGGGTGAATTTTGTATAATGTTCTCTCTTTGCCACTTACACAAAGACGAGTCTTCCGAAACAAAAAGTAAAGGGGCAACAGAACTTATGTATCTTAGAAAGGTGCAGTTACGATAAGAAATGAAGAATACCACCTCCCATTCTGTGTCTCATATCCGTGTCACACAAATCATAGCTTATTTCGTGTCGCATGCGAGTGTAGGGGTCAATCGTAGACTTCGTCAAGAAACGACTCATCCTCTATGGTCGATAACACGGGAAGCTTGAAAAAAGGATAGAATTGAGGAAAGGCAATCGAAGGAAGGAAAGCTGGTGCATACCTGCGACGATACAGGTTGAATAGAGACAGGCCCTACAATGGAGGCGGGGAACTGGCCCGGGAAGCTCCAAGTAAAAGTAACGTTGTCTCCAGTGGGGCGAGGGACGACGAGGCGATAGCTAAAAGAAATGCGCCGCGCAGGCAGCTTTTGTCTCTTGTCGGCGGGACCGATCCTCTTGTCAACGAGTGACCGAAGCCAATCCTTTAACCGTCCCAAGAACGTGAAGCCCTTCACCGATCCCTTGTGCGTGAAAGATATAGTCATTTGGAGGACGACCACTTCATTCAAGACATCTCAGATTGTTATCTACCATAAGGTAGAAGGTGTTAAGGAGGGGGAAGTTGCTCTGAGAAGGGAGGTACAGCTTTGTGCCGTCCAAGGTAACTTCCTTGAGGGTCTTGTCGAAACAGGCGCGCATCAGAGCAGTCGAGTGTCCAAGAGTTGGTCTGAGAAATTTGAGACGAGGGTGATAGGGTGCACACCGGAGACTGAGACGGGGGGTGGGAGGCAGCCGAGTGGTTGGGGGGGGGGGTGTACGACGCGGGGAGTGTGTGCTGGTTAAGGCCTCTATGACAAAGTTTTCAAACACCCATCCGGCTAGTGCGATACTCTCTGTTTTCACGACAATGGCCAAAGAACCTGAGCATGTCATCCCGTCCGAGGTAGCAGATTCATAGGTAGAAATGATGATATGAGTTAGTTCTTCATTGCTGTCGCCTTCGCAATCCTGAAGTCGAAGGAAGTGTGAAAACAACCGTTTCTTCGCGGTTACTCAGGCGTGTGTTATCTGCAGTGGACCCTCGCAAACGCACAAGGGGCGTACTTTCACAAAAGTGACTATTCACGTGACATGTGACACACCGCGCCGCCAGCCACCGCGTCGCACATTCACGGTGACACCACGCTTACAATGGCGAGAGGCAGGGGTTCCTTTGGCTTAAATTCTCGTACCCGTTTTCGTGGTGGCGGAGGCAGAGGTGGCGCTTGGAGGGGAGGTCGCGGTCGCGGTCGAGGTGGAAGCTCCAAAGGCACAGGGAACGAGGCAGTTGCTCCTCGAAGAGAAGACGACGCGACACAATTGGCGGAAAGGTTCGAGCAAGTCAGGGTGAGCGACGAAGTGGACGAGAAACTGGGCTTTTCCAAGGTGCAGGAGGGGTACCGAAGGGAAGGATGGTTGATCAATATGCACCCGGTACGCCCTTTATATCGCTTCCATTTGCGAGTTTGACGGCTCATGATCGTAGACCCTCGTGAAGGATCCTGACTGGCCTGGGGGAAAGGCCGCGGTTGACTTTTACTTCATTCAAGACGACGGCGGAATGTTCAAGTGCACATATACCTACGAGCCTTACTTTTATATTGCCTGCAAGGTGAGTCGATGGGGCTCTCAACTGTCGACTTGGGATCTTTATCCTCCAGGCCAACACAGAGACCACCATCGAAGAGTATCTGCTCAAAACGTACTCCCCGTCACTCCTGCGAATTACGCGAATGTACAAGGAAGACCTCAAACTCCCGAATCATTTGATGGGGCACAAGCGGCTCTATCTACAGCTAGTATTTCGCAACGTCTCGGACCTGCTCGCTGTTCGTCGCGACATCATGCCGCTGGCGCTGGAGAACAGCGCAAAACGCGATGCGGTAGACGTCTACGCGGAGGTCATCAACTCGACGTCTGGGTTTGGGAACAGCACGGAGGACGCGTTGGTGGGGGTGGATATCCAGTTCGAAGACGAGGAAGGGGGGATGGAAGGCGGGTCGCGGGCGCGGGGTGCGGGGGACAAAGACCCGCGAGAGTGCATCATCGACATACGCGAGTACGACGTGCCGTACTACCTACGTGTGTCGATCGACAACGACCTAAGGGTGGGGCTGTGGTATGCGATCACATTCCCGATGAACAACCCGCAGCAGCCGTCGTTCGCGCTGATCGCGGAACGGGTGAAGCGCGCGGACCCCGTGGTGCTGGCGTACGATATCGAGACGACGAAGGCGCCGCTGAAGTTCCCCGACCACGAGCTCGACCAAGTTATGATGATTTCGTATATGGTGGACGGGCAGGGGTATCTCATCACCAATAGAGAGATTGTCGGTGATGACATCGAAGACTTTGAGTACACTCCGAAGGATGGAATGGAAGGGATGTTTACTGTGTTCAACGAGAAGGATGAGGTAAAAACCCCAGTCGCATGTTCTTGGACGCATGCTGATTATCTTTACTACAGAAAGCTACACTGATGCGATTCTTCACCCACATACAGGCCGTCAAACCGACGGTCCTAGCCACATTCAACGGGGACTTCTTCGATTTTCCGTTCCTTGATGCCCGCGCTCGAGTACATGGGATATCCTTGTACTTGGAGACTGGGTTCCAGAAGGATAGCGAGGATGAATACAAGAGCAGGGGATGTGTCCATATGGACTGCTTCAGGTTGGTCAATTTATTTTCGTATCCACAAGCCCGTGATCTAATTATTAAATGTAGGTGGGTGAAGAGAGACTCGTATCTGCCTCAAGGGAGTCAAGGTTTAAAAGCTGTCACGACCGCGAAATTGGGCTACAACCCTATCGAATTGGACCCCGAGTTGATGACACCGTCAGTCTATATCTACTTTAATTGTGCTATATCCTTTTCTGACCTTGGATCTTGATAGCTATGCAACCGAACAGCCCCAAGTGCTCGCGCAGTATTCCGTCTCCGATGCAGTGGCGACCTACTACCTCTACATGAAATACGTGCATCCCTTCATCTTCTCTTTATGCAACATCATCCCATTGTGCCCAGATGAGGTGTTGCGCAAGGGCAGTGGGACGCTGTGCGAGACTCTGCTCATGGTACGTCAACCATCCCACGACGAAGCTACCAAGAAGTTGTTGAGAAACGAGCTCAACTCCTGCTTATTCTATCATTTAAGGTGGAGGCATATCGAGGCGGCATTATTATGCCCAATAGGCATGAGGATGCGCACGGGAATATGCACGAAGGGCATCTACTTGCCTCTGAAACGTATGTCGGAGGTCATGTCGAAGCATTGGAAGCTGGCGTCTTCCGCAGCGATATCCCCATAGACTTCAAGATCGTTCCTGCCGCAGTGCAGCAGGTGTGCATGTCCTCTCATACCACCTTCCTTAGGTTTCTCATATACCATGGCCTAGCTCATCGACGACCTCGACGCAGCTTTAAGATTCTGCATCACCGTGGAGTCTAATACGTCAATGGATCTCGTCACCAACTACGACGAAGTCAAGGCGTCCGTCCAATCCGCCCTGGAAGTCATGCGTGACAACCCTAAACGTACTGACACGCCCCTCATCTACCACTTGGACGTTGCCGCCATGTACCCCAACATCATGTTGTCCAACCGCCTGCAGCCCGACTCGATGGTAGAGGAATCCGTCTGCGCGGTCTGCGACTATAACAGGCCGGGCAAGACGTGCGATAGGCGCCTGGAATGGGCATGGAGGGGAGAGTATTTCCCCGCGCATCGCGATGAGTTCAACATGATTAAGCACGCGTTGAATCAGGAGACGTTTCCCCCGAGGCGTCCTGGCCAGCCGCAGAGGAAGTTCGCGGACCTGAGCGCCGCCGAGCAATCGGCTCTGTTGCACAAGCGGCTAGGCGACTACTCACGGAAGGTGTACAAGAAGACAAAGGAAACGAAGGTAGAGACGCGGGAGGCCATCGTCTGCCAGCGGGAGAATCCATTTTACGTCGATACGGTGCGCCGGTTCAGAGATCGCCGGTATGAATACAAGGGGCTGCACAAGACGTGGAAGAAGAATTTGGATCAGGTTGTTAGCGAGGGAAAGTCGATTGCCGAGGTCGACGAGGCGAAGAAGATGATCGTGCTGTACGACTCGCTGCAGCTGGCGCACAAGTGCATCCTCAACTCCTTCTATGGGTACGTCATGCGCAAGGGTGCGCGCTGGCATTCGATGGAAATGGCGGGTATTACCTGTTTAACGGGGGCGACGATCATCCAGATGGCGCGCGCGCTGGTAGAGCAGATTGGGCGGCCTTTGGAGCTGGATACGGATGGTATTTGGTGCATGCTACCCGGCGTGTTCCCCGAGAACTTTAAGTTCAAATTGTCGAATGGCAAATCACTCGCGTTCTCTTATCCATGCTCGATGCTTAACCATCTCGTGCATGCCCAGTTCACCAACCACCAATACCACGATCTCAATCCTGACACAGGCGAGTACGTTGTGCATTCGGAGAACTCGATCTTCTTCGAGCTGGATGGGCCATACAAGGCGATGATATTGCCGAGTTCCAAGGAAGAGGACAAGCTGTTGAAAAAGAGATATGCCGTGTTCAACGACGACGGGTCCCTAGCTGAGCTCAAGGGGTTCGAGGTCAAGCGAAGAGGCGAACTGCAGTTAATCAAGATATTCCAGTCGCAGATTTTCGAAAAATTCCTGCTAGGGACGACGACGGAGGAGTGTTACCACGCTGTTGCGCAAGTGGCCGATCAGTGGCTAGACGTGCTTTTCACTCGCGGCGACAGCCTAGGGGACGACGAACTGGTCGAACTCATTGCGGAGAACAGAAGCATGTCGAAGACACTCGCGGAATATGGCGCGCAGAAATCAACCTCGATCAGTACTGCCCGGCGACTGGCAGAGTTCCTTGGTGATCAAATGGTCAAAGACAAGGGCCTCGCCTGTAAATTCATCATCTCCGCAAAGCCTCAAGGCGCGCCTGTGACTGAACGCGCTGTTCCAGTCGCCATATTCTCAGCAGAAGAGAGCATCAAGCGGAGCTACCTTCGCAAATGGCTAAAAGACAACAGCGTCGTGAATTTCGATCTACGATCAATACTGGATTGGGACTATTATATCGAGAGGTTGGGATCGGTCATCCAGAAGCTGATCACCATCCCCGCGGCGATGCAGAAGGTGCCCAATCCTGTACCGAGAATTAAACATCCGGATTGGCTGCACAGGAGGGTTGCCGGCGCAGTGGACAAGTTCAAACAAAACAAGCTCACCGATTTCTTTGGGGCTAGAGGCCAGGAGGAGTCGCAGTCTCAGCCTGATTTGGTGGATGTTGAGGATATTGTCAGTTCCCAAGCGCAACCTAAGCGATTGCAGCTTCGTGCGCCGGGTATCAAAGCATCAAAGCGTGCATTGGTGGATGACGATGATGACCCCCCAACATCTCTCCCAAATCCATTGGTCGACTATCCTGGATGGGTTGCAGCTATGAGACGCGTGTGGCGCAGACGACTTAATCCCCAAACGGAATCCATACCGACGTCTATTTCCGGTGTAATCCCTCCTAGCCGGCCGCAAGGTCGTTCTAAGCTCTGGGACATTGTGCAAATTCGACCCACCCAAATACCTGGACGCCATGTATTATGGTTATCCGTGGACTCGGAACTCGTTTCCTTGAATCTGCACATTCCTCGGCAATTCTACGTCCACATGCGGGCACCTAAAACGGAAGTTTTCAGACCTGACTACTACTCGTACGAGAAGACCACCAAGAATCTACCTAGGGATACACCTTGTGTCAACCTCTATAAACTGACGGTGAAGGAGGATACGTACCAAGATATCAGTGAACATTTCATCGATCTCGAGAACGACCCGAATGTCGATGGAGTTTATGAGCAACAAGTAAGCGATATATCTCTTTTACGGTCGTATGCCGCTCAAATGGTTACTAGGTGCCGTTGACTATTCGTGCATTGCTTAAACTAGGAAAAACCTGCACTCCAGAGAAATCACATTTGACGATCAACAGGGCTCAAGCTTCTGACCTCGACCTGGACGATCTTCAACGAGCAATCGTCAGCGATAAACGTTATAAATACCTGAACGTTTCTGCATCAGGCGGGAGGTACATCATGCTATACCACGCGTACTCATCGTCATCATTACTCCATGTCCTTGCGTTATTCTTGCCAGATGGTGTTGTCAAGTTACATGTCGTAGATCCTGCCGTTCATCGCGAACCCGTATCTCATAACCGACTTCAAACCATGTACGGCGATCTGGCGGAGAAGCGCGAGGCTTTCTACGGACCATGCGCGTCTTTCACATACCCATCGACACTGGAATTCACCACGATCAACCATCGGTCTATCAAAGCCGCCATGAACGCTGTGGACCGCGAACTCAGCCCGTTCGAGAGGAAATCGTACACCGTTATCATCTCGTCTGGGAAAGACCAGTCGTACTACGAGCACCAGATTCGTAGGCTCGCAAGTTTCCCGCTATTGGCCATGTCGAAATCTCGGGCTCCACACTCGCTAGATGTCCTGCAGTGGCAGAAGCACGTAACTGTCAAGTTGGTGAATCGATACCTGTCGCTCGGGATCTGGCTCGATCGATTGACTGCTCTTGCTGATTACTACGATATTCCTCTCGGACACATTGAAGGCGACCAGCCGCTCTTCATTTCTGACCTCAGCTTTGCAAGACGTCTCATAGAAAACGATTTCGTGTTATGGTGGTCTCCAGGTGCGCGGCCTGACCTCGGCGGTGTGGAATTCGATTCCAGACCCACAGAAGAACTTCCCAATACCGAGTTCATGGCTCCTGGCTCGTACAGTAATGTTTGTTTGGAAATATCGGTCAGAAACCTGGCGATCAACTCAGTGATACATTCCGTCGTAGTGAATGAGCTAGAAGGGAGTGGGGGTGCTACTGCCTTCGATTCGGTCTCCCATACACTAGATGAATACGCTAATGGAGCCCCGCGGGACCTCACCTTGGGCGAATCTAATATGTCCTCCCAGGCATTCATCATTATGAAGAATATCGTAAAGACATGGCTCCTCGACAAAATCCAAGGGAATTCGGACAGCCCAGCCAACCTCGCAATCGACCACTTTTATCGATGGATCTGTTCTAGTGCCTCGCACCTGTACGACCCAAGTATCCACCGCTTCATCCACGGGTTGATGCGCAAGACTTTCATCCAGCTCTTGGCCGAGTTCAAGCGGCTAGGCTCCTATGTCGTGTATGCCGACTTCAGCCACATCCTCCTCGCGACGTCGAAGCCGCCTGGCACAGCGCATGCCTATGCCACTTACATCACAACCGCAGTGACCTCCCACGAGCTCTTCCAGCACATCTATCTGCGGACCGAAAGGTTCTATGACTTTCTGTTATTCATGGACCAGGCGAATATGAGCGGGATTGTATGCGACGATCCCATGGCAATGGACGCCCCTTCACAACTATCCATAGAGATGCGGTGGAATATACAGGAGTTCCTTCCTCCAGCGCTGCATAACGATTTTGCCAATATCCTCAAGTACTTCATGGTTGAGATGTTCAAAATACGGCAGAAATCCAACGAAGCCACGCGTGTTCCGTTAAAGCAGCTTGCCAACGGGGCTCCCGATGCTTCACAACGAGACGCCGTCTCCGTCAAAGAGACAGAAGCCATTCAGGAGTTCATCGCAAGACGGCTAACCAGGAAGTTGCTTAGAATGGTCGGGGATATCCTTGACCGCCAACGCCACGCGATGATGCTCGATGACGACGATCCTGATAAAGATTCCTTCGACTTCCCTGTCCATCCTGGTGGCCATCTGCAGCTTACCAACCCCGCCTTGGAATTCGTGAAATTCGTCTGTGCAGTTCTCGGACTGGCTAGGGACTACCAAGTCGAGATCGGCCTGCTGAAGCGCAACCTCCTCGAGCTCGTCGGTGTACGCGAGTTTGCAAGCGAAGCCGCCTTCCGCAATCCGTGCGAGCCGTTGAAATTGGCCAATGTCCCTTGCAGACATTGCGACAGTATCCGCGACTTCGACTTTTGCCGAGATCCTGAGCTCAAGCCTAACGACCTCGAGTCTGCGCCTCGCTGGCTATGTCAGAGCTGCGGCGGAGAATACGACCGCCTCGTCATTGAGCACACTCTCATGGAAATGGTCTTCACCATTGAGAAGACCTTCTCCCAGCAGGATCTACGCTGTAAAAAATGCAAGCAAGTTCGCAGTGACTACGTCTCACGATGGTGCCAGTGCTCTGGCCCGTATAATTTGACGATTGCCCGAGCCGACATGAAAAGGCGCGTGAGGACAATGGTCAACATCGCCCGCCTCCATAATCTGACCAGACTAAGCGTGAGTCGAGACGCCATTTCCCATGAACGCATACTAATCATCAACATTTACAGGAGGTCGCCCAAACCATGCTTGATAATTGGTGAACACACATACATATCCCCCATCTAGAGAATACATACCCCGCGCACTTTCACTTTGTAAAATGATTATGTTGTATAAGCTATTAGTTATTGACACACAATGGAGATGTAGAGTTCGAAGTTCATCAGTTTATCAGTCCCAATCATCGTCGTCGTCGTCTTCATCGTCACTGTCACCAAGCTTCTTATTCCTCGCAGAAAGAGCCTGTGCAAGGGCGCTGGTGAGGTCTCCACCGCCAGCAGCAGCTCCAGCAGCGGCCCCGGCAGCGGCCCCAGCAGTTGCAGCGCCCGCAGAGCTGGACTCTTCTGCAACAGGCGTGGCCGGTGCGGCGCGCGAGGACGGTTCATTGCTGGTCTTGCGCAAAGAGTGAATGCCTTTGCCTTGGATAGATTCCAACAAGGCGTTTCGACCAGGCTGGGGCGGGGGTAGATCGAGTTTAGCAGCAATGTCACCCGCAGGCGGTGGTGGCGGTGGCGGAGGTGGTGGAGGGCCGCCCATGGGAGGAGGGGGTGGTGGCGGCGGAGGAGGAGGTGCCGGTGCAACGGGGGCTGTGCGTGATGGTGGAGCGGGTGGTGCAGGTGGGGGTGCGAGGGGCGTATGCGCGCTGCGCACGGGAGGGGGAGGAGGCGCGACGGGCGCGGTACTGACAGGGCGGGAGGGAGGCGGTGGTGGCGCGTTATTGCGGACCGGGGGTCTGGAGGGCGGTTGAGGGGGTGCTGGGGGTTGGACGGGAGCTGGTGGTGCCCTAACAGGAGGTGCGGGAGGTTGAACTGGCGGCGTAAATGCTGGCTGGGGCGGGGGAGGAGCCCTAGACGGGGGAGGGGCAGGAGGGGCAGGAGCAGGCGGTTGCCTGGACGCGCGGGGGGCGGGCGGGGGCGGGGGAACTTTATGTGCGGACGACGAGCTATCATTGTGTGCGTGCGATCGTCGCGGTGCAGGTGGCGGGGGCGGTTTCTTCTTTGGTGATTCCTGCGTAGCGTACTCCCTTATGATTTCACTACCCGCCCCGCGTTGGTTATGGGAGTCGGTTAGGATAGAGTGCCAGGACTTGTCGACGCCACGCGACGAGAAGCCTGCATCCGAGTCGAAGCCGATGTGCCCAATATGAATGAACGAGCCTGCGGTAGGGCCAGAGATCATGGATTTGTTGATCTTGCCCTTGGCGGCCTTCTTCTGCGCTTTCTCCTGTGACTTGCTCTTCGCTGCAGTTATTTTATTAGCCGTTCATCTCACGATGAAACTCGAGAAGATATAGGACGTACTCGCATTTGGGGATTTCCTTTTATTGACTTTCTTGTAGAATAACTTGGCTTCAGATTCGTCCGCAAAGACCAGTCCTATCATGCACGTCTGTCCGTATCAGCGGTTTAGATACACACCTGCGCGACCGATGGATAGTGACAGCCGTACATCACCTGCAAACGAATGAAAATAGGGTCTGTCTTGGAAGTATTCAAATCCATCGTATAGTTCATGCTCCCAAACGACGCCTCTCGTTCCGGCCAAGTCCACGAGCTTCAGAACAAACACATTCTTGCCGCTATCCAGCGTGAACGTGAGCGCGCCCTGCAGCCCCGAATACGACCATGAATTCGGAGTGGGATAGGCATAGTAGACGCGGGCGAGCGCTGCGACCAGGAGGAGGTTCGGAGGGGAGTTGATTGCGGCTCGTACACTCGATTTTTCGTCGTTACTTAGTGTCGACTGTGGAGGCATTGTCGTCGTGGTCGTACAACTTTGAGCACTGCGCATTGTTCGCTATTGCGATGAGGCGTGGGGAAATATCTTAGGGGTCCAATTACCACTCCATCGCGCCAGGTAGATTTCGTTTGGCAACGTCCATACGCGACTTGTCAAAATCACAGGTTCGTATAGGTACGCGCCTGGGCTACCGGGAGACCCACCTACTCACTTTCAAGTCCGTGTTCAAGCACTCTGTCGACCGTCTCGAGTCGCAAGCCTTCGGAAACCCTTAAACGGCGGCGCGCGCACTCGCTGCGCCAGACATCTGAGGCCCCCAAGGCCAGACACCCCAGCACTCAGTACGCAAGTTCCGCGAGTGCCATACCACCGCTATATGTTTGCCAGATTACTCACTTCACGATAACGAACTCCAACATATGCTAGAAGCACTCTCGCAGCCCAAGGAGCTCAGCGCTCTCACCGTTCCCAGAATCGGTATGCTAGCCGCATGCATTCTGGTTGCAATGGGCTCGGGGACAAATTATGTGGGTTATGAGACTGTCCTTCCTTCGGCAGACTCCTTACAAATCTTCCTGACAGGCGTTCTCTGGTAGGCACCGGTTGAACATTCCAACTCTCACTGGCGATAACTCTGACACATGCACTGTCCAGCTTACGCACCTCAACTGGGTGAACGACTGAAACTGACCCACACGCAACTGAACATTGTCGGCATCGCAGGGAACAGTACGTTGTCAATGCGTTATCTATAATGCATAACATATAATGATCTATCCGCTTTCAATCACAATCACAACCACAATTCACTCTTCGATTATACATTATATAAGTTGGTGTGTTCAGCAGCGCACCAGTTTGGGGGCGCTTCGCAGATCGCTATGGTCCTAAACCATTGTTTGCAACGGCTTTTGTGCTGTTGCTTGGCGGGTACTCTGGCATTCGCTATTCCTACCAAGCTGGTGCTATCCCAAGCGACTTTCCTTTATCGGGCTTGAGCTTCGCATTACTCGCGCTCTGCAACTTCATGACCGGGGTGGCGGGCACTGCGGGCATCATGGGCAGCGTCAATACCACCGCCAGAACATTTCCAGACCACGCGGTACGTACTAAATCATCACCTCCTAGCAATATGCGCCTCACTTACTAATGTCCTGATTGTGGCGACAGAGAGCATCGACAACTGGGCTAGTGCTCTCCGGGTTCGGACTGTCCGCATTCTTCTTCTCTACGGTCGCTGGCCTCTTTTCGCCTGGCGATACATCCTCGCTCCTGCTCCTGTTGACTGTAGGCACGGCCTTTCCCATGATCTTCGGGTTCTTCTTCGTTCATCCTATTCCCTGGAAGCCCAACAACCGTGGCACACTAGCTAACCGTAATCGCGAACCAGAGAACTTCGCATCCACCTCGAACACAATATACCATCACTGCACTGAGTATGATAGCTGCACACCTCTGCTGGGTGGCCAGGACGGAGCTATGGTGTGTAATTGCTACCAGGGGGCCGCAACGAGTGCTTCGCAGGCTTTTTCGGTTCACCCAGAGTCGACTCCGGACGCATTTCTGACTCCACAGACGGTGGGCTCAGAGGACCCGTTTTCCAACCTGTCTGCGGATGTTAGGAGGATGCTGGATAGAAGGAGGACTGCTGAAGGAAATGTGGGTTCTGACCTTGCCTCGCGGCCCTCGCAAAGCACGGGCGAGGCAAACATACATGGATGGGCGCTGTGGAAGACGTGCGACTTTTGGCTGTGTTTCTCGATCTTTGGATTATGTGAGTTGAGCTCCGAGAGTCATCCGCCTCCTTCTAACATTATTTTGCACGAAGTGACTGGCACTGGATTGATGTGTATGTGCCATAGCCGGACGTTGGTTTTGTATAAGTAGTTGACACCATTCTAGATATCAACAACGTAGGCACGATATCGCAGGCGCTCATCGCCCAAGCCAATCCGGACTACGACATTGCGTACGCCGCGCGCGTGCAGGCTAAGCAGGTGACAATCGTCAGCCTCATGAACTGTCTTGGTCGAATATGTTTTGGTACGCATGCCCCCCTCTATCCCTCCGTAGCGGTAACCACAACGCTCACATAACTGTCATTCAATATACAATTTCATGCGAATCAGGTTTTATATCAGACTTCACCAGACACCGACTGCACCGTCCTAGGTCGTACTGCTTCGTCGCAGCCTCTACGGCATTCCTCTTGGTGCAGGTTGTCCTCCAGCAGTCGATCACGGATGTAGAGTCGCTTTCTTGGGGCAGCGCAATGCTCGGCTTCGTGTATGGGGGTTCATTTTCGCTTCTGCCGACGCTGTGTATAGGATATTTCGGCTTAGGCGAGTTCCCCTTCGCCCGCTTTCGCGTCTCTCGCGGTTGGACTAAGTGTGCCTCTCGAAATATGTAGCCCACTTTTCAGAGAACTTCGGGTTCGCGACGCTCAGCCCGATCTTTACGGGATATCTCTTCTCAGTCGCCTTCGGGAAGACGCTCGATGTACACGAACTCTCCCCTACTCCGTCCCCATCGATCGACTTGCGTGAATCATCAAGACATCACCCGTTTCTCTCGCAGATCACGTCGAGTTTCGAGAGACATCGGTGCTTGGAGGGTAGTGCGTGTTACGCTGAGGCGTTCACTGTGACTATCCTTGCGTGTTCGGTGGCTCTGGCACTGAGTGTATGGATGAGCTGGAGAGATTGGCGGCGCATGGACGCGGAGGAGGTCGAGTATGCTGTTGATGTAGGGTATGATGGGGGGTATAGAGCGAGCTCGAAACCGGGGTCGTGTAGACGGACGGTGGAATCTGGGTAAGCCCGATGAGGTTCGGTTGTGACGATATCTAGAGGCGCGTGGTGGGTCGAGGCAGTCGAGAATTTGACATACGTGCGCGTTTCCCATTTATTATACTTTTTTTTTGGTGGAGGACTTGTAGCCATTTATTATACATGCTTTGTAGTGCTAAAGACATGGATTTCGGATCGTGATATTACATAGGTTTGGTATAAGATACAGATATGTATGTATGATCTAAAACATTTACGACGACCGTGGGTTGGGTGCGTGTCGTTAGGATCGTCACAAGAACACAAAGCTCGTCCTAGTGGGGACATCAGTATTCCTCGCAACCTCCGTCAAGTTCCTCCCTCCATCAACTCTCTGGAACACCGCAACGCCCTTCTCACCGATGGCCGCTCCAGCAATGAGGAACTCGTCGCTGCCCGCATCGACGGACCCCAGCGCCATCGAGCGAATCTGATCGAGTCCTGTGAAGACGTGATTGATCAAACGAAGTGGGCCCTGGGTCTGTGCTGAAGCCTCAGGCTGATCTTCTTGGCGTCTGGCGAACTGACAACCACCTCGGGCGAAGACACGTTTATGGAGCTTGTGCATGCGCTTCGCATGGCACGTACAGCCCGATGTTGATGTCGATGAAGCGTTGTCGGTTTCATTGTCGGTCTCGTTGATCGCACCAGCAGGGTTGATGAACTCGAAGATGGCGATGGCGTCGCCCCGTGGATCTGTTTCGTTGCCAATGTTGCGGTTGCTCGCGTAGATGATGGGATTCGGGAACTTCTCTGAAGGGGTAGAGATGAGTAGCTCCGCCGCCGCGAACGTGGCTCCAGCGGGCTGACCCGGCGGGACGATTGATACATTCGCGATGAGCGGAAGAGTCGTGCCGTTTGGCCCCTCGGGGATGCGCTGCGCGGTGAGCGTCGAGGTCTTCTCGTGAAGTGTGAAGAGGATGTTATCAAGGATCGCGATGTGCCGCGGGCCCGTGCCTACGTCGATGTCGATTTGGCCGCGCACTTCGAAGTTTCCTGGCGCGCCGGTGTTAGCGAGGCGCCAGATCTTGTCTGCGCCGAGATCGGGGACGAAGACTTCGCCGTTGAATTCGAGGGACATGTGGGGGTTGGAAGGCGCTCCGTCGGGGACGGGAAATGGGACAGCGGGCGAGTCTGTTTGGAAGCGCAGCGGGTCGCCGGGGACGGTGGCTACTAAGGAGCAATTGGGCGATCCGAACTATTATTGGATTCGGTAAGACACAGCACAATAACAACACGAAAGAGCAAACTCACGTTCATGGCAGTTACCTCGCCGGTGGAGAGTACGCCAGCGAAGGTAGGGCCATTGCCGCCAGACGTGACGGTATCAACGAGCGTCAGTCCGCCCTCCGAATCAACTTCGAAGGATTGGAGCGCGCCGACGGGCGAGTTCTCATTAACAGCACTAGATCATAAGCGATACTAGTCAATCTACTACTCTCTGAAGGAAAAGCAAAGGCGATATACAACTTACTAGAGAATGCTCGTGTTCTGGGGGTGCGACGCGATCCATGACGGATTGACGCCGGTCGTCGTGTTTCTCAGAAGTGTCAAAGTGCCGGCCTCTGAATCGAGCAAGTAGCTGACCACGAACGAGCTGAAGCCGCCTGCGAGGATGGTGAAATTGACCATGATGAAGGATATGGGGCGTGTTGCTCGTAATCCGGACGAGATCGTGTCTTATGTATACAAAACTTGAAGTGGCTAGTGGCACTGCCAGTGGCTAGTGGCACTGCCAGTGGCTAAAGACACAGAAAGAGGGAAAGAAAAAGGAAAGTGGAATAAGTCCTGGGGCTTCCTGGTGGCAGGGTGTCAATATATGATGGCCCGGTGAAGCCTGACAAACATTCGAAGTGGCTTTGTGTGAACGTTGTTTCGCGGCGACAACCATGGTCATTGTTTAGAGAACAAAAGGCGCTAAGAAGTCGCGGCTGCATCGTGGTTGGGATGCCATCTCTCCGAGAGGTGAAGCGTGATGGATTGTTGACGGTCTCACTGTGTAGATCACAAGCATGTTGGTGACCCGGACTGATTTCCTGTTACTTGGTGACAGATCTATATGTTTATAATTATAAACGAATGCGAGAATACTGGGGAAAAACCCAGGTCTTTCGCCAGACTTCGGCGCGGTACTGAAATAGCGGTGTCAGATTTACGTTCATTTTTTGACGATGCAATGCGACTTACAGTTATATACGGGGAGAGTTCAACCTGAAACCTCCGAATCCCTGTATCTCCTATCACGCCACGTGATCACGACCGACCGTGGAAAAAATATTACCCTCTACTCCTCATCGTTCTTGCAGAACAGAACATTTACACCCAGAATCCAGGCACTTTGCCTCAGTCCTTCCTTTATATTTCTACATGTCACTATGCTCGGTCACAAGCACTCCACCTCCGTAACTCAGAATCTCAAGGCTCACCTCGCAACCGCCTATAATGAACTTGGGAAGGAGCTGTCGTCGAATAAGATAAGAGTGGTCGGTAATTATACCCTCGGCAAGGTCATAGGCGAAGGTGAGTAGCCTAATATGTTACGCACGTAACCCCCTCATCATCTACTAGGTGCCTATGGCAAGGTTCGCCTCGGAACACACCGTCTAACCTCCACCCGCGTAGCGATCAAGCAGATTCCAAAAGCCATGTCCTCCTACCTGACCCGAGAAATCCATCACCACCGCCAGCTGCACCATCCGCACGTCACACAGATGTACGAAGTCATCGCAACTGAGGCAAACATCTGGATTGTCACCGAACTCTGTTGTGGAGGCGAACTCTTCGATTACCTCGCTGAGAAGGGCCGCCTATCAGAGGAGGAGACGAGAGTTATCTTCGGCCAGCTGTGTCTTGCTGTGGCGTACTTGCACGAGAAGGGGATCGTGCATCGGGATCTGAAGCTCGAGAATGTCTTGCTGGATGAGCGATGTCGGGTCAAGTTGGGCGACTTTGGATTCACGCGCGAGTTCGAGCGCGGGTCGCTGATGGAGACGTTCTGCGGCACAACTGGATATGCGTCGCCCGAAATGCTGCAGGGAAAGAAGTATCAAGGTCCGGAGGTCGACGTGTGGTCACTCGGGGTCATACTGTATTGTTTGCTGACAGGAACCCTTCCTTTTGACGACGATGACGAATCTGTAATGAAAAGCAAGATAATCAAAGGAGATTTCGAGGACCCAGTATGGCTCTCGCTGGGTGCGTACTGTCTTCCTATATGGCGACGTGTTTTTTTTACTTATTCAACACAGAATCTCGACAACTCTTCAAGGGAATTTTGGAACAGGATACATCGACACGTATGACAATACCACAAATCCTGGCCCATCCATGGTTCACGGTCAAGGAATTCGGATACGAACAGCCTGAGCAGCCACCCGACTTGTCGATCCACGTCCCGGAGTCCGTCCGTTCTTCTGAAGCTTCCACCGCCCAATCGGCAGCCTCTGATCACACTTACCACTCTGCATCCTCCGACTTTGAATTCTCTACTCCTACGACACCTGATGATATCTCTTCCAACGACCCGTTTATATACAAGGCCGATGACGGACAACAGCTCACTCACCGCGAGCGAAACCCCAGCGAAACTACCCTTCGCAAATTAAGCGAACATCAGGAGGATCTAAGCACGACTATTCATGACAAGCTGAGACACCCGGAGACCGTAGTAGAAGAGGAACAGGATGACGCCAGTAATCTCATGCGCAGGACGCCTTCGCCTATACCTGTGGCCGCATCCAATTCTGGCTCCGGGTCCAACTCGAAGGCACAGCCGCCTTCGTACCCTCTGCGCACACCTGCTCGTACCAAACGCCGCTCGGTGTCTTCTACTCTCTCTGACCCCGGCTCACCTACCGCTGAAAAGCTGCCCTCCCCCCTCCCGCTTCCCCAACCTCATGACATCAATTTCTCGTCCCTCCTCAGCACTCCAGCCCCCATCATCTTTTCCACTCCCCAAGAACGTGACCTACTAAATGGCATGAGCACACTGGGCTTCGACACCGCTCAAATAGTACATTCCGTCCTTTCCGATGCCTGTGACGCTGCTAGCGCTGTATGGTGGATGTTAATGAAGAAGGCAGAAAGGAAGGCGTTGGAAGGTGATACGCCAAATGCTTCTGGTGCTGCGAGCGGTGCTACTACGGACGCTACCCTTGGACCGAAGAAGCACCCTAGTGAGCATAGACGGAAGCGTAAAACAACGGTTGGAGTGCAGACTGACGAGGGGAGTCCTCGCAGCCTGGCCACGCTGAACCGCTCAGCCCCACAGTTGGCTTTCGTACCGCCCACTCCGACTCTGGCGCGGAATACCACCCCTCCATTACCCTCTACGCCTACCCGCTCTTCGATGCTCTCACCGTCGCCGAGTATCATTACGGGAGAGTCCTCACGTTCCCATCCCTCCACGCCGGCCAGTAGTCTGAAGGACAAGGAGAATTCAAAAGCCCGAAAGAATAGGTCTGGCAGTGTCAGTATTATGCAACGTGCTACCACGGCGCTGGAGGCTGCTGGGTTAGTGCGCAAGAAGTCTTCTGAGGGCGTTGGGAGGGATGACAAGGAGAAGGAGAAGGCTGTGAAGGAGACGGAGAAGCGACCTGGCAGCGGCGACGAACCACGGTCGTCGCAAGCTAGTTCTTCCAAGCTAACCAAGTCTCCTCCTCATAAGGTCTCCAGGGACAACCACCCTTCGACGCCTGAGCTGCGACATCCTCAACCTCAGATTGGCTCTCCTTGGGTGTTCGCTGGTAGCCCCTCTAGTAGACAAGATCTCGGCGCTCCAACACCTGCAAATTCACCAGGGGATATGAAGCCGGCGGAGTCTGGGAGCCAAGGAAAGGGGAACGCGCGTAATCGGGCTAGTATCTTGAGTACGTTCAGATTATGGTTCAACGAAGAGAGGAAAGGCAAGCGGAAAGAGGTCGTGAATCCGCCGAAGGCACCTAGTACGCCATATAGACAGACGCCTGCCCAAGGGAAGGCGCCGTCGTTTGGTACGGGTAAGCGCAGGCGGAGTGGGTCTGGCGGATACGCCGGTAGAAGTGGGCATCGTCCTCATCGTCCGTCCGTGTCCTCGCGTCGCTCCAGTAGCGTAAACTCTCGGAGATCGTCGGTAGCATCCATCCAGCCTATTCATTTAGACTCGCCGCAGATTCCAAATCGTCCCTCCTTGGGAAGCCACACGCCCAATTCGGAGAGAGGAGACCATTCGTCTCGTCCTTCGTCCATACGCAGCTTCACCATGCAACGCCACCGCAAGTCTCCGTCAGCGAGTTCGGCTGGGTCGATACACTATCGTGGTGCTTCACCGATGTCCAAGTATCATAGGAGAGCAGGCTCGGGAGGATCTTCGACCACCAGGGTCGTTCGTCAGATTCATTCAAACCGCCCTCCACATGTACGGTCTAACTCCACCACCTCTTCTATACATTCTCCTGCTTCGTCACGCCCAGCCTCTTGGTATGATCCCTCGGACGTCGACATGCCGCGGACGGCGTCACCAATGAAAGCGAGTTCACGGAGACTCCCCGAAGATGGTGGTTCTCGACGGTATGGATCCAGTACAAAGTTTATTGCTCAGAAACGGCAGGCACCTTTTATGAGTCCAGGCGCGTCTTACTCAGGTTCCATTGGGCGTTCTAGTTGGAAGAAATCTTGGGGGTTGGAACCTCCTGGTTGGCAGACAAGGACAACCCACATACCCGTTGAGGTGTTAACCATCTCTCCCACTCCTGACGGCTCGGGCTTCAGAGACGTTATCACTGGACGGCATTCACTTAACCTAGGCGACGAGAGTGATTGGGTTGACGAAGATGACGACTTACCGGCGTTTGCGGGCGGCCTAGGGCAGATGCCGACGTCTTTGGCAATGGCGAATTCCGCCTTTGCGCAGTCAATGGCTGAACCCGTGGTTACTCTATCTCCTGCGCCGAAAGGCCACAGGAACACCGGCAAGCGGAACAACAATCGCAATAATGCAGGCGGCCTACGGCCGAAGACTGGACACTCTCCCGTCGAAAGGGTGTCACCTATCCCCATGGACAATCAAATTGAGCCCAGAGGCGGCAGGAGGCAGCTTCCGGGGCGTGCTGGACCTTCTTTCCGTGGTAATGTTATTCAAGAAGTAGACGAAGACGAAGAGGAGGAAGAATGAATTTGTCGACATATTGCCTTAGTATGTGTTTTGATTCGCGATTAGAATGCTCTGGATGCTCTACAGCCGTTTCTTCGTTTTCACTGTCCCAAATATGATTTAACTTATTATTTGCCTTTATGGCTGACATCCAAGGATGCTTTTCTAGATACCCCCCTTTTATATCTCCTGCCTCTCCCTACTTTTACTCACGTGGATATGGACAAAGTTCAGTTCTCGGAATAGCCACAGATTCGGTACTATCAAATAGTGGACCATTCAGATGCCCCTCAACTACTGTACGCTCGTCTTCTCTGTTTGACTAATCGCAATGCATTACTAGTTTGTATCGTCCAAATTATGGTCGCTACCTCGGTCCGCCGTTTTGCGTTTACCCCCTTACTTCTCTCCTTCATCAACGATGGTCCTGGGATAAACGTAATAGTGAGTGAATAGTTCAATTTGAGTATGGGGAGTCCTGAGATGCGTGCTGCTGGCAACAGTGGGCGATCTCACCGGCTCTTTTGTCAGGCTCGGGACTGGGCGCTGAGTAACAACCATTGAAGGGGTTTCGGCAGGCTTAAACCCAAGGTGCCGAACTGATTTCTCAGTAAAGTACCGTTCTTGGTGGAACTGCCACTCCAGTGAACGTATGACAGAATTGTGATACGCGGCTGGAGGGCTGGTGTATTGTCGATCGTGGCAAAATGGCTTAATAGCTATTCGTCGGAGGCAGAGCGTAGGCAAAGGTTGCCCGCTATCATGCCCTTTCGTGACTTCCCCAGCCTCAATTCCACCTTTACTGCACCGCCGCTAGATGGCACAGTTTTTATCCCAGCCATCTACGACTTCCACTACAAGCACAATCCAGACCACCCTCTCTTCAAGTACGACAAAGAAGGGGTAATTTCCATCATCTCATGGAAGGTGGCCGTGGAGGCTATCTACAGGGCTGCGCGGATTTTGACCGCCCATGTACAAGTCTCCCCGCTTACAAGACCGGTCGTAGCCATTCTTGCAGTCATCGGTGAGTCCCAAATAGTTGATAGAATCAGCATCTTGATGATGAGCGCTCGCCTGGCAGACCAGCTAAGTTATTTCGCTCTGAGTGTCGGTATTATGAGGGCTGGATGCAAGGTGTTCCCCATTTCGCCTCGTAATTCCAACGCAGGGACAGCCGATATGATGGAGAAAATGGGAGTTCGCTATATGTTCGTGAGCAGTGACCAGGCCATGCAAGACCTTGCAGAACGCGCTTGTGAAAGGCTCGACCAGGAAGTAAAGTTACTTCCAATCCCGACCTTTCGTGAACTTTACGGGCACGCTAAGCATATCAGCTCTGAGCCCGTTCCACCGATAATAGAAACCGGTCCTGAAGACATCGCTATGATTTTGCACTCTTCTGGTACTGTTACTTGCTCTGCTATCGCTTTGATAATTTTGAACCGAGGCCTCTGCTTTCCTTTCTAGGATCGACATCCTTTCCGAAGCCAATCTCCCTCAGTAACCGTAATCTCCTACAATGGGGAATGCAACCTTGTAAGCACGCAGATCTCCTTCATTATGAGCTGCAATCTCACCCACCTCTCTTTAGACTATGGAGACATGGACATCTGTGGCAAAACGCTGTCAAACCATTCCCTTCCCTTCTTCCGTAAGTTTTTGATATGGCGCTAGGATGGCAAATCTGACTCTTTGGGTTGTCGATTGGTTGACGAACAGACGCGATGGGGGTTGTTTCACTTCAATGGGCGGTAAGTGCTACCCGGACAAATACACTCGCTGTGACCGATGACTCCAAAGACAATGACCGGAGTTATACTGTCGAATTTTGAGCCCTCTGAAACACCAATACTTTCTACTCCGGATCGGCTGTATTCAAGTGCTTTGGCGACGGGAAGTACTCTTATATTCTGTGTTCCCTCATTTGTTGAGGTAATTTGCCTGACCTCATGAAGCGAAAATCGCTGAACAATTTCAGGAATGGTCGCAAGACCCAGAGCGAATAGCCGAACTCCAGAAATTCGATGGTGTGGTTAGTGGATTGACTTCTGATTTCTACAGACTGATGCGACGAACGCTTTGATTAGATGTTCGGAGGTGCACCTTTACAGAAATCTGTGGGAGATAAACTGGTGGAGGCTGGCGTTAAGTTGTATCCATTCTACGGCGCGTCAGTATGCCTACCACTGCAACCCTCGACTATGAAATAACATTTATCTCAGCACTGAAATTGGCGGTACATCAAAATTTGTCCCGAGTGTGTGACTCTCCTTGACTTTGACTCGATTTACACACCCGGCTTACACATTTTAGGTCGCCCACCGGACGAAGGTTGGGAGTACTTTGAGGTCCCATAGATTCCATGCTCCGTGCAAACCCCTTCCCTAACTTCTACCCCTAGATATCAGACCATTGTAGCCCCTTTCTCGTTGAGCAAGCAGGCGAGAACCTTTTCAAGCTGGTGTTCTCGGTGTGTCCTTTACAACTTATGCTGATATGGTCGCTCATGCAACAGAAGGAATGTCATACCCATTCACTTGCTGTTTCCAATACCACTGCTGGCACTGGAAAAGGATACGACTCAAATGATCTAGTCATCCGTCACCCGTCCAATCCAAAATTGATGAAGATATATGGCAGGGCGGACGATCAACTCATGCATTCCACAGGGGAAAAGGTAAGTCATCGAAAGACATGTCTGAGGTGCATCAGTGCTGATTACACTTCTGAAAAGACAAACCCAGTGCCTATCGGTTGGTTCTATGAATACCCCGTCATTTGCTTACACGCTAAAAAAATGCAGAAACTTTGATTAATCGTAATCCAGCCGTTCACTGTGGGCTGGTATTTGGGCGGGGTCGCTTTCAAGCCGGAATATTGATCGAACCACACCCAAATTATGTCTTCGACCCAGAAGACTTGGAACAGCTAAATTCCTTCCGCGACATAGTTTGGCATGCCTTCACCCCTCATCGTTGGTAATTTGAAGCTGACTGATGACCAGGCCGACGATCGAAGAAGCCAACAAGATTGCGCCTTCTCACTCGAGGATATTTAAACAAGTATGTACTGTCTGAAATTATACAAGCATCGCGTACTTACGAGACCCAAAGATGGTTCTGGTGTCTAGCCCAGCGAAACCGTTTGAATTTACAGCTAAGGGGACGCCAAGGCGGCACATCATCATTGATGCCTATGCTAATGAAATTGGCGCGGCATACGATCAACTTGAAGAAGCTTCGGAAGAAGACATCCCTTTGCCCGATTTATCCAGTGGAGGAGACTGTTTAAGCTTCGTTCGAACGGTTGTTGCAAAGGTAATGAGGCGAACCCCTGCAGACGATGATGATATTTTCCAGAATGGATGCGATAGGTGTGGACCAGTGTCATGTTGTCACTCCTCGCACTAGAAAATTGACTATATATCCAGTTTGCAAGCTACATGGATCCGTAACTCTCTCTTGCGATCACTCAGTACAGTCGACAATGACACCATCAAGTCCATGCCGGTCAACTTCGTTTACCTACACCCCTCGATTCGACGTTTGGCGATATACATAACGAATTTGACGAATCACTCATCCGATTCTGAGGCTCAACGAACGGAAGACACTACATCGGAGATGGAAGCAATGGTCGAAAAATACTCCCGAGACTATCCAGCGCATAATCCCTCCCCCGAGTACGGCCACGGGGAAGCCGTACTTCTTACTGGAAGTACCGGGGCCTTGGGGTCTTATATTCTGGAACTCCTCCTACTCGACGATTCTGTGCGCAAGGTTTACGCGCTGAATAGGAAGGAGAGCAGTTCTTCTAGAACAGTTAAAGACCGACAGAAGGTTGCTTTCGTGGACAGGGGATTGAACATCAATTTGTTGGAATCCCAGAAGCTGATCTTCGTCGAAGGCGATGCAGGATCTATTCACAACTTGGACGCAGAATTGCTCAACATTATGCGGAAAGACATAACTTGTATCATGCACAATGGTTAGTGCGCACCCAGCTTCTTCTCGTGCCAATTCATTTATTCATCGTTCTATACAGCCTGGAGAGTAGATTTCAATGTAGCATTGTCGTCAATGGAGCCGTTGGTGGCCGGCACTCGTCGGCTGATCGACTTCGCACTTCAATCAGCCCGAGCAATGCCTCCAAGCATTCTCTTCGTCAGTTCCATTGGCGTTGCTAGGAGTAAGACGACCGAAACTCATGTGCTACTTGCATTGACTCTGACCTACGTATGATTGCCAGATTATCCACACGGAATAGCCCCGGAGGAGGCTCTCCTTGATCCAGCTTTTGCCATCGGCTCGGGCTACCCTGAATCAAAGTGGGTTGCTGAACGAGTCCTACATAAAGCTGCAGAAAGTACCCCGCTCAAGACAACGATCGTCCGGATTGGGCAGATGAGCGGGAGTTACGTTAACGGATGCTGGAACACGCATGAATGGGTGCCCAGCATCGTCAAATCAGGGATAACGTTAGGATGTTTGCCGGAGTCTGACGGGGTGAGTTGCCGACAATCGCGTCATGACGGGGTTTGACCATGGTTTAGGTTGTTTCGTGGATACCGGTCGACATCGCCGCCTCCGCGATCAAAGAAATGGCGCTGATCAACCCACCCATCACTGAAGCATCTGCGCGATACTTGCATATAGTTCACCCTTGTCCCATTCAGTGGAATGATATCATGACGATAATATCGCGCAAAATGGGTGTCCAGCTGCTTCCCTACGCCACTTGGTTGGGCCGCCTACAAGTATCCAGCGACACGTCAAATGCGGCAGATGAGAACACAAACCCTGCCTTGCGCCTCCTTGACTTCTATCAATCTGCGTTGGAAAAGCCTTTGTTAAGCGCAGATGCTGAAGCATTCGGATTTCCAAGGTTGGCGACGGTAGATGCAGTGCGAGTTGCACCTTCATTGAGGGTAATGGACCCATTGGACAACGGTAGCGGAGGAACATTGCGGGTATTGGGTGAAGCGGATATTGATGGCTGGCTAGCCTATTGGAAAGCCGTAGGGTTTATATGATCTATCCCTGTAGCAGGTCCTGGTTGACATCAGAAATTGTAAGTAGTTACATGTCAGTCAAGCCACACAGCATGGCTGCCTCCACGCATTCTATCACCCTCGGTATATGATTGAAAGTCCCGTTCGCCCGGCCACTCAGCAGCCACAGATATACCCTTCTTCCAACCACTCCATTCAATCACCCGAATTCCTGGTCCACCGCTTTCCACCGATTCGTCGTCGTCGGTGAGAAGGACCCACGCCTTCGTGTCCTCTCCCCCATCCGTCTCTCCATGAATAATTTCAATCGCGTTAGCTTTACCACCTGACGTGGGCGTCTCCCATCTTTCAGTGTCATCTTCAGCATCCTCACCGACGATCGCACCATCCTGATCAAGTCTGAACACAGTTAACCATCCTCTCGTTTCCGATGTTGCGCCACGGGTCGTGGCGAATAAGAACCCAGGAGATGGGTGTGACGGTGACGGTGGAGTAAAGCGAAGCGTATCCCCGCGGTAAAGGGATACATGCGGTCGCAAATCCTGAGGGATGATGGACCGAGATTGCGCAAGGGTGAGGTCCCCTGTATGTGAGATGTCGTAGACGTCGAGGAAATTCGCTGTTGGAGGCTTAGTTTATTTCCAGGCGGACATCAAACTCGAGGCGTACTATGTTCTGTGACCACGTAGAGCTTGGATCCGTTCGGGGATATGATAAGATGACGGGGTCCGTCATGCGGTCGAGGAGAGAGGGTAGTCCCTATATGATCCAGTCCGCCTGGCAGCGAGGAAGAGAGCCGATATCTCTCAATGGAATTGGTCCCTCTACGGGGTCATCAGAATGCGAGAATTCAGCCAGAATGCAATGAGACATACAGCACAGGGATGAAGGCAAATCCACGGTTAGAGATTTCTATCGCATGGGACCCATACCGCTGTCAAACAAATCAACACGCGTGTATGTCGATATAGGTTATGTAACCTGCCAGTGCAACACGGGTCTTATCAGCAGCGGCAAGCTCATCTTCTGGTACGAAGAGCAACTGTTGAGCTTTGGCACCAAAGCCTCGTGTAGAAGGTTCAACGATATGGACTTCCCCCGCAGGTCCGCCAGCCGAATAAATGTGCGTGTATGGCGGCGGTAAGGTTATGTAGGACGACGTTGCGGCTAACTCGCTGGCATGAGCACAACGCTAGGCTTCTGTCGCTTCGCAGATCTGTACATGTACTCACTGATCGGTACCATGTTTACAAGGTTAACAGTCCACTTGTCCCAAGTGTGTTCATTTTTGTCGATCGACCAGCTACTCAAGGACGGTGGTTGCGCCCAGGTGGTCGTGTACACGCGATCTCTCTGCGAATTGAGCGCGAGATACTGATGGGGCCCGAAAGCTGGAATAGTCTGAACATGAGATATTGTTCGGTTGAAGGGCGAAAAGGCCAGCAAGAACAACGATAGTGAACGGAAAGAACCCGCGATGATGTGATGCACGGGCGTTCGAGGCTCAGAGCGCGTCGTTGACTGAGTGTCCACAAAAAAATCCTCAGATAGTACGAGCTGACCGTCCATCTGGGTCGTCCAATATCCTAACGCCCAAGGCTGATACATAAAATTCATGACTCGTATTAGTCGAATTATAGAGACGCAAATACGATAACGTACCAAGATGACGGCAATATGTCCTGTTACTGGGGATACAAAATCACAGGAAGTGGGTCGCGTGTAAATGGGTGGGAAATCGAAGGTCAATGGCTCTAGAGTCCAGACGAACTGCACCGAATGCCTGATAATCTCTGTTGGCAAAGGGTACGTTCAGCAAATCGGTGGGGGTCAATGGTAACGAAATGGCACATGGCAGCACATGGCAGCTGGATCCTGAAGCTGGCTGCCTGATAAGTCACTAGGACAATTGCGGCTCCCCTAACAATCGGATCTTCTGATCCTGACCTGACCGTACGCGTCGGCCCCCCATATTCTCAGTTCTGGAAGATATAAGGTCCGGTGGGGTATATATATCCTGGACCCATGTTATTGCACTTCAGAATAGAGCTTCACAATGAAGTCGATACAGCTTCTTCTCGTCCTCGCCTCGGCACTCGTTTCTGCGCACAAAGAACCAAAGACCGCAGAGGAGTTAGAGGTCCAACGCGCTCTGCAAGTCGCCGCGTATCATTGCGCACCAGCCGTAGCCGAGTTTACTGCCGCGCGTAAACGGTCGTGGGCCCAGAAGGTGTTGGCGGGAAACCCATCTCTCCCCGGATACAACGAACTGTTCTTGGAGGGGACGTTCGCCGATTACGCACCAGGGGGAATCCGTGACCAAGCGATACAAGAAGCGAACGAGAAACTGCTTTCGTGCACGCCCGTGGAGGATACGAAGATCGAGAACAATACGTGTGTTCTCGGTGAGTGGCAGTTATAGGGCGGAGGAAGTGGCTGAACCACGATAACTAGCGCCTGAGACGACCGAAGGACCGTACTATCACATAGCCGGCCACCCAATCCGCCAAAACATCGCGGAATACCAGAACGGCCTTCTGACGGTCCGTTTCCCTAGTTGCTGTCACACTTGAGGATTCTGATTCCTTCGTCAGCTCCTCGATATCGGGGTAATCGACGTAGAGACATGCAAACCCCTGCCCAACGTCCTTGTGGACATCTGGCAAGCCAATGCCACAGGACACTATGCAGGGCATCCTTGGCCTCACCCGCATCTGAAGGATGAAAAACCGCAGGTCGGAGGGAAGCGTAGCGGGCTGCTGTCTGCATTCCCTCGCACGCTGCATGAAGAGACATGGCTACGAGGCGCATGGCCAACTGATAGGAACGGCGTTGCGCAATTTACCAGTAAGGGACTCGTCTATTAGTTGCATATGTACTGACCTATCTGTCTCAGCGATATTCCCGGGGTATTACACTGGGCGAGCCGTCCACATCCACACCAAGGTGTTCCCGAAGTGGGAGCCTCTGCCCAACGGAACGTTTTTGCCAGGCAATCTCGCACACACCGGTCAATTCTTCTTCGAAGACGACCTCGAGGTGGAAGTCGATAAGGTACGTTATCCCCCTTCACCTTCCGCTCATATTACATGTTAAATTCTTCCAGATGTTCCCGTACACCACAAACCCAATCCGGGACACATACGGACGAACGCGCAACTGGCGTGATTCGCTGAACGTATTTGGGGAGGCTGAAGGGCCAGAGGGCAAGTACGATCCTGTATTCAAGACACATTTTCTTGGTGGTGTGATCAACCAAGGTATCATGGCATATATCACGATGGTGCGTTTGCTTTACAGAACTTTGGACACGGCACTATAATGGTGTTCCTTAGGGAATAAACGCAAGTGCGGACTACCCCAATTACTGGAGACCTTAGATCCTTGAATTCAATGCCAACTCTGTATATCCTACCACGCATAACAATCCACTGTATTTCCTTGTATCAAACGCTTCTACTTCTACTGAACCTTGGACTTTTTCTTCTTGACTAGTACTACTGTCTGAGGAACTATACTCCAATGATGGACCCAGAAGATACGTATGCCAAATAGAAAGCTTAGGATAATGCAACAAGCAGCTTTCGCGCTCAACGGACTGAAAAACTTGCTCGTCTCGAGATCCGTAAAATCCAACAAGGTGTGTAAGCCCTCTGATCCAAGAAACGCCGGATGTCCCGTCAAGACGTCGTAGATGACCGCAATCAAGGCACCGCCCCAAACGTCCAATGTGTCCAAGCTCCCCACGAACCACCCCTTCAAGCCAGGTACTGGAGTTCCTCGTAAGAACGCTGGCGGGGATAGAGACCAGGTGTCGGACCAGACGTTTAACATCGAAGCGGTTTGGCCGCCGCCTGACGAGGCCACGGCTCCGAGTATACAATGCGTCAGAGGCGAGCCAGCGAGCAGAGGGTTGATCGACGCGGAAAACGCGGAAATGGGGGACAGCATAGCGACTGTCGATGCTATAGAGTTGACCCTTAAAGCTGCGTCGAGGGGAAAGAGAAGGGTGTCGAGGATACGTGGGTTGAGGGCCTACCAGGCATACGGAATCCAGATGATAAATATTGATTTTGGGGGCATGGGGGTGGCTTACCGACGGGAATTGTTGGAAAAAGGCTGTGAGGAAGAAGTGAACGGTGAGGTAATTGATGTATGGTTGCATCGAATAGAGCTGTGGTGGTGGTAGGGATAGCAGGATGTGGGATATGACGGACCCTCCCCATGCCTAGAGATACGATCCAAATTTCGGTGTGAGCATCGCACGAGGATTACGGCCGTTTCGATACAACAACGCATACCATGATTAGATACCCAACTACGTAGGTCCCCCATGAATGCGGGCGCTGATTCCTTTGCGCATTGACTTGGAACGCTATTGAAACTCTACAAATGGACTTCAGAGCGTACTCTCCGCATCGACTAGCTTTTCGTGTACCTTGCCGCATGCAGAGTTGATCCATATACAAACGGAAAATACGAAGGCGACACGACGGAGGTTGTCAACGAGTGAAAAGCATGCGCGACGTAGAAAAGAAGCATCGTTCAGAAGACCAGGGGGGTCAAGGGGAAAGAGTGCTGAGTGTTGTCGTCGCTGAGAAATGTCGCTGAAAACAATGCAACTTACGCCCAGTGGCTCCGACTTTCTGTGTGTTTCCGGATCTTGGTAAGTTGGGCTGCCGGGCAATGTGGTCGGGCACCAAGTTCGTGAATGTGTAAGCGGAGTTCCGATATGACATTTCAGATCGGTTTAAGGGATGTTGTTCCCTTTCTCTCAACTACTACCTTCCTCTCTTGGATTTGTGGTCAACCAACGCGTTTTAACACTCGTAGTTACCTGCCGCTATCCGTTTGTTGCTGCCTGCTAATCACGTTGCTGCGGTTTCTCTGTGTGCTTGCTCCTAGAGTTCTCGCTAGACATGTCATCTACTCAGATTCCATGCAACGCTCAGAAACTTATTTCAAAGACATATATATGTTGTAGTTGCTCCTTGTCTGAATTGCTAAGACAAGCCATCACGATGAGATCAGGGGCCCGCAAGGAGCTATCTTCATACTCATATATCTTACCCACAGGGTATAGAACTAATTGAGTATTGGTATGTACAAGTGTGTGGTAGTAGTGTGGTAAAGAATAAGCCCTTGTGCCAAACATATGTTAATAGGAGTTCAGGGGATACTCCTATCGGTTAGTGAGAGTCTCCAGTTGCCCGGCCATTGAACCGAGATGTTAGTCCCTACAGAATTCAGGATTTGTGTCGAATCAATAACCCTGAGTGTGGAAACCCGGAGACAGAGATCTGTTGGGCCTCCCGCATGAATCCGAATTTGAAGAAGGTAACCGATGCCGTCGCGCCTCAGGGTCCCCCTCTCACCTGGTCCCACCCAAAATCATTACTACACTAGTTTAGAATCTTTCTTGCGTGAACTCGCCTGCAACGCGGATCATGGCAATGTAGGGGCCGGCGAAAGTGATCAACTGACAACCCTCATTTTCGAAATCGAACCCATGTGGGCATACGATCGTCTATCGATACTACCAAGTTGAAATCTTGCCGGCTCCCAACAGTAGCAATATTGGGAATGCGAACATCAAGGCTGGTCCCAGGTCGTTATCCACCAGCGGGGACCTCACCCATTGCTGACGCCATTCGGGTCCGTCGTGGCGCGAGAGGATTGACGCCCTTGGATGGCACTCTGTTGCACGTACCATCCGTTGCGGAAGGCTGGAATTCGCTTTTGGGTGCAGTTCGAAGCAGAGGAAAGCTGCCGGGAGATGTCAGAGAGTTAATGGTGAGTAGCCTCTCTTATCGAAGAATCCCTCAGCACTACAACGCATTGCTGTCAGATTCTACGCGTCGCGGTATGGAACCGCGCTGCTTTCGAGTGGATACAGCATGAGCCCGTTGGACGATTAGCTGGCCTTACTACGCAGCAATTGCAAGTAATTCGAGATACAGAAGGCCTCCTCAAACAACCCCTCGCCGATCTCCTCAAACCGTTGCACCTTGCGGCCCTATCCTTCGCTGATAGCTCGACACGAGATGTTAAGGTACCGCCGACCGTATCCAAGAAGTTGATGCAGGAATTGCGTCAATTGGTTGTAGAGGGTGATGGCTTCGACCAGGACAACATTGACGCAGCGGTGCAAGACTTATATGTGGAGGCTTCCGCTGTTGTCGCAACTTACAACATGGTTTCGAGATTCCTTGTGGCAACGGACGTAGCAGGTTTGTCGGATGAGCCTCTGCCTTGGCCTGCAGACAAGCAAGAGGTTCGCATCCTTTCTACTCGATAGCAACATCCGGTCCAACGCTGATTACTGATGCAACATCTTAACAGCACCAAATCCCCATCGCGGATGCCCCGGATTCCAAGCTCCATGTCGTCACGCATACCACCAATCCGGATGCGCCATGGATCATTCTCTCCAACTCCCTCATAACGGATCACTCCATGTGGAACGAGTACTTGCCATACCTTCTAGGGCCCCGGCGAGAGCACAACACATTCAATGTCATTACCTTTGATCAGCGCGGACACGGAGCGTCGGACCTGCCTCCCCCTCCATCCTCGAGCACGCCATCGTCGACATCTCCCATAGGTCCCATCCCGCGCTGCGTCACAATCGCCCGCCTCGCTCATGACATTGCCCACATCCTCGACGCACTAAGTATTTCGAAGGTCCACGCAGCGATTGGCGTATCTCAGGGCGGGGCCGCCGTACTCGCTTTTGGAGCGCTATATCCCCAGAAAGTGGGTAAGATCATTGCCTGCGACACCGGACCTCGAACTGCTCCAGGGAACAAGGATGCCTGGGACGAGCGAATTGCACTGGCCAAAAAGGACGGCATGACCGCGCTTGGAGCAGTAACATCGACCAGATGGTTTCCCATACCCCCTGAATGGCAATCAGACCCGACGCCATCTAACAGGTTGTTGTACAAACAATGGGCGCGCGATCGCGCTATCGCCATGATCAAGAAGACGCCTCTGACTGGGTTCGAGGCTGGGGCGCAGGCGTTACAAGACTACGACCTCATCGCACCCCCAGAAGATCCTACGAATGAGAATTATATTGGCAAGTCGATAAAGGAGTGTACGGTCCCGACATTGCTGGTGGCTGGCAGCTTAGATGGAGGGGGCAAGGTTCCTCAGGGGATGAAGGAGCTCGCGGATAGTTGGCCTGCTGCGCAGTTTGTCGAAGTAGAAGGCGCCGGACATTTGCCGATGGTAGATGCAGCTGCGGCATTTTGGCATGTCACCGGGGGCTTTTTGTGACACTACAATTTCACTTCCGTGTAAAGTATCGTCTATATTTCGTGAACAGACCTAGTCGTCGGACAGTTGAAGGTACTAAACACCTTTCACTAGGAATATTGGGCAAGTCGATGACATTATAATTACATTGCATGCGACTATTTAGAGACATAATTGGCGCAAAGCGTGGTGTACAAAAATTACAGCAGAGAGGATGGGAGGGAGCGTGGGTGTAGCATCAGTCTAGCTGGCTACTGGATCACAATCGAGAACAAACAGTGATATCGGCTTCGAAATCTCTCAGTGTGTGTGTCTCGGCGCAACTCGATGACACTCTCACCTAAACTATGCAACGGTGTTTGCAATCCCTCCGACAGTTCCTAACAGGTTCGCAACAAGCGGTCCGACGGGCTGGGGAAGGCCAGCTGCAATTCCAGTCACAGGCTGGAGGAGGTTGTTGACGAGGGGCAGTATGCCACCCACCAAGGGTAGTGCTGGTAGCTGGGGTTGTGGCACTGGCGCGGCGACCGAGAATGCCGCGAAGAGAAGTACTGAAATGTACAACTTCATCCTTCTAGGAATGGAGTTTATTAGTTCGTAGTCTGGGCTTAATAGATCATGGCACCTACCTAGTGGGGCGGGGGAGATAGAAGTTGGGGCGAGTCGGGGCGAGGGCAGCGCTCTGCAATTACCTCTCCGTGAGCTGTTCCAAGAAACCGAGACACTCGGGGCTCTTACCAGGGTTCCAAGAGGACGGAAGTGTAGGAGATCCGCAGCGCATACCATACAGCCTTTTATTCTACTGAATTGCTAGGGCCAGTGACATGGCACTGGAATGTTTTCGAATTACATTTCTCGTGTCTCCGCACCGGTGGCGACTCTTGATGGTTCCACAAGGATATAGCAACGTAGAACTCGGTGCCTCCCTTGGACAACTTTAATGCTATACCACGTATCGGACGCAACACCACATGGATCCACAATTGGTAGGACGCCGGCTGGACAGGTTGATTGCATGATCACTGGCTGAAAGACTCCATAACATCTTTCAGGCAACGTTCCGTCGTCCTTAGGGAGAACTGAGGTCTGCAGCCACAGTCAAACCGAATGGGTCCTGTGTGCCTGATGTGTAGTCCTAGTGTATATTCAGAAAGGGAGATGGAGAGTCAGAAACTTTGAGTCCATTGCCGCGAGCACCGAGGCTTGAAATTGAAAGCTTCAACGCACTAAGCGCCTTTCCACCCCTAATGAAAGCTCCTATTGGACTCGATAATATTGTTGGAACGGCGTCCTTGTAGAAGCGCGACTCAATGGCAAGCACATTTGAGTAAGTGATTAATTGAATATATTGAAAACGAGATACATAAGACGATAGAAAACGACAGAGTATCGTACAGTCAAGAACACGAAGAAAGAACAACGAAACATATGATCAAAGGCTAGCAATGTACAATAGGCGGGGGTATAGAAGGCGAAACCAAAAGCTTCATTTGTAGATCTAAAGTTAAACAGAAGTCGAATCTGGAGTGGGAACGCCCAAATTATCTGTTCGTTCGAGAATTGATTATTGTAAAAAATGCAAGAGTTCAATGACACTTACGTGGGGCAAGGTTAGTTCAAGCTATTCAAGAGCGGCCCTGCAATTGATCCAACGACGGGCAAGTTGTTGACGACTCCGCCCACCGTTGTGACAACGTTTCCGGCAAGGTCCCCAACATTGCCGATAGTGCCAGTCACCGTATTTCCTAGGTTGGTCACCGTGCCAGTAACGCCACCCAGGAGGTTCGTCAGGAGGTTCGTGATGGTACCGACCAGGTCGTTGAGCAGGGGTTCGGGTGCTGGTGATGGAACAGGAGTTGATGCGGCGGTGGATGCAAGGGCAATAAGAACTGCAGCAGAGAAGCCTTTCATGGTTCTGGATAGGTCGCAGATTTAGTCCATAAATGGGGAGACGGAGAACCCGTCCAACGTACATGAATTAAGATGAAAGTGTTATAGTAAAATCAAAAGAGTGTGTGGTGGCGAAATGATGGGTCAACCTATCGAACGCAAAACATTGAGCAACTGGTGACGTCCATAGGAACCATTCACTTACCAAGGATGCACCGGAAAGCAACTGTGTGTATTGATAGTGATGCGGGAATGGACCGGATATTTATTCAGTTTCAATGGAGCACTGACACACTCTCGAGCATGTCGACGTTGGGCGGCCGGAATGGCAAATCCGGGCACAGGTAACATTGAATGGTGAGTACCGCATTGCTCCCCGAGCAACCGAGTTGCCTATTCCATAAACGGAATCAGTCCCTGCGGATCCCTATCTTCGCGCTGTCAAGCAGCCAATACACCCGATGGATGCAACCGACGCTGCGCTCAATCTCGTAGTCGACAGCAACTCTATTTGAATATATAGTGGTGCACGTTGAGACTTTAGGACAGAAACTTCAGTTAATTTAGAATTAAGTACGGTGAAACGACGTAGTAAATATCGGCCTACTAGGTATTGGTATTCCTTGCTGCGCGACCATGTAATCTCGTATTCGAAGGCGCGACAGGCGGATTGCTTGACATTTTGCATGCCCTGTTCCGTCGGGTGAAGCGGGTAGCCACCAAACATAGGTCACCGCCCATTCGAAAGGCTCTTGACAACCTGTTCAGGGATATGCCCCCTTTCCGAAATCGTATATACAGAACCGCTAGAAAGAGGGCATCGTCCGAGAGAGATGAAAACTCTCCTCAGGCCCGATTTAATCAACATAACTACGACAAGCCCAGATGATGAACATTGACAGCGGACCCACTGGGAATGGATTCGTTATTGCCGTTATTCACTGGCTGAGCAACGAGAAACTGACAGTGATGGTTAATCCTAAACGTGGCAGGGGATTAGCAAGGAAATTGGTAAGAATATGAGGGTCGCGGGACATCGGGATTGGGGCCGTAAAACTGAACACTTGGGCTCAAGTACAGAAGTCCTTATTGATAGACATTGAGACTCGATATGTTACAAATCTGACTGGTGACTTGCCATGATATTTTTACAGAGTACAAAACAGGAGATACAGCGTTGCTGTGGTGATACAATGATACTAGTACAGTGGTCATCGACATGTCTAGCACGCGACGCAACCCCAAAATGTGCAACAAAAGGGACCAAGAAAGATGACGAACGAAGGTATGCAACCGTTATACAGGGAAAGTCCCAGTTGAGGGTATAATACAACAATATTGTGGTGGTACACAGCATGGGGGGTAACTTGTAGTACAAATGATCAGAAATGCAAAACGGTAGCAACCGTAATTCACGCTAAACCGCGTTAAATGACTGGGCGGAAGCCGTTTTGGGTTTTCGCAGATGATGACGATGCGCCGATGTCGATTGGCGCAGGGGCTGATTTAGTACTAGCTTTGGAGGGGACGCCTGGGCGACGGCACCCGCCGAAAATGCTTGAGCATCCAAACGCAGGGTTGGGTGTAGGCATTGCGGAGACGAAGGATGCAGCGAAGAGAGAGGCGAAGACGAAAACGATGGACTTCATAATCTGTAGTATGTGCTGTCAGTTGTTGAATTGATCACGAATTAGTGGAAATTTGACTCACGACTGGATTGTTTCTGAGGTTTATCTGAGAAAGGAACGTGAGATCGTGATCGGATCGAACTGTGTTACCGATTAATCTATCATGTAGAGCTAGGAGAGTAGAAGACACTCACAAAAGAGACTGGATCGTTGGTGGTTGCTGAGGAACAAAGGGACAGTGGCTCTTTATACAAGTCGACCGCTTCCAAGCATACCACAAAGACGTTACCATGCATAGCGTTCAGCCACCAGCGAGGGCTCGCAATGAGTGAGCTGTCTGTAGTACGTAGACATTCCTCTCGCAACACCATACCAGGCACTTGATGCGTCGTACACGCGAGTTTCCAAACGTGGATCTGTGCTTAAGCAGAGGGAATGGTTAACAACATCAATACAACCTGCCATATCAGGAATATCGAGCCGATCAGGCACAGTCTAACCTAAGCGCTCGAAATCATCGCTCTGCGCCGTTCTCATGTTCTCAACGCCTGCCTGCTACTAGGGGGAGGTTATTATGTATTATATGTGTAAAATTCAGGTTAAACTTCTGCAATATACTGCTAATTATGCCCCCATGAAATACTAACGATCTAAAGCGCTTGTCATATTGATTACCACGGATCCTACCTTTACGCATTATATCAGTACAATATATATCTTTTCCGGGAATATATGTTGACTTGGTCAAGCTGGCTTGAATGGTGTGCCTTGAGCAGAGCGGAATATTCGTTTCATTGATGTCGAGTCCAAGGGGCGCCCCTGCCGCCCCTTTGTTATGCCGGGACACCCCTACATAGGCGCATGAATGCAATTTGACATATTTTCTGGGAACTATCTACGGAGAGTTTCGCGCCCCATAGCAAGCATCACCAGCTTTATTTTTCAGAATACTAACAACGGAGATGGATGTCGAGCTCCTAGCGTTCTGATCCAAACAACCACAAACATGCCATTCTGTTCGCGCTTGGCCCCTCACAGGCCTCACCATGCACGCAGAGTTCGACGATGACATTTGACGAAGATTAACCATTTTCTGACGACGACCGAACTCCCTTTCCCGCCCAACGCACACCCGAAACTTATCTTAACTACCTCCTGTCCGACGTCCTCAATTTCTTGTGATTTTCCTCTAATTCTTGACATTATTTTGGCGGATGAATACGGTCGAGGGAATGAACGATGCCGCTGCAGAGGCTGCTCTAGGTCTTCTTGGACTCTCACCAACGAATTTGCAACCTCCAAGCCCCATCGTACCTTCCAAACGCAAGCACAACGACCCATTGCAATCCCAAGTCGCAATTTCAAGTCACCAAACGCAATCTGAACTACCTGACGAAGGCATCGACTGCATTTGCGCATTCTCGTACGACGACGGGTTCTCAATCCAATGCGATGACTGCCAGAGATGGGTCCATGCTGCTTGTTATGGGATTGTCGACCCGGGCGAGGTGAAGGCTTGTGAATGGAGGTGTTCGGTCTGCGTACCCCGAGAGGTTGATAAAGAGGCTGCGAAAAGAATTCAGCTGGAGAAGCAGAAGGTTCTGCGCGTGGGGAATGGTAACAACAAGCCCAAGCCGCGGAAACCAAGTCCAGTAGGGGATAGGAAGGGAGGTGCTCGGAGGCCCAGCGCTGTCACCAACGCTGTCGATGGCCATACCCATGGCGGGAAGAGAAAACCTCGTAGACCATCAATCATCAACCCGTCGACCAGCCATGGAAGCCATGTGGACGAAGAGCACGTCGACGTTGGTGACTCTTGGATGCAGAGCTATGTCCCCATCACCCACGATATCATCAACCATCCCGAAACGAGGGAGAAGCTACAGCAGCATGCTCAACGGTGGAGGGGTGTTACCGCTATCTCGCCAGGACAAGAGACATTGACGACAGTTCGTCCAGTTCACGTTCCCCATTCACCCTACTCGAACCCCTCAGTGCGCCCACCATCATTCGCCTTGCACACCACGGCGCCTATCCCCAACGACCAGCTCATCGCGCCGTATCCATCTCTCATTACGCCCTCAGCAGCGTATCTCTCCGATCCCCTCAACGCATACGCTCATCTTGGAATACCGAAACCCTTTGTACACCTCATTGGTCATCCACTTGACGTTGCTCTCGATTCTCGATGGCGCGGAGACAAGAGCCGTTTCGCTCGAAATGGGTGCCGCCCGAACGCCGTACTTCGACCCATGCTGTGCTCACGTTCCCCAGATACAAAGGCCCAAGACGACGCGTTATCTTTTGGCGTATTCGCGCTCCGAGATCTGAAGGCCAACGAAGAGGTTGTCCTAGGTTGGGAATGGGATGATGGTAATGCAATTCATAACCTTCCAGCTGCCATACAGACGCCGCATCTATTTCGGTGCGTGATTTCTGCCCTTGCAGCTATTCTATTGAACGTCCATCCTTATATTTCAGCGACATCAATCGTGAACACGACAGCGCCGAGCAACTCGATTACCTACGCCGCCAAATGTCCATCATCATCCACACACTCAGCTCAACTTTTACAACATGCGCCTGCGGAGCGAAGGCGAAAGATTGTGCAATTGCCCAAGCAGCCGCCTTCGTTGATGGGTATTCCGCCTATTCTCCCGGGCCTGGGACCTCGAAGCCCATTGACTTGGGTCCGTTGGTTGGTGTTGAGAGAGGGTTTAGGACACGGGAGAAAGTTCCTCTGTCAGGAGGGATCGGTGGTGTCGAGATGTGTCCTGAGGTCGCGCCTGAAATTATGACAATGAGCGCGAAACGGAAGGGGAAGGCGAAAGCTACAGAAGGCATGGTATTGGACGTTGAGATGGAGGAAGCGTCTTACGGGGCAGGTGCACACAGCGATATTCGTGGGGTAGGGCTCTCGTCACCACTACGTACGCTTCATCAACCTGTTTCTATTTCGTTCTGTCCACTGACTTTCGTGACTGTAGGCAACATCAAACGTCTACCTAGGAAACGCACCGCGACGGACTCGATACCTGCTCCACCGATTCCACCTCTGTTACCACCCCGTCCACCGGAGATCCCTTCCGCGTCACCTCGTTCTGATTCTATGGATATAGATGGCGAGGAGAACGAGGAAAAGATGCCTCCAAAGATGAGAAAGCGCTGGATCCATAAGAATCTAGACGCCTTGAAGGAGATTTCTCGAAGGGATGTCTCCCCCGAATCGCCAAGTCAGTCAATAACTGCGCAACCGGCGGAAGAAGTGGCAATGGACATGAGTGAAGGATGTAGTGATGGACAATCACGGGTGATTCAAGCGCCTCTTTTAAATCGAATGTCGATTGACAGTGCGTCCCACCTACTCCGCAACCCGCTCGCACGCACTAATCAACCTTCAACGCAGCTTTGGTCCACCCTCGCGCGACTGACATGCCGCCCCCTCCCATGCCCGCTGCACTGGACCCCACGACCATCACGTCCATACCTCCCACTCGTCAAACTCTATCATCTTTCGACTTCGCCAGTCCCGCTGCTCCAGCGAACTCCAACCCAGTCTCAACGTCTCCTACCACTTCTTTTGCTAAATTATCATTATTATCTCCTGTTGTTATTCATCGATCGCCTCCCATGGACTCCACCACCTCACCTCCAAAGACTTCCGTGGACGTATCTACCGATGTTCCGATTACCCCACCGAAGTCGCCTGCGCTTCCTTCGCTTCTACCCAATATTGACGAAAAGCTAGACACACCGGATACCAACGGCATTGAGAACGTCCAACCGACCACGCCGCCGTCGATGGACCTCCCTGCTTCTCTGCAGCGTCGACCGTCTACCCCTACCCCCACTGACTCCGAGGATGCACCTCCGAAAGCGAACAACGAAGTTATTGATGCGTCAATTGTTATGAAAGAAGAAAGCACTGAGCCGGTCGAACCATCACTGGTGCCCCCTGAAGCAGAGCCCCTCCAGCCTGCCCCTCTACCCCTCGATCCAGACGAACCGTCGCCGTTGGTTGTCAACGAGGTCGATGAGATGGCTGTAGACGAAACTCCATCAGGGGCGTCGTCTGAACCTGTCCTTCTCTTGTCCCCGACGTCTTCGTTAGCAGACTCCCAAACCTTGCATTCTTCGATGCCTGTTGAGCAGCTTCCCCTAGTTGCTGTGGAGCAGGAGCTTTCGAAGGACGAGAGTCAAGATGCGGGGGTCGACGACAATGCTCAACCTAGTCAAGATGAGCCTCGTCCGCCCACTCCCCCACCTCAGCCTGCTCCAAAGGTTAAGTTGTCGCTGAAAGACTTTGCCATGCGCAAGAAGAAGCAGCGGGAAGAAGAGATGGCGAAGGTTCAACCTTCGTCAGTTGCTCGTGACGTCCCTTCGTCGCAGTCACCTTCGAGAGACGGTGATCCTGATGGTCACGATAGGGGGACGCCTATGCAGGTCAAGGAGGACGCAGTCCATCGCAGTACTGATGAGCATCAATCTGTATCTCAGCTAGATACCGCCCCCAGTATGGATACTGACCCTCCTGAAACAACGGATACGGACCATGATACTCATGCAGAGCCTGTTAGTCAATTCATGGCACAGCATGAGCATCGTCAGATAGAGGAACCCCGTCCTCTATCAGAAGAATCGCATTCCGGTCCGACTGTCCTTAGTCCACCGTCTAGCACGCCTCCCCTCAGTCCCCGCACTCCGCCAAGTCATTCACCTCCTCCATCGACTCCATCTCGATCACCTTCACCTCAGACCCTCGGCGGAAAGGAGAATGCGCATGTCCATCACCACCCTCTGACGTTGCAAGCCAAGATAGAGCTCGTGGAACAGGTGCTTCCAAAGGAGGTTCAAGATAAGACCAAAGCCCCCATGGTGATACCGCGCACACCTGAACCACCGCCTAATCAGCCGTTCCACGATATCAACCGCACTCCATCCTACCCTAATTATAGCAGCATACCCGTATATCCTGATGGTTATAGGGGACCCGGACATTATCGACGGCCTTCGCACGAGGATGGGGAGATCACGTCTACGCGGAGCGAAGCATCATCTCCACCTCCCGGCCCACCAGCGGGGCCGAAAGCACATAACGGAGTGAATGTCTCCTATGCTGCTCGAACGCACACGCCGCCAACGGGACCAAGGAATTCCCATGTACCAACGACAATGCCGCCCCATTTGACTGCGTTTCGCCCGCCACCGCCACCTCCCGCCGCTCTAGCTTCATACAACCCATCCTCTCTCGCGATTGCGCCCAAACGACCTCCGACGGCTCCTCGAGCACCCAGAGCATACGCCGGGCAGTCCTATCAGCCCTCATCATATGCCCCATCTCCCAGGTCTGCGAGCGGGCAGCAGTATATTCCTCGTGGACCCTCGGCTGACCGAGACAGGGATTGGGATCGGGACCGTAGTAGTTGGTCACGACCGCGAGGTCGAGGGAGTACATGGGGGCGATGATACCATATCATCGTGCTGATGCGACCTCCGTACATATTTTCTTCACTACGATACCTGTTGGGCTAGTTGATGGTATTCATATATCTATTATTTTGACCTTTCCCTCGGGACAAGTCATGTTTTTCGATCATTATTCTTTCATATTTCTCTTTCGTTGCTTCGATGTCGTTTCATTTATATACTCGTATCGTACGACGAAATTACACCAGCTGTAATAAGTAAAGTTCTGTACACCAGTCCAGCTCAGGAGTCTCCCCTTACAATTTCCTCTTTGAGCAACAACCCCTTAGGAGCTTAATTCCAAGCTTCAAGCTTTGAACTTTGTCTTAAGGCAGGCTACCTGCCATTACTGCACATATTGCTGGTTTTCTGTAGACTGTGTGAGCTAGTGAGTGCTATTAGTTATACCAGGTGGTGGTTTGACGCGTAGATATATAAAATATATCTACCGGTAGAATGTACAAGTTGAGTGTTATACAATGGTAAGTGTGAGCATCGCTAAAATATAACTGGGTGTAATGGTGGATTACATACCTCAGCCATACCATGTAGAGGGTTGAAGCTGAGGGGTTTCTTTAAAATCTTTTAAAAAAATACTAAGCACTGATACAAATGTGGAAAGGGGATGTATATAAAAGGAAAGAAGTAAATGGATAAGAATGAAGTTCCCCAACGTGACATCCCCCACCCTGTCCATTATTACCTTGACAAGGGAGCAAAGCACAAATAGCACGAAGTATGCCCTTCCTTCGCTTATAGCAACCATCCAGACTTTCAAAAGTACTTTCAAAAGTCAGTCTGTGTATCTTGATCTCATATTGAGTACTAAAGTCTGGCACAACCTTCATTTTAATATCTAAAGGAAGATATCACTCTATGTAAGGAAGCAAACTAAATGATCTACAGATACTCGCTTCAGCGTTACGACAAGGCTATGTGATTCCTTCTATCATCAACCCTTCGAACACTCTCTCGTCGCTTCATACAGCAGAAGTAGAGGCGGAGTGATCTTGTATGCTTCCAGATTTCCGCCGAACGAGCGAGATCTCACTTGGCCCATCTGTGCTATTGCTACCTGCGGCCATCGTCGTCACACCAGAGGCTTCAGCCTGTGCCTGGCGCTGCGCCGCCTCGACGGGATCGTCACCGAACTGATCAACCATGCTCGACATGGCGCCTCCCGCCGCGGCGCGGAAGCTCGCTAGCGTGCCTGTGGCATGATGGCGGGAGGCGCCGGTTTGGGTCTGCGTAGCGAGGGAACGTGCGTGTTCGTATGCTCGGATATGCAGTAAGAAGCGGGCGGTGAGTAGACCCGATAGCCTGTCGAATACATGTGTATAAATATGTATTATCATCAGTAGGTATATTGACGGGAGTAAGATGTAGAGATGGTAATGGAGTGATGAACTTACGGGAGCGTGAATGCATTTAGCAACCGTTGGAAGAATCCAGCCTGCCGTCAACGGTTAAGTACCCATGAAAGACCGCAGCTGTGTGTCATCAACTTACGGGTGCTTCCTGTGCAACAGCTACATCAGCCTTGGCAGCGAAGACGAATACTATCCAGGAAACCCACCACATTCAATATCACTGCTGCTGTCGTGAAGAGGGAAATGATGCTGCGATGAATCATCGATCAGCAATAAGCTCGCATTTCTTCCTAGTGTGCTCCCAAGGAAACACTGATTAACTGACACACCTGAAATACAGGACACCTTGTTCGAAGATAAGGTTCATAAGTCCTTTTGCGTGCTGCTTCCGCCCGCCGACTCGGAAGGCCATGAGGCTGCGAGTGATGGTGAGAATCGCGGAGGAGTATTCGAAGATGACCATGAGAATTGAGAGTAAGAGATTCGCTGCGAACAATCAGCATCGAAGGTCTAACACGAAATGTATGCATACCTCTTTTGGAGGAACGAACATCAAGAACTGATCAGTCGGTGTTCTGAAACAACAGTGTCCGAAGACTGCTCACAAGGGATTGCTTGACGACCCCACACATCGGAGGCCTGGGACATGCATCTACCCGAATGCATACGTCAATCAATCCTCAATATTCAATATGGAGGCAGTGAGTGGGAGGGTGGTATGTACTCACGATGTCTAACGCGATGCAGGTAGCGCCGATGAGACCAAGATATACGAGGATGTAGGTGTTTCGTGCGTATATTGCATATGTTCTGCTGGTAAATGTTACTACGATGCCGCAAGTCAGCGCGCATGCCATGCCATGGTTAGAAGACTATTATACCTATCACAGCTGCTCGCCCAAAGACGCTCAACGCGCCGATGATTTTATACCAGGTATCACAACTACCATCATGGAGGACAGCTAGTCAGAAGCCGAGGGATAAATAGCAGGGGTATAACTGACTGAGATACAAGGATACATAAGCAACTGGGTAGGAGAGAGCAGGTTCGGACGTACCCCTTGCTTGAGTTGATTGGCAATGGCTAAGAGGTAAAGGACGTTGGCAACCAACGCATATCGACAAAAGATGTACAGAAAGGTTGACAGCCGCATTTTCGACCCCCAGATGTACTTGACTTCCGAGGGGAACGTCAACGCGTAGTCATAGAACAGGAGCGCTGAGAAGGGGTTAGCGTCGCCGATCTTCCGTAGATGGGTGCGGAAGTGAGTACCAAGGCTTGACCATTGTATGTCGAACTGAAGGTAGCTAAATCGACAATAAGAACCTCGGTACGAAGCGCGACAACAAGATACGCACTGGGTTGCTGCTTTAGAGGCCATAGTATTCGGTATACTTGTACAATGGATACGGAGAGTGGGGGGGCTGGTATTTGTGGAGCGTCTTCACCCTTTCCGACGTTTTATACTTGTTTATCCTTGGTTTACCCATCTTCTTCGGTCTCATCCTTCCTGATGACTCCAAACACGATGGGAAGTCAAAGTAAACAAGCGCTGTTGTTTCCTTGCCACCTTGATTAGATGTGACTCATGAAGATGAAATATTGAGGCGGTGAGCAAAGAACCCAACTCTGATAAGATAGATGAGATGGATGTGGTGCTTGCTGTCATATTAGGCTCGCCATCAAGGAGCATCAACGGACAGGCTGAGAAAGCTGCTATGAATACCTTGTCGAAGCAGTGGCGTGGAAGTGATAGAACAAGAAATCAAACCAAACCCACATGCGTTGATGGCAGCAGGTCATGCGATGTCAGGAATTGGGAGTTGAACATGATTGGTGTGCGCTTCTTGGAACCAGCCTCACGTTCGACTACAATTTGACTATTATCTTTCGAAACATGGCAATGAACGAGAACGGTGCATTGCGTAATCTAACTTGCCTGTGCAAAGCCCGAATTCCCGGGGGAACAACCGTAGTCCCCGCTCGATGGGCACCTCTACACGTACGGGGAGATGGTGCTGCCGCGCAGAAGGCTCCGTCGCCTGTGTGGTGAGGTATCGCAACTTATTGAGAGAGTGGTGAAAAGGCGCCTCAACGAATACAACAACGCGACGATGTTCGCGCCGACACGTCGTAACGGGTAACGTCTTCCAGAATCCACTCTCCGAGTCAGCCACTCACCAACGAGCGGATGTCGGTGTACTGAAATCGCCGTTGAGAGATATCATATGCACGGCGTAGGATCGGGGGCTCAAGTCAGATTCCAGCAAACCGGCACCCAACATCTCGACATCGAATCAGAGGCGGCGATGCTCAGCAAGTTCCGGCTAGATTTCAACATCCAACATCCGCACAAGGAATCCTAACCAAATCCAAATTATCCAGCGTCAGCCACCGAGCAATGATATATAAACCCCACATACGCTTAGGACGCCCCCACTATTCTTGATTCAGTACCACGAGTATCTCTGCATTACATTCATAATGTCTTTCGCCTCCACCTCTATGCTCGTCGCTGGTTCGACTTCTTCAAGTTCATCGCCCTCGTCTTCCTTCGGTTCCTTCAGCTCTGGCAAGGCAGTCGCCTGGTGGAAGGAGGGTGTCTCGTCTCCTTCCCCATCCTCGATGCTGTCCGCCGGATATGTTCGTGCTGCAAGCGAGACCGTGGTCGCTCAAGTCCCCTCCGCAAGATACGGCGGGCTTCAAAGGACAATGGCGATTGGCCGCAAGCGGGGCGCTGAGATTGCTCGCCGATGGAGCGACTCAAAGGGTGTTGTTTACGTCTAGGCGGTTACACAAGCTCAAGAAGTGCGCGTGGTTGGCGGCACCGGTTCGCGCCTAGGCGGGTTCGTTGTTTCAAGAAGAGAAGCGTGCAAGACTCGCGGCTGGCCCGCAGACTTCAAGCAACCGCAGCGTGCGTTACAATGTCCTGCGTACCCCGTGGCTGACTATGTGCGTGGCAGGTTCTCCGACTTCATGATCGCGGGACTGGTAGCTGGTAGGTATAAAGGTAGGTGTTTGTGTTGAGAGGTGTGTGCCTCTCCTGATGAGTCCAAAAGGACGAAACACAATTTCCATACTGTAGTCTGGTCTGGCTCGCGTTTATGCTGTGCACATGTACTTGGAAATCGAAATTGTGTTCTCGTGTGCTCCTAAGTCCTGGCCGTTAACCGCTGAAATCAGGATAACGATTAACTTCGACGATATCGCACAGAACGCGTCGTCCATATCGCAGAGGCATCGTATCATTCCTCTTCTATCCATTTTCCATTATCGAATGTCTTCACGTGTAGTAGCTCCTGGCGTTGCTATCGCCATGACTTCCAGGAGTGAGACTGAGTCGTCGTGTTCAAGTCGCTGCTTAGGTGCAGCTAGACTCTGGAGCACAATCGGTCTATTGGAGGAGAGCTTAGGCGATGTCGCAGAGAAATGAGAATCGAAGGATGGTCGCTGTCACTGTGGTAAAGAGGTAAAGACATCTCATTTAGCGCCCTGGCGCTCATCAACATGCTACAAACGTGTCGACAGTCACTGCTCATGAGATGCTCCTCAAGCGGCCACGAGACACTGATGGTCTTTCTACTGAAACCCACCTGTGAATGCTAGTCCATTCGGCAAATTACTTGAAAAAGACTAGGGTCGGTGATCAATTTCTGGCCGCAGAAAGTCCTGTCCTTGTTCGTGAGCTACCAAATACGTGTAGATATCTTGCATGGCCTCCTTCTCACTCTATTCTTCATGATAGCACGTCGGTACTCTAACACTATCTCATTTTGCTGTCCCTGCCCTGCTCTCCTAAGCGACATACGAAAGAAACGGCCGCTCCTTGAAATACCCATTGACTCTGGACGGACTTCAGACCTCTTCCAGACCTAGGAGAGTAAGCCAAGCTAGGGGTCCCGAGAAATCCAACTTCGCCCTCTTAGACGGGCACTAATGACCTCCGTTGGCTCGCCTCGTCATGGGGATGAACCAGAGTCTGACTGCGGACAAGGTATGTCCTTAGCATTTGAAAATGAACGAGCGATACACCCAGTCATGCTTCGCGGAGTGAACTCACCGTTACAGGACTACATGTACCATAAGACGCCTTCTGCTCAGTCAGTGCCCTTCCTTTTGCGGAGACTTCGAAAAACATGTTAGGGAAAGTACCGCGAATTCGGCCCTTCTCCCGTCCGACTCTGGTATCTCGGGTTCGACATGAACAGAGGGGGACTCCTGGGCAGCTGCGGTATTGATCACGATGACATTGTCGAGGTTATCGTCTTCGCCTTGGCTCTTTCGGCAGTGGAATTATTGCGAGCGACGTGTAGATGCCTGCGTGCGCTAGAACACGAGATGCCCGCCTGTTTCAAACCACCAATGTGCAAATACCTGCTGCGGACGTCTTGGAGCCTATTCACTTAAGGGCATCGACCTTTATCCCGCCCTAGAAGCCCTTATCCCCATCTGCCATCTACGGAAGCACAACACTCAGGGCGGAATCGTACGTCGGAGCACAGCATGCAGCCACTCACCCGAGGGGTCCTACCACATATGATGCCCGCAATGACCAGATGGCTGATTCTTCACGGAATCGTCCGCTGTTGCTAAGATGAACCACCCCGCATGAAAAATATTCGTCCGAGAATATGGGGACTCCAAAATACGGAAAAATCCTTCGAAGAATATCCATTAATATTGAAACGTACTGGGCTCAACTGTGGAGACTTCGTGTTGAAGACACATGTATGCGGGAGAAGATAAGTGTGGTAACCGTCCTACGATATCTACGCGGAGGAGTGACCACTTGTTACTGGTGCTCAGTGGAGGCATTATCACGTTGTCGAGGACGCAGTCGCTGGTGTGCATCGCCATTTCCAAGGCCTTGTCACGGTCATTGCTAATCCGCCGTTTGCATATGACTTTGGAATATGGCGAGTGCATCGCTCGTCTGGGGGCATAAATACCAGGGGGCGTAGGTCAAACCTCTCAGCATCGGTGCTTTCCTCACACCTCAGCAGCAGCAGCTAATTCCCAACGCGCAACAATGGTCAACAGCTTCTTCACGTTCGCCCTCTTGCCCGCTTTCTGCGCGCTGCTTGCTGCCGGAGGCCCAGTGTCAAAGGCTCCCGCATCCACCTACAAGCCACCTAAATCATCCAGCAGGCCCATGAGCTCGCGTCGTGTTAGCAGCCGGGGCTTCGGCAGCGAGGGATTTACGTCTACCGCTATCGCCAGCTCCCCAAGCGATGTCCCATCCAGCTCCTTCTCCGAGTACATCCCTAGCGCGAGTGGTGACGTCCCCTTCCCAAGCGGTAGCGATTACCCCAGCTTCCCCAGTGGCGGCATCGCCAGCTCTTCAGTTCACACGAGCTACATCTCCAGCCCCTCCGGAGGAAGTAGCGAAGCCCCAAGCGCCAGCTATGTCTTCAGCAGCGCCGTTCCAGAGTATTCCAGCTTCCCGGGCAGCGATGGCGCCTCGTACAGCGAGTACCCCAGCTCCGTTGTCCCGGGCTCTAGCTTCGCGAGCGCTAGCTACGTCTACAGCAGCGGCGTCCCACAGTACTCCGGCTTCCCCAGCAGCGTGGTTTACAGCAGCGATGTTCCTGTCTTCACAAGCGATGGGTCGTATAGCGATTTCCCCAGCTCCGTCGACCCAGGTTATTCGACGGGTCTCCCGGGTACCAGCGATGTCAACAGCAGTGATGTCCCTATCGCCACTGGTGTGAGCAGCGGCATCAATAGCAGCGACATTCCCATTGCCACCAGTGCTAGCGAGATCAACAGCAGCATCATTCCTTTCCCCACAAATGCCGGGGCCAGCGAGATCAGCGACATTCCGTTCCCTACCAGTGTTGGAGCAAGCGAGATCAACAGCAGCGATATCCCTATCGCGACCAGCGCGTTCTGAACTGGTCACTTAGTATGTAGCATGCTATCCATAGAATATTAGCAATGGACACTGTCTCTGTTTGATTGGACTTACTATCTCCGTATTCCTAGATATTCGATATTCACTTATCTATATCCATATTGTGTTAGCGATTGTGCTGTAACCTATCTTTCATTTTCGGTAAGAATACACGGATGGGTGGGGATGCGCATATACTAAGTATCCGAAAGACCGACACTCGGCGTCAGTTGCTATTGACGTCAGGAAAGGAAGAACGCACGCTACATTTCGGACGCGGGAACGTAGGCGCGAATCGCGATGAAGACTTTCAAACGGACGACGCCGCAGCAGATGCTCAACCAACGGCGCAGCGACGCGGCAGCCATCCCGTCGCCTTCGAGACGCCGAAGACCGCACATTCAAAGAAGGGCATGAGCTGCATATGTACGCGAAATCCAGTGTATAGCCTCGGGCTGCGCCCGTCGGCCTCTTCTCTCCACGGCGTGTAGTAGAGTAAATGTGGGTTTTGGGCTGGCGGGGTGACGAGTGAATGTGTATGTATGGAGAAACGGCGCATACACCCACCTTCCTTGCAACCAGATCCTAGATGCTATTGTTGGCTTGCTCGTCTTTGATAACTTCGTACGCGTTCAGTTCCGAGGCGTACGATCGGAATCTCCAATCCGAAGCACCAGCTGGATATAGGACTGAGATTTGCAAGGACGTCGAGACTCGAGACGCCGTCGTCTCGGTGAAAAACACATACATTACCCCGTCGGACGGTCGAGATACTTACTGGATCGGATTCGAGGTGTGGCGATGATTGAGCGGTCAATCGATCACTTTCGAGGTGCGAGTTCCCGTGGACTGTCAGAAGAATTCCTGCACTGGTGATCGCAGTGGTAAGGAGCTAAGAATTGGAAACAAAAGGTGGCAAATAGATGTGATCTGTTTCAAGCTCTAGCTCAAAGCTCAAGGGCAGCCCAGCTGCATCACCAGTATGATGGGGGGATAGGGCGCAAAAGGAGGCATCAACTAAAAGCACAACGCGTCGCGTTCGCGCCATCGTGTCTTAACGCGCAGGGTCTTCCGCCCACCGTGCCAGCCACCTACTGAGGTGCGGATGTCGGTCGTTAAAATCACCGTTGAGAGATATCATATGCACGCCGTAGGATCGGGAGGTTAAGTCAGATTCCAGCAAACGGGACCCAACATCTCGACATCGAATCAGAGGCGGCGATGCTCAGCAAGTTTCGGCCAGATTTCGACATCCAACATCCGCACAAGGAATCCTAACCAGATCCAAATTATCCAGCGTCAGCCACCGAGCCATGATATATAAACCCCACATACGCTTAGGACGCCCCCACTATTCTTGATTCACTACCACGAGTATCTCTGCATTACATTCAAAATGTCTTTCACCTCCACCTCCTCTATGCTCGTCGCTGGTTCGACTTCTTCGAGTTCATCGCCCTCGTCTTCCTTCGGTTCCTTCAGCTCTGGCAAGGCGGTCGCCTGGTGGAAGGAGGGTGTCTCGTCTCCTTCCCCATCCTCGATGCTGTCCGCCGGATATGTTCGTGCTGCAAGCGAGACCGTGGTCGCTCAAGTCCCCTCCGCAAGATACGGCGGGCTTCAAAGGACAATGGCGATTGGCCGCAAGAGGGGCGCCGAGATTGCTCGCCGATGGAGCGACTCAAAGGGTGTTGTTTACGTCTAGGCGGTTACACAAGCTCAAGAGGTGCGCGTGGTTGGCGGCACCGTTTCGCGCCTAGGCGGGTTCGTTATTTCAAGAGGAGAAGCATGCAAGATTCGCGGCTGGCCCGCAGATTTCAAGCAACCCCAGCGTGCGCTACAACGTCATGCGTACCTCGTGGCTGACTATGTGCGTAGCAGGTCTTTTCTCGACTTCATAGGTTCGGTGGACACGCAAGCTCGACTTGAAGATCCCGTGGACTGGTAGCTGGTAAGTATGGAGGTAGGTGTTTGTGTTGGGAGGTGTGTGCCTCTCCTGATGAGTCCAAAAGGACGAAACACAATTTCCATACTGTAGTCTGGTCTGGATCGCGTTCATGCATCTCGTTGTTGTGCACATGTACTTGGAAATCGAAATTGTGTTCTCGTGCTCCTAAGTCCTGGCCGTTAACCGCTGAAATCAGGACAACGATTAACTTTGACAATGTCGCGCAGAACACGTCGTCCATACCGTAAGGTTCAGCGTCGTGTTATTTCTCTTCTATCCTTTTCCCACACCCCATGTAGTAGCTCAGCTAGCGTTGCCACGAATGAGACTGAGCGACACTCGTCGTGTTCAAGTCGCTCCTTCGGTGCAACTAGACTCTGGAGCAATCGATCTATTGGAGGGAAGCTTAGGCGATGTCGCAGCGAAATGAGAATCGAAGGAATCGATGGTCGCTCGACTGTAGAGGTCTCATTTAGCGCCCTGGCGCTCATCCTCCGCTTTAACGAACGCGTCGACAGCCACCACTCATGAGATGCTCCTCAAGCGGCCACGAGACACTGATGGTCTTTCTACTGAAACCCACCTGTGAATGCTAGTCCATTCGGCAAATTACTTGAAAAAGACTACGGTCGGTGACCAATTTCTGGCCGCAGAAAGTCCTGTCCTTGTTCGTGTGCTACCAAATACGTGTAGATATCTTGCATGGCCTCCTTCTCACTCTATTCTTCATGATAGGACGTCGGTACTCTAACACTATCTAGACTGATATGACCGCATTTTGCTGTCCCTGCCCTGCTCTCCTAAGCGACATACGAAAGAAACGGCCGCTCCTTGAAATACCCATTGACTCTGGACGGACTTCAGGCTTGAACCTTGAATATTTGAATGCTCAGGTCCATACTCAATGCATATTCTTGACGAAGCGCATTCATTCCAGTCCAGAGAGAGAAAGCACGAGCATGATCTATCAGCTACCACTCCGGACCTCTTCATTGATCTCAAACAACCATACAACACCAAAGTAGAACCCAAACAATTGCCGAGGCTTCGCTTACGCCCAATCCTCAGTGTAGGTGAGCTCGCGCTTGCGACCTCCAGTACGGGGTTTCCCTTGGTTCGCTGGAGGGGGGGCCGGAAGGGGCTTTGGGGCAGGCTTGGGAGGAGTGGGCGGGGGTGTTGGCAAGCCCGACACGCATTGATCAACGCATTGCTGCCACGCTGGAGTTCCCCATGGATGACCCCCCATAGAGCACGCTACCTGACATTCTTGTACCTATTACACAGGTAAGAATGATGTATCACAGAGAAAACACATTATCAACGTACCGTGTATCGCTTAGCCAGCTCACGCTTGCGTCCTCCAGTACGGGGCTTTCCCTGGTTCGCTGGAGGGGGAGCCGGAAGGGGCTTTGGGGCAGGCTTTGGGGGTGTCGGAGGGGGAGTTGGCAAGCCCGACACGCATTGGTCAACACACTGCTGCCATGCTGGAGTTCCCCATGGATGACCGCCCATCGAGCAAGCTACTTGACATTCTTGCACCTATTGTACGATTAACATCATGCGTCGTTGCTGATGGGTTTCCGCATCACGTACCGTATAGCGCTTGGCGAGCTCGCGTTTCCGCCCTCCAGTGCGGGGTCTGCCTTGGTTTGCTGGTGGGGGAGCAGGGACTGGCTTAGGGGCCGGCTTAGGAGGCGTTGGTGGCGGCGTTGGCAAGCCAGACACACATTGGTCGACACATTGCTGCCATGCCGGGGTCCCCCATGGGTGACCGCCCATTGAACACGCGACCTGGCATTCTTGCACCTATCGTACAGCGGCGGTAAGCACTAATTTCATTGCCCATGTCGTTCATTATCCTTACCGTGTATCGTTTAGAGAGTTCACGCCGTTCAGGCAGATGTGTGTCCTCTTCGCTGTATACTGGCGAGGCGGCCGCGAACATAGCCTGCGCAAGAGCAGCCAGGATGGCGAACTTCATTGCCAATTGCATGGTAGAACTCGAGGATGATGAAAGTGGTTGGATGTTGGGCTTTTCGGAACCGGTTATTTACGAAAGACCTGCTTCGGTAAGATCGTGAAGGTGAATGGAAGGGGAGAAGCGACCAGCACTGCTGAGGAACATAGGTGCCATTAAGACAGTATTTATACTGTTCAGCGTCTCCGAGATGGACGTTTAACTCGCCAAGGCGCGCTACAACTCGGTGTTCTGAAACATGGGTTTCGCGCAGGCTCCCGGGCGTTGGTTTTCTGCTACTGTGAATCCGTAAATCGTTGCAGTGTCTGTTTTGATCCGCTGATCTCGGTCACCGCGAGCTGACTGTCCATACTCTAAGCGCAGGTAATGCTGCAACGAGAATACCGTCCAGGGCAGCTTGTTGCCGTGTTGAGTTCTTCAACTCCATGTTCCAGAGACCGGTCATCCCCTCGATACTCGTCCCCATACAAAAGTGACAAATGATCCAAGACCGTCCTACCCGAAGGTTCAAACCACCACCTTGATATCAAGGTTATGGCCAAGTTTGGGCTAGGTTACCTTGTCTCGATGATGCGCCACCACAGCTTCCGCATCCCATCGCAATCGTGAAGGATATTCCATGTACCTCGTATACGATGGTGAATACTGTCTCCCTTTTGCTCTAGAGGGACAGTGCAGAATGATTGAAGTAGCAGGTGTGAGATTGAGCGTCGTCTGGCTCCTATCTGCTTCTATCTCAGCTCCTATCATCTCGATCATAGACCCAAGTCCTGTGCACCTCGCTGGTCTTCGCTGGTCTGCTATGATCAACGCTGTCGCATCTTGCGCTCGCTCGCTCAAATTGTCCGTGAACCCGATGATGGAACCCAACGTCGATATCTCTGTTTACCAAAGGTTATATTCATGTTCAATACTCGAACGGCTTTTCAGCCGTTCGTGTCCCTTGCCTCACACTCATTGCGCCGCGTAACATCTAAAGTTGTAGAGCTTATTCCCGTGCTTAAGCAGGTGCGGGCTGGGGGAGAAAGGGCGCATGTGCTGCAGCGTCGCGTATCATTCAACCGCACAATGTACAAAAAACTGCGATGTCCCTCCTGCGATAGCTATCGTCAATGCGTTGACGATGTGATTACAGCCGTGCCTAGGCATTGGACGGTGCTAACGCTCATACGCTAGATGTCAGCCATGAATGCTATCATGGTAGCGAATACCTCACAAAATCCGTACAATGGCACCAGCTTCATAGCGCGATGAATTCGACGGTTTAAGTTGTGGGTGTTGTCGAGGGGCACTCGGGAAGGTAGTTGCCATGTGCATCGTACACGCCCTCCGCCAGAGAGCCAGTCCCTTACTAGGAGGTGTGTGGCACCGCTGTAACATACTCAGGCGAGGAGAGTGTACAAGTAGGACCTCAAGGCGTCATACTAGTAGGTCTCATGCTGATACTAGTAATACTGATAGGACATGGTGGCACGACCACGTGACGGTTTCTGGGGAGACTCCTGCAGCCTCCTCCTGATGCGCAGCCTGCGCCGAAAAAAAAACAGATAAGGAACGGAGGATATCTAACAGTTCAACAGCTCTTCATCGATCATCCGTGAGCCCGCCTGCAGAAAACCCCCGCTCGCCTTGTAGGGGGAGCAACTGCCAACAGTAGTGCTGCCATGACCTTATTACCGTGTTGGAGGATGTTTGATGCAAAGGAGGACAGACGCGTCGAACGTCAGAAATACGTTTGAGTGCTCGTGCAAGTTCGTAGCGTCGGTGTGCATCGACTGCTGATCGATGATCGGACGATGGGCGATACTCAATGAGTGTCAGCCAACTTCCGACATCCAACACCGCACCCCAGAGCTTGATTATCCCGTATAATACAACAGCGAGCAGGAAGATATACCAACCCTTGGCGCGCTTGGGAGGCGCGAGGAGGGGCGTCGACTAGACCCACAACGCGTTACGTTCGCGCCAACTCGTCGCACTGACAAAGTGCAATGTATTCCAGAATACACTTGCCGTGCCAGCCACCCACCGAGGCGCGGATGTCGGTGTGTTAAAATCACCGTTGAGAGATATCATATGCACGCCGTAGGATCGGGAGCTTAAGTCAGATTCCAGCAAAACGGGACCCAACATCTCGACATTGAATCAGAGGCGGCGATGCTCAGCAAGTTTCGGCCAGATTTCGACACCCAACATCCGCACAAGGAATCCTAACCAAATCCAGATTATCCAGCGTCAGCCACCGAGCCATGATATATAAACCCCACATACGCTTAGGACGCCCCCCACTATTCTTGATTCACTACCACGAGCATCTCTGCATTGCATTTATGATGTTTTTCGCCTCCACTGCTCCTATGTCCGTCGCTGGTTCGACGTCCTCAAGTTCATCGCCTTCGCCTTCCTTCGGTTCCTTCAGCTCTGGCAAGGCGGTCGCCTGGTGGAAGGAGAGATCGCCGTCTCCTGTCCCGCCCCCGCCCCCGGCCCCCGTTCGTCGTCTCTACTTTCAAAGATACGCCGGGATCAAAAGGACGAAGGCGATTGGCCGCAAGCGGGGGGCTGAGATTGCTCGCCGGTTGAGCGAGTCGAGGAGCGATATTTACGGCTAGGCGGTTACGCAAGTTCAAGAAGTGCGCGTGGTTGGCGGCACCGTTTCGCGCCTAGGCGGGTTCGTTGTTTCAAGAAGAGAAGCGTGCAAGACTCGCGGCTGGCCCGCAGACTTCAAGCAACCCCAGCGTGTGTTACAATGTCCTGCGTACCCCGTGGCTGACTATGTGCGTGGCAGGTTCTCCGACTTGAAGATCCCGGGGACTGGTAGCTGGTAAGTATGGAGGTAGGTGTTTGTGTTGGGAGGTGTGTGCCTCTCCTGATGAGTCCAAAAGGACGAAACACTTTTCACCTAAAATTTGTTGCTCATAATAACTGACCACCAATACAGAGTGGCTGACTTACTACTCAGATGCGATTGCGATTGTGATCGGAATCCAAATTTGATGATCATGTATAATTTCCAATTTTGTTGGCTGTGAATATACTTCCGTCTTGATGGATTTTTGACACCGTTCGATATTCACGGCGAGCTCGATAAATTTTGTCAACATCAGCAAACCAGTGTAGTCATATTTCTTCAACGAGGAGTGAGAAAGTTACCTGGGTCGTTGCTGATGGCCAGTCGAGCGAAATGCACCTTCTTTTCCGCAGATCAATATGGGGACGTGCTGTAGCCTGAAAGCTTGAGCTTGAGCAATCATCGATGATCCCGGTGCTAGGTAGATTAATGACCTTGAAGCAGGAGTACTCTAGCGAATTTCTGATTTCGACGGCCATCTGCAACCGTCAACCAGGTGGTAACGACTGCTGCTGCCTGCCAAGCTTGTACTGCGCCGCAACAAGCCGCACTGTGTTCGTAACAGATCGTTACCTCAGCGGCGATGGCGGTTCGACACAGCCGTTGAAAGGGGCGTGGGAATAAATGCCAACAAGGCACCTCTCAAACTTACACCCCTTTGCGTTTCTTCCCTCCACGACTCCCACATCGTTTGATACGGTAAGTCTTCGTCCTCGCCGTCGCCTGGTCGCTTACAACCACCTCTCCTCGTCGTCCCACTCATCGTCGGCAGACCCCCACCTCTCACGCCAGCCTCATGTTCGTTCATCTCGCACCACTCACCAACCCTTGCGTTCTGATGTCCGTTTGGCTTTTTCTCTCGTAGGTCTGAACCATACGACCCATATCTTCCACGAAATGGCTCCGGCGCGAACCCAGGTGCCGGCCCCAGCCAGGGAAACGCAAAGACTGCTGCCATCCAGGCGCAAATTGACGATACAGTCGGCATAATGAGGGAGAACATCACCAAGGTCGCGGAACGAGGAGAGAGGCTGGATTCGCTGCAGGATAAGACTGGTGAGTTCTTCGTGTCACCTGAGCGCCCACGTTGCCTCCGCTCTGCCCCGAAGACGAGGGCGCTCGCTGTTTGCTGCGTAGCTGAGCTCGTTGCCTCGAAACCCGCTAGATAACTTGGCCGTTTCCGCGCAAGGCTTCCGCCGTGGAGCCAATCGTGTTCGCAAGGTACGTGTCCTCTCTGGAATCATTCCGCCCTTTGCTCACCCGCTGCATCCTTATTCCCGCAGAATATGTGGTATGTGACCCTGCCCTTTCCGCAGTCGTTGTGAATAACCCTATCGCTCAATTCTTTCCCAATCTCAAGGTGGAAGGACATGAAAGTGCGTGACACTCCCTTTCCCTGCTCACGCCTCCTTAACCATGTCCATTAGATGCGGATTATCATTGGCGTAGCCATTGCAGTGATCATCGTCATCATTGTGGTCTCCATCGTCAAAGCAACAAAACACTGAAAGGAGCGCGGTCTCTCGTGTATCATACTCCTCCTTGTTCTGTGTTGTCGGTTGTACACATGCACTATACGATTAATCCTCGCCTCCTACTTTTTCCTTCCCCGCCTCATGCCTGCGTCTTGGCTCTAGGCTGCGCTAGCGGTTCTTGGACTTTGTTCTGTGTTCATTATACATGACTTATAAATATAACTTCCGCCTTGCCTAATCACCGCAGACGCCGCCGTTCGCATGCTAATAGGCTAGCTGGATGCTAGGGCCAGACTATGGGGGTCTGCAGCATATCGCTTGTCAGGGAACCTCCTCTGTCCTGGGCAAAGATTACACGGGTGATACTTGAGGAAGGGTGGTCGATCACACGGACCCCACGAGTTACGATCGGGGCCTGGGTTCCATTCTATACACTTGAATGATCTTGGAGTAACGTGGTGACCATGTAAGAATAGCTATGCCTTCGCAAATGTGAATGGATAGGAATGGGATACAGCATGTACTATGAACGATGCATATAAGGAATCGCATATGGCATGAGACATGGTTGAAGTTGACCACCAGCACACCGCGCCGCGCCGTCGAGGTACGATCGCTTATCTTCCACCCTTTCCGCCCTTCATTTGCTGTTTCGATACTTTGGGGCCGGTTGCAACACGAGCGGGCTATATCCACCAGCAATCAATCAGCAATCAATGCATTGCTCGACAAATGCATCAAGAACAAGAACGGGAATAGTGATGATGGTGAAAGGATGAAGGGAAGAAAGGCAAAGGACGCACCTTGGCCTTCTTGGTCTCCTTCTCCTTCTTCTCCGACTTAGCCTTCGTGATGGCGGAGAGCCTTTGCTGCGAGCGGACGGCGGCGGTCTGGTTGCGCTTGGCGGCGATGGCGGCGAGGTCAGCGCCGACGATGCCTCGCTGGTGCTTTACGGTGCGGCGCGACCGCTTCTTGGCGACTTCTTCTGTGATGCCCTTCTTGTGCATGCGGCGGTAGACGACCGTCCATGCGATCTTACGGGGGTTCTTGCGCTGGAGGAAGAGGGATGCGTTTTTGGAGGAGGCGAAGCGGAAGACCTATAGTTCAAGGAGCGGTACGTGAGATTGGAGAGGCGAGGGTGGAGGGGGTACACCGGAGAGTATAGGTTGATGCAAGTGTGATGATATGACATACTTTGCTGTCTCCGCGAACGAAGAGCTTGCCCTTCGAGGGGTAGATTTTGTACCCAGAGAACGAGTCGATCTCAACCTTCTACACTCGGGACAATAGCATCGTCAGCAATCCCTATATGCCGAATGTGATAGGTCGATTACGCACCATCTGTAAACGCAACCGAATTCCAAGTAATTCCGTTAGCAACTCTTCACACAATCGCCAGACACAATGGCAGCAGCAAGGCTACGCTCGGGATCGAGATGGGGGAGTGGGGACAATCCGACGATTCCAACCTGGCATCGCGATTATTTTACGGTGGTCGGGTAGCTATAGCGCCTCATCCAAGTGCTCAGATGCGCATCCATCCTAAACTACCGCAAACCACCATGAATTTGGCATCGTCGCGAAGCCATTTCGTCTCCAAGCGTGGATTCTGGTGATTAGAACGGCATGGGAGGCTCACCTTGATGTATTTTGCGGTGCACTTGCTGGGCGGCGGTTTGTCGTGGTGTCCTAGGGAGGGTTTCGGACGAATTGGGTAGTGGCTTGGGAGTCTAACAGCTGCAAATAACGGCAAGCGCTCGTTGACTTGGGCGTGAATTTCAAAGACACAATGAGAGACGACACAGACGTCCTGCAGGAGATTGGTTGTATTGAATACCGTCCAGAAAGCTCTGCAGTTCAAAGTGCTCAATTGCGTGTGCCCATGGCATTTTCAAGCCCTCCGGAATTAGCCCTATCCGCAACAGGTATCCGGGACTGACCAGGATATCATGTCGACAATTGTCTGAGCGCGCGTATCATGTGTCTTCGAACTCAAACCACAGCTTCTGCAGCCGACACACCGACATCGGATTTCTACGTTCCTAGCGCGCACTGCAATGAAGCGGGTTTGAACTTTGGCGACACCGCCGTCAGTCGCCAGCGGGTGCGGATAAACGATATGAAACACCCTGACCCTGTGGCTGTGCTGTAGCATTAATATAACAACGAACGTTGCTGGACGCTAATCGTCTTCGCAACACCACCACCATCGACACCACCACTACATCGTACTTTCCCCACATTCCCTTCAACCCAAGGCACCCTCACCACCACTAATACCATGACTTTCACGCCTGACAACGAGCTCGACCTTTTCTTCCCGCCCGCCCTCATTTCCGAGGAAGTCAAGACCCAGCTGCACTCTTCATTACACGTGAGCGCGCTCGTGAAAGGTCGTCAGTGAGCATGTTGCTGACGAGGAGTTTGCTCAGATTCGCCCGCTTGCGTCAACGGACTACCGCCGTGGCCACCTCGACGTCCTCCGCGTCCTCACCGTGACGCCCGACCCAGGCCAGGCAGCATGGGAGGCGCAGTTCCACGCCATGCGCTCCGCTCCCCACACATACTACCCGCTCGTCATCGTCGACAAAGCGACAGACGTTATCGTCGCCGTCGGCTGCGTCTTCATTGAACGCAAGTTCCTTAGAGGTCTCGGCAGCGTCGGCCACATCGAAGATATCGCAGTCGACAAGGGCCAGCAGGGGAAGAAGCTGGGGCTGCGGGTCATCCAGGCGCTCACGTATATCAGCGAGAACAGCGGGTGCTACAAGACAATCCTTAACTGCAGCGATGACAATATACGTACGTCGCCTGCTTGGGTGGTTGGCATCGCCGGAGGATAGACTCTTACTTCCTTCGTTTTAGCGTTCTACCAGAAGTGCGGCTTCGAGAAGAAGGAGAATGAGATGGTGCGTTACTCTGTTTGTCCTCTCCCCCCGTGTCCAACACTAATACAAACGCTCTTTTCAGGCCAAGTATAAGCCGTTGCCCGCCAGCGCACCTCCCAAACTTTAAGCCTAAAACCAACGCACAATCTAGACACATTGCATCCTGTTTCTTGACTATCTATTCTCGGGCTACCATACACACTACACTACACACATTCAAAGCACACCCCTTCGTAGAGTACACACTTCTGAACTCTAAATTCTGCTGGACGTTGAGCGATGCTAGACATGAGATGTCGGCCTGTACACCTGTATACTCTTATATTTATGATAATATTGATGGTCTCTGGAGTATCCACCGATGCCGTCACGCCGACGCCACCTAAACCAGGGTCCCAAGCCAGTCCCTGCTCCCGCCTCCAGCAAACCAAGGCAGACGCCGCACTAGAGGGCGGAAACGCGGGCTCGCCAATGTCGGGCTTACCAACGCCCCCGCCGACACCCCCAGAGCCCGTTCCGGCTCACTTCATCTCTGGGCTGGATAAAATCCTTTCGAGTAAGGAGCGATGTGCTGCAGAGAATATCATCGAGTCCACCAGACCCTACGCCGCCGTTTCTTTTGTAAGCCGAGGGGGCAGGAGCATAGTAGACATAATGCGGTCGTCACAGTCCAGGTAGCGATAGGCCACTAATATCTTGCAACTTAGATCAGAGTGAGATTTCAGTAGAAAGGCCGCCAAAGTCTCGTGGCCACTTGAAGACCGTGACACTTTGAGCAAGTAAGAAGTCCACGGACGCTTGTCATCATTTGCACCTGTTAGACTCCCAAGCCACTACCCAATTCGGGAGATGGGCGTCCCAGTAAGGGCATGAGGGGACCCCGTGACGAACACGTCGTGTGGTTAGCATCAACGGGATCATGTGACGCAGTGGTATATATAGTATCGAGGAAGTACCCTTGACTTCCACCCTTCCGTCAGTACCCCAGACGCTCGGCCTCTGCAGTGGGAGCACCCGTCGTAACTGGGCGAAAGCTTGGGTGAATTCTTCTTCTCTGAACCCTTCGTCCTTCTACAGTCTCTAGTCTCAGTACTCCGTATTCTGAGCTCAGTTTTCATCTCAAACGCGTTGTCTCTCACGTTGTTGTGAGTCCAGTATCTTTCACATCTCGTACCCTGAAATACTCAAACTCGGAGAGATTAGGACCACACGAAGCATCTGGCACTATGGGTCTACTCAACTCTCCTCTGCCGTCTAAAGGAGGTATTCAAGAAGACACTCGGGGTCATCACAGACAGAATTCGATACCGTACACCAACAACGCCGAAGACCCCCTCAGCCACCCTTCTTACCTCCTCCCTCTTCTTCAAGGACCTCGAGTGACAGCCGGGACTCTCTCAATCCATCCTCCACACTCGCAAGCGCAAATACGGAACCGTCGCGCGCCTCCAATGCAGTCTGTCGTACCAATAACAAAGGATAGTCAAGAGGTTGGTGCTGTATAGATGACGCGCCCATAGTGAGTTCGTCTCGCACTTACTGCTCCCCAACCTCCCTCCTGATATTCCTTTTCTTCGCTAGGTGAAGACTTTTCTGCAAATCGATGCGAGTCGTAATACATCGATGTCTTCATGCAGTTGACGCGTTCGCCATCTCGACCAGCTACTCTTCCCACTCCCCGGAAGTCTAAGATGCAAGTAATGATGGAGACGATGGAGCACCAGACCTCCAGGGACTCTACTTGCGCGAACTACGGGACATCTTTGCCTACTCCTATTCCCCTCCGCCGTACTCCCCCGCGCTGTATCATTGGCCCTATATGGATATTGGTAATCGAATATCATATATTTAGGAATAACGAAATGGCAAGTCCGATCTATCTCAAATAACGTCCTTTGCTAATACTTTATGGGTAGTATGCTACATACTAAGTGACCGGTTCAGATCGCGCTGGTAGTGATTGCGATTTCGCTGCTGTTGATCTCGCTGGCCCCAGCACTCGTGGGGAAAGGAATGTTGCTGTTATTGATCTCGCTAGCACTGGTGGCAATGGGAATGTCGCTGCTATTGATGCCGCTGCTCGCACCAGTGGCAATAGGGACATCACTGCTGGCACCCGGGAAGCCCATCGAATAGCCCTGGTCGACGGAGCTGGGGAAACCGCTGTATGACCCAGAGGCCCCAACGCTGGTGTAGACGGGAGCGTCGCTGCTGTAAACCACGCTGCTGGGGAAGTCGGAATACTCTGGGACGCCACTACTGTAGACGTAGCTAGCGCTCGCGAAGCTAGAGCCCGGGACAACGGAGCTGGGGTACTCGCTGTACGAGGCGCCATCGCTGCCCGGGAAGCTGGAATACTCTGGAACGGCGCTGCTGAAGACATAGCTGGCGCTTGGTGCTTCGCTACTCCCGCCAGAGGGGATAGGGATGTAGCTTGTGTAAACTGAAGAGCTGGCAATGCCACCACTGGGGAAGCTGGGGTAATCGCTACCGCTTGGGAAGGGGACGTCACCACTCGCGCTAGGGATGTACTCGGAGAAGGAGCTGGATGGGACATCACTTGGGGAGCTGGCGATACCGGTAGACGTAAATCCCTTGCTGCCGAAGCCCCGGCTGCTAACACGACGCGAGCTCATGGGCCTGCTGGATGATTTAGGTGGCTTGTAGGTGGATGCGGGAGCCTTTGACACTGGGCCTCCGGCAGCAAGCAGCGCGCAGAAAGCGGGCAAGAGGGCGAACGTGAAGAAGCTGTTGACCATTGTTGCGCGTTGGGAATTAGCTGCTGCTGCTGAGGTGTGAGGAAAGCACCGATGCTGAGAGGTTTGACCTACGCCCCCTGGTATTTATACCCCCAGACGAGCGATGCACTCGCCATATTCCAAAGTCATATGCAAACAGCGGATTAGCAATGACCGTGACAAGGCCTTGGAAATGGTGGTGCACACCATCTTCTGCGTTGTCGACAACGTGATTATCCGTGCGACACCAGCCCCAAGTGGTCACTCCTCCGCGTAGATATCGTAGGACGATTACCGCACTTATCTTCTCCTTCATGCGTGTGTCTTATGCGCGGAGTCTCCCCTGTTGAGCCCAATACGTTCCAATGGGTGTCAAAGGATTTCCGTATTCTGGAGTCGACCATATTCTCGGAGCACCATTTTTCTTATGGGGTCCATCTTAGCAACAGTGGATGAATCCGTGAAGAAATCAGCCATCTGGTCATTGCGGGCATCATACGCAGATGGACCCTCTGGGTGAGTGACTCTATGCTGTGCTCTGACTTGCGATTCCAATCTGAGTGTTGTGTTTTTGTAGATGGCAGATGGGGATAAGGGCTTCTAGGGCGTGATAACGGACGATTCCCTTGAGTGAATAGGCTCGACGACATTCCGCAGTAGATCTTCGCACATTGGCGGTTTGAAACCGGCGGGCATCTCGCGTTTGAGTTCACGAAGGCATCTACACTTCCCCCGCAATAATTTCACTGCCGAAAGAGCCATGGCAAAAACCATCACCTCATCAATGACATTGTGATCCATGCCGCAGCAGGCCAGGAGGCCACCTCTGCAAGCGTCGAACCCGAGATACCAGAGTCGAACGGGAGAAGGGCCGAATTCGCGGTACTTTCCCTAACGTGTTTTTCGAAGTCTCCGCAAAAGGAAGGGCACTGACTGAGCAGAAGGCGTCTTATGGTACATGTAGTCCTGTAACGGTGAGTTCACTCCGCGAAGCATGACTGGGTGTATCGCTTGTTCATCTTCAAATGCTAAGGACATACCTTGTCCGCAGTCAGACTCCGGTTCATCCCCATGACGAGGCGAGCCAACGGAGGCCATTACTGCCCGTCTAAGGGGATGAAAGTTCGGCTGAGTTGCGATATCCAAGCGAGGTTGGGTTTCTCGGGACTCCTGGCTTGGCTTTCCCTCCTAGGTCTTTGACTATAAAGACATGGTAGTAATATCTGGTCGAATACCCCATACTTCACTTCGACTCTTATACTCTTGACAACTGCAGATATGATGTTCCCAACACTGATTGCCCTATCCTTGGTGGCCATCGTGGCTTCTGCAGCGGATAATTCGACGACGAATTCAACCGTGTCCTCGTTCATTGGGAATGCGACCAGGTAAATTTCAACGCCTTCGGCTGAGTATGGACAATCTGCTGACACTAGTCTCCCTATAGTACATTCGCGCCGTACGTAGTCTGAAAGATTGTCAATCAAGTTTATATTGACGCAACCTAGCTTCCCGACGCCCTCGATTGGGTCTCCTACGTTCAACGAGTAGACTAGTTTGTTCTCTCTGGTCCCCCGCGGTCGCTGACGATCTTTCCAGGTCTGTTATCGTGCCTATTGGTAATGGAATATACTCCTGCTTTGTCTATGAAACGGCTTTCCCACCCGCCGCTACGGTTGCAGTGCCGTTGTAAGTCCACTCGCCCACTTCTGCCTCTTGTATTCTCATCTGTCTCAATATCAGCCCAATTGCCACGGCTTCCAGCATAGACACGAACGCAACAGATTCATTCAACGGGGCCGTCAATAGCTCCATGGTGTCGGTCACATCCTTCGTCTTGCCTTCTGGCACGGCCGTCCCAGATAACTCAACGGGTCTTCCCACTTATCTCTGTGTGCCAATTGCTGGAAACGAGGCCGATATTTTCCCCAATGGCACCGCCAATTCGTCCGTCATTGCTACCCCGACTTTCGTTTACAACGGGACATTCCCGTCTGCATCTGCTGCTTGAAGGGCGCGAAGCGGTTGACTTCGGACGATGGGTAGTATTTGAGTGCCTTATGCATGTAGGATATCATCCACCCCCGTTTCCCACATTCAGCTCGTTTGACTCGTTTTTAGAAGGAGATTTCGTTGTGTAGCGTGAAGTACGCGTGTTGATTTACTTCGGACATTATAGTCGTTCATCCAATATATGTGGTGTGTCGTTGGTGCGCCTTTGATGATGCCTTAAGTCTTGACGTTGTATCCTTGGGTAAATTTAACGGTACCTTTGTGCGTTTCCTTCGATTTTCGTTGGGCAGGCTGAGGTTGTCCGCTTATAAGCGCCCAGCGACGAAGTTCTTTCTTTCCCTCCAGGTAGCCTCGGCCATGCTAAATAACGGTCGAGTGAACTCTTTCTTGGACTCGAATTTTTTACTTGCTGGTGACTTCGGGATTGAGCAAGTGCACCACCACTTGCTCGCCCACTGACCACGCGTGTTCGAGGCCCAAACCACTCACAGGCTTGTGTCAGAGCTTATCACCCATCAGATTAATTACGGCCGTGGTGGTCGCCCTCCCCTCTGCTGGCTTATGTATTAGCAGTGGCATGTTTGGGGATAAGCTAGAGTGCACCTTGGTTGACTTACGAAGATCCTGTAATACATAGGGACAGAGTGGGATCAGGGGATCAAGGGGATGCTATTGAAAGAGCAAAAAGAAACACAGTGAGTGTGCAGCGAAACATTAAAAATTGGTGTGTATCGTCATAGCTAAGCATGATGTAAAGGGAACTGGATATCGTATTATTCATCTAGTAGAAATGAACGCAGGTTGTCCGCAGAGAATTATCCAGAGGAAAAGTGACAATCATGCTAATATTGGCTTGCTTTGATAAGGTCAGCTCCTCGTTCGCCTACCAGGTAGATTGGGCCTTGCGTGTGGGCACTTGGTAGGTGTGGCTAGATGTACAATATCTCGTTGAGAACTCCTACCATCCTACGGCCAGATAGATAAGAACGCACCAAGACGGAACCATCAACAATTCGGAGGCCGTCAACACCCTTGACCTTGAGGTCAGGGTCAACAACGCCCCATCCAGCACCTCGTGGGGACATACTCGCTGTGCCAACTGGGTGGAAAATTGTGCCCGCATTGTTTCTGACGTATGCTTCGAAATCAGCATCTGTCTTCGCGGATGCGAGGTCCTCGAGGAAGGGGCCCTGTACATAATCTGCCCATGCCTTCCCAGAAATAAACCGTAGGTTGGCTTTGACCGCTTCGACCATTGTGAATACATCAAATTCTGTCGAGAGGAATTGGGGATCGATGATAGGATTCGTGAAAGGATTTGAAGAGGCAAGCTTCACGAAACCCCCTTAAGCACAGCTGAGTCTCAGTGAGCTGTTCAATTTCAATGACAGATAACTCACGAGATGTGGGTGAAATTAATGCGCTCGATATGCTCATGAAACTTCCAGTAGCTGGTGCGGGGACACCTGGGACAACCCATAAGTTCTGCCAATGTTTGTTCAGTTATGTGGAAAGCAATGTTCATGATTCGGATCATACAGAGAAAATGATCTCCCAATGAGGGGAGTTGGGACCGGAAGCAGGGTCTGGTACAGTTTCAAAAATGCTTGCATTACTTGGCAGCCTCAGCCAACCGAGGTGATTGGTGACACCCGCGACCAGGGGACCTGTCTTTGTATCTGTCCATAGAGTGATCTTATCATTCAGGAGCGACGGAGTCCTAAAGATGGGGTCGAAGCTCCGGTTCCCATTGACAGCGAAGGGGCTAGCGAGCAGTATATGGTCTATACGCGGTGGAATAAGCACAGCCCTTAAGATGAAGTACATAAAATTCACCAGATAGATTCCGACCTACACTAGGGTTGTTGACAATGGCTTTGATTCCGACAGATCTCAAGTCCTTTCCGTCCCCGATTCCTAGTTGCAATGCGATGAGCGGTCTTCTCGTTACCTTTCAGTCCAACGAACCTGATAACTGAAGAAGAAGGGGAGTGCCGATGGATCCAGCTGAGAGAACAACTTCTCCTGTAGCACAAATCTTCTTGACCGGCGCTATAGAACGCAGGCAGATGTTATTATGTCCTATTGAATGGTTAGGGAGAAAGACTTGCCTCCTTCATGCTGCGTAAATTGTACACATCGGAAGGCTGGGCGTCCCTTTGTAGTGCCGGTCTGTACCAGCTTGGTCACTTGCGCATTCACCATTATTTCAAGGTTGGGCCGCGATTGGGCAGGCTTCAGGTAGGACGTTGCAGAACTACTGCGCTGGCCATTTCCGATAGATTGAATGGTCCAACCTAGTCAGCCAAGAGCGTTAACAGTGTGTAGTGATGGCGAGTCAGGACAACTTGCCAACACCAAGAACATCACCCCCTCCCATGTCTGGATTGAATGAGAACTCTTCCTTTTGCTCATCGAGAGTTGCGAGCACCCGAGAGTCTAGAGGAGTTGGGAATCCTGGTAGGCTGATATTGATAGCCCCCTTTGTACCGTGCAACTCGGGAAGAAATTGGCCAGTCGTGTTGTGCCCTCCATTCGGGGTGAGCGTGGTGGTCAAATTCGAGGAGTTGGAGAACTCACTATCAGCAGGAGGAACAACTCTTTCGCTCTACAAGAACCCAGATCAATCTCCATGCTGGGATGTTGAAACTCTGCCAGCAACTTGCCTTTCTAATGTACTGTTGCATATTATCCCACTTCCAACCGCAATCTCCAGTAACGGCTGCATAGCTGTCGAAATCCTCTGAGGACCCACGCATGAACACCATATAGTCTATACCGCCGTGGTCAGTCCGTATTCTTTCCGCCCTAGATAAGGTCGGTACATACTAACGGAGCTTGATCCCCCCAGCATACGACCACGCGGGTAAGGTATCACCCTTCCATTGTACCCAGCTTGTGCCGTTGTCGTATAATTCCAATCAAAAATGGAATTAGGGACTAACGAAGGCCCAAGCAGGGGAACTTCGGAAGCCAATACGTCCTCGTTGCTTCAAGTCCAAACGGATTGTTCAATCACGGTACAGCAAACAAGATGGTATGTACCCACGAGACGCCGGCCTCAAGCAACAAGACGGTTACTTTAGGGTCCTCTGTGAGTCGTGCAGCAACTACATTTCCCGCAGTGCCACCTATTTCATGTGTCAGGTTTTAATCAGGGCTAGTGAAAGCTGGGGTGATAGTAGGCAACTGCGTACCTCCAACAACAATATAGTCGTAGCTCGACCTGCGCGGGCTCTTGCTGCTTGCATTAGTACCATACGACAAGGGGAACGACAGACAAGAAAGGAGAAGTAAATTACGAAGCCGGAAGAGAGTAGAGCGTGACATCCTGAGTCGAGCACTGGATCCAAGGGCAATCACCCAGCTATATATAAAATACATTCTTCCGCCGACTCCCATCGTTTAACATTGCCATTCATCAAACAGTGGGCGGCGTGCTGACCATGAGAAGGCATCAGAATCTAAACTTTCAAAGCTGCCATCAGTGCGCGTGAGTTGCCTGGCGGTACCATCACTGGCCGCTGAGCTGGGTCTGGTTACCTCCTAGAATCATCAACTCAAGATTCTGGGAAAGTTTCAGTTGCTTAGCATTTCGGACATTGATGCGGTGAGTACTTCAACCAATGATGGTGGTATGTATTCTCGGTACCCGAGGTACCTGAAAGCTGCTTCCTGAGCTCAGATAGTGGGTCACCACTCATCCATATGCTACATCATCAAACGGTGGTCGCATTCTCGCACAAATGCGCACACTGTGTACACACAAAAACAAAATATCAAACCTTGTCATTGACACTTGGCCCACATGTTGTAATGGTGAGCTATATTTACACATATGATACAGATGTTCTCCCAGTATAGTCGTGTTATCATTTTTTTCCAGATATGTTATTAAATTAAATTAGCAACCCTAAAGTCCATCACTAAGTATACAGGCAACGGAATCACATATGGTCTGAACTTCTTTCAGAAGAAGGGTATAAATCTTCCTTACGCCCTGGGATAACGCTGAGCTCTAATTCCTCCTGTCGGAAGACTTGGACAACCGGAGGATGCTATGCGCAGTGAGTCAGGGTTCATCACAAGCAGGCGGTGGACTCACGCCTGGCCGAGATGGTAACACCGTTGACCGCTGTCCATCATCAGAGCTTCCAAACTTCCAGCCGGACCTTGAGTTGAGACTTGACAAGATAGCGTTTGAATATAGCTTGGAGAGAATCCAATTGAAGATAAGATGCCTATTAGAGGTCAGAGATAAGCCGCTGGTGGTTCTTTGCCATCGTTTTTGATCCTACTCACGTTCCCGACGGCTAAGTACCCATTGTTAGGACAGAATCAGATCGCTTTGCGTGGGAGAAGGTTTACGTACATCCACGAGGAAGAATATCAAGTCAATGATGGCCAGGACGGTCTGTAGCAAGCCTGTTTGAACAGTCACTGAAATCTTAATGAGAAACCATAAACAGAAGATTGGATTGAACACCCAACTTCGAATGATGCGATCTATAACTTGGTTAGAGCCTCCGAATGTGTTTTTGTGTTGACGCTATAGGAAGTAAGATTGCGAGCTTGATTCAGGGGAAAGGGAAGCTAACCCTGAGAGTCCAAGTGAGTTGCATGCAAAAGAAGGGGTACGAATACTCACAGATGCCATGTCATTGCTGTGGTTATGAAGAGATCGGACACGGCGGAACCAGCAAGCCATATGATCACAACCACCTGGAATTTTCGAAAATTCACAAATTCCGGTACCCACTCTGTCGCAGCAGCGGCTCCGATAGCACAGACTGAGAACCAGCGATGAATGGATGACTGTGGGCACCAAAAGAGAGATAACCTACGATTGCTGGAAATGGACGTAGCTACTATCAAAGAAACCATCCAAATATTGCCCGTCAATACTTTGACTCGCCATGCAAAGAACAGTTGCACTGCTGCAGTGGTTATCCCCTGTTTTGCATTAGTGTAGATTGGCATGATGAAGATGTTTTGTCACATTTATTGCAGGGTCTGAGCAAATCGTAGAGTAAGTGGGTTAGCTCCGTCCGCCTGTATGAAGAGTGCACGCACCAGTTGCAAATACTGGATGGTGAATAGCAGGGATTAGTTTCACATCCAAATCAGTGCGAGAAAGACTCAGGACACGCACACCAGTTGGCGTTAGCAAGATACCCTGGATCGTCTGCACGGAAACGTTAGTGGTAATTTAGTCTTCAGCCTTGACTGGTTGAGACGGCGCACCGAAATGCTTAATCAACGCTGTGTACAAGTAGATGGTATCAAATACGATGTTCACCGTATCGGCCACTAGCAAGAAGGCGATCTGGATAGTTGGATGTCAATCAACTCTACGAGTTTGTGGATGTGCACGTACCAGGAACTTCATCCATCCTCTATCCCTGATATTAATTGTCAAGAATTTTCTTGTTAAAGTAAGTGCAATGAACCATACCTTTTGAATGTGGCAAAATACAGATATCCTTGAAGGATGATGAGGCCATAGAGAATCAACTTGATAACGAATCCGATAAAAATGGAACCATGACTGCCATAGGGCGGGCGGCAGTGAGTTGGTGGTGAGACATGTTTTGACACCTACGACTTACGCTACTTCTGCAGGCCCTTTCGCCATTTCAGGATGTTACACGTAGTAGAGAAACAGAAAAACTTGAAGTGGAAAGTCCATTAGTTGGCCAAGTCCAGATACATATATAGCATCACGACCAAGGTTTCAACTCGGAGCGAGTGATGCTGGGGCTCTCAGAGTCGCAGGTAACCCCAATAGACGACGTCCCCATCACTGAGTGAAAAGCTCAGCGCTGAAATTGAAATTTGAAATCTAAAGTGTGTTATTTGACTTCCGATCTGATTCCGATTTCTGGCTGGTGCGTGACTCCCGCCAATCAGGAAGTATGGGCTTGAAGTATTTCATGTGTCAATCAGCTCGTGTCTTCATCCAAAGTTTCCATGTGGTTGATGTGTCCCAGGGATTCTGTGTCCTCTTTTTGGTTGGACTTTGCCCTGTCGCAGTGAGAGCGTCCAATGAGCGTGATTCACCTCTCGGTGATGAGAAGGATGTATACTCCATTATTTTTGGACTATCGGCGGAATCAATGCCCAGTGTGTTTCTCAGCCCGAAACACTGGCAAGTGCAGCCAGCGTCAACCGTTGACCTGATGCGATCCGCTCGGTAAAGTGATCAAGTCTCTATGGAAGTTCTTCTAAACACTCACGAGTAACCATCATGCTGCAACAATACTTCACATGCGTTTGGGCACAGTGGTCACTGGCAGTGATGTGGTTGGGGGTCTGCCTGTTAGTTTGTGGGTAACACACACAGATAGGAACCAATGATTAAGTAAATAACCGTGCCCAATCTTTTACCCTCTCAGTTAGCCAAAAGCATTGTGATGGGGACACACGCCGCACTGGTAAGCGCGTATTCAAACATTGGCTTCCCTTCCATATAATCGCTTCCCTTCCAAGAAGGCGAAGTCACAAGCACCATGAAACTGGTAGCCAACGATAACGCAAATCGTTAGCCGCGATGACTCGGGCGTCAATATGAAGGCAATAGCTGCTGTATTATCTTAATACTAAATAGAATAGCACGTTCGCATGGCGCACTTGAGTCCATGTGAAGGCGTCAGGATCTCTGCTGGTTTATCAACCATGAAAATCTCAGACTATCACCACCATGCTCCCAGACGTGAGCAGGTAGTCCGATAAGAATACTCAGGCTTCTGGTACAAGTCTTGAGGCCTTGAGGGATTGAAGCGAGTGACATCCACGGGGGTCATACATTCATACAGGCACAACACGGCAGGTGCTGATATGGCAGACATACATAAATCATCATCAGACGGGATCGGAATTTCGCTCAGAGGAGGGGTAACTGTCTTCTTTGATGTCAGAGATAACGTTGAGTTCAACCTCTTCTCGTCGAAAGACTTGGACAACTTGCTGAAACATATTGCCATTGGCTGTTAGATCATGGGCGGTGACAACAAATAGAGTGCTTACGCCTCGCCGAGTACTAGATATCCCAGCTGACAGGTTCCCGTTGTCAGTGCTGCCAAACTTCCAACCGGATCTCGAATTCAAGCTCGACAGTATTGCATTCGAGTAGAGTTTGGATAGGATCCAATTGAAAATAAGATGGCTGTAAGAGGTCAGAGATCGGTTGCATCTTCACTTCTGCGCACCCATACTCACGTTCCTGAAGGCTAAGGCATGTCTCAGTCCACAATGATGTCAAATGAATAACTTTGACTTACATCGACAAGGAAGAAGATTAGATCAATGATGGCAAAGACGGCTTGTAGAAAGCCTGTCTGAATTGTCACTGTAAATGATGAACCATATGCATGGTTGTCAGCTGAACCGGATAGCAGACGAAACTGCCTCACGTCGGATAATGCGATCAATTACTTGGTCGGATGACCCAAATCCGGATCTGTGTTGGCGCTGTAGAACCTGCAGTCAAGGCTCCACTGCACCTCCAGCGAAATGAAATGCTAACCCTGAGTGATGCAACCAATGAATATCAATATTTTGCTTGCAGGAGGATGGAAAATGAATGTAGGTGCTTACAGGTACCATGTCATAGCTGCGGTGATGACAACATCTGAGACAGCCGAGCCAGCGAGCCATATGATGACCACAACTTCGAATTTCTGGAAATTGATGAATTGCGGGACCCACTCTGTAGCAGCAGCGGCTCCAATTGCGCACACTGAGAGCTGTGTCAATCCTTGGTCCGAGTACTGTAATAAATTACCTACGTCCACTGGAGATGGAGGTGATGGTGATCAAAGAGACCAGCCAGATGTTGCCTGTCAGGACTTTAACTCGCCAGGCGAAGAATAGCTGCACTGTCGCAGTGGTTATGCCCTACGATTACGCTGTTCATAAGTAGGTTAACCTTTAGGTAGCAAGAGCACCGACGTTTATTGCTGGATCTGAATGGAATTGAATGGTCAGTGTTGCAGGATGGATGCAATTCAGTGCGTACTTACCCGTCGCAAATACTGGACAAGCAGCAGGGAAAGTCAGGTATCTGGCATGTGCAGGTCAGAAAATACTTACGCCAATTTGCGTTGGCGAGGTAAGCGGGGTCGTCTGAATATAATGTCAGTAGAATGAATCCTCGCCAGCAAAAACCACATACTGAAGTGGATGATTAACGCAGTGTATATGTACACCACATCGAATACAATATTGACGGTATCCGCCACTACTAGAAATGCGATCTATGAGCATGGTCAATTGTTCGTTTACTGCTGAATGTTTTGCGCAAGAATGCACGAGTAATTTCAGCCAGAGCCTGTCCCTAATGGATCATAGTCAGTAAGGTCACTGAGTGTTGAGCAAGAAGTATTGAGTATCTACTTACTTCTTGAACGTGACATAATAAAGGTAGGCCTGTAGAAGGATTAGACCATATAGAATGGTCTTAATGACAAAGCCAATGAAGATCGGGCCATGACTGAATGTCACTAGGTGGTGAGGTGAAATCTTGTAATTAGTAAACGCGACCTACGCAATTTCGGCTGGACCTTTGGCCATCTCGGGGGGGATGGAAGCAAGAATGCTAAGCGAAACTTCATTGGCTTTATCGAGTGTTGACGAATGGCTGGGCAAATTAGTTACCTTTACATCTGATGTACCAAAGGCTCAATTGATTAGGCCGCATCTGCCAATCAGCGAATATCAATGGACAGAAAAGGTATTTTTGTCGTGTAATATACCATCCGTTTGCATATAAATGAACTAAGATAAACCAGCGCTTACAGTCGACACCTATTTTCGCCCAAATATGGAAGGAGTTAAGGCCGAGCAGCCCCTCACTGGCACAGAGAACAGAACCACACGCGGCACCGCGCATACTCGCGCATACAACATCAATGCGATCTGTTCGCTTCACGGTCACTCCTTGGGAAGACTTCCCAATATGAACTCATCTGGCGAACTTGGAACTCAAGCACCCTTCTGATAAACTCGGACGGTGGGGATGCTAGAAGGATTGGAGTGGATATCGTGGAAGTGCCCGAACTTCGAGCCTGGGTCCCAAATATTGGCTTACTGATGTTTCATCAAGTCGTCTCCTGTGTACTATAAGAGGTGCGCTCGCTGTGCACCTTGAAAGCCCCAACGAACTACTCTCCAGCTCTCCCAAATGCCTTTGGTTTCTTTACAAGACGTCGCGAATAAGAACTTTGATTATATCATCGCTGGTAAGCTGGCAGGACTCTTTGGAAGTATATTGCTGAACTAACTAATCATAAGGGGGCGGGGTGAGTGCCGTTCAGCTTGATTGACGCTCGTTATCAGGACAGCAACGTTGACCAGAAATCCGCCCGGTTTTCCAGACTGCCGGATTGGTTGTCGCTGCAAGGCTTTCCGAAGACCCGAAAGGTATGCGCATCCTGTCCATCAAGGACATACCTCAGCTTCTGACACGCACCCATCATAGTCAACGTGTTGGTCCTCGAAGCGGGCCCGGCCAACCTCAACGATGACTTGATTCGTATTCCTGCCCAAATCGCACAGCAATTTGGCAAGCCTTCGTACGATTGGAATTTGACCACGGTAGGCATGTCCATCTTTGTCAGCCTTTATCTCTTTCTCAAGCTATCCTCCATAGACTGTACAGGAAAATTCTGACAGTACCCAGTTTGGTTGGCACATGTACGTTGCGGTATAGTCCGGTAATGATGGCTAGCTATAAGTTCCATTTAGTGGCAAAGGCCTTGGTGGTTCATCCGCTATCAATTTCATGTGCTGGATAAAGCCACCTGCTGAAGACATAGACGGTAATGCTTTGCCTGAACGAACGTTGTAGAAACTCACCTAGTTTACCATAGATCTTGAAAAACTTGTGAGGGCGACGCTCGCATAACAGTTTCCTTTGCTTATCGTTTTCATTTGCGCAGGGGAATAGTGGCTGGAACTGGAACACATACGACAAGTACATTAAGAAGGCAGAAAAGTACACATATACTTCTTCGTCGAGCAATCGAGTCCTAACGATCTTACCTCCCATAGTTTCATCCACCTCCCCAAGGAGTTCTTAGCTGCGCGTGGCCTCTCGCTGGATAAGTGGAAAACAAACTCGTTCGGTGGTAAGTAGTGCTTGGCTTGTTACGTTGTTCATCTCTGAACAACATTCTAACCATAGGTCCTCTTAATAATGGGCACCAGAGGACGGTGTTAGATGTCGAACTCAAGGCTGTGAAGGTAACCTTTCTGCTCGCTCCATCATCGCATTGTATTAATGTAGATCATGGAGGCTCTCGGCAACCTCGGCATTGGCGCTGCTGAAAACCCCGTGAGTGATAGGTCTGTTGATCTTTTTCCGTGTCTAATGCATTGTGATTGCAGATGGGCGGAGACGTACGTGTATTGTGTGCGATGGCGTGTGGGCTTGATCCTGACCAAAACCTTAATGTGTTGACAGCCCAAGGGCTTCTTTTTCGTTCCAAGCAGCGTGGACCCCACTACTAATTACAGATCTTACTCAGCCACCGTAAGTGATGGACAAGCTACACTTCAACGAAGAAACCTAACATTGATTGACAGGCGTACTACGTTCCCAACGAGAACAGAGCAAACTTGTCTGTTCTTGTCAACGCCAATGTGAACAAGATTGTCTCTGACGATAAATTTGCTGATGGTTTCCTCGCGACCGGCGTCGAATTTTCTGTTGATGGCTCGACCTATGTTGCACATGCTACTAAGGAAGTCATCGTCTCCTCTGGGTACGTACTTTTCATCCACAGTCGTGACTCATCATTCGGTTGGGATTGATGTGAATTTGTATCTACAGGAGCACTAAATCTCCCCAGATTTTGGAACTCTCTGGAATCGGCCGTAAAGACGTCTTGGAAGCGATCAAGGTTCCTGTGAAAGTGGAGCTCTCTGGTGTCGGAGAAAACCTCCAAGAGGTGAGGTTCTGTAGCTGTGCTCTTCAATTATCGTTCTAATGCGCAGAACAGCATCTCCATTCTGCCATCTCATATGGTACGCCCTTTCTTCTCTACTTTTGAAGGATCAGACGAGGTAATAGTTCACAGAGATCCTTGATGACGTTCCTGCGGAGACCTTTGATCTTCTCCGTGACCCTGCCACAGCGGCCAAGCACCTGGCCTTGCAGTTAGTGCCTTTATTCCCACTTGTTTGTCTTGATTTACCGGATTTTTAGCCCCAAAGGTACCGGTATCTTCAACATGGGCATCACTGCCTTCTCTTTCAACCCATTGGAGGCTTTAACGGACAAGCACCAGGAAATCAAAGATAGTGTCAAGGCGGAGATTGAGCGAGATATCAAAGCTGGTTCTCTCTCTCCCGGCCTGATCGAGCAGTACAAGATTCAATTAGCGCGATTGGACACCGGCTCTCCGGGGTATGAGACGATCTTTGTGCCAGGCTTCCAGTCCTTCCCTAGTAGGTGCATCATTAGTAGCTAATGTACATTGGGACTGATCATCGTGGTACTGCAGACCCGCCAACACTGGGCAAGAGGTACTTGACGCTCGTTGCTGCCACAAACCACAATTTCTCGCGTGGAAGTATTGTGAGTAACACCGACGATTTCGGAATACTGGCTCATAAGTGAACAGCACGCCGTTTCTAACGATCCGAACGTTAGTCCCGCCATCAATCCAAGATACTTCTCGCGCGAGAGTGGTACATCCCTACGTTTGACCTGCTGTATTATTATATGAACTAACTATCTCACCAGATCTCAGAGTTTTGGTTGAGATGGTCAAGTTTAACAGGAAGCTGGCGAATACTGCCCCTTTGACCGAAGTGTTTGGTTTGTACCCCCGATCATCTTCTTTCGATTGGATATTGAAGCATATCCATAGGTACCTCTCCCAAGGAGGTCAATCCCGGCCCCAACGTTCAAACAGATGAGGAGATTGCAAGTGAGTCGGGCGCAGCCTTCACCTAAACCCCATTGATTATCTCTTTGTAGGCTGGATCAAGAAAGTTGTGAGCTCGACGTTCCGTAAGTCGCGCCTACCCTTATATGTAATCCAAAGACTTATACATCATGTAGACCCCGCTGGGACCTGCTCGATGCTGCCTAAGGAATTGGACGGTGTTGTGGATCCCACATTGAAGGTATGTCTGTCCTTTGCGTCGGTAAAACGATCTTCATTGCGTGGTAGATTTACGGTACGAAGAATGTTCGGGTTGTTGATCTGTCTATCATGCCCGTTCACTTTGGAACACACGCACAATGTAGGTCAACTGAATGATTGATAGGCTAGACGCTTATTTGTATTTTATAGCAACGGTGTACGCAATAGCTGAGCAGGGTAAGCTTTTTTTATCAGATTCCTTACAGGAGATACTGACTTTCTTTCGCAGCGGCGGACATCATCAAAGGGGGGCACTAGATCGTTTCGATATTCGTACGGCACCAACGCGCGTCGCTGATATATTTGTCTTATGCACTGTTGTTGTTATTCGTGCATTGTATTTTCAATTACGTTTCCCTTGAGACCACCGTTGAATCAGACGTCATTGACTCGATCTTTAGGTGTAGCTCCGCTTCATGAGCAATGGGTTTACCTTCGCACTTGACACTTCACTGATAATCATGATAATCCCAACCTCCAGTCCATCAGCATACATATGAACTGTAGGAGTCGACGTGAGATGAATGGGGAGACCCCAATTCAGCCTGGATGCTCGCACACCATCTAGTATGAGTTAAGCTTTCAATGAAAGTATATGTCTTAACGATAAATGGGAAGTAGGCAAACGGCAAACGGACGGTATGCTCATTCAGGTGAACTAAGGGGACAGGGGGCACGAAGGGACTTGTGTTTAGCGACCGAGGTCTATCACCCACAGGTAGAAAGATCCCAGGTGTGCTTGGACTCGCACTGTAGTCTGTAGCCCGCCCGACCGTAGGTCGGGCAATGAGGCACAAGGCATCTCCTCCAACTGTAGCATCATACTCAATGGCCATAAGAACTTGTTCACCACACCTGAAAGCAAGGTAATCTATGCCTACTGCAGATTGCAGATTTGAAATATCCGAAATCCCCTATCGAGGCACTTAGGAGGCACCACACACGCGTACGGGCCAAGCTCACCGTCATGTTAAGACATTCAAGTTACCCCATAAAGCCTCGAGAACTCAATGTTACCGAGTATAGCATCTATACGGTGCGCAGCAAGATGGTGGGTCACTGTCAGTGGCCGTGGCACTGATCTACAACTACAGATGCAACGGTGAACTAAGTTTAAACTTGCTCGCCGACTGTCCGTTTGAACGCAGGGTTCATGAATATACACGGGCGGTGACTTTGCTCCGCTGCCGAATGTATGTGCTGTTCGTAAAAATAACTTGGGCAGTGCTTCGTCCGCAGTCGACCCTACGTGAAGGCTACGTCTCCATGACAAACTGCGGAAGGTGGTCCTTTCTGTCCGCATCATGGTGAGTGGAGCACTAATCTCGGCTGAATAGGATGACCAACTTGTACAACTTTGTGCAGATGACTGCTCCACCGGAGATCCATATCCATAGGCTGTGGCTAGAATTAACCGCCCATGCCTGCGGTATATAAACCCCACCAGCGCATTATCCAAGACCACGACCGAATAATCTACAGTCACTCTGAACAGATTGTCAGACACGATGTTCTCAAAACTCCTTGCACTTTCTTCTGTCGCTTTGATGGCTTCTGCGGCCGCTGTTTCTTCCAGTGCATCTGTGACTCCATCCAGTAGCAATGTGACCAGGTAAGCTCGAGTCCCCCGGTGAAATTCACACCAGGCTAATATCATGCTCTCAATAGTGTGTTCTCATCGTGGGTTGTTCCGTTAGAATCCAAATATATAGATGAACTAACCTTGCGCAAGTGTTCTCCCGACGGCCACCCCACCCTCGTCGCTGCCCACGTTCAACAAGTAACGAGTCTTGTTTCGCGTTAACATTTGTCATTTCTGACTCGTCGAATAAATAGCTCGGTCATCGTGCCCATCGGTAACGGAGTGTACTCCTGCTTCGCCATTCCATCGGCGGTCCCGACCACCGTTCCTGAGCCATTGTCAGTGCTCTACTACCCGTTTCTTCTTCGTATATTCTTACGAGGTTTGACCATGCAGCCCCGTTACCTCCTCAGTCTTCACCGAGCCCGTAACGATCACCTCGTCCGCCGTTCCCTCGGAGGATGTTTCTAGTTCGTTCGCGCGCCGACAAGAAGCGACGACGGAAGCTTCTGTTTCCTCTGCTCCCACTATTACCGTTGTCGGCACCGACACCTTTGCATCCAGCTCTCCGACCACCGTTGCCACTGCTACTGCCAGTGCAAGCAATGACACAGCTCTGCCCACATATGTCTGCGTCCCAATTCCTCAGGCAAGTGCGACGGGTACTGTCACGCCAAGCACCTCCTTCGCCGCTACTAGCACCCCTGCGGCTTCGTCTTTCACGTCTGTTTCTGTTTCTGCACTCTGAGCCCCGGTGTGGAAATAATTAATGATCAAGTAACTGGTCATGGACAGTAGTTAATCGCTTTGTTTAACCATAGTATTCGTAGAGTTTCATTCTCGCTCTCAGTTTCAATGATATATTGAACACTTGTTGAGTATTGTCATAAGGCATTTGTCTGTGTCTGCGTGTCTCGGGCTTTGGTCATGTGTTCCATATCAAACTCGATTGAGCGGAAATAGTGGGTTCTATCACATGTCATCGATCAGATCTAGGCTCGAGCCTATTCGCCTTCAAACATTGCTATCGTCGGTCCGTCGCGATCGAGGCGGAAGATTCGAAAAGGAGGCCGGCCTACGAGAGTCCTCGATTCTCGTCCGATGCGTGTCTTGTGATTCCAAGAGGATGTATGTGCGGATCTCAGCAGTGCCATATGAATGCCTCGAGCAATAAATAGCCTCGCGAAACGGAAAGTGGGACACCCAACTAAACATGTCTATTATTACCGATATTCTCCAATATGCACACTTGTCGCGAGCTGGCAGCGCCCGTCGCGACCCCGCCCGAACCAAGGCATACCTCGTTGGCGGCGGCATAGGTTCCTTAGCCGCTGCTGCTATCCTGATCCGCGATGCTCACGTTCCGGCGATAAACATTCATATCATCGACGAGGGGAAAGTAGTTGGCGGTGCGATGGATGGTTCAGGTGCACCAGAGCCGGGTTACATCGCTCGTGGTGGGAGGATGCTCAACTGCAGCTACGTCTGCTTGTACAATCTCCTGAAGAGCGTGCCGTCCGTGGACAACGAAGGCAAGACTTTGTACGACGACATTATGGACTTCACGAAGGCGCACCCATCACACGCCAAAGCAAGATTAGTAGAGGGTGAGGGTAAGAAGGTTGACGTCACGCACATGGGCTTCAGCAATCAAGGTACGTTCAAATATTTCCATGAAGCGACCTCCTGTTAATAGACCCGCGTGTAGATCGGCTGGAGCTGTTGAACCTTTGGGTATCCAGCGAAGAGGCCCTCGGCACGAAGAAAATCCAGGAATGCTTCTCAGAGCACTTCTTCACCACGAATTTCTGGTTCATGTGGATTACCACCTTCGCGTTCCAGCCGTGGCACAGCGCCGTCGAATTCAAGCGTTACCTTCATCGCTTCATCCACGAGTTCCCGCGAATTAACACTCTCGAGGGAGTCGATCGAACGCCATACAATCAATACGATTCCATCATCGCGCCCCTCGAGTCATGGCTCCAGAAACAGGGCGTTAACTTTGTGATGGAGACGAAGGTGGTTGATGTCGAATTTGACGTCGATGCGAGCAAGAAAGTGACCGCCACCCGAATCCACACCCTGAATCAAGCACACGGTACATCTATCATCGAAGTCAGGCCCGAGGACCTCACTTTCGTCACGAATGGCAGTATGACCTCCGCTTCATCGCTTGGCTCGCTCACATCTGCCCTCCAAACCATCACCGATCCTAAAGTTGACGGAGCATGGACGCTGTGGTCCTCCATAGCGTTCAGACTTGGCAAAAAATTCGCCGGAAACCCTGCCAACTTCATCAACCGGATCGATGAATCGAAGTGGGAATCATTCACCGTCACCACCCACGACCCCCTTCTCCAGAATCTCCTCGTCGATTGGAGCGGTAACGAACCTGGTTCCGGCGCCCTCGTCACTTTCAAAGATTCCAATTGGCTGCTTTCCTACGTCCTTCCCCACCAACCCCACTTCCGTGGGCAGCCTGAAGGAGTCTCCGTGTTCTGGGGTTACGGCCTGTACCTCGATAAGCCCGGAAACTTCGTGAAGAAGCCAATGTCGGAATGCACTGGCGCTGAGATCCTCCAAGAGCTTCTATATCACGTCGGCCTGGCCGACCAGTACGAGACCATCCTCCCCACAGTCCAAGTCATCCCCGCCATGCTCCCTTACATCACCTCCCAATTCCTCACTCGCGAGCACAAAGATCGGCCGAAGGTCGTCCCGAAGGGCAGCCACAACTTTGCCTGGCTCGGTCAATGGACAGAAATCCCCGACGACACCGTCTTCACAGTGGAGTACTCGGTTCGTTCCGCAATGATCGCCGTCTACGAGTTGATGGGTCTTCCCAGCAACCCCCACCCCCCTGCCATCTACAAAGGAGAGCACCATCTCGACATTATTTTCCGGGCTTTGAATATGTCTTTCACGTAATTATACCTGAAAAGAGAAAGGACTATCAATGACATTGTAGTAATATCGTACTTATCCTTTGTACTTGAACCTGTAATTATGCTTTTGCAATTTATCGTCATCAACGAATGCAAAACGAGTAGAAATGAGTGCATTATGCTTTAAAGTACACATGGGAAGAAACTTGTAACGATAGCGTGGTTGCAATGTCGGCGCTGATATGCGGAACACGCGAGCCGGGACCGAATGACGTTCTAGAGGAAGGGCAGGCCCTAGAATGGTGATCAGCACAGTAAGGACCGTGTGGAAAGGATTAAACGATGGAAGATGAGGAAGCCAGACGATGGATGCTACATTAAGGGGTGCTTCGGGTATCGAATGCAAATACAAATAAGATGAAGGATATGGGGGTGTAGGGTCGCTCAAAGACCTTGTATCTGAACGATAAGGAACTGTTTCTCGTCCTAGAGGATGCACTTTGTCAGCGACGTTGGCCATGTCATCGCCCAGAGAACTCACTGTGAATTGCTCATCTAAACAGGCAATCAGTATTTGAACACAGCTGAACGACAAGAGGCTTACCTTCTTTGTCGTTATGGAAATTCTTCAGGAATACAAGTAGTTTGTCTTTATTCCTGCGCAGAATGACTTCGATCTGGGGCGGTTTCTTCGGATTCGCGACGAACACCTGCACGATTTGGTTCTTAGCGGAGAGTCCCGCCGTAATCCGGAGGTGCGCACCTTGAATACATGGAATGCTTCGAATTGTATATTCTTACTCTTATCTCGCAAAAGATTCATCATCATCTTGAGATTGGCTTCGTTGGCAATGTAACGAGTCATGACGTTGAAGTTAGCCCGATCAAGAAGAATCTCTCCGAGTAGCTTGAGCGACTGTCGCTTCGTTACATAATTGTTCGAGAGTATCAGAGTCGTGTAAGACGAAAAGAACTGGAGAAGGGTGAGACGCTGTCATGAGCGGGACGAGAAGATATTGCGTACTCGATCATAATTCTTGTCCAAGTACTCAGCCACCATAGGTTTGTGACGAGTCAGCGTTTCTTTCAGGTTGGCAAATGCATCGCAGGATATGCCGAAGGTAGTGTTCTCGATGTAATGGGGGTACTTGTAGAATCTGTCAATGTCTCTGATCGGTCCAGTGCAAGGCGTAGTCGTTGAACACTCACTCGTCGGAGTACAGGAGAATCTTGCAAAGCTGTTCATGCCTCAACATCTCCTTCAGAATCATGCCCGTGTTCAGCGCTACTTCTTCGTTCTTGTACCCCCCCAGCGTTGAGAAGATAATCTCGGGTTTGGAGCACAGGTATTCGACAGTCGGATAGCGAGATCCTATTTGGCGTCGCAGAAGATTGTTGAAGATCTGCACGACGTCTTTGCGTGCCTCGAATTCGAATCTAGATATGTTCACTACCAATGAGTGTAAGAGGTCGGTCGAGTATGTCTCTTGCGCAAGTTGGGCCACTAGTTCAGGGATGGGGTCTGTACCATTCGTCAACCCTGGTACTCTGTCAACGTGCTTCGTAGACGCACCTCCGTCCCCGTAGAGAATCGCCTTGATTTGTTGCAGATTCTTCGAGACATCTTCGTTTGCCTATGCTTGAACTCAGCACTGGGCGAGGTCACAAAAGGGCGATTCACCGCGCATGTTACTCACCTTCCTCCTCGTTTCTCCCCCCGGGGCTCCCGTTTCCAGCTTCGGTATCGCATCTCGAAGGCCTCGAACCAAGTCAGGTGGCGTCCGCTGTTTCGTCTTGAAGAAGTTCATGGTCTATTCCAATCTCAACTCGATTTCTATGCAAAGCACAGAGAAATAGAAATGAAGTTGAAGTTGAAACCCAAAGAATCGAGCTGAGGCCGAGTGTGGCGGTGACTGACAAGCGCCTACTACCATTTCTCAAAATCAAAACCAATTATCACGTTGACCTACAGCCTAACAGCACCGTCACGATCGGTACTTATTCGCTGCGTGTTACGGTCTTTTGGAAGACTATTCAGATAACCACGGCCTATTTTACACAGCACTGAACCATGTCGACGGCGGCGGCGGCGGCGCACTCCTTCAACAAGTTGCTGAACCAACCAAAGACAGCGTCGCGGTCAAGAGGATCAGCAGATCCGGAGGACAGCCTCAAGAAGCTACGCCGTCTTATCCTTGTTGACGGAATACCGTCTTCAATCGTAAGTTCATTGCGAGCTCGTTTCGTGGTTTACTAACGTGCAACCAGGATCCCACTCTCCGGCCCAGAATATGGAAAATCCTTCTGCGAGTAACCGACGTATCTGCGGACCTTTTCTTGAAGTACGTCTCGAGGGGGCCATGCGAAGTGAGGGAGAAGATACGCAATGATACTTTCAGGTGTGTCGCCCATTTTCTCGAGTCGCCGTTTTCTGATTACCGCCACCAATGCAGGACACTTGCTACAGACAGGGGGTTCAAAGAACGCGTCCGGGAAGACATGCTGGTCCGCCTCTTAGACGCGTTTGTTTGGCGGAACCACGGTGCGTCTCAATTCATAGAACGAAACGTCTGCTGGGACTGACCAACGCCCAGACAGACAGGAATCTGACCAGCTTGGCTTCACGTATGTTCAAGGAATGAACGTTCTAGCGGCGCCGTTTCTGTACACCATGCCATCGGAGCTAGAGGCGTTCTACTGTTTCTCCAAATTTATCGAAGAAAGCTGTCCGCTCTACGTGCAGCCGACTCTCGAAGGCGTCCACAGAGGTCTCAAGGTACGATGATCATATTACCCCCTGCGTGACCCCCTCATCCGGCTCAGTTGCTAGATCGATGCCTCAAAATTGTAGACCCAGAGCTGTACGCGCACCTCCGATCCAAGAATCTGTCGGCAGAGATCTACGCATTTCCATGTACGTTCCCGCCCCCATGCTTTTCGTCGTTGACTTGATTACTCGTCACAGCCGTCCTCACGCTCTGCGCGTGCACACCTCCGCTAGACCAGGTGCTCCAGCTGTGGGACTTTCTCCTCGCGTTCGGTGTGCACCTTAACGTGCTATGTGTGATCGCACAGCTGCTGCTGATACGGGAGGACGTGATGAGCTCGCCGAGCCCGATGCGACTCCTGCGAACGTTCCCGCCGCTCGAAGCACTTCCGGTCGTCGGCATCGCGGTGACGCTCGTGCGCGATCTCCCCACGGAGCTATACGAAGAGCTAGTACGACACCCCTATGAAGTGCGGCATTCATAACCACGCTACTATGTATCCATTAGATCAGCTGTACTTGTATATCACCCCTTATGCATCGATCCCCCACACCCGCTTCACTAACAATTTGAGCAGCGCGTCTGGACCTGGCGTCTCCACTATGCACTGCACTCCTTGCAACGACTGGGTGTTGTCAGCTGGTTTCTCGACTTCGACTTGGGCGGGCAAGGCAGTCGACTCCCATTCATGATGGTGGTCGGAGACCAGCCTTTCGAGTTCGGCTTGAACGTGCGCCCGATTCGCCCCAGGCGCGTATGCAGTCTCGTCTTCCCGACGGTCGACGACTAGCATGCCCCGAGTGAGCTCCCCCACTCTATACAGACACGAAAGGTTGAGCTTCTTTCATGTGAAATAGACGATACACCATCTACCGTTCGATCTCAAATTTTCGCTTCACCATCCTCCACCCAGGCGATAGGCTCCCATCTTCTATGTTCTTACCAATCTGTGGGTTCGCTATCGCACACCATACGGCGACGATATCATGAAGCTCCATTGCGTCTTTCCCAAACTCGAGCATCACCTCCCTCGTCCGCTCCAGGAAGCTGCTTGTGAAATGCGTCAATGGAGTCTTGGCCGACGGCACAGACGGTACCGCAGTGGAATGAAACGTCGGATCGACCGTTTCCTTGTAGTACGGGAACCGCAGCTCGTGGGGTGTGGTGATGTCTAGTGGAAGCAGGAAAAATCGATCCAGAGGAAAGTGGGGCAGTGGGTGCGAGTCTTTGGGCGTCAGCAGTTCCTGCGCGGCGTAAGGATCAGCGAAGAAATTGACTACATACCACCCATACACAGCCATCGAGCTTCATCGTCAGCAAGAAAGCCAGAATAATTCAAAGAAACGCGTACGGACATTCAGCTACAGGACTCGTATTTCCAGGCACGTCCAGCGCGCCGCCCATGCAGATGACGCGGTCTATTCGCGAGACGACCGCGTCGCGATCAACGTGCATGAGCGTAGCGAGATTAGTTAGCGGACCGAGGGCGATGTACGTAATGCTGCGTGGTTCGCGAGAGCGGAGCAGCTCCAGAGCCACATCGACCCCGTATTTCTTCGTCAATTGAAGCTGCGGATGTGCCTCGCCGGTCGCCACGGTCTCTAGATTGAGTTCGGGGTGACGTTCCGCGATGTCACCCAACCCGTCTCTGGCCGATGAATTACTAAGATACTAAGAGAAGAGACGGGTAAACGGGCGACTGACCTTCCATGGAAGTATTGGGCACTGTGGAGATCGCCTTCGAGAGGCCCAGTGGCCCCGAGGGCTAGTATGGCTTTTGTCTCCGGCTGGAAATTAGGAAAACGGGCCTGATCGTCCGGGTATTGCTCAAAATGGGCGGACAAGGCTTGATAAGTTTTGAGGACATTGATACTAACACAACAGGACGATGGGTTATCATTAGATAGGTAACACATCAAGTAGGACTAACCGTGACGCAGCCAAATCCGTGTTTCCTATAGACAGAAAAGATACGATAATATCTCAGACCGGTGTCTCGACGACCAAGAAGATAACGACGCGCCGAACGACACAAGGATGGCCAGGATTTCCAGTTCAGGGGATGCTAGTGCTAATAGACTAACCTGGAAGTAAGTACGACCACTCGTTGAAGAAGCCGAATCAGTGCTCACAGAGCTACGACATCGTCGATTCCTGGATCGGTATCGACTGCAATCTAACTCAGGAACTTGATACGATAAGAAGGGAGATTGAATGGAGGTCGTACTGATGACAGGGATCTTCGCCTTTGAAGTCATTTCGTGGGTCTGGACTCGGGAGCGCGACTCGGCGTGTGAGACTGTCAGGGTTCCGAAGCTTTAGCACCACGACAACACGGTGGCAGCACGGTGGTGAGAAGGACTCTAGATCTGGCTTACGTACACGTCGCCGACTTCCTTCCAAGAACGCAACAGAGTCTAGTCTTGTTAGCAAGGAGTAGTCGAGTACACCACTAAGATACACTCGGGTAGATAGGACAAGCATCTACAGATACAACATCTAGGTAAAGACAATCTTGGTGGGACCTTTGGGCGCCGGTATATCGTCTCTATAGAAAGCCCCATAGACACTATGTGTCTTCTTTTTGATCGTCATCGGAAACTTCTCTCGGAGGTCTTCACACTCTTTCTCGAAGCCCGCATCTCTTAATACCCGAGCAAGTTCACCAGCGAGGGCCTTTTCGTGGCCCTCGCCTGTGAAGAATGTGATCGATTTGCCGCTCTTCCCACCTCTCCCCGTTCGGCCAATTCGATGAATGTAATCCTCGATCGTCAGGGGGAACGTGTAATTGATGACTGCTTCCACGTTGGGGATATCCAAACCTCTGGCGGCGACATCAGTAGCAACGAGCAATTGGGTGGTGCCGTTTTTGAAATTTTCTAGGGCTTCTAGTCGCAAATTTTGAGACATGTCACCGTGGAGGGCCCCAACACTGAACCCCTTCTGATGTAGTGACTGTTCAACACGCGACGCTTCCCTCTTGTAGAGGGCGAATACAAGGATTCGGGGTTTGATGCCAGCCGTTTTTGATTTGATAGAACGCAAGTGGTTAAGTAGGCGCGTGCTGTAAACGAACAAAAGAGGTTAGTAACGAAACACGAAAGAGAAACGTTGACTTACTCTTTGGATCGTGGATCATCAAATACCTCAACAGTTTGTTCAACGCGGGTATTAGCGGTCAGATCGTCGCTCCCGACCGTCACTCGCACAGGATCCTGTTGGAAGGTACTCGCTAGGCGTCGGACGGCCTCTGGCCAAGTCGCACTGACTGGGGTGGGGGATGTGTCAGGAAGTGACGAAAGTATCGATGGAAGAAGTACGCACACATCATGGTTTGTCGAGATGACCCTTGCTTGGTGAAGCTGATGATGCGACGAATATCATTCTCGAACCCTCTATCAAGCATTCTGTCCGCCTCGTCTAGTACGAGGTAGTCGACACTATGAGGAATGAGCAGCGATAGCGCAGATTAGCGGCAAGCACGTACCTAGAGAGATCACAAGTGCCATCCTGCGAAAGATCCAAAATTCTCCCGGGAGTGCCGACCACAATTCTGGTTGTCGTTTTCGACTTTTTCCCTTGCTTAGCTTTCAGTAAGTTTATCTGGGCTTCTTTGGATACACCGCCGTATACGGCCACAGATCCGATTCCAAACTGCTCTCCCAAGGCAGAGAGTGTGTCGTGTGTCTGCACGGCGAGCTCTCGTGTAGGGGCTACTATCAGGGCTGTGACACCAGGTGAAGAAGGCGGAGATGCCAAGAGACGGGAGAGTAAGGGGATGCCAAAGGCCAGTGTCTTACCACTGATAGACATCAGCGATAGTCAAGAGTGGAAATGGGGGGCTTACCTCCCAGTCTCGGCGATGCCGACGACATCCTTCCCAATGAACGCCGCAGGCCAAGTACAAGCTTGAATCGGTGTTGGCTCCTTGAATGTACCACTGAAGGCAGCAAGGAGTTCCTTAGGTATCGGCAAATTGGAAAATTTTATGATGGGAGTGATTCGAGATTCTGCGGAATGAATGGTGATTTCGTGTGTTTGCAGGTACGCGGCGGCTTCGGATTCCGATAACGAGGTCGAAGGCAGGGTCGTTGACGATGGTGCATCATTTTGTGATGTCTTGACCGTGTTCTTCCTCTTTTTGCTCTTCTTGAGTTTCCCTTCGACATTGTCGGCTGTACCAGAAGGTGTTGTTTCTTCGATAGTAGGTTCGGTTGGTAACTCGTCAGTAGCGCTCTTGGCTTTCTTCTTCTTGCTCTTCTTGTCCTTCTTGCCGGTCTTGGTTCCTGAGGCATCTACTTCCATGACATCAGTCGGCAACACCGAAGTCGAGGGCTCGGGGTCGTTTGCTGAGGGTTCAGAGGCATCTTGTCGTTTCTTTGACTCTGTTGGTGAGAATGAGTGTTGTCTAGAGTATCAGCAAGGATTGTTCACCAACTTTTCTTCCCATCGTGCTTCCGTCGTTTCTTAGGTTGGGGGTCCTGGATATCACCAGAAAGCTCGGTTTTGTCATCTGTTCAGTTCGGAGCGAATTGAATATTCAATGATTTGTATCAAATATCACCAACAAGAAGTACAACCTGGGCGTACCGTCCGCTTCCTCCTTCTTTGCTCTCTTGCGCTTCTTTTTGTCACTTTTTGACGAATCTACCACCATAGCGTCGTCTGTCGTAGCGTCGATCTTCGCCGCCACGGGTGTCTCCTTCTTCGACTTTGATTTCTTCTTGTGTACAACATCATTAACGGCGAGCTCGGAGTTCGACATTGGCGAAGGAGCTCCGGATCAAGATATGCACAACACACTGCACAATTGAACGAAGGATTCAATAATCAATAATCAATGACAAAATTTAGGCTGATCACGTGGAGACGCATACTAGTTGATACTGAAAGATTCGCCACTGCCAACGGAGTGCTCAAGAAGACGGTATCGGTCTCAGAACCTGTGTCGGTTCACTCCTTTTCGCTTCCCCCAGGCTTCAATGGTGTCGGTAGTGCGTCAGTCGCTGGAATGGAGCATTGAACTGAATGAGTGGGTAACGGCTAGTGGAAGTGTGTGCTGTGCTGTGAGAAGTGCATGTTGAATGAATCCTCGGTGGGTTCTTCTGGAGTAGAAGTCACTCGTGGTACGGATCCAGTGAAGGTCCCAAGTAGCCTGACAATCAATAGGGAACCACTCAATGGCGTGCTCGTTTCCTATAAAAGCCCAATTGTTCTGACATGGGATGAGCAGCCTTGCTCTGAAAGCAGAAGCAGACATTTCAAACAGTATGATGTTTGCAGGCGAGTGGATATGCCCACCCTTTCGCTACGCAATACTTACATACTCTCCCTTTGGTTAGCAATTGTCTTTCCTTTCGTGGGCCTATTCACGGCACTCCTTGTCGTGGCGGCCCCCAATAGTCAGCGTACGCATTGGGAAGCATTGGCTCTTCCATGATAAGGGGCTGACCTCTGTGCAGTTTGCGCTCGCGGACAAAACGTTGTCGACAGCACGCCGACGTGCAAGGCCACTGCCTCTCCGCGGGTATTTCAACCGGCCTCCTTTAACGCCTCTAAGTGGATCTGGACTGGCGAGAACTTGACACCAGGAGGTAACAATATCATCAGCACTCGACCTCTGAGGAAGAATATCACGACTCCTTGCGACAAGTGCGCCGTCTGCGCCACCATCATAGTAGCTTCGTGAGTCCCTCTATTACGGGACCTTGGAGGGCCCTCTGAAGATAGACATCTTGATAGTGACGACGCTCACACGTTCTACGTCAATGGTGTTCGTATCGGCGCTGGTGGGAACTGGAAACAGGGTCAGGCCCTGTTCGTAGCGTTACAACCATCCTGGAACCTCTTTGCGATCGCTGGTCAGAATACCGTCGTCAATAGTCCAGCAGGTATCATGGCCACGATTTTGATTCACTATTCGGATGGCACAAGCGGGACCTTCATCACTGACGAGTCGTGGAGAACCCTCCGAGCTGCGCCCCCCGCCAATTTCCAGCTCCCGTCAGTTGACGACAGTACTTGGGCCTTCGCCGCTGTGCAAGGGACATTCCAGAATTCGGTTTGGGGACAACCAACCCTCCCACCTGTCCTTCCCCTCACTGGTTCAAACTGGATCTGGACGTCCGACAATGTGGGTGGTAACGCTCCAGTTGGATCTCGTGCTTTCAGAAAGACAATCAAACAATGTACCAAAGTCGCGGTCTGCGCCACTGTCTTGATTTCCGCGTGAGTTCTGTATTTCCTTCTGAGGTCAGAGCACATATCACTAAACTCGAGGATCTTCTGATCTAGTGACAACCATTATACATTATACGTTAATGGAGCCACAGTCGGATCCGGTTCCAGCTTCTCTGCCGCCGATGCCTACACCATCCCCAACCTCCTACCTACCTTCAACACTTTTGCCATCAATGCAACGAACGACGCTGGTCCCGCTGGCGTCATTGCAACTATCTTCATCACATACCGAGATGGTTCTAACGAAACGGTCGTCACTGACGGCAGCTGGAAGGCCGCCCTGACACTTCCTCAAGGATTCGAGTCATCTTCATTCGACGATTCTGCTTGGCAGAATGCAAAGGTTGTTGGTGCTTATGGGGTGGCGCCCTGGGGCGGCGCATTGACTATCCCCAGGGCTTAAGGTGTTTGAAGGCGCAGGTGTGCAGGGTCAGCAATGTGGCAAGTATATTGGAGTCGATACGTTTCAAGTTGTACGCCGTGTTCAATACTTGCCGAACAATGTACAGTGTGGACCCTGTACCCTTTGTCCGATATCGGATTCATTGCGGCAAAGGTATACTGGATGTAACTATGGTTTGATAGCAGGAGGGGCGCATCTGACTGATCGCCTCGACTGAAGCCATCATAAATAAGGTACGTGCCCGTAGACCATCAATGCATCATGACTGGCGACTGCGAACGTTTCTCATACGCTCGCTTGGATTTAGATGAGTCAATGTGACCGACTCTACGCCCACGTCAACTCTAGCCATCGGTACTCCGAGACCGAGAAGCGCGGCTGGAAGTAGAATGAATATCAACTCTCCCATGAGTTCGCGCTTTTTCTGATGCTCTGTATCCGTATTTAGGTTGTACGGCATGGCGGACAATAATCGGCAAGGCGCCCATTCCCTGCATGTTGCCTGAAGAGCTGCAGGCCTGCGCTTTTACTAGGTATGATTCGGTCGTCGGACGATGTGCTCTACACGTCTACTCACACGTAGAACGAGTCATTCCAGGGTGATTTCAGTCACTCGGAGCTATCTGACCGCCTAGCCATGGGCCTCTTGCGTATAAAAGCAGGCTCGTTCGCTATGGTATGCCCCAGCTTCTAACAAAAGTCTCTCTTATACAATGTCCTCTGCCATTCTTCGTCTTACACTCCTTGCCGTTGCCGCAGGTAAATATTTCCCATCGATGACTACAACGTCCTCTCACCTATCCTCACAGTGGGCGCTGTTGCTCAATCGCAGATTCCTTGCGTCCGTTCGTACACCGTACAACCAGGGGATACCTGCGATGGAATTTCCGCCAGCGAAGGAGTCTCTACGTAAAGATATCTACACTCAGAAGTGTTGGACATCCCAGTACTGACCAACAAACAGTTTCCAATTGGCCGCGTCCAACCCCGGCATCAATAATGATTGCTCAAACATCTTCCCGTCTCAGGTAAATTTGTTAACCTTTCACTACGCTCTCTTATTGACTCGTATCTAACTTAGGTGATTTGCCTTCGCCGAGCATGCTTGAGCTGCAGTACCGTGCACGTTGTGGAGCCTGGCGATACGTGCACTTCCATCGCCAGCGCGGCTGGAATTAGCGTCCCTACCTTGATTGCCAGTAACCCAAATCTTGACAGTGGATGCACGAATGTATACCCTGGAGAAGTAAGTTTATATCACCTCGTCTCGGCTATCTGCTAATGGCACCGCGATGCAGGTTTTATGCGTAGAGAGTAGCTTCTAAGAAGGAAAGGTTGAAGCCTCGCTCAAATATCTAATGTTTGTTCTGACTCGGATGTTGATGTTCTGATGTTCTGAGTGTACTACAGTGTATCTCTAAGTTCGTGATGTTCAAATGGAAGGGTGTCAAAATGCTACGAGAGCGAGGTCATATTCAGCAAGCTATCGATGTCCATCAAAGGTATAAGTGAGATGATTATGCAGTGCGTTGTATTACGGATTTGGAAACATAGAATAAAAGTCCGTTGACTATTCAGGGGGGATCGCCGGGTAATCTAGTGTCGTGTATTCCCTGTACCATTTGTTCTCGGAATCCTTCGAAGAAATGGACGGGTAGAGGGCCGGAATCCCCTCATATTCCACACGCCTCGAGGAATCCCCGTATTGTTGATGCACGAAAGGTAGGTAGGCACAGGTACACAAGCATCGAAGGAAATATTGTCCCAGCCTGGATGGAGAGCTACAGAAGCAGAAGGCGGTCTCAAATTAGTCCCTTAAATGAAGGAATGAAGGTCAAGTTTGAGGCTCATAACCCACGTTCTGCTCCCACACGCACACGTTGCGAGACACGATGTGCTGACCACATTGTCCAAATCATTTACGCGATACATTGACCAGTGCCTTGACTTGTTCTTTCCCGTCTCATTGGTTCATTCCAAGGCTCAGACCTAGGATCTGGTAAAGGTACCCCCGTACCTCTATCATGTGGCCATTGTATCTGTCTTGCCTGAGAATGCTATCTACAAGCACGCATGCCCTCGTAAATATAAATAACAACGCCGCACCGGAAGGCACTCGCCTATTGGAACAGGTTATGTATAGACTGAGCGACAAGTGCTCATAAAAGCACAGACGTCGGCAAGCAGAGAAGCAGAACAAGAATGCTTGCCTACTTTTCAGTCTTCGCGATTTTTCACACGTCGGTACTCGCCGCGCGCATCTGGAATAACACCGGCGTTGGAACCATTATCTTCGAAGAGGCATGGACACCACCAGTGTTAGCCAGTACAGTAGGGTACGCCGGAGTCTTGCGGATTGCTCTTTTTTAACGATCGTTGACTTGCACTGGAAGAAAACAAACTCCCCCTGTCGGTGTGTCCATATCCCTATCAGGGGGCTCAAACTTGCTCACATTTGCTCCTTATAATCGCAAGGACAAACTAGTGAACAGTTGGCGGAAAACCTGCTTGATGTACACAATCAACGCTTAGCAGGCATGGATGCCAACGGCGTAGATTTTGTGAGCGATGCCACCAACATGCAATAGAAATGTTGAGATCTATCTTCTTTCCACAGATGGTTCTGTCGTGTTCGTCTCCTTGTATACAAGGAATATCCGACCCCGTGGTAGCTGCCACGACGGCAAAACAAGCAAACGACGAATTGGCAGCAACCATTGCGAACAACACGCTTCGCTTTGGCGGCTTTGCTGCTTTGGCTATGCATGATCCCGTGGAAGCCGCGCAAGAGTTAAAACGGACAGTTGAAGAGCTTGGATTCTTGGGAGCGTTGGTCAATGATTACCAACAGACCAACGACAGCTGTGGGTGGAGCTTGGCGATGATCTTATATGTGGGCTAACGATTGCGTATCAGCAATGATAAAATTCTATGATACGGCGGAATTCGATCCATTTTGGCAAGTGGTGACAGACTTGGACGTACCTGTTTACTTCCATCCTCGTTCGAACATTCCGTTGCTCGGCAACTTGGAGTTCGGACATTCATCGTTCCTCCGTGGATCGTCGCAGGAGTTCGCCGCCACCTTGTCGACCCACGTCATGGGCCTCTCTACTAATGGAGTCTTCGAGTGAGTGTGTGTTTGTGGAAGCGCAGGACCAAAGATGAAAACGATGATATTAGCCGCTTTCCAACACTGAAGATAATTGTTGGTCACATGGGCGAACGGATTCCGTCAGATTTCTCGCGCATCGACGATCGTACGTTCATGATATCGCATTGACCGAAATTGAGGTTTCATCGTTGCAAACAGAGCTCGCTCGCCAGGTCGTAAACGGCATGCCCATGCAGAAGAAGCTGTCTGATTACTGGCGCACCAACATCTTCGAAACTACATCTGGCAACTTTGGCACCGATCTCCTCAAATTCCACATAGGCCAGATCGGGTTGGACAGAATACTGTACTCCGTGGATTACCCATTTGTAACCATCGAACAAGGCACAGAGTTCATCAACACCTTGGCGGAGACAACAGGGTTGGGTGAGGAAGATATCGTCGCATTGAAACGGGGAGCAGCGATCAAGTTGTTGAAGTTAGATCAGTGAAGGGCGGGAACTCTCTGCGGAAGCCGAAGGAATAGGGAATTTAATTTGGCAAATAAGACAAATGTAAATCTACCTGGACTTTGGGGCGAATACCTATCTATCTCTGCTCACGTCTCCATTAGCTATGTCACGAAAAGGGGTAATCATGATACGCACAAGGCCTCGTGACAAGTTGGCCATGGTCGACAGACAACATCATCGCGAAGATGACAACAAGATAAAAAAATTGACGGGTCTTCGGATGGGAACCATCCTCACCGGCGACATCGCACAAGCCACATCTGCCTCACAGGCTGGTCACATCATACAGACCACAAGCACAGCAATGCACCCACTCTCGAAATCACGAAGGATTTCCCCCGGCTAGGCCGCGTGTCTGACATGCTTTCACTGAACTCCTGCTCCCGGTACTCCAAGGGCACTAGGGCCGCAAGTTTCCTCCCACATACGTTCGGATGCCTTTCATCCTGCCTACCTGATCGGAGGTGTTCAAATACACACATCCAGGGGACCAAGGTCAAGCAGAGTAGGGTGCCATAGAACGAAAGACTTCTCCTTTGAAGGCGCAGAGCTCCGCTCGTTTGGTTCCCTAACGCAGGCAGTATCCTCCATCGCCTTCCTGTACGAGCCCCTCAGTCGCAGCATGTCAACTTCAACACCCATCACTATCAAGTAGAGGGCACCTGGCACACCCACTCAGCCCCTCTACGCGCAACATACATACTGCAGGCACACCAAATCGACGGATCGCACAAACTCACTATTGTCGTACTCGAGAACGAATCTCTGATACAATTCCCGAAGGAACAGTATCTGCGACAACGATGGAGGCGACGTCAATTGGCACGAACCACAGTGTACATGCGTGGCAAAGGGACCGTATAGAAGATGCCGATGTCGTACTGGATGGGTCATCTGAGCCGGAGAATGAAGACGTCCCGTAAACAGACGAGAGGCGGGAAGAAAGACAAAAAACACGCCGTGCGAAAGGGAGAGCCAACGTCTTCGCGGTCAGAGCTGCATGACAAAGTCCTCCGGAATGTGACGTCTACACGCCTATAACGCTCGGCCAGCATGTCCTGGCCAAATGCTGAACACCGTCCGGGGCAGGAAAACGTAGTGAAAGCCCAGCTAATCGCATGCAGAGAACGTACCTAGACAGCCTTCCTGTAATGGAAGGGCCCGTAGTTGGGGGTGGGTTGACGCCTAATAGCAAGTGGTCGAAGAGTAGCTCCCAATTGTGGGTCCAGCAGTATGGCTCAAAGCGTCGCATATTTACTGCATGCCACAGTATCTCCTCTCTTCATAGCCGTCGAAGAATCCTCGAGCTCATGCTTTCCTGTAAAGCCTGTTGAAAAGCGAGACCAACTCGTATACTCCTCCTGATCCACGAGACATAACATTGCGTAGCCATGTGGATTCGTTGCAACGCCTGTTGCTTCAGGACCTCTCCTTCCGTGCAGGGTCCATGCAACGATGAACACGCAAGCGACGGAAGTGATCCTCGGCGAACGGGATCCAGCAGAACGTCGCCGGGGTTTGGAGGGCAGCTCCAGGGAAAGGGTCTAGGACCCGAGTAGCTAGCTTTCTGTGCGGGTTCATAGCTTCGCGCCAAGCCTTGGGATTTGGAACGGCGATGCAATGTGTCGTCCTTGTGGAGCGACGAACCAAAGGGCAAAGGTGACCCATGAGTAAAATTGGCCAAATAGCCTGTGCGAGACTCAGTGTACGCCAGACTGCCGACCCATAAAAGCTGTACGTCTCCGACTCCGTTGCCCCGCGCTATGCATAATGTCCCGCGACGCATCTCTAGTGCATAGCGCGTCCTGCCTCACTACACTTAGAACGATGAACCTGCGCGTTTCCGGTTCCACCTAGCCGTTTCAACAGCACGCCAATGCATCTATACATGGAAGCGCCCGAGGGCATCCTGTGCGAGCACAGATTGCATTGAGTGTGAAGAACACGGGTCCCGAGGTGGCACATGCGAGGCTCTGTACGTGTCCGGCCATGCAGAGCCAGCGGCGACACCGCCAATGCACTTTCCGGAGATGCGATGGAGCATGGCGACAGACAACATCATGGCCGAAAAGAATGCCCTAGGTATGAGCCAGCAGTACTAGGCGGTTGATACCCATGGTTCGTAGTTCCAGACGAGCGCAAAGCACCCCTTGGCGGTCCAAGTCACCTGAGGACCAGACCCAAATCGAGGACAAGAGGCGAATAAACGGGATGAAAGCCGCTAGCTCGTGAGGACTTAGGGTTAGAATTCGTCCAGGGTAGAACGTATTGATTTTGGCTGGAGCAATGAAAGGCCATGGGGAGGAGCGCAAGAGAAGGTAGCGCCAGGTGCCCGGAGCGTTGAGAGCGGGAAAGGCAGAGCGTCAAAGCCACCGTTGGGTCCGAAGGGGGTCGAGGAGATGATGAAAGCCCGAAAAGTGGCAGGTGGCTTTATATATATGCCAAGCAAGCGCAAGCAACGCGGAGCCTCGTGATCTGTGACATAACGCGAAGAACCTGTCACAGAGTACAGGGGCATAGGGGCGCGAATCACTTATTGCAATCAATAGGAATGTTCGAAGAAGGCTGGAACTTACTGAAAGTCATGACACACTGTGGGTCGCAGCAGCAGGAGAAGCCATCGACGCAGCTGAGCCAAGATCAAATCACCGTTACTCCTAATGTTCCCTGTCCTGCATGCTACCTATTGCCGTCTACCACCTAGCCGGAGGGAACATGTTGAGCGCAAGTATTGCAAACGGTACATGTATTTACAGAGTTTATCTAGCTTTTCGCAACATTATCACTGCCCAGACACTTGCTTTCAAGGTGAACTATCTTGTAGAACCAAACTTAGACGTACTGTATCCTCGTCCTATCGAATGATATTGTCTAGAGTTCCTGCTCTTTCAGTGTCACTGTACTGTGTAATTTGACGATCCATTTCCAATCGTTGCCAAATACTCAGGCTAGTTGTTTGGCCACGGGTGGTTACGATACGACTTTCAGTTGCAGTTTCAACTTCTACTCTGAACGTCACTGATTTCCACACGCCCAGTGCAACAGTCGCAGTACATGCGTAAGCAATAAACCAACATTATGCTTCTGTCCATAACGGCCTCAACAAGGGAAGCTATTGATACAAAGGTCCTGCTTATGCGACAATACACCGCCCGAAAACCTAAACGTACTCTAAATAGAGAACACTAACAAATGTCTGTCCTTGTTAACGACACGTGCATACTCTAAAAACAGTCTAGTGCAGATAGTTAGCTCGTGTGATTGCCAATGTACCTCGGGGTGCAGCATACCTAAACAAATAAGCCGTCATGTCTTCTTTCCTCCAGTAGGTCTTCCCCCACACGCGGCCGGCAGCAGCTATCTTCGATGCCTCTTCTTCATGCCCACCCTCGCCATACAAGCCGCCGTGGAAGAATAAAAAGGTGTCGTGGAAATCCGAAAGGTCTATTTGCACTGGGACGTAGTGAACCCACGGTTGAATGCGATCGAGGAACCTGCATATTCGCGGTCAACTACAATGACGCTTCCTAATAGAACGTAGAAAAGACCTACCACTCAGGATAAACAGTCGACTTGAATACAAGCGACCTCGTCACAATTACCCGTTTGAATCGACTGGACCATGCATTGCCGTCCATCTGCCCAGAAAATTAGCGCAAGCAGTATTAACACGGCATACGTACGTCGAATATATACTTGTGCTTCCCAGCTTCTTTCAGTGATTGCCGCCTGCGAAAGTCGAAGATCTCTTCCAGCTCCCGACATACGTCGGGGTCGCAGTCGATGGGATTCCCGGCGAAAGCGATGTCGAACAGTGCAGGATTGATCTTCGCCTTGTCTATTGGGACGCCGGGGCCAACGGCGGCGGAGAACGAGGACCCATTACCAGGTATGAGAACGTCCACTGTACCTGCGACTTCGTTTGCTATTTGCACCAGACGTGCTCGCTGGGAAGCCTTCCAACGCAAGCCACCGTCGAACCAGATTCCCGTATTGCTTCCTCTCCAGGTCATCCGTTGATCGTGCTTGTCCTCCCAGTTTGGATCGTCGGAGGGCTCAACGTCCTCGACCCACCCCAGCATGGTGGGGAGTTGTATGTCATAGTGAACGAAGGTCGAACAATCGGAAAAACGCGGTCTAATCCCTTGAGGCGGTATGTTCCTGTCGTCGAGACCCAGAAATTCTCCGTGTTGGTAGAAGATGGATGGGTGGATGCAGGGGTCCATGGACGCTCGGTGGTTCCATATGAAGGTCTTGCCCTTTGGAAGCGCAGGCGATGGCTTGGTGAAATCGATGCCATACTTGTAAGCTGGAGAAGTCGGACGGCAGGTCAACTGGAGGTTCTTCGTTTCGGCCTTGGGAAGCTCAGAAAATGGAACAGCTACAAAGAATAAGCAGTTGCAGAGCGACAAGTATTGACGACTGACTTTGGTTTTTAGCGGCCGCTGCAAGGAGCAGCCCTCTCGTCCTGGGCATCCGCTAGCAGCATGGGGTTGTCCATCGGAGATATGACTGCTCGAAATGGCGGCAAGTGCTGTTGAACATCCTTCAGTAGTTCGACGATGTCATCCGCCCCACGCAAAGCATTTTTCTCCTTCCAATGTTCTGGATCTGCGAAAGTATAATTCACGAGCGCGACCGGACTCGTCATATTATCCCTGCCGATAGTGTAGGTTTCCACCTCAGCCTGTTCGTCTTCTATGAGCTTTTGAAGATCTGAGGGTTCCATTGCCCAAAACGGTTCCAAGTCTCGCCATATTTGATCATATTCGTCGGGGAGCATCACCTTGTGTTCTTGCACGTAATTCCACCTACCCATTTCACGCTAAAGCAATTGTGAGAGGGAAGTTGAGGAACCTACCACGCGTCGAAGCCAGGAGGGGGAAGTCTCTTGTAACGTCGTTGGTATTCTGCGACGGCAGCCGGTAAAGTTTTACTTGCACGGTCCAGTTTCGTTTGCCACTCCTTCTGTGCGCGTCCCATTAGATCGATGATAGGATGCTGACCATTTGGGTTGACATGGAGAAGTCCATCGTCGGCATATATGTGGGATGCAAGTTTATCCGTAGCAGGGCTAGGCGTGAAGACGCGCTCTGAACCGGTCGGATTTACGCGTACATAGAGGCCAGACGCGACCAAAAGCGCGTTTCGAAGGAATATAGCGACTATGGCCAGGAAAATCGAGACAGAAGCTATCACGGCTGTGAGCTGGAGTTGAATCATCGTGATTTCGTCGCGAGGATTGCAGATTGGTCGGCACGGGAGTCAGAACTGAGGGGTATATCGACCAGCGCACTCGGGGCGTGTACTTCAGCGTTCAGATCTCCATCTGACGAGTTGGAGGACGGGACCAAGTCCGCATGCAACTCTGTTTAGATGTCCATATGATCACATGATCAGATCAGGAGAAGCGCTACCCACGACGGTCTTCTCGAGCACCATCGGTGGCCTCAAGTTTCAAGCTTCAAAGCTTAGGCTTCAAACTTCCGCTTCGACATCGCGAAGTCTAGCGCTCGGGACCGTGCAGGACGACGCCGCGACGATGCCGTTCTCCGCTCGCCTCACCCGGTTCGCCATTGTCGCGTGCATCTTCCTGTTCTTCTTCTCAGCCCACCTCAAGAACTTGATGGTCTTCATTCTCATTGGTCACGATACCCAGGAATGCGCGCCTCCGGTGTCACTGCCACCGCCTTCTCCCCCGAAATACGAGCCAGTGCCGACCAAGACCGTTCGTGTTTACGTGACTGAAGTGGTGACTGAAGTGGTGCCCCAGGCCCCCGCACCGGCAGCGGCAGCGGCTGAGGTGCCCCAGAAGCCCCTTGGACAGCATACGTTTCTCCCGAATGGCATGCTGGAAGTCAATCCGGAAGGCGCTCATCCTATTTACACCCTTGTGAAGGACGCGGAGGAACGCTGGAACGAGAAGGTTTCTCGCGCTAGCAAGAGTTTAGAGGAGGCGATAGCGGAATATAAACGCAGATACAAACGCCCACCTCCGAAGGGTTTTGATGACTGGTACGTCGCGCGAACTCTCCCCAAGGAACCTAATCGAAGGGAGGTGTCTGTAGGTGGGAATACGTGGTACAGAACAACGTCCAGTTACCCGACGAATATGATCAAATCCACCGCGACTTGGAGCACTATTGGGGAATTGAGCCAAGGGACCTTCGCAAGATCCAAAAGGAGCTCGAAACCAAATTAGACTCCTATACTCTCGGGAAGACGGAGACTGGCCCGGTGGAAGTCGTCACGTCGTCGTTCCAAGAAGGGCGCTACAATCAACTCATTGTGGGCTCCGTGAGGATCATTGGCCTTCTGGAGGAAATCGACGATGTGTTACCTGCGTTCCGGGCCACGTTCTCCCCTCATGACGGCCCGAATCGGTTAACTGACTACGGTGTTCAGCAAGCTGTGCTAAAGGCGGCACGCGAGTATGAACGTGAGTTGCACTCCCGGCACCCACTATTACCTTCATTTTGAATCGTTCACAGCCATCGAAATTGATGACCTTCCGAAGATTAACCCTATAGGCTGGGTATCAGCCTGCTCCCCTGATTCCCCTGCTCGACAATTCAAGATTGACTTGGACAATCCTCCGCCCCCGCCTCCGAATAAGTCATTTATCTACGACCATCGTCTAGCCATGGACCCATGCAATCACCCACAGCTATTCTTCCAGCACGGGCAGTTCCTATCCCATAATTACGGGCCCACACCGCAGAAGGAGATGGTCCCGGAGTTCTCACAATGCTCATCGACGCTGCATCATAATATTCGGATACCCACCCCGTATGGATGGGTAGATGACATATATCCACGAGCGGACGACCCCGATTTTGATGACAAACCCGACGAACGCCTTCTTTGGCGAGGAAGCAATACTGGGATCTTCCACTCGTCAACTTCCCGGTGGAAACCCGCTCACAGGAATCGACTTATAGAGTTTACGAACGACCTTAACGGCACAGCTAATATTCTTCCGCCAAACAAAACCCAAGACGAGCCCATTGGCGACGGGATCCCCTTCCGCAAATCCCGACTCAATCCAGCGTTACTAGACATTGCGTACTCGGGCTCTCCACATTCGTGTGCTGAACCTGTTTGCAAGCAATTAGCAACGATGTATGAGTGGCGCCGCATGCAATCTATCAAGGAAGCGGGGAGCTACAAATATGTGCTTGACGTGAGGGGTTGAACTTTCGGGTGTTTATAGCATACTAATCAGTATATAGGTCGACGGTAATGGCTGGTCTGGGAGATTTAAACGTCTCATAACTTCGAATTCTTTGGTGTTCAAGGCTACTATCTATCCCGAGTGGTTCGTCTCATTCTTTCCAAAGTTAATGTAATGACAAACCCACACACTTTCAGGTACTCAGACCGTATACAGCCGTGGCTACACTACGTCCCAGTCCAGGTAGACCTCTCTGATCTGCACGACTCCTTGCTATTCTTCCGCGGCGATCCGAGCGGAGTAGGTGCACACGAAGACATGGCACGGAGAATCGCGGTAACTGGACGAGAGTGGAGTAGGACCTACTGGCGGCGGGAGGACCTTATTGCTTACTTCTTCAGGTGCGTCCCTTGATTTCTCAGTTAACCAAGCGGAAAATAACGCGGAAGGAGTAGATTAATTCTAGAGTATGTACGCCTTCTGAGCTTGGATAGAGATGCTATGTCTCTGCGGTCAGAGGAAAAGTACATAGAATAATCTCCTCGTTTTGGGGTTCGCGGACGCTTGTTGTATGTACGTATGTCTGTATTTTATTCACTGCACCTATTGTACACACCTTGGGCCCCTGAGTCCAGCCAGAATAGACTTGGCATTTTACCACAACGCTCAACCATACAGTGTATCATACAGATCGACTGGGATGAAGACTGGGATGAGCCCTAGAGGCCATCAGCTTCCCCCTGAGCTTGTCCAGGCTATAATCGCGCAGTTAGTGCCCCATGACACCGACTCCAGTGGTTGGACTACCCTCGAAACCATCAAAGCCCCGGGTCCCTGGTCAAATATTCAGTCATGCACCCTAGCCTCGAAAATGCTTCGCGGTTTCTCTCTGGCAGCCTGGTTCCGCGTCCTGGTTCTCAAAGAAGCATCCGATGTGGCATATTGCATGGAGGTGTTACCCCTGGCGGCGGAGCAGTGGACGAGGCAAGTATCATCATCTTAGGATGTATTCCTGTTTCTTATTTTTCCGATCCTGGCAGAGAAATATTTTGCCTTTACGTGGACAAGCAGACGGTGCATGATATCTCAGGTTTCAAGCGGTTAACTCGGTTATATCTCGATTTCACCAACGAGCCTCGTATATGGATGATACCATTTTCGAATGCTCCGACCAGCCTTACAGAGTTACATATTGGCGGCCACGGATGGCTGACACCAATGAATCTTTGTGCATTTACTTCCAGCGTGCCCGAACTGCGCACGCTTCGACTGCAACTCAAGCGCGTATGGTGTCATCTTTGCAACTTATGCAACAAAATACAGTTTGCCGGAATCATTCCTGAATCAATCATCTACGAGAAAGGCCTAGGACTCCCGGTAAGTTTCGTGGTCTCTTCCAGATTTACTCCCCACTGAGCGAGATTACTAGATCCATTACGCCAACGTTTTGTTAACATGCAGCAAGTTGCGCACGGTCGTGATCGCTGTTGCTTATGCTACAGATGGCTCAACGACAATTGGAAGTGGCGAGAAAGACAATCCCAACTTCTGGACTGGTGAGTGCGACGGCTGCATGAGCCTCATGTACAAGTCAGACGAGTTCCGAGAGAAATGGGTGTCATCAAAAAAGGGAACTATGTACGCACGCCCACCCGCTCTGGAGACAGTTGAATGGCAATTTCATCCGATAATGGAGACATCGAGCACGGCTTCTGATGTATCCACATCCGACATAGATGGCGACGACAGTGGAACCGCCAGCTCAGCCGAAGATTAGACGCTGCTCGCATCCTTATCAACATTGCCGGGCTACTTGGATCATCCACGGAATAACTGTGTTGAGACGCGCTTTGGTCGTCACCACGCTATCGACTGGGTGTATCGGATATTTCGAAGAACGCACACGGTTCCCCTCCCATTCATACCATCGAGGAATCTATGTCAAGAGTCGCCGGGCGGACGGACTTTCCTCTTACCGTCTACAAATCTACCGAAGCTAAATAACATTTCCGTGTTCCGCAATTTCCAAGATAAAGAAGTTCGGCGACATACCATAATATCTGACCGAGGTCACTATCTTCGGTAGCTAACCACACACTCTACGCAGAGAAACCCCCACTCTCGCTTGTCTTCTCGATCATATCATCCACATCTCCGCCTCTTGATCATATTTCCCACCTGCAGCATCACTTCTTCCCTCACTCTCGAAGCACATGGCATCGTTGTCCAGTGACACGGATTCCTGCATGCCTCCACATCTTCGCCCCCGTATGTGTTTGCCGATCTTGCTTCTTGTTTAGCACATCTGCTATAAATGAACTGCTGCCTTCCATATAAAACTCCAGCCAGAACAGTCGTGCTCCCGCTTCTTTCATTCGCTCCTCACTTTTCCTGCGGCACAGCGGGATCACGCCATGGTCTCCTTCACTATCTTTGCTGGTGGATACACCAATTTTATCGCGAGCTACCTTTTCAACAGCAACGACTCTTCGCTATCGCTTCTCCAGCAATTCTCAACTGGACCCAACCCTTCATGGATCACAGCTCATCCAACCAATCCGAATGTGCTATAGTAAGTATCAAGCTGAATTTTCAAGAGATCGTGCCCTTGACAGTTTGTCGCTTAGTGCCGTCAATGAAGTGCAGAGCGGTGCCCTCCAGTCATTCGACATAAGTTCCACTGGCGTGCTTTCCAACCCAGTTGACACGGTATCTTCTGGCGGTGACAGTCCTGCACATGTCGTCCCATTAAGCGACGGCGAAGTCGCGATCATGAATGTGAGCTATGCTACGGTGGCGTAATTCCACGGAAAACTGACCCCTCGGATAGTACTCCGGAGGTAATGGGCGTATCATCGCGACGGCTGGATCCCCAGAACGCTTTGATCCATCCGCTGCCGTCATCACGTTCCCCCCTCCCGTTGGTGGCGTGTCCCATCCCCACATGACTTTGCAGCATGGTGATGAGGTGTTCGTCCCTGACTTGGTATGTCCTGCGTAGATGATCCTGGAGGTAAATCCTCATTGCTGAATATCATCCAGGGAGGAGACAAAATCTGGCGTCTCGTTAGAAACGGCGCCCCCGGCAACTGGAAGATTCAAGGCTCGATCGCTCAGCCTCAAGGTAGCGGGCCAAGGCACCTGGCAATTCATGGTAAGAACTTCGTTTCCTTTTTCGGTTCTGTAAGCTCTAAGCCTCAACATCCCTCTATAGGTAATTCGTTGTTCACTCTACATGAGCTAGCCTCCACCTTGACGGTACAGGCTATTCCGCCTGCCCCGAACGGCACTTCCCCCATCATCGACAGTGTTTCAATCATCCCCCCAAACCCACCGGCAGGCGCACTTTGGGCAGCAGGCGAAATTCTCATACCGCAGCCAACCGCCAAATTCCCTGTCCCGTACATCTATGTTTCTAATCGAAACACCGGCGTGCAGGCGCCTCAAGGAGATTCTATTGCCATCTTTGAGCATGTCCCTGCCACGGTCAAGACGCGTGAGAGTCTCAAGCTAGTCACACAGGTATTCACTGGTCTCGATCAGGTGAGAGGCATGGAATTCGGTCCTGCTTCGGTGGGTGGGGAAGAATTCTTGGTGGCTAGCGGCGTGGCCGGGACAGGCGGTGTAGTCATCTATCGAAGGACGGACGGTGGAAGGAATCTCGTAGAAGTGGCGAGAAACTCTGATATTCCCACAAGAACCAGCTTCGTCTGGAGCACCTTGGTGCCAGCGTACTAGAGTAATAATTAGAAGATTGATATATACGTGCATTATCTATAGAAGATGTCATGATACGTGGCGTCTACGTGAGGCTCAGCGACTCATTACTATTCGTCTAGTGTGAACCAGGTCCCAAGGTACCAGACACTGGGTTGTGGTTTCATATCAATTTTGGGGCGGGGTCGTTTATGTGACACTTATCGAGAACTTGCTTCTGCTTCGGATCTGCGGCCCAAAGAAAAACAACACCTGTCCAGGCTACCGTTAATACGCACCAAGCAGACAGGTTGGGCTACTCACAAAGGGGATGGGAATCAGTAGCGCGGCAACGCCTGCGATCAAAGTCCCTGCCCACTTGTATGACAAATGTTCGAACATTTGGGGCATAAACAAAGGGAACACAGTTGCAAAACCATTTCCTGTAATAACGCTAGCATTGAATGGATGATACCAAGAAAGCCGGTATAAATTGACTCACGGAGGAGACTGGATCCAGCAAGGGCAGAAGACGCGTATGGACCATAGCTAGGGTAGATTAAATGTGCATTGGGTTGGGTGGGATACTTTCTACACACGTACCAGTCAGCGAGGTAGTTGCATACGACCAGGAATATTATGTAGGTGGCACCCATGAATATCTAGAGAGATGAAACTCGTGAGTCGCCACAAGTCAAGAGGGGCCAAGTAGAAGACATACCCCAAACCCAATGCATGGTGCTATCCAATGGACGAACGGAAATGAGGTCCACGCATAAATTAACATCCCAACGGGAAGAATAATTGCAGCGACGCATGCCGAGTAGAGCCGTGCCTCGGGGCCTCTGAACGCGACGTACTTGCTAAAATACAATCCATGAGTATTTGGTGCACGTTGTGGCTAAGAGGACGAAACGAACACATAGATTTTGTCTTGGTATAGGTTGCTCAGAAAACCGAGGGTAGATCCCACTCTGACATACAACGTATCATTAATATGATAGATAAAGTGGGGGACGAAGCTTCGGACACTCACAACATACTGACGAACACGGTACCAATTTCACCATCGTTGAAATGATGGAAAGTGCGGAATCCTTCAGGAATGGACCTAAAGCGTCGTCAGTGATTTGAACAGAAGATAAAGGGTGCGTTCACTGACTCGAGGACGCCGTACGTAACGCCCCACGCAAATCCAATCCAAAGCTGCAATAGGAATGACAAACTGCCAGCATGACCTAGTAAATTAAACATACACTGAAACTCGCCACAATTGGCTCAGTCAACAAGAGATCTGTTTATTGACTCAGAAGCAGTTCACTGCGATCAACGGAGTTTGGCGTGTACTCACAGAGAGGGCGAGTGCAGGCGACGTACACAAGGTTCCAGAGTTTCCTCCCGTGGATCTCTACGGGAGCAATATATCTTGCGTCTCCGGTCTTATTTCGGAGATTTCGGGCTATTCTGAGCAAGATGATGGAGGAGCGCGTCTCGCGCATTGTCACGGAATATAGGATGATATATACAGCGTTGATACTATTGCGCCAAGAGTCAGGTGGTGCCATAGTTATTGGGGGAAGACGTACATGAGCTGGACCCATTGAATCCACCGCCACTGGAGTCTGGGATTCATCTCGATCCAACCGCCTACGATAGGTCCAAGAGCAATACCAGCAAAGGCTGCATAAGAGAATGTGGCCATTGGGATCCCTCGTTCGTGTGATTCCCACATGTCTGCAATAGTACCGCCAACCATGGTTGCTCCTGTGGCGGCGAACGCCGCCTGTAAGAATCGCGCTAAGATGACTATCTGAATATTCGGTCCCCTGAAAATGTATCTTTAGTAGGTCGACTATTACTCCATTAGACGGAATCCTTACAGTGCGATGAGCGTGAACATCACAGTGAAGCCCAGGCTGGAAAACAGATAGATGATGTGTCGCCCGAATTCCTCGCTGAATGAGACGGTTAACATAGAAATGACACCGTATCCGAGGGGATAGACGCTGAGACCAATGGTGGCTTGGAAATTGGTACAATTAAGGTCCCGCGTCATGGACGTGAACCCCATGTTGTACGCCCCAGCGGCAGCAGCTATAATTAACAACAAGGTAAATAGAACCCACATGAAATGCGAGGAAGGCGGGCCGTACCTGTCGTGACCGTGAATATACACGCCACCAGAGTCATAAACCATTTTCTCCCCCTTGACCAGTTCACCGGATTTCTAGTGTCTCCAGTCTCGAACTCAACCTAAGGAAGTTAGGCGATCAGCAACGAACCCATACATCAAGACGGATGAGGTATGCTGACGACGATGGGCTCCAGAGACTGCTGTCCCTGTTCGAGCTTTTGGGTGTCTAGAAGGGTTGGTGTAGGTGACTCAGACGACATGGGAGAAAGCTGAGCTCAGGTGGAATTTGGATTCATCATTTATAAGCAAAGGACTGCAATGCGTGAGCACCACGAAAAGAAGCCGTCCAAAGTGTGGCTTGTGTAACCGACAGTAAGCGAACACTGCAGTATCGGACGGTCCATCCGATGGGTCGATCATGAAGCGACGCAAACTTGTAAGATTCACATAAATTCGAGCTTCTTCGAACATGAGGCACCTTGACATGAGGTCCGTATTGTCATGGTCAACACCAGTCAGGGTGTCTTCATGGTGCTTCGCGCAACTGCAGAGACTGGCGTAATCAAACCCACTATGAGGTCAGGCGTAGTTGCATACGGGTAATGTTCGTTACTTAACGAGGAAATGACGCTGATTTGGATCCGGAGGTCCATTGAGTGTGCGAACTATTCTTGTCGACAAAGCTCCTTTAGTTGCTGGATGAATGACAGGTTGGTCCGCGTAAGGATATCTACATCAATCGAAAATCGATTGAGGGTCGAGAAGAGGCGTGTCCGATAATGGGAAGTCGCACATAATTATCATGGCCGCGAAGCTAACCTCAGTGAATGGGAGGAAATTTCGGACGCGTGGCACTGTAAAGAGGCTTCATAATGTGGCTGGTCCCCTTGCGAGCTGGACGTCCGCAGGCTCACGCACGGGGTGTGCCTGGTCTCAAATTGCACGTTAGCGTACACAAGAGATAGAACCATGGCCTCGAACCTCAGTTTGTTGCGAGCTCCCGGAGGTTCCTGCTAGGATATGTGATGGCATGGGCCAAGCTGCTAGCATCGTGCAAGCTCTGGGTGAGATCAACAGCACCCTCGATATTGCGTCTGCCAGCCAGTCCTCTCCACCCATAAACGATAGCTGGAACGTACCCCACAGGCTTCTTCTTCTAACTGGTGACGGCCAGAACCACAAACCGTTTAAGCCAAGAAATGAAATCAGTTGAGGAGAACATCCTGCGCCGCTCTGAGCGCGTTCTGAGACCTGCCCATGGACGGGAGTAGAACAAGTCGTTTTTCATGTTCATGGTGGCGTCGTCAGTGGTGTTGTTTCGGGCGCTTATGTTTCTCTTCTGTAGGAGGCCTCAGGCCCTAGGGTTCGACCTCCTACGACACTTAGAGTACCACAGAGTCCATTTTCAAGCTCTCCGCGACTAGCTTTCAGCTTTAGCATGAGCATGAGCGTTGACTTTAACCGTTCTTTGCGCCAGTAGAAGTGTCCAAGCCGCAACTGCGAGTAGTCCTCAGTACCCACGAGGTACAAGCGAGTGCCTCAAGCCTGACGCTCGCGTTTGAGTGCTCGTCCGAGGTACACAAACATCAGCGCGGAAGAGGCGGTGTTTCAGGACCTGCAGCCAAATTATCTCAGAGTCTCCGTGGCTAGCCGAGACACTGAACCTCCATGGGATACAGAACTCTACGGTATGTGAAACTCTACCCTTTTTGATACGGTCTGGATGTCATTGCTCCCCCTCTGATCAGACGAAGGCGCAAGTCTCAAGTCTCAGATTGCAGTGTTCCCTGCATACCAAACTCCAAAAACCGCCCGCGTGGAACACGAACCACCGGCGTCGAAGATCCCCAGATGGAAGTTTGCGCCAATATCGATTACCGATCAATGGTCACGAATGGCGAATGACTGTCCAGGATTGTCTGTCTAGAATCACATATAAACCAAAGGATCGACCTAGATGTGCACAAGTGATCAATCCCCCACTTTCGAGGGATGGATAAACCGAAGCGTGTTTCTCCCCTTCGCCAGCTCGCCGATATCATCTCAGCTTCAGTCGCGCAAATCGACGCCGTCTTTGACAAAGCAGGTGCAGAATACCCTTCTCTTGATGCACCATTCGATCCCACTTCTCCCTCCGAGCGCCTTTCTATGGCGCCGGAAGTTATCCATGCGTCTGTTTTAGCTGTTGCTGCGTGTGCCCAGTTAGGCGCAGCAGTGAAGATCCCAGCATTGACTCTATATGATGTCGTCGGAGGGGTATGTTGGAACTTACTAAACTACGTGATTCCTGGTTGACTAATCTATGTAGTTCCATGTCGCGTCGGCTTTGCGTGTGGCTCTCGAAACTAATACCGTCGAAATCCTAAGGGAGTCCCCCGGCGGATTGCACGCGAAGGTTATCTCAGAGCAGAATGGAATGGACCCCACCAAGATCAGTACGTAGTCTGACCTAGCAATTCGCATGTATACTTACGCTTCATCAGCCCGAGTCCTGCGGCTCCTCGCAACTCATCACGTCTTCCGAGAGGTCTCGCCTAATGTATTTGCCAATAACCGTTTGTCTTCCATGATGGACACCTTGAAATCTGTCGAGGCGATCAAGGCTGAGTAAGTGGCCTTAATCTCGCTTTTGTTTATGTCTAACACGTGTGCTGGTAGCCCCGTTAATAAACACGTAGGGACCCCTGGGATAGGCGCATTGGTTGAACACACGTAAACCCTTCCTATGTTTCAACTCTAGGCACACTTTTGCTGACTTGGACGTGGATTTAGCGCAGACGAGCTCTTCAAAGGGTCTGCGTATCTCGCAGAAGTGCTTCTTGATCCCAGGAAGTCGACTTCCGAGGATCCGAAAGATGCCCCGATGATGGTATGTCCATTTGCGTTTTCATTTCTGTGTTTACATGCATTCAATGTGTCGACGTGGATAGCTCGCGTTCAAGAGTTCGAAGCCCTCCTGGGAGTGGTACGAAGAACCAGGGAACGAATATCGTCTCAAACGTTTCGCAGCAGCGATGGAAGGGACTTCGAGGGTCGATCCCCCCAATGCTATTCACCTAGGTAGACCCCCTTGTGAAGGGTAATGTCGCTGCTAACCCCTCTTCTTCTAGGGTTTAAATGGAAAGATTTACCGGATGGGTCGATCATTGTAGACGTTGGCGGCGGATTGGGGCATACAACCCTGAACATCGCTAAGGAATACAAGCATCTGAAGTTCATCGTACAAGACCGGCCAGCTGTCATTGAGCAAGCTAAACAGGTATGTCTTGCCCCTCATATCACGTTTCGAATGACAGGAACTCCATGAATGGTTCCTTCTAGCACTGGAGAGAATCCCTTCCTGCAGCGATCACAGACGGACGTGTTGAATTACAAGGTGTGCTTTAGATTAGTGAGCCCAGATCAAGGCCACTCGCTCACCCCTGACAGCGCACGACTTTTTCACGCCGCAGGTTGTGCAAAACGCCTCCGTTTTCTTATGCCGCATGATATGCCACGATTACGGAAAAGCAAAGGCGACTCAGATTCTTTCGCATCTACGCCACGCCGCTTCACCTAACACGAAGCTTTTGCTCATTGAGCAGGTAAGCTGGTGCACCAGCACCTCCATCGAATGGATCCTAAATCGTCTGACACGCATCGTTATTCGCCTTAGATTGTACCCTACGCCTGTGTAGTCTCAGAGGCTGCCGCGAGTACAATCCCAGGCGTCGAACAACCACAGCCTCCAGAGCCCTTACTGGCCAACCTGGGAAAGGCCAATGCAATCGCGTATCTCGGCGATTTTCAGGTGAACGACGCTTTCCTAAGGCCGCCGTCTAATCTGTTACTAACCGTGATTCGCTTGGAAGATGTATACTGGTTTGTGTGGAGAAGAGAGGACAATCGGCACATGGGTCGAGCTGGTGGAAGGTGCCGAGTGGAAAATAGTCCAAGTCTTTCCGATCCCTGGCTCTCTACATTCTCAGATCTTAGCCGTTCCTGTCTGATGACTTCGAGCACCGAATGAGCCAATGGTATACAGCGATGATTTCATTATAATCATGCGAACATCGTCTAAGTACAGGAAGAAAATCTGATTGCCAATCGACGATCACGTTCGGGAGCCTCATCCTAGCGGTAAGTCAGCCACTCCCCCTATACCAGTGGTCAGTCACATCTCGAGCGACAGATTTTAGAGAAATGTGTTTCGTCCTTTTGGATTCATCAGGAGAGACACACACCTCCCAACACAAACACCTACCTAGGTACTTACCCGCTACCAGTCCCCAGGATCTTGAGGTCGACCTTGATTATCCGCCAAACCCATGGAGTTGATAAGGACCTCCCTCACACATGGTCAGCCACGGGGGGGCGGAAGATATTGCAACGCACGCCGAATAGTTCCGGGATCGCTTGCAATTTACTGGACCAGCCATGAATGTTGCACGCCCTTTCTGGAAACGACGGAATTGCCTAGACGTAAACCGGAGCCGCCTGCTGCGCGCACCTCTTGATCTTGGGTGAAGAATAAGTTCAAAGCTGTTCCATACATGTCGGAGCAGTTTGTGATTAATGATGATGGATTACTACTTCGCCGAACAGGTGCCATCGGGCGGGCTTCACGGGTTCGTGAGCCCACACGCAAACTTTGGGCGGTCCATCAGTATTGGGGACCCACGCTGAGAATTATCAACGGCTGTACTTACATAGACGGTAGATGACTGTGTTCGTATCGGTTCGTCGAGTTACTGATGGCACAGTAGCTTCACAAGCACATGCTGCAAACTTCTGTTCTCGATAGAAGCTTCACATCAGTGCATGTTGGTATATAATCCACTGTGTGTCCCGTTCGACCATCATCCAAGCATGTCCACCCCAAATCCCAGCATCGCCACGAGCAAGTGTATCCTGGTCACTGGCGCAACGTCAGGCATTGGCCGTGCTCTGGCACTCAAGTTCAAAGAGTTGCCATCCAAGCCACAGGTCATTGCCGTGGGGCGGCGTCAAAACCGACTCGATGAGCTTGCCGGCCAAGGCTTGGAGACTGTGCAGCTCGATGTGCAGAGAAGTGCAGAACAGCTGAAGAACGATCTGGGCATAATTGTTGAGCGCTATCCCGATGTAGGTTCTGTTCAAATCAGGGGTGTAATTTCGGAGTAGGCCCTGAATTGCGGATCACAGCTCGACACGGTCGTTCTGAACGCGGGTATTCAACATCAATTCGACTTCACTCAACCAGAGAGTGTCAACTTGAACAGTACGTTCGTATCTGCAACACGACGCCTACATTGCACTAATCCAACGATATGTTCTGTGTGACCGCGATTAGAGGTCGCCGAGGAGCTGAACATTAACTACACATCAGTTCTGACAACCGTTCTGGCATTGATGCCGCATTTCCAGAAGCTGGCGGTGGGCTCACCTCTTTTTGCATATCATAACACGTCACTGATGCAGAGACCCCCTACAAGGCCCAGGGCAGAGAGTGTTTCTTCGTTGGTATTTCGTCTGGCCTGAGCATGGTTCCCGCCGCCTGGGTACCGAACTATGCAGCAACCAAGGCGGCTGTCCACAGTCTGCTCATGGCTCTTCGCGCCCAACTGGCGGACAGCAAAATCCATGTCGTTGAAGTGATGCCCCCGTAAGTACGCTAAGACAGAAATCTGATTGCGATCTGATTTTATGGACGTGGTCAGTCTCGTCGAATCTGAGTTACACGATCGTAGGTTCACCGCTGTCATCAAAGGCGCACCGTGTACTCATTCCCCCCTCCTAGCGTACGGTACCACTGAAGCACTCTCCAAAACATGGATGACCCTGGAGGAGTTCACCAAACTTACGCTCGACGGACTGCTCAAAGGCGATGACGACGTGCCGGTGGGTATGTCTGCAGCAGTGTTCCAGAAATTCGAGGCAGGGAAGAGCCAGATGGCGATTCATTTGATGAAGAACCACAAGGCGGGAAAATCTTACTGAGTGTCCTGTGTCAACGAGCATTCTCGTGTAGTTCATGGAACATCATCCATACTTACCTGATACATACGGAATGGCAGGCGAATTACAGTTGTAACCTTAAGTTCAATCAATGGGCGCTTGAGCTCACTTGATCCCGACGAATCTGAGGCATTTCTCACGACAGGTCCACTTATGCGCAGAGAAAAGTGGGAACTCCTGGGAGAGTATAAAAAGAAGTATGGTAGGTGATTTTTTGCCTCCCCACCGTGTACGATATTTGACCAAACCACGAAACTGTTGAAATAAGCTCGTGAGGTCGCGCGAATTTCGAGTGAGCAATCAAATAGATGTTGCGTTTGACTGGGACTCCAGCAAACGCATGAAGAAAAAGTATACATGCACGCGCGAGCTATCTACGTAGTCACGTGAACCCCTGTAACCCCTGTACCGCCACTTTGTCAAGGCCCATGAGCTCCCCGGCAACTGTGAGGACAGGGCGTTGAGAGTATACGCTGGCTCTTTTACAAAGCAGATCATCGATGGCTTGCATCGTATTCAATACAACTATGCTGTTTCCTAAGCCGTGCAAATATACAACGTCACCTAGGTTTCTGTTGGATTCTGACAATCTAGATTATTGCCCCATGCCCAAGCTGACACTTGATTCAGCTGCTGAACACTTCGTACAGAGCACAGTCCTGCGCCAAAATGATGCCGAGTGGCGTCTCCACCGCCGATTTGTGCATATAGTCCTTAGTCAAGCTGCTGTCAAACAATACCACCCTGTACAGGAAGACCTCGCCCGTCGACTCTGCTTCTCCTTGTTGACTCACCCCGAAAATTTCAATGCCGATCTAAGGCTGTATGTAGTTTGTTCTTCATTCACTCTTTCAACGTCACTGACACTTGCTGTAGATTTTCCGGCCGTGTTGTTATTGCTGTCACGTATGGCCTTTCAGTCGATACCGCTGACAGTAAAGTACAAATACTGGCCTCTGCCGTCATCATACGCTAATTTCCTTGGTCATATTCAGTATATCAAGCATGCAGATGCGACTATGGATCTGGTATGTCATGCGAGCATGCCTGGCGCATACTTATGCGACCTCCTGCCGTTTAGTATGCCTATTACAAATCATCAACACCTCGAGAAAAGTCTTCTTATTCAACTTTGCTTTACCAGTGAAACACCTCCCGTCTTGGATGCCGTTTCAGAAGGAAGTCGTGGTCGGAAAACAAATGATCGAAGACCTGATTACAGCGCCATTCGAGCATGTGGAGCGGGACATGGTCAGTCGTATTCAACCGTGCCCATACTTCCCTTCACTGAATATGCAATCAGCGTGATGGATCAGCCGTTCCATCATTGACTCAGGAGCTACTATCGATGGAAAAGGACGATATATCCGACTTCGAACAATCTGTCAAATGGGCGACTGGTTCAATGTACGGCGGTTAGTGGGAGATTCTACCGTATAACTCTCTGTTGACCCTACCTATTCCAGCGGGTGCTGAATCAGCTAGGTTGTTTGATCTCAGTGTCGGCCGTGTAACTAAATACCCTGCATGCAGACATATGCCACCCTCCTTGTCTTTGTGCTCGCCATGGCGTTGCACCCCAAGGTACAGCTGCAAGCCCAAAAAGAAATTGACGAAGTTATTGGATCGCAGCGCTTGCCGGGTATAGCGGACAAAGCCCAACTGCCATTTGTCAATGCCGTCATCAAAGAGACTATACGGTGGCGTCCTATAGTGCCGCTGAGTAAGTGGATTTCGATGGCTACGGTCATATACTCACTTTGGCGAATTTCGCCCAGCCTTGGGCCGGCGTACATCTCAAGATGATATCTATCGTGGTCTCTTTATCCCGAAAGGTGCTATGGTGGTCCCGAACGTGTGGTAAATCATCATGTGTTCGCCCAGAGCTCGACGCCTCACATATAACTCTAGGGCAGTCGCTTTCGCAGCGAACGAGAGGTACGACCCGCAGCAATTTCTACCGGAGCGATTTCTAGATCCAACTGAAGACGTCGTCGACCCATCGTCCTGGGCTTTCGGTTTCGGGAAAAGGTGGAGACACTTACCGTATCGATCGTTCTGCTAATATGCGAAATGCTTAAGGATGTGCCCTGGTAAAGCCCTTGGGGAGAACTCTGTTTTCATTGCGATCACTTCTATTCTATGGGCTTTCACGATCTCGCCACCTAAGCATGGTTCCTTGAACCCGAAATTCACCCACAAGCTCATTAGGTGTGTGCCCTAGCTCAGATTGTGAGATGTACCGGTCCGTCTAACGCGCACCATCAGCTATCCCGAACCATTTGCCTGCCAGATCATACAGAGGTCTAAGGAACGCTCTGCACTCCTCTCTCAAGAATCCAAATAAAGCACTTTTCCGTAACGAGGAGACGTCAGCTCACGACAGCTGTGAACTGTTGCATAATATATACCTTTACCCCACGATATAGAACACGAAGATAGACGAAGAAGCGAACCGCAACTTGTCCAGCTGAACGTCCGATGCGATACTTGCATACAATGATGTCTGAAGATGAAGGACAGCGAGGACGAGATGTTCTATACTTTGGGCCCTCCACCACATATGAGGTGTGGGTTAAACGTGCTAATATGACAGAAGGATCAGTGCCTCCATCACGGTTGTTGCATAAGTTCTTACTCGCAGGAGGTCTGGTTTCATCTTGCACACGACAAATTTGATGGCTGGCTCAGCGCCATGATTGTCTGAGGATAAACCTTACGGTATGTGCAACTTCGCCCGGACTTCTGGGCTTGAGTTATGAAATTCCGATTAGGTTGTCATCCTCACTGTACCTACATTGGGATGCACACAATGAACGAATAGGAGCCGAGGTTTTCGATAACACCTACGTACATGTCAAGTGATAATACCTGAGTCTCCGAATCATCTATCTTTCTAGCACGGTACAGATATTCTGGTGTAGGTTCCCATCCGTCCCGTAATGATCTGCCATCAAGATGACCCGGAGACCACTACAGGTTTCGTCATGTCTCCTTGTTGTCGAACACCACGCCCCCGCTTCGACATGGTATTCATAACAGCTTTCTCACTGTATCCGCCTATGATGCTTGATGGTGATCCTAATATGTCAGTAAGCACCGCATTTGTTTCAGCATCGGGTTATTCGCTCACTGCCTCTGTATGTCGTATCTCATCAAGACGGCAAGGAGACGGCGGCGCTAATCATCTTACCATTGCGTTTGGGGTTACCGCGAAACAAGGAATCCTAAACATAATGTTTACACAGTTATAAGATACATGAGGGGTTCTGGTTCTTCATCTTTTACAAAACTTCCACTCACAGTATCCAATTGTATCGGCACCAGAGCATGGCCAGTAAAGCAGCAACACAGTGAGTATTCCGCCTTTGGCCCTTCATATACCAAATTTATTGACCTCGACTCAGTTACCTTCAGTTCAACATACAATGGTCAAGCATCGGTACGTACTCTTGGGTATGTGCACGCAACCTCGTCGCAGGCTGATCCTCAGTTCAGCTCTTCTATTCTACGACTACGCTTTAACGTTCCCCCTGGAAGTCAAGTACATCTGGGGGTCGAAAGTCAGACTCTCAACAATTCTGTACATCTTCTGTCGATACGCGCTGGTGGCCAACGTCCTTTACCTCTTAGCTATCGCCAATCGACTCAAACAAGGGGTACGCCTATTCTAATCGTCCCAGTCCTCAGCAATGCTTACGGATATGATGTGTATCTCAGTCAGCCCTCCTTCTGCGGGCCTCCCCTCCAACTTCTGACTCATATCCTCCATGGCGTTAGCTGCGACACGTGGTACAAGATAATCGGCGCACTGAGTGTCCTCGGGCGAGCAGCTGTGATAGGTACGAGCCTTATGCATGTTGGGAAGACATGCGCTGACCTTAATGATTGCAGTAACTTTCACAGGGAGAACGTACGCGATATACGCAAGGAACATATACATCCTAATTTATCTGGGCCTCATTGGCACCGCTTGTATTGCGTTAGATATCGTAAGTGCGACCCCCGCAGCGATAGCCACCGACATCAATTGATGTACGCCGTAGGCGCACGTTCCCGGCCTTCGGTGTGTAGGTTCGTCAAGCAATCCCTTGTAAGCCGTCTCTGGATTCTGATTTCTGTGAACAACGACTTATCGGTTCTTGATGTCTCCACTTCTGAAAGAGGTATGCCCATGGTTTAACGTTAGACACTAATGGCTTACCTTTGCCACTAGCGAACCTATTACTCTCGATCCTGATGGTTATCTTCGAATACTCCTCTGCGATTCTTACTATCACTCGCAGCCTCGTGGCATTCAAAGTCGGCAGAAGGAAGGGACGCTCCAAAGGCCTCATCAACCTAATTTTCGAGCAAGGTGTTCTTTATTTTAGGTATGTGTCATGTATCGGCGTTTCTGAGGATACGAAGGGATTGCTAATCCTTCATAGCATTATTTCCCTCTTCACAACTACAGCAGTTATATTGAATGTGGTAGGTTTCCCAGACCGTATTTGTCTTCGCCGCCAAGGCTGATACAGCCTATATATAGGAAGCACCTGTAAGTCAATGGGTCCCAGTCACGACTTCCCTGGATGTTTACCCGTTGATGGTAGGCTGGGTTCTTCCAGCGGTTGCTAAACGCATACACACTCCCGTCAGTTCATCACCATCGTCGCTGCCACCGCAGCCCAAAATATCTGCTGATATAAGTTCGCCAGGCTGTCGGGTTTACTCACTGCTCGATTCTTACTACACATCCGAGCGTACGAAGACAAAGAACGATCGCGCGCAATGGCTGCGCAGACCAGGACGGGTACCCTACAGATATATACCTTGACTACTTTGGCGAGCTTTCGTGCGGCCGCGGGAGATGCCATGTCGAGTATGGTCGATCAATTTGGTGATGATCCTGTCGAAGCCGCACAGCGCCAGATGCGAACTGAATCGTCTAAGGCGACGGCCGCCGCTGAAAGTATAGGCCATGGGTCAAGTGCAAGATCACTGGCTCATCGTATATCAGAAGCTGGCAGTAAAAACCCCTCTGGTTCTTCTTCAGTATAGAGTGCACCCCACATCGATTTTTATTTATCGAATCACCTAAACAACATTTGTATAATATTATATTTATTGTACTGTTCCCCACCTCCAGCTTGAGACGCAACGTGGGGGCAAAACGTTCCTGACCAAAACCTACATCGAACGGGAGTCGAACCCGTGCCGCTTGCTTACAGATATATGTAACGACGTGGAAGGCAAGCATGATACCGTTTCACCATCGATGTTCTATACATTGATGTTCGTTGAAAATACTACTATTGGGGTGGTACAAGGTCGGTATATGAATCGAGCCAATAATATTCTGATCTTCCAGACAATTGCTCATTGCCGTGTATATGAGATGTCTTCATCCGGAACCCTAATGGTGGGAGTCGACTGGTGGGACCTTGAGAAAGGGAAGTGAATTACTTAGACGCCTTGACCTCCTACCATCGTGATTCCGAACCTTTGAATGTTTGGGGTTGAAAGCTACACCACCCGTTCTACTGATCCATTATGCACACAAGATCCGATGTCTTGAAGTACGCTTACCGAACAAATGCTTGTCCACTGTCCAGCCGGGCGGGGGCGGGGGCTAGGGCGTACTACGAACCTGCGTCTTTGAACTTAGCGCGTATCTACCTGACGGTAATCTCGTCGTGCACGTTTCCTTTCAGACCCGTAGCTCCAGCAGGAATGGAACAGAATGCAGCGTAAACTTGCAGGCAACGTAGTTTCCCGTGCGGCAGGTCGGTGTATCCTCCAATGCTATATATGTCTCCGAATACCGCTGGAGTGCCATGCCAGGTGACGGAGCATACATTTATAGGCCTTGATTAACTCTTTAACCAGTATTTTCTGGCCGCCTGTCCCCCCCTTACAGCATGCTGATAGTCAATGGCAACTGTCCCTGTCCTGCCTCTGCTCGTGGACAGTAGCTCGGCCACAGGTGATCTATCGACAGAGGGCTCGCATCTTCACGAGGTTTATTAATAGATGTGTTCCACTTTTCGTGGAGGAAGGCGATTCTGCGGGCAAACGAAGACGAAGTCTAGTCAGCTGTCAATGACTCGCGAATTGTGGAAGAAGGGTTTTCCATCTTCTTATATCCGTACATAAGCTACACTCCCATACCATCCCTCGAATGCGGTGAACCTCCGCTTGCGTCTTGCTGTGTCCAGCTTCACGATAATGACTCGCACTCCAGGCGATAACATCCGAAGCAGCGAAGATCCTGCATATTTTCATCTTTTGGATCCAAGACGGACATGGTATAATAATCGTCGGTTTGTGAATTATCTATTCCTTGTGTTTCATTGATGCTAACTGTAGGTTCGGTACAAGGCTTATTATTCTCAACGCTTGGATTGTACTCTTGTGAGATATACTCACTCGTCCTCAGTCTTGTTCACCCGTTCACCCGGCGGTGGAAACCTCTTCTTAAGGCTTGTGACAGCGTCGAATAACGGCTACGATGGGACTATGATGAACGGCCTCCAAAGCCTTCCTCAGTGGAAACAGTCCTTTAACAATCCTTCCGGTAGCATGCTCGGCTTATTGAACGCCATCCAGGCAAGTAATCTCCTCGACTTCTCCGCAACCCTTTTTTGCACCGCATGAAATTAGAGGGATGACATTATATGATTAATATCTATAGCATATTGGGTCTTTGGGCGGTTACCCCTTCTCCCCGTTTCTGGCAGATGGATTGGGACGTAGACGAACTGTGTTCATCGGAGCCGTCCTAATGTGTATGGGGACCATAGTTCAGACAGCATCACAATCGGTTGGGATGTTTATTGGTGCAAGGTTTCTAATCGGGTTCGGGCATTCTTTCGCTGGTGAGTCCTATTTGTAATTAGGCTGGCTGATTGTTATTGATCGTAGGATTAGCTGCCGCGTCACCCATGTTGATAACAGAGGTCTCGTACCCGTTATACCGCGGACCTCTTACATCGACGTACAACGCACTTTGGCAAGGAGGTGCAATCGTGTACGTCCCTATTCTCTGCGCTCACTGCTCCCTAGGTATTCATACTATGACTGCTCAGGGCCGCCTGGACTACATTCGGCACATTTAGAATTCATAACACTTGGTCATGGCGTATTCCTTCTGCTTTTCAGGGTATACCGGCGCTGGTTCAAGTGTGCCTCATCCTTTTCGCCCCAGAGTCCCCGCGTTGGCTCATAGGAAAAGGAAGACACGACGAAGCTCTGAAGACGCTTGCGTATTATCACGCTGACGGTGACGAGTAAGTTGACAGCCCGTGCATTCCACCGTTTCGACTCCGCTCATTGACCGCTTCCCGCCAGGAATGATCCACTCGTTCAGTATGAATTCAACGAAATCAAGAATGCGATCGAGTTTGATCGCACGGTTGCTGCCAACGTAGGGTGGTTGTCCCTTATTGCGACACCTGGGAATAGAAGACGTTTGCGTATCATCGTGGCCCTTGCGTTCTTCTCACAGTGGTCTGGAAATGGTCTCGTGTCGTACTACTTGAACAAAGTCTTTGATTCCATTGGCATCATAGACCCTACTATCCAGGTGAGCTTTGTTCCTTTCCCCCCTTATGTGCCAGCCTATAATGAATTCTGCTCCCAGTTGCTGATCAATGGCATCCTGCAAATATGGAATCTGACTTGGGCTTTATTGGGCGCAGCGCTATGTGACCGTGCAGGTCGTCGGCCACTCTTCCTGGTGTCGACGGCGGGAATGATCATTTTCTTCACGCTGCAAACCGTCTGCTCAGCGCAATTCGCTATTCACGGGTCCACTTCTGCAGCCCACGCCGTCATCGCTTTCATATTCTTGTTCTATGCTTCCTACGAGTAAGTGTTCATTCACCCGCTGGGACTATGGCACTAATGCTTACATCGAATACTAGCATCGCGTTTAGTCCCCTTATCACCTCGTATGCGGTGGAGGTTCTGCCGTTCGCTTTGCGCGCTAAAGGATTCACGGTATACAATATCTCGCTCTCGTTGTCCCTCATCTTCAATCAATATGTCAACCCCGTCGCGCTAGACGCAATCCAGTGGAAATACTACGTATGTCTTTGCGTTTGGTACCCTGCCTTTAACGTGATTCGCGCTAACCTACGTATAGATCGTATACTGCTGCTGGCTCGTCTTCGAATGGGTGTATCTGTATCTCTTCGTCGTCGAAACGAAGAATCGGACTCTTGAGGAGACGGCGGCCTTATTTGATGACGAGCAGGCAACCCACCATATACAGGGCCACACTACTGCCATCGAAATTCAGAGAGACGACATCAGCGAAGAGAAAGAGAAGGATTGACTGTACGAAGTTCTCGCCATTCGGTATTACTCATCTTGCCCCACCCCATTGAAATTGAGTGTTACATCGATCTTTGGTAATGTGAGGGCAGGAGGTTTTGCAATGGCCGCACAAGAATGAGTTGAATCTAGAATATATGACTTCGAGCGTTTTGATATATCCCGGAACAGCACAGAACATTGCGGAGAAAACCAGAAACATGCAGTTTCCCGTGTCCACAGCCAATATCATCATGTTTATTTATTTCGTCGTGTTCGTTTATAAGGTATCAATGCACAATGCAGCGAGCAATAGGCCGGTAGCGGAGGAGTGGATTCTGGACGATAATGATTGCATCGTCGGCCGCGCCTGATGGTCAACCGCCCAGCAGCTCTCAATGAGCTCCAAAATACCTTGAGAAACCGCCCGTTTCTCAAGCTGAGGCGGGCGAAACGTATTGAATGTATACCCTTCAAGAATAGGTTGGAACCCTCCTTCATTGCCATCCCAGACGTCTTGGAACGGCTTCCTGTTGGTCACTATCTACATAGATATAGTACTCGTGGCCAGCTCGTCAAATATCTGAGCGGGGGTGACTCACCTGGTACACTACACTCCCGTATGAATAGACATCAGTGGCAAATGTCTCTGATGGTCTAGTTTGACCGTCGATGTACCCGAGCCAAAGGATCGGATCAGCCCATCGCCAATCCTCACCGTAAGTTTCAAAGATTTTGGAGGACGCAGTACGCTTGTAAAGGATAGGCATGATCCCAAAATTGCTCAACTTCACACAGCCGCTGTCGGTGATGAGAATGTTCCACTTGGAGGAGCAGTGCACTCAGTTCACATAATTAGATGCCGATGCGTTTGAACACACGTACAGCGTTCAGCCCACCGTGGACGATAAACATGGAATGAACTACGTCCAGTGACCTCAACATAATCATCGGCTGAGCAGGGCCGGGCACGCACGATATGACAAGCCATTGGCAATCTGTTGAAGCTAGATATGGTTGAGTTTTTTCTTTTATGTAGAAAATTGACAATGATCACATACAAGAGTGAGCTTCCGATCAAAGGAGAGAGATATGTTTTGTAGGTATGCACGGAGACTGTGCCCAGATATCAATGGCATGACGACCCCCAGCGAGCCATCTTCATCTTCTATAGTAGCAACGTAGGGAACTAGGTGTTGGTGTCGTATTGTCCCAACGCTACGCAGTTCCTGGACAAAAGAGGTATTATCGTACACCAAGGTGTTGACAGCCCGACCATGACGAACCTGCAGAACCACATAATTGTCTGTAAGAAGTCTGAACACCTTGACGATGACCTACCCGGGCACGACAAACATTAGCAAAGATAGTGAAGTATAAAATGACGACTAAGTTTATTATCAACTTACAACATGACCCGCGTAAGGAGCCTTCCAACACTCCATATGTCGGCAATGAGATACATTGACAATAGAGTCGAATTTGATGTTGGTTAGATGGGGCAGGTCAAGCGACACTGGATGGAATATCCCATCGGGATCTTCGAGATATCCAATGATGGCTTGCAATGTGGGTCTGCCCGGCGGATGAGTTTCCCAGCAAGCGCACAACAACCTCCAGCGTGCATCTGTGATGATCGGGTCCGAGGGTCGATGTGGGGGCACACCTCGAGATAGCTCAATCAGCACCTGACCATCTATCCTTAGATAATGGTAGGGCATCAGTCCGGTGAATGTCTGTGTCCATGATGAGAGGCTAAAGGGATGTACCACGGTGGAGAACGCACACCTGAAGGATGACACTACCAAGGGAATATATATCGCTGTGGGTAGTCGGAATCGTTCGGACGTCGTCCCCGCTGACATGATAGAGTTCGGGGGCTGCGTATCGAACGTTTCCCCCAATCGACGAAGTGGCAGACGCACCACCCTGCAAATCCGTAATCATGGTCGATAGACCGAAGTCGCTCAAACATGCATCTCCGGCCTCGCTGATGGGAACATTACACTTTGCAGAGATTAGGCATGAGGTGAGTTGAGGGGTGACCTTAGGACATACGCCTGTTAAGTCGCCATGTACCACCGAGCAAGAGTGTACTACCAAAGCGTTTAAAATAGACCATCAAGTAAAGCCGTGTCGAGGTCGTGCTCACAATAGGCGAGTCCAGCACAAACTTGCCGCAGCTACAAGATTTATCTCAGTAGGTCGGACGATTCATTGAACCGCACTTACGATTTTGTATCTACCTTCAAGATTCAGTAATTTGCCCTCGCTTCCGAGATAATCATTCAGATTCCCTTTCTCCATCCATGGGCAGACCATAGACGGACAAGGCCCGAAGTCCGAGACAACACCGTAAAGCGGTAATACTTGAGGATGCTTGAGCATCAGCCAGACTGCCAACTCACGCCGCAGTCTCTAATAAATTCGTTAGCCGGGCCGTGTAGCGTGGGGCAGATGGTACTGCAGACCTTTTGGTACTTCTTTTCGCCATCGGCACCCGGGCTACCAAACGAACGAAGAACTTTGACGGCGACCTGGGTGAGGTCTGAGGGATGACAAAGGGAATGATGTGCAAACCATCCACCCACGTTTTGTGTAATTGGCTCATACGATTTATTTCTTAATGTACATAACCATATATCTGCGAAACCGCCGTGGGCAGTAGGATATAAATCTTGTTTCGTAATACAGCTTGTGAGATCCGCGAGATTGGGGAGGGAGGAGAGCAAGAGTGACATCGTAGCCCAAAGGGACACATAATGGTGTATAACACTCACCTTGGGTCCGTCGTGCTTGAACGCCTCCCACGCAGTTCATCTGGGACAGTTGATCAATCCACCATCCCCATCGGTAGGCTGATAAACCAACCTCTCTTCGAGAGTATGATAGTCGCTTACCCCATCGGGTGAATGCCAGGCCCGACTCACTAGTTAGTGTGATCCCCATTTCACCGCGATATCGAGAGGGTGGTAAGCTCGACCAAGCAAACAGCGGAGTGACGAGCGGTGGAGAATTTGCTACACAAAGTAACCACTACGAAATCTGTTGGTGAGAAGAGCTTGCGCGACTGGCGAAACCAGTTCTGAAGTCGAAGATCGCTGGATGGACTGCAAAGTTCAGTCAATCCGATTCGCGCGACGCCGAAGGTACCACAGTACCAGTGGTAGTGGACAAACTACTGTCAGCAACGCGCCAGTTTACGGCGTGCTGTTAGGGGGGATTGATCATGTCCCACCATTGATATCGAGAGCTCAAAACGGGCAGATATGTCTATTTCATAGCAAACACCACTGACGAGGAGATTACCTCGTGAATCGAATGAGGTGCGATAGCCGAAGCCGGAACTTTACGCTATCCAAGAACGAAAGGAGTGTTCGATCCTTTCTGCTAGCCAGGAGAGCCCCACGCTTGATAGCCCCCACCTACCCGACCGTCAACCGAAGCGACAAAGGTGGTGTTTCGAAGCCACAAGTAGGCGAGGTATCTCATCATTGAACGCCGAGAGACCGCTTGAATTGACTATACGAGCCACTACGGCCTATGTCTCGGGCTCCGCTCATATCACAAACTCCTTGTTCAGATCCTATGGTATTGTTAGCGTCGACAACAAGAAATGTCGAAGACCATTTATGAAGATCAATACGCCAACTTGCGAGCCATACGCCGTATAACACGACAGGAGAATCTGAATGGAGTGGAATAAACGGAAGCACTCACGATCGAATGCGAACTACCCAATTGTGGTGTCTGGTCGTATTTCTCATGAAGCATCTCACTAATGCAAGCGTAAGCAAATTGGGTTCAGAAGCAGGTGCCCGGGGGACTTACTAAAGGTGGTTGAGGAGCTCGAGGTATGTCTGCCTTGGTTGTTGCTCTGCACATTCGTGAACGAGGCGTCGAGCAAAAGGCGAATATGTTTGGGAAGGCAGGAACGAGGCATTGTGAAGGACAATCAGCAAGTAACCAGATGGGGCGAATCAATCATTACGCACTCAATATCTTGAGGAAAGCCTGTTTTACAAAACGATGGATTCCAAGAGTCAACGAATCTTGAAGCTCGCAAAGAGAAAGCGTACGCACATAACTAGTGGCGCCGATAGCCACTCCGCCTTTGAACGTATCTGCACTCGTTTGGCGATCCGCGCATCCGGCGATGGAAATCTATGGGTCGTCATTGGACGTCATTGCGTGGTGTAGAGCGGTGAGGAGAGGGTGCAAGTCAGAGAACGAAACGCCATAGTAACGCAGAGAAGACGACCCACAATGTCGCCAACACATGCCAGCCTCCTCTTCGCCTTCTCCGTTATATCCCCTCGGGAACGTTGTCCACCCGGGGAATACTATACGCGCAGTGCCGTATGTTCGGGTCTTGAGTGACATACAACGCGATTGACGATGGATGCGAGAAATGTGCGGAAAGAAGCGGAGAGAAGGATCGTGAGTTCCAAATGGAGGGGGTAGCTTCGCAGACGTACAGTATATGGAAGGTCTATACACAAAACAGCACATAGATGAGAGTCCGCAAGTAGTGGGGTTTGCGCTACACGTACCGAGAATTGTCCCAGAGTGACAGCACTGAGGTAAAGGGGTCATAATCAGTAAGATCTATAACACAGCATGAGGGGGCGGACGTACATCGAACAAAGTCTTCCAATATTAACATTGATTAAGTAGCTGCATATGTTGCGGAGAACCAAGCAGAAACTCACGGTTAACCGACAGCCTTCGGGCAGGCATTTCATCTATCAGCGCAAGTAAGGATACGAAGCATGATAGGCGAAAGGACGAAGCTTACCATGATCTCATGCATTGTCTGGAAGATTGAGTGGTGTATTCGTACAACGCAGAGAAGAAGAAACGCGTACATCGTCTAAAATATGCCCATTCCTCTCGTGGTCAACTGGGTATATTACTATACATAAACCGTGAAGAAGTGAGATGGAAATAGAGGGGTATAGACTCGCCTTCGTCGTACCCATCCGCCTCGTCCCCGTGTACGTCTGGTGTCCTTCCACCGTGTCCCGAATCTATGCAAAATATCAGAAAACAGCGAATCACCACTCAAAAACACCCACAATGGAAAAACAACGAATCATCCTGCTTCGGGCTCCCCACCAGCCACTTCATCGCCTGCAGGATATTCTCCCTCGTCGGCGTCTGCACCTTCGACCTCGAGTTGAGTGCGCGGAACTGGCTTCTGCTAAGGTCCCTGCTACCGCTGGTTTTCGAACGCGAGCGGGAGTTGGTCATGGAACGCGTGTCGATCGAGGGATCGGGGGCGTCGTCCGTCAACATGAGGATATCCTGGGCTTTGAAGCCGTGAGAGTCCACCAAGAAATCCCGGACGCGCCACGCGTCGTTGATGCACCCCTTGAGCTCGTTGGACGAGCCGATGTAGTTGATCCCGATCTACGGGGGAACTCGGTCAGGTAGGGGAAATGGAAAGAGCAAGGGACGAGGAAACCCACACAAACTGCCTTTTTCCTTCCCGTACATCTCGAATACCGATACGCATCGACAATGGCTTGCCCCATTGCCTCTAAGTTGCCCGTAGCGCTCCCACCTTGGAAGGCCGCAGCGATGTCGCCGAAGCCCAATTGCCCAGGCGGCGGAGCGTGTTCGGTTCCCCCCGCTCCCCCTTGATAAACGCCACTACCACCACCCGCAGGATATGGTCGGTTATTCGGACGAGACGAGTTGTGGAATGAATGGGGACGTGGAGAATGTCCTTGAACGTAGTTGTTCAGTACGCCTGAAGCGAAATTGGCAGCCATATCCCCAAGTCCTCCGGCGCTGCCATTGTGACTTGGCCTGAAACTCATGCTGCTTGGGCGAGGAGAGTGAGAGTCCTGTTGTTGACTATGCTGTTGCTGTTGCGATTGGTGACCTCCACCATAGTGGGAGTGATTAGACGCGAATTCCGACTGAGGCCGCGGCCGATCGTCGTGTCTATCCCCATAGTATCCCTGATGTCCGTGCCGCCGCTCGTACTCATCATCGCGCGGATACGGCCGTTGGCGGGATTCGGGTTGATGCTGAGGGGGTTCTGAATGGACAACTTGTGGATATCGGCTATACCTCTCGTGGTCGCCGTCAAGAAATCCGTCACTGGGGAGTTGATAATTCGCCGGAGCCGGAGGAGGCTGGGGTTGCACATGTGGTGGAGGTTGTACCATGATCTCTTGACGTGGGTCCCGCTCATGGCCGTGACTGCGGTGTCTCCTGTGGTGATGGTGCCCGCTGAGGTGAACGACTTGGGCGTTCGGAGGAAGAGTTTCGGGTCGGATGTGACCTGGTACATGGTATATTTGGGGCGCCATTTGAGGCATCATTTGAGGCATCATCGGGGGCTGCCGCTGCAGAGGAGCGGGTGCAACGGAATGAGACCTAGACCGCGACCGATCGCGATCGCGATCACGATCACGAGAAGAGGAGCGAGATGAAGAGTAGCTGCGCGCGCGGCTGCGGTGACGGCGCGAGTGGGAGTGGGAGTGAGAGTGAGAACGGTGACTAGTACGATAGACATATACAGGCTGTTGAGGTGCTAACAGCGGTCTGGCAGGGGATTAGGCATGGTTGGTTTAGATGTAGAGTACTCACTGGGATGGGTAGAGCATGTTTGGATTGTAGGTGCCCATGGGCATTGGCATTGGGCCACTATTCCAGAACGACATCCTGGCGGAAACTGGCAAGGTTCAAGCCAGACGTCATAGGCGCCTCAACTCTTACGAATAAGGTCATAAAGTCACGAGTCAGGATTCCTCTCAGGGAATATGCACGCTAAAACTCAAAACAGACAACTCAGGAAATAAACACTAAGATATTTGAGCCAGATTCCCCAAGTTCTACTTAAAGCTTGGGAATTGGACAAGGCACTGTCAGGGACATTTTATCGCTGCACAGACATCTGGGTGTTACTCGTCGCCGGAAACATCAAGAATGAGCCGACAACATAATACAGGTATGTTGCTACTTGTGCATGTAACTGCAAGTGGGATAGCAATAGTCCAACAACGACGAAAGTGCATCCGGAGGCGTGTTGGTATGTGTTCGATAGCATGGGATATCACTAGGCTGATGAAGGGAACATATCGTAGAGGTTAAATGACACGTACACCCGCACGTCTATACAATCAGAACGAAGGCAAATAATCACCGCGTATATTACCTCCAGGGCTCAGGCCTCAGGGGCTAATCCTAGCTCCTATCGGCTCCTGTCAGCCAACATGGTCGCACATAAATACCCCGCGATACCCCAGGAATTGCCATCACCGTTTCTTCCTTTTTACCCGCATTGATAACTGAACCCACCCAGACATCAATACCTTTATCAATATGTGCTTCAGCTACCGCGAAATCGGCGAGTCACCCATCCGCCCTTTGAAGCGGTTGCCGGAATTCGTTGCTTGGTGGGGATTGCCAGAGGAGGAGTGGCAAGACCTGGATATTCCGTTTTCGACGTGGTTGGAAGCCCCAGCTGCCGACGAAGGGCAGGTCCCTTCGAAGGCAGAAGAGCCTCCAAAGTCTCGCAAGGCCGGTCTCCAGCGAGCTTTGGCGATCGGCAGGAAGCGCGGAATGGAGATTTTCCGACGAAGGAGTGAGTCGAAGCAAGATAGCGCGTAGGCGTCTTCGCGAATCGGTCACTACGCTCAAATCCGCAGGTCGGAGAGCGCACTGTCGATCGGGTGCGCGTTAGTAAGTCGCCTTGCACATCGTTCCCCGTGGGCTGACACCTGTGCGAGGCTGGCGCTTTCGAATTCGCACTGCAAGGCCTCAAGCAACCGGGACTGGTAGCTGGTAGGTATGAAGGTAGGTGTTCGCGTCGAGGGGTGTGTGCCCCTCCTGATGAGTCCAAAAGGACGAAACGCTTGTTTGCTCGACCGCGTAACTTTACTCCTTCATGATACCACGGCGTCCATGGTTACCTGGCGTTGGAAATTCTGTTTCCAGTGTGCCCGTGCGGTACGATTTGGTATAACTGACATCATATACGCCCAGAGAAAAGGACCCCGTCTCAGCCTTCCGCACTAGAGCGAGTGCATTGAGAGCAACCTACCTGATGCTGGTCATTTCATACTTGATGGTGGTGACAGTGAACACCAACTTAACTGACGTACTATGACAGTATCTGCTGGCACTACGGCTTTGGAAAACCCTATAACATAGAATTCATCAACATACATCCTTGATACGTACGACCGTGTGATTGGATGTCTCGTCGTTCGAGTAGGTGCCCTGTGTGCCTGGCTAAGGTTCCAGTGGCCTTTGGAAAGGGGGTCGCCTGTCACCCGGGCTACGGGGAGTGGTGACCCGCTCGGGGGACTGGCGAAGTCGTATACGCGCGGTGAGAGTAATGAGGAGAAAGGTGATATCTTTCGGAGTTACAATACTGTACTATACAAAGTAAGCGTGATAACTACTTCTAGATAGGGGCAAGCACTCTATCGTCTACATTACGCTTCGAGAAAGGGACCCCAACAATCTATCGTCAAACGGTCTGAATAGGTGGTCCAGCGTTGGTGTCCCGATTCAATTCCCATCTTGGAATTTCCTGGACAAGATCGTCAACATAATGCTGGAGTAGGTTCATCTTCAAGATTGTTTCATCATATCCATCACGAAGGGCCGCCAGTATATTCATTGCATCGTTAGCCGCAGTCAAGGCCTCTTCCCACCGACCAAGAGATGATAGAGCATTGGCGGCCCAATAGAGGAAGAAGCCGGCCGACTGAGTTATCCATGCATCGCGTTCGACAGCAATTGGAAGGGAGTTATCTGGGGACACGCCCCAGAATACCACCCAAGATATCGTTGTAGGGGCTTCGGGGATGACCTTCATGTTCGCCGAGTACATGACTTCTAGCGCCCGCCTCGTGTAGCGCAAAGTTTCTTCGTACTGACCGCTGCCGAAAGAGCAGTACACAAGCACCCTCAGAGCGAAGATGTAACCACACAAAGAAGGTGCATCGTGATAGGATGATGCAGAGAGGAGGCGAATAGCTTGGTGGCCGATATGGGGATCAGGGACATCTTTCTCCAAGGCGAGAGACCAGGTTAAGGCGGAGAGGGTCAGCCCAAGGTAGGGGACATACACCTCCCCTCCGGGTATAGTGTGCCAGCGACCCAGCAGCTCTGAGGTGGCTGAGTGCACGAGGACGGCACTATCGGTGTAGCCGAATCTAGCGAGGTTGCAGCCAAGCAGGATCAACGCGGAGAAGTAATGGGTGCTCTGGGATTGTACTGCAGATAGGTCGTCGAGGAAACGAAAGACAGACCACGTCTGACTGAGGACTTCATGCATGGATGGCTGGCCTAGAGCGCAAGCGAACTCTCTCTGAATCATTGAGCCTCTGTTACCCGACGCATCCTGTGGAGGCAAAGGGAGTGTTGATAGGTCCAGTGAGCTATGCCGTTCCATTATAGTTTGGATTTTATAGAGGAGGTAGTTATGGTCAATCTCGTCCGGCATCGTGTCGGATAATGACTGATAAACAGCAATGTTGCCGCTGCCGCATGAGCGATGCCACAGATCTCGGGACAGATTAAGCACCAACCGGAATCATGGGACGACAAGCGTTCGTATTGATCATCATGGATCCAAACAGGGCATCGAATTGATGCAACTGTAAGCTCTGCATCATTTGGGACGCCAGGAATTGCTCCGTCCTGGCCGTTCTCGATTCGAGCCGGCGCGCCAGTATTTCGATTCTAGCAGAGGTGAGTAGCTAACACGTATTGCAGTTGGTTCAAGAAAGCTTAGATCATGTGGATAGTGCTCACCGTCAACCTGGATATTGACGAACGGATAGCATCCCTGATGTGCTCGATGTCTTCTTCTATTTTCCCAGACTTTTGCCACATCTTGAAATATGCCTTTGGCTTGGAGAAATATCCCCGATTTCGTTGAGGAGGGTCACAGCACTCTCTACAACGTTCGAGTACTTGGTTTAATTGCCTCCAATTTCGACGTCAGCGATGTATGTTCGGGGAGGCTGGAATGGACTGACGACTCAAGTTGCTTTACAGCTTTCTTCAGATCCCTGGAGACCTCGAGGTCAGCCGTGTAATCGGCGCAGAAGGACTGCAGCTCGGATAGGCTCTGCACAACCTCTTCCGCCAGGTGCAGCATGCGCCTCCGATTCTGGCCAACCTGGAAGTAACTATGAGACTTGAATGGGTTCAACATGAGGCCGGCAAGTTGCTACCTTCTCTACATTCTGCTTTAAGTTATTCGCAATCTGCACGCAAGTGATGATCGCTGCCGCGATTGACAGTGGATCCATCTTTGGGCTTGCTCGACGATCGTGGCTTCGCCCATAGGAACTAATAAGCGCGGTAGCTGTTCGACCTCCTTCAACGAGCGCCCTCCCCCCTTTCCAGACAGGGGTCGATACTCACGCTCGACGGCGTCACAATGCCATCTTGAACGCGTTCTGACTAGGCCATCCATAGGTCCTGTATTTCTTTCGATACTGATAACGCGGCCTTAGCACCAAGGACCGATGAAACACTTTCGGTCCATGGTATTGATAGTTAGTGCAGAATCTGCATATAACGGCGGCATTTGTCACGTTTTACATCCCTGGCTCGTATTTTGGCGAAACTTTGCGGTTCCAGCTTTTGTTTGATCGCTTTGGTGACATGAGTGCGAGTTTCTGAGCACAAAGTAAAGTTGAAGTAAAGACTTAGTCCGCGGCGCCAAACGTAGTTGGGCGCTCAAGGCGCCCCTGTCTTAGTATCCGGACGCTCTTTCCTCCACAAAGCCCACACGACCGATCTGCACGAAACGGCGTTGCCATGAGCCTTCTACCAAATAGTACTTCCGATTCACTGCTGGAACAAGCAGCGTACCTTCGCACACTCCCCGCTATAAGGGAACGTTGCACTCGAGTTCATACTCTTGCGCAGAAGGACGGCCTGCAGTATTTCGAATATCATCCAGAAAATGAACAAACAGTGGTCGATTTCTGCGCAGCTATAATAGAGGTGAATAGAACACGTTTAACTTGAATCGTGCCCTGACCTGCCTGTATGACACAGAGAGATTTCGGAACAAATTATGTGGAGGTAAGTTTCCCATTCCCCACTGGACTCAGCAAGTTTAACTATAGCTCATCCATAGATCCCTCCTCATGGTCGCTGGCGCCACCTTGACTCTGGTCGACCACGTATCCAAGCTCTTCTCAATACATGGGCCTCATCGCCAAATCCTCCAGATACGAAGGAGATCTGCCGCCGCTTGGTAGATCTCTTCATCGTCTCTGTCCTTCTTGACGCAGGCGCCGGGCCTACTTGGGGATTCACCGAAGATAATCATGGGGGGAAGAGGTTCACAAGATCGGAGGGATTGGCGGTGGCCAGCTTTGACATGTTTGCATCTGGGATGTTCAGTAGCGATGAAGAGCAACCATATCAGGTCGACGGTACGCCATATCCCTTGGTGTTACGTTGATGTGGTGTGTTGATGATGATTTGATTCAGCTAAGGGTTTGTCCAATATCTCGACTCCGGATATTGCTCTAGCGATGCAAGTCTCAGACGACAACCCGATGGTTGGCATCGAAGGCCGCGCGCAACTTCTTCAGCGTCTAGGGGGAGCCCTAAAGGAAGGTAAAGAGTTCTTCGGTGGTGGGGATAACGCCCGTCTCGGAAATCTGCTTGGTATGGACCCCTCCAGGCGTAGATAGGCCAAAAATACACCCCATTGCTGACGCTATGTGTGTAGACTTCCTCGAGGCTCAATCCGTGAAGTCCGACGCCGGGGAGACTATTATCCCTGTCTCCGCGCTCTGGGCAGCGCTCATCGAGGGACTCAACCCCATCTGGCCTCCATCGAGAACATCGCTTGGTGGTGTTTCTTTAGGGGATGTTTGGCCTTGCGAAGCCCTCCGAGGTTTGTTTATCATCCTCTTCTATACACCCTTCTACTCCATCACTTCGCTTCTGTCTTCCCATCTGACGCTCATCCCTTCCCCCCTCTCTATTACCCCTAATAGATCCCTCGAAGTCCGAGACAGCCTCTGAGGAGATTGACCCCTCTATCCTCGTCCCATTCCACAAACTAACAGGATGGACCACCTACTCCGTCATTGAACCAATCGAGAAAGTCCTTGGATGGAAATTCGAAGGCAAGGATCTCCTCACAGGACTACCGGAGTATCGAAACGGTTAGTCTCCAAAGGTTTGGGCTCCACCGAGATGTTTAAATGATCGTAGGCGGGCTTCTGATGGACCATGGTGTACTGACGTTGAAATCCAACCCACCTCGATCTCTTCCCGTTGATGAACAATCCGGGCTTCCTCGTGTCTCGCCGGCTCATCCAGCTGTAATTGAGTGGAGGGCTATGACAGTGATCGAATTGCAAGTGTTCCAGTCGCTGATTGCATCGTTCAAGTCGAAATTAACGGTTTCACTGCACACAGGGACCGCATCGCAGAGCAAATCCGTACGAAACTCGGCCTTGACCCCGAAGCCTTGTCTCTTGCTCAAGTCCTTGAGAGTGCGACGTGGAAAGGAGGCAGAGAAATTGCCAAAATAAAGAGACCCGCAACCGGAGGACCTCCACTCGAGATTGAAAGCGACGGAACTGTTTTCTAAATGTACGCTAGCATCATGCAAGGCGAGGAATGATAAAACGGGCAGTGTGCACGTATACATAAATGTAAAATAGTGATAAATAGTCATTTAACTTCTTTCTCTTCTCGTGGGTCGTAACTGGCAGTCAAATGGGGAGGGTGGATATAGTAAGGGGTGTAGAAATGGCGTGGGTTGAACGAAATGAAAATACATCTAATGATACATTAAACACGACCTCGAGATCACATATACTGTCGCGATCTGGTCGACCGTAGCCCGCAAGTCCGAGTCATACATACATTTTGATCTTAAACATCCTCATAAATGTTACCATGTCTCCGGACTACCAGAAAGCGATGAGCAGAAACTACCATAGCTGAAAATCGTACTCACCCGAACTTCTCGCCAGTCTGCAGCGCTCTATATGGTTTGGCAGACCAATCCAATGTTCTTGTATGCACCTTATTTCCCCACCAGCTCTGTATCGTGTCTTTCCCTATTGACCCGTTCATGGGATACTGGAGACTAAGAACATGAGGCGATGTGAGCGGCAGCAAGCACGGTGAAATAGCTGCAATGACGAACCAGAAATATACTAAAATTACACCAATCGCAGTGCCAGCATCTAAGGCGGCAGACAGGACATCTATATTTACCAGTCCGTCAGCAACTACAGCGCAAGTAATCGAAAGCAGGGTACTGACAGTTGTACTTCGCCCAATAGGCGAAATGTTTTCTCCGCACCAAATACTGGAAGATGAAGCCGATGATTACCCATGGAACATAATTGACCGCTGTGGCAGGCGGTATCATTCCAAGGCCAGCGAAGATGAGGCTGAACAAATCATTAGTGTGAATGCGGCAAGATATCGATATTTCGGAGAGTGCTCACGGGAAACTAAAAGGGTATTATGAGTTCAAGAGAAGAGCGAAGGAAGTAGATAGGTGGCTTACTTTATGTAGCTTAGAATGGTGTTCGGATACTTTCGGATAATGAAATACAGTACAACAGGGCACGCCGCTCCTATAAGGAAGAAGAACGATAGCACTAGAAGCCAAGATAAACATCTTCCATCCAGACATATGCCTCGCACGTACCACTATGCGGATGAGTTAGCATGGGATAGAACCAAGTTAGAGGACGACGTACTAGTACACCTGACCAGGAGAGAACAGCAGTCTAGGGCCTATGACACCCCACTAAGCAGAGACGATTGAGATATGGACGGGTTCGGAGGGAAGTCGTAACTTACAATTATAGAAGCAGTTCCAAAAACCCTCGTTGAGTTGCAAGTGAAACTGTGTCAAAGTTAGGCGACGTATAGGGGAATATTAGGGGCTACGGACCTATTCGGCTGATCCGGTTTACAGAGGTCACTGCATGCGCATCTGTGAGTGTACGTCGAACGTAATAGAAAGTCAAACGTACGGTATGTTTGAGAACATCCTAGATAATATAGAAAATCAACAAGATGACGTGCAATGATTAGTTCACAACGACGTACCAAGTCTGTACTGCCAGCTGTGTCGTACCAGCGACGACAGTAGCGACAACTTGACACCAGAACATAGGTCTCGGAGGAACTTTCATGTAGTGGCCCAGCTTAAAGTCCGACGTAAATTGTAGAGCTAAGGCATGGTCAGTATATGGAAATACAAAAGACAAGCACATATCAACCTTGCGAAACGGTGATATATCCGAAGGTCTGGTAAATCTTTCAGTAATGATCCAACGCCGGACGGATATTCACCCACTTTAAATCTAAAGACAGATTTGTGAGTATTCGTTCCAGACTTCGACTCCAAAAACTTACATCATCATGGCAATAGGCCTTCCAGGCAGCATGTAACCGATGATGAGTTCCGTGACGACACTGTTGAGAAGAATCAGCGATTGCGTTTTTGATTATGCTATTCAGACTACGCACTTGAGCCCGATCTGGCGATTGGTGATGGCTTGGATCATGCCTGGTTCAAGCTCGCTTAGTACGGGAGCAAAGTAATACAGGACAGACGGGATGCTTACCGATAGGAACGATATAGACAAGAGCTACGAAAGTGTTGAGAAATCTAAAGCTGACATGCGTGGAGATAAAAACACTTACCAATGAGAAGAGCGATGACCAACGCCCATATCGGTAATCCAGTGTCCCATACTTGTACGCATACGCACGCAAAGGCGAAGGTGAACACTATGACGAACCGAATCAGTTACAGCTGAGATGGTACACTCAAACGACCCACCAAAAATACACGCGTAATACCATTCCGGAACTAAATTTTGTTTGTCAATACGTACACCATATCAATAGCAAGCATGCGGAAGTACCTTGAGAATAATTCGACATAAGCTGCGCGTGGATATCAGGTTGCTCTCTGAGAGACCTCTTGAACTGAATTTGTATGGGTTTCCAAAAGTAGATGACAGCATGGGTGATGGTGGCTGTAATGGACAGGAACGAAAGGCCGTAGGACATGGCGAACGTCGTGCTGAATGTGTTTATCCCGGTTAGTGGCGCAAGTCAAACGACCAATAAGGAACGCACGGGAGGAACAATGGACTGTACTCTTGATACGCAGTCATATTCATCGTGGAATCTTGCGTAAGAATCCGAGAGAGATTATACTCCTTGCCGGTGTTATCATAAGCGCCTATTCCTGAAATTCTGCATTGGCATGATTAGTGATAGTCGTTGCCATTCAGACGGAAAACCCACGGCATGTACTGGCTGCTCCAGGCATTTGTATACTTCGCCAAGATATGAGCATGCCCCTCGAAACTCAATCACAGCAGAATTCCACGTACATAAAGTATGGGAGTCAAGAACCCTATATCGTGAGTGCATTCAGTCGATAAGAAGAGGATATGCCGACGGGAAGCACATACAGTAAAAGAACAGAAATCCTATCATGACGTTCGCTTCCGCCCACCATGGTGTCGCGAGGCTACAGTATTGATTAGTGGATTGGGATGGTGAGCCGGTGGCGGAATACTCACGGACTGCCGATAAACGCTATCTGGTTCCAATCGAATGTCAGAAGGGAGAAACCGAGGCCGCTGTGATATCTGCCAGACATTGACCGTTAGACATACGACAATGAGTGCCGCCGATGTATAGCAACGAACCCGAAAAGCTGATTGACTTTCTGCAGCGTCCATTAAGTCTAATTAGTTCTTATATGATAGAGACGGGATCAGAGGACATACGGGATTACTTGGGGCTATCCAGCAAGCCCAGGTAAAGTAGCTATCAGAGTTTCAGTTTCTCGTGGAGCTGGAGAAAATAAGGTTGCATACCTGAGCGCCTGGAACAGGTATCCTGGGAAGAAATCTGTCTAATGATGAGTATCTGCGCGTACCAAGCTGCACCACAAGAAGAGCCAACGATAAGGACTGGCCATCTGCGAGGGCGTAAACCCGCAAAGGGTTCGGTGGTCCTCATGGCACTGTGATAGAGACCACAAATAAAGAAAGCAATCACTTACACCATATGATCGCCCCGATAAAGGCATAGCAGAAGTAGCGTTCTCGGCTTAACCCTTGATGCTGCCCAATACCAGCATAGGACTGGGAATGTAGGGTGTTGAATAGTGCGCAAGATACCAGAGTGTTGGGCCATACTGTAGTGCAGAAGTTGAGTGAATAAAACGACGTATAAAAGTATGTCGGTGGAGCGATGACGGTGAAAAATCGCCAGAATTTGACAGCAGAAGCAGTGACAAGCTAGAGAATAAACTTACTCATGGATGGAGGGGATACCAAGAACCTTTTAGCAATCCCGCCGATGGAGAAGCCTATGAGTTGGGTAGACATAACAAGCATCCAGTTGTCTACGGGTACGATGTCATGTGTGGAGCTCAAATGCTTGGGAGCACACTCACAACCAAAGCCGAAGGGTCTATCGTATGTGACCCGTTGTACGGCGACAATATCAGTCGCGTAGGCTGACTGAGCGCCAACTGTCGCCATGATAGTGACCAAGACCTGGGGGACAAACAGGCACAGTAAATCCCTTAGTCTGGTTCGAGTCAGTCAAATATACATACGTGCTCCTTGACAGTGAATGGCCCAGGATTCAGTGATACACCGAATATTTGTACGTGGGGGATTATTCGTGCCCATAGTCGTCCCACTGGAAACACAACCAGTTGCGCCACAAGCTAAGAAAATAAACGACCGTCAGCAAGCTAACTAGGGGGGGGGGGGTTCAAGCATTCGATAACAAGCGAGCATATCGTCCACGTGTGGGGGATGTGCAGGGTAGCGAAAGCATGGTGGATGGGAGATAAAGCAATGGAATAGTAGAATAGAATGTACTCACACTACCGACTACTATCGAGGGGTACCGCATGTAGAAAAATTGGTTCATGCCTGGTATCACCATCGCGAGGATGATACCAAGAATCCAGGCTCGGAGCGTCGAGACTGGCATGGTGGGGTCATCGAAATTGGCCACCGCCGAGCGTACCTCTGGGTAGGGCGAGTCCAACTCTGGAAATTGAGAGTCGTAAGTTCAGCATGTGATTGCGATGCCATATGGAAGGAACTGAGGGCGATGGTGGGGAAGATTGTAACTACTGGAGCCAAGTAGAAGACGTACCAAGGAACTCTGACTCGGTGTCGAAATTGGGGTCGAACATATCGCTTCCATCTTGACTGGCGAGCGATATACGACTCTGCGACTCTGTTCTAGGTCTGCTGACTGCATCTAGGGGTCCCGTGAGTGACAAACCGACTTGACAGAGAGCATACGCACCAAATGATTTCTCTGCGTCTCGCACATTGTATTGCAGGTATATCGACGCACGGGTGTTGTTCTCTTCCCTGAGAACGGCGTCTGACATCTCATCCCTATTCGGCCTACTGGGCTGGTCAAGCAGATTGAATGAAGATGGTATAGCGGTAATTTAGGTGTGATGATTGAGTCCAAAAGCCTCCAGACGATGTCCTGGAAGGTGTACTGATGGCGAGGTAGTTTAGTGGTAGGAAGGCGGTGCGTATTTCGAGCAAGGCGAAGGCTGTGATCGTCAGATATATAGTTGGCGGTCAGCTCGTCGCGATGGGGCCCTGAAAATCGTCAAAATGGAAGGTAAATGAGGTAAAATGTTAGTTCAAGGTCGTGGAGGGCGAGATGGATGATTGTTAGTGGTAGGAAGAGAAGGCATTCCGGAGATAATCGTGGACCCTCCCTCGGCCAACCCTCTTGCTATCAAGGCACCTACTGCGCCAAACTGGGAAACTCACGTGGCTCCCGGGCGTTTTAGCGACCGAGCTCAAGGCTCTGACCCTGCGCGCGTTGTTTGGATCGCAGGTTATTAGCACACTACCTCCTGTGTTCAGCCCAAGACCGTTGCTGTCCTCTGGTGAACCACCTATACGCTCACGGTGCCCTCCTGGACTTGGAGCGTCCCCTCAAGCTCAGAATTGCACACGGCTCTGGTGACGGTGTTCGTGCCTGGGAGGTATCCCCATTCTCCAGGATTAATCAACGGAACTACCCGGTGAGATACTTCTGCGTTAACGTTCACCTGTGAAATCGTCAGGTTTACAACATACCTTTCGCTATCATTATCATGGTTTACGGTTTCAAGGCCCAACGCATCCTGATTCTGAACGTTCCGCCGTTCAGGATTACTTTCTGCGTTGCTGTCGGAGGTGACCCACCTGATAAGTCGTATCCTGCCAAGGTTCATTGCAACAACGCAGGGCGCGGTTTCGCCTTAGCTATGAGCTTGGAACGCCAGATACCGAGTCGCGGACTCAAGAATGCTGCAGTGTTTTCATCCTACTTTTGCCGATTCTATTGACGAGAATCTACAGGAACCGTTAGTAGAATGGGAATATTCTGAGCGCATCAGTCATCTGCAAGCCTCGGAGGAGGCGTGTCGTCAGCGCGGATCAAGGCGGCAGCTCCCAGGCGGGCCGGCAGCTCCCACAGACAGTATCGAATCCTTAGTTGACCCGGAGAACACCAACCGCGCAGTCACCAGTGTAATCAGGCCGAGACTGCGCCGGGACAAGATAGGACTTAATTATCCAGTCCCCGCAGTGTCATTGACTATCGGGTTTGTTCTGGATAAGTACGTACCTGCGCTCATAAGATGACTTACCTTTTTCTCAAGTGTCAGCGCCGCCGAAGATAGTATACTTAGTCTCTGCCGGGCTCTTGACACCCGACTCGCTAAGGCTATCTTCCCAGTAATACCCCTTGGAGACCCCCACGCCAATTACGGGAATCCAGCCGCCACGGTTGGGGCGCCCCACCGCTCAAAGCCCACACCTCCACCATCCTCTCTTCCTTTCATCCTTCCTTTCCACATAGAAAGTATCTCGACCAAGTGCCTACGCCACATTACAAACCACACGTGGGTTATCGATATTTTTGCTGTAGCGTGCTGTACACAACAGCGCCTGGGGCTTCCAATTCGCGACGACTCAGATTACCCGCAAGCCATCGGGTGGCCGATATGCTGTCATGCATGATGCATGGGTCATCAAGACATGCGTTCGCTTTGCTCTCTACCATTCCATAGCATTCGGGACCGCGTCTTCTTGCTTCTACGCTAGGATTCTCCCCATAGGTTCCCCCACGTTTGCTTCTCCCCCCTCTCGAACTTCTCACCAATCAGCCGTCGGGAAACCCGTTCTCTGGATTTCGTTACGGTCGTGTGAGGGGACTTACTTGATTTCAAGGAGTCTTCTGTGTTCAGCAGTGTCAAGCTGATGGCCGACAATAGTCCGTTCACCAATAGGCTAGCTTTACTGTGTCTGAGAAGCTTGAGTTTGAGGTCAATAGCGCTAGGTTCGTTGGCTGACTCGCTCGTCATTCACGTACTCGGTGGAGGAGGTACGACTTGTGGCCGCCGGGCTCGGCTTTCTGAGTTAAAATCTTTCCTCGAATCTTGATGTCGTCGGTCGTCTCGGAAACTTATCCATAAACAGATTGCACATTTTACGTTGTGCGAGATTCTGAATGCACCCGTGCACGATCAAAATTCTATTATTATAACAACAGTTCTCGAGATTCTCGAACGTACGTACTTGGTACATTGACCTAGAAGCGAAGCGATATAAGTTAACAGTTTTATGCTAGGACTCTTGTGATGTACATGGTGAATTGCGAGTGTCCAAATGCCCGAACTTTTATGATATTGAGGCTAAAGGTTATTTCCTTTGTCCTTTATGCTGGCGGAAAGCAAAGGGTGGTACCGGAGGACCAGATGAAGCCGAATCGCTTGATTTTAGCATCCGTGATAGGACTGTCTAGTACTTCGCCTTGAGACAGGTCTAATGTACTGCGCCAACCTATTTGGAAGGATGACGAAGGAGAACGGGGGCCACCCTGGGCAGGCAGTGGTGGTGGTAAAGTATGTATCGTCGTCACAGATTGGGAACCATTCGCTACCCAACTAGGCAGAGTAGCAGACATCGTCGTGCCAGCATTGCTGTTGCTGCCTATCCAAGTCGATCCTGTTGACCATATGGTAGCGAACACAACGCCGACGATAGTGACGAAATTGTTGGATATGGAGAGATATGTGGATGTAAGGAAGAGAGCGAGGTTGGTTGCGTCTATGTCTGTTGAAGCAATGACGATTTGGGCGGTGCTAAATAAACAGGGGACGACGAAGTTCGATACAGAGATGATGAATAGCATGCGTAGGCGAGAGGTGAAGGGGTCTTAGAAACCAAAGTCAGATCTGAGGTTGGGCAGCACTGAACAGTCAGAGGCTTACTGCGATGCTGAAATATTGGAGGGTCGGAGTGCATTTGGTGACGGAGTTGATATATGAACAAAGCTGACATATATCTTAAGCACAGGCGTCAGCGAGAACGAAACCCACTCGACACAAAGTCCACTCACACGTTATCAAACAGCTGGAAGCACCAAACCACCCTAGCATACGGCCAAAGCTCTAGTCCGGCGAGGAACGTCCCGATAACCCTTGTACGATGGGCCCACCCAGCCGTTGCCACGGACAAGACGACAAATCTGGCCATCTTGGAAACAACAGGCGTCCCCAGAATTATACATCGAACCACTCGTGACGTCAGCGTGGGTGGATAAACGGCCCATAGACGCAAGTACAAAATCGAGTCAATGAAAGCCGGCGACCAGAACGAAAACAGGATCCAGGTTAGAACACCCCCGGGTGATGTCGAGTTTACGACTGGCGATAATATGTTTTGTATCTATGGGCGTAAGTAATCATCAAGCGGAAGAGCGCCTAAATCAGTAAGAGTGTCGTGAGAACACAAATGTGTAAGTACCTGTAGGACGACAAGGACAACGCCTTCGCCGATGCCCAAGAGTAAAGCCATTACATTCAGGATAAAGATGGGTCTACCTCGGATGTCGCTTGTGGAGAAGAAGAATAACGCGATGAGGACTGGGACAAGGAGTGAAGAGAAGCAGGAGCCAATGAGTGCGTATGTTATCCATGACTGTAGCCCATAAAAATCAGTGACGGTTGGTGTCAATGCAGGCGGGAAGGGATCTTGGCCTGAAGACATCTCAATGAAAACAAGGAGCGTAGGGGAAGCAGAGATGGATACTTGCACTAACGAAGCAGCCCGACTTTATGCCACCGCATCCAGAGGGCTATCTCAGTCCCCTTAGATGTGGCATAAACTTGCGTTTGGTTGTCGTGCATCCTGAGGTGACCAGACGACAGCAGTGTGGAAATGTGGGTAGGATGATGGCAAGTGAGATGTGCAGCCGGGGGGTTGTCGAGATGAGGTCTACCGTAACGATGATGACAATCAGATCTACACCCGCCGGAGCGCCCCGTAGTCTCCACAAAGGATCCTACACTCAGCAATGAGCGGGGGCAAGTCGTCTGCAGGTATCACACCAGAGGGATATGCAGCGCAGAGATCCTGCAGTCGGTGGTCATATAACAAGCCATGGATTGGGGGGCCGAGCCCGTATGGTATTATTGATCCCGGTAAATCGTCCGCCAAATCATCAGTTCTATTAGTAGTGAGATGATAGGTCAATTTGAAGTGTTTGTAAAATCGATGAGACATCACCAACCCGTACGAGGACTGCTGGATTGTCGCAATTAGCCCCAATACAACTACCCTGACACCGCCCAGGCCTTATTGTCTGTCATCTAGCTCAACGTAGGCCTCTTGGGATGCAACGAAGATTGTTGAGGTGATGAAATCGTGCATCATTGATTGGATGTCCTTTCGTAGACAATGCGGTCAGAGATGTCATTGCCGACGGATAGATTAGGTCGCTGTGACTGAGTTGCAGGACACTGTTCCGCGAAACTACGCCCGAGAAAGAAACAGTGCCCAAAACACCCTGTTAGGTTGACTCACCTGTGTAATGACCTTGCATCACAGTTGTAGTGGATCAAATTTCTTGGAAGCGAGATCATGGCTGCCGGGTACATGGTGTCATGGCCGCCGAAAATGCCCTCTAGTGTGCAAGTGTGATGTGTTTTTAGTGAAATCGATGTCGTAGCAAACTGCTCAAGAACGCCTCGGATGGCAACAACGGCTATGCCGTCAATTCAACCCCGAGGAATCATGTTTGAATTTAGGTTGAAACTGAACTCCAGCCTTCTGTCAATAACCCGAGTCGGACTCGTCTTGAAGGAAAAATGCACGAGGTTACGAGCCGCAATGCTGAGAAGTCCGAAGTCATAGAGAACAGATCTAGGCAGAAGTCGAGACGTGGACTGAGCAAGAAGCGCCCGTTGAACCCTGGCAGATTGTGAGTGTTGATCACCGTTCACAAATGCTCCAGGAACTCCCTCATACACAATGAGCTCCGTTGAGCGCACTTCAGGCGCGCATCGCGGTTGCGCCAGATGTCTCAACAGTGGACTAGGCCTTCAAGTCGAGCTTGAGGTTTCGTTGCTCCTTGGTTGTTCGGTGTTTCCAGCAACGGCAAACGAAGGGAGTTGAGGACGTTGGAAAAACAACGGCTGTCTCAGACATCAATGCATCAAGGCCTAGCTCCGTCTCTTGACGGTGGCGTAATTCGAGACTTTCACGACTTACTTCCAGGATCCAACGTCGTGTCTTGCATCTAGTCGGAATATCAACCAAAAATCCGAGATGCTGATGGAAATTTGATGAATTCTTTGGTAATATATAACAATCACGAATGAATAACATTTGATGGTCTTGTCCAGTAGCACTGACCATCATGAAGTGGCTATTCACACCATTTGGCTTCTCTATAAGTACGTGGCCCTCCGAAGATAAACTCCACGGATAACTCACCCTTCTATGTGTCTCCATACCCTTTCTGCATAAAGAAATATGACTGTATTAACACTCGTAATGGCCGAGCTGGCTGGCATGGTGATGCACAGTATCATGTACGGTGCGTGGTAAAATAACGCAGTAATGTGGCTTGTCATTGTCGTACAGGTATCTACTTGTCGCTCTTCATCGGAAGCACCTACGCTCTATGTTTCAAGTATCGAGCACCGAGCGTCAAACACAGTTCAAGCATAATCAGCAAGATTCTTTTGAATGCTGCGATCATCTTGTTTTTGTTTATATCCACAGTACGTCGATGATTCAGTTCTGTCCGATGAGATTTACCCATTTTCACCAATGGATCATCCAAATATATCGGCTATTTGATGCTCTTATTTTTGTCGAGAATGGTACGACGCCCGCCCAAGTGTACGGAGCCTCTGGGAACCCAAAGAATATAGCAAGTATGACCCTATTTTCCGTCCAGACACTGGTGAGCGACATGATTATGGTCAGGCGGCTCAGAGTCTGATTACAATGAGTGTTCACCGACTTTTCAACTAGATTTACCGACTTTTCATAGTCTGGAATCGAAGCTGGATTATCCTCGTCGTGCCGGCTTTGGCATCGGCGGCGCTACTCGGTGTGTGCCTCACCTAGTATTGGTGGAATGATGCCTTGTTTATGAGCTATGGCCACCTTTTACAGTGTCCGGCATCAACGTCATCGCCTGATTTGTTCACCCTCCAGGTGCCTATTTACAAGTACCAGCACTCACTGGACCGCAGCTGCGTGACGAAGGAAGAAGTGGGAAATGCGAATCGTTTAGATTTATTCGCGGATTGGCCAGTATGTCCAAGGTAACAGGCGTTGCCCAAAGAATTGACACGTCAGTGGGTGGCCTTGCTCATCGTTCCCTGTCGGATAAGATTTTGCCCAAGGGTTGTCCTAATAAATGGCGTTGAACGCTATCAAGTCTCTGATGGTCTGGTAGTTAGGTATGAAGGCGGGCTCGAGTGCTCGTCGAGATGCCCGAGCCCTCCGTCGCCGAAGTTCGCGCGTACATACGTGACAATAAAATTGCTCGTGGTTCGTACCCCGTGGGCTGACAACTGCGTGAGGAAAGCACTTCTGAGTTTCCGGTTCTTCGAGAAATTACTGGTACGGTGGCTGATATGAGGCGGTGTGACGGGTATGGGATATGTGATTCTGTAGTGATTACACGAGCACATCACCTAGGTCGATCATTGGTGAGCGTATTCCCGTTCTAGTTTCTGAATGAACGTATTGCGCAGTCGTGACCCCGGTCTCAAGCAGTCTCCCAAAGGAGATCGACCAAAGGGACCCCCAACTCGCGAGCATATTCCAAGGCCGTTTCGTACGAGATCGCACACTTCAACACAGGCGGCCCATCGAGTTTATCAACAGCAGTCGTCCGCTGTAACAGCCGCATCCTCGTCAATTCGCTGATCTACCATATGTGATTCCATAAGCCGAGCCCCAATCGCACCGTATCACACCACAATATACGACTCACCGTCCCGAGCACACCAACCCGGCTGACCTCCATATCCGTCCATTCGCCAGGGATACTCATCCCCTCGTGCACTTCCACGCGGTACTCTTCGTTCTCTTCCACAAGCGCGCCTAAGATAGCCACAAGTCGATCCAGCGGAAACGACGATGGGCCAATCAAGCGTTGTGGGACCTTCGCGACTTTGCCTGCTCCCTGCCTAGCTCCGCCCCCGCCCTTTCTTTTCTTCTTCTTACCCCGCTCATCTAGACCCCTGCCGAACATCCGTAGATCCGTCTTCGGAGGGTTAGACGAGGCGATGTATGACGCTAACAGTATATATTTGTGCATTCGGGGCAGCGACGATGAAGACGCGTTTGTATCCGTGGAAAGACCTTCGACCCAATCGGCAGCATGTGTCTCCCGAGGGTACAGAGACTCAAACGCAGTTGTCATTGACGCTGTGAAAGAACGAAGGAGGCGCATCCGAGTTGGCTCGTCCGGGAGGGCGTCCTCATCTGACGCCTCTCGGAGCGCAGCACCAATGAAGTGCGGCCACTGAGCAGCAATCACGTACGCCAGCTCGTTCGGATCGTGCGTGAACGGAAAGTTGATGCTGACGACCGCCGAGACGAACTGTTTGTACAAAGGCAGAAACGAGGGGTCGTACGCGTCGCATGGATTCTCTGCGCAGATGCGGAGATAGTTTGCTTCGAGGAACTGAGTGGCATCTGCGGTCAGGTATAAGTAGAGACATTAGAAAATCGCGTCGTGGGGCGCACCGTCTTTCGTCAGAGGTTGTACATCGACGACGAACGGATCAGGAGATGCCCCGAGAGGGGGTCGTATATCCTCCCACCGCACTCGAGATAAGAAGATCACAGAAAGACTAGTGTCCAATTGAGACTTGATTTACGTTAGAAGCCCCCAATGCCTGTGCAAATGCGAACTCACCAACTCCGCCAAGCGAGTTAAAGGGACCATAAGGTTGGGCATAGCGGTCAAACGATCAGCGTTTTCAATCAAGATGACCATCTGTGCATCCTCTATAGCTTTGGCTTTACCCTTGCCCGTGCTGGTGGCGTCGCTTCGAATGTCCCTCAGACCCCTCATGAAACTACCCAAGCTAGTGTTGTAAGCTTCATCGGACGCGTCTTCTTTGCTCCAGTTCGCGCATCCATCACTCCATCGAGGGGACCATCTTGCAAGCGCGTTGAGAACGCCGTCGAAGATGAGGCGAGGTGTAAAACACGCTATGGCATCGACGTGTGCGTATCGCAGGTTTTCCCCAGATGCCAGGATGCTATTCAGCACGTATGATGTGATGCGTGGCGTATTCGAATCTCTGATATAAAGAAATGGCGGTGGCGAAGTGAGAAGGGTTTTAATGTTGTCCGCAAATTCATGGTAGCCAGGAGTGTCCATTGCGTGAGTTCCACGCGACGCAGGGATATGGGCTTCTGCCACAGGGATCCGAGCCTGAGCGGGTTGGCGTAGGAAACGAACGATTCCGTTTGTGTGAACGCGAGGTTGAGCGTGTTCAGGCGTCACTCAGTAGAATAATAGTCGCTCGTCTGTCGGACATCGCGTGCGACTACTCAAACTCGAACAGGAGGAAATGTATGTAGTTATGTACTGTCTCCGGGGTGGGCTCCGTTCGATCTTCGGAACCAACGTCGGAGATAGGTTTTGTCAATGCTGAAGAAAAGATGTTTCGCCTTCACATGGGCCCGGGGTTGATGCTCAATTCAGTATAACGTACACCTCATTCCGAGGAGTATGCTACAAGGAACCACGCTGAGTTGGAGGATGACTTAGAGTAATATTCAAAGGAGCCTCCGTGCTGAATCTTCAATCCATAAATATCTTAATACTTAGACGTGTCCTTTCTCCCCGGATATCGAGCACTGGCATACCCACCCACAGCTATCCCTCTACGCGAATCATGTGAGTTTGTTCGCTGATTTTACTAAAAGCCACAATGGGATAGCTAGAAGACGAATCGTTAGTCTTATATCATACTACGAGTATGTTGAAAAAACCCACAAAGTCCTGTGAAGAAGACAGCAGTCCTAAAATGTTCTGTTAGTATATATTCAAGTAAGCCGATAATCGAAGACTTACCGTAGCCAGCCCTTGAGTGCACTGTTGTAATTTATATATATGGTGTTGTAGAGTAAACGAAGTCCGACACTGTAGCGTGGTGTCAGGGTGACTGGCAAACTGTATATGAAGGGCCTACTTACTATGACAGACACGCAATGTTCAAGGTACGATTATCTACGCCAACCAGATTGGTGGTGATCTACAGCATGAAAGAGTTAGTCATATACGCGTTATTGAAGCAAATCCCCTTACAATGGCAGCGGCCCAGAGTGGGAACGCTTCGTTCCCATTCTACATAGTGGTGTGTAATTATGTTTAGAATCCACTGACAAGAAGGCCTGGAACTGATCTATACCAGATGGGCACCGTCAAGACGTTCAAGTTTGCTGATGAGTTCAGGCGACAGCTTATTCGCCTTGGCTATCAATAAGTTGCCACGCGGCCGTTCACTAAGATAAAATGACTTAGTGGGCGTCTTGTAGGTCATACCGCTGCATACTTGTCGTAGCCAATGGTGCCGTCGATGAGGAGGGTCTGCGGAAAGAAGCCCGAAAGTTAAGGCCAAATGATTGAATCTCTTAAAGACGATGGCTCACTCGCCACTCTGCTGGATAGAAGGCAAGGAACCATAGAACCGGGATTGAATAGAGAGACAGAGGACTTGAGAGGTTGAGGTGCAACATGTTGTTCTCCTGGATTTGATCCTAGTGTGATTCTGGTCCTTTTATAGGGGAGGCGGCGCCATGTGGTTTGTTTGGCGTCCAGCGTGGGTTCAGCGGAAACGTGTGACAATGAAGGACGGTCAGCCATTATTTTGTGTATGAAGGGAGGTCCCACAGTCCCACACTAGTGTATGGCTTCTGAACTGCTAATTCTGGGCGTCATCATGACAGTGGCCTTGATATATCAACGTGTGGGCCCTAACTGATCCTTGTCTAGGTCGAATTAAGCCTTGCACTGCTCGTGATCTAGGACGAAACTTGACAAAGCGGTAGAGGCTGCGACCTTCAAATAGTGTTGTATGTTATCGTTACTTTGGATGTAGCGAAACGAGACACGATGCGAGGCAATCAGGATGAATATTGCGCGCGATCTCAGCGAAAATATCACTGCCGATATGTTATCTTTCTTCGGAGCGCCGTGATCATCATTCTGTTCATTGATGTGATGGGCCCACACGCAAACGACCTGGTGTTGGCTGTAGATCTACCCAATTCAGTCAACGGAGAGCACGGAATATAAAGTGTGAGCGTGCGTAGCAGGAATGCCGGATTCTGCCTACCATCCGAAACACCAGTTTTCACCCAATGTCAAGCAACACGGATGTGCTCTCTGAAATTGGCTTCGACTTTATTATCAAGGTCGTTCGGATCGCGGTCGGGACTGCGTGTTATGGTAGGTGCCATTTCATACAATTAATGCGAGCGGTGTCTTTTTATTGACGTTGGTGACATCGACCAGGAATTTATGTTCTGTTGATGTTCTTCTCGACGACCATCCTTTGGTAACGGTCCCTAATCAGCTATGTTAGCGAGAAGTTGTTGAACTACCCTTCTTCAGCCGACGAGGATGGCGCCACATCGGCGCGATGGCTTTACTAACCTTGACATGGGTTTTGTTCCTGGGATGCACGATGTTCTTGATCATCGACTTATCCGACATCATATACCGTTTCAAGATAATCCTCATCGAAGGTCCAGACGAACTGTTCGCCGACAAACTAGTAGCAGCGGATGCTAAGCTGCAGAACTTCGTCTGGGCTGGCGAGATGCTGTTTATCTTCTTGGTAAGCCATATAAACCGACGAGATTCAGCCGAAGGTACTTATGAAAAACTCAAGCTTATTCTGGGAGATAGCATCGTACTCTGGCGAACGCTGGTTCTGTATAAATACAACCTAGTTCCCGTCTTTATCCCTGGATTGACGTGGATCGGTTCAGTGGGTGAGTGCATGGATCGAAAGAGCGCATAGATAAAAAGAGGGAGTATTACTCACCAACGCGCCTTGAACAGTGGCCGCTTTCTACGAAGTTGGCTGTGACAACAAGTTTGGTTGGACTCTTCCAGACAGTCGACCTTCCGCCGCGTCAGTTGGCATCGAATCCTGCGCGAAGGCGGACACCGTCAGTTTCAGCCTCTCCTACAGCACCAACATAATTTGCACAACGCTCATTATGTTCCGAGCTTGGTACGATTGGTTCCGTGCGAGATGCAAACCACCACATCCTCATAACGAACCGCAGGCAGTATCGCCAAAACATGAAGTCATTCACGGGCACCGCAAGGAAAACGACGCAAGTTGAGAAGGTACTTGTTCTCTTGGTAGAATCGGGATTCGTTTATCTGGCCATCTACGTTAGTCACAGTTCATTACTTCTCAACTGATTCTGAAAATTCAGACAGACCTTCCAAGCTGTTCCAATTTATGGCGGGAGCTTCAACCCGAAGACAGTAATAGTGGTTCAAGCCGCGAATGCCATCATCCAGCAGGCGATGGTAAGTCACTGGGTTGTAGGATGGAGACTGTCAAGCATTGACACATACCAGGGAATGTACCCAACAATCATTGTGGTCCTCGTCCAACTCCAGAAGACATTGTGGGATACACCCGAACTATCCTTCATGCTTGGCTCCCGTAGCCAAATGCAATTCGCCTCCGCGTCCCTTTCAGTCTCAGCGACAGACCAGCTAGACGCAAGCAACATGGAACACAGCCGTACTGAATACGCTGAGAGCGGTGAAGGTCGCTCGGGAACATCGTCAAAGGCCCGAGGCCTTATCTCCTCCTCGTCTCTCTTCGGCAAGGGGGTGTAGTCCCGTTCATCACAACGATGATTCTTCTCCCGTAAATGGCACGATGTTGTCCAAAGAATGTGATGGAAATGAATTAATCGGTTCACGCGTTCCCTTGTACTCCGTTCGCTATAAATAGGGGACTGAGTGATTGCATCTGCCCTATGTTCTAGGATCACAAAAGTTGGACTCGAGGGATCTGTCGGCCTAAAAGCTTGGAAAGAAAGGGGCGAACAGATCATTTGATCATTTGACTGCATTCCAGACATGCCCCGCGAGTGTCGCCATACCCTCCAGCCACATTTTTCCTCCGTGAGACGGTTCTTGCTGGTCAAGGCCATACAATTTCCCAGCATCTCCAGCGGAACTCACCTCGCTCACAAGCGGCAACTCGCCCAGAATATCTATCGACATCTTTTCCGCTGTGTGTCGGAATGCATCCGGCGATCCGAACAGCGGGTGCGCAGTGGTGCATGATGGGCAGATGAAAGTCGCCTCGTTGAGCAGAAGTCCAATAATCTAAGCATCGTTATTTCAGGGTGATGCAACTTTGCTGATGCATCAACGCCGGGAACTCACGGGAATGTTAACTTTTTTGAACATGGAAATGCCACGCCGGACGTCAGACAAGGCCACATCTTGCGGTGTAGAGACGATCACAGTCCCTAGGGAAGTGGATTAGGGCGACGGATGCTAGCCGTGTCCGGAAGTTACCATTCACGTTGACCAATTGTCCTAGCGTTAGTGGGACATCGCCCGTACCCGGGGGCATGTCAATCACTAGAACATCTAGTTCATTTCCTGACGCCGCGCGCCAATCCACATCAAACAGAAGTTGTTGAACGGCTTTTTGGACCATGAGGCCACGCCAAACCACGGGGGTGTCGTCGAAATCGTCATCAATCTGATTCGGACTCTTGGGTAGGAGGAAGCCCATAGACATGCAAGGTAGACCGTGGTTCGTGAGTGGTGTAATAGCGCCTCCTGGAATGTGTAATTTCTGTCGACAGGGCTGGGCACGAGTATACGTGGGTCCCTACCTGTTGTTAACTCTGGCTCGGGTGCATTTCGTAGGCCCATCAAAGTCGGAATGGATGGTCCAAATATATCCAAGTCTAGGATTCCAACCCGCAGACGCTGAGAACTACTAGCAAAGGGGGTCCGTTGAAGAGCCAGGTGTAACGCAAGATTAACTAGGTGAAACATGTTAGTCGCGTCGATGTAGCGCTGCGCCGACGACCAACCTGCTACTGTGCTCTTCCCTACACCACCCTTGACACTTGCAACAGCAACAACACGTTTGACATACGGAATATTTCGTTTTACAACGGGGGTACGTCGAGGGAACTGAGGTGCACCAGTAACACCTTTTCTGGGAAGACCCTGGTTTGCATGCATTGTGAATGGACAATATGGTAAATCGGCTTCCGTACATACTAAAGGGTTCTCATGGAACAAACATGGTGTTCTCTTCAGCATCAATCGCAATTGGCAGAACAGAGGCGAAACGGAGAAGAGTCGGTGTTGCGAGTTGTGTGGGAAAGCGCCACGTGCACATCTACAAGGCCCCTGACCCCTGACAGGACTGTCGAGTGGGAGGATGGAAGAAGAACAGAGCTTAATACCGTCCACCCTTCCCCCAGATAGTACACCGTGTCCAAAAAATGCCAGTTCCCGGAGCTTTGAAATGTACTTGAGATTCCAGAGGGTGCTAATGGGAACTCGAGGGACGAACCCGCGACGTCTTGCGAATCTACTTGGTCTCGAGACCTTTGCCACGGTCAGCTTTTACCGCGGTCCGTCGATTAGAAGAACGTGATGAAAGAAGCGACAAAAAACAAGCTTGAAGCTTCTCAAGTATCAAGTATTCAGGTATGGCGGCTACCTCTCGACGATTTACTATGAGGCAACATAAAGAATGGCTAGGAAATTGGCCAACCCGAGTCCAGTAGCCATTAAAGGCTAAACCGGGTTCAAACGTTCATCCCCGGCAGTGGGATGGTCATCCATATCCCACACCACTGGCGTCGGACATCACCAACCCAAGCACGCCATCGGTCATTTGACATTGCTCTGCTTTCTAAGACTCTCTAAGACATGCCGGTGCTTTATAAAGGAGCACACTCCTCAAACATTAGACTACACGACCTGGCGCGATCTCGAACATCATGGCCATAGGAAACCCATCGTCGACCACAGCAGTGCTCAAATATTATGTCCCACCAGCGGATGGCGCCCGGGCGTACCAGCATATCAATACCGATCCTACCACCGGCGAACGACCACGTAACTTTACATACCAAGACAAGGAGGTTGTCGTAGAGAATCTTCGAGGGAAAGAGTCCTCAGTGTCGTTGGACACGACGGGCTTTCAGTATGTACGCCGCCCGGCAAAGCATGAATCATTTCGGAATGACGAAGAGATATCGAATGAATATTACCCGGAGAGCATTGAGCTCATCAAGGAACTCACAGGTGCTACCAAGGTTGTCATCTTTGATCACAGTATGCATTTGTATCTTCTATATGTGGGAGACAATACAAACGGCTAAAATCATTGTCATAGCCGTGCGGAGGCGTCGTCCCGGAGATAAAGAAGACACACCGCAGAAGAGGCAGCCTGTTGCCCAGGTCCACGTAGACCAGACCAATAAATCATCGGTCGCCCGAGTTCACCGCCATCTGCCGCCTTCAGAAGCACCGCAGCTCCTCCAAAAACGCTTCCAAATCATCAACCTTTGGCGTCCAATCTCTCACGTAGCATCCGACTGGCCCCTTGCACTCTGCGACTATCGCAGCGTAGACCCCAAGGCGGACATGGTGCCCACGGCGCTCGTCTACCCCGACCGTGAAGGGGAGACGTTTGGAGTTAAATACAACCCAAGCCACCAGTGGAAATATGTACGCGATATGGCGCCTGACGAATGTGTGCTCATCAAATGGTAAGCCGCTGCCTTCGTTGCTTTGAAGAGAACCCTGATTGACCGGATGTTCAGCTTTGATTCCTTGCAAGACGGCAGTGTGGCCGTTTTCACGCCTCACACCGGCTTTCAAGACCCCGCTACACGTCCAGATGCACCTCTACGCGAGTCCATCGAACTTCGGGCACTGGTCTTCTATGATTGATCGTTGACATTCTTTTGTTCTTCATCTATGTCTGATGCTACCGCCTCCGACCTTGATCCTTGTAATTTCTTGGCAAAGATTCTTCCATCAATCATTGGTACACGACCATACGTGCTGACCTACGAAGCTAATGGGGACAATCCGTTGTAAGCCCATTTGAAGTGATGCATGACGGTGATTGGAATGTATTATCTCGATTGCGTAAATGCATCCATGGGAGGTGAATTCAGTTGAGCCATGTGTAGTATACACCTACCAGGAACATAGTGACTAGCCCTACTACGTTGAATGATCCTCGTAAATGGCCGCTCATGAGCGGCGCTTCCGTTACATACAAGTGTCCGGGTACTTGAAAGATCTAGATACACAAGCAGCCCGATAAATAATACACATCCCGATGATGACTCCAGGACAGCCTGACAAATACTAATACGCCGACCACTCCGCCCGTGGCGGCGATTGTGACTTGTTTTCTGATAGAGTTTTATCAGCGTCCCTCGTAGAATCCGCGTCTTCCAAAATAACACCCTCAATCCCATCCACTCGCCGGCTAACCTCCTTCGAGACGCTGACCGAGACAGAATTTAATGGGAAAGATTGGTTTTCCGTGCGGAAGACGAGATTGGATCGTGATCGCGCGGCGATTTCGTGGTCTTCTGTACCAAGTCCCAGACCCACGCGTACGATGATCAAGGAGAATGCAATGCCCTTCGATGGAGTTAGCATGATAGGTCGTATTTCTGGAAGCCTCGTCGACTCACGATTGCCGGGCTACTCTACACAGGAAGGAATTGAGACATCGCCGGTCAATGAACCCAAAGCAGACTCACGGCGTCTAATGCGATAAACTGGAACGGTGCCTTGGCAAGGTATGCCATGTGAGTCATAACTAAGAAAGCTCTAGATATACAAGTCTGTCAGCGTCCAGACGCGTTGAAATTTGACAAGCTCACGTATAGAGGCCTGCACTCTCTAATATAATGTTTATGATCGGCTGGTATCAAGGATCAGTCAAATGCGAACCGCGAAGAGGCGGTCGACGAACCATTATACTGGTGCGAGTCACTCCTTGAACCATTCGATTGATGGACCATATTCGATAGGCAATGAGGCCTAACATACAGGGCGTGAGGTCGCCGCAGTACAACCACGAAGAAAAGGCGTACTAGTAACGATCAGATTTGTGCTGAAATGAAGAAGAGCTCAGCTTCATGTAATAGGAACCAAATGAATCACTTACGCTAGTGTCATCGCAAATACAGTTATGATCCAGTGACCACTAGCACTCGTAAAGATGTCCACACCCGGAGTCTGGCGAGCAAAGGAAACAACGACATTTACACCAGCCGCTGTAACCACGCATGGTGTTACGACATGTCGAGAAGGGGGCGGTGAAATGTACCACGTACCAAGTAACCCAGCTGTTGTCAAAGTCGGCAGAATGATAACTGTCCAACTTCGGTTCCAGACGATGAACAGGCGATATACCTGATTTAGCGTTGCTGTTAGTAAAGCTCGTTCCGTTAGGGCTAGTAAACTGACCATGGTCATATCGCCGACCAGTGTTTGGGCGACGTAAAGTGCTGTCTTTGCGACGTTCTTGGGGCTCCGGGCAGCGCCGTATACACTCGCAGGTGTTGTCCCATTCGCGACGAAGATGAAAGCATCAAACAGCCGAGATATTTGGATTATCCAATGCTTTGCCAAAATTGAGCCGTAAATGGGGAAAATGTCCGACCCTTCACGTACTGCTGTTATCAACACAAATAGTGTGAATGCGACAGTCAGGAGAATCTTGTTGACTGGTCTTGAGTGGTGTCGTCCGCTTAGTGATCGGTACTTAAAACATAGCACATAGATGCATCCAATGAAAAGCATAATGTAGAAGCCTGCGCAGTGACTGTCAACGACAGGTGGCAGTGCGGTGTTAGAGTCAATGTCGTACCGTACATGGTGCTGTGGACCACTATGCCCGCCAGCTCAGCCATTGGAAGAGTCAATACTGCCATGGTTTGCCACCGGAGGGGGAGGACGAGGATAACGGAGAAGAGAGTAGAAGACACGCATGGGATCTATAAAGCAGGAGCTGCTCGGCCGGGTGGTGAGAACCAAGTCAAATGATGCGAGCTGACTTCTTCATGATGGTGAGCGTTGCCCACGGAAGGTGACTTCCGCATTTAGGTGTGATATTCATAGTCGCCTATCACACTAGCCCCTCTCTTGCAGCCCAGTCTCTCACCACGACGGATAAGTCCGATGCCCCGTGGCAATACAATGAACGGTCCGATGAGGATTATCTCGAATGCACAGCGCCTGTAAGGCTTGTTATAACGACTACCTGATTCTTGGAGGAATCATGGTCTAGGTCCAAGATGTAAGAAAATAAGCATCGGTATGTACTCAGACTTTCTCTAGAAGACTCACATCGACATTCGACACCAAACTTTGATGCTGGGAAGCCAAAGGGAAGATTTACAACAGAAGTCGAACAGAAGTCACAACATGATGAGACTGGTGATGATACTGATAGAGACATTTCCGTCCTCCAGGATGTTGGCTTCTAATTCGGCGTGCTGATGAGTGAGGCACCTCAACTAGAGCTTTCGCATGCTTGTGGCGCAACTGCCGGATGCCGAGGGTCTGTATACCTAGACGTTCCCATAGTTGTCCTCTGAGAAGCGAAAACGCCAGGTTCGGTCCCATGCATGAGCGGGGCTTTTCATCAAAGTCTGTGCTTGAAATAATGAACAGTGCTCGTAGCTCTGGGCGGTGAGAATTGCCTGCAACAGAAGTAGCAGAGTGAGGGAGCTATAGCATAGGTCGGGGTTGCGCTCACAGCAGATTCATCAATGGCCACGGGGGGGGAGTAAAACAGCGAGCAGAACGGTGAGAAAGCATAAAGGCAACCATACGCTTTGCAGTGTTGCCTCGCCCAAGAGACAGCGGCGCTTTACGCGAGCGATCGTGAAGATGTGTGCCATGAAAACAGCACCCGTGTACACAGTATGGTTATATATTCGAGCCATTCGGAGCAAAGGCAACGAGTACCTCCTGGGCGCTGAGCGCTGATGTATGAGACCTAAAGGGCATAGTAAGGAGATTGGACTGCCAAAGTTATTCACGGTCGGTCGCAGCGTTTCAACTTGCAATGCAACTTTGGACTGCGTGCAGCGTTCTCAGTAACTATTGTTCGCCTGTGGATGACAACGTGAAGAAGGGGAAATGAAAAGCTAGGAGCACATATGCCATTTAGCACTGAGAAGAACCGGTGGTTACAATGCCCACCACATTGTCGGCCGCAGTCTCGCCCTTCAAGATCTCAGCGTCTTGGGACATGTAAAGTGAGTCGAACCTCATCTAACAACGCTAGATTCAAGACTCGAACCGACAGTGATACTTGATTCCACAATGAGTGTCCAGCTGAGTCGGAGAATGTTGCGGGACTATGTGGTAAATATGGATGATGTCCTTGCTCGTCTGTCTCGGCGTCGTATGGGACCTCGCGTATCCGTGGGCATCGGCATCCGTATACTGGGAGAAGAGCATGGACGAGGACGAGAACAGGGTCTCTTTTATTGAGACTAGTAGCGTGATCAAGCTCAAGTGCTGAAAGTAAGATCTAGGGGCCGAGATGCTCCCACGATCCCGTCTTTGAACTTCGAAGCATGTCAGAAGCATGTTTACAGCAAACCTAGTACGAGTCCTCCAGGATCCTAACGGCAAACCAAGTCTGGATATATTGTACTTGGAATAATGACAGGAAGATAGGCGGAGGTCAAGTACACGAGAAGCATTGGAATCAACAGCCTTATCTAGAAACTTTACTTCGTGCTACTTGGAGGCTGTATAAGCTCTACAGCACAGAGCTTCAGAAGAGCTAAATTGTAATGGACGATCCTGCAATACTCCACTTTGGAGCCGTATATCTACAGCAAAGCGGACCGTTGAGGAAGACTTCTAATAACAGGTATGCTTGCAGTATCGTAACTGCTGGGGCAACTGCAAGCGAATATACAGATGGCCTTCTGCACTCACGCTTACACAGAAGATATAAAGAGGGCCCCGGCAATTATCGTGCGTTGTAGGCATCTTCGTTCAATGTATGTCGACCCGAAATTCCACCCATGTCCTTGCTCCGAATGTTCATGGGGTCAAATGTTCCCAAGCATCGGTAGTTGCACTAGCTGTAAGTTCTGGTCTTCCTTCTCAGATAACTACTTCGCTAATTCTACGTCAAGCTAGAAACAATGTTTTACGGTCAGCAACTCTACCCTATCCTCGATACCTGGGCACATCATGACAGATTTTGACAAGGTATATTCATTGTTCTGTTCAGTGCCACCATATATATCGCCCGTCATCGGCGTATAAGACTATACTTCGTCCCCCTTATAGTTGCCATGTTCACACTTTCAACCGTCCGAGCCGGAATAGACATTTGGAAGCTAATCCTCCTCACATCAACCGGTGATGTAAGCGAGAGAGTTGATATACCGGTGGCAATCTTGCATACGACCAACAAGTACGTCACTTCCATCTGAACAAACGCTGCTCGCTCATGCTATCCAGTGCCCTTGCCAATGGTCTAATGGTCTAGGATAACCACCCGTGATCAGTAGCAGCCGCTTACTTCCGTACCTAGGTCTATCAAGGTTGTATGATCTTCAATTCAAGATGGGCCACGTGTTCCTTCTGCATCCTTTTCCTAGCATCTGCCAGTGAGTTTCCCTTCATTGCCTGCCAACGAAACACTAACGACGCGGGCCTCATCCTGCTCTAGTCTGCGGTTTTGTCTTCCCGCTGTCTATGGTATATTTCATAGTTGCAATGGTCACGCAGATTATTGTCACATCCCTTTGTGGTCAGTCACCAACACTCTCATCTAGGAACCGTTTATTCATCCCAGCATCAGCCAAGCGTATATGGCTCATGTACCACCAAACAAGCGGATTCACAACAATGGGCCCTCCCTCATTGAAACAAGTAATTTATACTGTGTATGTTCAATCTACACAAGCCAGGCGAGCGTGTCGTTGAATGATTCCTAGTGTTGAGTCTGGAGCCATATACTCCCTTTGTCTACTTGCTCTGGCCCTCAGTCTGGCAATTGGGGGCGAGAACCCGGTCTCGACAAAGGCCATGAAATTGCCGGACGCAGGCCCTGCTTTCGTAGGTACTCGCAGCTTTTCCAGTACGGCTATATCCTGATCCCACTGCAAGGCTATCGCCTATGCGATTACCTCTCAGGCAGTTGTAGGTAATTCCTTCCTTCACGACAATACAGTCCTAACGTAGTTCAGGGGATCGCGCCGACCATGATTATAATCCGAACTTGGATTAACAGACGAGAGCAGGCATCACCCATATCTACACTGCAATTCTCGCGCAAGCAAACAAGACTGCCTTTTCATTGTGAAAAGGAGACCAAGACTGTCGATTCAATGTCATTCGTTTCTATTCAACCCCCTGCGGAAGCCGTCAGGCGATGGACCCCTTCACCCAGTAGATTCTACGACCCTGGGGAAAGCTGGCATACCCAGGAATAATTTGTGAGCAATCAGCGCGCGTCAAGCGTTGAGGAAATCATGGACTCTATTTTGGAATGTATCATAATCAACAACTGTCCTATACAAGAGCGTATAATACATAGCCACCCGTGTATAATAAACGAATTACAAGCTTATAGACAACAGTTCAATACGTGGAGAAGTAGGTGGAGAGTGTACAATAGATGGGTATATACTCGATGCGGGGTCTCAATTTCTTCGACAACATCTGAACAGATTTCTCTTGGTCCAGTAGAATAGGCACTGTGGATACAACGACATGAGTCCGATACATCGGGATGCCCATGGAAACGACTTACACCGCAGAAGCGAATCATGGCAAGGGCGAACGTCGAGTACAAGATGAACGCAAAGTAGCTGTTGGTTTTTGATCCCTAGGGCAGATTGTTAGAATCCGTCTCGGCAAGGTAGAAGGCTCGGGATGCTCACGACGCCCTTCTGGAAGTCTTCAATTTGCTCCTTCGTGATGTTGGGGTCTTCGATATCAAGCCAGCCATTGATGTTCTGGACGAAGATGACAAGGGCTCCATTTGTGATCATCCAGAATGCTACGAGTCTTGTTCGGAACGTCTTATTCTCGTCGTCCATTGTGGGCTTTTCCCGAACCTCGACTTCGTTGACCCTAGTGAGCGCCCGGGAAACAGTTTCTTTGAAGGCGGCATCAACATCTTCCTGTACTTTCGTTACATCCTCTACTTCGGGAGCTTCCGGGCCTTTCTTAGACGAGACTGATGGAAGGGCATCCGCTTTGTCACTGCCTTTCGTTCCCCAAGAGACCTGATAAGATGGAATGTAAGTTCGGCAGCAAGCTATACAACAAGGGTGCGGGCTTACGTCGTGAAGATTGCAGAAGGCGTACACATTGAGGACGTTGATGAAAGAAGGGGCTAAAAGGAGGTATTGCAGGAAACTTGAGAACATATGCCAGGGATCGCCCTACATAACGGAGACGTTAGTAAATGAGAAAACACCCCAAGCTCATGCACGTACAAATAAGAAGGAAGCGATGAAGTAAACACCTGGAGAATAGAAAATCATGAACAAGGAAGTGAACTAATGGTTCGCATATGTACTTACCGAATGTTGATATGATAGCAGCAACGAGCGGTCCTATCGGAGGAGCAAAGAACTGTGAAATGACCTCAGACGACGTCTTCCCATTGAGTAGCGAAGGGATTTGCTGAGCGTTCGAGGTGGGTTAGGGACTATTCTGCGTGGAGGCAATGAATAGGACCAACTTTGAAAGCCAGAGCGGTGAGCCAGAATGAGCAAATTAGAAGGTACAGCGATAACACGGCGTATACGCTGGAGGAACGATAAGCGCTAGCTCAGCCATCGTGGGGCATGAGAACATACACAAGTGTGATGGTATACGCCATCCTTTCACCCTTCGGACGATTGCCTAATGCAAGAACAAACTAAAGCGATGGTGTTAGGGATGCGCGCAAAACCATGGGGAAAAGGAGGGTAGTCACCTGGAGAGCCAGGAAAATCAGATAAAGCCATTGTAGCGCAAGGTTGAACCAATGTGCCTGTAGAGAACCGAAGTCAGTCCAGTTGACATCTGATGATGTGCAAGACGTACGAATGCGCGGCTGATGATGACCACTCCTTGTGACGGTAGCAAATCGATGATGATACTGAACGTCAACCATAGATTGGCGAGCGCAAACCAGGTGAAGAACAGCGAGAAGGAGTTGTACTAGATACGAAATAGATAGTCAGCCGACTGTGTCGGAAGGAGTTGGGATAACGCACTAAGGCTTGAAGATGGAGGAAGAATAAGCGGATGATCCCATGACCAGACTTGTAGATCTTGAAGAAATTGACCAGTGCATACTACGAGCCACATAAGGATCGCATTCCCATCCATGCAGAAAGAAACACTACTCACCACCGAAGCGGCAAACGACCCATTCAGCCATCTCCTCCGCTGACCGATCAGTTCTGCTGCGGTTTCGGGTACGTCCGTCTCCGCTTTGCTGGGTTTGACATATGTCAACGTCCATTTATCCCCGGCCTTCGCGACGAGCTCGAAGCAAAGAATTCTGTCCTCCGCCAAGAACATGTTCTTCGTGAAGATACTCATTCCGTGAATGCCTTTCGCACCCAGGCGATCTGCGAGAGAATGGTCGCCGTGAAAGTATTGCTCAAGAGGTTTGCCGAGAATTGCGCGATATCGGTACGCAGAGAAGGCACCTGGAAGGACGGAGACGTAACCAAAACTGCTTTCTAGGGGCTTGTCTAGGGGTTCAGGGATAGTATTTAATATGGATTCCGAAAACGGAACAGTTGACTGTGCTCACCCAAGATGTTAGACATCTTGTATTCGAAGTTCTGCGCCGCGACTAGAGGGTTGAGAAGCTTCTTCCCTCCTTTGATCATCGCGTGGATTTCGCCGCAGCATCCGCCCAGGTTCCTGTCGTTGTAGAACGCCTCCCATAGGTAGTAGATTGATTTATGGCCTGGCTTTGTCCCAGCATCGATCAGTACACACGTCTCCGGCTAACCAGAAAACATTAGCGCGCATTATACCCCGGAGACCTCAGTCGACTTGCCTCAAGCATCCTCCCGATGGCGTTAAACAACCATCTGTGAGAGTTGATTTTCTTCTGATTCTTGGCCTTGAGAACAAAGATAATCTGAACTGGGACTAAGTTCAGCGCATCGTTTCCCTCTGTCGGTAGAACCAGTTGTGGTTTGGCGTCGACAGAAAGCTGTGTAGTATACTAGATGGATTGATTGTACTGTCAGTAATTGATATCGAGTTATCTTTTAGTCTATACCTCAAAAATATGGGCGACTGTGTCCTTGCCGTCCACGTCCTTCTTCATCACACCTGATACGAGTCAGAGTTGGATGTGGCTATGATGTCGGAGATATGATGCACATACCATCTTGATACACGCCCACGGTTGCTAGAATATCCAAAACACTCTTGTCCATCGAGTCTAACCCATCAACAATCAGCGCGACCGTTATTCGTTGCCATCCAGGGTTGCCTTCCTCAGCCGTACGGCGCCAGAATTTCGACTGCTTAGTTTTGCATATGTCACGGATGTTAAGCATGACACCGTGCAACGTGCGGGCGTAGAGGGTTTTATCCTCGTTGTAGGAGGTGACTGCGATGAGGATCTCGGTCTGGCGACCGTAATTTTTGGTCCTAAGAGACCACCCGTTCTCTGTCGTAAATTCATCAGGATCACATGTCGCAGCAGTGTACCGCATATGCCTGTATGAGATAGGACGTTGTTAGTCGAACAGTCCATGAGCACAGAAAGACGTACGAGAATTCCGTGGTGTTGGTCTGCCTGTACTTTCCTTCGATCGCATTGTAGATTGGCGTTGGCACAGCGTATTCTGCTATGAAATTGCCGTTCGTAAGCTTGACCCTTCGTGTTACTCCGCGTTTGATTGTCTGGCGCCGGCGCCATGCACTCTCCACGCCCATCGAGTACGATGAAGCTGGTCGGCCAATCGTCCCTGGGTATGGAAGGCCCAGTTTATCCACATCGCTGGTAAGTTGTAAGCTTCTTTGACGAGGATGCTAGTACTATAGTCTGCTCACCCAGGAGGATAGAATCCCCCAGCGAATTCCTGACCGGCAGTGAGTGGCATCCTCTCGGCTTCTTCGTCATAGTGGCTTTCCTTGCCCTCGGTATCGTAGGGCAATGTTACCGAACTTACACCAAACTCGCTGGTACTCCGCGCGCCTATGGAAGGCTCAACAAACTGGATATGAGGATTCTGAGAGCGCGAGTCCCCGAAGGGGTCATCACCGCCATAGACACTGGGCTCAGGTGTTGAACTTAGCGAGCCACTGCGACCTTGGGATGGCATCAGAGCCAGAGGAGTACCGGGTCGTGGAGCGTCGAATCTTGGCGTCGGAGGAGTGTTGGACATTGTGAAGAGAAAACCCGGGAAAAGGAGGATTATAAGAGAGGATGAAAGGTAAAGCCAGAAACCTCCGGGGGAAACTACCAGAGTCACTGTAGCTATGGGCGCTGCGCCGTGCTGTTTAAATGAGGCGCTGCCCTAGACCGCGCTTCTGTTCGGTAACAGAAGACCCTTGAAACGGTGGGCGAACTGCGTAACATCTCCGATCCATGAGTGATATCAGTGTTTGACTGGTTGATGGGCATGTCTATTTGGAGAATAGGATAACTTTGATAATAGTGGAGTAAGAAAAACGAAGGCGCTGAGTATTCTTGATCCAACCAGTGCTTAACTGCGAATTATATGAGCGGCATCCAGTGCTGCGGGAGTCAGCCGAACGTTGCCGATGCGTATCGGAGACTGGCTGTGACAGTGGCCGCCCCGCTAGAAGAGACACGGACTTCTGAGTGTCTGAGTCCGAGAGAAGGGGCACTTGTGACCTTGGCATTGAGTATGCGACAGAGTGGTATGAGTGAAATGTGATACACGTCTCATGCGGGATACTTGTGTGGTGTTTGTTTCCAGATCGCTTCAACCCGCATCTCGCGGCGTAGAGCATCTTGGCGCCTGCCGGAGTTGCTCGCTAGGTCTTTATTAGACTTACAAGTTATGGAGGAGACGCAAGAAGGGAAAGATGGATGGACTAGGTCCTGATTTCGAAATGGGCAGTAAGTCACGTGTTATCAGGAGAAACTTTATAGGAGAAACTATCTGGACACGGTGGAGGACAACGCCGCTTGTCCCATACTAAAAATACAATATCTTTTCCACATTTATTTAAAGCCGAACACCAAGATTGACTTGAACGGCTTTGACCTGGGTATATCTAACGGGAATAATTCAGTACAACCCCTGGTACTCTGAAAAGAATCTTACGTTGACAAGGCATATTCGCCTAGCTCGCGACCAATTCCAGACTGTTTGTAACCACCGAATGGGATAGAGATATCACCCCCGCCGAAACAATTAACCTACCCTCCCGGGTTAGTATGCGAGTGTGCCAACTTATCCATCTTTGCTTACCCAAGCAGTACCCGCTTCAAGTGCATGAGCTACTCGCAAAGCACGGCTACCGTTCTCTGTGAATACCGCGCAGGCTAAGCCATAGACTGTGTCGTTGGCCATCTCTATGACCTCGGCCTCGTCCTTGAACTTGATAACCACGGCCACCGGCCCAAAGATCTCTTCGCGAACAATCTTCATATCTTTGTCGCAATCGGTGAATACTGTTGGCTCGATGAAGAAGCCTTCGCTGTTGATCTTGGAACCGCCAGTGACAACACAGGCCCCGTCTTTCTTCCCAGACTCGATGTAACCCATGACGCGCTACCTCTCCTCAATTAGTAACGATGTAGGAATGAAAAGGACTATCATACGTCGAACTGCGTTTGAGACACTTGCGGGCCATGCTGGGTCTTGTTATCAAAGGGGTCTCCGGCGTTGCTCGAAATCCCTTTTGCCGCCTGAGTGAATGCTTCAATGAACTTCGGGTAAATGCCCTCTTGCACAAAGATGCGAGACCCTGCAGCGCAAACTTGACCTGAAAGAGCACGTCAATCAACACTTAAATACTGAGGGGAACGAGCAATACCCATGTTATAGCTGTTAGTCACATCCCGTCAATGTTGAAAGTGATGACAGCCTAGGTGACGGCTTACAAGATACCCATTGCAGCCCACTTGACTGCTTGCTCCAAGTCTGCGTCGTCAAATATGATGTTGGGGCTCTTGCCTCCCAGCTCCAAGGTGACCACCTTCAAGTTTGTTCTCGATGAGGCTTCCAATATCTTCCTGCCAACGAGCGTAGAGCCAGTGAATGCAACCTTAGCGATCTGCGGGTGCTCGCTAATCGCCTGGCCGACGGTATGACCTTGAAGTCGATGATTAGCGAACATTGCATTAGTGATGTGATTGGACGGGTTACCATATCCCACAACAATGTTCACGACGCCAGGGGGTACGCCTGCCTCATTCAAAAGGCCCGCGAACTTCAGCGCTGTCAGAGGTGTCACTTCTGAGGGCTTCAGGACAACGGTATTCCCTGTGGCCAGCGCCGGAGCAATCTTCCAAGCTAACATGACGACTGGAGTACGAGCGTCAGTATTGCCTCGCCGCCCCCTAAGAGATGATTATGTACAGGGGAAGTTCCAGGGGATGATCTGGCCCTAGATAATGGGATTGGCGTCATTATGGAAACGCAAGAGAGAAGGCTTAGAGTCATACGCAGACACCAAAGGGCTCATGGCGCGTATAGGCCATCCTATTTTCATCCGTCTTTACAGTAGCAAAGTCAGCAAGTCCGCATGAACGGCACAAAATGACAGACAACCATTCACAATCAATCACGTACCTCAATCGTCTTGCCATGAATCTTGTCTGCCCAACCAGCAAAGTACTGGAATGCGCGTACAACGCTCGCGACATCCCTTTGAGCGTACCTATACAACTTTCCTGATGATACACATGAACATGCTGGCAAATGATGAGCATATGGACGGACGTACCAACGTTTAAAGACTCCAAGGCGGCAAATTCGTCTGCATTGGCCTCAATCAAATCTGCCAACTTGCCCAGGATGAGGCCACGAGTTTTCCCTGGGACCTTAAGGCCCCAAGACGTTTTATACGCCTAGACGTCCATCAAGAGAATGTTAATTTGTGAATGGAAGAGTGACCGACGTTCTTGGCGGCCTGTACAGCGAGATCGACATCCTTTGAGGTTCCTTCCGCGACCGAAGTTACGATACTCCCATTACCTAGCGGTGTCGGACATTCGTTAAGTAGGGAATCACCACCAAGTGAACTTCACCTACTGGGATTTACAACACTAAGTCGTACCGGAATCAATGAGATCCTGACTGCGTCTTCAAATAAGATGCTCGCTTACTCGATGGTCGCCCCTTCTATGGGATCGACAAATTGGCCATTGATGAACAAGCCAGTGGAGAGGGAGACAGTCCCTTTGTATGATGGTGTGTCAAGCTCCTGAGTGAAAGTTCCGGGCATAGTAGATCGCGATAAGAGACAAATTACCCCACAACGACTCCTAGATATGTAAGTACCTACCCCGCTTTTACGTAAATCTCAGAGTCGGGGCAAAAGGACTATCATTGCCGGCGCCAAGAGAGCGCATCAGCCACGGCGCATCAACTGACTACTTACTCATCACGATGGCACCAGGTGACACTAAGGCACTTTTAGCTTGACTGGCAACGGTTCCAAGAAGTAAGCGACAGTACGAAACAGTGCGATTGATTGTGGACTCTGAGACTAATGTTACATTATTTGGGCGACAGACTAGCCCTAGAGCTTTTGCCCAATGTTGACTTGGACAGACTTCACTTGCGTATACCTATGTTCAGTGACATACACCGTTAGCGCCACAAATTTAGTATGAAGTCGGGAACATACGTGTCTAAGGCATATTGCCCCAGATCTCGCCCGATTCCTGACTGCTTGTATCCGCCAAAGGGTACACTTGGTCCCACAGTATTATAGCAGTTGACCTGGCAATGCTTGAGAATTAGGTGTTGGGGAATATAGAGGGAGGCTCACAAATCCAGTGCCAGCCTCGAGTGCGTGAATGACGCGAAGCGCCCTGCTTCCGTTCTCCGTGAAGACAGCGCAAGCAAGTCCATAAATCGAGTCATTGGCCATGTGTATCACCTCTTCTTCAGTCTTGAACTTGATGACAGCGGCTACGGGACCGAAGATCTCCTCTTGTACGATCTTCATGTCGGGTCGGCAATCAGTGAAGATGGTAGGCTCGATGAAATACCCGTTATTCCCGTGTTTGTGGCCGCCGATAGCAACATTTGCGCCAGCCTCTTTACCGGACTCGATATACCCCATGACTCGCTGAGAGATCAATATTAGGGAATCCCCGACGGAGGGACACTCGGATTGAAAGAACTTACATCAAACTGCGTCTTGGACACCTGGGGCCCGTGCTTACTTTCCTTTGCGAATGGGTCCCCGATGGCAGTTCCGAGACCTTGAGCAGCCTTCGTGAATGCCTCAATGAATTTCGGGTAAATCCCCTCTTGGACAAACACGCGTGATCCAGCAGCGCACACTTGACCTGAATCAGCGCACCCTAAGTCAGCCAGCAACGACGACAGCACACGGCAGGCGGTTATTTACCCATATTCGAACTAGAAAAATGGACACGCGTAAGTTTGAAATTAACTTCACCAAAGTAGAAAGACGTACAAAATACCGAATGCAGTCCATTTGACAGTTTGTTCTAGGTCAGCATCGTCAAAGATGATGTTTGGGCTCTTTCCGCCGAGCTCAAGAGAAATGGCCTTCAGGTTAGATCGAGCAGCGGCTTCCATGATCTTCCTGCCCACGAGGGTGGATCCCGTGAAGGCTACCTTGTCCACCTTCTGATGCTCACTGATGGCTTGGCCCGCGATGGGACCTACATACACCCATTGGTAAGGACACATGACTGGTGGCGCCGACTCATAGCAGCAACTTACCAAGACCAGTTACGATATTGACCACACCGGGAGGAACGCCAGCTTCATTGAGCATATCAGCGAACCTCAAGGCGGTAAACGGTGTGATTTCCGACGGCTTGAGGACTACAACGTTACCGGTGGCCAGCGCCGGAGCGACTTTCCATGAGAGCATGCTGACTATATACGGATGATCAGTAATGCTCACAAAGATGATATGTGCGTAGACTCAAATGAATGACGTACATGGGAAGTTCCAAGGGATGATTTGACCCTAAGGAGAAAAATAGGTTACGCGGCCAGATGAATGGGAACAATTGGATTGGCCTACACAGACGCCATAAGGTTCGTGGCGGGTGTACGCCAAGGCATGTTCGTGAGTCTATCCATGATAAGTCGGATCAGAAGAGAACTACAACCAATCGAAAGTTCCGTACCTCAATTACTTTCCCGTGGATTTTGTCCGCCCATCCAGCGTAGTAGCGGAATACTTCAATGGCACTGTTGATGTCCCCTCGCCTCGAATTGTTGAAGATCTTTCCTACGCAACGTTAGTATTGTTGTGTTGGAATCAACACTAATAGAAAGATTCATTACCGGTGTTGAGTGACTCCAAGGCAGCCATCTCGTCTGCATATTTCTCAATTAAGTCGGCCAACTTGTTAATGATGCGCCCTCTGGTTTTCCCGGGTACTCTCATTCCCCAGGCGGTTTTATATGCCTACGATCAGGATTAGGGCCAGAGAATTGTCACGAACAAAACAAGCCTTTATCGAACCTGCTTCGCGGTGTCAACGGCAATATCGATATCTTTCGCGCTCGCGGCTACCACTTTCGTGATGCGTGTACCCGTGGCTGTAGAGGCGGGATGAGCGTGGGCGCTATCAACCAATACGAAGGACAACTCACCGGGATTGACGATACTGTGTGTCCATAATCGAGGTTAAGTCATTTGAAAGGGCCGGCGACAACAAAACGTACTCAATGAAATCCCCATCAACAGAGTCTACCCATTTACCACCAATGAACAAGCCGGTATTGATGGTCGATGCCCCCTTGAAGGCTGGGGTATCGAATTGATAAGTGAAGGTCTCTGGCATTGCGAGTCTCGAATGTGGACGTGAACAGGTGCTAATCCTTGATGATCTGATGGTCTTATATATATATTTGGTGGAAGCTCTGTGGGAGTGCATATGGCTGCGTGGGGGCGTTGCCCGGTGGGAGGGACCTATGTAACCGGGTTGGATCATCACGGGGAACAAAAGTAGGCGAGATCAATGTGTAAGATACCTTGGATGGGGATGAATTAGGTCTGCAATGATGGAACAACAGAGCAGGTGGGCGACATGATTACTGGCAAGTGACTCAGCGTCTGCTTCCGAAGGCACAATGATGAAAATCAAGAAGAGCGGAGGGTGGCGGTGGTGGTGAGAATGGAAGTTATCCTCGCTAACACTTCTTCCTTACGACGACCTCTCACATTGGGTGGCCTGAACAAAATTATCATCCTATGGAGATACGTTGATTACACGGGGTTTCAGCTGATAAGATCTTTACAGAGAAGGAAGAGTTCACCCCTCGGTTCTACGAGACGGGAAGCTCAAAGTTTCGAGATGATCTTTCGCAATGGCTCATACTGCGCCGGCTTCTTTGACCTAACTGCGATTATACTGGCCATTGTGTCCTAATATCTACGTCAGAAAAGACCGGTATATGTGAGAGCAAGGGAAAATACTTTAGCTTGCAACCCGGCCGAGTTCCATGTTGCAGTATACTCAAGACTCTCGGCGACCCTACAGATGAATCAGCGAAGTCCCATTATCTGGTGTCTTATCTTCACGTACGAATGGTCCCTAGAGTGTAGGAGGAGTTGCTTAGTCGCAGCAACAGCATAGGGACTCTTCGCAGCGATCACTTTTGCCAACTCTAATGCCGCCGAAACTACTTCATCCTTACTTCCATCAACAATTCTGGAAAGCAGCCCGAGTTTTTCTGCCTCTAGAGCGGAGAAATTTCGAGCAGAGAACGCGAGTTCTCGAACAAGTGACTGATTCCCCGTCACTTTCGGAATGGTAGACAGCGTTCCAATATCAGCGGCGAGCCCGACATCGACCTCCTGCAATGTGGTCATCAATCCATTCACAGTAGAAATTACCAAAATCACGCACCTTGATGCTGAAAGAAGCATTGGACGCGGCGAAACGAACGTCGCAATATCCTAGAATATCGATTCCTAGTCCAAGAACAAGGCCGTGCACAGCTGCAATCACGGGAACCGGGCAACGTTCGGGCGCCCCTATAGCGCGTTGGAATTCCAGGATATGCTTCCTGAGGTCGAGAGCGCGCCTCGCTGGATCGGTTGTATCATCAACGGTGAGGGTTGATGTTGCATGCAAATCCAGCCCAGCAGTGAATAGCTTTGGATTCGCAGAGGATAGCACGACTGCCCGAACATCAGAGCCGTGCTCCGAGATTTGGTCAAATACATGGGCATATTGTTGCCAGAAGCTGATGCGTGCAGTGAGCCAAAATTAGCTAGAATGTTGAACTGGTAACGCACTCTGTGTTGAACGCGTTGACAGGCGGTCTGAAGCAAAAAGTGATTTAGTCCGTGTTTCTCTAACTCTGATTCCATAGCCAATGATTTACTTACCTAGCGAGCTCGACTAGTAATACGTGTGGGGCAGGTTCGCTCACTTTCACCCATTTCGTGGAGAATTCAGCCATGATTTGTGTGTAGGTTGAAGTTCATATGAATGGGGATCGTATTAAATAAATAAGTACAGTACGGCCTCGGTGGCCCTCCACCGGCTACCTTACCGCCGGGCTTGTTCACGTGCAGTCAGGGTCTGGCACATCTCACTGATCTCAGTCAAGTCCTAACAGTATCTCTCCGAAGTAATGAAGCCTCAAGGAGAGCTCTGAGCTGGATGCCTTCTGCAACTTGTCTATATCAACGCGGGGTGCCGATCTTGACTTCGGTGGGTTGAATTCTGTTGAATTCCTCCCCGATTCCGAATGGCTATTATTGCTTCCGTTAGACAGATTGACAACGGGTTGAGGTCCGAATATTCCATTACGGGCAGTGTAGCAGTTATGAGCGCTTCGCAGCTTCCGTGAAAGCGCTGCCTTTTCCGAGCCAACATTGAGTCTAAGAGCAACTTTCTCCGGAGAGAACGATGGCTACGAGGTGAGATTACTCGCACTGTCTGAGGATGTGGTCGCTGACAACGTGTCTGATCAGGGTCGTACGTCTTACAGGTAGCCCAGAGTCCGGAATACTTCCCCAATGGAGGCAGAGAGGCTAAAGCTGTATTTATTTCAGGCATTAGCATTACCTTCTACAAGTCGCAGAAGACAATTAGACCGCCAGAGGTTCAGCTTGATGGGCTGCCGAGGTTACCAGTCCTCAAACACGCTACCGACGTGAAGGGGATATGGATATGGCATGGGGGGATGTGAGTTGATTGATCACCGACATCGAATTTCCAATGCATTCGCCACTTACTTGATTTACAGGGAGATTTGCTCCGAGTCGAAGCTTACAATCAAAGTCTCCTCTGATAGATCATTATCCATTATGGGCACTAAAACCGTCACGTTGACAATCCCCGTCAACGTTATACTCCAGGAGTCTGCTGACGGTGGCGGCGGCGGTGAGTGGGATTTGTGACAATTCCTCGTTTCTGCTTTTGACTAGGTGAAGTTTGGCGAAATTCGGACGCGTCGAAGTTCGAGATCAGTATAGAATACTCCCTGCCGAAGGCTGAACCGATGGTACGCGCTGCATGAGTGTGGGATGATGATGATACATGATCTGACCCCTGCAGTTGAGGGACCCTTCTTCTGGGAGCAGTGCTTCTGCTTCACCTGCAACATCGGAGAGCTACCTCCCTTCGACAATAGACGACATAACTCGCGTCTGTCCGAGGTTTCGCGTACTTGTCATCGGAAAGGTACGACTGACGTCAGTATGTGCTTGTCCGTCTCCCTCTAAGATCAGCATCAGACCGGTGTTGGGAAATCATCTCTGATCAACAACGCCTTCGGTGTCACAGCAGCTGTGCGTCCATCTTTTCCGATGTCCTTCTGTTCTGCACAGTTAATCTATTTTAAAGAGTGTATCCAAAAGGAAACCGGGTGTTCATGACATAAACTTCGAGATTGAATCAAAGGACAATGCGCATTTCGTGGTGCATGACTCGCAGGGGTTTGAGCCAGGTGAAGAGCAAAATTTCAACATAGTCACCAATTTCATCGAAGAAAGGAGGCGGAAACCCGAGCTGAAGGATAAACTGCACGCGATTTGGCAAGTTCTGGTCGTGCCCGCGGTTAACGCTTTCAGAAATAACCGTCGACATTATTTATAGGTTGTGCGTAGAGATACCCTGTTCAGGTGGCAGAGTGTTCGAAATTGGTGACGAAAACTTCATTAACCTCCACTTGGGTCACGGTAAGTCCGTATGCTGGCTGGAATTCCAAGCATACTCTTGACGTGTCTATTAGTGCCCGTCGTTGTTGTGTTCACCAAGTTTGATAAATTAGTCACCATGAAGCGCATGCGTCTTCCTTCGACACGGACCGCGGGGCTTTCAAGTGATGAAGTCTTGCAGCTCGCGAGGGACGATGCGTTGCAGGCTTTCGAGAAGCTATGCATAGATCCGCTCAAGACAGTCGTTGCCGGAAAGGAGATGCCTGCCTACATCAAGGCCTCCAGTACGTCCAGTCATCTCTAGCTCGTTTCCCCAGGCTCACCCTCCATAGCGTCGAAGGGCTACGAAGAAACACTGGCTGAGCTCGTTGATCGAACATACACGGATGTTCGAAAGTATGTCGCAGAGGAGGCCTCCCTCGTCGGCGCTATAGCTCAGCGAACGAGCTCTGAGACCAAGATCTACGCATCCATAGCGTGAGTGGGCTCCATACTCATGTGCCTTCGCAAACCAGACACTGATTCTCAGCCAGAGTTGGTAAACGCAGTAAAGTCATTCCCTCGTAGTCGTCGTCACAAGTCATTGAAATTTTCATTCCAGGGTACTGGGAGGGCCTCGGACACAGCGCTAACTTTCCCAATCGCCCGCTCAAGAACTGCTTGGACGTGATCCACCGAGATGTGATCGCCGTCTGGAATTTTCAAGATCCTAACAAGGCATGTCCCCAAACACTCTCCATCTTCGCTCGCCCTAATTGGTTATACGGATGCGTAGCACTTGAATTCCATCAAGTTTCAAGAACTGATGTCTCAGATTGTAGACGACTTAGCAGAGCGGAACATGCTAGATCCCAACAAAACACTGTGAGTCTACCACGTTTCGAAGATTAACAAGAGGCCATATAACTTTGTTTTGGCTCAGGGTTGGAGGGATCACGCTCGTTGGCACCATCGCTGGGATCATCGGAGGGCTTTCGGGGCCTGCTGCGCCCATCGTGATACCCATCGTTGCCACCGTTGTTTTCGCGAAATGGGTCTATGATGTATACAAGCAATCGTGAGCCTTCGCATCTCACGCCCGCCAACTCTCCTCCGTTTCCCATCTCACTCCCCTTGATAGGGCCCCCGTCCTTCGCTGCCTGATGGGATACATCGTCGATTTGACGATTATCATGCAGATACTCTTCATGCTCACTCGGGGCGACCCTCGGCCGGTCAGCAACAGGATGATCAAACTGGCGACGAAGACCTATGCTGAGAGCCCCGCCAAAATACATATCCACAACCAGATCCAGGACTACGTCGAGCGGAACGACGTGTTCAAGCGGATGCACCGAGATGGCGTGTTAGCCAAGATCGTCGATCTAATCGAGAAATGGAAGATAGAGGAGGGAGAGGGTATAGGGCTGAGGCTCCGACAGCCCGAATTGGACAATCTTAGGTTATACGAAGATGAGGCCTGGTAATTTGTTGCTGTTAGTGGAAACGTTGTAGTCGACATGGACGATCTCGATCATGGGGTACTTGGTGTAATATTTATACGGGCATTGATGGTTTCTCTCCTTGGGTTGGAACGGATTGCATGAATACAACGATCGTATAGAAAGCAGCAATTATACAAGGATAGTACACCAATACGGCGGTATCTAGTAGTCATGACAGAAGCCACCGGTACTACTAGCAAGTACCGTAGCCATTCTATGAAGCCATTCTGTATCACGAACTGGAGACTTTGAGGCTTGCGGTGGCACCGTCGGGGCCGACCTCCGAAACATCCACATCCAGCGATCCGCTGATGCTCACGATGAACCGCGTTTGGAGGGTGGTAGACCAGGTACCTGCAGCGGGGCCCTTTCCCTTCGCCTGAATGCCCAATTTCGCGTCGAACTCCAATGCGCCCAGCAGCTTTTCCTTCTTAACGGACTTGTGCTTCACCTCAATTTCCTCGTCGTCCTCGTCTTCGCCGGCATCCTCGTCGTCGGAATACTCCACCTTCGGGGGCTTGGTCTTCTCTATGCGAATGGCTTCCGTCACCTCCCAGACCTCGCACGCGACCTTCTTAGACTCCGTCGTCAGCCCGACATCGAACTGGACGGTGCGACGGGCGGGAAGGGGGGTCTCTTTGGCGATGATAGGAATCCATGTCCCTCCAAGCTTGTCGGCATCGCCCTCAGAGGCATTCGGGAACAGAAGGCCGATCGTCCGGCTGGTAGCGCTTATCTGGTTTAATTCTGAGTTGCCTTGGTACGCGGATTTCAGGAGGTCGTGGTCCTCGTCTTCAGGAATGGAGGCGACGACGGCAGCTTGGATCGCGCAGCCTCTAGCCAGGATCGTCGTGGGGTCGCCCACTCCGCCGCCAACGACTGTGCCCAATGAGAACGGCGTGTCGATGTCCTCCGAAAAGCCACCAGCGACACACAAATGCTCGTCCAGGCCAGGAAGACATGACGTGCCGCCGACGTACACGATTTCATCGACATCATACGCGTCGATTTCAGCGGACTTGAGGAGATCGAGAGCTGCTGAGGAGACGGCGGTGTAGATAGGCGCAGCCAGCATGTCGAAGCGCAGACGGTTCACTGTGCCTGTGTAGTCTAGGCCTTCCTTCAAGGACTCGATAGAGCAGGTGGCTGCTCCAGGAGACGCGCTGATAGTGCGTTTCGTGTGCTCGATCGCTAGCCGCAGCTTGGCCTCGGCGCGTTGGTCGACTAGCTCCGTGGCAGGCGCGACCTTGAGCGGCGTTTTGGTCTTTTTGGTGAAATCGGCGGCAAAGAATTTTATGAGCGCGTCATCTAGCTGATCGGCCCCGACGTCTGTTGATGAGGATGAAGCGAGGACGTAGCCGAGTCCCTCGCGGATAGAGAGGAGTGTCAGTGATAGCGATGACGCGCCGAGGTCGACTAGCAGCTGTGTCCGATCCGGACGAAGCTTCGAGCTCCATGCCTCGGTTGTGGTGGTGGCGATCGATGCTGCCCGTTCATCGAGCAGCTGCAAGACCTTCACACCTGCTTCGACAGCACACGATTCCAACGCGCCCTTTTGTGAGTCCGTGAACCACGATGGCACGGTGATCACGGCCCCTTGTACTTTCGTCCCAAGGAAGTCCTCCGCTGATTGCACGAGCGACTTGATGAAGATCGTCGTCACTTCTGACACGGTCAGTATACGTTCCACGAGCATCGGCTCTGATCTCGGTGTCGGTGCGATCGAAGCAGCGGGCGTGTTGGTCGCTGTGCTCGGCGGAAGCGGCGAAGGCGACGCTTGGAGCACCTCGACCTTGTACGCAGGCTCATCAGCGATGCTCGGATGCTGCACCACAGGCGCCGATGTCGTTGGTTGATTTTGGGGAATCTCAGAGAATCTAGCATGGTTTCGATAAGGATACACAACATGGGCAACAACACTCACTTCTTCCCAAGGAGGTTTCTGAATCCTATGATCGTGTTCTTGGAGTTCTTGACGAGTTGATGCTTAGCTTGATTGCCGATGTACTGTAGATAGTTGTGGGTGGCAAGCAATGGTGAGTGATTGGATTGCGTACCATTTCTTCGCCTTGAAACGACACTGCGCATGCTATTTGACGTTCGCCGTCCTCATTGGCGATACATTCGGCGAGGCCTTCCTGGTTCCAGTTTCAGTACCAACGCACGCATCTAGCACAGATGCTATGACCTTTGTGAATACTGCTATCGAAGCGTAGGTGTTCCCGAAGTTGATCCCAACAACGCTAGGCGTCGATGGGGCGCTACCATTTGGAATAGCAGCCATTTTTGATAAAATTTGGCGGATTCTAGGATGTGGCAGAATTCAAAAAAAATCAGATCACCGATCGGCGTTTGTTTGGATCGAACGCTCGTGGCAAGCATCCGATCACTTTTGTCGAGCGCTTGGCACCCGCCTACCCTCTGTCACTACGGTATGTCTTTCTGCGCTCATATTGACGAAATCGGGCGGCTTCCTCCCCCAAAGCTCTCAAACTTGGTTCACAGGGAGGAGTGTACGCAATGCTTTGATAACCAGGCGTGTTTTGCCTTTCATTACCCACTTTACTTCGTTGTTTACGCGTGGCGTTCTTAGGACTGTGCCACTGGCGTAGATGTCTGCTTAAGTTGCTTCAATGGTGGCTGTTTGAGCGCAGAACGCAATCACGCATCTACCCATTCTCTGAGATCAGGACACTCTTTTACCCTCAATGTCAAACGCAAACGGAAACCCACTACGCAGCGGGTCGGTTGATCACATTGATCCTTCGACGTGATCACTTACAAAGGAACAGACGGAAGATGAAGAGCCACCCGCGAAGATGAAGAAAGTAGCTATCGTAGAAGATCGAGAGGAGGATAAGTACGATCACACGTTGGCCATCAGGTGCTGGAAGTGCGACCCAAACAAAGGAGTGGAGTACCCCAGTGCCCTCTCCGATCCGAAGGTACGACCCAGACTTATTCAGATTCAACTAATCCTTTCTCATCCCCAGACAGATCAAAAGCCTCGCGGACTCTATAATGCAGTCGATGTCTTCTGCTCGTCAGTCCGAGGTCAAAGCATGGGAGGAAGAGATTCTTCCGTGTGAACACACCTTAACTTTGGAGCAATTTGCCACTGGCCATATCCAAGCTTCTGGTCGGTTTCTTCGGTCATTGATCCATCCCGTTACTCAACATGTACGCCTCAACCCAACAGGACTTGCCCACTGCACTGCTTGCGACCTGAAAGAAAATCTATGGCTCTGTCTAACGTGCGGATGCCTCGGATGTGGTCGTCAGCAGCTCGGTGGTCTTGCTGGGAACGGCCACGCACTAGCACATTATCAATCTACAGGACACGGAGTCAGCGTCAAGTTGGGGACGATCACACCAGAGGGTGGTGCAGGTTTGTTCTACTGTCATTCGCTTTCAAACCCTGTCTTGACACTCAACATTCTAGATATTTATTGCTATAGCTGCGATGACTCTAAGCAAGATCCAAATCTATCGCAGCATCTTGCGGCATTCGGAATAAATGTCCAAACCCTGAAGAAGACCGAGAAAAGCATGACAGAATTGGTGTGTCTCCTAAACGATCTAGACATCAGTACGCTGATGTCCTTGCATTACAGCAATTGGAGCAGAACCTCTCGTTCGATTTCTCCTTGACTGACGAATCTGGAAACGCCCTCGAGCCCGTCTTCGGCCCTGGCCTCACAGGCCTCTCCAACCTTGGGAATAGCTGTTACATGGCGTCCGTTCTTCAAACTCTCTTTTCCCTTCCCGCCTTTCAGTCACGCTACAACGACCTTGCGAAATCACACTATCTCACCTGCACTATTTCTCTGCCAGCTGAATGCGTCGAATGTCAAATGCACAAAGTCGCAGATGGCTTACTGAGTGGTCGATATTCTCATCCAGCGAACTATGCCGTAGACCCAAAGGCGTCTAATGCCCTGGCTCACGATTCGCCAACCCCGGTGTTTCAGGAGGGTATCAAGCCCAGTGGCTTCAAAGGCTTGATCGGTAGAGGCCACGAGGAATTTTCGACAATGAAGCAGCAGGATGCGGAGGAGTTCTTCGTTCATTTGTTGACTATCCTCCGCAGGGATGCACACAAGTACAAAGAACGCAGCGACCCAGGTCGGCTCGACATTTTCCCCTCCTGTCTCGAATTATGCTCATGCTGCGGGTCTTCAGATGCGACTGCTATATTCTCGTTTGGCATGGAGCAGCGACTACAATGTGCTGACTGCAAGAAAGTCAGATACAGGGTGGACAACACAGACACCGTTAGCGTGACTATTCCCGCGAAAGAGAAATCTAAGGACCAAGATGGCAAAGCGACATATGAAGAAGTCGAACTGTGGCAGTGCATCGAATCTCTTCTAGGAACCGAAGCCTTAGAGTACGCTTGCCCGTCATGTCGAAAGACAGTTAATGCTCTCAAGTATGCACCTCCCTGCCCGACCATCGTTCTCTAGTATTGACTAGAACACCGCTAGGTCAACCAAATTTGCGTCTTTTCCCGCTGTTTTGATCGTCCATGCCAAGAAATTCCAACTTGTCAATTGGGTCCCTTCCAAACTAAGTTCGTCTGCATCATGGATAGAGTACCTTATCATCATTGACGCACGCCTCATGCAGATATCCCAGTCCTTCTTCCGATTAATGATGAACTCCTCTTCACCGCTCAACACCTTGGCCAAGGACTTCAACAGGGTGAACAAGAACTGTCTAATGAAGAAGCAGGTAAGCGACCTAAACGGCTTTTATCTGCTGCCCTAACTTACCCCAACCTAGCACCCACACTTCCAGCCTTCAACGAAGTTGCCATGGCTCAGCTAGAGGGCATGGGCTTTCCAACCATACGCTGCCAAAAGGCTCTCTTAGCGACGGGTAATAGCAACCCTGAAGCGGCGATGGAGTGGCTGTTCGGCCATATGGAAGACCCAGGTGCGTATGCGGCATTCCTCATTCTATGCGATGGTGCTCACAGCGAGGAAGACATTGATGCGCCTATCCAACTAGCCGCGTCTTCTGGGGGCAGTTCGCATGAACCATCCCCAGAACAAATCAGCATGTTGTCGGACATGGGATTTACAACAGCTCAAGCTAGGAAGGCTCTGCGTGAAACGGTGAGTGTGTCCATCGCTTTTAACGAAAACCGCAGACCTCCCTTATTCCCCAGTCCGGCGACCCCGAACGTGCCGTCGAGTGGTTATTCAATCATCCTGACGACATGGGCGAGGATGCCACTGCATCCTCCACTCAAGCATCTTCGCAAGCACAAATCATACCGGGAAGCAAAGATGTACCGGTACAGTACAGACTCAAGGCGTTCATCTCTCATAAAGGCCCTTCGGTCCACTCAGGCCACTACGTTGCCCATATCCGTGTGGACGATACAAACTGGGTTTTGTTTAACGACGAAAAGGTCGTCAAAGCAGATGCAGAAAGCGTGAGGGAGCTAAAGAAACTAGCGTATTTGTACATCTTCGAGAAGGCATAAGTAGAGCAAGAACAAATCCAAGGACAAATGTATAATATCGAAACAAAGAAGTCGATCCCCCAACCGCTACGCTCCGCGTAAATATAAATCAACGACGAAAAATATTTAGGCTTACTAGAGGCATTGAGGCCCGAAGGCCCCTTGTATTTCATTCCTTGCAGAGCAAGGACGACTGCGCCACAAGCTTGATTAAAGTACCAGAGAGTTGACTGTCACTCGTCTTGTCCTTCACGATCTGCTCGACGGCGTCGTCTACGAGTTTCGCGAGAGACTTCTGGTATTCTTCAATGGCAACCCTTAATCGATGTCGACTTGGGAACGAGTACGAATGTTCGGCGGAAACGCAGAGAGCTATGATAATCAATGACACGTTTGCCCCAACGGAATCAATAGAAGGGATGGATGCCCGACTTTGCATACCTATTCCAAGCCTTAGTACTCGGTTCGTCGCTGGGTGCGCACCGGCCTAGATGGGCATTAGCAAGAGCATTGTTAGGTGGACCCAAGAAAAAACAAACCAAAACCTCAAATTCATCTTGTAGGTTGGCAGCTTGATTGGCTAGACCCTATAAACGAGGTGAAACTGGGCCGCAAAGGCACCGGTCAACTTTCTTACATACTAGAGCAGGACTGGTGAGTCGCAGTACTAGGAAGGGAGAGGAAGAAATAAATGCTCACTCCCTTATATCGGCGGAACCATCGGGGGTTGTCATACATTCACGAACGAGGTGAACTGGAAGACTGAGCTTACCCCCTAAAGCAATAAGAATAAATACACAATGGTCGCCATTGATACGAAAGGGGCACCGACATATTTCTGGCCGTGCCTCCGTAAGTAAGGTAGTATCTTTTCGTGAAGATAGGTGCGTACCTCGAGCTGTGTGGGAAGAGATCATAGGATCATGGTTAAAGATTTAACGTTCATGGTCGCGATCTGTCACTTACTTCCTACGTGAGATCGAAATTGATCAACTTCTCGATACGCCCTATAATAAGACAGGGAAACACCGACCTCTCCCTTTGCCTACATCAGGGGCAAAGAGTTCAAGATTTAAGCTGGCAAATCAGGCGGAGTACATACGCTCTGGTGCGGCGATTAGATATGGTTGACATCCAGGAGAAGTGCCTCACATTCTTGTCGGGCACATCAATGAAGGGTGACGAAATATATGATAAGCAACACTCACCAGGTCGTATGGAAACCACACAAGGACCTGACGATGATCGTATATGGCAGTGAATTGAGTTTGATAGGTAAAATGCCTCACATGGCATGCAAACTGGTAGACATCTGCTCTGCTCATCAACGCTGCAGGCCCTTTGTGCGACTTTTTGCGGTAGTCGATAAACCATTTTACAACGACTCTAAGGAGGAGATAGAAATTAAATATGAATGATGCATAGAGCGATAAAACCCACTGCTCTATGGCGTATTTGATACATAGTGTGATGCTACTCCTCTGCGTGGAAACGAACATTAGCCTCAGCACACCGTTTTCAAGTACTTCTGCCGTGCGCTCCGCAAGTTCAGAGACACTGGAATCTGGCTCTTGCATATCTGAAGAAGTGTAAGATCATGCATAGGTGAATGATCAACCAGTATTACTAACCTCTCAAATATACATGGCGCTGAGGGGGGTAGCTGAGGTTGTATATCTCAGGTAGAAATTCTTTCTCGAAGACTTCTTTGGCATGATTAGGTGCCTTCGCCTTTGCTTCGGTATCCTCCAGGCCCTCTTCTTGAAGAGACATGAACGACTCGATGTCACGGTGGTCGAATTTCGTAAATATCGCAATTACCGGAGCTGGTCAAGGTAAGTCCTTGAATTACGTGTGGTATAATTTAACCAACTTTCAACGCCTCCATGCCGACTCAGGCTATCGAAAAAGGATTTCTCAGCGGCGGTAAATATTCTATCGTTGTCGACCGGTATGCAATACCTGTGTTAGTAAAACATAGACAGCCATGAATTGCCACAAAAGAAACCGGAGTTGGCATATTTACGAACCATATGACATGGATTCTATCTTCCAAATTGTGAGACTTCGCCCGCTTGGCTATGAAATTTTGCACGATGTCTAGTTCTTGCTTGCCACCAGCCTCGATTCCCCGGGAATCGTGAAACACGAAGCCTTGATTACTTGGAAAGACCAGAGATTTCTCAATGTCATGCATCCCCCGCTGGGGTAGGATTATAGAGCCAAGTCATCAGCAACATACACTATGAGCACGCACCATATTAGATGGTGTAATCGTAGACATCGGTATCTTGGCGAGGTAGTCAAAGCTGCACTCTGGCAGACTGAATCGGCATTACTAACCATATTGCCCTTTGCGTCTTGTATCGATGCTTCCTCGTTGGTATTGCATATCTTCTGTAGAATTGTTGTTTTTCCGGCGTTGGCTCTACCGATGATCAAGATACGGAAATGCTTGCACTTCTGGCGAAGCTTCATCATCTCATCCAAATCGCGATACAAAGCATCTCTGCTTGTGAACCTGAGCATGGGCAAAGTAAATCGAGACATACTTGCTCAATGCTCAGTGGTGGTGAGAGTCCGTAAGACGAATGTAGAGTGCAAATATCCAAGCGCCGATTCGAATCTAGAATTCTTGGAAGTTCTCAGTTCGGTCCCGGACATGACCAGTGGAGTCTACGAGAAGATTAATTGTGGAAAGTATCGCTAGGGTAGGCTGATAAACCAACTTCTCTTCGAGAGTATGACAATCGATCCTCTTAGAAGAGATCGCTAGGGCAAGTACCGTTGGTGGGTAAAACTTGTGTAACTTGGACTTCGTATATACATATGTATATGATCTGATTCTCCTTCCACACGGGAATGTGCGATCAACGCGACGATTACTCAACATCCAGACACTGGCACCGTGACCGCCTGCCAGTGTGGGCGTGAGATGGGCGCGAGTTTGGTAGCGATCCCGGGCGACCCAGCAATATCTGAATTCCAAGTAAATTCATACCTCTAGTTCATACCGCTGGTCCCTTTTCGGCGAATGGAGGAGTTCTGGCGTTCGTCTCGGCTAAATCAGAGGTTTTAGGACCCACAGTCCTTAGATCCTGGAGGTTCTATCGTTATCAGTCGAATTCTTGGATTGCAGCAGTGGTCCTTAGGATTGCTGTACTGCCCCTTAAAAACATCGCGCTACGAAGCAGCATACCAGGCAGACTCCCTTTCTAACAATGCTAGCGAATACCACCAACGATGTATCCGCGTTCACTGCCGAATCTTTTGATTTTGTCGTTGTCGGTGGTGGAACGGCCGGCCTTGCAGTTGCCTCCAGGTATGTTTCATTGCCTCTTCGTCTCGCGACGCTCGAATGCGAGAGTATACGCAGATTATCCGAAGATCCAAACATCAGTGTTGGCGTGCTGGAAGCTGGTCCTGACTTATCGGACGATCCAAATGTTGCATCTGCTGGCGGGTGGCTTGTCACCGCATACTCTCCCTCCTACGCGTGGGGATTCGAGACCGTACCTCAACTATACGCTGAACAAAAGAAGATCAATCTGCCCAGGTAACAACTTTTGAGTTGACAAATATGAATTCTTTCGTTTGATGATATGTGAGAAGGGGTAGGCTATTTGGTGGTTGCAGTGCCATGAACGCTATGATGTGGACCGTGAGTGTATCTGCTTTCAAAGTGACGCATTGTGGCTCATTGCAAAGGGCAGCGTGCTAGCCGTCCCGAATACAACGCCCTGGCAGAGTTAGGAAACAATGGATGGGACTTCGAATCGCTGCTTCCTTATTTCAAGAAAGCACAATCGCATTCTCCTCAGGAACAGGACATATTCCCTGGCACTGGGGTGTTAACACCTCACCAAGGGGAACGAGGGCCCATCAAGGTATTTCAACCCTACCGTCCAGTCTCCCATCGTCAATCATACATTCTATGTAGACCTCTTTTAACACATGGTACTCTTCGCTAATTGCTCCCTTCATCGAGTCCCTCAAGGCGTTATCGTTTCAAATTAACACCGACCCAAATGATGGTGATCTGACTGGTCTTAGCAACATTGCCAGGGCTGCTGATGGGGAAAAGGGCACACGGCAACATTCCGGTGTTGCGTATCTTCAATCGACGGCTCCAAGGAAGAATCTTGTTGTTTTAACAAACGCACACGCAACCAATATTGTTCTCGACCGCGAGGGCGCAGGCTCCACCGCTCGAGGCGTCGAATTCCTCGTAAATAATGTCAAGTATACTGTGACAGCAAAGAAGGAGGTTATTCTCTCCGCCGGTAGGACCGTTCACTAAATTGAATACCCAGTTCCAGCTGATGGCTGCTTGGTGTAGGCGCATACGGTAGCCCGCGGTTACTGGAGCTATCCGGTATTGGGATGCCCTCCATCCTTGGAAAATATGGCATAGAAACTATAGTCGACCTTCCTGTCGGTGAAAACCTGCAGGATCACCTCATGGTATCACTGAATTTCTTGCTTACGCCCGAATCCCAAGGTATATGGTATGCACAATCCATATATCTTAGCTAACGGTGCTCTTAGCCAATCTCAAAGTCATTCCTATCTCCGTAGATATTGAAGATGTTGCGGGGAAAGAGTACCTTCAGCCTCGTCACTCCACTACTCACCTCGTCTAACGTTTACTTTCACAGTGCAAAATCAACGTCTACAGGTGGTCCATTTCTATTTTCACCCCTGCGAAAGGTAGTCCCGGAGAACAACCATGCTCGGCTTATCGAGCTCCTCAATGAGTATCTATCTTCGGATGATATCAGTTTGATGGAACGCGCCCAGTTCAACCTACAGAAGAAGTGGCTTGAGGATCCGTATTGCACTGCGGCGGAAGCCGAAGTCATGTTTGCTAATTTACCTGGTGCAGCGGGCTTGCCGCTGCCTGATGGATCGATGAGTCTCTGGCTTCCTATCGCCCATCTTGTGAGCGGCGAATACACTAATCAAGTGCCCTGCTAAACCAACGGTCTGTCTATAGCATCCTGCCAGCCATGGTTACGTGGTACGTACTCAAAGGGTGCCGATACTTCCTTTCTTCCACCCGCACTCACACCCGCTCCATGTGCATAGCACATCACTTCCTCCGACCCGCTCGCCAAACCTGAGATAGATCACAAATACCTGAGTCGTGACTACGGTCGGTGTGGCCTTGTTCACTCGATTTGAAACATACTTATTTTTACTAGATCTTCAGGCTCTGCTTCAAATTGTCCGCTTTGTTCAGAAGATAGTGAAGACAGGAGCGCTTGGGAAGATCGTGACCGGGAGTGCCCTTCCGCCCCCCGACGTCCAAACAGACGAACAACTAGCCACGTACGTCTTCAACCGCTGGAATCTCGTCTTACCCAACGATCCTTACATGTGTCAATAGATGGATCAGAGGTAATATCGCGACTGTGTTCCATCCTGTTGGGAGCACCCCTATGGCCCCTAAGGCTATTGGCGGAGTTGTCGATTCTACGTTGAAAGTGTATGGGACAACCAACTTACGCGTCGTGGATGCTGGCATCCTCCCTCTTCAACTTGGCGCGACACCTATGTCCACAGTCTACGCTATCGCTGAGAAGGTGAGATTCCCCTTATACAGATTACTCCGTCACCCGTGATTCACATTATGTGACTCCAGGCAGCCGACATGATCAAAGCAGGGATATGAATATAGTAGGAAACTCGAGATAAAATCCAATGAGTTCTGTACTTGAATGCCGTGTGGAATGAACAACGAGATCCAGCCCTTGCGCTGCAGTGTGACTACCAACATCAAGAATCTCCGAAAAGGTCTTCCAAACGATAACGTGTAGTGGAGAAGTGAAAGCGTAGGTATCCAGAGACATAGCCCTGGAAAGTCGCCTGAGCCGCGGGATCGTGCGACAACGTTACTGTGATGCGATTCATCTCGGCAATGGTTTCGTCGCAGATCTCCTTGACTGTGTCTACAATGTTGCGGCTAGAAAGCGTCGATCGCATGTGGACATAATTGTCGTCTTCCCCAGCGAGTTCTTCCTTGTACAGGGACAGAATATCGTTAACGCGGTTGATGAATGCCATCAGATCGGGTATGGCTTGAATGTACGTGCGTACATCAGGGTGGCTGTCTCTTGGAAACAACCAGAAGGCATATGGTGCAGGTGCGCCGGACTTGAGTCGAACATATTCCGGGAAGGATGGGGCGGAGGCGGAAATTGGGAGAATGGAACAAGCCATGTTCTCCATGATTGTACCATTGATAAATTCTTGGAACCCGATTACAATGGCGTTGGCTGCCAAAGGATGAAAATAACTCCACATCCGCGGCAGGATGTCGTTTGCAAGACACGCCAGAATGGGTTCATTTTGGGGGCGGCCCATGGCTATGTTCAGTTGGAAGCTCAACAGAATGGCAGGGGTCCTTGATAGTGTGTCGTCGATGTGGAAGATTATGATATTGCAAATGGCGAGCAATACTTTCAGCTCGAGGATATGAAGGGGGTAGAAGCATTCTACAACCTGGCAAGACCACCGTATCCATCGTTCAATGAGGTGCAGCGGCACTTTGAGGGCACAGAGTTCAGTCTTGACCGCTGCTTGGAGAGCGGCAGTCGGGGGTGGGTCGAACCTCATTGTGACGTGAGGTATTCGTGAAACAAACTTTCGAATCACGTCGCGAAGAGCGTCGAGGTCGACATCCTGAGAGATAATCGATAATCATGTAAACTCATTAGATGTTTCCCTAGATAGATCAATTAATTGCTTACTTTTTCCTTGCATTGTACACAAAGAAGAGGTGCCAGTGAATTGGCCGGATCACGAAGCGGCGTGGTGGATAGCATAGCGTAGCAAAAGTAGCAGCAAAATATTACGGGTCCTGGAATGGAATGAAATGTAATGCATTAATGTAAGGAGCCGTTTATCAATGGCGGACATATCACATTAATATTCTTGACCATGGCTTTCCACGAGCAGCAACCCCTGTTGTAACCAGGAAGCTTCTCAGTCTCACGAGGGTCTGGTAGCCAGGTAGGCTCTCCTACATAAGACTCTGACTTACCGCCACTACGTACGACATCAGTTTCCGCTGCAGGGCTCGTTCCATCTCACAAAATGATTCGCTATTCCCTCCGTCGGCGTAACCAGCCCGTATGGGATTCAGCGATAATTGGCAGGTTGCTACATGTTTCCTCTCTCTCTCGTTCTCACAGATCTCACCACTAACGCATAATGGCATTTTACCGGTACCAATAATATTGAGATTGATGGAGGACTGAAGCGGTTTGGCCCCTAGCATGGAGGTCTTATTTGTACTGTAGCCATTTCTCCAATGGTGAAGATCTCAGCATGGATAAACTCCCCACCACTATCACGCAAGTTTCCTGCTGCTTGCTTCTACCTCTGGTTCTTTACCTGAGACCGCTTTTCTCTAAGTCTACGGTCCCTTTGCCCCCAGGCCCTACTCGCTATCCTATTGTCGGGAGTGCTCTATCGATTCCTCGCGACCGGCAAGAGTGGCTCATATTCTCTGAGTGGGCTCAGACATACGGTAGGTGGTCAATTCATTTACTTGATAACAAACTGACATATGTACTAGGACATGTCGTCTACTTCCGTATCCTTGGTCGTGATTTCGTTGCCCTAAATTCGGTCAAGTCGATCAACGATGTCTTACTCCAACAAGGTGCAAATTCTTCCGACCGTCCCCCCGTGCAAATGGTTGGCCCACTGTGAGTTATCCAGTGTTCTCCTCAACGAGACCTTGTTTCTTATTCTTATGTTAGCACTGGATACGATCGCATCACGGCATTCTCGCCGTATGATGAGAGGCTCAGACTTAGTCGGAAGCTTCTACAGCCAGTTTTAGCCAATCGTTACGTCTCCAAGTGGCACTCTCACATGGAAGGCGCCAGCCTCCTTTTGATGCGACAGCTACTCGAGGAGCCAAAATCATTGGGCCCGGCCGTTTTTCTGTTTGTCGTTTCAACTCAAACTTATCACTCAACTGAGTCTGCCCCATAGGTATGCTGCGCGGCTGATGCTCAAGGTTGGTTATGGATACAACATAACCGGAGCACATGACCCACTCATAGCCACCGCGGAGAGATGTTTGACTCAAATTGGAGAAACATTTGAGTTGGGCCGCTTCCTGGTGGAATTCATCCCTCCCCGTAAGGCTCCATGTTATTGGCGGTGACTCACACACTGAATCTTCCGCTAGTACGATATATCCCGGCCTGGTTTCCTGGCGCTGGCTGGAAGCGTACAGCTGCCTATTTCAAGACATGTCTCGAAGAAATGGTTGTTGTCCCCTACAACATGGTTAAGACCGCCATGGTGAGCCGATTGCAGCCAACAGGGCTAGGAACATTACTCATCACCTCTTTGTAGGATCTCGGCCAGAGCACTGGCTCGTTCACATCCGATGCTATCCAAGAAGCGGGAACCCTCGACGAAACAAAGGAGGACTTGGTCATGTGGAGTGCGCACGCGCTATACGCTGGCGGTACCGACACAAGCGTTGCCGGCGTCGAGTCGTTCTTCATGGCTATGATCATGTACCCTGACGTCCAACTAAAGGCACAGCAAGAGCTTGACCGTGTCGTCGGATCCTCGCGCCTGCCATGTGGCGCAGACTGCACCCAACTTCCTTACCTTACCGCTATAATGAAAGAAGTCTTGCGCATGTTTCCGGTCGCTCCTTTGGGTGCGTGTCGCCTCTTGAGTGTACCCTTACCCTCGATGTTCATCAGTCGCCCGTAGCTCTCCCTCACGCGGCAAGCAGCGATATCGTCTACGAAAACATGTTTATTCCGAAAGGGGCGACCATCTTTGGTAATACTTGGTTTGTCCCTTCGGGCTTTCTCTCCATCAAGTCAATTTCACGGATTAAACCGCCACCAGGGCGATACTTCATGACCCAGAAATCTATCCTGATCCAATGGAGTTCAAGCCCGAACGTTTTCTGGGCGAACACGCGCAACCTGATCCCAAAGACCTGGGGGGTTTTGGACACGGCAGACGGTAATATTCTTTCAATGCCACCGATCCCACACACGCGCTAACTTACTCAACACTAGTCGTTGCCCCGCCGCAGATTTCGCACAGGAATCGATGATGATATTGTTTGCGCTAGCTTTGTCTACGTTCAACGTACTCCCTTTCACTGACGATGAGGGAAAGAAGATCATACCCAAGGGTGAATACACGCATCGTATCATCCCGTGAGTTGACTAGCACCTTTGTAAGATGTTGTTGCCTGACCGATTCCATAGACATCCGAAGGAATTCCCTTATGAAATCGTTCCACGATCACCAGCGAAGGCGATGTTGGTAAGGCTTGCATGCGCCGATACTATCTACGCTTAGCACTGGCGCTCCATTTCCATGGATCCATAGACTTCTGTTCCGTCATCCATTTTGTATACCTACTTGACGAACTTTCTCATATCATCATCTCTACCTATGCGTCCGCCACCATGGAGGACACTACTGTCTTGGATTTTAAATCGCTTTACATTGCACGCCGCGCTCGATACCTTGCACCGGTTCGCTGGCCATTATCGTGAACACAGAGAAAGTACTGCACTGGCTGGATGGGCGTTTGATAACTTTGGCATAGAGGCCTTAACCAATGCAGATCATAACGATGACCTCTTCACTCCTATTCCAGCTGCCCCCTCTCCCCTATCATCCTCGACTTGGTCGTCCGCGTCAACGGTTTCTTCGGCTTCGTAAGCCCTTTATACTCTGAGCTCACAATTCGTGACTTTTTTTCAGATCCGACTTGCATAATACATAAAAGTTCCTTCAGCTTTTTACTTTCTGTGAACAAAGGATGTGCCTGTGCGGTACAGGCTCAAGGCGTTCATCTCTCACAAGGGCCCTTCGGTCCACTCAGGTCACTATGTTGCCCATATACGCGTGGATGATACAAACTGGGTTCTGTTCAACGATGAAAAGGTCGTCAAAGCAGATGCTGAAAGCGTGAAAGAGCTAAAGAAACTAGCGTATTTGTACATCTTCGAGAAAGCGTAAGTAGAGCAACCACGAATACAAGGACAAATGTATGATATTGGACAATCGTTCTATTACATACTGCACTTTAGTTACATACAGCTCAACGACGAAAACATGCCCTGTCTCAATCCTTGCTGAGTAAGGACGACTGCGCCACTAGCTTGATTGGAGTATCAGAGAGTTGACCTTCACGATCTGCTCGACGGCGTCGTCTACGAGTTTCGCGAGAGACTTCTGGTATTAACACGACCAAATATGTACTGCGCCAATATGATCTCTCCTTGTCATTCGCCATCTCCATCTTCATGTGTCCCAATGAGAGTCATTGGCAACCCCACTCTATTACAGATCCTTCATGGAAGCCGTACACACGCAGCGATACATATAGAGCCGTCTGGGAGGATTGGTGGAATCAAAAGGGGAAAGGAGACAAGTTGTTGCTAGCCGGAAGAGATATTGATTTGGCGCCCTTGGCCAATACCGATCTCGCAGATACACAGGGAAAGTTTTACATCAGAGAACACCACGTTCAGTTGTACGAACGTCTTTGCAAGCTGGCCCAGAGGTTCTCATGCGGCGGCGTGGTTTTGTCTGGACAACCGGGGACAGGCAAGACGTACTACCTCTTCTTTCTTCTGCTCAAGAAGTTAACCGAAGGACAGCCCGTGCTATTCTCGCTAAGCAAGCGTGAAGTCCTGTACTTTTCTTCAGGAGGTGTCCAGTCGAACATAGATGTCGCACCTGAGCAATTGCTCGACCTGGTTCCTCAGAACTCGCAACACCGAGCCGATCGAACTTGGGCTCTTATCAACAGTGACGGAGGGGATATGCTTCCTCCTCCTTGTGCGCTACTCAAAAAATTCATCTTCTCCTTCCAAGCTTCGTCGCCTCATACATCGCGATATAAGGCTTGGATCAAACAGAAGGGTGGCAAAGTTTTGTCTGTGGCACGCTGGTCTAGACAAGATCTCTTGCATGCGTAGGCTTTTTGGCATACGAAACTTTTCTTCCTACTCATCTCTCTTGCTAGCGTCAAGCTGGCCATCGAATTACCGCTACAATCCGACCCTGAACGAGAATCCTCGATCAACAAGGCGGTGTCCAAGTGGGGATGGGCTCTTCGGGACATCGTCAAATACTTGCAAGGACAAGATAAAGAGCTAGAGGATGACCTTACAGATGCACTTGGCATTTTGACTTCTTCTCAGCTCTTCCTTCGACTGAAGGATCGCAAATGCGACAGCGAGAACAAATTTTCTCATACCATCATTTCTGCCTATGCATCCGCCGACCCCACAGACGACACTACTGTCTTGGATTTTAAATCGCTTTACATTGCGCACCGCGTCCGACAACAGCTCGGCATCTTGCACCGGGATGACACGCTTAGGTTTATCGGCCATTGTCGTGAACACAGAGAGAGTACCGCACTAGCTGGATGGGCGTTTGAAAACTTCGTCGTCGATGTCTTCACCAATGCGGGTCATAATGACGACCTTTCCACGCCTATTCCAGCCGCCCCCTCCCCCCTATCATCCGGAAGTTGGTCGTCAACGGTTTCTTCGACTTCGTAAGCCCTTTATACTCTGAGCTCTCTCAATTCGTGCCGATTTTCTCAGATCAACTCCTGGATACCCAACTACTCTGATGCGCGCCCGTTTCGATAAAACCCTCAAGGAAGTTACCTTGGACGGCACGAAGCTGTACCTCCCTTCTCAGAGCAACTTCCCCCTCCTCGACGCCTTCTACCTCGTGGTGGATAACAAATTGAGACACGTTGAAGTGGTCGTTCTCCAAATGACTATATCTGACACGCACAAGGGATCGGCGAAGGGCTTCGCGTTCTTGGAACGGTTAAAGGACTGGCTTCAGTCACTCGGTGACAAGAAGGCCGGTCCCGCCGACAAGAGACGAAAGCTGACTGCGTGGCACATTTCTTTCAGCTATCGCCTCGTCGTCCCTCGTCCCACTGGAGACAATGTTACTTTTACTTGGAGCTTCCCGGGCCAGTTCCCCGCCTCCATTGCAGGACCCGTCTTTATTCAACCTGTATCGTCGCAGGTATGCACCAACTTTTCTTCCTTCGATCGCCTTTCCTCAATGCTATCCTTATTTCAAGCTTCTCGTGTTATCAAACATAGAGGACGAGTCGCTTCTTGACGAAGTCTACGATTGACCTCTACGTCTTATTTTACTCGAACTCGGCCGAGTTCGATCCACGTCTACATAAAATAAACCATGACTTGCGTAACACGGTTACGAGACACGAATGAAAATGAAATACAGAATGGGAGTATTCTTTATTTCTTATCTTAACTGCACCTTTTTAAGATACAATGTATCTTATAAAAGGTCTGTTGGCCCTTTACTTTATGTGGCGGAAGTTGACGTGGACGACTAACTGGGAGAGAGAGAACGTTGGTCAAGTCCGGTTGACTCACATGCGACCAAGTGCCGAGCTGTAAGATCGATGCACCTCTACATATACACGATAAAAAACAGGAATTGCGCAACACAGATATGAGCCACAAATGAAATACAATAAGAAGTTGGTATTCTTTATTTCTTAACTGCACCTTTCCAGACAGATAAAAATCCCCTTGGCCTTTTACTTTCTGTGACGGAAGTTGACGTGGACGGCCTTGATGTTTGTGTAACTGGAAAAGAGAGGACCTCGGTAAAGCCCTACAAAATCAACACGAAAGGGAGATACTTACTTGTGCAGAGCATATTCTCCGAGTTCACGACCTATACCTGACTGCTTGAAGCCTCCAAAAGGCACGTTTGCGTGCAATTGGTTCGCGCAGTTGACCTACGCAGACGTAAACAATGATCTAAAGTTGCGTGGCCTTGGCTGCCTTACCCAAACTGTGCCGGCCTTTAGGCGATGTGCGGTCTCGAGGGCCCGATTAATATCTTGACTGAAGACGATGGCGGCGAGACCATACACAGTGTCATTCGCTAAGCGCACGACATCATCTTCGTCCTTGAACTTGATGACCACGCCAACAGGACCAAAGATCTCCTCCTGGACAATCTTCATGTCTGGAGTAGTGTCGGTGAATATGGTAGGGTTAACGAAAAACCCATCGCCAGTATGCTCGGCGCCACCATGGTGCAATGTAGCTCCTTGTTCTATTCCTGACTTGATGTAGCCCATGACACGCTATTAACATTGCCGTCAATCACAATTGTAAATCAAGGAGTTAACTGAGAGGTGACGTACGTCGAAGTGGGGCTTCGAAACCAAAGGTCCTTGATCGACGCCTACTTCGAATGGATCGCCAACCTTCAAAGACTTCGTTCGCTCTGTGAAGCGCTTCAAGAATTCGTCGTAAATGCCTTCTTGGACGAAGATTCTGGAACCAGCGCAGCAAGCTTGACCGTGATTCCAGCTGTTTCGAGGTAAGCTTAATGTCGATCGACCAAAAACAGCTAAAGAAATACTCACAAGATGCCGTGAGCAGCCCATCCAACAGCCTGCTCGAGGTCCGCGTCATTAAAAATAACGTTAGGCGATTTCCCGCCGAGTTCGAGTGTTACGTTCTTTAAGTTACTCTTGGCGGCTGCTTCCATGATCTTACGACCGACAAGTGTCGATCCAGTGAAGGCAACTTTGTCGATCTCCATGTGGGAAGAGATAGCTTCGCCAACGATGTGACCGTAGCCGGTAATGAAGCTGACTGAGCCATCCGGAAAGCCGGCCTCCTTGATCAGCGCAGCCATACGAAGAGCAGTCAGCGGCGTGAACTCTGAGGGTTTGAGGATGATGGCGTTTCCTGTTGCGAGTGCCGGGCCGATTTTCCATGTGAGCATGAGCACTAGACCGCCAAAGACTTAGTATGAGCAATGGCACAAAAGTGACGGCATGGCGTACATGGGAAGTTCCATGGAATGATTTGGCCCTATCAGCGAATATAATTGATTGAGAAGTTCATTCGGGAGTCAGGCTATACTTACGACAATGCCGATAGGCTCGTGTCTCGTGTAGCAGAGCTTCTTTTCGTCGGTTTCGATGGTTTGACCTGAGATTTTGTCAGCCCAACCGGCGTAATACTTGATAGTGTCCGTGGAGAACGTGATGTCTACATCCAGGGCCCATCCGAAGGTCTTGCCTGTACGCTGCGAGTCAGTCACCGCGGCGCATCCATGATGAAATGCCGCACCATTATCAAGGGCTTCAATTGCCGCCAATTCTTCCCTGTGATCATACATCAGGTCTCCAAGCTTCCGGAGCATGGCGGCCCGTTCTGCGCCACCCGCGTTCAGACCCCATGTCGTCTCAAGGGCCTTGTGGGCAAGTTTGACTGCGGTATCGACGTCCGCCTTCGTTCCCAAAGAAACCTTGGTAATTAACTTTCCGTTGGCTGTGGGTTGACATATGGTTAAGCAGGCATATTCCCCAACTCGCGCGACATGGAGACTCACTTGGATTGATGACACTAGGCACGAGTAACGGTATTCAGTAACGAGCAAGCATCAAAGGTGATGATCGCTCACTCGATCGTCTCTTTGTCTGATCCGTCGACGAATTCACCACCAAGGAAGAGACCGGTGTTGAATTCAGTCTTTCCTTTCCAAACATTGCTGTTGAACTCGTAAGAGAAGACTCCTGGCATTCTGTATGAGAGGGAATTGGGATGAGATGGTGAAATGAATTGGGGTGAATGTGGTTTCACCTTGGGTATTTAAGGTGCTGTCGCTGGAAGCCTATCGAAGTCAGCTGGTCGGATTACAGATCCATTGGGCCCTGAGAAAAGGATGTCTCCACATTGATCCTGTTCTTCCTTCCCCGCACGGATGCTTATTCCAACAAAAATACGGGGTATGGGGCCCCATGCGGTCTCCTGACGGGGAAAGCGGGTCTTGGTCAGGGTCAAACTTGCATAGTCACCCAAACTGCGGCCACCGTGCGGTGGTCCGTAATGACGGTTGACTACCAGAGTTGAGTTCGGAGCGTCGAAATTCGATAAGAATGGATTTATTCGCTTCCTACCGGGCTTCCGATACAGTATGAGAATGACTGATGGAGGAAGACCATGGGTTGCATGGGAATACAAAAGCGCGCATGCGCCCCTATATCTCCTATCTGACAAAAAGATAAGACGGTTGTCAGTACTCGGAGAAGCCAGGAAACAAACATGAGATACAGAACGGAGGGAGAACGAGCGGGATTGTGAGCGGGATTATGCGGAATACCTGGTACTGCTTAGACGTGGGAACTCCGAGACCAACTTGGTCAACAATATAGAAGCGCCGGCCATCATCAGTGCAGTCAAGCCAAAGAAATAACGGCTATCGTATTCTCGAATACACCTAGACGCGACGAGGCAGGTTGAGTGCATCCTTCTCTTCCTTGACCAATAGCAAATACTGATAATCCTCAGACATTCCAAGGAAGGCTCTTCCCTAAAAACCCAAAACTCCTTCGTTTCACACAGGTCGAGGACGCCCGGGCTGAGGACTATGCTATTTGCTGGGCTGTTCCGCCAATGGCGCGAAGCTCATCTCGCGTCGCCTCAGATAGATCGATATTCCTGAAAGGAATGGGCTCTGGTTATTGAGACGACTGTCCGGGCTCTGCGCACTTACTCATTCCTTGGCTAGGCTATACAAACTCTTCGCCTTGAGTTAAGCATGCGACCGGGGCCACAATGACGAAGATAGTTTGCGATCAGGAAGCTGAATCCTGATAGCTTCTTCGTCCGTTTCCTGCGCCTGGACTCTGGACTTCGGAGGAACTTCTACTTGAACACCTTCGACTAGTCCCTTACCCAATTCACCGTATCATCAATTGTCCCCTCATATCTGCCCCCCAACCCCTGGAACTCGAAAATGGCCGCCCGCACCCGCCGTCGTCCCTACTGCGGAGCTATCTACTTTCAATTGGAACTCGTACGGCACCACTTCCGACCACGCCCAAATTTTCGGGATCATGGGGCTCGACGTTGACGTGTCCTTGCTCTCCCACGCATCCCAATGTTCAGTCCTTAGTACGCCTGCAAATCCTCAATACCTTGTCATCATTGTGAGCGAAGAATTGCTAATGGTGGGAACTTTCTATTGACTGTGCGAATAGAAGCCGTTAATTCAGCTACCTCCGCACTTCTTCAAACGACTCGCTGCATATCTACGCATCGTGCGTTTAATCCTTGAACAAAAACGCACTGTAGCTGACTTCATTCCAAGGAACGCAAGCATGGTAAACATTTTCATCCTCGGTTTCAGAGTATCGTACAAGTCCCACCTCGACTACATTATACAAGAAAGGATCAAAAGGAAATGAAGGTCCATTCTGCCTACACCATCCCTACTCAACGTGAACTATCATCACGTCACCGCCAACATTGCTCTTCGTTAGCCCAATGAATTTTTTCCTCCCGCGCAAGTATTCCAAGCGCTGGAGGACTCGTGGTTCAGTTCTGGCGTCTAGCCTCGGCGATTGCCTGTTTTGTCTGCGACCCGACGCTATTAGCCCTCCACGAACGACGTCCTCAGCCGCGGCGATCCGCAAGGCGCGGTCGAGCTCAGATAAAATATCCAGCACCGTCACCACTGGTACCCCTCGCCATGCCGATGATGCATGTACAGTTATCGGCCAGGGGAATGATGGGATGAGCAAGGATAACGAGGGTAACGGTGGATATGTCGCGGGCTCGAGTAGGCCGTGTCCCCGACTGGTCAATCGCGCGGTGCACTCCCCAGGATTACCCAGATCGAACTCGAGCCTGTCTACGTGGCTGTATCGCAACATTGGGTGCAGAATGACTGGCTCATGGCAGTCGTCGAGTTGTGATGGAAGCGGGACGCATGAATATGGCGACTTGTCATGCACCACTGGCGGCGAGGTTGTCGGCGGCGCCGACGAATATGGTGAATAGCAAGACGCGTTTTGGACTTCCATCGCGTGTGAACGGTGGTGAGTGGAACCCAGGGTGCTTTTATCCGATGTTGACAATGAGGACAGTGTTATGTCCCTCGATGTCATCTGCAAACTGGTGGCAATCGTTGTCGACGGTGCTCAAGGACGTTATGCGATGGTCTAGGGCCGTTTATACCCGTCTGACACTGCACTGGGCGGCATGTTGGTCGAGTACCACTAGGGGGAATGGTAAGACCTTACCGTGACTGAAAGTAAGTGTAGGGGGCTTGATATTGGGTGGGGGGACCGGGCTGGGAGGTCTGATTATATGGGAAAGAGGGATGGTAGTGGTTTGATGGAGGAAGGAAAGCTGGGGGGAGAGGACGAAGGGTGGGTTCTTATATGTTGCTTGCGTTTATTACTCCTAACCCAAGGTCTTGTCTGTCTGTAGGGTTAAGGTTCTACTTTTACGGCAACAAGTGGACCGCCAGCGCCAGTCTCTCTCGACGTAGAGTCAATGCTGAATTGCTTCGGCTCGGCTCTATGATCGGCTGAAAGTTTCTGATGGACATTCTGCGCCGATCATCTATGTCTGGCTTCAACATATAATGTAAATCACCACTTGTGGATATTTCAGTGGACTACGTCAGACCGAGGTTCCTTGATGGTATGGACTATTCTATCACGGCGAGATAAGCCAATGATGGAGGATCATATACCACGCAGATCATAGATATTCGTCGGGGACGCCTATTTCCCGTCGGCCCCCTCTCCGTGTTGATCATGTCGAAGCCACAATCTCCTCTTGCGGTATACAGCCTCGCCGCGCACTGCTGTGAGAAATGATAGTTTGACTGGCGCTGAAATACCGGTGAATGGCTCGGCCACAATCACCTCTCACGAGCCGATCGGTTTGCCAACCCCATCTTCGCCTCCCTCGACTTACACCGTTTTCTCTTGGTGACTTTCTGTGACCGGCGAAATCATTTGGGCGGAAAATATTGGGTGATCATCATGGGCTTGTGTAATACCTCTCAAATACTTTTACGCATTCAAGCAGACGTTAACATGAGCTTAATATTGAGTAGCAAGCATGGCTAAAATATATAATCATGATGAACATCACCAAAGCGCGAGGAGGAGTATTGGTTGAGGACTGGGTTCAAGGAATAGATAATGCATGATCGCCATGTTGATCCTTAGGGAGCGGCAGCGGGATCATCATCTATGACGGGGTCACCGGTGCTAACAGCTGCCCCCTTTGCCTTGGACTTCTTCCTCTTGTCCGCAGAGGGGCTAGCGACGGCTAGCACAACAGCGAAGGCAATTAAAAAAAGGGCTGCGCGCATTGTGAGTAAGTTGGCTGACGTTAAGCCTGAGTGTGAGATATGCGTGAGTCTTGTGCACAAAAAACAGGGCTAAGGGAAGCTGCCTACGTCTGAGATGTGGGTTGTAGGACAGAAGTGCAAGAGGCGGCTAACGCCCTTTTATTAGTGTCTGAAGCGCTAGACATGGGGGAGTATCCGTAGAGCCTTGGTTACAGTGGAGCAGTTAGATGCTAACCCGCGTACAAAAGATGGTCTAACGACACTTTAGAAGGGCGCCTTTTCTGATTCTTGAAGAATCGTGTACTTACAGTGCATTGCATTTCAACTGAGGATAACATGTTGTGGATGAGATCGTGGCGCAGCAGAAAGTCGACGTACCCCTGTATCACGGGACAAGGCAAATTTACCTCTAAATCTGTCTGTTCGAGGAGTTCTTTTTGAAGTGCAAATGCCTGCAATCGTGAAAACCAGCAAGAAACGCGCTGCCGCGCCCCACTCTGGCGGACCTTCCTCAAAGAAGCCACATCTTGGGAAATCTGCTGCTACCACGTCAAAGCCTCGGCGCAGTCAGCGTATCACTGTCCCAGCGCAACCCGACAATGATGAGTCCGAAGACGATGAAGTAGAAGACGAGCATGAAGACGAAGACCAATGGGTAGATGAAGAAGATGGCTTAGACCACGATGATATAGCAATGGACGTCGACTCCAAACCTGCTAAAGACCCCAATGGTGAGTGCAATATAATCCATGTCGATCCCCTTCAGCTCTGAGGTTCCTTTTAGCTATCAGAGAGGCTAGAAAGGCCCAAAAAGTGGTTCAGGACCAGAGAAAAGCTGCCAAACCACATTCCGATCTTTTGGTTGATGCTAAGAAGCTGTGGTCACTCGCTCGTCAACGCAACACATCCCCAGAAGAACGTCAAAAGCATGTTCAAAGCCTCATGAATATAATCAGAGGAAAGGTCAAAGATATTGTATTCAAACACGATGCAAGTCGGATCATTCAGACGATTGTGAGGAACGGGAAGCAGAAGGAGCGCGACGAGATTGCTGCGGAGCTCAGGGGCCGCTATAAAGATTTAGCCCAGAATAAATACTCGAAAGTAAGTCACAATTGGAAACCTTGTCGGAGGAGGGAGTTGTTCACCTAATGAAGTCCAATTTATTTTCAGTTCCTGGTCTCAAAACTCATACGTCTCTGTCCGACACATCGCGCGTCTATCTTGACCGAGTTTGAAGGCCACGTCATTCGATTACTTCTCCATCGTGAAGCATCTTCTGTCCTTGCTGATGCATTCGAACTTTGGGCGAACTCGTACGAGCGTACGATCCTGGTAAGGGAGTTCTATGGCAAGGAAGCTGCCCTTTTCGCCACAGATAATGGTGGAGAGGTTGATAAGGCGAAGGCTAGAGGTGGGCTCAAGGGTATCCTGGATGGATCAAGTGTTGAGCAGAAAAAGAGGATTATGAACGCAACGAAAGATTCTCTGGTCAAGATGTGAGTTTGTGGGTTGTGCTTTGCCCTGCTATCGATTTCATTGAACATGACGGTAGATTCAATAACTCCGACAAAGGTGCTGTTTCGCATGCGATAGTCCACCGTGCATTGTGGGAGTACATTTCCGCCGTCAATGAACTATCCGACGAGGCAGAGCGCGAGAAACAACGGCGAGAAATGTTTGAATGGTCAGGCGAATTCCCTTATCGTAGGAGTCGCATGGTAAACTAATACCTCTCGCGTCGACAGCTGTCAGGATGCACTAGCCGAAATGGTTCATACAAAAGACGGTAGCCGCGTCGTCAGAGGCTTCCTCGCTTATGGGACCGCAAAAGTAAGACGTGCCCTTCTTTCGTCGTCTTGACCTACCCTAACTTCTGCTCGCTCAGGACCGGAAACTTGTCTTAAAAGCGCTGAAACCGCACATTGAACGCGTTTGCCTTGACGAAGAGGCCCAATTCGTTCTCTTCACTGCCTTAGATGTCATCGAGTAAGTCAATTGACTAATTCTATGGCTGTCAAAAATCTAACACTTCCCAGCGACACAAAACAAGTCGCCAAGACATTAGTCTCGTCAATCACAGCTTCGGCACAAAAGCTATATCTTACACCTCAAGGTCGACGATCTCTTCTTTACCTCCTCGTCCCTCGTTCCAGACGGCACTTTACTCCATCGCAAATTGCGTTACTGGCGGAAACCGACGAGATTCGGGCACTGACGAGCAAGAAGGAAGCTGACGTAAGAGAAGCAGAGATTAGAGAGGCCGCTAGCGAGTCGCTGATATCCTGGGTGACTACGGACGCGGCGGATATAGCGAGAGAACCCGGAGGCAGCCTTGTCCTCGCCGAGATCATGTTGTACGCTGTTGGAGGTATGTCAAGATCTTTGCCCGACGTTGCCAGTATAGGCTAACTCGATTAACATTAATGACGCATAGATAAATCCGCTGCCATTAAATCTTTACTACAAGCGATATCGGCAACCTACCCGTCTCCCGATGCTTCCAACCCCCATTTAATCGACCTGCCCCACGGATCACGCCTTTACAAAAACCTCCTGCAAGGGGGGCACTTTAACCACACGACGAAGGAGGTGGACCGCGCCCTAGGATGGGACGCCGCGGAGTTTGCTGAAAAGTTCGTCGAGATCGTTGGCGAGGACGTGTCGGTAGCGATGTGTACACAGGGTGAAGCTAACGGAGCGTTCGTCATCGCGGAATTATGCGACAGTATACACCGGGGAGGCAAGTCGAAAACTGGCCAGACCGTCAAGGGTTGGTTTGGCAGCGATGGCTTGAAGCAAGTTGAGCAGGGGAAGGCAAAGGGAAGGAGAGTCTTGCTCGAGAAACTTGCACTGTTGTGATTGACGTATCTGTTACCGTCCCGTATCGTAGAGGTTCACCGACGGGCGACTAACATAAAGGTACGAAGTTGGTCAATAGGTTTCAAAAAAGCATGTCGGTACAAATGTAGTTTACTTCTTCGTCTTCGCTCTCTTCTAGCCCTGCCATCCCAATCAACTTGGGTAATTGCTTTGAGTTCCTCGAGCTCTCCCTTAGTGATGAAGCACCTCTGTAGTGCTACGTCCTTAATCGGTAACTCGTGGCGTTTGCGTTGCTCGAGGAGATCCTTTAAGACACCTAAAATAGCGCTGGAGCCCTCCCTATCCAAGTCGCACGCAGATAGCTGGAGGGTTTGCAGGGCAGAAAAGTGAGGCTTCTCCAAAGAGAGCTCTGTCAGGACACTGAAAGGTAGTGTGGAGACATCACTCAAGTGGAGGCACCGTATTCGCTCGAAGCGACGGAATAAATCCGCCCACTGCGGCGCTCGCATGTCTTGCAAACATCCAACTTCCAATACGGGGACAATCTCAAGGGGTAGGCCGGAGCATAATGCTAAGCAGGCTTCGGGGTAGCGACCACTTTCTAAGGCTACCACCAAGGAAAGCTTCTCGGAACCCACGCTTTCTACGGTGAATTCAAAGGCATCGCTAAACCGCCAGCCATGTGCAAGAACTTTACTGATCGTAGGAGCGTCCGGTTCGGCGAATCGCGCGCACAGTGTGGCAAGATGCGACCAGTCTGGTTCCCCTGCAGGTTCCTCCGTGAGGGCGAACTTGACGCTTACACTGGATGGATAGTCGAGGTTTGCAAAGATGGCAGATACGTCAAGGATGTCGGAGGAAATGGATATGTGCAGAAGGTTGGGCAGCTGAACGCGTGACGGAAGGAAGGTGTCCTTGACAACACCAGAAATGTCAATCTCCTTCAAGTTGGGTGAATGCTGCAAGTAAGAAAGCAGAAGTGAAGTTTGTATCCCCCCAGTAGTGAAAGAGAGTCGTAAATATGTTAAATGGGGGAGCGGAGAAATCTCTAGAGAAATGGGAATATTCACGAGGGATAGGCGGCTGATGGAGGGCATGCCGCTGAGCAAGACATTAGGCGGTGGCTGTGAGACGGTCGTATTTGCAGACAGCTGGAGGTCCTCCAATATGGTAGCGCCTGGAACCCCAGGCAAGGGTAAGAACTGCAGCACGTCGGTGTCCACCATCGACCAGATCTGAAGAGTTTGCATGCGACCTATTTCTGCCATAACCGCTCCGGCTACTAGTGTATGGAGCCCCACGTCGTATGGATGTGTCCCGCAACTGATTTGAAGAGGTGCAGACTTGGATCGTTTGAGCAACTCCAAGGCGCTACCTGGGTGAGAAATATCGATGGTGGTCCACATCTGAGGTGAGGCGAGTGCGATGGCGCGCCATTGACGACATACGCTGGTAACATTTATCCAGCTTGGTACCGGAGCTGTCTGAGCCTGTCCGGATCTCACCAACTGAAATATTGCTGCAAATATTTCTGGAGGGAGCCTCGAGATGCTGCTGTGCGTATTACGCTGTGTCTTCAGAACACGGATAGCTGCATCGTATCCAGCAATCTCTTTATCAATAGCACGCTGAGCATCAGTGGCATGGGGTTCACAAGTAGACCTGAAAATAGAATCAATGTCAGTGCTCATGCCGGGGGGGGGAAGTTCGATGCACTCAACATGATAAGCGTTCGTAAGCATCAATGCCACTGGGTTATGGCTTGCTAGTACAAATTGGATTCTTGGGATTCTTACTGAAGCTCAACGCCCCGGCAGGTCAGGGATTCGCTTGAAGTACTCGTGCGTCCAATGTCAGCGCTTTCAAGTTGGACTTTTGAGCGCTGAGCGCTTGAGCAGCCCGTTCAATGTGTATTTCTTTGACCTTATTTGTCCTCGCGGAATCAATTCTCGACATTGTCCCAGCTCCTGTAATTCTCCTATTTCCATTATGGGGACAGTTTATAGTATAACATGAAGCTTCGAGGAAGAGGTGAAGAGTTTCCAGAACCAGCGACAAGTAAAGGTTCGCGGAGCCCTCACCCAACCACCGCTAGTTGTATACCAGGACTTTACTGACCGGACGGCCCCTGGTTCGGCGAAGCGTGCACACAGATGCGACCCGTCTGGTCCTCCCGCATGAGCTAGAACCTGCGTTGGGCGAACAGCCTATATTCGCATACAGACAGCGGATACGTCGAGGTCACCTGAGAAGATAGCTATACCCAGAAGGCTGAGGAGCTGGATGTGTGATGAGACGTTTAGATCCCTTTGGTATCGGACCTAAGTTGCAGATACGTTAGATGAGGCAGCGGAGAAGATAGGCGGCAGGGGGAGGAGGGCATGTCTCTGCGCAGGACATAGAGTGGTATCAGCGATATAGGTCCTCCAGCATAGGCGCGACCGCCGCCCCATTCTAGTGCAACAGACCGTTGCCCGAATCTAAAAACTTAATTGTGTTACCTCATATCGTATGGGTGTGCTCTACAGATGATGTGCGGAGGCGCATACTTGACTCGCTCGAGGAATGACACCGGAGGCCGATTCGGACAAGAAATATCAATGAAGGTCCACGAGAGTAGGGTGTCGCGCTACCGACTATATACCACAGTGATATTCATCCAGTGCGACGAGGAGTCACTTGTGTCAGAGATTGGAACTCATGTAGATTTTACCAACTGAGGGACTGTTGTGAAAACTTTCGCGGGGAGCCTCGAGATGCTGCTGCACTCACTGCGCCGTATGATTAGATCCCGAAGCTTTGATTCGTGGGCAGAAGTATCAGACCTGAAATTTGAAAGCCAAGTCAATATCAGCTATGAACGAAGAGTTGGATGAGATTGACATGCCCCATTGAGTGTGCGTTAAAGATATTTGAGTGCTGAATATGCCTGCGCGATGCGTCCACAGGGCACATCTTAGTAATGGAATCGGATGAGGAATGAATCGATAAAGTCTGAACGAAGGTAAAGGTGCTCTGTGAACCACCGCGTACAACTCGAGCTGGACTTATAATAGTTCGCAGTCAGGGTCTCAGGGGTGCGAGGAGCATCACGTGCGTGGCAAGTTGGGACTCGAATGAGGAGCAACGGTATCCTTGAGTATCGCTCTAAGAGCCAGTGCTTTTGAATTCTTCAAGATCCTTGTGAACTGAATGTCAGTTTAGTTCCCCTGCACTCGCTTTCTTCACTAATACTCCCAAGGCCTCCCAAAGGAACCAAGAAGAAAGCGATTCCCGCGCCAGCACCAAGTTCTGATGGCTCAGCTACACCTCACATTCCGGTGAGAATCCAAGTCCAGATCTCAGGTTCAGTAACTTAACATGATTTATCAGTAGTCGCTCTCAGAGCAGCTGTCTTATCTCCACAGCCCAAGACCTTTCAAGAACCCGAACTATACCAAGAACGCCAATCGTCGCACGAAGAACCTGAAGGCAGTCTTAGGTCAGGAGAAGGAACGGGAGCGGGCGGAGAGGGAAAGGAGGAGGCAGCAGAAGTCGGAAAGCATGGAGGTCGACGAAGGAGCTGAGTCCAAGAACCCCAACGTCGAGGAGGAGGATCTACCGACTTGTATGTTATCCTTCACCCGTTCTAGGAGTACGAATGACCGTTTTAGATTCCTCTATCGAGGCGCCGCCATCATTTCTACCTCAGAGGCGGTATTGCGATATAACTGGACTGGAGGTAATTACAGATTTCGTCAAGCTTCTCCTTTGCTCACCACGGGCCAGGCGCCATATACCGACCCTGCAACGGGCCTTCGGTACCACGACAAAAGTGTTTACGAGCTAATCAAGAGTCTCGTGAGTTGATCTGTTTTCATCATGGGGGCATTCGCTGACAACATTGTTGAAGAGTACGAGCTCTGCGAAAGATTATTTGTCTGGTAAGTTAGGCACTGACATGATCTTGCACGCTCTAACCTATACTCGCCAGCACGGGGTGTAAATTCGATTGTAAAATAGGTACATACGTGGAGTTGGCTGTTTGTGAAGCGTCGGTGTAATGCGTACACGGTCAATGGTTATTCACGAAGAATATAACAATAATTGTAGACATGGTACACGACTTCGATCTCAATGGACCTAACTTTTCCTCTTGAATCGATCCAACGCAGATGGTTTATCGTTCTCTGTTTGGCCTGCCGCTGCCCGTCGTTTCTCTTCTTTTTGTTTCTCCAATTTAGCCCGGATAGCCACCTGCACCGATGACACTCGTCAAACTTCGTACATTGCAAAGACGAGATCGACTTACCACTGTAGGATCAATGACATTCTTCCGCTGCTTCCTCAGATACCTCTTTAGACTCTTGCCTTTACCACGCATTTTCCTCTTTTCTCTCTCTTCTCTCGACTCCTTCTTTCCATGATCTCCTTCGACCTCGCTCTCAACCTCTTCCGTTTCATCCGCCTTTCCGGATACTTTCAGCCGTTGTATCCTCGGCAAACGCGCAAACGGCGTGCTCGTGGTGTCAGTAACCAATTTTGATGGTAGTGCCAAGGATCCAACAAATTCAGGGTCCAGCGCGATCATATCAGGTTGGATCTAATGTACGCGATAAGAGGTCACATTCCGGGGGCATGCTAGCACCAGACTTACCTTGTCTAGAAGCGCCTTGACTTCACGTTCTCGTCTCGTCTTCTTGTTCTCGAATGGATCAGCTTCAGAACTATCGAAGTTCGGCTCGCCAGCACCTGGTACCAGGATACTTGATAGCCCTGCGGCGTGGCCAATAGTAAGGATATCCTGGAATGGCGTGAATCGTACGGAAGTCAGAGGGCGATGGGGGACGGGATGGGTGATATACAGCGGGGGAGGTGCCTTTGTGGTCGAGGCTGAATGTATAGACGACGTTGAGTAGACCTAGAAATGATGTTAACAAAGGTAGGCGGTCGGGAATAGTAGCATCGTAGATTCACATTCACTGTTCCACCACTCGCAGAAGCCAGGAACCCCCGCTGACTCCAATCCAGGTCAGCGCTCCCTCCTCTCGCCGACCATTCTCTTACTGCACCCTTCCAGTTCCGACAATCCCATACTTTCACTGTCGAGTCGCGTCCTGCAGTAGCCATGTATCTCCCTGCCTGACTTGGATCTACAGCGACGCTGGTAACCGGTCCGAGGTGGGCTAAAAGCTGAACAGCCGGATGAGGTAGATTCGGTGTCCACAGCGTGACGCAGCCGTTTTGATGGCCCAGGTGTATCACAGCGTTGTGCGTGTTTTGAGTCATTGTAGTACATGCTCCCAGCTTTGTGCGGTGCTCGACCAATAGTTGGCCGGTTGACGTATCTTGGTATTTGAGATAGCCAGCGTTACCCTAGGGTTGATGTTGAGCAGATAAACAGCTATGACAGCACGGGGGCTCACGATTGTTGCAAGTAACCAGTGATATGGTAGGAATTCCAGGCATGTCGGTTCGATGTGCGCTTTTAGACAATGGAGTTCGACTCCATCTCTGTCGTAGATGAATACATACTTCCTCTGCGCCACTGCAAAATGAGATTGATCATGTAAGAACCTAGCAGTGATATCAGCAAACTGCATCAATCAATGAATCTAGTATGAGCGTACGTGATATCGCGACATGTTTCCTGCAGCTGGAGTTCAGCATGCAGTTGCCCAGTGAGCCAGTCAAACGTCGCAGCATGGCCATCTCTTCCGATGATCGCAAGGTGTCTAAAAAGTCGTATAGGTATCAATTACATAGAAATCGGACAAAGGCCTACCGACCGGCCGTTCCGCGTATGCCGTGACTTATACGGACCACCATCTAACTTCCACTCTTTTCTGCCTAAAGCAGCCTCTTGGCCGGTACTTTCTACTATCTCAGACTGCCCAACACGCCATGTCTTTTCCATCTCCCCTTCAACCTCCATTTTACCTGCTTCTGATGTTAAGAGCAGTTCGGCATCTTCCAACAAGGCTTTAGACTGAGCTGCATGTGTTGAAGTTCGAGCAAGCTTGTTCCGAAGTTTCTTGTTCGCTATGTGGTTGTGAGTAGGGACATTCTCGATAGTTTTTGTCGGTCGCAGGGATTTTGGGAGAGACGTCTGCTTTACAAGAGACTGATATGTCAAGTCCGAAGTTGAGGCGCTATTGCTCGTCGCCTGTGTAGGCCGTCTGCGCTTTTTGGATGCCGAGGAAAGGGAGTCAGCTTTAGCTAGTAGAGCGTCCATCTTTTGGAAGTCAGGAGAGAGCTATGTTGTAGCTGCGATCGAAAATAGTTCACTGGAAAAGTGACCGTGGGAAGTGAACTATTGATGATAAGATCGGATACAGCGTTGTAAACGACCGCGACAATGGAAGACGACAATTCGCCTCCTCCTCCTCCTGAACAGCAGCCCCCTCCACCACCAAGCCACACAGGCTCTCCTACGGACTTCTTGAAGGGCGTGGTTGGAAAACGCGTAATTGTCAGACTTACCTCTGGTGTCGATTACCGTGGTAAGCACACAATAATGCTGTCATGATTGATATTCCTGATACACGGACTGCGTATATCAGGGATTCTTTCGTGCCTCGATGGCTACATGAATATTGCATTAGAGCAGACAGAAGAACACGTCAATGGGGCTGTTACAAACCGATATGGCGATGCTTTCATTCGGGGCAATAACGGTTGGTCTCACAATCATAGCACAGCAATGATGCACTCCCGTTGCTGATTGCTTTTCAGTGCTCTACATCTCTGCCGACGAGCCTCTGTAACATGCAGTCTAGGACTCATGTATTTCGTTGTTGTGCTAAAACGATGTGCGATTGAACTCGTGTACTCATCGAAGCTGTACGCAGCGCGCGCTTCAAGGCTTATGGGATACATTCTAACTAATTACAGACGCCATATGGGCCTGGAAACTGAATCCCGATATATTAGGATATACTTAGCATGCTCGGGCGCGCAGTACGCTGATGAAAAATACTCACGACTAGACATCTTGTGAGAGATCGCGTGGATGGCAGTGATCCTCTGTACCGGCGTGGATCTCTTTCAATGACTAGCTGACGAGACAGTAGCTCGTCTACAGGAAAGCTATCACTCACTCTCCTCTGCTCTGCACAGTGCCTGGTCACTGCCAATTCCCCGAGATCCAACCTTCCCCAGGGACCTTACACCCTCGCTCCCACTTTAGCTTATCTCCCCCACACGACGTCGACGGAAACCCTCAGAACATGACTAGGCCAATTCCACCTACGTTCTCTCGCCGAGAGAGCATGTCCTTGAAAGAGTCCAATAGTGTTCGACCGTCTCCTGCCGACCTCCCACAGCTTTCGATTCCGTCTCCAAAGACATTAACCTTAAGCGCCCGGCGGCTAGAGACACCCAAGACTCCAGAAACCCCACATTCTCTCACCTCACCTGAGCTTCGCGTGGTTGACCTGACAAAGTGCGTCAAGACCGTTTCGAAGGAGGCTGAGGCACACGGGGGCTTTTCGGATATCTACATCGGAGAGTGGGAGCGTGTACGTGACCCCGAGGAGGATGAATCTGGGGGCAGTACGGTGATGACGGTACGTCGCTGCGTCTTTTGCTAATTGGCCTCGATGTCGAAGCTCGTCCTGTTGCTCAGGTTGCTGTTAAGCTACTTAGAGTTCTAAGTAAGCAAGACCAAGACGGCGTAAAGGCCCGAAAGGTTCGTCATTCGTTCATAATTGTGCCAGAGATGCCTGACGTATCCTTGATAGCGGCTGAATCGCGAGGTTTTCGTTTGGCATCGTCTCGACCATCCACATATTGCCAGATTTTTCGGTACTTCATACCATATGGCTGGACGACCCGCAATGGTGATGCAATGGTACAAGAATGGCAGTGCCATTGAATATCTGAAATTCAAAAACCCAGACGCCGATCGCATGAGCTTGGTGTGCTATTCATGGATTCTGACTCACTCTGCCCCCCTTTGACAATTGAACCCAGATACGGGACGTTGCCAGAGGTCTGACCTACCTCCACACTTTGGAAAAACCAATCGTGCACGGTGATCTCAAAGGCGTGAGTTCTATTTTCTCGCCGTACTTGTTCTATTATCTCAAAAAACCATTGGAAACAGAATAATATACTGATCACGGACGACGGCCGTGCCGCCTTGAGCGATTTCGGCCTCTCTCAGGTCATTGACGACCTCATGGGGCCATCTGGGTTTACTCCTTCTTGCTCTGAAGCTGGACCAGTCAGATGGCAAGCTCCTGAGTTCCTGGAGGACGATAACTCTCGGCCAAAACTGTCTTCGGACGTCTGGTCCTTTGGTTGCACAGCCTACGAAGTGAGCATTAATTTCCCCCTCTCATACTATATAGCATGGATTCTAACTGAGACTTCAGTTATTAACTGGCAATGTACCGTACCGGCATCGCTTACGTGACTTCTTGGTCATGCAGGATATCAAAGCTGGGGTCAAACCCGCGCAGACTGAAGATATTCCTAATTGCCAGATGGCCAGCATCCTATACCGCTGCTGGTCATATTCCCCCCTCGAACGACTCACCATGTCTGAGGTAGAGGTGGAACTAGATGATCTACTGGCGGCTTTATCATGACACTGTGCCTCTTCATGGACACCGAATCTCAACTTCGCTTTCGCCGAGCTTTTTTTATACATCTCAGTAACGATATTTCTTTATAATATGTAATAAATCTTAGGGCACGCGTGTGGCCCTCGGGACTAGAAGAACAGTCCGTACTACATCTATCGAACATGTACATACCAGGATGTATCTGGATACTCTCAGGCCAACATTGCTATCTTCCGATGTTTGGGTTCTCCACGTTTCGGATTTCGCTGCGATCTTGGACTCTGACTGGGCGGATATATTACGGCCGTACGCACAGGTACTAGAATTGAATATTTGAATCCCGAGCGTGTTGGTCCAAACTTCGTTCGAAGGCTATCGAAGTCGTTCGACGACCGGCCGACTCATCTTCCGCAGCTTGAGCACCTCTCCCTATATCATTGTTCCTTCGATGGCACCACGCCTCGTCCGAGCCTCACCTTATCGGTCGAATTGTTCCTCAAGGAGCGTATGAGCCCCGATATACTTTTCGAAGGCTTGTCAATCTATTCCTCTATCGCAAAAGCTATGATTGACAGGCTCGGGAAAGTGACCAAGATCAACTGGGCCGCCTCCATCCGCGACATAGAGGAGAATGATAAGCAGGACAAGTTGTTTATGCGGGATATGGTGGCCGCTGATCTTATCGATAGAGTGTACAGTGACTGGAACACATATCTAGAACATCAATGTCTGTTGAACCTTTGGATTTAGATCTGTTGTCCTCATTATATCAAAGACTGGTCAGAGTTCTAGAATCTTGATATGATATTGAAGTAATCTGGCGCTAGACAAGTCAGTGCAGTCTCACGGCACTAACGACCAGCCAACTACAGTATGCGGACGCGATACATTCGTCATTCACACCAACCCCCAGACCTCGCATCTACTGTAATAGATGCGTACATACAAGAGATTCTGTCAGCCCTTGTCTCGAATGTCCACTTGATCTCCTCCAAGCACCCCCAGGAGAAGGGCAGTGTCTACATTGGACAAGCGGGTAAGTGCGACCTTGACTAACAAGCGTGTTGGCTACTAATGATTAGCAAAATAGGAGTCATCCTGATGAATATTCACCTTGCACGCTTGGCCATAGAAGAGCACACTCTTCCGCACCGTGACCTCGCCGACAAACTCCTTCGTGCTGCAGTCCCACCGTCTTCAACCCACCTTCAGAGCCCTAAAGATGCATCTCGTGCTTCCTTCTTGGAGACTCCTATAGGCCTCGCCACATTATTGGTGGAACGGACCATGGACTCGGAGGCGAGCCCCGACTTCTCGGAAGCGTTGGCTTCAGCATGCCTTGATACAGTTCGTGATGCGGTTTCGTTGGCCATTCAAGAGGATGAACAGCATTCTCTACTGGACGATGATGGTTGCGAAGTTCTCTACGGACGCGCGGGTACCTTATATGCCCTCCTGCGACTCCGGACTGCGTCAAGTACATGTAGCAGTAGGCTGGGAGGAGAGGTAAGCAAGGTGGCTTCAGATAGCAGCATAGCTGCTCTTGTTGGATCCATCATCCTCCGTGGCAAAATCGGTGCAAAGGCGTATGGCACCGGCAGTCCACCGTTGATGTGGCGATGGCATAGAAAACGGTACCTCGGCGCCGCTCATGGAGTAGGTAGGGCGTACCTCACTGCCGTGACATGCGAGGCTGAAATACACACATGTCTAGCGGGAATCCTGCATATGCTCTTGATGATCCCTGGCCGTATTTTGCAGAAGCACTCCGAGGACATACTGGGAACGATCGACTGGCTGATACGGATCCAGGATACCACAGGGAATTGGCCTACCAAGGCTCCCGACGTGGACGACATCGTCGATCCGGCAGAGTCCAGCGATCTGGTACAGTGCGTCGCTCACAAATGGTATTACTTTTTGCTGACGGAATAGATCAGGTGGTGCCACGGTGCTACCGGAATCGTGCTCATGCTATGCACCCTTGTTCATCGCGCGACGTACGCACCGCAGATCCTCTTTTTATCGCACGCGCAGTTCGCATCGATCCTGTCTGGCATATCTAAAGGCGCGTCCTTGATCTATAGGCATGGACTGCTCCGAAAGGGTGTTGGTCTGTGTCATGGTGTTGCCGGGTCCGTGTATGCCCTCATTGCTGTCGCCTGTGCAGTCGAGCACTACAACTTGGGTGGTGCCGAGGGGCCTCCTGCTCACAGCCCTGTAGAATATCTCGCTCGGGCCGTTCACCTTGCGCATTTGGCCACCAGATATGTGGAACTTACTGCGGAAGGAAGGATGGCAGCGCCTGACCGACCGTGGAGCCTGTACGAGGGCTCGGCAGGCATATGTTGTGCTTGGGGAAGTCTGCTGACGCTCCTAGACCAGTGTAAGAGGTCAGAAAGCACTTTGTTCAAGCATGGATACGAAACTAGGAGTGGGTTCCCTGGGTTCGACGATATTCTAGTGGATGGATCTTGGTAGCTGCAGTACTATTCGAGATGAATTTATGAACCTTCGTATGTGATGCTTTGGCTTTATTTTATGAATTCTGATAACAGGGCCCCTTCAGAACATAGACGCCAACCACCAAGTATGTTACCCTCCGAAACTCTGCTAGCAATGATTGGCTGTCTCAAGAAGCTTGGGTGGTTACGGACTGGTAACCCATTAGAAGTCCAGTCAGGGTCCCCCTTTTCATATTAAATAACACAAGTCCTTGGGTAGCAGACAACGTTGCTCAAGGGGCAGATATACGTTGAATTCTCATGCACTATTCGTCTACTATAAGAAATAACAAACGGTGAATATTTGAGTATTTGTTTCAAGTTCGATGAGCCCCTGGCATCCTCGGGCGTCTACTCTATCACGGGACTGGATCACTTTAAAATAGAACTTACTCTTTGCGCTGCACTTCGTCGACGTGCTTGGTTCATTGACCATGCTTGCTCGCCACCCCCTTCTTGCGGTATACCTCGTTTCGTTGCTTCGGTCGGCGTATGGACAGTCGCCTGGCGCTTTCTCTGATGGCGGTAACTCTCTGGTCAGCGCTATGATGGTGAGCGGTGCATTAAGGGTCGTGAACCTTCGTCTGATCGGCAACCATGCCAGTTGTTTGTAGGGAACGAAGAGAATGTATATATTCTAGACAAGGCCGAAGGGAACAAAGCTCAGGTAAATAACCATCCTGCTTGGGGTGCAGTATGGTACGTGATGTTCTCAAATCCACTGCATAATAGCTGACTCGAACACAAGGAACTTCCATACTCACCAGACCGAAGTGATGGATGTCAAAACCAACGTATTTTGTGCATCTGGTATGCACCTACCGAATGGCTCATATGTAACATTCGGGGGAAATGGCGCGGTGGGGCCTGGAGGAAACATTGGGTCTGTGCCAAACAACCACGGCTCGGCGGACTTTGACGAAACATACCAAAACTTCGACGGAGGGAGATCTATCCGCGTCCTAAACCCGTGTACCAGCTCGGATGACTTTGCATCTTCTCAGTGTCAGTGGTTCGATGATCCTGCGGTGCTTTCAATGCAAAGAACCCGTTGGTATTCAGCTGCAGAACCTCTCGCTGACGGAACAATCGTTCTTATTGGCGGCTTCGTCAACGGTGGATATATAAATCGAAATTATCCCAATCGCGATCCAGAGTTTGAAGGTGGCGCTGCTGACTCTACCTACGAATTCTTCCCTGCAAACGGCCGTGCTCCTCAGACTATGCAATTCATGATCCATACCTCTGGCCTCAACTCCTACGCCCATACCTTCCTAATGCCTTCAGGGAGGATGTTTGTCCAGGCTAACTACTCAACAAGTACGCTTTTTTATTCCATGCTTGTAATCTACTGACAACGCCTGATAGTCCTGTGGGATTACAACAACAATGTCGAGACGCCTCTACCCGACATGCCTGGAAATGTCGTTCGAGTATACCCAGCTTCCGGCGCGGTTGCCATGCTCCCTCTGACTCCCGCTAACAACTACAATCCTACAATCCTCTTCTGCGGCGGTTCTGATATGCCAGACGAAGCATGGGGGAACTATTCCTATCCCGCCGTAAACACATGGGAAATCGCTGCTTCCAGAGACTGCCAACGTATCACACCCGAACCCACTGATGGTACTACGCCAGCATACAACAAAGACGATGACTTGCCAGTCGGGCGAACTATGGGTCAATTCATCATTCTACCAGATGGAAAGTTACTAGTGGTCAATGGGGGCGAAAAGGGTACAGCGGGTTACTCTGAGGCTACAAACCTCACTCCCATAGGATCGATGCCCTTTGGCATGTCCCTCGCTGCCGATCCCGTGCTCAAACCCGCCATTTACGACCCTAATGCTCCCGAGGGCAAGAGGTGGTCCGATGCTGGCCTTTCGGCGTCACAAATTCCTCGACTGTATCACTCCTCCGCTATTCTGCTCCCAGACGCGTCCGTTATGGTTGCTGGATCGAACCCCAACGTCGATGTCAATACAACCACAGTATTTCCAACTGAATACAGGATCGAGATATTCTACCCTCCCTATTTCGCTGCCACAACGCGTCCCGTTCCTTCTGGAGTACCAAAGACGTTATCATATGGCGGAAACCCTTTTGACATCACCGTTCCAGCGAGTTCGTATTCTGGGTCTGCGAACGATGCGGCCGAGAATACCACGGTGGTACTTATTCGTGGTGGATTTACTACTCATGCGATGAATATGGGCCAGCGATATCTCCAGCTCAACAATACGTACACTGTGAAGAGCGATGGATCGATCACCTTGCACGTAGCTCAGGCGCCGCCGAACCCCAACATCTTCCAACCTGGACCCGCGTTCCTCTTCGTCACGATCAACGGAATTCCAAGCAACGGTACTCTTTTAATCTTGGGTAATGGCCAGCTGGGAAAGCAGCCGACCTCTGATGCTAGTGCACTCCCCCCAAGCATACGGTTAGATAGTGCAGCCGGTAATGGTGACGGTTCATCAAGTGCTGGTACCGATCACGGCAGCGACAATTCGGGTGGCACGGGCGTGAGCACGGGCGCCATCGTAGGCGGAATAGTTGGTGCTATCGCTATAGTTGGAATAATCGGCGCTCTCATTGGAATATTCATCGCACGGAGACGACGAGCCGCTACCCACGCAGCAGAGACCTCGTTTATGATGAGTCCCACGGCGGGCACCGCTGGCCCTCGCGGAATGCGTAGCTCTGATTCTAGTGCATTCGTTCCTTTGCAACAAGACAATCATAGTCAGGCATGGAACGTTAGCACCGCAAGTTTGAATACCCCGTATAGAGACGACATGCCAATACCAGACCCCCTTGCAAGAGGAAGCTCGTCTGGGACAAGCATGGATTACGACCCCTACGCGGCCACTCCGCCGAAACTCGTTTCTCCCAAAATACCCAGATACTAGAGTCATCTCCATCCTTTTTTGGCGACGACGTAAATGTGTATAGCGGGGTGTCATGGACATTGCCATTTTCTTATTGTACGTTATCTTATATTGACACTATTAGTACACGACCTGTTGTATCGCTCATAGCCCACCCCAATCCATGCCTCATCTTGTATTGGAACACTCTGTTGTAATACCCTTCGAATGGACGTACTCTTTGCTATTTCTTGAACGCTCGAATAACCCGCGTGGCTCGCAGCGTGAAAACCATACTGTGGGTGTGGGGGGACACAAAGCTTTAGTCGAGGACCGTTTTATCATCGTCATTCATTACCTTCTAGTGGGAAAGATGGCAACTCCAGCCTATTTGCACGACTTCTACCCGTGTCTCTAACAGTCGCTATTCATGGCCTGGCCAAAGACTCGGCATGTTCTTCATATTCACAGTAAGGCGTATACCATAGCTAAGCAAGGATCAGAATTCTGTCAGTGGCACCAAGTAGGACTCGGATATGTAACCATGTACAAAGTGACCTTGCGCCTCGCGAGTCAAGCTTCGAATGAGAGTAGCCCTCCTGGATACTTGTCGGAGAGATCCACAGACAAAGGAGTAGACGACCTGCTTGGTTTATAATTGGTTCCAGAGTGTCGCAGGATAATTCAGTTCGCAAAGTCATTGGCACCTAACTAAGAACATAGCAGGCGAGCAATCCCAAGTACTGAACGCAGCTTTCTGGAACGTGGGCTTGCATCAGAGACAGTGAGGTACGATGGAATGCGAGGGGGAGTAAATGAGGTAGCGATACATGGTTTGTCCTGGGAAGCAGTCCCTCTATCCAAAAGGCATGTGTGCACGGTGGTAAATCTAAGTGCCAACAGTAAAAGAGAACGCCCAATGCTTGCGAAAAATGTCTGTTGACTGGATGATTGGATAATTGAATCTTCGAAAGCACAACCCGTTACTCGACTGTCCGTTGGTGAGAATGATTCAATCAGTAAGTTAATAAGTAGTTAGTCCGTGTGATGATGGCTATTCAACTATAAGTAGATCAAGTATAGATAGCGCAAGGGTCGAAAAGGCTCCTGGCGAATGTGGGGGATGAGCAAAGCATGGCAAAGCGGATGGTACAAAGGGATACAGATGGTGGGAGTCGCCCCCATCTTTGACAAAAGATGGATGGCAGCGAGGAAGTCGGAATTATACTGAAACAAGGGACACAACAATGAGCAAGCGTCAAATCAACAAAGTTATATGAAAGACGGACCGAAATACCACACTGCTGCGAAGGCGACGGCGAGAAGGCTGACGGGCGCAGCGCTAAACGAGATGGCGCCGTTGTTGTTACCGTTACTTCCTGATGATGTGCCTGTTGTCGAACCATCTGCTGATCCGGATGCGCTGTCCACTCGCACACTGGCGGGGAGCACAGTTGCCGCGCTAGTGGGTTGGGCGCCAACTTGACCATTTCCTACAATGACATATGAACCGTTGCTAGGGATGCCATTGACGGTAACGTGGAGGAAGGCAGGTCCAGGTTGGAAGAGATTTGGGTTGGGGGGAACTTGAGCGACGTGGTAGGTGATAGAGCCGTCATTGTTGACGGTGAAAGTGTGGTTGAGCTGGAGGAATCTTTGACCCATGTTCATCGCGTGAGTCGTAAACCCGCTACGAACAATAGCGATGATAGTGTTCTCAGCTGCGTCGTTTGCGGAGCCAGAGTATGAGGTGGCAGGGACACTGATGTCGAAGGAGTCGCCACCGTACGAGAGGGTCTTTGGTACGCCTGAAGGAACTGGACGCGTTGAAGCAGAAAAGTATGGGGGATAGAAGATTTCGGCTCTGTATTCGGTAGGGAAAGCGGTTGTGAGGTTGACATCAACGTTGGGGTTTGAGCCGGCAATGAGGACAGATGCGTCCGGAAGGAGGATCGCTGACGAATGGTACAAGCGAGCGATGTTTGACGTCGAAAGACCAGCATTAGACCAACGTTTGCCAAGGGGAGCATTGGGGTCGTAGATAGCGGGAGTACCAACTGGACCGGCTGCGAGTGACATACCGAAAGGCATTTGTCCGTAAGTAGGAGTCTCGTTGGTGCGCTCAGCATACCCAGCTGTGCCGTTCAAACCACCATTGACCATAAGAAGCTTTCCATCAGGGAGAATGACGAATTGACCCATGGTGCGGGACTCGAGCATGTCATCGTCCTGAACATAAGTGGCAGATGAACCATCTGTAGGCTCAGGTGTGATGCGTTGACAATCCTTGGAGGCCGGCTTGTTGAAGGTGTTGATAGCAGGGTAAGAGTAGTTGCCCCAAGCTTCATCCGGCATATCGTTACCACCGCAGAAGAGGATCGTGGGGTTGTAGTTGTTTGCGGGTGTGAGAGGAAGCATAGCGACGCCACCAGAACCAGGGTAAACACGAACGACTCCCTTTGGCATGTCTGGCAATGGAGTCTCAACGTTATTGTCGTAATCCCACATGACTGCGGGGAACATTAATGACATGATACTCGGCTGAGTATAGGTACTGGCTTACCCGTAGATATGTTGGCCTGGACGAACATTTTACCAGAGGGCATGAGGAATGTATGGGCGTAAGAGTTAAGACCAGAGGTATGGATCATGAACTGCATCGTCTGAGGAGCACGGCCGTTGGCAGGGAAAAACTCATAAGTAGAGTCAGCAGCGCCGCCTTCAAACTCAGGATCGACGTTGGGGTAGTTGCGGTTGACGTAGCCACCATTGACGAAGCCACCAATAAGGACAACCGTTCCATCTGCAAGTGGTTCAGCAGCGGAGTACCAGCGGGTTTTCTGCATAGAAAGAACAGATGGGTCGTCAAACCATTGACATTTCGAGTCGGCAAAGTTGTCTGATGATGTGCACGGGTTAAGAACTCGTATCGAGCGACCCCCGTCAAAGTCTTGGTACGTTGCGTCGAAATCGGCAGATCCTCTGTTGTTCGGTACGGATCCGATATTTCCCCCAGGGCCAATGGCTCCGTTACCACCGAAGGTAACGTATGAGCCGTTGGGAAGATGCATGCCTGACGCGCAGAAGACGTTGGTCTTGACATCCATGATGGTCGAGGTATGTGTGTTCATGTCCCTACATCCATTGGTCAGAAACTTACATACCCATCATCGAAAGTCTCGCGCACCATACAGCTCCCCAAGCTGGGTGCCCGTTAACCTGAGCAGCATTTCCTTCGGCCTTGTCCAAAATGTAGACTTTCTCGTCGTTACCGACGAACATCTAACATGTCGCGGTGAGCACTAGTAGAAAACTCGTTACTGCGAGTGACTCACCATCATCGCGCTGACTAGTGTATTCCCCCCATCTACAAACGATCCAGGCTTCACTTGAGCATACGCTGCAGGCAACGAGAGCTTTGCGAGCCAAAGGGCTAATAAAGAACGTGGAAGCATTGTTATTTTCACGAGAACTCCAGCGGAAGGGAAGAGGGGATGAGGAGAATAGAAATGAAGATGAGGGGAGAAGAGAAAGGAATGTGGTGGTGGAGTTGATGAGGGATAGAAAAGGTGTGGCACGCCCACCACGCTTGCAATTTTATTTAGGCCACCGAGTGCCTAGATCCTGTTGGCCCTTGTTTGTACATCATCCTTCTCGGACTGAGGCTGTGTGTGAAATCACGATGCACGTGACAGGATCCTGCGCTGGGCGGCCATTCACCGCCGTCAATCGCTTACAGTGGCATGCGCCTGCCGCGTACATACACAAACAAATCCAATTCTTTGCACTGGTTGGTAGGATAACACAGAAAGTCGGCTGATTTGCCTCATACAGATGCGCAAGGATTTCTCACAAGTCGACAATTGGTCGACAACGGGATGAATGCCGAGACTGGCTTTGCTGGCAGCCACGAAGGCCTTGTGCTTCAGACAAGACCATTCTCGGCATGCCGAGATTACAGTCTGGCATCGTCTAAATGTAAAATGTTATGTACACGCAGTGGGTTACCGATCAGAAGGCTTGTGAGTCTTCTTATTATGTATCAATTTGCTCTTAGCAACGTTGATAACAATGTACTAGTATGTACAACTCATGAGCTCGAGCCACACAGTCCGTAGGAATCCTTGTGCGGTAGCAAAGAGCCGTGTGCACGCCGCACACTGATAAATCGATAGCGGCGTAATGCCCAACGTTTCAAGGTAGGCGATGCAAGCGGAGTGATTAAAAAAAAGCTGATTGCTGGTTGACACTGGCGGCCGAGTATCGCTGCTAAACTTAGATCGCTTGCGGTGCGGGGAACATGTTTTACCCACTTTGTTCCGGTAACAAACGTAGTGGAGCCGGTTCCGAGTTGGTTTACTTCCTAGCTTGTATTGCTCAGGCTCCACCATTGGCGATTGAATATTGAATTGAAGACGTCGATGATAGTCTTCGGGCTGGGAAGATATCAGAAGATGGGCTTGAGTTTAATTTGGAGATGCAACGAGGTGGTATCAGGGAAGCGAAGGATGGTCAAATGGAGAATGACTACTGAGCCCTTTGGTTCTAAGGCATAGCCGAGCCATGGACCTCATATTAACGATGACCCCGTCGTCCAAAGTCGTTCACAACTAAAATTCCTTGTCTTACTCTTACTTTACAATTGAGCATCATTCATACAGTCAAGTCCCTGCCAGACCCATCCCATTGCTCGCTAGCCAGCTCGTCATAGCGACGCCGCAACATACGCATTGAAATTGTACCTCCCTGGTTGCATTTTGAACGATATTTCTTGCGGGTCGAGTATCACCACCGGCACACCTCCTCTCGTTATCGCCGCATGTGGCTGGCAGTCCGCCTTCAGAGGCAATTTTGCTTTCTGAAGCCCAGGCGTCGTGAAGCTCGTCACCTCGTTCGATGGGCCACACGAAAGCGTGATGTCTCCGGGGGCGTCAAGGAGAGCGACCACCCACATATAATCTTCCGTCTGAGTTATTAGTCGAGATGAGTACATGAGAAGCAGTAATAAAATGCGCATATACTTACCCAATCAGCGTTGGCCGGCCTACCAAGAGGGTCTGACGCGGATGCAGCGGTGGGATGGGGCCGCATCCAGAGAAATATACGCTCCTTGCCCATCGGGTACACACCCGTCTTGAATGCAGTGATATAGTAAGAGAGCAACGGAAGCCAAGCTAAAATAGGTTAAGCCAAGTTCGCTTGATCATGAGCATTATATGAATAGGCATACAAACCTTGATGGTCAAAGCCATTTACCCACTCCTCCGAGCCAGGTTGATCACCGTGAATCGGGCCAACGTAATGCGACTCTCCGTAGTCATTCCAAGTAATGACTTCCACAAGGCCAATCTCGTTGCGGTTTTGTACGAGTTGCTCCATACGGGTCGCAAGGAGCCAGTCGTCTCCGCGGAAAATGAAGTTCTTGTTATATGGGAACCCGTAGTGCTGAGGCACTAGTCAGACATGCTGATGCAGAGAGGGGAGAGAGGGAGACCCACAGTGAAGAACCATGGCGATACCCCAGCCATGTACGACTGGTCGATCCTCAGACCTGAAATGAACTCCCGGTCATAGTTGAATGAAATATCGGTTGGTCCAAGAGGCCAAGCGGAGTTCCACTAAACGAGACTCAATCAATGAATTGTGTAACAAGCGGCAGACAACTCACAGGAAAGATACCATCCAGCACGGAGTAGTCCTTCGACGCCGCTGGCTGGATGAAGAACGAGGGTATAAACGTACACCCCGGGTGATCTCTCTTCATTACACTCGCCCATCCTTCATTGACGCTTTCCTTTCCGAAGTAGCAATGTTCGCCTCCGAATGTTGATACCAGGGGCCCCCCTTTGTACTGGAGTTGGCTGGGATGAAGCCTGTATTTAGCAATGAGCTCGTGCATGGCATCGGCGTTGTCCGTAGAGGAGCAAGGAATGGATGTCATATCGAATGAAATGAAGAGTTTGAAGTTTGGATAGTTGAGGGCCGCGGTGTATGCTGCTTCGACACTGTTTGGATACCACTCGCCGTAGCCAATGTTGAGGGCAAAAGCGTCCAGCCCAGAGCTTGCCGCCAAGGAGATATCTTTACGGATGCAAATCCGGGAAGTAATCAGTGTAAGCGGTGTTACCAGATATCAAATATCAAGAAGAGGGTGGATTAATTAGCGAAGGAGTCCTATGTACGTTAGGCGAACTCGCCTTGCTCCCAATCTGCCGGGGTATAGTGGAAAGTATTGGCAACCATAAGATGTGCAACGACAACCTTTGCAGCATCCGCCCTGGGCGGTGAAGCTAGCTCAGGCGAAGAAACTTGAGGTATAGTGATTGCAGAAACGACCAAGGCTACGGCGAGGCAAGTGATCAATAGCTGGCTCAGAAAGGCGAGCATCTTGTTTGAATCGTGTGATGAAGGATAGTATGGTTGTGTTCGTTATCGTATAGCTTGAAGGAGTGTGGCGGTCGTAGTTTGCAATCCCCGCCTAGGCGGTGGTGGTAGGTCGTGAAGGTTAGGAAGTAAGGTTGAACACTGAGTGACTTCACCGATCGCGATCACAAAATAGGAAAGATGAATTCAACGGCCGCAAAATAGTAGCATATTTTCGTGGAACCGAGGACAGACTGAGCTGAGATCCACCAAGAAGGAGTAGTATCGACGTAACTCCTCATGAACGGGTAAATAAGAAGAGAGTGCAAGACTTTCAGGATCAGGATCGATGATCTCGGAAAGCAAAGAACTGCTGTTCCAGAATTACGGGGGGTTGTCGACCTAGGCCAGGCCAGAATGGTGGTGCAGAAACAATCATTCCGGAAAGTCGTATGATTTACGGGACCGCCGACATGAGATAGAGTATCGAATTTTAGTAAGGCGTAGGCCAGCGAATGGGGAACAGAGAAGCACGTAAATCGGAGAGTTCGTCGTAATGTAGTAATCACGTAGGGGTGGGGGATGAAAGCAGCATGAAAGAAAGGAAGGCATAAGATTTCGCCTTCGGTAGAAGTAGTGTTGTTTCACCACCTGAACATCTCCCCCGGATCGAAGTCGTCCAGCCCATAGCCGTAGCGAGCGATGTATTCGTCTCTTGGCAAGCTTTTGCGATCCCACTTCGTATGGACCACGTCCGACAATTCCGGGACGGTGTAACCAATAATACGACAATCCTGGATCTCCAGTGTTTCGACAGGGTTTCCGAACTCGTTACGGTCGTAAAAGAATTCTAGCACCGACCCAGCCAGAGAAAAATCGGCGTGGGGACCATCAGATAACAACCCCGCAAGAGGATACTTTCCAACTTCGGGAAGGAGATTTGGGTGTCCGTTTCGTGAAGTCTCTTCAGCATGTAAAACTATTCCCCGGGTAAGTTCTCTAAAACCAAAGTTCGTACATGCTGAAAGTGCGTGAACAAGTTCGACCAATCCGTCCTCTCGATGCCTGCAAAGGAACCGCCGAGCACGAGTGTCTGGGGTTTGACGATGGGAGCGCTGCATGCAATCGGAATGCCTCGAGCACGTCCCGGATTGAAAGTTGAAACGCCAATCTCGATGTCGAACGACGTGATTTCCCCAACGAATCCTTGTACATGGAAATGCGCAGAGCCGGAGTTGATGAAAGCCACCTTGTCTATCTTCGCAGTGACTAGAACAGGGGCTGAATGAATTCGGGTGCAATGATATTGTACGCGCGACGAAGGAGGGTATTGGATATACTGAAAAAGGCAGGCATTGTCCGGGTGAGCTGATAGGAGGGACACCCATGAGAGCCTGGGAGGAACGCCAATAACGTAGATAGTGGTGTCTCGCACGAAGTTGCTGCTGAGGAGATGCGGAGTCGGCGTAGTGAATAGTTCCGAGAGGAAAGAGGGCCGGCCGTCAGTTCAAGTTCTATGATGTAGGGTGGCTTTGGACCGTGCTAGCATCGTCTGTCCCCATGCTAGTTTCATAAACGAGATAGTAAACGTGTTCCACATGCGCGGTGTGTTGTAGACAATCTCCTGCCAGGTATGCTAGGCGTCCGATAGCCTTCTTGCGATCCACAACCTTTTCATCGTCGGCAAGGGTGGCTACGGCGATGGTGAATATCCTGGAGAGTGTGTCCGTGGGTAGTTTGTGGATTGGAAGCGACAAGTTGATGCGGGTCCCAAAGCCAAATCGGCGGCCACACACTTTCTGTTATCCAGCCACGGCCTTTTCATAGAGTGTGCCTTCAGCGGCGACGGACATCGACGCCATCGAACAAGTGACCTCCTGAATTGGGCTCTGAACAGTAGATCTCCTGTAGTAACGGGGATATCACCTCGAGAAGCATGCCCGTGTTCAGTACCAATGTTGTGAAACCAGGGCCAATGCTGTAGGTGGAAGAGGAGGCAATTGTATGACAAAAAGGGGCGGGGCTACCTGCATGACTTGTCGACAAGTCTCACTTAATCTCACTTAATCCGGGTTGAGTGAATGCAATGTGAAGATGCTCGAAAATGATAAAAATACAAATAGAATGGGAAAAGTCCAGCGATACAACCCCCATGGAAATAAAACAAGAAGTCTAACTAGATAGGAATGGCATAGGAAGGCATCGGTAAATGCTCGGACGTTTGATCGTCTCAGTTGTCTGGTTAGAAGAGAGTGTAATCATCTTGAGGAGAATCGGAAGAATAGAAGTGATCATTCTGATAGGAAGCATCGTTTGAGCTAGAGCTACCTGCAGAAGGGGCTGAGGCGAAGCCAAGAAAAGGTTCTGAAGACGAGTTGTCAGATGCCAGCGATGGTGCAGGGCACCCGGAAGGGGGCGTTGAGTCGATTTGGGGTGACTGAAGGCGCGTGGTGGAGGCGACCTGTCTCTGTCTTCGCGCAACGTTCTTTCCACATTGTGTTGGGTTATCGAGATGGCGAGTCAAAGCATCATCCCTCGAAAACCTGAAAGACGGTTCCGTGAGCATCTTCGCAGGGAGTAGGCGTAAATACAGTACAAACCTGCGATGACATGTGGGGCACTGGGGCACTTGCTTGGGGCCAAGTGGGCAGCTGTACTTCTTATGGCGAGACATCTTGTAGTTCTTGTCGGCCTCAAAGTTGCATTCGCATATCCACTTATCCTTTGAAAATGGTCAGCAAGGGGGATCTAGCTTGTGAACCAAAATGAGACGTACTTTGCGGTTTGCTTTAAGGTGAGAGCGAGGCTTGGAGACACTGTTCAGGGGGGGAAGCGCAGCTGGAAGATCTAGGTGTTCATTGCTAGGGAGAGTTGCCCAAGGGAACGTAAACCGAGGCGCCTGCTTGAGATTCTCCGATGTTGTCTGCGGCTCAAACATGAGGTTGTCGATTCGCCATAATCCTGGCTCGTCGAGGTGAGACCCAGAGGAGACAACGGGAAAAGCAGCCCGAGGATCGACAGTGGCAGGAGCAGCAGTAAGGTCGTCTGGTATGTAGGCCAAACCAAGGAAGTTGCTGAAGAAGGACGGAGAGGTGTGATTATCGTATTGCATTCTGACTGAAATCCGAAGAGTGGCTTGTTGGTGATGCGGGGGTGGCGAGGCTGAGATGAGCGGGATGGGAGAAATGGGGAGCGAAAGCCCAGGTACTTATAGGCGTCGGGCGACCAGCATCCAGGGACATCGTCGGACAATGCTCAGCCTCATTGACCAGGAGACGTCGCGACGAGGTGGATTGGTGAATGTTGAGGTTTTGATGGATAAGGAAATTTCGGGTGGCGCGATTGGGAGTGGCGACAGTTTCTTGAAAACGACTTATATAGTAATTTTTGGGAAGGGTGGCAACGGTGTTGAAGGCTGTGTGACTTGTGTGAAGAGAACGGTGTAGTGGGGGCATGGAGAGGAGGCTGAACAATAACTTAGTCTTCTGCTGGGTGTCAATCGTTGAACGTTAGACATGTGGCGAAAACTGGGAATAGCGTGACTTGTGAGGAGAAATGAGGGGGAATCGGGCTCATAAATGGATCCCCTGACTTCCTTAACTGGCTTGTTGCACTCTTAGCCTATCAACCTGAACGGGGATTGCTCGCTTGGAGGAAATTTGTTGGCTGAGTGACATGCCTCACTTACATTCGCCCTTAAAAGTTAAACATGAGTGGTGGTCATAGGGTATTGCAACTCGGGAGGGATTGATCTACACGACTGGGGTTTTGGGCTGAGGTGAGGGAGAAGTGTCGCTCTCCGACTTCTCAACCGAGCCGGCTTCGCAGGCTACTGGCCCTTCGACTCGCACCCCAGCACCCCCAGCTTGGGGCTCACCACCGTCGAGCAGCCCTAACCCAAACACTTTACCAAGGCTTGAGCGAAGTGCATCATAAACCGTCTGATGAGGGGCGGGTTGGATGGAATCGACGGTATGGACGTGTATGAGACCCGACAACGGGGAGAATGTGTACGTGGAATTACTGAGGGGAGATGCGTGAGTGATAGTGTAGCGAATACTAGTAGGGAAAGGTTACGCACACATCCCATTCACCCAGCCCACCGCTCACTCTGGCTATACCGTTGACTGTCAACCCTATGAAAAGGCTTTTTTCTCGGTTCCTTCGATTGCTATCATGGGCGGTCGAATTCTCACTCTCCCCGCCAACAAGAAATTTGCGGGATCCAGGGGTTTGGACAACAACTTTCCTCAATATGACTTGCGTGTCGGAATACAGTGCGTTTAGAGTGTGTCTGATGAACACAGCTGAGCTGAGATAAAGTGGCAAGCCTGCGAAGAAACGGTCAAACGCTGCATCACACTACGAAGAGGTTACAAACCTTCGACGTGTAGTGTTTTGGGGAAAGGCGCCGGCAAGGCAATTGGCGGGGTATATGAAAGTCGGATTTTGGGGCTATATATGGTCTCCACATCGTCTTTGTTTCGAAAGTCGAGAGGATTTGCGCTGGCAATGGCGCCTACTGAACGAGGCGTGCCAGATACTCTATCAATTGAGGATACCAATCCGTACGAGAAAAAATGGGGGAGTGTGCTCGTTAAAACATCAATCGCGCGGCCTATATGGTATAGGATGCAAAGCCTTGATAGCATCCGTGAGTCGAGAGGCAGTAGGTATCAAGAGTACGTACCAGTCCGAAGGTCCCATTCGGCATCAGAAATGGCATCATCGTGCTCAGGCCGCCGTGTGGGTTCCAAGTCGTCCGAGTTGTGTGTATAAGACCTAAGATGAAGAGCGGAAGTCGAACAGCGAGAATGCCTGAGACATTCTTGGATCTGGAATAGTCGGTGCAAGGGTATTTGTGCTGGCTTCATGACAGTTCGCTGCAGACTTAAACGGTTCCGGGGCCCTGGCAGTAGGCTGATAGACCAGCCTGTCTTCGAGAGTATGACAGTCGATCCTCTTACAAGAGACGCTGGTACGGAATTTGGCTGAAGGCCCCCTTTCGGTGTTTTCCGTGATGTCGGCGGGCCGGCAGATGGTAATTTGAGAGTCAGTGACCCACTTCCGCATTTGGACAACGCGTCTTTCCCAGTTATACCGCTACGCAGCGGAAGCGCCTTTATGACCATAATTGGGAGGACCGTCGGTCTTCTTGAAATTTGCCCTCCGATCCGACAAGTTCAACAGCGGTTGAACGATGAACGAGTGGCCGCTGCAACTCACACAAACCGATCCGCACTAGGTATGCTAACTGTGGAGCTGTGTTATACCCGAGAGAACCAACTCATAAATGATTCAGATTTGTTTTGGTGTCCGTCAACTTTTCATCCACGGTCTCCGGCTGCCATGTAGCAGCCACGCTCGAAGTGCGTGCCCTGGCTCCTCCTTGGACCTCAAAAAAATTCACTTGCTGCTGATGCTCCACCTATAATCATTCTTCCACAAAGACAAGAATATATCCCTGCTTGGTGATCAGACGGGCGCCCCGTCCTATGATGCCCCGTCATTTTGGAGCAGGAATTGTAGACAGGGCAGTGAAAACTCGCGCATACGCCACTATATCTAGTAGTGATGCCGCGGGTACGCAAAAACGACAACGCACGAGGTCCGACGCCGCTGAGAAGGACCAAGACGGATGCTTAATTCAACGACTCTACTCGTTTCCGTCTAAACCGATGAACCATCTCCGGTGCAGCGGTCGGAATGCGGAAGCTTGATAGCTTGATTTGCTTTGATTTCCTGGACATTTGGACCCACCGAAACGGCGTTGGGCCGCTGTTCGTCCGCGCCCCATGACACGAGGCTTCTGACGGCGACTCAGAGTCTGTTAGGATGTGGGTGAAGACATTTTCCAGACATACAAATCAACAGATGGAGCGGCCCGTCGTCCCACCAAAGCGTGTACCCAATCACGTCAAAGGCAGTTGTGGAGAGTGCCGTAAGTTATCCGGGAACCTTTCACTTACTCTATCTTCGTTCAGGTCAGTCAGCGTCATCGAAACCTATGATAACTTCGTGATCTCTCGCTGCATTGCACCGACCAACCGGTACCAAAACACCGCATCCCTACAAAGCGTTTTCTTCCCAGTCGCGCTACAGCCATAACAGAATACTGCTCGCCTCCGAGGCCGTGGTTTCTGGTATTTTCTCATGCCTCATGTCCCGTGAATAGAGGACGTTAATACAATAGTAAGTTGATCGCGATCATTAATCCGCGCTCACTTTACAATCTTGCACTGTAGAATATAGATATGAGACGTTGAGTGGTGCGCTCCGCGTTGCGGGCCAATTATCACACATGCCTCTTGCACGCCCCATAGGACTCCGTCATTGTGTAGTGGTCACTGAGTGCGCTCGCCATTCTTCCTGAAAATCGGCATGTGCACAAAGTGAGTGGAGCAAAAATTTCCGAACCCAAACCTACTAGGAACGAACTTTCCACTTGCTGTCCCCGAACGGCTGCGCTCTTGCGACGGCCGATGCGGTTCCCAAGGTCTTGTCCTGCTCACTCACATCCACGCTGTATCCGGACTCACCACATGCTTAGCATCACTCAGTATGGTCAACGTCCATCTGGTGGGCACCTCATGGGTGGCCGTGCTACCTCTCAGAAGGTTCCCAGTGCTGTCGCATTCACTTTTGGTAGCCTCTTTGAGCTTCTTCATCCTATTATCGAGGAATGATGCGGGTCGTTCCACCCGGGTCTTGAGTTGCTCCGCATACTATGGATGACGTTTTGCAAGCAAGGATGACCGAACAAGTTGCTCACGATCAACGATGAAATAGGAAAGTCCATTGTGCGCGAAGCGCATAAATATGGGACCCAGGACGATTCAATCCCCATCTCAATTCAGGTTTGAGACCTTCCAAGCAACTTTCAAGACCACTCCCAAACCAACGACAATGATCTTCTCTCGAGTCCTCCCTTTTTTCGCCCTCGCCCTCAGCTTCAGCATCTTGTCCGTAGCTAAGCCCGTCGCCGAAACTAGTGTACTCGAGCGCACCGATGGCGACGTTGGCACGGCTGACGTTGCCGCAGTGCTTACCCGCCTTAAGGCCTCGACCGACTCCACGCTCTCTCAAATGAGTATGTCTGTTTCCCCATACTTTATCTACGCACACCTTGGCTGATTCATCCTGCAGATACTTTGATGGATAGCAACCACGCGAACAGCGCCAACATAGTCCCGCTGATGCATGATCTCACCAAGTCTTTCACCACCGCCGGCGATTCGCTCAAAGCACTCAAGGGAAAAGTCAGCGCACGACAGCTTGGGCCTACAGATTCCGAAATTGCGGCACTCCTAGCAGACATCATTGCTGTGAGCTACATGATACCGATATTGATATTTCACGACGGCTAAAACCTCATGAACCACCAGGCTCTTGTCACGACCTTGGGCAGGCTCTTCGTCCGGGCTATTATCTTTCTTCCAACGCTCATGACACTGATCGTCTCACTCGACCTTGTGCTCCACGACTTACTTGTTGCCGTGGAAGCGCTTGTTGGTGGCGTCTTGGCCCTTGTCACTGGCATGTAAGTCGGGATTTTCTTCCCTTGGCGTGATCTATGAGCTAAGTATCGTACAGGTTGGTTGAAGTAGGGGGGTCGGTGGTCAGTGTGGGACTAAGCCTAGTGGCCGTTGTGCTTGGGCTCGGGCTCTAGCAAAGGTAGCGGATGGCTCTCGTGTGTGAATGTGAAGTCTCGTCTCTCCAATATTGTCTTAGCGCTTGTTGACTCAGCCAACGTGCCCGTCCAGAGGTGTTTTCTTGAGGATTCACGTCCGTCGAATATTATTTGAAACCCTCCTTTCCCTCACGTTCACGCTGTTCTGCAATTAAGGGAGACTAACCAGTAGTCAGAGCCTATCAATTTGAAAGCTATGACCTAGGTGGACCTTCGCCATCTTCCAAATTCAGAGTTTATTACAATTGTGATTCACAATATCAGAGTATCGCCAGGTACTACTTCTAGAACCCTGCAAACCCATACAAGTCGTCGAATCCATCTGAGTCGTAATAGTCGTCTTCTTCCTCCTCCCCCGAGTCCATCTCCTCACCATCCCAGGCGATGTCTGTATACTGCTCGAGGCGTGCGACTGCATCTTCGGTGACCTCGCACATTTCAATAAGCACATCCTTGACTGGCATATTGCAGTGCTTTCGTTGCTTGAGGAACCTCTCAAACACGGTGAACGATGGTGAGTCATGAAGATTGGCGTAGTGGTTGTCCGGATCAATGAAGGTACATCGCAATAGCTCGATGGTCTGTAGCTTAGGCACAAGGCGAGGCGACTTGGCTTTGCGTTTCGACGACTTGATCAAGGTCTGAAAGACAGGGAGGTGGACATCGTTGAGACGAAGTTTTTCAATCCGCTTGCAACGCTGGAAAATGGTCGTCCATTGTGCCTGTGTCATGTCGTGGAACCCGCCTACTCCCAAGGTAGGGACGATTTCGAGTGGTAGCGCCGAACAGAGGGCAACGAAGGCAACGCAATAGTGACGTAGTTCCAATTCTAGAATGATGGTAAGCCTTTCACACATCGGAGGGCCTTGCGGAGGGCCTTGACATGTAACGTCCAATCGGAGAGACTCGTCGAGTTCATGACCATCGAAGTGGACTCTATGGATGACTGGAGCGCCTTTTTCATTGAAGCGGCCACAAACCTTGACCAGACTTGAAAGATCTGGTTCTTCAAGAGGGGGGGATAGGCTGGTGAATGCTACGGATGCGCTGGGCGGATACTCGAGGTGGGTGAAGATAACAGATGCTTCAAGGTCAAGGGATGTAAGGGCTATATGTCTGAGGTTTGGGAGCTCAACGCGCGGGAGGGAGTCTCCGGGGCTATCCCTCACCAGGCCAGTAATGTCGATCTCTTCTAGTTTTGGGGAACAACGGAGAGAAGAAAGTAAAGACGATGGCCGCATTGTGGACCAAGAGGTAAGCGAAATGGCCAAGTGCGTGAGGTGAGGGAGTGGTGGGAATTCAGATATATTGATTCTTTCAAGATCAAGGTGACGAAGGAAAGGCATTTCGATGAAACTGAGAAGGAATGGATCCTGGGAGGGCGACATCACCGAGACCTCCAGTCGAAGGTGCCGTAGCAGTGGCGCACTACCAGCGTCACTCAGAAACCGGATAATCTCGCCTTGTGTAATAGCGCTGATTTCGAGCTCCTCTATACGGCTGACTTCCGCTATAATAGACTTAACCATTTCTTCGTTCGCCGCGGTGATCGTTAAGGGCCTCGTTTTGCAGTTTATCCGCAGAGGGGCAGATTTGGATCGCTTGAGGAATTCCAAGGCGCAATTGGGTTTCGAAATATCAATTGAAGACCACATTCGAGGCGAAGCAAGCGCGATGCTGCGCCATTCCTGACATACTCCGGCAACGTTCATCCAGCTTGCTTCCTTGAGAACACCTGGGATCCCATCTTTCGCAGCAAGGAATATTTTTGAAAGAACTTCCGGGGGGAGTATCGAGGTGTTGCTATACGCATTGCGTCGGGTTTTGAGATCACGGATTGACGCTTCGTGAAGAGCAATCCTCTCAGCAATCTCTTCGTCGATGGCACGTCGGACCTCAGTCGCGTCAATAGCCCGAGTAGACCTGGATTCTGACTGAGTTAATGCTCAACGGGGTAACTAGTATACGCAACATTAGAATAGAGTACGTCGGGGGGGAGAGTCGAGAGCTCAAGCGCTCAAGTTTTTGAAAGTCACGCGCCCACCATTACAAGGAACATATCAGGGGGGATTCAGTCTACTACTGCATGTTGAGTTCACGCTTATATTGGCACGCCACTTGCCACAGACAGACCTCGTCCGCAAACCCTTAGCCGAACATTTTGGATAGCATGAGGTGCTCCGAATGCTATCTGCAGATTTCCCGACCCCGACACTCTCCCACAGCGCGATCGCGATGAGGAGACTCAGAGAATCTATGTTAGAATCGTAAATCGATGCAGTGTGACAAATTGACTATCTCTACAATCCGAACATCAACCCATATATGCTTTCGATATCATCAACGTTGTAGTCGTCCTCTTCATCGGAGTCGTAGTCATCCTCTTCATCGGAGTCGTAGTCATCCTCTTCATCGGAGTCGTAGTTATCCTCTTCGTCCTCTTCATAGTAAGTGTCTTCACCATCCCAGAAGATCGGCGCATGCTTTTCGAAGGTTTCCACCGCTTCTTGAGTGATTTGGCACACTACAAGAGACACCTCCCCGACCGGCTTCTTGAGGCTCTTTCGTTGCTTGAGGAACCGCTCGAAAATGTGGAGTGATGGCGATGTCTCTGGTTCGGCGTGGCGGTTTTGCGGCTCGATGAAGGTGCATAGTATCATTTCGATTCTTTCTAGTTTAGGTAAGAGGAGAGGTTGCTCTGTCTGGACTCTGGAAAAGGGATGCGCGATGGGGAGTCCGCGAGATCGTTCTTTACCAAGCTGGAAATCTGAATCTCTTCCAAGGTAGGGGAGCGTCGTAGCGAAGAGAGTAAGGATGAAAACAGGATCACGGACTGATCGCGGAGCAAAATTTCCAGCTGCGTTAGTTGAGGCATTCGTGGGAGTTTGGAAATGTTGATGTTTGTGAGATGGAGGCGACGGAGGGAGGGAAACTCCTGAGGGATGACATGAAGAGGCAAGGAGGTAGTCGACCACCCCAAGTTCTCGAGTCGAAGCTGCTCTAACAACGGCGCACTCGCACCTCTGGTCGAGCTCATGAGCAAGAGAATTAAGTTGATGTGCCTGCTCGAATGCTGCTGGTTAATGACTTGCATAAGCCGATTAATGACAACTTATAAATCTTGACGTTCACTGTGCGGAATGGCTCCGGTCGGGTCTAAATTTGTGCTTCATCTCATTTTGTCGTGGATTTTATTGACTGGATGATACTAGATTATAATAACCTCCTAGTTGGGAAGTCGACGACACAACTAGGTCAACCGACTGGAAGTGCCTTCTCCTTCATTCAATGGATACAATTTTGTACAAATCACTAAACTTACTTAAAACTGGAATCCGCCCGGTGGAATACAAGTACGTATAAATACAATATATGAGTTGCTACTTCACGTCGTTCACAAGGTCTTGAAGGATGTGTCGACCTCTTAGAAAACCGCCGCGAGAGCCGCGGGCATTTCCTCGCTGACTTAAGGGCGCCGTAGGGGAAGGTATAGGGGAAGGTTTCGCTCTCTTCGCTGGTCGTCCATCTTCTCCTACGCGGGTGATTGGCGATGGAGTGGTCGGAGTGGATGGGTAATTTTCCTTCGCCCCAACAGTAGTGATGCACAGCTCCTCCGAGGGACGTTTCAAAGTGGATTCTGGTGTGTCCCCTTCTGACTTGACTCCTTCTCCAGGCGGCTGAAGCTGGAGATGCATCTTATCGGCGCCCGGGGGCAACTCCAACATCCATCGATGAAGATCCATAAGCTTGAAGAACTCTTCAAGGAGAGGCGTTGATTCTAGCGTCTTGCGTGAACCAAAGAGGACGAGTTTGGCTTTTGCGCGGGTGAAGGATACGTTCATTCGTCGCCAGTCTTTCACCAAGTCACCGATCTAGAGGCAACGATGTGAGTCGCTTTAGGATACATGAAGGAGCAGGACTGACCTGGCCTGCCTCGTTGGACCTAACCAGGGAAATAATGATACACTCCTTATCCCTACCCTGACTCTTGTCCGCTGTCAAAATTTCAATTCCTTTCCTCTTTGCCAACAAATGTGACAGGAGCTTGATTTGTTGCCGATACAATGAAATGACGCCGATTTGTTCTTCTTGGATCCCGGAATATAGGAGAGCCTCAGTCAGTTGGAAGACCAAAGACGCTTCGGTTTCGTTTTGAACGAGATCGCCCTGTTTCGAATCGCGAGCAGGGAGAAGGTCGGTGTCAACAAATATAGCCTTGCAACTAGACGGTAGTCAGCAGAGTTCATTCTTACTTAGATGTGTGCGTACCTTTCAGAGAGAAGTCTATCTAACCAACAACTCTGGCCTCCTTGTCTGCACGGCGATTTCCCGTTATGTATGGACCGTAGATACCCGGGCTTCGGCAGCTTCAAGCTTCTGCTCTCAACTTCGCTGGAGCCGCACATCAAACGATTATTATAAATGAGTTCGTTAGAGAGTGTCATGATTTCTTTGTTCATGCGGTATTGATAGACCAGGTCAATCGCTGCATGCGGGTGTGTTTCCGACAAACGACGGAATAAGGAAATGTCCAAGCCGCCTTTCCGCGCATGGGGGTTTCGTACCTTCCAGTCAACGCATGGTTAGTTTAATTGCTATAACAGTGACGGGAGGCTGTACCATAGGAGGGAGTTGGAAGTGGTCCCCGACTAAGATGAATTTGTCTGCGTATCGAAGGGGACCAATGCACGTTGGTAGGGTGGCCTGAGAGGCTTCATCGACTATACAGTAGTCGAATGTTCTCCGAGAAAATAAGGGGCTAACGAATCATTCATCACGGTCATGCAATGTAGAACGGAGGCGACACCCTTACTTGTCTAGAGATAAACACGTTGTTGCCACGATAGGCGGCGTCAGGATCAGTTCTTCAATCTGCTCGACGGATGTCGCCTTCTTCTGAGAAGAGATAGTGAACTTGCGTATGTCGGGGTGGACCTGTGATGCATGTCGATATCAATACTCGGGTGCATTATCCCAGTACTTACCTTATCGATGTTTCCGATTCGAAGGATGCGAAGCTTTTCGTCTTCTTTCAGCTTTAGAAGAATACTATCCACGGCGGAATGAGTGTACGATGCCAATAATACGGTCTTTCCCATCGCTACTAGTAGCTTGGTGATTGTCGCAATAACAGACGTCTTCCCCGTCCCAGGCATGCCCAGTATCAACGCATAGTCGCGTGCCGTCAGAGCTTTGATAATAGCTTCTTGTTGACTAGAATTGAGTCCAGTGGTGTATTGGTCAAGAATCCGTCGTACTTCGGCCAAGGCTGCGGGGGAATCGTCGAACTCGGGTCGTTTAAGATCAACGACGAGCTCCAATCGCCTCGTATCTCCATCGGCATAGAATAATTGAGCAAGGTTACCGCGAATGCGGCTCATCCCAGCGAACAGCTCGTCTTTGTCGATACGGAATACGACTTCCTCGACCTTAATCCCCGTACGTCGCTGTATCAAAGCACGCAGGATATCGTCATCAAGGTTGTGATCGATGCCTACGGTGACACTACGTTGCGTAAGGTCGATGATGAAACCCTGAGCGTAGGCTAGTAGATGGGGCTCTACGGAAACTGAGATAGCGTCCCCGATGCCCAAATGTCCGTTCAAGAGTGAATTGACAGTGCCCGAAGGGGTTGGGGACCGCAAGAATTTGTACGTGAATCGATGAATCTTGCCCGAAAGAGAATTGGATGCTTCGAGGTTGGGAGGAGAGAAAGAACGGTCCACAAGCATCGAGCCGAAGCAACGTCCCTTCTTTTCGCGCTCTATGGCTCCCATAGTCCAGAGTTCCTTCTTGAAGCGCACGAGATCCTGCTCCTCCAATGAAATAAGGGCCTCCCACTTGCGGAAGAATGCACTCTGTTCATCGGTGAGATGGCTGGTGTGCACAGCGTAAGTGTCCGCAATGGGGGAAGACATGTCGTCCACACGTTCCACTGCCTATACAAAGTCTCAGATGTGAAATTGAATGTCGAAACGGCACCCGTCATACCTTGCGATAAAGCATGCATGCATTGACAACATTACAACGTTTACAGATCCGCTCGTCGTCGATTGTCGAAGGTAGGTGAGCCGTCGGGGGCCTTCCGCCTTCCTTACCAAGTCCCAGTTCCATGTCCCGCGATCGAGCGACCATATGGGCAGCTATCTCATTCCTGATGATCATCAACGCCCGTATCTCGTTTCGACCGACGGGGACTGACACGACTTCTTCGCTCTGCGTGTAATAAAGCAAGCCGGACGGGCATTCCACCCCGTACCTCTCACCAATAAGCAGAGCGTAGAGCATAGTCTGTGCCCGGTGTTCCATGCCAGCAACCGTCTTCCCAGTTTTGATTTCGAAAGGTAGAGTTTGGCTGTTGACCACAGGAGGGCGAATTGGCGATACGCTCTCCGAGATAATTGCTTCCACAACAGCGTCAATCTTGCCTTTCAACCCATACTCCGGAGACCATATATCCTCTTCACTGCCGTAGAACTCGGACAGCGCAAGGAGAGCCGTTTGAGACCGAGTGGCGCGTGTATTCGTGAGGACAGCGGAAGACTTGGGTGTAGAAGATATGTAGTTCTGCGCGAATGCATGGAGCCCTTTTGCCCGGGCATGAATCTCACGTTTAGCTTGCTCAGCACCAATTTCTAGCCTCACCAGGTCGAGTAGGCCATTCGAGACTACTTCATCAATGCATCGTGCCACGTGCGCGTCGCCCCACTGCCCACTCGCAAGGCACGATTGAACGACAACGTGCAGCATGTTTCCCCAGATAAGAGCAGGCGTTACGTCTCCGTTGGGGTTCCGGACTAGGTGCGAAAGTAACGGTTTTCGACGGCATTGGAGCGCGGATGAGAGTGCCGTTGGGGTCAACAAAATGTCGGGGTGATGAACAAGGAGATTGGAGCGCGAGGTGATGTCGATGGATAGAGTGGTGGATGACGTGGATTCAGGAATGGTTTCCCAGCTGCCGACAATGCTGACGATATCACCTGAAACGATGCGTTATTTGCATATTCGAGGCTGGACGCGCCTGCACGAACCTTTCTGGATATCGAGGTATGTCCAATCGTCGCGAAGGACAACGATGCGTCGTTCTTTATTACTTTCGAGTTTAACGATGAGTTCCTGTTGCTAGACCGTCAACCTCCGTTCGAGGACAACTGGCTTCAATCGAACCTTTTGCAAACCAGAAACAGACGCTGCCTCTACAATGCACCGCGCAAATTCTGGTCTTACCAGCTGCAAGTTGGTAAGTTCCGTCCTCTAATTGAAAGTAAGGTAAATGTAAATACTGACGGTGACAGCGGAATCCACTTTCTGCTTCACTGGTTTCTTAATCGGGGACTTCTGCGGAGAAAGCAAGTCATCCTCCCAGTTCCAATCCCCTGCGCCTTGCGTCAACTCTTCCAGAGTTAGATCCCGCGCGTCAACAGATGTGGATTTGGCCTTGGGTTTGGGAGTCGTCGGCGCGGCCTTGACTGGAGACGAGATGGGCGAGGAGGGAGCCGCGTCCCAGAATGAGTTATCCATTTCGTTGAGGAGCTCCTTGATAAATAGGGCATCTTCGGTGGAGGTCATGGTGGTGAGAACGAAGCAGTGGTGCGGACGCGACGGCCAACAGCGACGCGATCACATGATGCAAGTCACGATTATGGCACATAATTTGGAGATTGAATTGATGGATTCCGAATGTCAAGACTGTATTCGGCTTATACAAGTCATTACCCAGAACATTCAAACGGGTGTATTTACAAGGTCAACAAAAACTCAAGATAATATAGAACCGTTTATTGACTATCCTCATGAGTGCCCAAGCAGCGAAGCTACTCGGATTAATCCAACACTAATCAGGAGAGCCGGTTCGACCCTACATGGGTCGTGAGTTCCGGGGATCATGACAGCGAAACCCCAACTCACAAGCTCGCCAGAAGGACCAAGATACCGCCAACAATCCCTTCTACGCCTAAGAGAAATTTCTCCACCGCAAGATCAAAGACCCGGATGAGCGTCGGACGGAGGACTCTACTCCCAATTGGGGCCTTCTTCAAGGTCTTGGCAGTGTCCTGGGAACGATTTTGGTTATTCATCGACATCGTAGCATAAGTGGTTCGCGGCTCACAGTAATAATTGACGCGATGAGAGCAGCGAGTTCCGCCTTTGTGGGCTCTGACTGTGGTGTGCTGATTTTACCCTTGAGTTCGGTGAGCGACGCGGTGGCGGTCTCGAATGCGCCGACTAGTTGCGAAAATAGCGGCTCAAAATCGTCGACGTTTCCGTTGCCGCTGTCAATTAAATCATCTACAGAATCAATCAGGTCAATTGCATGAACCCCATACCCAAGGAGTCGACCCACCAATTTGGGGAAGGATGTGATCACTCGCAGCCTTCAGGGTGGTAAGCACCTGGGCCGCTGCAACATCTGTGCCAACGTCACCCCCAGCACGCTTGACCGCAACAGTTTCAGCGACGGGCTTGGCTACGGACACGAAGCTAAAGCTGAGACCGAGGATAAAGAGAGGGAGGACACGAGAGAAGATCATTGCGGTTGAGTAGGTCGGTAAGGGGATTGAGGTAGGGATTGAGTCCCCCTGCCTTGCACATTTATACGTTTGGGGTATACAGCGATTCACCAGTTCATCGTGAGCAACTTGCTCAATCAGCCTCGGTCAAGCGGCGTCGGCCGCGGGGTGCGGAAGGACTTCAAGAAGAGAATGTTGAGTTCCATTATCATGGGAAGGAGAAGCTCGAAACTACTCCAAGTGAGTTCGATAGTACGCATCTAGTTATCAGCATGACCACCCCCACAAGGCGAGAGCTTCGCTTCCTTTGGAATATGGCCGTGAGCCATCATAAATAAGTACTCCTAGACACGCGGCAACTCGTCAGTTATAGCAGCAATGTGACCCAAACCGACAAGTCGAAGGTTCGCATGATTCCCTAGTACTTATCTAACTGTGGACCTCTTCTCGACTGACGCAGACCTTATTGTAATCCAATATATTATTATCCAACCAGGGAAGTTGATAAACTAAAGACAAAGTGAGATGAAGCACAAATACAATTGTGGATGCCAATGACAAATCTACGAGCTACAGGCTAATGAATGTGAATTGCGATAATAACTTAATGATGAACGAAATGAGCGTGAAGTGATCGTGATGGATCGTTGAAGGAGCGTGCCTTTGCGCGGTCGGGTGCAATGCGGAATGAGCAAGGGAGCAGGAGGTATCCGGAGGTTATAGGTTTCGCGGGGAGAGGAGGGCGTAGATGGAGACGTGATTCGATTACCATGTAGGGGAGGAAGTCTTAACATGCCTCATGACGCGACTGATATGTCTAGGCCGGGTGGTGTCTCGCTTCTTGTGGCACGCACCCTTTGAGGAGGAGGTAGAAGACGACTCAGAAGTGGAATTCGCTGCACCAGATGGGGAGGCGGCGGCGGCGGCGGCAGGTGAAGCAGTAGAGTTCGAGTTCGATGAGGAAGACGCTACGAGGGCGGCAACACGAGGACCTGGGAAAGGGTAATCCGCGTTCGGGTTAAAAGCCTAGGATACACATTGTTAAGTAAAGTGTTGTTGGGATAGAGAGTGATGGATAACTTACATCCGGGAAGAAGATGCCCTTGTCGTTATCCTTGTAGGCTCCCGGGAAGCTGACCAACTCGTTTCCGCTCGCTTGGCCATTTCCGTTACCAGTGACGGTGATCTGGGTGCAGGATGGGTAGAATTCTGCGCCTCCAAGGGAGGTGCCGAGATGGAGAGCAATGATCTCATGGCGGAGAAGGTAGTTCCCGGCGGCAAGGTTGGATGGAATGGGGACAGTAGCTGGGGCGCCGTTCACTGTTAAGTCTCTGTCAGTACAAGCAGCCAGCACCCGCAATTAATGGACATACTGAGGTCCTGTTGGACCCATTCCTTGTTGCCGGAAGTCTTCCTTCCAATTTGGTGAATCTTGAACCACTTCGCCTGAGTAGCATCGAATTTCTGGCAGCTTCCATCCTCAGTCTCGCACTTGGCCAGGTACGTCAACATCGGACCGGTATTGTGAGGCCAGTTCCCCGAATCCCCTCCAGCCCAATCAATATCAACGTTGTCGCCGGCCTTCACATTGATCGATTTGTCTGCGAAGAGCTTCTTGGGATCTGCGGTGGCGCCGCAGCCCAAGTTCTTGTTGTTTGCACCTTTGAGGGGAGAGACGTCGTTGATTTGGCGAGTAGCGGCAGCGAAAGGCTTCGCGTTCGGGGTGTTCTGGGGGAATGGGGTATTGTTGACAGTTACGGTGCGGACGAAACCATGAGCGGACGTTTGCGTAGGGAGTAGTAGAAGCAAAAGGGACAAGGTGATGGTGAGCGGGGCTGAGAGACGAGAGAACATCTTGGAGGGCTGTGTGGATGATTGTTGATTTGATGATAGGAAGGGTGGAATATCGCACAGCGATGGTATGAAAAGTTGGAAGTGGAAATTCGGAAAAGCCTCAGGCCTCTAAGTTGTCCAACTGCTCGTCGAGTGAGGGATAGCTAGGTAAAGGATAAAGTTGTCAGTGCTGGGCAAGCCTCGCATTTATATACATACCCAACGCTTCGGTGGGCTGGCCACTGCGACATGGCCACAATGGCCTTTTAATTGTTGGACCATTGTGTGACTACGGAGGAGCTGGCATACAGCAGAGTAGTTCTTTGTTTGTTTCTTTGTGCATGGCTGTCTTGCCGCCATTGTCACCGCCGCACGCGGACAATGAGGAGACAATAGAGGTTCAGAATCGGAGTTCGTATGTTTCCCATTTTAGAAGGACCCTGAGAACGGATCCAAATACTGATAGCGTCGGGATGTTGTGGCACCTGAAGCCTATCATTGATCAGGATGCCACTACGCCGAACCCGAGACTTCACTACCGCTTAATACTTTCAGGAAGTTCCTCAAACAGCGAAAGCGACTTAAGATGCCGGTTAAACGTTAAGGACGTGTCCATCGAAATGTGCCAAATCACCGGAGACAAACTGGGATGGTGAAGAAAGAAAGTCAGTTGTTAATTCGTTGTCTTGAACCGCATACCTGTCGCCGACGTTGAATCTGCTATTCAATCGCAGGCACAAAGTCCTCAGTAAATCATAACGATTGAAATATTCACCGCAAACGCACCCCACCGTAGGGGGTTAACTGTTTGTTTCAGGGATGGTTGACCGTGTGGTGTACAAATAAACAGTAGAGGCGCTCGACGACGATCCGAACAGCGGCGCCGACTGTTCTCCTCAGCTCACCGTTCACCGCTCCCTGGCCATCAGTCCACTCGCCGCCCTTCCCGCCTCGCTAGAGCTCCCCAGGGACCTCGGGCGACCTGAGATATACCATCGATCACGGTCGATAAATAAGGTTGTTTGCGAGCCTCGAGGACAATGCCTGGCCGAGAAAAAATTACCATGTACTCCGTGTACAAATAGAAAAGGGTTACATGCCTGAAGGAGGTTCGCCCCCTCCCCGTTGTTCTCTCGTCTTTGTCGTCGTGTAGGTGGTGAGGCAACACCTATATATGTGCGTCCTCCCACTGTTTGATCTGTTTGTATCTTTTTTCAAGTACTCATCGCTGGACGATATAGATATTTAGCTGCGCGCCTGCAATGATAGCAACAACATCCCTTCTATCCCTAGTCATCCTCCTCATCTCCACTCCTACCTCCGTCTCCGCACATGGCGTCGTAGCCATCGTCTCCGTCGACGGAAAGGCTTACAAGCAAAACCTTCCCGGCACACCATCTCCCTTCGCCTCTGCAACGCGCCTCATTACAACAGTCGAACCAGTCAAAGGCGCTGCCAACGCCGACACCCTATGCGGCCCCACCGGCAACCACAACACGCAATTCGCTGCGCAGACACTCCAAGTCAATCCCGGCGCGAAGATGGAGTTCGACTGGAGGGGAGGTGATATGAGTTTCTGGCCGCATAACACGGGACCTATGTTGACGTACATGGCGAGTTGCGGCGACGAGGGGTGCGAGAACTTCGATGCCACACAGGCGCGGTGGTTCAAGATCCAACAAGTCGCGAGGAAGCAAAGTGGTGATCGGGCGTGGGCCCAGGTGGATCTCAGTATGTTCCCTTCCTCTCCTCATCGGAGCTGTGTACTCACCCCGCCTCCAGTGTCCGGCGCCACGGCAGCAGTGACAATCCCCAAGAACATAGCCCCGGGGAACTACCTCATCCGCCACGAGATCATCGCTCTCCATCTGGCAACCCAGCGCGGTGGGGCTGAATTCTACCCATCCTGTACGCAGATCAGAATCACCGGCAACGGTAGTGGGAAGCCGACGAACAGTGAGATGGTCAAGTTCCCGGGCGCGTACAGCGACGATGATCCAGGTATCTTCTTTCCTGGCGTAAGTCTTATATTGAAATATATGTGCGCCATGGCTGAATATATGCGCAGACCTTTGACCCGGACGCTCGATACGTGTATCCCGGGCCTCAGATTGCGGCGTTCGTCACTTCGCCGGGGTCCTCGAACAACGCGGACAACGATTCCCCTGTCTCGACGTCTGCTTCCTCCACCGCCTCCAACCCCAACGCCTCCCCGTCCTCCACCCCTTCAACATCGTCCGGTACCTCCACCAATTCTGATTCGTCGTCTTCAGGATACCACAGCCAATGCCACCTCAAGCGACGCGCTCCCTCACAAAACGACTCAGCTACTAGGCTATCGGCTCGATCGTCACCGCCGGACAACTCGGCACCGATGCGAATCAGCCGTATAATGGTGCAGCATCTGCGCAACCTGGGATTGGGGGTTGGCGTGAACTTCAACGCGAACGGGCGGAACACGAAACGACGACATTAGGCTACTGTGGGTTCATTGCGGAAGATTCGGTTCATTCCGTATATTTATGAAGTGGTGGTGGTTGGGAGAGGGAACGGCGGAAGTAAATGGTGCCCACGTGACACGCGACTCGTCACGAAATTCGAACGCGCTGTGTGTGTACGGGCTCGAACACGCGTTAGGCATCGAACCGGGCATGCGCACGTCGCATAGCCGATCCATTAATCTCTGCTCTGCGGCACATGCTATATCTCCGGCATATCGACCCCACCTTGCACCAACACACAGAAGTCAGTTCGCAGTCGCTCCCTACTATCTAATCTTCGCCTCTAGTTACTGGTCATGGAGTTATTGGGGTTGAAGTTGTTGCGGTAAAGTAGGTATCTATTCAGCGTCGCTACACGGTATGGTATGTACGATAACTTGCAGACAGAGGATGGTCCACATGTATTTGTGATTGTACGACACGTACCGAAAGCCTGAAAATGAAATGAAGTAACAAGCTGGCATGCAGCTCGTGCATGAAGTATGTCCCTAGTGCATGTTAGCAATTAATTCACCGTTCGTTCGTGTGCGCAGCCGGTCGCCAGGACCGGTTTTGATATTCGCATCTGGGTGAGCGAGAGACACTGGTGAGCGTGGATAGTTAATGCTAGCTGGCTTTGCAGAGAGCCTGTACACATCGCCTACAGGCCACATCGTTAGACTCATCCGGTGCGTAGATGTCGTTATCGAGTCCATCATCGTAACACATCATCTCTATCCCCGAGTACACCTCTGCACCCTCCCAATCAATCGTCGCTGAATCTTCACCTTCCAAGTCCCTAATCGCGCTCTCCGGAATGCAGCAGAGCATGATTGTCGCTTTGGTGAGTGGTATCTCCAAGTGTTTGCGGTGTTCGAGGAGATTCCTAAGAGCGAAGAATGAGTCGAACAGATGATCACCTTTTGTATACCGACACTTTGATATCGTGATCGTTTGCAGTAGAGGAAGGGGAGGGGCCCTGACATGTTCGCGAGACCCGGAGCAGGCTTGTCATGTTAGCGTCGTAAACGGTGAGGTGCTTGACTTCCTTGCGGACGCTGAATAGACTTACCCATCCTTTTAACCCTGCTAACGTCGACGTAGGGGCGGTCTGTAGCGCCAAGACCGAGAAGAATCCCGAGTATGCTGCGGTGTAGTCGCGACGTCGTAATAGCACGGCGAAAGAGAGCTCCCCGGGGCCCGTATGTCCCCCGCTGCTGAAGACACTGAAACGAAATGATGGATGGATGGAAGGCACTTAATTTGACTTGGTCGATGGTGATTGCCCCTGACCCAGAAAATCACATAACCCGACAAACTCGACAAGTCCGGTTCTCTAACAGGTCGGATGAAGTAAAAGAATGAAAGGTTGGCCAAGATGGCGCGGGTTTCGAGATCATCAGCTTCGATGGATAGACGCAATAGGTTAAGGAGTTTGGCACGTATCCTTGGGAGTTCAGGTGTTTCGTCCTTGACAAGACAAGCAACATTGATTTCTTCGGGGAGCGCTGAATGAAAGTAAAGTTGAAGGTCGGAGAGCGAAGATGCCCGGGACGAAGACTCTCAAGGTAGTTAAGTGAGGTAATGATGGGAGCTCGGGGGGAAGGACGATGTTGCGGAGATGTAGGGCCCGAAGAGAGGGCATTTCCCGTAGTAACGATACGAAAGCTAGGATATTGATACTTCGATGAAAGCGCTCTAGCTGGGACGCCGGAACAGACGCGTTCAAGAGTAGAAGCTTGAAGACATCTTGGCCCGTCCGTGCCTCGACATGGAGTGTTTGTATACGCTCTACCGCACACACGACTTTCTTGGCCACAATCTCCCCTCTCTGAGAGTATGAAACGCGGTCCCCTGCTCACTTGCAGAGGTCCAGACTTGGATCTTTCGAGCAGCATCAGAGCGCGTCTTGGTAGAGAAATGACAATCGAACTCCACAAAAGAACCGACGCGTGTGCAATCTCGCGCCAGCGACGGCATCCTACGGCGACAGCGAGCCAGTGTTTTTCTTCTGAAAAGGGCAGGATGGCGATGTGAGGTTTCCTGGCTGTACTAGAAGAAAAATCGATGCCAAGGTTTCCAGAGGGAATTTCGAGATGGTGCTGTGTGCATTGCGTCGGGTCGAATGGCTACCTCGTGAGCAGCAATTTCTTCGTCAATAACACGGTGAGCCTCAGCATCCTGGTCGACCGCTGAGCGCTGAGCGTGTAGACCTAAGATTATATCGACGATGATAGATGAGAGAGCAATGTCAGTGATACTGTACGGATAGTCGGATTTCAACATGGTGGTAAGTTGCAGATCGATGTCACGAGGGCCCCTCAGTGAGTATGAATCTCACCGAACACCAAACTTACGTAGAAACTCTTCACGTTGTTGGAGGACATCAAGTCGCGCAGATTCTATGTGCGGTCTGCTACTACGTACGCACAGGGGGTGCAATGGCACATGGGGCTAGGCGTCTCTGAGGTTTATGGAACGAAGGCTGGGATGCCATCACACTCATTGGTGAGCACGGACTCAGATTTACAGGTTCTGGCTTTCGAGCCGTCGCTCATCTTCTCTCTTGCGAACCGTGATTTCTGGCTCAGTCTCCATTGGCGGTCTCAACGAGGGACTCAAGAAGGCTCTCGCCATCGACCTCTCCGTTTGAGGCTTCCGATGTCAATCGCGCGCTCGCAAACCTCTCAGTAAAGACGAGTTCAGAATGGACGACCTCTTGACTGGTCATCGGACGTATTATAAAGTATTCCTCTCCTTGCGTCCCTTATCACCTTTGTGGTCTACTGCGGTACGAGGACTTGTACATTGTGGTATAGGCCGCACGTGTGCCTTTCTTCACTTACCACTCCCCCCCCCCCCCCCCCCGATTCGCTCGCCAAATGGCCACTCATGTCTTGCGCCGACACTGGCTGTCGCTCTCCTGCTTTCTAGGTGTTATCTGCGCAACTGTCGCAAAGGGAGACCCATTCGTCAGTGTGGAGGCGGTTGACGTACTTCCTGGTGGCCTCCCCAAGACAGGGTGCGTGGGCGACAGCCTTGTGTACTTCGTACTAATTACAGGCTCCATTCTGGTAGGTACTGGCACAAAGAGTACAATGATAGATGCGGCGCAGACCTGTTCGAAGCGCATGGTGCGAATGCTGGGATGTCCTTCACCTTTATTGGTAAGTGCCAGACATGCTCGCAGCGATTATGATTATGATTACCTATCGGTGCATTCATAGGATCTGGTTTTGTCGCTCGCCTTCTCTCCTGCGAGACGTGCTCTCCAGTTGAGATCCACATCGATGACTCCAAGGAACCTATCACTGTCGACCTCTCCGAGCGTGGCTTCAGATGCCCTACAGGCAGCCCTGTGTTCACCAAGACGGACCTCGTACACGGTATGCACACTATACGAATTCAGCGCCTAGAGGAAGGAAAGCCAATGAAAGTCATGAAGTTTGAGTACGTCTTTGTTCCTCGTTCCGTCCACAGAACTCAACGAGTGGTTCACTAGGTACCTGACTCATGCACCACCTACTCCGAGCTCCGGGGAAAGCGACGAATCTTCATCTCCGCCTCCTTTACCTGAGTCTCCTCAAATAGCATTCTCCGCCGCTGCCGACACCGCTGGGAAAGCTGCGTCATCGATCGCTACTTCGGCCATGAAATCGGCAGCAAGAGTCGTAGCCAAACAAGCAGCGGGGATAGCGATGAGCTACGCCGTGATGACTGGTGCCAAACTCGTAGCCAAAGCGGCGATGGGGTATGTCGCTGGGGAAACGATGGGGGATATTGTTGCGGATGGGCTGACAGGTGCGATGAGTGACGGGGGTGAAGGCTTCAGTGTTGCAGGCGACGGGGGCGGATGGTTTGATACTGCAGGAGTCGATGGGAGCGTGGACACGGGTGGCCTTGTTGACGGAGATATGCCTGTGGATGGGGGCGATGTTTCTGATGCGCTGGTCGATATACTCAGTGGGATTGCAGCCACATTGTTCTAGTCCAATTTCTCTCTGTCTATCGTCGGCTAGCCATGTACAATATGTATCAATATATTTTGTTCTGCCTTCCGCGGGCCCTTCTCTCCAACAAATCCTGCCAAGATTCGAAGAAAGGGGCTCCGTAACTTGGACGTAATGGCGGTCCGAGGGCTTATCCTCATCTTGTCGAGCTTCACTCAACATCGATCGACACTCCAGCATACTCTGATAATGTTCTGTACAGCAGCTCTTGCTATCGAGTGTTAGCTCATTTTATATCTAGGTCCATTCGCGCCATTGACGTGGCCACAGCCCGTGGTACCACTGAAATTGCAAGGAGGACTGTTCTCGACGAAGCCTCAATTCCTGTTTCCAAACCCTATAACCGGACTTCGACACTCCCACCGGAAATCCTGTCGCAGATATTTCTTGCTGCGAAGGACGGGAGGCTCCCTGCTGGTACGCCCAAGGAAGCAGGCTGGTTGAACGTTGCTGGCGTATGTCAGGAATGGCGCAAAATCGCGCTCGCTTCCCCTCGAATGTGGTCTTCCATCGACCTCTCGAAGCCCGATTGCGCCCTAGAACTCTTCAGGCGATCCAAGGCCGCGCCTCTGCGGATATACTGCAGCACGAGTCCCCTGGACATCGCCACAGCCGATAGAGATATGATCAAGTCCGTTATGGCGGAAATAAGCCGTGTAAAAGAAATTGATATCTGTGCAACCATGCAGCACGAGATTGTCTGGTTCCTGGGGTTCAACCTGGGTGCAAGCGCTCCGTTGCTGGAACACCTTCGCCTGATCGTTTCGGATCAGGGACTACCATCCGCTACTGCTCCATTCCCTCTCGTTGCCATGCGCCGCCAAATGCCTTCCCTTCGTCGCCTCACTCTCCAAAAAATCAATATTTCTGAGCTCCCACCGCTGCCTCATCTAACGCACTTGGCCATCTCGCTCGATGATTGGTCCACAATGCGACCAATGTCTTTGCTTTCTTCCCTCCGCCATTCTCCCAAACTAGAAGAACTCGACATCACTGGCTTGGTGCGGGACAAACCTGGAGCCTCCCCGCCTCGCGTTAAGCTTCCGAATCTCACGCGTATATCCATCACGTCCTTTGATCTTGAATCCTCTGCTATCTTTGACAGCCTTGAGTATCCGCCCAGCTCGTCCGTGGCATTCACCAACGAAAACTGTCTTTCAGGAGCACCAGATCTTTCCAGCCTAGTCCGACTTTGTGGACGGCTCCTTGAAGAAGGCGCTCCTGCCGCGCAAACGATCTCCTTTATATCGTCTCGACTGGTTGTTTCGTGCCAGGGACCTCCAATCTCCGACAGGCTTTCCATCACTCTCGACATGGGGTATGGTAACCAGAGTGCCGCCTTCATTCCTCTCTCCTCGGCCCTGCCACTTGAATCCGTCCTTGACTTGGAGATAGGCCAGTTCTCCGAGTCCGACGTCACAGACGCGCAGTGGATAACGATTTTCCAACGCTGCAAGGCATTGGAAAGACTGCGCCTCCGAGACCAGGCCCCCCTCTCCCTATTTGAGGGCTTCGTCAAGGCGCCCCAGTCTGGGTTGCCTCACCCTGCACCAAAGCTGCAATCCATCGATCTAGTGGAGTGCACCATCATTGAGCAAGAATTCCGCGATTTTTATCCCGACGAGTCGTACCCATTCAACATATTTGAGAGGTTTCTCGGGCTGCGAAAGCACTCCAATTTGCCGGTCAGGGACGTGTATATCGAGAATTGTGAGATCACCAAAGACGCTGTTGCGAGGCTCGAGCGGTCACGGTATACAAACATAATCTGGGATGGTGTGGACCCAGATGATATGGGAGAAGACTCGGAAGACTTAGATGATGATGATGAGGAGGAGGAGGAGGAGGAGGAGGAGGAGGAGGAGGAGGAGGAGGAGGAAGAAGAAGAAGAAGAGGAAGAGGATTACGATCAGGATGGATCCGACGATGACTAGTGCATTTGACACACCAATTTTGTGGATCCAATTTGCGAGTAGTGTTGAAAACGCCCAATGAATCAAACATCAACGTGATGATAATGTAAATACTCTTCATCTCACACTCCCTACCATTAATATTACACGCCAGCCTGACAGTTTCCAGACGATCGGTATGGAGTCTGGATGGCCCACATCGTTTCATCAGCGCCCAAGTCAACAGTTTCAATGTTCGTTCGTCTGACATCAATTCCGGTTCCATGAGTGAGAAAGTGATACCTGTAGGCGCTGCAACATTCAAAAGCGGTTGCTTGCCGACACACATGCGGACGACTGCCTTTCGCCTCCCTCTCGCTCCCCGGGCACCACTGTACAGAGTACAGACACCAACTGCTAGGCTGGTCCTACCACGTTGAAATCTCCTGTGCGTGCGCAGTGCATGATGCGCCTTATGTAAAACTCCACAAACCGGTGGAGGCTGACTTGATCCTTACTACTTGCCTTTGCGGTACAGTACTCACCGCTAGCCCACCCACGATTCGCCCAAACGCACCCACCAGTGTATCCCACTATCGCACCAGCGCACCAGCGCACTAGAAGTTCGCACCTTTCGACCGCGATCATGATGTACACCCGCCTTCACATCCTTCTCCTCCTCGGCCTCGCCGCATTCGCATTCGCATTCGCCTGCGCAGCGCCCTTGCCCGCTCCCCGCATCCCAGGTGTCACGCTCCGCGCCATACACCCTTCGCAGCCGCTGCGCACGCGGTTCCGCGACACCGAACGCCGCAGCTGGCACAACCTGGCGTCGAAGTTCCCTGGGTTTGATTGGGCGATGGGCAGGAGAAAGAGGGCACCGCGGTAGGCCATACATTGCACTTGGCCTCGGACATTCGACGTGCTGACAGAAGTTCACGTTCAGAGCCGAATTGGATGTATTTCTCATGAGGTCGTTAGAGGATTCCGCCATCGCCTCCGTAGACCAGCGGGAACCCCGGCGCCCTCGGGTCGCCTTGCATCCGTAGACTCAGAGTCGTTCGAGTTTCTGCTTCAGATCTTCAGATGTGTATCCTCTATGCGCGCTCACCAAGAGCAAGTGTTGTATAAATAACGTGACTCCCCGTCGTTGCTCTCCCTCAGACTGCAACTTGAATAGTCGGAAACTCGTAAAGGGTGTACCGTATTGCGTTACCTCGACGCGGCCTGCGCGCTTCCGAGCATCAGGTGGGTCAAGGATGATATATACTCGAAGATGGTTTCATTGCATTGTTCTTGTATTGTGGGAAGATCGTCTTCCTACCAGCGGCACCCACATCCACAGGTTGCACTCAGTACTACCTAGCGATCTCCAACACGGCCATGGCCTCAATCGCAAAAGGTACGTCCATCAGTCCACCAATGGCTGGATCGATGACCTCGCTGGCCGGCTAACACGATCGATGCAGGGAAAGCCCGCGAAGGATCGGAGGAGGCCACAATGCGCCAGATGGAGGAGCTCAACCGTCGCCTCCTCGACGAGTTCAAAGCCGAAGACGCGACCGGTGAGCTCCACTTCCCTCTCCCAACAATCCCCAAATACACCCCAGTATCAGTATCAGTATAACACACATAAACTCCCATAAACTCGCATCATGAATCTTTGATAATGATTCGACAATGATATGATAATATGATAATACTATGGACTCAACTCCGTGTCGTCAGCGCAATCGCGGGGGTATACTGTGACCTCGACGATCGACCTGCGCACGATGCCGGTGGACGCCGCGCCCCCGGCCGCGCGGGTGGCGAACATATTCACGACGCAGCCGCAGGACGGGGCCCTCACAGAGAACGTCGAGTGCATCCTGCACAGCGCCGCAGCGAAGCAGGAGCTCATCGAGTACCCCAACTTCCCGCGGCCCACCCCCCGCTCGCACACGAACCCAGTGATCCCTGTGCTCCTCGCCTCTCTCAGCGACGACGACGACGGCGACGGCGAGGGGGAGGGGCAGGGGCAGGGGCAGGGCGCGGAGGTGAAGGCGCCCTACCGCATCGCCGAAGTCCCGTCCAAGGGCCTGGGCATGCTCGCGACGCGCGCCATCCCCCAGGGCGCCTTCATCACGGCCGAGCGCCCGCTGCTGCTCGGGCCGCAGGCGCAGCACCTCGACGGCCACAACATGCAGTTCTCCGCCACCGCCACCGCGCGCCAGCGGCAGCGCGCCGCCTTCACCGAGGCGGAGAAGAACCTGCGCATCGCGTTCGCGCGCATGGCGCCCGCGAACCAGACGGCGTACACGGCGCTGCACAACGCGCACCAGAGCGACGGGAGCGGGCCCATCACGGGTGTTATGCGCACGAATGCGTACGAGGTGTGTCGTCTCGAAGGTGCGTGCTGCGTGTTTGTGTGAGGGTGGGTGTGCTGATTGGGGGGATAGGCAGGACGTATGCGGGCGTCTTCAAGGACTTGTCCAGGGTCAACCACAGGTAGACCACCAAACCTCCGTCGTCTCATACCAATACCGCGACTGACCGCTCCCGCCTTTTCGCTCTCCCCTTCTCTGTCTTTGCAGCTGCAGCCCGAACACCACCTCATATTTCGATCGCGCCTCGCTCTCCATGCTCCTCTTCGCCGTGCGCGACATCCCCCCCGGCGCCGAGATCACCTCGACCTACTGCGGGCTCCTGCAGCCGCGCGCCGCACGCGCCAGGGCGCTCAAGCCATACGGCATCCGCTGCGCCTGCGCCGCCTGCACCGACCCCGACCCCGCCGCCTCCGACGCGAACCGCCTGCGCATCAGCCGCGTGGCGGACGCCGTGCCCGCGATCGTCCGGTGGGCCGGCAGCCCCGCGCTGCCCGACGGCCTCCTCCTGCGCCCGGCGCTCGCGCTGCTGCAGGTCATCGAGGCGGAGGGCCTCGAGGGGTCCCTGGCGTACGTGCGGGTGCTGTACCACGTGGTGCTGATACTGCAGGTGCTGGCGGTGAGGGGGGTGAGGGGCGCGGATACGGACGGGCTGCTGGTGTATGCGGCGAAGTGGGCAACGCTGCGTGGGTGTAGGGGCGAGGGAGAGCGCGTGGGCGAGGCGCAGTTCAGGGAGGAGAGGGAAAGGGTTATGGCTGCGGCGTTGGCGCGCTCTCGGTTGGCGCCAGAGGGAGGGCAGAGGGCTGTGGAATGAAACTTGGAAGTCAGTATTCAATGCTATTCCGCTGCGGACACAATAAAGTCGAATGAGATTGTTGCCTGTTTTGTATTATTACTACTACGTTACGTGCAATCTGATACCTTGTGCAGCCTATCCATTGCGTTGGAAGAGGAGCTGTATTGCAATCTACGCCGGTATGCGATATACAATGTCTGGTACATGACAAGGCGTGGATAGGGGATGAACGGAGAAGTGAAACGACGCGAACGGAGGAGAAAAACGACGAGATGGATTCATGTTGACTTTTGAGAACTTCCACCAGCTGGCGCGTCGATTCGTGCTAAACCGTTTACGCGTCTACGGCCGACTCTGAGATCTGGGGTCTGGGGCCTGAAGGAGGTGTATAAAGGAGGCGCAGTGTCCGCGCGTTGGAGGGCTGGGTTCAGCGGGCTGTGTATGTGAGTAGTCGAGTATTTGAGCTCGAGTAGCAGGGGGAGCGTGGGGGAGCACAGGAGGAGTACAAGCGGGGGAGAGGGGGAAAGAGGGGGAAAGAAGAGAGGACGTGGAGAAGAGGACGCGGAGAAGGGGGAAGAGGAAAGAGTAGGTTGGGCAACGACAACGAAGCGAGAGACTTACGAACTCTCAAATATCGACCCAGAGCGTTACCTAGTGGATCCGAAAGGTATGTCAGTTCGTTTCAAACCATAGAACCAAGCTGACCTACGATTGGACGATGACCGGCGACCGATGCCGAGGAAAGTTGGAACGCTGGCGGCACAACGTCGCCTCCCTTCCTTTCCCTCTTCCTCCCATTCTCCCCATCGCTCGTTCTCTCGTTCCGTCCGTCGGCGTGGCCATAGCCATCGTAGTCAACCTCGAGCTTCGCTTCGTCTCAGTCCCCGTCGTTGCGTCCCTCTTGATAGTCGTACCTGATTCTACTTCTACCTCCCAGTTCCCCTCGCCTTCGTCTTGGCCTTCGCACTCTTCGACAACGACGTATTCACCTATCCACGTTCTTCACAAGTGTTCGGGTTCGCTATGCCGAGGGTATCAAAGCCAGCAGCCTTCCATGATATACGATTGATCAGTCTTGTCATCACGGTGTCTCATGTTTCTCCAACGAGGCAAACAATGTTCCAATGTTCTCATGTTTTCGCGTGTCTTCTGTTGGTCTACGCTTGGCAATCTAAGCTCGATGCTATTTTTATACGCTTTGGCGCTTTATTATGCCCAGGTATCGTTGTCGAATGTCAGGTTCTGCAACGTACTCATCCGTCCGTACTTCGTCTAGCTCCGCGAAACCCCCGTGCACTGTTGGTACTTCAAAGTTCAGGCGATGCAAGTCAGTGTGCAGCCCGGTTGTTGGCAGAGAAATCGGGAGAAATCGCGAATCGCGCGCAGCAGCCTTCTTTGACCACGATGCATGATCCATGAGCGTTTGTCGTTCCATCCGTGTGTGGGTGAGATATACCAGGCTGTATCATCATGCTCTCGAAATGCGGAATCTACGAATGGTGAAAACTCTGTAGCTCGGAGGCTGATGGTGCCCCACCCGCCGAGACATGGCATCAACGAGAAGTGAGGAGTGCAGATCTTGGTGTTCCTATGACTTCCAACGTGAGCTGCCACGCTGTTCGGGGCTGATCCTTATATAAGCTATGGGACATCTCGCTGCCTTCGAAGTTCTGCACTGTTTTCCCCGCTCTTCCGACCTTACTGACCACTTGTACTCGCGCAGGGACTTGCAGATTGCCTTTGCAGAAACAATGAGGGACCGAGAGGGCACATTAACTAACATCGTACGTGCCTGCGGACTTTGCACCTCATTTGGGCACTCAGCCAACTGGTATCCGGCAGGAGGACGCGGATGTGCCAGGCCAACAAGCTCAAGGTTTCAAAGTCCCTGACCCGTGAGGACCCCTTCTCAGCTAGAAATAGTACGGGCTCACAGTCACCATATAACCAGGTTTGCACCGAGGGAGCAGCAGGCTGCCGCTTCCGTAGTCCATGCTTTTCTTGCTACGGCAGTCAGCCGATGTTGGCACATTCTGTTGTTCTATGGGGCCTGGGCGACCATGGTGACTCTTCTAGGCCACAATGGATACGACATAATCGTCCAGCCTACGCTCTTAACCGTGTAAGTACCTGCTTATAACCGATACTCTCGAATGGTTGAACAAAAGTGGTTAGAGTGGGAACGGTCCTGGGCTTCGTTATCTCATATCGGACAACTTCGTCCTTCGAACGGTACAATGAAGGCAGAAGACTTTGGTCACAGATTATAATAGCCAGTCGGTCGTTTGCGAGAGTGCTTTGGTTTCATGTTCCAGGTAGCTTCCACCCAATCGCCATTTGTCACAACACGCGCCGATACGAAATTAAAACAGATGCAGCACCCCCAACTCCTGGCGTCGAAATTTCAGCAGATGAAGAGAAAGCACGCTCAACGATCGAGAAAAAGACCGCGATAAACCTGGTAGAAGCGTTCGCTGTGGCGATCAAGCACTATCTCCGCAACGAAGATGGAATCTACTACAGGGACCTATACTACCTAGTGAAATTCCTGCCCGAATATGCACTGCCTGCTGGACGACCTTCGGAAACTGATCTGTCTTCGCCTCCGAAGTCTGACTTCTCCTCCAATGCTCGCGATGGCGGCACGCTCGAGGAAAAGTCAGTTGATCAATCACAGCACGTTCGCTATCGACAGCATGTTTCTACCGGAGGCTCGCTCCCGTTCCCAGCCACGACACCTTCGACTCGCCCTCCCGACCGCCGCAAAGATGGCGACCTCCCACTACCACCATTCCGCCGAACCAATACGACGAACACGATCATCTCCCAGAGCGATGAAATTTATTTGCTCCCCGGGAATCTCACTCCCTCTTACTACATTCTGACCATATTTCCGTTTTCTCTTCTCGACCGAGTTCTGAAGAAGAAGAAGAGCACAAAAACCAAAAAAAAGAGAGCAGAGCTACGTAACAAGGCCATTTCTCACAATATACCATTGGAGATATCGCTCTACCTCGTATGTTTTATGTCCACTTTGAGGAGTCACCTCTAAAGTGTAGCACACAGAGTTCTTACGTCGCGGCCTTGCAGCGTCGACACACGATCGACGTTCCTACCACGAGTGCGTGTCACCGTAGCTTGTTGGATACCATTCTTAGCACCTCCTGTTCTGTTTAGACTCTCTTCTCCTCTCTCTCGGTCAACTGGTCGATAGCTTAACTGGTTTGGAAAGGATTCTTACTACTCCCATCCCGTTCTCGTAAGGATCCCTCGCTTCTCGATTTCATCTTTCTGATCATCAACGGATCGTGGCTAACCCCCTTGCGTATGTTAGGTATTCCTTTCACCTCTGGGCGATTACGACTATCTTCTGTCTTCTCTTGGTTCGGCCTCTCCTTCCGTACTCGTTATCAGACGCTTGGGTTCTTATCTATGATCTATTTTTTCTCACATAGCCGTTTCAAATCTGGGCGCAGCTTCACTGGCTAACCATCCCCGGCACGGTCGTTACGGTAGGCCTGGGACAACTTTGATACGGGATGTTGGCGGCTGAGGGATCTAGCAGGCTTTCTTCTTCTTCGGATTCCTGGTCGCTGGCGAGGAAATTGAAAGTAAGCATCCCGAAAACACTCCGCCTGCGTACTGTCTAATGAACGATCGTCGCTGAGATCCCTTTGGTGAGCGTATTTGCATAATCTCTTATAACTGTAACCTTGCGCTCACAAAGTACGGCCTCTCAGGCTACGACAAAAATGACCTGGTATGCTTCCTGTGCACGTTTCTTTCACTTACCAGTAGCATTGACATTCACATACAGAACTTGGATCACTTCACACACAATATCATACGTATGTGCCCTGTTCTTTTGACACTTTTCATGGGCTGCTCTGATGTTAAATCCTCCTGGTTCCCACTGCGCTGGTGCCCCTGCGTTCCACGCTCATCGGTGTCATGTTGGCTAACGTCTTCGACTCCATATGCGCCGCTACTTTCTCCGGTAGGCAATGAGCTACGCGCAATCACCTCCACGCCCCCTCCGGACCCATCTACCTGGGCGTTTTCCCGGCAAAACGATCTGATATTTGCATCGCACGTAGACGAACAAGTGGCCCGCATCCCGCCGGAGGAGTGGGTCGCAAAGGGATATGGGAAGATGCAGGAAGCGTTGGCAGACATCCAGGGCAAGGGCTCTCCTTCGCCGAAGGATCCAGCCGATCCGTGATGGGATAGGGCACGGTGCAAGTGACATGGGTGGTGGTGGCGTAGCATGCAGGCGTGCATCGGGACGAACGCGCTGCGAGAGTTTACCCCCTCTCCCATGATTTGGTGATCATCTTCGTCAGATCGGACCGCATGTCGCCTTTTCTCGGTCTGATGTTCGAATCGCTGTGTTATCGCGCCCGTGCTTTGTCGGTTGTGTACGTGTAGATTGCGATGGCCTGTATCTACTATCAATACCGCATTTGCTGAACTTTGACGAAGTAGACGGCCTTGTTCGTATGCGGGAATATTGTCATTGTCTTTCAGCCCTGGAAGTATCTTTATCGATCCGTGATGTGGCGGCATGGCTCGGCGTTGTGGAAAAGTCTGAAATTTGAGTCGCACGGCATCTCCATTGAAGAGAAATAACAATCCATCTACCCCTCGGACCGTTACCCACATTGAACAACAGTCGCCTTACAGCAGTGGCTTAGATTTCCTCCTCGCTCTGCGGCGGTCCGAGTAATCCACACTTGACAGCTTGAGGGATTCCATGCATTCCGCATCTCACCATTCCGTGCTCGGCCCTTGGCTGAGAAGCCAAGGCCTCTATTGCTTTTGCCGCTCTGCTCCATGCCGTTTTAATAGATCACCTTCATGTTTGACTCCTCGTTGTGCCTGCAGCAGCAGCCAGTTCCCAGGAATATCAGCGGTTGATCGGTACAACCTCGCTCATATCACAAGCCGTCTAGCACAGTTTCTCTTTACTGCTACCGCTTGCTTGTGCTCACCAGCCAGTAGAAATGCGTAAGAACTTGGAAATGACAATGACCGGGAAACGCTACAAGCGGCCCGCGCGTAGCATGCGTTGTCTTGCTTTACGCCGAAATGAAATAAAGCCGAGTGGGTGAATGTCTATGTATATGCATTGAATTTGGCGCTAGGGTCTTACAGAACATGATCTTTACTGACCGACTCAGAGGGATTTATGCTGATTCGTGACCGGTAACCATGCGATTCAAGGTAATGTCAAGGGTGGGTAGCTGTTGTCCAGATACAAAGAAGTATTGCCAGGGACTTAGAGAAATACTGACTCCACGAATTTATCTACTTACATATCATAGGTGTATAGTTCATTCTCTAGTTGCCCCTAAAGAGCCCTAAAGGTCCCTAGGAACCCCTAGAAAAGAGTCACGCGATCCTATCCGATGGTCGTTATCTTATCTCTCCATCCAAGTTGCCAATCGCGTCAAAATTGCATGGTCAATCCATCGTGACTCGGAGACTGCATGCTGTCGCGATTGCTTCTTGTTCCTTCATCAATACGTGGACCGTCGCGCCCTCTCCGTTGTAAATATCCGTATCGATCTCATTCTCTGCCATATCTCCCACTTTACTCGGCTTTTGCTGTGAACCTACGCTGTAACTCGACTACGCGCGACCAAAATCAGTTAAATCACGCTTCAAGTATCGACTCAGACTCGAATATGGCTACCCCTGCACCCAGCACTGTGAACAAGACCGCACACCCCTTCGAAAAGCCCCGTCTAGAGGCGCTTCTGAATCGCAGGTTCTTCTACGCGCCAGCTTTCGAAATCTATGGTGGTACGTACTAAACGGATTGTATTGACGTATGTTACAAGGCATGTCTGTTTACAGGCGTGGCTGGCCTGTACGACTACGGCCCACCAGGCTCCTCGTTGCAATCCAACATCATCTCAGAATGGCGGAAACACTTTATCGTCTCGGAAAATATGCTTGAACTTGATACAACTATAATGACTCCCGCACCTGTGTTTGAGACATCTGGGCACGTAGCAAGATTCGCCGATTGGATGGTCAAGGACGTGGTCAATGGGGAGGTTTTGAGGGCCGATCATCTGGTTAAGGGCGTGCTGGAGGGGAGACTAGAGGGCAACAGGGAGGCCAGAGGGTTGGAGGCAAAAGCAAAGGAGGAAGGAGAGGATGCAAAGAAGAAGAAGAAATCGAAGGTTAAAGTCACTGCCGTTAAGCTGACCGACGAGGTCGTGAAGGAATATGAGAGTATCCTCGCAAAGGTGGGTTGACCCCTTGTACTGGCTTGAACTCTATGGATTATCGATAACAGCTAGATAATTACTCCGGCCCAGAGCTGGGTGAGCTTTGTCGAACCCATCACATCAAGAATCCGGATACGGGGAACGATGTTAGCGAGCCCCAGCAATTCAATCTTATGTTCGCTAGCAGTATTGGCCCAACCGGCCAACATCCAGGGTGATTTTTGACGCGATTTTGCCCCCCTCACGCACGCTGCTAATATCAATTCTAGTTACCTCCGTCCAGAGACTGCGCAGAGCCATTTCCTCAACTTCTCTCGATTGCTCGATTTCAATAACGGTCGCATACCATTCGCTTCGGCGCAGATCGGACGGTCTTTCCGCAATGAGATCTCTCCCCGGGCTGGGTTGCTTCGTGTACGCGAGTTCACTATGGCGGAGATAGAACACTTCGTGGACCCGGAGGACAAGCGGCACGAGCGTTTCCACGAGGTGCGAGACGTCGTCCTTGTTCTTCTGGACCGACACGTCCAGGCTGCGGGCAGGACTGAGGTGGTGAATATGAGCGTTGGTGAGGCGGTGGATAAAGGCATAATCGCAAATGAGACGTTGGGCTATTTCTTGGCTCGTATATATCAATTCCTCCTCAAAATTGGTATCGACCCACAACGACTCCGTTTCCGACAACATATGGCCAACGAAATGGCTCACTACGCCACCGACTGCTGGGATGCTGAGATCGAGAACTCTACGGGCTGGACGGAGTGTGTAGGCTGTGCCGATCGTGCCGCGTACGACTTGACTGTGCACTCGCAGAAGACTGGGCATCCTCTGGTCGTCAGACAAGCCTTGAAAGAACCAATCGTCTCGGAAAAAGAAGTGGCAGAGTTCGACAAAAAACTTTTGGGGAAGACTTTCAGAGGGGATGCCGGTGTATTATCAAAACTCGTTGAGTCCATGGACGAATCGGCTCTTCTGAAACTGAAAGGAGAACTTGCTCAAGGGTCAGTGGGACCGTTTCGCTGTCGTTCCACCGTTTTCTATGAAATATAGGTCGTCTGACTGCTTTTTACACGCAGTCCCGCGGTCGTTAGCACCCCCGATGGCAAAGAATTCACCCTCGCACCAGAATTATTGACAATCGAACGTAGAACATTCAAGCAATCAAGTAAGTCCCTCGATCCTCGATCCATATGTATTGAGCTTGGTCTCACGTGGCCCACATCTAGTACGAGAGTTCACCCCCAACGTCATCGAGCCATCGTTTGGTTTAGGTCGAATTCTGTACACGCTGCTGGAGCACTCTTTCTGGTGCAGAGAGCAGGATGTAGAACGCGGGGTAAGCCATGCTGTGCTGATTCATGACGTCGATTTGTCAGTCACGAGCCCATCTCTGATCTACGATGGTCCAGGTCCTGTCTCTGCCACCTCTCGTGGCTCCCACTAAAGTTCTCATCGTGCCTCTCAGCGCACGGCAAGAATTTGATCCACTGGTCCATGAAGTCTGTACGTGTCTCGTGCCCAACCCTTATTCCACTTCGTCCTTCGTTTCCCACCCATTCAATCTAACATTCTTTCCGACGGCCGAACACATTCGCTAATGTTCGACTTCTTTCTTTTTCCTGTTCCTTTTTGCTATAGCAATGAAGTTTAGAAATGCCGGAATATTCTCTCGTGTGGACGATTCGAACACCTCCATCGGCAAACGCTACGCCCGAAATGATGAGTTGGGCACGCCCTACGGAGTCACCCTAGATTTCGCCTGTAAGTTCTTGACAAAATAAGCTTTCGGTTTCGTCATTCACCGTTCATACTAACCTTCGAATCAATAAGCCGTACAAAACCGGACGATGACGCTGCGGTGAGTCTCTTTCCCCCCTTTGCTTGGCCCTTCTTTGCATTCTCTTCCCTTTCAACATGAGAACACATGACTGCGGCGACGCAGGAAACGTGTTGAGTGACACCGTTGTGCCCACACAATGTGTGAAACTGATTCGCCGTTACCTTTGATCGCGCGGAATCGCTTCTGTTTCTGAATTAGCACTGACCTCAACTGAATTAAATCTCGGCAGGGAGCGAGACACCATGGATCAAAGAATTGGCCCGATCGACGAAGTGATTGCGACTGTCACGGAACTCGTGCAGGGGACCATCGACTGGGACGAAGCATGCAAGAGATTGCCGGCGTACGATGGTGTCCAGGCTGTCGAGTAACGTGGAACTCACACGAACCATTATGTATCACACGAGCGTTATGTTTGGGGTGTGGGGTATGTGTACGGGGTATGGGACAGACTCGCATGCGGGGGTGTGGGGGACAAGAACAAGGACTATGCCAAAAGCGTCGAAAATGTGATTTCAATCGTTCAAGAGATATCTATTCGGCACCAGGCGAGCGCTGTATTATTTTTGGCCTTGAATTTATCTACTCTAGAAATTGCAATTACTTCATATATTCAGGCTATTCGATGGGGACTGACCACAACGTAAACGTTGCCAAGTGGCGTTACCATTTGCTAACTGCTTTTATGGCGATATCTATCCACCAGCTGGTTGGTCTATGAATAACTCAAATGGTATTCTATGCCTTTTGAGTGCAGAAGGGACTCGAATTAGCTTGACCTGATGTCTTCACTGTGTGCTTGTCATAGTCCCGGCCGTACGACGAATAGGATAGACGGAAGGCTAGGCTGACTGTGTGCTTTGTGCTACTTTTCTGGCGGTCTAGGTGGGTCCATACGTCTCCGTGTCTTATGCAAGCTGAGGAAGGAGGAGTCAATGCGGCTGAAAGAGGTCACCAGGTCTCCTGTGTTATTTCTAAGTCAATACGATGGTATCACTAGGCTCAAGAGGCCTGATCTCGGAAACGGAAGTGCCGTCCGCGTCAATGCGGTGGAAATAAGACGAGTGTACTTAGCGTCGCCTCGATGGTGTTTTTTGGATATATTCGCTGAAATTCACATTTCGCATGTCAGTACATAGATTGATATTGATGGGTGGGTCAGAGGCTAAGTGATACACACGTACTAGCCGAGGGTGCGTGAAGAAGGCACGGAGGGAAAGATTAGCACGGCATCGACAGGTAACTAGTAACTTCCGATGATCCCGACTTACCGTGCGGCATGCACCTAATGCTACGAAGTTCGAACCACCATTCACTGAAGCAGACCCAAAGACTAAAGCGATCACTCCCCCTTATATATAGCAAAGTACGTCAACGCCCCTCCACACATATTAACTGTGTGCGTAAAGAAGTGAAATGTTGATCTGTGACTCTGAACAGCACGTAGGTGTGTGTGTATCTGCGTGCGTGTGTGCGAGGGGTCTACGGAATTGCGTGAGGGTAAGATCCATTCTTCCGCCCAGCATAATATATTTCAGCCCCTTGGTCCTCTTCGTCCTATGAGGGAAGTCATTTAACGTTTGGCTTTCATAAGAACACAATCGGTTCTAGTCAGAAGACCCCACTTTTAAGGAGCGTTTCGCCGTAGGATTCTCAAGCATGCTGAACCGTGAGTGACAGCGGTGTATACGAGTACATATCCATATTAGACTACGGATGGCGTTATGCGAGGCTCCACCTCGACTACAGTTAAGTTGCGTTGCCGAGTTCGAGTTCTTTGAAATCTGAGCAGAACACTGAACAATGTCGCTACCCACCAAACGAAGTGCATGTCGTCTTCGATGGGTGGAGCGAGAGTAATTTTGTCTTGAGCCTTCCGGCGCAGGCGCACAGGGGTAACATCATTGAGCCCGAGGGTATAAAATCCTCAATTGACTTATCGGAAGAACACTTATTTCAGGCGTGTGCTTAGTACCCCAGACGCAATCAATACACGGAGGCAATGTCAGATCAGTCTTCTTCACCCACAATACACGTATAATCGCAGATTCCACGACTTCTCCATCATCGAGCATTGCTGTGGATGCCTTTCTCTCCTTGAGGATTGAGAACGGTCAGTTGATGATTCTCGGAGGCAGACGCAGGGGATCGAAAGGATCATGATGAGGATGTGACGTCGACAGTTCCTCGGAATAGCAGCAGCTCCTGAGAACCAGTGAGATGAATATGAGTGATGAATCGCAGCAGCGGCTCATACACAGTATACAGAATGCCTCGGTGTCGACCGAAATGCGAAGTCACTTCAGCATATAGGGGTGTATAGGGGCGGGCGCTTGGAGTTTTCGCCGTCCCGATTTCAGGCGCCGTACCTTGAACACCTTCTCCACAATGCGGAACGTCCTCCTCGGGTACACACACGGTCGGCTTCTGACCAACCACCCCGCGTGTGTAAAACTGTGCATCTACTCGCGGCGTGGGACACCCCCGATCTCGGATCCGGGGGAGCCCAAGATGCTTGTTCCCAAGTCCCCTTGCTTCCTTTTCCATATTGCCGTATGCCGTTGATGAAGCGGCATGTCATTCCTACACCGTGAGTACTCCGTGCACCTAAACTATGTTTTACACCACGCTGGCTGGCCACGCTCAACAAGAAAGGGGATCTGAATGGAAACATGATGCGATTGCGGTACATCGTTTACTCAAGTACGGCAGTGCCACTCAAAAGCTCAGGCCAATCACCGTGAAGCCGCCACTGCGCCGCATTTCAAGAACTCCCCGGATTCATCGTGACTCGTGAGTCCGGCTCAATCATCGAATCAAGGGTTCGTCATTCACTAACTGACTCACCCTGTAGGACTGGTAAACGCACAAGGAAAGTGCACGCCGTCATCACTCGACGCTCGTGGAATGAATGAGAGTGACCCGTAAGTCCATCACGGACCAGCCACTCATTGTCCCCGCTGCCATCGTCGTTAACGAGAATCCGGTTGAGTCACCGCTAGTGGTGTGCGATGCAAGGAAAGTGCGGACGTGGGTAAGCACACGGAGTCCGGTAAGTCCTCAAGGCCTCATCAGAGCTATTCCATCTCCATCTAACTAAATGCAAACGCAAACGTAGGTCGACCGTCGAACCGGTGGGAGACCTTCGACTTCTAACATGCCTCGCCTGGATATTACTACATACACGGCGTTTGTTACTTTTTCAAGGTAGAATGGTATGTACGTACAGCTACATCTAAGTTCGTCGATGACTTCGTCCACTTAAAGACTAAGCACTCTGTACTAATATGTACAAGGCACTGAGTGGCAAGCCTCAGGAATCAGGTTCCAGGCCGTCCGTATATACGACCAGTGACCACCTCAAACCTTACCTCCGGGAAGATTTGACTTCCGTCTACATTGGTTACTTGTCCAGCTCCTGGGATAATGCCGTACATCCGCGAACGCATGTTGCGGCTTTGTCCCACCCACCCTTCCTCCCAAGTTCCAAGTGGCACGTTCCCACCAATCACTGCATTCCGGGGCGCTTCCTGATTGCTGCCACTTTGTAATGGTACCATACGTATGTACGACATCTCGCCACGCTATCGGGATTCTGGATTCCTACTGGCCCGCAGCTCCGCAACACTGCAGCACTGCAGCACCGCACCAACCGCACTTCGCTTCCATTGGCCGGGCGGCTCAGTCGCCTAAATCCCGTATGGCGTATGTTGCGAAGCTGGGAAGCCCTCGCGAGCCTAGGCGTGAGAGCAGGAATAGGCCTGGTGATGGGTGATGTGGTGGGTCGGTAGATAAGCAATTGCGTTTGCGTTTGCAACATACTATATCCGCTCGCCCATATCCGTATCCGTAACTGTATTCGCTCGGCTCTTGACTAGCACGCTTTGGTCTTTGGGCGTTTGTGCGTTGCCTTACTCGGAACGGCATCTCCTTTTTCGTGTCCTTCGTGGATGCAGATCAAGGAACGTGCTAGGTATGTATAGGTATGTTATGTATGTGCATCCTGGGTGGCAAGGTTGACAGGGTCAGGTAGGGTAGGGTAGAGAATAAGGGTGCCGCATTACGAGAGGCGGCCGTGTCACTCAGACTGTCAGTGGAACCGGTCACGATGCTATCCTGAGCTAACTAGTTGAAGAAGAGACAAGTCGACATCCCAGGACAGACCTTCAGGAACGGCGGGAGAGTCTGGACGCAATGCTCCACTATGAGCTGCCCGTGAACGTTTGAATGCAGATAGTGGTGCACTCTACCTACTTGACGTGTATCGCAGTGTATAAACTCCAATTCCTCCCGTCACGCACTACCTGCGCACACCAAGGCCTCCTCATCCCAGTTCCGCATATATTGTACGTATAACACGCGCCGTGCACGGATAAACTCCCCGCTCAGCAGACCCAGCCAAGGCCCGGTTCTCGGTACATATACAAGGCCCCTCCACATCCTCTATGTTCCAAGAGAAACCCCAGATTCCTCGATAATTGATTATTGCAGCGTACTTCCCCCGGGTCTACTGCATACAGTCTATAGCAGGCGATCATAAGGTTCGCAACGCAACAGAACGCAACTCGAGATCTTGAGCTTGAATATATATCCAACGCGGACCCAGTAACCGCTAAACTGCCAAATAGGCCCGTAGGCTGCCCGTAGGTCAGATTGTTCGTTCAGGTCCGTGTGCGGCATCGTCGTCGTGGATCACGCGCACCCTCAGGCTGGTGGTTGAAATGAAATGTTGATGTCAGTGATGCATTGGAGGATCCGAGAGGTAGGCGGAACATTGGATTTATGCGGAGTATAGGTGGGGAAGAGCTGGTTACCGTTTATCTTATCATCTCTCCTGCCATGTTAACCACCGAAATGTAGTATTCGTTAATTTACGATGCAAGGAACTCTCCTTCGTGGTGGGGACATTCCGCGAAGTTCTGACAGAAGCACCCCGTTTCTGGCAAACCGTCTGAGTGACGGACGAGTCTGTGCAGTAGTGCAGGGCAATCCAGTGATTGGTTCCTCTCGTTCCCTGCCCAGTCCAGCTACCGCCTCCCCCTCATTGGATCGCTGGCTCTGCGCCACGGCGTCCCATTGGCTCCCAGCATCTCATTGGCTCGTCTCGTCGCTATCATACGTATCTGCTTTCGCGATCCGCGACCCACTAGTCTGTTCAGCCACTCTCATTTTATTGCGTTTCGTTTCTTTTTAGCGTTCCTCCTTGGTTCCTCTCTCCTGCAACAAGTCCTGAGGTCTGAACATTGAACCCTCCCGCCTGCACTGGGCTTGGCCCTGAGTAATGATAGCGGATGATGCATGATGCATCGAATCGAATGTCGGAGAGGTTCCACGGAATCAAATTTCGTTTGATATTTCAATTTACCTCCCT